CCCCAACCCCAACCCCAACCCCAATTAGTTTTATAAATTTATGTACAATTTTATAATTTATTTTTAATTCATATATTTAATTTTAATTAGAGCTAATCATATCGTATTTATTATTCTTTTGTTATATATTAAGAATTTAATAGATATTTATGAATTTTTCTTTTTTAATTAAATAAAATATTATTTAAAAGTACTAAAGAGATTTTGAGAATTATTTTAAAGTTAAATTTAAAAACTAATTAATAAATTTTTTTGTTAAAATATTTTTGAACATAAATGCTAAACAAATAATTAATTAATTAAAAATAGGCTAATAGATTTTAATAATTTAAAAAAAAAATATTTATCTTATAATTATTATTACAGTATATTTTTGAATAGTAAATAATCAATTATTTTAAGATTATGTTTATAAATTTAGTCAATTTGTTATATAATTTTTAGTACACATCAATAAAATATAAAACAGAGATATAATAAAAAGCGAAAATCATTTAAATGTTAAAAAATAAATAATTATAAAATTTACAACAAAAATAAATTCTATGATATTATTCTAAAATTCTGAAAATATAATCATTTTTTCTTGGTAGGCTTGTTTGTAAATACTTAAGTGGCAGCACCACTGGAAATTTTCTTTTCACTAGTATTAGCTGTGCTGGTATTTGATGAAGCAGGTTTATTTGAAAATACTTATTGAGTTGCTTAAGTTAATTTGATTTTTGGAGCTTCTTAGCTGTTGTTTGATGATGCATTTACTGCAGCTGTAGCAGCAGCTCCTCCAACAATAGAAGAAACTTTGACAGTGTCATTTACTAACTTATTGTCACTTATGACTGCCTTAATAACTTTTTAAACTTTTTCTTAGTTTTATCTATCTAAAATTGTACCGGGAAGGTATTTAGGGATACCCAAAAAGGCACGGGTAGTGGGATTTCTAATTGCAGCAGCAACTATTAAGTGTGTAAATGCTGAAATAGCCCAATATAAGTTAAGAGCTGAAGGGAAGAATATAACTACGGGTAGAGTTAAGAAAGGGAAATACTTGAAGTATTTCATATATTTGGCAAAAGGAGAGTTTTAAGCCATATTTCCCATATTTGGATTAAGTGAAATATTTAAGTAAGAGAAGGTAGCTGAAAGAAGAGGGAGAATGCAGTAAGGATCTTATTCAGCTAAATCTTAGAACCATAACATACCATCAGTACGGAGTTAGGGATATTTATCTGGCATTGATGTAACATAACGTAATGAGACGAACCAAGTAATCAAAACAGGGATTTGAGTTAAGGCAGCAACAGAAATCCAATGACGGATGCCATGCTTTTTTTGCAAGGCAGAGAATTAACGTTGAGCTTCTCTTACACTGTTAAAATCACCTTATTTTTGCAAACGACTGACCTATGTTTAGAAATTTTTAGTTTCAGGTTCAAGAAGCTTCATTTTGAGGGCATTAATCTAAGTACCAAACATAAGAGGCATAAATGCAAGCTTGATACCAAAAGATAAAGCTGCTATTGAAATACCCATTCCCCATCCTAAATCATTGCAAAGGTAAAGGAGAGCATCTCTACTAAATTCATCTAAATGATTGTAAATATTTCCTGGAGCAATTGCAGAAAGTTTATCAATAAAATCGTGAGGGACAATAGAGCTGAGAGGCTTGGTGGTTTCTAAAATATTTCCGATATCATTATCTCCTAAATAAGCATTATTGAATAATTAAAGGTCCTCCACTTTTATTGATTTTGCAGCAATTTCAGAAATTTAATTAGCATTTTATAATATTTCTGATGTTACGTTTTATCCATTTAATCCAGAAAACATAAACTTGGAGCTATGGTAAAAATTTTTGTTAGCAACCTAATTCCACTTAGATGTCTAGTTGATCTTGGCTAAGTTTTATAACGAAAATACGCTTTTTCTGAACATTTTTTTTACTTCTACTTAACTATTTTTTAAATTTTATATCTATCTTCCTTTTTCTATTTCTTTCTTAAAAATCCTATTTATTATTTTCTTAGATTCTTAAAGTTTCTGTAAATTTATATATTTTAACTTAAATATATTTGAGGTAGCTATTAATTAATTTATTTAAATGCATTATATCTTCTTTTATAAATGCTTAATAATGCATTATTCATTCATTCACTCTTCACCACCTAAATAAATAGGTTGAAAATCTCATTATAGTTGCCCTTAAAAAATTTATATTTGTTTCTAAGAAACATATTTTAAATTCCTTTTTTTTACAAAAAAAAGATATTCCTGATTTTAAAATTTAACAACCAAATTCTCGATAATTCTTTAAACGTGTTAGATCTTATTTAATCCTAAGCATTCATTAATTCCTTAAATATTAAAATAAATTTAATAAAAAATAATTTTTCAGCAATCATCAATTATTTTAATTTTAACATATAAAGCTATTTAGAAAAACTCAATTAAATTTCTTCTAATAAAAATGGTTAATTTATTTAATATTTTCTCACATTATAATTAATATAAATATTTTGATTATATTTAAAATAAAATTTATTTTTTTAAGTTATTTATTTTATTGAATAAAACATTTTTATATTTATTAAAAAAATCAAACAAAAAATAAAATAAAATTTGATAATCAGTCAGTCCATCAGTAAATTATAGTTAAAGTATCAAAATTAATAAAATAAAATAAAAATTATTTATGATTATCTTTATTTGTCAAAAATAAATATTTGGTAAGTTATGTAAAAAGTTTTAACTACCAAATAATCAATAAAAGAGATAGGGAGATAAATAAAATTAATAACATTTTAAATCAATTTGGTTTTATTTTATAAATGATAATTTGTATCACTCAATCATAAAATATAAATATAAATTTATAAATTTAATATTTTTAGAATTAGAAAATTTAATATGCTATCAATTCCTAAATTAACAAATAAGATATTTAGAATTTTTTATTGACATAGAGCAATAATTGCTATTAATAATTTGTGTGCTAATTTATTAATTAAATAACAAGAAAATTTTTAGATTTTTTTATATATTTAATAAAAACTATTTGTATGATCTTTAATATAAATTTTCAACTTGTGAACAAAGAAATAAAATAAATATAACTAAAAGATTATAAATTAATTTCTCAAATTTAGATTAAATTTAATATATTAATAAATTTAAACGAAATTAGTTAGTAGATTGATAGATAGATAGAGTGACTTGACTTAATAAGTTTTTATTATTTATTTGTTTATTTATTTATATTGATCAGTTCTGTAAATATTATAGAACTTATTATGATTTTTATTTATTGCCGGTGATTTGAACTAATAATCTCACAAATATTTCGTAAATATATTTGCTATATAAAAGCATTCTACTATCAACGATTATAATCCCATTTAAAAGCAATGAAATTTATTTAATTAGACTAATAGCTGTACATATTGAATAAATATACTTATTATTAAGTTAATAATCTTTTTGTGTGGTTCAAAAGAAATTTTTACAGAAATTGGTTTATTTTCATTTAACATTTATCATCAAAAATATGCTGTGTAATTAAAATCATTTTGTTCTTAAGAATATATTCTTGGGTTATTCTAGCAACAATCTTTTAGCTTTTCTGCAGTCAAGCTTTTTAGTTGAGCTTTTATTTTTTAAATATCGCCACTTGGCTCGTTTCTCTCCTCGTCTTCTTCCGCTTTTAATGTTGGGGTATGTTATATCTATGTGAAGGGATTTTAGAATGTTTGTATTGCCATTTGTTGTATTTTATTGCCATTAAAACGAAGATTTCTTGGAGAATGCTACTGACCTTAATTAAATGGAGAATCTAGTTAAGTAGTATTATATGCCACGCTATTTTTATTTATAATTCCTTGCATTTCCTCTATAATTTATCTCAATTCTTGATCGAAATTCTAAGGATTATCAGGATTCTTTGAAGGAGAATTGTTATGAATACAACCTGAATCACCAGAATCGTTTGCATAACCATTTCCTTTATTAGTTTTAGGCTTTCTTTGACGGGTTTTCTTTTTTCCTATACGACCTTCTCTTTTAAAGGTTTATAAAATGGCTTTTGAAGTTGAGAATTTTATTCCAAACTCACGAGCAGCTTCCTTAATTGTAACTTCTCTTGAAATTACACGCTGAATAAATTTCTCACGAACTTCTTAAGAAATAACTGAGTACTTCTTTTTTTGTGAACCTAAATTTTCTTGACTTTCATCATCTCCACCTCCGTTATTATTAGAGCCACCGTCGTTTTCACTTGATAAACTTTGTGAATCTAAATCATTCTCTTAATCCATTTGGTTAGAAAATGAGTTTTCGTTATTTTGTGACATTTCTAATTGTTCTTTTTTCTTTTAAAATATTTATTTTGCTATATTTCAAATTTTTGGTAGCTCTATCTTCTCTTTTTCCTATTACTTAAATAATATATTTCATTCAATTTTTACAGGATTTAAAGAAAAAAAAACTCTTGAATTGCCCTTAAATGACATCAGTATAATTAATAATCAAATCGTAATTAAAATAATCATTTTACTTTAGTCCTATAGAAGTTATTTGAAAGAATTTTCTATTTTTAAATGTGCTGAATTTAGTGACTTAAATATTGTTTGTTTATCTTCTTTCTTATTCTTATTATTCTTAGATATTAAATGCTTTTAATTATAAAGTTTGCAAAATTAATAAAATTACTTTTTCTTTTTATATATATATTTTTATGAAATTCAAACAAAGAATTAGGCCTTTAAGGGGGAGGCAAATTTTTTTACCCAATATTATAGGTAATAGAAATTTTATTATGCATAATTTTTAATAGGACAAAGCATATATTTTCTAATACATTTATTTATTTATTTTTTACTATATGTTTGTTATAGAATTTTTAATTTAATAAAATTAATGTTAAAATTATTATTTTTCAAGATATATTTATCCCTATAAAAACAAGCTAGCAAATACAAAAAAAAACACAAATAATATTCACTAAACCAAAATATATGAATTAGCTCAAATTTAATTTTATAATTTAACAATATTTTAGTTTCATAAAACAATTTGTATTTAAAAGCTTTATCATACTATTTTGTATGGATTAAGAATGTGGTTAGGATCAAAAACTTCCTTAAGCTTTTTCATATAATCTAGAGCAACTTAATTTTTATGTTCCCAAAGGTAAGGTCTTTTTTGCAATCCAATACCATGCTCAGCACTAATGCTTCCACCAACAGATTTTACCCAATCATATAAAAATTTCTCATGCTCTTCTTCCATCTTCTTAACACATTCTTCATTATGAGCTGCAAACATTAAATGGAGATTACCATCACCAATATGGCCACAACTTGTTGTTTCTGCAATTTATTTGCAACGTTCTCTCATAATATTTGTAATTTCTCCAAAATATTTAGGGTCACAGCTGATATCATAAGCTACATTAGATCCTATATGAACAACAGCCTACAATTTATTTAATAGGATTTATTAATTTCAATTTATTTAAAATATTATATTATTTTAGAATGATAATAAATAAATACCTCAGCAACACCATCTCTCAAATGCCATAACATTTTATATTATTCTTCTGATTGTGAGCTAACCATATCCTCATAAATTCCCAATTCTTCAAGTCTGTTAAATAATCTTTCTACCACTTCTTCAATGTTGTAATTGCAAGAAATTTCGATAAGAATGTATGCCTTTTTGTCATTATCTTACATGTTTGTAAAAGGATTGTATGTTTTCCCTCTTGAATTGTTTAAAACTATGTCCAAAGTAATACCATCAAGATATTCTAAAGCAGATATATCTTTGCCTAAGAAAGCTTTTGAAAATTAAATAAATAAATTTATTTTTATTTAAATTAATTTTTTAAAATTATAAAATTTTTCATTATCAATTACATTTTGCCTCGTTTCTTACTTATAACGCCTAGTTAAAATCTTTGCATTAAACTAGAATCAAATTATTTAACTTATCTTATTTGAAAGCAGCAACATTAGCCTTTGTAATAATACCTAAAGTTCCTTCAGATCCAATAAATAACTGCTTTAAATCGAAACCAGTGTTATCTTTACGCATGGTATTAGTTAAATCTAAGATTTAGCCAGTTGGAGTAACAATTTCGAGACCTAAAACATGAGCTTTTAAAGGACCATACTTGATTAAACGAATACCTCCTGCATGAGTAGCAATGTTTCCACCTATCTAGCAAGAACCTTTGGCAGCAAGATCGACAGGTACTTCGCAATTGAAAGGTTTTAAATAATCATTTAAAGCCTCAAGGATGCACCCTGCCTCTACTGTTACAACTTAAGTGTTTTGGTCAAAACTCAAAACTTTGTTCATTTTATTGAGTGAAACAACTATTTCATCATGAACTGGGACAGAACCTCCTACAAGACCTGTATTACCTCCTTATGGAACGACAGCAATTTTCTATTCATTACAGTACTTCATAATCTTTGCAAGTTATTCAGTAGTTTTAGGCTAAAGTACAAGCTAGGTTTCACCATGAAATATTTTGTTCCAATCTTAATTGAAGGGAGTGATAGATTCTTTATCAGTCAAAATGCTATGTGAATCTAAGAAGGAGCGAAAGTAGTTAATATCAGATTCTTAGAGCTTCTTAAAGCTAGTATTTCTAGGTGGCTTAACAAAAGAAAATGAATATTTGCCTAGTTTCTATTACTTAGAAAAGCTATTTGCAAAAAACTTGGTAAGAGAATTCATTTTTAAATAAAATTTTCAGTAATTTTTATAAATTTTTTTTAATTATTATTTATTGAAGATATTATATATTTCTATAGAGAAATTAAAAACAGAAAAATCTAATGTGTGTATATAAAGATTCATTTATGTCAAATAATCTAAAAATAATAATTTTTTAGCTTATTTTAGATAGATTACACTTGCAAATATGACTCATTCATTATAAAACCTTTTTAAAAGATGGTAAAGATCTCTTTCATTTAAAGAATAAAAAATAATAAACTACTTGGTTCTCTCAGAGTAATAGTTTATTATAGTTCTACAAATCATAATAAAAAAATATACTTTATTCTAAGTAATTTAATTGATACTAAAAAACAATAAATTGAAAATCAAAAATAAATTTTACTAATTAAATTTTTAAAAAAATTCATTTTATTTAATAAAATCTTAAATAACTTGTTTTTTTACATGTTATTAAATATGTTCTAAATAAATAAACATTAAATACTTTATGTTATTTTTAAACACAAGTATTTGATATTCAAGCTATTCTGCCTAATTAAAAATTTTATTTAAATTTAAATACAAAAATATTGTTTTGATTGATATTTATTTGTAATTAAGAAGACCTTACAATTCAATAAAATATTAAATTATTTACTGATCTGTATATATTTAGTATGTTGTAAAAAATGTTTAGTCTTTTATCTTATTTTGCTTGCATAAATATTTAATTCTAAAATTCATTCTTATTTAATCTAAAATACTTCAAAATAAGTATGATGTCACTTAATAAATAATAAAAATGTATACTTAATACTCAAATAGTGAAGACATTTTATGAAATAGTTTAAACGTTAATTCTGAAATTAAATAAATAAATAAATTTTTTATTTAAGCTTATTGCAAATATTTTAGAAACAAAAACCGATAAATGATTTTATATGTTAAATAATTATCCCATATTTACATATATATTATCTATTATTTAGCTAGAAATATCAAAATCCTGAATAATGTTCAATATATTATTCAATTTGGTTATTGATTTATACCTACTCTGACTAACTTAAGCCATAATCTTAATCAGACTATTCACATAACCTGTCTTCCTCATTTTAAACAGTATTATTAACTTAATTATTAACACATTTTTTAACTTCATTATCATCATCTTAAAACTATTCTGATTCACTTGTGTTTTATTTAGCTTCAATTTTTTCTTCGTCTTAAGAATCTTATTATTAGTGGGTCGAACCAGTAATTTCCTAAGCTTTATTGATATCAATCTTATTTAAGTATATCAAAGGAGTTAATTGTAAAAGATTGGTAATTAAAACAAGAATCCAAAGATTGTCAAAGTTTGTTTCACTAATTCCAAAAGAATAAGTTAATAAACCACCAAGTTGCTCACTCATAATTCCTCCAAAATTTAAAGTAGACATTAATAAAGCATACATAGTTCCTTCAATATCTTTAGGGCACAGTCTGCATGCCATTACTAAAATAGGAATTAAGTTAAATTCACCTACAATTTGAAGCATAATGCTGTCACTTACTGTAAATACTTTATCTGGGATTCCTAATCTTTAATTAGCTCTATTTTTTTAAAAAATAAAAATATTAACTTTTTTATATTATTAAAAATTGAATATCAATTATTTTTTGGTTTAATAATATGATTCTAAAAAATTAATTATTGGTTAATAATACTAAAAGAAATTTGAAGAAAACTTACCTTGTAACAAGTAAAATCTAAGTTAAGCCAAATATTGAGCTTACAATTGTACTGTATGTGAACTGTTTTTTAAAGGGAACACTCTTTAAATATTTATTATACATTAAGGTAGCAAAAATAGAGCCTGAAGCATATATAAATCTCAATTACCCTAAAAATTCAGGCTAAAAACCCAACACATTTGTATAAAAAAAGAACATAGCAGAACCACTGCAAGGCATCATCATAAAAGCTAATATATACAGAATAGGTTTATAAATAGCTGGTTTACTTATAAAAACCCAAAATTATCTAATCTAATATTTAGTTGTTTCAACCAAAGTAGTATTATTTATTGTTTTTTCTTCATCTAAAAAGAATGACGAAACTACAATCATTAATGGAAAGCAGCTTGTAATCGCAAAAACTATTTCATAAAATAAAGTAAAATTAAAAAATTTGAAAGCCAGGTGTTGAAATTTATTTATTATTTAAATAAATATTTTTAAAAAAATTTTTAATTAAATTACTCGTATATTTAGAAAAAATTTCAAGAAGATGACCTCCTAGATAAGCAACTACTAAAGCACCACAGCTTCTAATACCAAAAAAAAGAGAAACGTTTTTGGCTGCTTCAGCTTGTTGTTACTCTTCAGTCCAATCAGTATTAGCTCTGGCTCTTTTTTGTGAAATTTCTACTACAATTGCCTCTATTTTTTTATCATTATAATTTTTATTATTATAAAATGTATTAAATATAAATTTGTTGAAAAAATCAGTCTATTAAATAATAAATCTAATTTATTTTTTATTACCTGCAATAACACTACAAAATGATCCACAAAATTGAATTATAAATAGAGCTCCAAAACCTAAAAATTTTTATCTTATTTAATAGGCCATCAACGACCACATAACAAATGAAATTAGCCCACACAAAATCAAATATGATTTTCTTCTATATTGCATAAAAGGAATGCAATCAGAAGTTAAACCCCATATTGGTTTGAAAATCCAAGGAAGAGTTACTATACTTTAAGCTAGTGAAACTTGAGATGGACTCATTTTATAATCATCTTTGTAAAGATAACTAATTGCTAAATCTGATAAACCCATAATACCTATATTATTAAAATTAAGAATAGAAAGAATGCCAATTTTATCTATCATCTTTTGAAATAATTATGCAAAATAATTTTACCAGAAGTAAATGCTACAACACCTAATACTAAGTATGATGAGAAATTATCTGATAGCACATTTCTAAAATATCAATAATTGAATTAAAATAATCTGTTAAAGTAAACAATAAATAAATACTCTTTCATTTTTTAATAAATCTATAAGATTTTATTCTTGCCAGAGCTAAATGCTTATTTCATTTGCTATTTTATGTTCAAATTCTACTATTTAACTATTTAAGGATTTTACTTTAGTTTTAATTCCTTTTTTGTTTATCAATATTTTTATCAAGCGTTTTAGTTCTTTAAATAAATTAATCAAAAACGCATAAGAATATATTTTGGTACACTTTGTTTACAGTAATTAATCTTAATCATCCAAAATATATCTAATATCTATATAAAAGTAATTAATTACTATTTTTTTAAAGTAGTTCTCGCACTAAACAACTATTTTAGTATTAATAAAATCAAAGAAATTATTTTAAAATTAAATACCAGATTTAAGACATTGAAAGCTAAGTTGTTTTAAATAAATTCTATTGTTAAAAATAGTTTTCCCTTAAAAAATTACTAAGTTTTATTTTAATTCAACTGATAAAATTTATTGATTTTTTTGAATACTATAATTCCTCATATATTAAATTACTAAAGTAATTTTTATTTTCATATTTTTGAATATTTATCCTATATAATTTTCTTGAATAAAATATCAATTAAACTTATTTAGAGTTAGTGAGAAATTACTGTATTTAAAAAATATAATTTTAAAAAGTGTTTAATTCTAATAAATTCTTTGTTCTTTTTATATTATTTGTATTCTCATATTTTTGAAAAAATATTAATTTTTATCTAAATTTTAAAATAAAAATAATTAGAATATTATTCAAATTAATTAAAAAACTTATAAAATGTATATGAAATTAATATTATTTCAATAAATAATTAGTCAAAAGAAATAGATACATTTATTTTAAATTAATTTTATGAATGAAATAATTTATTTATAAATACAATTTTAGATTTATAAAATGAAATACTTAAAATAAGTAATTAGTATTGAATATAATTATTTATATAATTTAATATCATTAAAGTAAGAATTATTCCTTCTAAGTTTATGTTTGATTAAAAATATATTAGTCTTAAGATACTTAAAAGTATCTATTTTATCAATAATTAAATTTATGAAAATCAATTTAAATAATCTAATTTCATTTTTTATCGAATTCATTGCTCATTGTTTCAGCATGTGGATCTCCAACTAAACTTCTATCATCATTAAAGCTATCATCACTAAATGTAGATTTAATTTTATCGATTATTGAAGACTTATACAGTCCAGAATAAAATATGTAGTGGAAAGAAATTATAAAACCGCAAAAAGAATATGGTATTAACAGTTAAGAATCAATTGAAATATCTCTATTTTTATCTGAAAATGTGTAAGTTAACTAGGCGATGTTATATATAGTAAATGCCATAATAATTTTAGGTTCTGTGAGCATATTATTATTTATTAGCAGAGATCTCATTTCTTTGTTATAGGTTAATCGCTTTTAGCGAGCTCTTAACATCAGTAAAAGGGAAAAAAATAATAAGATAGATGGGAATATGACTAGTAAAATAAATGTATTATTATTCTTTTAATAAATGAAGTCACTCGATTCTGCTTATTACTCAAAAATTGGACTATTTTTTAATAAAAAATTCTTAAAAAATTTATTTATTAACTATATATTATTTATGTAAAACAAACATCTACTATTTACTTATTTTGCTATTATTTTTTAAAATTTCCTTAAATTTTGCAGATTAATATTTGGTTATATTAAGTGCTAACAAAATTTAATTAAATGCTAAAATAAGACGGACAAAGCAAACATTAAAATGAAAATTTTTAATTGAAAAAAATATTACTAAAGAGCTATCAGGATACTTAAACATATAAAAAGTAGAAATGCTTTCTCTATACGTTTTTAAGAGCGAATTGATGAGCCAGAATCAAAAATATATTGTATTCCTGAGATATAAATCAGAATAATACATATTGTTGTAAAGAGCAATGAGTAAGTAGCTAACAAGTTTGCAAATATCGCAACTGAGGGAGGAATATTAAATATATTTTCATTTAACGACAGATAAGATAAGTTTTGCACCATTGAGAAAAACTGAAGGAAGAAAACCAATCTGCTAAATATTTCCTTTTTTTTCTAAAAGATTAAGAAATTTAATGCTGACAGTAAAGATAATGACGCAGAAATAATATTTCCAATTCTTAGTATCTCATCATCAAAGAAAGTTGAAGAAGTCATTCCTATTTTATTCTTTTAATTGAAAATGCCTAAATTGTAAACTTGAATTCCTCAAAAAACTATAGTCCTCGTATAAATATCACCTTTTCAATATGAATATTTTCCAAAAGCTTATGTAGAATTTTGTTAACACCTAAATATTAATTGATGCTTTTTTACTTTTTTAATCAAAAAAATTGAATACCAATAAATTTCTTTTTTTAATTGTATTAATTTTTTTAGGTTTTTATCTATTTATTTATTTTTCTTTCTACTTGCCTTATATTTAAATAATAAAGGAAGCTTTAACCTGAAATTTGTGAATCATAGAATGCAATATTCATCATTTCATGAAAAAGTAGCAAATTTTAAAGGTCTATTTGTAAATTATGTTTTTTCACTACTCTAAAAGCTTTTTTATTTCAAGTTAACTGAAACAAATTTTATAATTGCGTATGGTTTTTCAAGTAAATTTGTAAAAATTATTGCCACTATTTATAGATTCTTATTAATATATGTGTTTATTTATCTCAAAATAGAGCGCCACTAAGATTAAAAAATTAATTTATACAATTAAAACATTGAATATTGATATATAATAATGATATTATTATCTTAAAAAACCAGCAAAAAACTATAGATATAAATACAACCAAATAATTGACTTAAAAATATATTCAGTGTATGCTTCTCTCAATATAGGCTAGTTATAACTCATTAATAATTTATAATCTTTTATTTTTAATTAAAAATTTTTAATCTATCTTGTTAAGTAGTCAACTAAGTTTATTTTTTTGTTCATCAATTTTTTAAAAATGTAATTAAAAATTAAAAAATATTTTTCAATTTGATGAAATTTTAAAATTCTAATCTAAATATTTAAAGTTATGTAGTTTATTTTGCAAAATTTAAAAACTAGAATCGAACCACATATTTATAGCAATCATTTTTAATGATTTTATTTAAATGATTTATATTTTTTATTAAATTATTTCTAGTTATTTATAACCTATTAAATCAAATATTCAATATTAAATCTATTTGAATAAAGATTTATTGCTTATTTACAATCAAAAATTTGTTAAAACTAGTTATTAGTTATCATGATTAAAAAAGTAAACTGCTTAAATTATACACCAAATTTGTAATTATTTTAAAATATTTATATCAGTTATCTTTATTTGAATTTTCATAACAGTTTATTTATTAAAAATATTTTATATCCTATTAAACATTATTGTAAATTTTTTAAAGTGAATAAAAAAACTGAGGAAGATATTAATTTGAAGAAATCATGTTTGTGATTTTTGTCTAAATTTATAATAATAGTTTACTATTTTAAAGATGAATAAAAATTAATTTCAGCTTTTAAAATTTTATTATACTTAATTATATGCATTTAATTATGAGCTAATTTGATAGAAGAAAACTAAGATCAATAAATTTATAAAATTATTTAATTTAAAGATAATATTTAATTTTTAACTTCATATATCTTCTAGTAAATTTATATAATAATAGTATTTTTTTTAATTTTGTAGGATTTAAAATTTAGTGTTTTTTTATTTTAATTTTTATATTATTAATCTCTTTTTTTATTTAGTTTATTTATATATCATTATTTAAAATGAAAATTACTTCAAATAAGTATTTTAATATACGGTAAATGCTTATATATTACACCACTACCTCTATTTCAGTTTAGAAACCTCTCTTATAGATCTTTATTAAATTATATTTATGTATTTTAAAAAATTATTAATATTTAAAATTGGTTATAAAATTAAAATAATATTAATAAATTTTAACTGTCTATTATACATAATATACTTCACATTATTTGTTTTTTATAAATATAATTATTTAAAATTTAAGTATTTTAGATTAAATCTGATAATTAAACCTATATTGAATAAATTTTACAATTATGAAAAAATAAATTATAATGTCTTCCTTACATTTATTGTGAAATAATTATAATTCATGTATTAAAGCTAGTCTAGAAAATAATTTCCTAATGAAAAAACAGGTCTTAATTAAGTTAAATTAATAATTTCTAAAATACTTCTTATAATATTAACATTTACAGTAACATGGTTTTTTTTAATTAAGATCAGTTTTTAAAATAATTTCTTTCTAAAACAAAAAAATATTTAGAAAGAAAATTTTTAGATATAAAGGCTTGATTTTTCTAAGAATGAGGTAATTTAATATTACTGAATAAATAAATATTTATTCTTAGAAATAAGAATTAAAAGTTTTAATAATTTTTAATAAAAAACAATTTTTAAAAGTTATTAAAAAAAAACTCTTACAAAACAGTAATTAAAAAAAATGAAAAAATAAAATGTTAAAATCATAATTTTTACAAAAATAATTATTTTAATATTTAGTAACATTTTATGTTTAAAGAGTTACGAGTTAAGCGGCAATTACTAATTATTTTTAAATTCAAATTTATTACAAGGTTTATAGATAGAATTTTTATTTGAGATAACAAATTTGTGGATATATTTAAAAATAAGAAAAACTAATAACATAATTATATTAGATTGAGATCTATGTTCGATACTTTTTTAATACTGAAAATAAACAAAAAGTAATTGGCACTAAAGAGATATTAAAATATAAGAAAAGCAAAAAGGAGGGAATTGTGATTATGAAAAAGAAAAAAAATCAAATTCAAAAAAAGTTCAAATTAAATTTGAGTTGCTTTAATGAATATTTATATTTTGATTGCGTTAATAAGCAAGCAAGTAAGAAATCACATATATTATTTCTTGATGAAATGAATGTAAATGCATTAATAATAGAAGACAGCAAGTATTTTTTATCAATAAATTAATATTTTGGTGCCAAAAAGATATTGATTATTCAAAACACTTATTTATTTATTTATAATTTACTAATATAAATAAACAAAGAAGCAAAATAAAATAATTAAAAACAACACTCTTTTTTAATCATTATTTTAAGATATAAGTAAATACATATATTTGGCAAGTTAGATAAATAGAGAGACTCTAACAATCCGTCACACAATGTTTTCAAGTATAGCATCTTCAGCAAAAGGGAGTTAAAACAAAGAAATAAAAATCCCAGTTGGAAATTAATCATAAAATTGTTACAATTACTAATAGACTTTCCAATCACAATAATAATTATAATAGCCTCAATAAGCTTAACCTTTATAGCAAGGCAATTAACGAAAGCCCTCTATATCTAGTGTTGCGAGACCTTAGAAATTTTCTATTTCTATATAGGTAAAATATATTTATGAATATTGATTATGTAAACTATTAAGTCTAAAACCATGCATTTTTTAATAAACATTCACATTAAGACTTAATCTATATTATTTTAAGATTGAACGTTTGAGTCAATAAAAAATCTCTTAAGTATTTTAAAAGTTGAATTTGAAAAATTGCATGCTTTTTAACCTTAATAAATTACATTTAATTTTTAAAATTTACAAAAATGCATTAAGATTGAAATTATGTTGTTAAAATAATTTTTGAAGACAAGACATACAAAAAATTATCAAATATAAGATAGAAAACTTAATAATTATTAAAGCTATTTTTAAATTAATTTTAGAATAAAGACCAGTCTTTGCAATAAGAAATACTAAGTGATGATAGAAATTTAACTTATCATAAAAAAAAGCAATCTTATTAGCAGATGATCAGCTCAAACCATTAAGGAAGCATTTAAAACCAAAAGAAGAGTAAGCAAAGCATTAATTTAAACAATCTATAAAATCTTAATTTAGCAAGTACAAATAACAACATTATAAAGGGCTAATAGAATTAATAGAACTAATAAACTGCTTCGACATTTTCTATTCAAAATGCAAAAAATTAGTATTAATAATCACAATAATAATTTAGCTCTGCAACTCTTAACTCGCAAAACAAAAACTCTGCCAAAGATTTTATTAATTATAAAATCCTATAAATACAGGCTAATAGTAGTAAAAATTAATCTATTTCTAACGTTTAAATGAATGGGAATTTACAGCCTCAAAATTAAATTCAAACCTAAATGAATGTCTAAATTTAAGGTAAAAGCAATTAATTCCTTCAAAATCATGGAAGTGGAAATTCCAGTCAATAGCTTGTAATCACAAGCGCTAGACGTAACGAAAGTTCTTCAGTCAATGTAAGATAAAGAGGAAACGAATAAATAAAAAACTAAAATAACCGCTAAGATTAATCTGACTTGAAAGACTAAACTTTAAATCAATATGAAGATATCTTAAAAGAAAAGTAAAACATTTTGTAGCATCATTAAAATACAATGAATTAAACTCAAAGCAAAATGCAACCCTCATAATAACAAGTTATGATTAACAATTATACTTACCATACCAGTCAAAACAATTTAAAAAATGTAAGCAGTAATTCATAATAATCTTAAAATATAAATAACTATCATTAAGTTAGTAACATTGAAAATAACATCAATAATGCAAATACATAGTAAATTTAAGAAAGACCTAAACAAAATTCTTAATAATAAAATATTGGCTACTAAACCACCCACAATAATCATAAAAGTATTAACATCTAATAATCATAAAATTAAAATATAAATAATTACAATTGCAATATTGAAAATAATATTAATAGTGCTAATTTGTAACCATTACTTGAAAAAAATAAATTTAATGTTTAATAATAACACTTTAACAGTAATACTCTGAACTCATATTCCTTTCTCAGCAACAACAATAATATTAGCAGCACATCTAATTTTTCTTCTTTTGGAACACTTCCAAAAGGCACATCAGCTAGTATTTTGAAATAATAATAATAATAATAACAATAACAATAAAACACCCAAACAACTATTAATTCTATGCTATTGCATTTATAGTAAAATGACTTATAAAAAAATTACTTTTTAAATTAATAAAAAATTTAAAATAGCAGCAACAACGGTTAGAATTAATATGCATATTAAAAGAATAATCAATTAGAAATCAATTCTGCTTCTAATTTGGCTCTAACAGATTAAGATGCTTTGAAAGAGTTACTTAGCAAAACTACTTCAACAAAGAGTGCAATCAAAAACGCTGCCAACTACTTCTCTTCTCAACAACATAAATAATAAGTTTAAAATAATATAAATCTTTAATAAGAAGAGAAACCTGGATTTTAATCTGAGCGTCTTAACAACAACAACAATAATACAAACAATACTTAATTTATTCTTTAAAACCAAGTTGCTTAAAAAAAAAATGAATGTATAAACAATTAAAATAAAATCAATGTTCAATCTCACTTAAAGGTTTAAAATTAATAAAAAGCTTAAAACAATCCTAATAATTCTTAAGCAGTAGAACAAATGTACTAAAACTAAGCTCCCATCTAGAGAAAAATACAAGAAAAGATACAAAAATTTACATAAATATAAACATAAATTCAAAACTATAATCCAATCTAAACCTAAAATCTGACATAAAATTCTAATAAATCTCATTTAAAAGCAAACCCTATTTCTATATTGTCTTAGGTAAACTCGTATGGAATTGTAAACAATTCAAAGTAGCCAACACCAGCAATACCCTCAGTTTCTTCTGTTAGCAGTACTTAAAATCTTCATTAATAAAAAACTAATGAAACTCTTAGCAATTTTACTGTTTCTCCAAGTGTTCCAAGTACTTAAGTGCAAATTACAAATCAAATAGGATTATTGAGCTCTAATTCAAATAATAGTACTAATAATAACAATATAAATAATAATTATTATAGTAATCTAAGTAACAAAGCCGAATATCCACATATTTAAAATAATTAAATCGGAGTAAACAATATTAGTTAACTTGGATAGTTGTCTGGATAATGTTCTAGTAATAACAATAACACGACTCAAAATAGTGCCTTAAATTAAAATAATCATAAAAATTTGCTTTCAACTGCTATAAAATCCGAAACTACTCAGGTTTCTAATTTTAGTTAAGATTCTCCTCTTGTATGTAATGAAAATCTATCAGGAATTCTAACAAACAGATATGGCGATAATTCATAATTTAAAAATTTACTATCCTGCAAAAGCAACAACATGTCAAGTAATAATATCAATCCAGGAACTTATAATAGCAACACTTCAAACAATATACACTAAAATTCATCATCTTTTACTTAAACTTTATCAGAAAACAAAGACAAAATACAAAATAATATTTAAATTTAAAATTATATTTCTACTTAACATTAAACCTCTCAAATTAATTCAAAGATTGGAATCACTAATATTTAATTAATTGAAGAATACGATAATTCGATTCCTTATAGTCAATCATAGTAATCTTAAATTTTAAATAATTATGGTGCTTAGCCTAATAATGCTTCTAACAGTTAAAGCAATAATAATAATAATATTAATAATAGCAATTGTGGATTTAAACCTACTCATAAAAAGAATTTAAGCAATCATCTTATAAATAAATTAGGAGCTATTTGCAAAAGTGCCACTGAAGGATCATAAACCTATACCTAAAGTTCTCAAAATAACTCTTAAAACAAAGATTCTTTCAACAATAACAACAACACTTTAAGCAGTAATTAAAATAAAACTAAAAATAATACTGTTAGTATTAGTCTAAATAACAATAACACTAATAATCTTTAAAGTAATACTTTGAGTTAAGTCCAAGATTTAGATCTCAAAAAAGAAGATACTGTTGTCACAAATTATGAGTTAGAAGTTGTGGAAGAAAGCTTAAAAGATAGCATTGAGCAATTTAGTACTAAATAAAATGTTTAAATCAACAAAATACCAAATAACTTAAAATTAGATAAATAAAAAAATAAAGAATAAAAGGAAAGTCTTGAATAGCAGCTTTTAAATTTCTAGCATTAAAATATCTTAAGTGAGAATTTCGAATACAGAATTAAGGATATGAAAGAATAGGAAATAGACTATCTGCCAAATCCAGATTATTTTGATAATTAAACAGAAATTACTTGTATGATGAGATGCATTCTATTTGATTGGATGTTTGATGTTTGCATGAGCCTCATGCTAAAAAGAGAAACTGTTTATCTTTCTTTAAATTATGTTGATAGGTATCTCAGCTAAAAATAGGTTACAAAGCTTAACCTTTAACTTGTTGGAGCTGTTTCTCTTTATATGGCTTGTAAAATAGAAGAAATTCAACCTCCTTCCATTTCAGAGTTTGCAAAATGTACTGATGATGGTTATACAGTAGCATAAATTGTAGAATATGAACTGCTAATGTTAAAAGTAATTAATTTATTATTAAAATATCTTTTCATTCAAATAAATTTTAATTAGCTTATATAAAATAACAAAAATAATAAATACCTTACTTACTTATTAATTAATTAATTAATTAATAAAGCGATTTATCTCCAAAAGTTTTTTAAAATACAAATGAATTTGTTTGGAGGAAGATAAAAATTAAGAATAAATTAGAAATTACAATAATAATTAAGATAAAAAGCAATTTTTTAAAAACTTTTAATTTAGATAGTTCAAAAAATATATATGAATATTTAAAATATTTTTATTTTTAATTATTATTAAATAAATAAAAATAAATTATAATAATAAATAGGCTTTTGATTGGAAATTAAATCCACCAACATAAATAACTTGGTTGAACATGTATACTGAGATATGGGATAGATTCATAAAATCTAGTTTTGATAAGCCAAATAAATATCAAATAAATTTTGTTTAAGATCAAAAGATTTCAAACAAGAATTACTTAATTCTCTACAGAATTCCTGAATAGAAAAGTTACATGCTTTTTAGATAAATGGTGTAGATTTTGGATTTAATGTAATTAGATGCTAATGTATTAAGATTTGAAAGCAGAATGCTAATTGCTTCATTAATGTACTTGTAGCTAGGCATTTATTATAAATAATTCACTAAAAAATAAGTTCATTCAGGATTCAATGAAAAATACTTATTTGCTAATTCACTTAATAATTTCAACGAATACTTTAATTCTTTTTTGACTCAGCACTTCTAATTTAATCTGATTGACATACTTTCTACTTTGCAACATGTAGCAACTTTCTTTGACGTAGAATATAATTATTCACTTTCTCCAGCAGCCTAAATGATTGATCCTACAAATAACGAGGTAAATATTATAATTCACTTTAAAAATATATAATTAAATAAATTTATTTATTTATTTCAATAGATGTCTTATGAAGAATATTTATCCTATTAAACTTATTTCCCTAATGGTATTGATTATATAAGGAAAAGATACTGCTCATGAAAAAAAACAAAACTTAAAAAAATAAATTAATTTATTTTCAAATTTTCTTTAGAATAAATTATACTTAAAAATAAAATAACTAATTAACTATCTATCGATCTTACTTTATTTAGTATTATTTTATATTATACTTATACAAAAATGTAAATATAATTTATTTTCCAACTATTTTTACCACTAAAAATTCAAAAAATTTATTTACTTTATTCAAAATTTACACAAATATTTTTTATTAGATTTCTAAACACTTTACTTAGTTGTCTAAAATAATTCAATCAATTTATTTAGTAATTTATTTATTGTGTTTTAAACCTAAAATAATTATTTAAATTAAGGATTAAGTTTTTAATAAAAATTTAATTAAAACATTTAATACTATCCAAAATTTATTTAAAAAATTTCCTATTTTATTTTTAAGTTTAAACTAACTTTAATAAATTATAAGTTTTTCTATTTTTAATTTTATAAATAATTAAAATGGTTTCTAAAATAACTTTAAAGCTATAGATATAATTTTTTTATTTTTGATTGATTTGAATAAATTTTTTTTAGCTAAAAAACAATAAATAATACATACGATTTAAGATACTTATTTTATTAAAAAATTAAACTTTTTTAATTATCTAATTTAGGTGCTTATTTATTTATATTCTTCAATCGTCTAATTCAAAGAAGTCTTCAAGAAGTCCTTTGTTAAGGATTTGACCTTCAACTAATTTCTTGATGAATTTACCCTTTTATTATAATAGTGTTTGATTGATTAAAAACTAAAATGTATTTATTTCTTTTAAATTATTTTACCTTTTGATTGAGAAGTAAAGTAGGAATATTAGTTAACATAAGATCAGGGTGGTTTCTAATTGAATGAGTAGGAGTTCTCCATCTATTTTATAATTAAATGTTTTAAATCAAATTTTAAATTATTTTGAAACGGAGATATCATTAAAAAATCTAATTTAGTTTACTCTTCTCTTAAACCAACTAAAACTTCCAAAAAGGGAATATTAAGCTCAGCACATTTAGGAATAACAGTTGATTAAATAACAGGGTGAGCTCTGACGCAATCTCCACACCATGAGTCAGTAGTTCCAGGAACATTGTCACCAGTGAATAAAACTGCGAAGGGTTTGCCTTGTTACTTCAATTCGGTGTATTTGGCATCGAATTCTTTGTAGTTAAGGTGAATAACGTTGCTATGTTCAGCCATTTTGCTATATCTTTTGTTTATTATTGTTAAGATGTTAAAATATTTATTTTTTAATTTAATCATTTATTTATAAATCAATAATCTTAGAAATTTTCCTATATTTGAAATTCAGAAACTAAATCTGGAATTATTCTTAGAAAAAAAATCTTTCCATAAAAAAATTGATCATACATACATATATCATCATTATTTAGAACAGAAAAGATATCATGTTTTCAGCTAGAATTTAATAGAAAAATAAATTAATTACATTTCTTTTTGTGTTTTTGATTGATATTTTTATAAACTTTCTTTTCAAAATGTTAAAAAATAATAAAAGAATATACTAAACTAAACTAAATAACATATAAAATAAAATAAACAAGTTAGCAAACTCAAATTTTTTTCATCAAAATGACTTTATTAACCTTAATTCTAATGATTTTCATCAATTATGACTAACAAATGCACCAGGCTATTATGGATAATAACCTTATTGTTGTTGTTATTGTACCATACCATTTTAGGGAGGATATTATTGGGGAGGATATTATGCTTATTAATTAGGCTATTAATATCCTAATCCTGGCTATTATGGTTATTGAGGATTCTACCCTGGTTACCCCTATTATATTCCATATTATTGTTATTACTATTAACCTTATAATTACTATTATTAATTTTGTATTTAAATTTAGTTTGGCTGTAATTAAGCAGATCCTTGATTAGGAGGAGGATATTGAGGTTGTTATTAGGGCATTTAATTTCCATTTTAGTTTTAAGGAGGATATTAAGGTTATTAATTTTAAGGAGGATATTAAGGTTATTAACTTTAAGGAGGATATTAAGGTTATTAACCTTAAGGAGGATATTAAGGTTATTAACCTTAAGGAGGATATTAAGGTTATTGATTTTAGGGAGGATATTAAGGTTATTGATTTTAGGGAGGATATTAAGGTTATTGATTTTAGGGAGGATATTAAGGTTATTGATTTTATGGGGGATATTAAGGTGGTTAGTTCTATTGAGGTGTTATTGCTATTAATATTTTTAATACTTTTAATAAAATAATAAAAATAAGTAATTATTTACTTGGTTACATCAAGGGCTGATTTTGAGATTAAGGTTATTGAAACTAGTTTGGATTATTCATCGCAGGTGGTGGCATTTAGTTATTAACAGGGATTACTGTTTGAGCAACAAAATTTTAAACTGCAACATTTATTACAGGTTAGATTATTGGGACAAAGTTAGGTTAAGCAACAACTAATTATGAAGCAGGTACTAGTGGCTTCGAGTAGATATGTGTATCGTTTGCTACACTAGCGTTATCACTACAACATGAGCAGGTAGCATCGTTGACAGCTTCTACCTAAATATTAAAGAATTGACTGATTTAAAATCTGCTCTAAAATTATAAAAAATTTACCGATAGCACATAGGTAGAAGTAATTTTAGTTCCATGACATGTAGGACGAATAGAATATTTGCTTTCATTGAATTATACAATAAAATTCTCAGTAAATTCTTTTACTCCTTTTGCTATACATCCCTAGAGCTAAGTACTGTAAACTGGATGAGTTCTTGAAATAGTTTTTCCATCATCTGACCTATATATTAAGTGGTTATTTAAAACTACATTCAAAGTGTTTATGTTGACACTCAGATTTGAACAATCAAGATTTATTTTAACAGTCTACTATTCTCCTATAAATAAAGAGTCTTTGGCAAATGAAACATCCATCTTTACATTTCCCTAACCAACACAGCACCATGATGATATTTTTGCATTTACACTATGGTTATCCGACTCTGAAGTTTTAAATTCTTATAAAAAGAATTCTGTTTTTGTCTTCGAATTGCCATACTATGCTACCAATGTGTATTTTATTCTACCTCTTTCTTTGCTAAGTCTAGATTAATAAAATATTTGATAAAAGAACTTAAAAAACGAACTTTTTTATTGCAAAATATAAAAAAACATACTCATTCAAAAAAGATCCAGGCCAGTTCTTCTAAGAATTGAATTAGAATGGGAATTAGTATTAACCAATTTGCAGTTATCCAAGATTTTAAACTTGGTTTGTGATCTTGCAGTATCCTTTCCCTCTATTTACAGAGAAAAGTTAATTATTATTTTTTCTGATGTAGGGATATTTTCTTTTATTATGAAATATGCCTTTAGCAACATTCATGGCTCTTTAAGCAATACCTTCGTCATCGTCAGAGTCGCTACTATCATCAGACAAATTTACATCATTTACCCTTTCTATGTCACTCTCAGGTATGTTTAAAGGTCTTTTTGTTTTTTAATATTTTTCAAAATTGTTTCAATTTATAAAAATGTAATAATAATTTATTACTATTGAGGATTCTCAAAAACTTGAACTAAATCAACCCATTTAGTTTATTCTTTTCCTTTGATTTTGAAAACAAGCTATTATCCATAAACTGCATTTGTACAGATTATATTTACTGTTCCCTAAATTGGTTCACCGCAAGTGTAAATGTCTTTGCTGAGTTAAATCCAAATATTAGCTGCCATATTTACTAGTAATCTAATTTAGTATATCTACTAATTTTTGATAAAATATTAATAATTTATTAAATAATTATATTTGATAGATCATATTAAAAACCTTATATATCTGAATATTTTTTTTATATAAAAGATAAATAATCCCAAATGATTAGATTTTCTTCTATAACTGTTGTTTGAAGGAGAAGTGTATATAAAATAAAGTAAGTTTTATTATTAATTTCGAGTTGAAAGCTAATGCAAATTTCTCTAAAATTTTAGCCACATTTAAAATAAGAAAAGAAATTAATATATTATTCAGATAGAATAAATCTTATTGCAATTCAAGTAAGTTTTTCATCCTTTATTTTTTTGTTTTTGTAACTAATTTGTTAATTCAAAAGGAAATTAAAAATTTTCTTTATTAAATTTCTTTTAATTTTTCATGAATCTTAAATATTATCTTCGTTACTCACTATTATATTAGGACATATTAAATATTAAATATATTTTAATTTTTGATAATAATAATGTTTAAATTATCTTTGTTACTGAATGATTTAAATTTATTTTTACTTTTACTTAATAGAAAGCTTTTGTATATTTAAAACGATAGTAATAAATTTTTAGCCAAATAGGAAAAACAAAATTTCTCTAACATCAAAAAAACCTTCAGTATATTTTTTAATTTTGTTAAATACAGAAATAATATTTAAATTAATCAAATTAAATCAAACAAATAAATGGAACTAAAAAAAATGAGTAATATGTGTAATTATTTGGTTATTAATAAAATATTGTAAAGAATTATTAAAAATAGATGAAATTAAGCTAGTTATTGTGTATTAAAATCACAGAACTAAAAAATAATTTTATAAAATAGGTTTAAAGTGTAATTAAAATACATAAATGCAAAGTAAATTCATTTTAGTAAAAATACTGCACCTTTTATATGTGATTTTTAAGTGTATTTATATGATATATATACTCGAATTCGTTTTAAGTAAATCAAGCTTTTCATTAAATTAATTATGTCACTTCGTTGCAAATTAAAATACCCAGTATTATAAGTATTTTATTAGTATAAAGATTTAATTACATATTTTTATAAGTAAATTTATTTATTGACTCACTTAATTTCGAATTAATTTTTTCTTTTTTGCTCTCCTTCCTAAAAAAAGTTATTGTGGAATTGAATTATATTCAGATTTTTTTTATTTTTTACTAAATCTTGATGTATTTTTGATTTATCATATTTGATTGTAAATTCTTAACTAAAAAAAAAATGAATAATTACTTTAAATATTAATTACTATAATTCCTCTTAAAACCCAAAAATCATCCTTCTTGAATATTAATTTTAGATAATGAATCAAAATTAGTACATAAAAGTTTTAATTCAAAAAAGAAATGTTTTTTAAGTAAAAATTATGTTATTTATATTATAAATTATATTTTAAAAATTATTTAAATGAAAAAAAATGTTATTTTCATAAATAAAATGGATATTTATTTAGTTTATTTCACTAATTTTATTTTTTATGATGATAAATAAAATTAATTAAGTTGATTTTTTTGATAATTATTCTCTTTATATAAATAATAAAATATAACTTAAAATAAATTTACAAATAATTATTATTAATAATTTTTTCCGTTTTAATATAAAATAATAAATATTATTTACTATTGTTTATTAGAATTAATTATTGATATTTTTTCAAAAAGGTTAAGTAGCTAAAGGCTTTTTTATAAGAGACAAGCCCGTTTTTAATTTTTGTCTTTGTAAGCTAATTCTTTTCAATTGTTAGGAAGAAACACTTCTTTAGTTTTACTCAAAACTCTATCTTGTATTTTTTTCTAATGGAGATAAACCTTTTTAGGGATGTAATTTATCTTTTTTATTAGTAATAGGTGTTGCTTGCTGTAGTTAAATAGCTTTTGAAAATTTATCACCATTGAAATCTGCTGAAATAAACAATCCTTGAGGTTCTACACTTGAACTGTAATAATTTTAATGGGTTTAGTCTTCTTCAAAACTGGAATTTATATTATCTTTTTTTTAGTTTTTATTTCTGAAGGGACTTTAAAATTATAGTGCACTGTAATTAGAATATCTTTAGCTTAAAATTTTATCATCATTAATTTCTTCTTATTCTGATTTATTTTATTAAAAATTTGTGATAATCGTGCTTTAGCTAAAGACTTTTTAACTTTAAACATAACTAGAGAAATTTCCTACTTTACTTTCACTCTTTTAGTTCAAGTTGTTGCCGTTGTTTATACTACTGCCAATATTTTTTCCATTTTATGGCGTTTATATGCTAGCATTACTGAAATTACTCTAAATATGTTCTCTTTGAGAGTTTAAGACAAACAATGATGGTACACTTTAAATAGTAGGTGCAATAAAATAATTTTTTAGCTAAGGAGAACTTTAATTTTATGTAAGCTATTATTATTGTTATTAGAATACACCTACTTTAAAAATACTTCCTTTTGGCTAACTGCTTGCATTTTTTTTGGTTTACGTTCCTTCACTCTTAAAACTACTAAATTTCACAACATTTATTGGTTATATTCCCTATTTATATTTATTTGAGTATTTATAATTTAAATTAAAATTAAAATAAAAGATGATTATTACTTAAACTGAGTTTCTAGTAAATTGATTTCCTTAAGCTGATTGTGGAGTTCCCAATGAGTCATTTGTGATATTGTGTTTATTACTTTTAGGTGTATTTTCTTATTAAGACTTGCTGAATAAAGTATTAAATAGAGTATTTGGATTAGAATTTGATATAGCTATGCCATCTTAAACAATAATATCTGATTCAGCACTTTCTTTAAGATATTTATTTTTTATTTAGTCTATCTAATATTTTAATTATAATATTCAAACTTAAAAAAATGAATAATTAATTTTAAATATACTTTTTTCTGCAATACACTATTTCTGTTATTGATTAAGTATTGGTTGTTTGTTTAATTTTTTTGCATCACTCTTAATTTGTGTTACTATTTCTTTTTAAATTATTCAAGATATCCCAAATCTAATTGAGGCGATTCCTTAGGTCCTTACTAAGCTTTATTCATTAATTTTAATTTCTCAAGCAAATTTTCCATAAAATTTTATTCAAAATCATGTTATTACTGATAAACTCTGCTATAAACTGGATCAAGAGGTACAGGTAAAGGTTTGTTTGTATTTGTATTTGAATTTGAATTTGGATTGAGATTGAGATTGTTAATAATTTATTTATTCTCATTAGGATCAGTAAAATTATTCCTCTATACAACAATTGGTTTGTTAGTGGAAATTGAAGAATTACTTCCAAAATTTTACTTGAATTATTTGAATTCATCTTCTTACTCTTCATCTTGGTCAATATTAGGAATTTAAACTTATTACTAAGATGCAAAAGCTTTTTGTTTTCTAGAAATCCCTGTAAATGGTCTCTCTTTAAGTTAAAGCTATAACTATTAGTTTACTTATTCCTCACTTGGTATTAAAGTTTATGAATTAGTTTTTTAGCCTTAATTTTACTTTTCTTCAAACTCTTTGATCATTTCCAATCTTAATTTTACAATGTCATCCTAGTTCTGGAATTTATCATTTTTTTAAACTCCCTAATAAGAATATAAAAGTTAATTTAAATCAATACATTTGAATAAAAAATTAAATTTTATGAGAAATTAATGTTGTCTTTAAGTAATAAAATTGCAAATAATCTTATTTACCTTAAATACATTTTTATTATGCACATCAACCATGGATGATTTCATTTAAGAAAACAAATCAAAATTTTTTAATTTATTGTACTCATGGAGAGTTTCTCCAACTTCAATCATATTTGAAGGTTATTAGTTTTTTGAAAGAATATAGTTGACTGTTTTTTTTCTATGTTCTTCTTTAAGCTCATACTCATTTAAAATATCTTATCTTAGATTTGGAAATTTGAACATAATTATTGACTTTTTAATTGTATAAAACCTTGCCTAAATTGAAGAGATAGTTATGGTATAATTGTAAGGTTTATCTTCATTATCGTATAGAATTTCTTCACCAAAAAAGGAGGGATTACTCAATGAAGAAATCTTCAGCTATTTTAAAACAATTAAGTTAATATAATAAATAATTAAAATTAATTTTCATTTAAATCAATCATATTACCTTCTAAATATCATGATAGTAAATATTTTTTTGGTTGACATAATTTTTCTTTATTTCAAGCTAACCTTCTTTCAGGACATATAATTTGTCTCCAATCTTTCCTTCTACTGTAAGTTGTTATCCTCTTAAGCCACCTTCCTCCTAAAAGTAGAAAATTAAATCGTCTCTTGTCTAAGTTGAATTGATTAATTTAAGTTAAGGAATTAAGGATGTCAAAATTTGAGCTTTTTCTTTTCCCTAAGAGGAAAATGTATCTTTGAATTTTTAAAATTCTCTTTTCATAATAATTATAAGCTAAGTTTAGTCTTCACGAGCTAAAATAGTTGCTCCTCTTTTAGCTTTCTATAAATAAAATAAATAATATCTTATTAATTGTAAATTGTACTATGTATTTCAAAATAAATCAGCAAAAAAGGTTTTTAAAAATAAATAAAAAGCTTGAAGAAATTTTAATATAAAAAGCTATAAAAATAACTAGGATTTCCTATGAAATATTTATTTATTAATTAATTCGCTAAATATTTATTATAGAGTTAAATGATTGGATTTCGACAAATATTGTTTAATGTAAATTGGAAGTATATTTTTTGTGATTGATTTGTAAAAAAACAAAAGTTAATTTTAATTTAAACTAATGACAAGATTAATCTTAAAATTAATGAATACTCTTGGATCGGTTTCAATGATAGCAGCTTCTCCAAATCCCTAACCTTATTTGAGAGTGTTTATCTCTTTGCCATACTTTTGAATTTCAACAGCAAGAACATCTGGTGGTTACTCCTTCTCTTTCTTTTGTTTCCCTTATGCTTCTTTCTTTTCTTCATCTTACTATTATGAGACCTAAAAGACATTTGTATCAGTTGCTTTTACAATAACTACAGAGCCTTAAGCTATGACATAAAATTTATTATTAGAGGGCTCACCTTGCTTGATAATAGGCTATCCCTTTTGATATGTTTCTAACTGCATTCCTTTGCAAAGCTATTATTTTATGAATAGTTAACAATACCATACATGCATATATTATAGCTATCAATATTACCATTAATTTTGCACTTGGTTCAGTATCCTTACCAAATAATTTGATAATCGATTCATATTCTTGTATGTTTTGGAGTATTAGCTATTTATAAAATAAAAATATTAGCTATTTCCTTTTCAACTAACTTTTATTTTTGATAATAACATCGATTATGTACTACCAAATAAAAAGGAATTAAAAATATTAAATCAAAAACCTTCGCGTCTGCATCTGTCTTCACTTTTCTCAAAACTGCATTGAAAAATTTCTCCTAAGCTATTCCTTTCTGATATATTTTATTATACAAAATGAATTTAAATGCTTTTAATAATATTTTTATTTATACTTCTATCTCTATGTTTAATAAATTTTGCTATTCTATCTCATCTTATTTTTTTTATGCAGTTGCACTAGATAAAGCATTTAGTTTGCCCGCCATAGTGGCAAAATTCTTCATTTTTTTCATTACAGCATTTTTTTTAGTTATTTCCATTTTTTGCTCGTTCTTCAAGATGTATTATTAGCTATTTTTAAGATCTATTATATTATTTTAAAGTATATTTATTTGCTTTTATTCAGTTTTGTTAAGGTTAATTTATTTAATCAAAAATCCTTATAATTTTTACTAAATAATAATCAATCTATTGAATTAGTGAATACTTTTTATTTTATCAAATCTTACTAAATTTTTTGTTAATTAACATAGATAATACCACAATCAGGACTTCAGGATTTGGATTTATTTTACTTTTTATGCATTTTTATAATAACCATATGAGTTATAACTATTGTTTTGTTAATTTAACGTAATCTAATCCAAAAAAAATAAATTTTCTAAAAAATGCCTACTTAATTATATTAATTTATATTTTTTCTTATTTAATATTACTTTAAAATTGAAAATCTAAATGTTTGTTCATAATAATTTAGATTATTTAAAAAATTTTTAATATTTATTTTTTATTATTTCTTTTCTTAATAATAATTTTTTAAAATTATTTTTCTTTAAAACCTGATATTTCTAAAAATTAATTTATTTTTATTAAACTAATATAGGTTTTAATTATTAGTGGGTGGGTATTTTGAATTAGTTTTTCTTTAAATTTTGTTTATGTTATTAGTCATACATGATTTTACATGCATAATCAAATTAATTTATTAAATGTATAAATCTCAAATATTACCTTTATAAAATTTATATTATTAACTCAAAATAATTTTAATTTTTAGGTTAAAAATTGCTGTCAAATTTAACTAATATCTGGAAATTTAAAATTATAAAATAATTATTGTTTATTTATTAAAATTTTTAAAATTAATAAACATAAATATGAATAATAATTAATTATATTTGTAATAATCTAGCTAACTCATAATATAAAAATGTACATTTCAAATTTATTTTATACATAAATTTTAAGGAATAAAATATTCTTCATTTAAGATCAATTTTTATGGATTTTGACAAAAATATTATTCAGTAATAACTTTTTTGGTTGAATAATTATTAAATTTAGATTTCAAAAATCACTCTTACTGTATTACTTATTTAAAATATTTAAATCTCAAATATTACCATTATATAATTAATATTAATAATTCAAAATAATTTTAATTTTAACGATATTAAAATTGTTGTCAAGTTTAAATAATGTCTTGAAATTTAAAATTATAAAAAATATTTTTTTATTTATTAAAATTTTTATAATTAATAAACATAAATATGAAAAATAATTAATTATATTTGTAATAATCTAGCTAACTCATAATATAAAAATGTACATTTCAAATTTATTTTATACATAAATTTTATAGAATAAAATATTCTTCATTTAAGATCAATTTTTATGGATTTTGACAAAAGTATTATTCAGTAATATCTTTTTGGTTGAATAATTAATTATTAATATTTAGATTTAAAAAATCACTCTTACTGTATAATTTATTTAAATAGAGCTCTAGCCTAGCTATCAATAAGTTACTGCTTTGTTTAAGTCCTTTATCTGTTGTCTAATGAAGGATTTAAAGATCTATTTGAGTTAGACTTACTCAAGTTACCATTTTATTTCACTTGATTTTTATCAGCTGAGTTAGACACTTAGAAAGACGGAGATTTTTGAAGACTTTATTTCATGTTATCGCTCTCTGATTCATTCCTTACTTGAGAGGAGCTAAGAGTTTTTTATTATTGAATCTGCTCTACTTACTTAGGTAAACTTGTTCTATTATCTTTTAAGTTAGCACTATAGCTTATGTTATTTGTGTTATGGCTACTTGTGTTGATCTTATTAAATTTTTCTTTAGAGCTATTTCTGAAAATTGTTTCTCTAAATGGACTAACTTCTGCTTAGGGATTTAAGTTTGTCAAAGACTACTAATGGATAGTCTCTATTGCTTCGGATATTTAAAAGTCGTTTCTTCCCTTACTGCGGGTTGTAGTTTTTAAATAGTGAGTAGCTGTTTATTTAATTGTAATATTTTCAGGTATTGTGATATGACTTAAATTTTTTATTTGTGATGATTCTTCTATTTTTTTCATAATTTCTTTGCATGAGGTTTCTTGGATATTTTTAATCACAGCCATTTTGTCAATTAATTTATAAATAGATGATATTTTAGGGAAATCAATTATGTCCATATCTTCTACACTGTAAACGGGTACATCTCTTTTGTAAGACTGAAGATAATCTTACCATTATTTTAATACAGTATGTATATAAAGACTATTATTGAATTCATCTAATTTCTAATTATGCTTAAAGCTCTACAAGTCAAACCTTAAAGCCTCTTACAAAGGAGAGATTTCAGATATTAACTTTTAGTAGTGAAGCAGCTCTTAATCATATTACCTTTTGACTTCTTTCTTAATTTCTAACTCCTTCAAATCAAGTTGCTGACGGATTTAGCAAAACATTTAATTGATTCTTTTATTTAGAGTAACAAAATTTTCTTGTAATAGCTTTGAATTTAGCTGGCTGCGAAGAATATTGTTCTCTAAATATTGAGCTTTAGATCTCAAACTTTCTTTATATTTATTTATGTCCTTCGTAATAAATTATTAGCACATCTTCAGAGGTAATATTGTTTTTTTTTAGAACTTTTAACTATTCTCATAAACACAAGATGGGCAACAGAAATTTTAATCATTCTCATCATACAAAGACATAAAATCGCTATGCATTTTGCATCTTAATTCCAGTCCTTTTTCAAGCTCTTAGTGCAGCTAGTTAATATTTGAGAAGTGATTTTGATGAGTTAGGTAAGTATAATTCTCCTTAAGAATTTCATTTCTTTTGTTTACGTAGTAATAATAACGCTTTTTGGCTTCTTCGTCATGGTTAAGCAGATTATATGCTTGTTCTGTAGGTAAATTTTCAATAATTTAATCTGATTAATTTACTTAAAGCTTTTATGCTAAAGTATTGCATCCCTCACCACTTCTAGACGATTGCTAACTCTCAACATATATTAAATTGCTATGAGTATTCTATTAACTAGACTAATCTTAAAACGTCAAAAGGTTTTCGTTTTAAGTTGGCAAGCTTGCTTAAACAACTTAAATATTTGAAGCAGAATCTTAAAAGGGAGCAATAAAATTTGAGGTCTATTACACTTCTTCAATGTTGTTATTAGCATTATTATTGTTAAAGTTACTTTTTATATAATTCACTTAAGACTCTGGTTCTACCACTTTACTTCCTACTATTTAATTTTAGTAAATGCTTTTAAATTCTTGATTTTTATGTTCTTATTAAGAATTTTTATTAAAATTATTTTATTATTAAATGTTAATGCTTTAAATTGTTTATGGAGATTATTTATTTATGTATTATTGTGCTAAATTTCCTAATTGTTCTTTTTTTTATTTGTCGCACATTTATATGCTTTTTGCTTTTACTGGCTCTTCTCTTGATTTTTTATTACTACTTTTCTGTTGAGAGGCACTAAGAATTTAAATGTAGTTCTGATAATTTTAGCTATGCTACTAATTATTTACTGTTGCTTGCTCGGGTTTATGGCTACTCTTTAAGATAGAAGATGGTTAAGTGCTTTTAACTTGGTGAGAGCTATTTTCAAATAAACTATCTATTGTATTCATAAGTTTTTAAGGAGTAGAAAACTAAAAGTTATTTGGGTCAACAACATTGTTTTGATAATTAAAAAGCGGCCTGTTTTGTGCTGCATCCTACTAGCTAGCCTAAGATCTCGAATAAATACTGCCTTGACGGGATCCAGGTAATACATTCATGGAAGAAAACTCTTATTGAGTTTGTTTTTTTTTAGAATTTTTTAAGGTTGGTGAAAAATATTGCTAAATTGATTTTTTTTCAATGTTTTTTTGAGAACTATTTCTTAGTTTTTAAGGAGAATTTGTGTAGCTAGGGGCATGTCCAGTAAGCTTCATACAAACGCCCTCATCTACGATTAAATTGTGAATGTTAAAAATTCTAGTAAGATTTTTACACAATGGACATACAATCTTAAACTTAGCTTGTATGAGCTAATCTAATTCAGTTTGCTAGAGCACTTTTCCACAATCAAGGCACAATTTATGACTGCAGTTAAGATTTATAGCATTTTTAGGTTCATTTTTACATAAGCCGCAAAAACCACTATCCTTAATTTGTAAACTTCTTGACATTTTTTTAAACTGTAAATAAAATTTTATCAATTTTTTTCTTTATTAATATAAAAATCTAATCTATTAATTAATTGATTGTGGAAAAACTAAGATGAAATTTATTTTCTTGCTAGTTATTTGATATAAATTTCAATGATTTATAAATTTTATTTGCATTATAAATTTAATGGTATTTGAATGCTCCTACAAAATAAAATTATTTATGAAATAATTAGTATATTAAGGATACTAAAATTTATTAGTTTTTTATTAATCCGTCAATCAATGGTTATATTTTTTCTAAAATGCTCATTCTATATTTGATATTTTGTTTTATTAGTATTTTTATTTTAAAAACCAAAATTTGTGTACAATATAAAATTTATTCATTTAATTTTAAAGCCATATAAACATATTAAAAAAATAATATCATGCAATTTTTTTAATTGAGGAACAAAATATTAATAATATTGCATTAATTTAAATTAATTATTTTTTATAAATATTTTTAGTTTGAAAAATAAGTTTATGTATGAATAAATACCCTAATTTAAAATAAATAAATAAATAAATAAATAAATAATTGAATAAGTACTTCAAATAAAATAATATATGCGATTCAGAAGTAACTAATTAGCTAACTTTTGACATTAAAATTAATTGAAAGAAAATGTTAATGCTTTTATTTTTAAAAATACATGTTAGAATATTTTTAGTTTATATCTGTTATTTTTTAAAAGAGTGAGATCCAAATTAAAAAAACTAACTTTTAAGTAATCTAAAAATTGTGCTTGTTAAATTTATAATGTTTTTAATATCTACTTGAATTTCATTTGGTATAAGGATGTAAAAAATTTTGAAAAATAAATGCGAATTTGTGATAAATATTTATGATAAGTTTGCCATTTATCTTTGATAATATTGACTAACTAATTAACATTAGGATTTATTTGTTAATCCATATTCAGTTTATATTAAAATATAAGTAATTAATTGTGTCAAATAGAAAATAAGAAGAGCAAAACTTTAATAATTTTCTTTTATAAATTAAAAAGAAGACCTGTATTTAACAAATTTGAGTAATTTCTTAAAAATAAAGGTATTAATTAAAGACAGATGGCAAAACATTAATTAAAAAAATCCCTATTTCATGGAAATCATTTTTTAAAGAAATTTGTCCCTTTATTTTTAATGATTGATATTGCTTTTTGTGCTCAATTAGCAAGCGCATAAAATAATACAATATTAAATTAGATTGATTAAGATTTGAAAATATAATTACAAGATGATCCTTGCACCTTACAAAATCAAAATTATGTAAACTATGAGTTTAGTTTCGATACAAGCTGTGCAGAGATAAAGATATAAAATGTCATTTTGACCTTCAATAAACCTAATACAGAAGCGTAAAATGGCTATAATTTACAGCTTTAAGGAAATGTGATAATAGATAATTTAACAATTATAAAATTAAATTAAGTGCAAGATGTAGATTTTGAAATAAATTTATAAATATAATTTTCTAACAGTCTAAGTATCAGTAATTCTAATATTTAGGGTTTATAAGATTGCATTCTGAATTCTGATAGCAATTATATTAATGGGAATTTGTAGAACAGTTCAGTTCAGATATAAAATACTAATCTAACTTCTTAAAGAATTTTGATTATGGCAGGAGGTGTGTCTATAATAACTTCGTAGTTAATTTCTCTTGAAAATTTTTGTAAAACAAAATTCTGCAGCTGCGATAGTTTAGTTGGTTGTCCTTTAGATTCTAATGCATATTCATTTTATACTTCTTCAAATGCTATTTATTTATCTCTTCTTTAAGATTATGATTTAAATTCTTAAACATTTAATATAAGTGCCTCTCTAAGTAGATATAATTAGCCAGATTTGTACACGTTGCTAAGCAACAACGTATTCAACGACTAAAATCTAATGAGGGTTTAGCTTTTAATTTTTTCATTTGGTAATTTGGGTATTCAAAATAGCAGCTCACTTGAAGCTTCAAATATTGCAATCTACGCTTAATAAATTACTTAATAGACATCTCATATAACAACCACTGGTAGAGGCTGTCCAATATCAAGTGGTTTAGGCTGTGGGGTTTATGATTAAAGTAATAGCATTTCATGTGGAAGCACAGGAGGTTCTTATGGAGGTTAAGGAGCTAATGCTCAAAACATCTCTTTAGTTTCCAGCAATATATGCAATGAAATTCAGTATACTATTTAAATAGCAAATAAATATTATTTTAAATTTATTTATATAATTAAATAGGTCAAGACCGCTATATGGAAACCCTTTTAACCCTATTTTTGAAGGGTCAGGAGGTGGAGGTGATGAAACCGATACTAATATATCTCAAAATAGTAGTTCTGGAGGAGGTGTCATTTACTTAGAGAGTATACTTTAAGTTTATATAAACTAAAAATCAACAATACAATCTAATGGAAATGGAACTAACGATAAAAATTATAGTAATGGAGGTGGTTCTGGAGGATCAATTCAAATACATACACAATACTTAAGTGGTAATGATTCCTTAGTTATGTCTAATGGAGGAGATGGGTTCTTCTAAGGAGGGCCTGGATCAGGCGGTCGTATTAAATTGAATTTTACATAATGGGACAATCTCACTATTTGGACTATGCTAAGTTACGATACAATTGAAGTAAATTATTTAAAATAATTTTATGTTTGTGATTATTTATTTACAGGAATGCAATTTAGAAAAAAATATTAATTATTTTAATAAGATTTTAGATAAATGATTTGCTAAATATGTAATAAATCTTCATTTTTTCAGATTTTCGATTTATTTGCTAAAAAACTGATTTAAAATCATACAAAATTAGAAATAATAAATATCTTTAAATCAAGAAGAAATCTATTTTAAATCAAATTCAAATGGAGCTTTGAATTTTTTTTTTGTGGAAATTAAATGCATTTTAGATCAGCAACCTCAAAATTTTTACTTTTTTTTTGAAACATAAAATTATATTTAAGTTATCTTAAAAATATTTTTGATTTTATTTCATAATTTATAATTTTAATTCACAAATAAACATCAAACTTAAATAAATAGGTTATAACTAATTCAGGTGCGTCTATTTTAAACTAATAGACTAAAAATTAGAATACATCTCCTTTATATTTGCCTTAACAAAGTTAAGTAGAAGCTTAAAATGGATCAATAATGACCAGTCCCTGCCCTAAATAATACTAAATCACTTAAGGATACAAATGTGAAATCTGCCCTCCTGGCTTTTATAACCTCTACCTTGGTTGGTCTAGGTGTTCTCCTTGCTAATATAGTGGATCGCATTTTCACTACTAAAATAACGTTAATTAAAATGATATTTGCAAAATATAATGTAATGAAGACTATACAAATGTCAATGAAAAATGCCTAGATAGTGCATAAGCTTTTGTTCATAAGGTTGGTGGATGGGATGTCATCATCCCTGTAATTACATTCTTTGTGTGCTTAGCTTCGTTTGTATTTTTTAAACATCTCAAAAATAATAAAAGAAAGCGCACAATAAGCGATTTCAAACTTTAATAAGCTCTTTACAACAATAATAGCAGTCAAAACAACAACAACAACAACAACAACTATAACAACAATATATACGATGATCAAGTATGACTTTAGTTTATTTTTTAGCATTTGTTCATTTATTTTAAAATTAAAGGAATTCTAATTGGAAAGTCAAAAAAGACCAGATTTTCATGTTGAGGATCTGCCTTATCATATGAAAAGAATATACTTGCATGGAGAAAACACACATAAAAAACCATGGAAGCTCATTCCATAAGATGAAGAATTTGAAATAGATGAGCTAGCATAAACATTTAATGATTTAACAAAATATTCTAAATTTTAAACAAGAATTTTATGGTTTTTTAAGCTAATTTACATAGTCTCCTACTTTTGGTTTTCGAGATATATGAAGTAAAAAAACCTAATCATCCTAAAAAAAGTTATTAGAGAACACAAGGTAATGAAAAGATTTTATTAAAATGATGAAGATGCGGAATAATATAAGTATAAACTGTCTACATCTCAAGATTTGAGTCTAGCCTATATAGATATTTTTAATTATAATATTTCTGTATTAAATTGGCAAAACAAAACTAATTTTCCAGTCTGCTTAGTTTTGGCAGGAAAAGGCAGCTTCATCAGCCCTTTTCATGTTTGTATAGATGATCCTCTTTGCAAGTCTCTTTACTTCACATTTTAACAACAGGTAACAAATTCTATCGAAAATTTTGACTAATGTAGTTGTTTTTATTAATTTTTTCTTCTTTTTCAAATTATTAAAAGAAGAAATAGAATTTATTTTAATTTTTAGAATTTAATCAAATCATTTGTTAAAGACAAATGTTTTAAAATAGGATGAAATGGATTCTGATGAAAATATATTGAAATTTGAAACTTATTTGAAAGAGTTTAACTCTCTTGCTAAGCTTATTGATTACTCAACTAGAGAGAAAACTTTCTTGGAAAACTTTTCAAAATTGGTTAAATATGTGGACAAATAAAATAAAAAATTTTTTTCACATTTTGGAATAGAAGCAGATATTTGTATTCATAAATTAGTAAGAGATAAATATATAAGCAAGCACTAGAATGCAAATTTATTTAACTACAATGAAAGAAATCTGTAATCTAGAATTATCATGCTTTCATACAAGGATTAGGGAGAACTAATAAATTGCTTAAAAGATACTCACTACCTAAAGAACTACTCGAGATTCTATGAAATAAAAATATCGTTGAATTTTTACATAATAGACGAAATTATACACAATGATTAGGTAATTTATTAAATTCATTCATTACATACTAAAGAGTCTTTGTTTGTTTGTTTATTTATTTATTTTTTTTTTGTTTGTTTGTTTCTTTCTTTATTTGTTTCTTTGTTTGTTTCTTTGTTTTTTTTTTCGTTTCGTTCTTTCTTTTTTTGCTGAATTGAATTTATTTTAAAAATAATTTTTAGGTTGAAATAAAAACTGAGCACAACATCAATAAATAAATTTAAACTTATATCAACTACGACTAATAAGATGAAGAAGTTAATCACTTAAGAATCAAAGTCATGAAAAAAAATTACAGTGAATCTTAAGAAAGAATCGAAGCGTTTATCCCGAGATACGATTAACTAAACTATGATGATGAAAACTAAAACGACTCAGTTGTAGAAGAGAGAAAATGCCTCTGGCTCGTTCTTATATTTTTCTATTTGAGGAGACTCTTCGGTGTCTTCAAGAGTTCATTTTTGGCCTACAGATAAACTCAGCTAAGCACCAACACGCTTGGCATACTCATGTTCGTTTCGATGATGTTTCACTTCGTATATCTATATATTAAAATCGTTCATATATATGAAGTAACCAATTAATTTTTTTATTTTTAACTTAAACAACTACAGGTTAGTGTCATTTGCACATTCATCTCCTTTTTCATCATATCAAGTGACGACGGTGCTTACAAAAAGGTTGAAATCTATATTATTTTGATAATATATCCTTTCTGCTTTGCGATTTCTCCTCTAATTATGATTGTTTGGGTATTTATTTATTTAATTCCTTTCCCTATTTATCTCCATTCATCAACTAATTCCTTTATGTTTTTTTAAAATTAGCTTGTCAAGCACACAGAAAAAATAGGAAAAACTTTCATGCTATTTAATTATAATGCCTTTTACACATACATAGCAATTGCCATCTTTGGACTACTTGACATAGTAAGAGAATAAGACACAATGCATGTAATTAATTTAAATTACAAAATTTATTAATTTAACATTTTTTTTATTAATATAATATTTATGATTTAATATTATAGATACTTATTGGTATAGCTAAGATTATTGGTTTATTAACAACCTGGCTTATGAGTTACTTCGGGTCAGGTTACATTCTTCTACAAGAATTTATTTGATCAAATAAATATAAATAATTAAGATTTTTAACAAATATTAAATAAATAAATATATAAAAATAATATTAAAATGTCTAAAAAATTAATTTATAAATTTTGTAAGTGTTAATTATAAATATCAATTATATTTATTTAATAAAAAAATATTATTTACTAAATTATAAAATAAAAAATTAATAATAAATTTAAGTTGAAACATATCATTTTAATTTTAATAAAAATCAATAAATATATGTTTATTTTAATAAAATCTCATAAATATTTATGAATTGAATTAAAATTTGACTTATAATTAATAAAAATATAAATATTTGTGTTTTGAATAAATATTTAGATTTAATTATAAAAATAACAGCTCTAGAAAAATTGTTTAATGAAAATATAAACTAAATTTTTCAATTAAATTAAAATATATTTTCCAAATCACAAATATTTATTTTTTATTTAAATATTCCTCAAATTTTAATACAGTCCCTACAATATTTATTAGTATTTATAAACACTGTATAATCTGTCAAAATATGCATTCTTATAAACTGAGCACTGATAAAAATGGGCAAAAGCTCTTATCCCAAATTTAACTTTTTTATAAATATTTATTGGGTAAAATTTTTCGTCTCTTCTGTGCCAGATAAAACAGGTTTCAAATTATTCGTATTTATAACAATATAAAGATAATTTGCATACTTTATATAAAATTAAACTAAATATCATAAAAAAACAAAAATAAAAACATATTTTACTTTTTTGATTTTAATAATAAAAGATATTGAAATATTATTAAATTCTTAATTTTTTGTTTATAAGAAAAAGAAATTTTGATTTAATTTTAAAGCTTTTATCTTCTAAAACTTATTAAAGATTTAAAAGAATTTCTATCAAAAATTATTAAAAAACGAAAATTTTAAAAAAATAGTATATTTTTAATTTATTTTTTTGGAGTATTTAAGATGAAATTGGTTTTAGGAATTATCTTTACTATTTTGAAGTTGATTTAATGCTAAACTTATAATTAACATACATACATATGCTCTGGCTACTGGAATAAATAAAGATGTGTTCCTTGTGTTGATCCTAATGGAATATGTCCAAATGGCGCCTTCAACATATCATCATGCTAAAGCGGATATTATTTAACATAATTAAGCAATGGTTATAATACATGTAAACCTTGTCCATAATATTGCAGCTCTTGCTATGAGCCATAAGTCGGAATGAGTTTGATTTGCACTGCTTGCTTAGATAATTGCTCTCTAATTGAGGGTACTTGCTAACGAATTCCTAACTGCCAAGTCATAAATTTGACTCTTGGATCATGTATGTAATGTTTAGATGGATTTTATTAAAATGAGTCTTAGTAATGCCTTCCCTGTGACCCTTCTTGCACAACTTGTATTGAAGGAGGTATTTGTTCTACATGCGCTCCAGGATATTCTTTTCTAAATTTATCATTTAGTAAATTTCTATTTCTGAATTTCTTTAAAAAAATTTAAAAATCCAATTTAGCACAAATAGTAAACATTTATCTTTATTTTTTGCATAGGGAATCTAGAATAAAGACATTCATTCACCTAGCATAATATAATTTATCTATCTATATATCATTCTTATTACTTAAATGAAGATTTCTATTTTAATATTTTGCTTTGAAAAACTTTTTTAAACAAACAGAATGAATCAATTATCATAAAAAATTTACAATTTTAGTGCTAAATAAGGAAAAGATAATTTCACATAAATTCAATTGGCAATGAATAACAACAAAAATTTGTGCATTTAAAACCATATTTAATTTTATTATAAAAATAGCTTGTACTAAGTGTGACTTGTATGCAAACACTACAAATTGTGCTGCCTGTGTTTAAAGCGATTTAATTGTTTAGTGCATTAAGTGCCTTAGTGGGTATTATTTGAATACTTAAAATAATACTTGCTAACCTTGTCCTAATAATTGCTAAAGATGTGCTGTATAAGCAGATTTAGTAAAATGTATTGTATGTAAATCTGATCCTAACATTCTATAAGATGTTTCTGGAAATTGTTTGAGCTGCAGAGATTCATTACCAAATTGCTCTTCTTGCGTTATAGAGAATAATACTTTGTAATGTGTTGATTGTATTAAAACATATTATTACAATTCTTTAGATAACACTTGCTAAATGTGTCCTTTTTAATCTGTTTGTAATTGCCCAACTACTAGTTGTACACCAGACTAAGTAACTATTGTATAATGTCCTTAAGCTATGAATTTGTTTAATAAATAATGTGTTGCTCTCTCTAGCAATCCATCAATTAATTGTGATTTTTTATAAACTACTACTTCTTGCTAAACTTGTGCATAAGGATACAATCTTTCTAATAATAAATGTAATCTAAATGATAACCCTGATAGCAGATGTGCAGTTTTTTTTCCAAATAAAACAACCTGCGCTCTCTGTAAATTAACTCAAAATTATTTTTTGAGCAACGGATAATGTGTTTAAAAAGATTCTGATTGCCTAAATTAGGTTGGTGCAGCAGGTACTCCGGGATATTGTTAGCTATTTCACAATAAATACTATTTTAATAATTAAGGTACAAAAACTCTTTGCTCTAGTGGAAATACTAATTGTGCTTTTCTTTAAATAGATAAATCTAATGTAATTAGTTGTAACACAGCTATTACATAATAATAAACAGTAGACGGAACGTGTAATGTTTTTGATGAAAATATATCTGGTTGCTTGATATGGGAAAAAGGTACTACTAATTGTGTAGCTTGTAACAATTAAATAGGTTTTTATCTGGATAGCACTCGTAAAAAGTGTGGATATGTAGCAAGCTAGTGTGTTGCTGTTTAATAAGGCACAACAAAATGCTCTAAATGTGGTGTTACATATAATTAATTTTATGCAGAGTTAAATGGAACTTGTGTTGCATGTGCTGATCAATCAAGTGCTTACTATAAATGTGAAACTTTATTAAACTAATCTTCTTAAAAATAACTGAACTTAGCAAGTGATGAAGCTAAAAATAATAGATCTACCACTTTGCACTATTCAAAAATCTTACTGAGTTTAATATTAGCATTAATATCTTTTTGAGAAATAAAAATCATTTTCTTTATTTAAAAAGATTGTTTTTACATGTTATTTACAATCTTCTTATTTGATATTAAGTTTAAATTTTTTTTAATTTTTAATTTTGTAAGTAAATCTATTTTATATTTGACTTTAAAGAGTTATATTTTAGATAATATTTTCTAAAATTTTTCAATATCCTTGATCTTACAAATATTTATTTATATAATTTTGAAAAACCTAAATCAAAAGTATTTTTAATTTATAAAACCTTAAAAATTATTTTTGAAAAAGAGAACTTAAAACAAAACAAAAAATTATCAATTTAAGTTGGCTTAGATTTTTTCTTTTACTTTGAGTAAAAATAAATTTAATAAATCATAGCATGATTAATTACTTACAATTAAATATTTTTTTATAATTTTTACCTCTTCAATTAATATAATAATATTTCATGGTTATTATTAATTAAATTTTGAAATTATAAATTAATGTGTTTATTTATTGACTTTTGTATTAATGGTTATAAATATTAATTAATTAGTGTAATTGATTATTATCAAATTAATTAACTTCTTACAAGATTAAAGATATTTATTTACTTTCTGATGGATTGAAATAAGTTGGTATTACTTCTAATTTAATTAGCAAGAGTAAATTAATTAATTAATTTAATAATCGCTTGTTAATAAAAATCTAATAAATTTATTTCAATTTTTGTTAATTCTTTAAATATATTAACTAATTTGCTGCTTCCGCTTATTTTAATAAACTAACATGATTGTAAGTGGAACCAAAAGCGATATTTAAAGACCTAAAAGCACGTAAAGAGGAGTTGTTAATGCCTGGTGCTTAAAATTAAAAGATAGTTCTGATAATCCTATCTTAAATAATAAAATATAAATACTTTATCAGTAAAATTAGGAGTAAAACTAATAAAATCAAAATGATTAACTAGGAAGATAAAAAGTAAAGTCACAAGGGAATAGCAGGAATAGTTCCAATATCAGATAAAATACCAACTAAATTTATAAATTGAATGAACAATAACAGATTTCTTAACAATTAAGCACTAGAGATTATAATTCTCCTATTAAAACACAAGCTTGTAATAATAATTATAATATAGCAAGTGACTTATCAATTCAATAATCATAGCTATAAAAGTAGAAGAGACCTCCTTCTTAGCTTATGCACATTTTACAAAATTAAAAAAAGAATATTCGTCAAATGTTTGCTCTATAATTAAGCAACAACATCTAGTAAGATGATAAAAATAAAATTCAAATGTAAGAAATAAAGGAAAAGCTTTTAAGAGTAAGTTAGGAGAGGAACAAGAAGATAAACAGTTTAATATTTGAAGAGAATCGCAACAACCAAAATGTCTAAAATATGATAAATTAGAATGTAGTATAGCAAGCTAATTCTAGCCAAACTCAGTTTAGATAAAAAAATAACTACTAAGAATTAAGCAGAAACAGCTAAGAATTTTAAGATAACAAATTTAAAGTTTTTGCTGATTATTAAAGTTTTCTTTTGAATAATAATAGCAACAACAATAACAGCAACAATAATAATATTAATTATTAAATTTAAAATACATATCAAACAAATAGTTTTAGGAGCTAATTAGGTTCATAGAATTCTAGCACAATTTTAACCTAAAGTTAACAGCCTAAATTAAAAACAATACTAAAAAATATTCCATCGTAACCAGCTTTAAATAGAGTTATAAAATAGTCTCTTAATTAAATATAGTAAGCTTAAAATCAAGAAATTAGCTAAAACATCATCTCAGTAAAAAGAGCTTAAACAAGAGAATAATTTCAAAATTAATGTACAAACACTGAAAGATCTATTTAAAGTAATTTTTTTGTTTTTAACATACTATAAATTAAAACAAATGAAAATTTAATCAAAAATATTATTAATTTTTTTTTATATTTTTTTTTGAACATAATTTTTAATAAACCTAAATAAGCTATTATATAGATATCTCTATTCCTTTTTTTAAATCTGGTGATATGAAATCACTCATTTTTTAAAAAGTTTTACTTTTCCTTTTTATATTTAATAATATTTTTCAAAAATAATTAAATTTAAAATTAATTGAAATTAAATTATATACTAATTGATTTAGAATTATTAAATTTTAATGGTAATTTTTTACTTATTTTTCAGTTATAAATATTCATAAAATATTAAATTAGGAGCATAATCTATGCTTTGTACAAAAGTAATTGGATAAGCAAACAGTATTACTACTGATCAAAGTGGAAAAGTGGTATTCACCTGCTAGAATAGCATATAAGATGATAATAATTCAAAAATAACATAATAGAATTAAAGCTAAGATAAAATTGAAGATGAACTTAATTTTATAAATTTCTCATCTTTTACTAATATTTTACCTTCAGATACTAATGATACACCTATTTAAAAAAATATAGTTGAATTAAAATAAATTTAAAGTGATGAAAATAATGAAAATCTATATGATGAAGATACATTATAAAAAAGAATTAGACATATTTCAAACCCTTCTTTAAGAAAAAAATATAAATTACAAAGCAATTTAATAATGAGAAACTTTTTGAAGAAATAAAATATTCCATAAATAAATGGGAAAATAAATAATTAAAATCCTTCATTTTTTGAAAATAACTTATTAGATACTTATACTGAAAGTAATTTTGTTTAGTTTGATGGAAAATCCAATACTGATTAACCTAAAAGAAAGAAGAACAAAAAAAAATTAAATCAAATGAGCATGGGAGAAACATGCTAGAGTACTGAAAAAGGGTTTATAGAATGCCTTTCTAATTAAAATAAAAATTAAACATCTTCATAAAGTGGATAAAATGTTAATTTTATGAGCTTCAGTGAATTTTGTAATTATCAAAGATAGCAATAAATATTCAGAAACTCATTATTTAATGAATAAACTAATAACACAAACTTAACAATAAAAAAGGCTTGTAGCTGTTCGCCAAGCAAAAAGTTTCATTCTTATTAAATATCAGCTATAGATTAAATAAATAATAAATAAAACTAAATATTCTGCAAAAATTGTAATGTAATTTCTCCTAAAATAAAATAATAATGCATAGTCCCTTAAAATTAAAATATAACAATAAAATAAACAAATTAAAGACCTTCAACTTCACTATAAAGATAAAGTAAAGACATAAGTTCTACTTAGAAAGTCGTAACTTAAAAACAAAGCACATCTCCAGATTCTGAAAACAAATAAAATAGACCAGGAACAGCTAAATTAACTAATTCTCAATTCTAAGTGAACTTTAATTAAATAAATTTAATAAATAGTTCAATTAATTCAAGCTCTCTTAACAATGCTTTTTCTCCTTCTAAAAATAAATTTATGAGGAGAGTTTCCTCTTAAATACAGGAAAGCTTTTTTAACGTAGTAGATCTAAATAGCTGGGATAACTCAAGGATAGAGGAAAATAGCTAATTTGAAATGATTTGATTTAATTTTATTCTACACCACTTATTCTTTTAAAGATAAACTTATCAAAAAAAAAAACTCTGAAAAACTAACCTAAATATATATTAAAAAATAAATTAATAATATTAAATAACTAAAATATTTCAACTAAAACTTATTTCTTTTGTATCTAACTCTCTCTTTCATTTAATTGTAATAATTTCTCTCTTTGCACCAATAATTAATTTATCTGTTTTATTTGATAAATTTTTTAGAAAATGAGTAAATAAATTAAAAAGAAATATTTTAAATTCAAGCACAAAATTTATATTTTCTTATTTTCTCTCTCAAAAGAACTATGAATAATATTTAAAAGTTAAAGAATTTAGTAAAGAAAAACCAAAGAACATCTCAAAGTTTTTTTCTAATAAAATCTAAAGAATAATTCTTTGTAAAAACTAAATTTGCTAATTTGAAGTAAATTAGACGGTTTAAAAAAATTCAAAAATCATTTGACCTTTTTTATTTTTTAAACTTTCACTTATATAAAATTATCTTTTATAATAATTTAATCAATTTTTAATAACTTTAGTTACATTTAACAACAAGAAAGAATATTTCCAGAAGTTTATTTTTATTAGTCTTAAAGAGTATAAATATGAAAAGATAAATAGTTATTTTTAAAGTAATAAGAACAAATATAATTTTAAAACAATTTGGACTTGTTTTATTTTTACTTATATTAAATTATCTTTTATAATAATTTAATCAATTTTTAATAACTTTAGTTACATTTTACAACAAGAAAGAATATTTCCAGAAGTTTGTTTTTATTAGTTTTAAAGAGTAGAAATATGAAAAAATAAATTGTTATTTTGAAAGTAACAAGTGTTATCTTAAATATCGGAATTTATTATACTCAAGTAAATACAGTAGAAATACTTATTTATTAGAAATCTCAAAGCTTAATAGAAAATTAATAGAACAAATTATTTCACTTCACCATTTATTTGCTAAAAATATATCTGTTCCTCAAAAGATATTATTTGATTTAGTTTACATAAATTAAGAAAATAAAAAATTCTAGAAATTAATTGTAGATTGAAAAACAGAAATCTGCTAAGTATTTTTCTGATAATTAATTAATAAATAAATTATTGTAAAAAATATCTAACTTTTAAATAAAAAAATAGTAATTAACTAAATGACAGATAATAAATTGACTCTTGGTTATTGGGAAGGTTATGGCAAAGCACAACCTGCAAGATATTTATTAGAGCTCACTAAGACTCCTTACAACAATGTGTAGTATGTTGAAGATGACAAATGGTTCAAATAAGATAAGCTAAATTTAGGTTTAGATTTCCCTAACCTTCCTTATGTGATTGATGGAGAGTTTAAGTTGACTGAATTTGTAGCTATTTTTGATTATTTGTCTGAAAAGTATGGTAAACCAGAATGGCTAGGTAAGGGTAACGACAAATATGTAGTTTCTTCCCTTAGAAGTCTTTTTGATGAATTGGCAAGTTTAAACTATCACGGAAGCTTGAAAAAAACTGAAGAAGAAAAGAAATAACACATTTTAGATAACATTGTTCCTAAATATAGATATTTATCTAAATTTATTGGCAAAAAGGAATATTTGCTTGGATACTTTACAGTTGCAGATCTTTATTTCTTAAGCGTTATTAATGCTTTTAAGGCAACCCTCCCTCAAGACTCTTATGCTGAATTTGCACCAGTTTTTGATCCTATTATTCATAGAATAGCTTCAATTCCTGAAATAGCTGCTTATATTGCATCAGATCGTCATCCTAAATAATGAATAAATATTTAAAAAATAAATAATATAAAATTCTAAAAATTATTTATTTTTCTATACATTTTAGTAGATTAATTAATTATTCAATTCGATTTTAAGATAGATTCATTTTTAATTATTTTATTTTAATATATGATGAAAATTCATATCATTAGTTTAGATTAGCTTTTTGATAATTTTATTGAATATTTTTGTGTTTTTTATATTTATTAACTTATTTCTATTGAAAAAAATCTTTTCAACATTAATTTATAATTTTTTTTATTGAGAACATTTTGACAAATTTTTTAATTAGATGAAATTGAATAAATTTTTCAATGATTTTTATAGAAATCCTTAAAAATTTATTTAGATAAATTTTAAATTGATTTTATTTTGAATTTTTATCAAATTAACACAAATTCAAAGATCTTTTGATTTATAAATATTTAGAGAGGAAAGAATTTATTTTTCTTAAATTTTACTCTTATTCTTATTCAATTACTTATTTAAAGGATACACATTTTTTAACATTTACACTCTATTAACTATTAACATTTACTTATAATATAACACGTATTTGACAAATATTGTGATATATTTAAAAAGAATAATAACATTTGTCTATCTATAAAAGAGTATTTACAATAATAGTTCAGATTGTTTGATTATAATCAATTAAGTAAATTTGGTTCTGTATTTATGTATTTGTGGTCTTTTTTAGAATTGGTTCTATAATGTTTTGTAGGACTTTTGTAAGGAGAACATTACCTAATCTAGAGGTTCATTTAAAGATTATTTAGATAATCGACCGAAGCTTGCTCAGTAAATAAGATACTATTCTAATTTAGTACATTTGTTTTGCAAGAACTTTATTTTCTAGTTTTATTTGCACAAGAAGTAGTGTTTAGACTATTGCTTCTTTGATCTTTCTAAATAGTAGAAGAACTGTTTGTATATTGATAAATGGTGCTATTATTTTGGTTGTTGCTGAAACTTTTGTTTCGATCTAAAACACCTGCATATATAGATTAATTGAGAGATTCATAAATGGTTGAGTTATTTTATTGAAAATTTGTTGAGTTATTTTGTTTATTTTAATTGCTTATATTTTTAAACATTTTTATTATTGGAGAATGAATTATTTCTCTACCAAGCTTTTAATTCATATTCTTGAATAAGTTATTTTATTGTATTGGACTGTTTAATATCCTTTTCTCAATCGGCTATCTTAATTATGGGCTTTTAGAGCGAGTGTCTTTTTTTTGGATGCAGAGTATGTATTATTTCTTTTTAGGAGAGAAGCTATTCAAGTGATTCTTATTATAAGTTTACATGCAGATTTAATTGAATTATCCTTGTTCCTATTACTAATTCTGTTAAACCTATTCCTGCTACTAACTCTGCCTTCCTTTAGAATAGTTTTATTGCTGATTTTATATATCATTCAGAATGTTAGACTAAGAGTACTACTACTGCATTTATTATTACCAATGCTATTATTATACAGATTAATTATTTACATTCATTATTATTGGTATTGAAATTTAGGTTTGAACTTCTTAGTGTTTTTTATTCTTCAAATTTTAGGAATTAGTTGATTTATTTAATGAATCATTGTTATTCATACTTTTAGATTTAGAGTTTTCTCTTGAGTATTTAACTCCTGATATGAATAATCTATTGCTAAAGGGTCTACTCTACATAGCACTTTAGATATTTAATAATAACTAATGTTAAGGTATTTGAGTGTTATAACTTACTACTTTAATTCCATTATTTATGTTTGTTTAATTTTTTGATTAGTTATTTGTATAGAAACCAACACTCGTAGAGTGAAAAGATGATACTCTTTTTTAAAAGATTTAAGCATCATTTAAACTAGAATTATTATTTAGTAAATTACTGCTCTTTATTTCTGAGCTACTCATATCCTTTGAATGAAAGCTAACAGAAGCATTTCTACTCCCATAATTTTATCTGCCTCCAGATATATTTGAAGTTTTTGGTCTATGAATATTCATTTATTAACCTTAATAATCCTATGTGCTAATTTATCTTTGTTATAAAGCTTAGTTTATTAATTTATTCTTAAACTAGCTAGTTTTTTAATCAATAGAAAGCATATCAGGCTCAGATAACATTTGATCATAACCATAATTTTATTAGTCATCAAATGTATAGCATGCTTTATTATTAATGTTGTTAAAAAATTCTCTTTGATTGTTAAATTTTTATAACTTTGAAAAATCAAAGCTGCTTTCTGTCTATACTGCCTGGTCATTGTAAAGAAGTACCTAAAACAATAAAATTTTATTTGTTAAAACATTTTATAAATTTTAGTTTTATTTATAAAAAAAATTTTTCGTTCTTTTTTGCTTATTTAATTTTGCTGGTTTTTAGAAATATTAAACCAAAAATCGTTTTATCTTAAATTTTTAAAGAAATCCTTATAACGTTTAATTCGAAGAAGAAACAAAAATATCTGCTTACAAATTATTCTTAAAATATTTATTTTATGCTAAAAAAAATTTTTTTATAGAAATAATTTTGCTTTACAATTTTTTTTGAGGAGGAAACTCTTGTTGATGAAGTTTCTACTGTTGTGAGTCCAGCTAAAGAATTTCTATCTTCTTAACTGGTTTTTATCATTCTCTTATTTTGTTAACTTGAATTTTATCTGATTAAATTATCGCCTTTAAGTAAACTTTATTAGCCAGAGAGCTTTTTTATTATTTTTTTAGAATTTTATTTATTTAGACTTTTTAATTCTTATTTGCTCAATTCATCTTCTGATGGATTGCTATCTGAGCCATTATTATCTCCTTCGTTTTACCCACCTGAAATATCTATTTAAGCTTAAAGCATTTTTTTATAATTTTCAGAAGCACTATTATTAGCTTAATCTTCTAAATCATCACATTCTTTAAGATTTAAAGTACTCTTACTTTTAATTTCTTATTTACTATAGATCCTAATTTCTTCTTCAACTTCTTATTTAACAGAACGGTAGAATCCCTTAATCACGTCTCTTCCTAAATTTTTGAAGTCATCTATTGAAAAATGGTTCTTATAGTACTAAATTTAAGTTCCATAAAATGATGCCTCAAAAGTGTAAATAAATGGATTTTCAGGAATTTCATTGAGTAACGCTTATCTAAAAGTACTTTCCTTATCAGGAGTAATTTTAAAAGTGCAAGACCTAAAATCTACTCCTTTATTTATATTTTAACATTCCATAGGTATTATTTTTGGCAAATATGGGTCTTCTTCATAAGGATTTCCATAAAAAAAACTATTCATTCTATTTTAAATTATTTTATTAATATTTTCATAATTTTGAATTAAATAACTAATGTAAAAGTAAATTAAATATAATTTTTTATATAGTTTCAAAATAATTTAATTTAAGTTTAAATAAATTTCTTATTGATTTAAAGAATTTTAACAATTAAATTTAATAAAATAGTAATTAAAGTAAATATATATTCCATATTTATTACTTTTTACTGTGGCCATGAAAATCGCATAAAAATCTACACTTCCTTTCTGTACAATATTTAATGATAGCATTTTTAGCAAAATAAATAGTTGGATGCAGTTCCTAATAATAATTTATTTAATTTATTTTACTAATCTTTTGTATAAAATTACTCGAGAAGGGTTTGACCACTATCTGTTTAAGTCAACACCACTTAAAGAACAACGATAGTTTCCATGTATAACACCATCTGGATTCAGCATAGGGATAATTTTAAAGATGAAATGTTCTCTTAAAAATGCAGCTTATTCATCATATGGATCAGTCAGAAATTCTATGACACCTTATATCATGTAAGAAGCTGGAGTCTCTCCAGGGTGCTACCTTGCTGTTAAAAAGACTATTTTCTTTTTATCTTTTAACTAATTTATTTTTATTTTAATTTTTTTTATGAACAAAAAATTTACTTAATGAGGACGCTTGAGTGGAGAAAGAACATCTTAAAATGAGCTTATATTTTCTTTATCTTTCTACTCATTTTCACTGTCAAAATAAGAAGAAGATGTAACTGTGAAAATATCACATTTATTTTTAGCTATAGAGTAGCAAAGAAGCTTTTTGGAAATGAAACACTTCCTTTGTGGATCATTTAGTAAAGAAGTAGTAAATTTTTGTAAATCTGAGTAAGTGTAAGGAAAACATTGAGCAAAATATACAGTGTCATTAGAGTATTTAAACTAATATGAAAAAGATAGCTTGTAATAGTATTTACTGCTACTACCTTCTCTTAAAATGTTACTCTTCTCATATGTAATACTATATCCTTCTCTACCCCAACTATTACCATTTACTTTATTATCCTATTAAGAAAAAACTACAGGCTTCATTCCATAATTAAATAGAGAATCATTCTTAAGCTAATTTTGTAAATATATCAAAAAGAATTTTTAATTGTGTATTTATCAATTTAATAAAAAATATTATCAATCAATCATTAAAGCTTTTTCTTTTCTTTACTTTCTTTTAAATCTAAATCTAAAAATTAAAATTTTTTATTTTAAATACTCTTAACTAATTAAAAAAGCTTTTTATTTTTTATGATAATTTATCAATAGTTTTAATCTATATTTTTATTTTCAAATATGGCATTTTCATATGAAAATCATCTAGATTTAATTTATCTTTTGTATAACCTTCTATTAAAATAATTTAGCTATTTAAATAAAATATTTAGCTTTATCGATACTAGCTATTTTATTAATACTCTAATTAATTAAAAATGATTATTAACAGCTGAATTAATAACTTTGATGTAATTAAAATACTTGCTTCATTTTAAAACTACTTAATTGAATACTTAGTTTACTTGATTAAATTTGGAATTATAAAAATTATTTTTAGAAAAAATATTTATTAAAGAAATCCTCAACAAATTCAAAAAAAATAATTATTTAAATATCTTACAAAGTTCACTATATTGAATTTAACCATCTAGTTTTTTATCATATTTCTGACTGAGAAAAAAAACCATTAAGTATTTCCTTTAGAGTTAATATCGTTCTACAAGACTAGATCATATTCTTTTTCGCTTATCTATTAAATGAATAAAAACAAAAAAATTAATTTCAACAAAACCAATAAGTAATTTAAAGAGATTTGTTTAAATTTGAAATATATAACTTTAAATGCAGCAAACAAGTTTCCACTCTCGAAATTGGAGTCAAACTTTAAATCTCCTGGTTTTGAGTTGCTTTTTTGCCTTTAGATTGGTTGTGGCAGTTGCTATGAGATTGAAACAAAGTTATTATCTATATTTATATTTTTTGGAGTGCTTTGTTCTGTGGTAAATGTTTTAAGCTAATCTTGCTAATTTAATGCATCCATTCCAATAATGGAAGTGCTTGATTATTCAATTAAATCAACTTATTCTTTATTTTCATTGCATTTAGTGTTAGTTTTTAACAGACTCTACTCCATTAGCAGCTTTCCTGATTAATCTGAGATAATATTTCTTATGTTGCAAAAATAACTAGCAAAGTATTTCTTTTTAGAGTAAGGAATTGAGTTACAGTTAGAATTATCGAATTTTTTATAGACTTAAGGAACTTTTAAATTGAAATAATAAGAATAGAGTGAGTCATCATCTATATTTTCTATTTAGTGCAATTGTTATTCTTCATCGTCCGACTAATTTTAATTCGAGTTTACTTTTTCATCTTCTTTATACTTTTAACTAATCTTTGCCTTTTAATATTAATTTATATTTACATCTTTGGTTTTTTTTCATTCGTTATTTAATAATTTATAAGATGTATATATATCCAAAATCTGTTAATAGATTTTACTTTGAATTTTTAATGTCTACCGCCTAACTTTTCCCCTTAATTTAACGATGAAAACTCTGGTAGAGGTCTATTAATAGTAAATATTACTAAATAAAATTGTATGACACTAAAAATGATTAAACTTAAAAGATTTTTCAAATTACTTAAAAACTACTTTTAGGGCTGTTTTAATCTCATCATCTCCATATCTATGATTTAAAATAGGATTTGGAGGTGGTAGAATACTCTCTTTTTAAGGTTTGCTAGAATTAACTTAAGAATTGCATACTGATTCGTTTTCTTCTGAGTCAGCATAGTCTGGAAATTAACTAATCTAAATCTCTATAAATAAATTTAACTTAAAAAGAGAGAAACATAATTATAAATAGAAGAATGAGCTTACATTAACTCCACATGGACAACTATTTAGAATGAATTTATTTTTAGGATATAATTTAGCTTTCTTTGGCTAAATAAACTTAAACTAAACTACCTAAAATAATTAATAGCTAAGTAAATCTTAATATTATACTACTTGTATTGAAACTAATAACAAATATTTTTGTTAAATTATTGAATGAATTTGGCTTGCTCTTCACAATATGTTTATTTTTTTTTTGATTATTACTAATTTAATGCATAAATAATAAAGAAATCATTAAACAATAAACATTAAATTAAATGCATGATCAATATTAACTTAAAAATTACAAAAATTCTGTTAATTTCTTTAAAAAAAATAATGATTCTTCTTATTTATGTTTTCAATAATATTACAAAATCATGAATCAAAAAGATTGTAAAAAATTATTGGCCATATATATCTATTTATTCATCTTTCTCTTATCTCTTTTATTCATTCTCTCAATTTTTTTTACTTGTTGGCAATTCTAAATTTGATTCCAATAAAAAAAGTGTTGTTCTTACATTCAATAATTGAAAAGTTTCTCAAGATATTTCTCTTTACTGTAAATAACTATCTTAAATTATTTAATTAAAACTTTCTTTAATATTTAATAATATTTTTATTTTGATTTCAGGATAGATTTTATTCATTAATTTTAACATTAAGATTTATTCTGTAATTTAATTGTTTTTATACAATATAAAAATTTATGAAAAATATTAGTTAAGTTAAATTTAATTCTAAAATTATATCAACCAACAAGTTTTTTTTTTTAATCTGATACTTAAACACAATTTAGCTTAATAATTTTTATATGTTGATTATTACTGTTCAAATTTTATATTTTTTAGTATTAAATATTAAATAATTGAGAGAAAAAATAATTTAATATATGCAAATTATTAAGAAAGACATTACTCAAAATTTATGATTTACGAAATTAAAAATTTTCATCAGTAATTACTTTTTATTAAAATATTATTGGAAATTTTTTAATGGCACTTTAAATTTATTATGAGTTAATTATTTTAAATTATACTTGGTATTAAAAACAAATTAAAAAAAATTATTTTATTGATTTAAATAGACATTAAAAGTGAGAAACTTTAAATCTCATATTATATATACTTGATTGAAACAAATAACTTTAAAAACACTAATTATATTAAATATTTTGTAATATTAAAGATAAATAAACAACTTTAAAAATTTATTATAATTTATTTGTTAAATATCATTTTTTAATCAGAAATTATTATTTTCAGTAAATTTATTTATATTTTCTTTCATTATTAAAATTACTTTATGAAGTTCTTATTTTTTTCTCTCTTTTTAAAATTCTTTCTTAAACAAAATGTTTTGAGGATAGTGTCCTATATGTTGCACCAATTAAGAAGTTAAAAATGAGTAACTTAGTAAATTATATTAAAATTAAAAAATTAACTAATTTATTATAAATAAATTATCAAAAAAATTGCTTATTTAAATAAATTTTTGTTTTTTTCATTCAAAATTATTATCTTAAAAATTCTTTGATAAAATTGTTAATGAAATTTTGAAAATAATTATAGCAACTCAAATAAAAAATTTAAGATATAAAAACTATTTAATTTAGAATTTATGGAATGTTAATTTTTATAATAAATAATAAAGATACTAACTAATATGTTTAAAAGATAATAAATAAAATATCTTTTTAAAAAATAAAGATATAAATACTGGTTACTCTATTTTATTTAGCTCTATCCTTTTAATAATAATTGGATTCAAAAAAATATAATCAAAAAACTATTAAGCAATTAATAAATAATTATAATTTCTTAAACTTAAATAGCCATTCTGAAAAATTAAAAGATTTCCTTTTAATTAATATAAACAAAATAATTTAATAAAAAAAGTATAATTAAATAAATATCAATTTATCTAAAGTATTAAAGCAAGCAGCATAATCTTTCTTAAACATATCTACTCAAATTATCACTTTATTACTGATTAAGAGATAAAAAATCAATAAATATAATGATCAAAAGGTTGCTATTACTCGTAATAGCATACATATAGCTTTATATCCTAAAGGCTGGTAATTTTTTTATCATAATAATTATTATCTTAATTCTAGATAATTTAAATCTGATTAGCTTAATTCTTACTTGAGCAGGTTTGTTTCAAACCAAAAATCATTAATTAGCTATGATTAACTAAATAATTTAAATTACTCTAATAATGAAATGAATATCTATCAGTTATTTTTATGTTTTAATGATTGTTTTATTAAAATCTTTATTTCTACTTTATATTTGAATAAGGTATCATCAATCCAGATAAAGCAGACTCTGTAGTATTAGAAAGAACTAATGAGGGAGCTATTTCTTCATACACATTTTACATGAATTTGCAAAATAGATTACCTCCATGTAAATAAATAATTATTAAAAAAAATCTAATAGAAAATAGAATGAAACTAAATTATAATATTCATTGGCTTGTATGAAATTAATTAAAAAAAAATAAAAAGATTTCTTTAGACTTTAGAATTAAAAGTTTTGATCCTTCAGTTTACTTTTTTACCAAGCAAATTTTTGTATTTTGAACTTTAATATCTACCAGAATTTATTATGAATTTAAAGTCTTTTTAATGACCACAATTATTAATATTGCGTATTTATCAATCTTTTCTGAATTTTTATTAAATATTTGATTAACAGAGAAAGGAGTGATTAAGATTACATTTCCTTCTTCAACCTTTACAGACCCTCTTGAAAATACTTCATTACAGCTCTCAGATGCAGACTTTCCATTTGTTACAACAAGCAACAATTAGGTCACAATCATCTAAAATGATGTGTTTCTAACTCAAGATGGAACTCTTACTAAAAATTATTTTACTGCATCATGGAATATGATTGAAAGGTCTTTGAAAATCACAGGAATTTCTGATAGTATTAACGCAGGATCTGTATAGATTACAATAAAATTTTTGAGGAATCCTTCTATTTCTGCTAACTAAGTATCTGGAAACTTCAAAATAGAAACATTCATCGAAACAACTCCGATTGATTAAAACTTAAGTTTTGGTAAAGTAACATTTACCTCAAGATATATCAAAAGTAATCAAATATAAATATCTAACGATGGTTCTAATCTTGGAGGATACATAACCAACTATAAATTTACCATAAGTACAGTTGTCGCTTTGCCTTCTTAGTCTTGGATAAGAGTAAGGTTCCCTAAATACCATAGTTTTGAAAATACTATATGCTAGATAGTAGAGACTCAAGAATTCTTAAACTGCTCAAATAATGGAGATAATGTTTTGATATTTTCTCCTATTTCATAAAGCCTTCCCCCAAGTTCTTATAATATTTAAATTAGAAATATAAGAAATCCTACTTCAAGTGACTTTTATTCTGACTTTATAGTTGAATTATTATTTCCAGGTAATCAATCATTTAATTTATTTTAGTACTCTAAAAATTTGCATCGACTTATCTTCAAAATTTATAATTAGTGTAAGGGATTTAATAAAAAGTTATCAAATAAATTAATATTAAATGTAAGTAAGAAAATGATTAGATAATAGCTGAATAATTTAATTATAAGAAATTATTTCTCAAAAATAAATTAAATCAATCTAAATATATTTTCAACCAAATATTAAGTATGCTTGATATTAGTTATTAAAAGCAAACATAATAAATTAAAATTAATATTAAATCAAATGAAAGAATTCATTAGAAAAATAATTAATTGTTTTTTGAAAAATTTCATCAAATAATTTAATTTAATTGAATCTGATAGAAAAATATTATAAAGTTCTCTAGATTTTTATTAATAAATATTATAAAAATCTCTAAATTTTTATTTATGCACATTTTAATAGTTTATTTAACTATTTACACACAGCTTTTATTATTTCTTATTATTTACAAATAAATTAAATCTACTGCTTAAGATTTTTAATTATTAATCTAAAGCTCTTATTTTAGTTTTAAAAAAATATTTTTAGTATTTTTAGAAAATGTTTTTTTAAATAAATAGGTACATTTAATGTGCTACAACTATTTTATAACTAAATGTCTGGCATAAATATTTAGCCTGGTTAAATTCAATCTACTTCTGTCTCTGGTAATCCTTTAAATATGAATTTAAGAATAGACTATACCATAACATTTACTCCTACAAATACAATTTAAAATCCTGGTACAATAGTTATTACCTTCCCCACATTACCTCCTACTAAAGATGACTCACAAGTTAGAACCTTTGCTTTGGATTCTTTTTGTAGAGTTATTAGCGGACTTACTCCTACACGTAAATTTATAACTAGCATATTTAATCTAAACTGGATATAATATTGAATAATTTTTTTAATATATATTAATTAGCTGGAAACGAAAATGTTTCCTGTGTAAGTTAGGGCTCATAGCTGATTATTACAAACTTTCAGACATTTTTTTCTCAACAAATTTAAGTAAAAATATTTGCTGTCAATCCAGGAAGACCAGCAATATACGGCCCTTTTGTGATTGAAACTTTTACAACTCAAAATGGTAAGAAATATAAAATAGATTAAAATACTAATGCTGGAAGCTTGGCAATATCTGAAGTCAATAGTCTTAACTACGTTCAAATTGATTTTTTTAAGAAAATGGTAAATGGTACTTTTAGTTAGACTATTCCTTTAGATTTCAGGTTATATCCTTCTCCTGGAAACGAATTACCATTAACTACAGCCTCATAGACTGGTCAAATTTCTCTTTAAATCCCACTTTTATGGAGAAATAAAGCAGCTAATTTTAATTAAAACTTTTAATAAGGCTAAAATTCAGGTAAAAATTATCATCAATTTAGATTTACATCATTTAATTTTAAAAAATATTAATTAATAACTTACATTAAGAAGCTTACTAAAATTGTTTTTATCTTTAGATAAGTTCAAATTGTATGAAATTCTTAAATTAAAAACATAAACAATTTACATTAATTTAAATATTGATTAATCAATTCAAACTTAAAAATTTTTAAAAATAAGCTGCTAAATTTGGTAGTGATCCTTCCCAGACTGTTCCAGTTAATTATAATTTAAATGTTTACAAAATATATACTCCAAAATCCTCAAATTATGCTAAATTTCCTAAAGACAATCAATATGGGCTAGGGCAATGTGATCTTCCTATATCAATAGACAGTGTTATACTTCCTCCTTTTGGAGGTAAATACTTATTTAGAGTACTTACATTTAAAAATGGTTAGCATTATGTTGATCAACCTCTTGAATAAGATCTATACGTTATGGATATTGAAATACCTCCTTTTACATCTGCAAATGTATAAACAACAGGATCTGAAAGTGGAGATACTGAAAATGTAATTATTGCTCAACTAACTACAGGTATTTCAACATAAAGTTATACTTTTTTTATAAATTTATTATTTTTAAATAGGTTTAAGTATTCCTTATGAAGGAGCCATTAATTTCAACATGACTACGAAGACTATTTACTCCGAAAACACTTCAAAGTAAATAAAAAATTTGCTTGAAACTTATTACTTTAATATTAAATGAAATTTTTATTATTTTGACATAAATATTCTAAAACTAAAGGTGGGATTTTAAGCTTGGATAAAGTATAGGTGTTGGTGTAGAAAGTAAAAATGTACCATGCTCCGTTTATATAGGTGGTAATTTATGTGGATTCCCTGACTCTGATCATCCTGATGTTCATTGTTATGTATTTTAAGGTTCAGCAATTTAAAATGTTGTCCTTTAAGTTAGAGGCTTTTCAAGAGTAATTAGCTCTGGCACAACTATTGAAATTTATGTACCAAATATTAGGTTATGTGAAGATGTAACAAAAGTTTGCTATGTTTAAATAAACTCTTCATATACTGTTGATATTTTAGATCCTTATATCCTTAACACTATTTATGTAAAAGTTGTTAACTCTGTTAATGACCCTTCAGTAGTTTCTAAGACCCCAGTAATTTAAGCAAAACCTGATTTTGGAAATTCTCTTCCATAATTTTAAGAAATTTGCGTTTCTACTCTTTGGAATTTAGGGTCTTCTTTTTATGACACTCCTTTTTCAGCAGGAGACTCTATAATTATCATTTTCCCTAGTTATAGATACACCTACAGAAGATTTGCAGTACAATCCATTACATTTAATTTTGGACCAGCTAGTGGAAGAATTTAATATATAGATTACTATCTAACAAAGGAGACTTACTATTTAATAACATTAAATAGTAATGTACCCCTTGGTAATAACTTAATTTTGAATAATATTAAAAATGCTAATGATATAATCGATTTTGGTGATGGAAACAAAGTATAAGGTGTTATTTTAAAAGGTTATTATTGGTAGTCTAAATAAAAAGCTAGATTTTTATAATGGAATAGATCTGATTAATATGTAGACGGAGGAATCCTCAATGCTTTGGTAGAAATTTTGCCAAATGAAGTACCTGGAATACCAGTTAGAGCTTAAAGTATAGATATGGAATGGGAATCAGAAGTGGTTTATAAGTAAATAAATTAAATATATAAGAAAATTAATTTTAATTTTAAAATCTTTAATCTAATTTTTTTCATTAAATTTAATATTTTTACAAGCTATGATTATTTTTTCAATATAACTAAGTACTATAATTCTTCTGAAAAGGTTATACTTAATTTAAGCGAAATAAAAATATAAATTTATTATTTTAATTTCGATTGATTTTTTTCTACTAATTTAAGAAAGGAAAGAAAATTGAATCTTTACAATAACTTTATATTTAAAAATATAGGCTGAGCTTTGTAAATTGTAGAATTATTCCAGCAGGTGGTTAAATAATGATTAAACTACCAAACAATAGTCCAGGTTATAAAAGTATTTCAGATACATGCACAATCTATTAAGGATTAACAGGAATTTCATAACTTACTCTTGATAGCAGTATTGTTTGTGCTAAAAAATTAATAGGTACTGACTTTTACCTATAAATATCTCAATTTATGCAAGTACCATAAGAAACAATGATAACTGTAATATATAGATCAACATCTCCAGTTTTTTAAGGTCCTTCTTGGAATCCTGGAAATTATTATATAACATCTAATTAGAATGATGCTCCAACTTATGTAAGATAAACATTTTAATTTTATAATTTTTATTATTTTTCAATTAAGAATAATTTAAAAATTCAGATAATTATTTTATATTTTTTTACTAAATAATAAGACAATGATTAATTTCTCAAGAGTTCTAATACCTGGTTTGGTTGTTAATGGGCCTAATATATTCCCTACTTTGGCTATGTGGTCTAGTTTTTACATTGAAGATAGACTTGCAAGAGAGGGAGATAGGGGATACTTCAAAATGTAATTTGAATCTCCATTGGCTTTTGCTAAGGGAAGCACAATGACTATTAACTTTGGTGGTGGTGTTTCTTAGCCTATTTCAATTGAGAAGGTCTATGACGTAGACGATTTAGTTATGCAAGGTTACCTCTATTGTACTATTGATGGGGATATTTGTGAAGATTGTATCATCACTGGAAATGTTGTCACTCTATTACTTCCAAAATCTTTGAAATTAGATGGCATTATTGCTAACAAATAATATTTACTTTAAATTGGATATAGAGGTAACGATGACAGCTCTACAACAAGAGATGGATTTTTAATCAATTAGGCTGGAACTTATATCCTTTCCGTTGACATATCTGATGGTTCAAAATAGGTTAGTGCTTAAAAAGCATACAGAAATTTGCCTCCATCTTTCCGTAATTTTTGGGTTTATAGTGTAAACAAGATGAATACTGACATTACAGATGTAAGATGCTTTAATGGTGGTACTAACATATGCGGAATGAGCGTTTTTATCTTCTACTTTAACCACTTTGGTATTCCAAAATCATACATTGCTGGTAGCCAAAGCACAAAAATAATTTTGGAATTCTCTACTCAGATTGATACTATTTTTTAGAATGGTTTTGATTCTGCTCTAGGTAAATTTAATTTAAACTAAACTTAAAATTTTTAATGAAATAAATTTTATTTATTGAAAAAAACTGTTTTATTCATTCTAAAAACCTTAAAAATTAATTTTAAATATGAAAAAAAATAGAAAATTAAAAAATTTAATTCTCATTTATTTATAATTTTATTACTTTATTAAAAAAGGAAAGGGATTACCTCAAAGAACCGAAGTTCCTTGTGAAGGCAAAAAGATAAGTATTTTATCTGGTTTTGATAAGTTAAGCTGCTAGTTGTATTTAGGAACAAAACCAAACCCAGCTTAAATAATAATAACAAATTTTGATGAAATAATAAGCAATTTAGACCCAAAATTTACTGATGACTATGAAATTCATATCCCAAACGTCTTTAATCCTTCAGCTGTTAAAGAAGTTCTTTAAGTCAATATGAGAATTGAAACCACATTTTTTTCTAATGGTATTTTTATTTTAATTTGATACAAATAGTAGTTAACTTAAAAATCATCAAATAGGTATAACTAGACCCATTTATGAAAACAGCTATATTTTAGTTAACATGACAAACTAAATTCTTTCAGTACCATTTCACTAAAAGCCTGTTTTTGTTGACCTTACTTCATCATGCACTCCTACCTTCTCACAAACTATAATTGACACACCAAGTAAGCTCTATGTTTGTTTCTAAACAGGGCCTCATAAACTTTAACCAGGAGACCACATTTTGTATTAATTCCCTTAAACTTGGATTATGCCAAGGATAGATCTCTGCTCATTATTTAGCTTTCCTTCTGCTGTAAAATGCGATAGTTATGACTCAGCTAAATAAATTCTAATACACATCAATGGACCAGTAAATCCAGGCACTATGATATCAGGTTTTTATTCTAAATTTTATAAAAAATAAAAGTTTAAGTTCATATCTAATAAACTTAATAAACTCATTTATATAAGAAATATGATTTAATATCATGATTATAGTAAAATATTTACTTTTTTATTATAATAGGATATATTAATATGAATACTCCTCCTTATGCTGCATTAAATCCAACACCTTAACAAATTTAAGGATATACCTATTGGAGATCACGTATAATTTCTTGGTTTCAACTTGGCAATTTTGTTTAAACATTAACTCCTCTAACTATTCCAAATCCACAAATGTTGGTAACTGCTTCATCAACAGTTTAAGGTGAAATATCTGAGTATACGATACGTTACGATGTTTTGAGAGATATTCCAAATGGAGGATGTATATAAATCATCATACCATCAGATTTCTAAGGTTTAAATAAAGAAACCATTTGTAGAAATGCTATTTTATAATCATCCGATTTTGATCCTTATGGTTATTAATTTAAATGTGATTATATTGCAGGTTCACCCAATTATCTTTTAGTTCATTCTTTTGGACCTTTTAAACTTGATTTCACTGACCCCATAAATGGATTCTAGAAAAGAAATGGAACAACATTAGTAGTTAACTTTAGAGTTCAAAACCCTATGGTTGCAAAGCCAAGTTAGTGGGAAATTAAGCAATGGTACTTAAAAGAAGTTCCTTTGAACTATCTTGTAGCTACAGGAAAAACTGACTCTCCATCTTTATAGCCACCTGTTAAAATTTAGTTGTGGGAAAAGTTATTGTAAACTAGAAATAAATTATATACTGAAGACATAGGTCCTTTGGAATTTTTAATAACAACTCCCTCAAGCCTTCCTGCTGGCTCTTTTATTACTGTTTAAATGCCACCTAGTTTTAAAAAATAAACAGATTCACAACTCTATTGTTATTTCGACCTTTCAGTTTACTACAATAATTAACTTCCATCTAAAACATGCAAAATTGACACAGTAAAAAAATATAATTTTATACAAATTTAATCAGAATTTTTTGTTTTAATTTAAAGAATAATTTAGTAACTATCTAGACTCCAGATTAATTGTATTTAGATCCATACTTGGCTGCAGCAGGAGGATCTATTCCAGCAAACACAAAATTGATGATAGTTATAACCACTTTAGATAATTATTATGGACAAAATGGTATTATAATGCCAACTTAGTCTGGGTTTTATGATTTTTAGATAACATTCCCAGGCTCAACTTAAGCAACTGCAACTAGAACAATATATATACCACATAAAAATTATTTTACAATATTTGAACCTACAACTTTGATAAACAATCCTAATGAAAAAACTGTGATTGAGTTGATCGTTTAACCAAAAGTTTCTGCTAGTACACTCATTTTATATGTGCCTGTTGTAGATTAAGAAGGAAATGACTTATTTGATGAAGATTTGGGACTAGAAAAAATAAAAGGTCCTGGAATTAATAATATCAATTGCTAGTATCATATTTATCCTAGTGGTCCTTCAACTAGCTTAAATTGCTAATTAATTAGAGGTGTAAAAGCCACAAAAATGCATGCTTAGATACAGATATCAGGTATTTCTTTTAATTCAGGGACAACATACTCAATTTAAATTGATGAAATTACTAATCCTAACATTCTAACTGATGACAGACATGTTTACATGATTTTAGAAGGGTATTAATCAACAAATTTGGTGACTTCATAAATTAATTATGATTTTTCTTTCAAATATATATCTACGTAAGCAAATTAATTCAAATCATATTTTCATTTTAACTTTTTAACAAAATAAAATTTAGCCCAGAAGTTATTTCATTCAACCCTGATCCCACTGCAGTTCCTGGTTCTCAAAAATATCCAAAAGTTATCATGGGAGGTACAGGAGCAGGGCCTAATGAGTCAAATATTATTTATGAAGTAACCTGGGATACTAAAGATTTAATGAAAGGAGGAAACGAATATTATGATTACTTTATCATTGAATTCCCTTAATATGCTTTCAACAAATAGCCAATAACTGTAAGTTGTACATTATCATTTTGCAAGTTACTCAGAGGTTGGAACTGGGTTATTTGGAAATTTAACTCAATTACTTCAAAAGGCTCTACTATTACTATGAAAATATAAGGACTCGAAAATGTTAAAATCTCAAGCAAAACTGTGCATTTAATTGGATATACTGTAAAAAATAGAGTTTTAATAAATAAGCAATATTTTTAGCCTTTAGACCCTGTTACTCCTATTACTCCTTCTGTAGGAGATTTTACTATTGATGTTCCAGATTATCCTAATAAAAATAAGGTAAATTAGAATTTTCAAAAAAAACTAAATATTTGTTTTGATTATATTTTCAAGAAAAGAGTAAAAAATTTGTTTTGAAATATTTATTATGATTTGTTTATAAAAATAACTTTTTGTAAAAAAATTTAAGATAAATTTTTTAAATTTATTTATTTGCGCGAAAAAATTAATGCTCTTTGTAAAAATTTATTAAAATAAAAATGAAAATAGGTACCTAAAAACAAAATGATGAGATACTTATTTAAAATAAAATTACCAATATAACTGGAAAAAGATAAAGGATTGATAGACATAAAGATACCCTCAGGTTTTACACCAGAGCCTTACTGCTAGGATCATTTAGCATATCCTTTTGTTTATTCATATGATTACATAAGTTGCTCTTTAACTCCATCAATTAATGGATATACTATCAGTGGTTATGATAATATTCCTACAGGAACTATTATTTAAGTTGAAGCTTGGATAACAAATCCTAATTCATAAGTTACAACTCCCACATTTAATGTTGATATTTATCAAGATTCATAAAGACAATTAATACTAACATCATTCAATGCAAATGGACCTTAGATTTGGGATTACACTCCTTTCAGTACAGCCAAATATTTATCAGAGTATAACACATTCATCAGTAAAGGATCTTTTGGAGATTTTAGATTCATTATTTCTGGAGTTACATTGACTGAAAATGATTACCTTACGTTAGTCTTCCCTAACAATGATGTTTCTGCTTTAGGATAAACTAACCTATAATGTGGATTTAATAATTTTGAAGCCTCAATGTGTATAGTTTAGTAATAGTCCCCACTTACAATTTAAATATTTGGGCCTGTAGAAAATCCTTTAGCTGCATCAACTAGGTACTTTTGATAAATTTTAATATAAAAATATTTTTAGTTTGTTTTTAACAATTTTTTTGATTTTATTTCAACTCAACAAGGAATACTTGAAATAATTTTTAAAATGAAAAAAAAACTTTATTTTTAAACTTGCATAAAGTTTTAAATTTGGTAAATATAAGCAATATTCTTTGAAAAATAAATGAATAAATAATATTTTGAATTATATGCAAATAATTAGTAAATTTTCACTTTGGAAATAAATAAGTTTTTTAATTTTCCCCATAAATTTTTTATTAAATATTTTAAACTTTAAAAATAGCTATACCATTTTTGTAACTGTTTAAAATGGAGCTTAAATGGGGTTGTAATATACAAAAAGTGGATTAACATTCTTTAAAGTATCTGCAAGCTCCTCTCCTAATCCAAGTGACTTTACCACAACCTTCTTTACAATTTATCCATAAGAGAATTTCCCTAATTTAGCACAACTGCAAATAACTTATGAGAATGCAAATAAATTGGCAGATTTAATTATTAACTTCTCCACTTCAGTGAATGTTCCAGCTAACGGAAGGATTGTCGTTTCTTTCCCAATTTATTCTGAAGATCGTTCAATACAAATTTTTGATATGTACTTAGGTAAGACAGGGTTAACTCCTGGCTCTATAATTGATTGCACATTTATTTAATCAGTCTCTTCGTTGAATGGATGCACAATTGATTCAGATTTTAATAAGGTTTCAGTATCATTTAAATTAACTAATTCCCTTAATGGATAGGCTACTTTACTAATAAATGATATTCTTCTACCTTCAAGCAGCGGAGGGACAGGATAAATTCCTATAGAACTCTATACTTAAGATAGTATGGGAAATATTCTTGAAGCTTAGGTATTTGATGAATTTTTAACACCATTTTTAGTTTCTAATGATCCTACTCCTTAAACAGCATCAATAACTGTTAACTAAGATTAATACACTATTTAAAATATAAATATTGGTATTTCAGTAAACTCTTATAGTCCTCTAAATGACAGAATAGTAGTAAAATTCCCAATTGGCTATGATTTGAGTATGATATTATTAAAAGTAGGGACAAAAAATTATGCTGCTTCTGAATTTATTGCAATAGGAAATGTTTTAATAATTAGATTAGACTCTAGCTGGAACACTGACATAATAAATAATATTGTATTATCGAATGTCAAAAACCCTAAAATTTAACCAGCAAGCCAAATAATCTATACCTATGTTGTTATAGGATATGTTTATACAAGTGTTTATACCTCCACAATTCCTTCAGTTTCAATAAAAAAATTCACATCACCATCATTGAGTCTTCCAACTCACAGTTCAAACTAGCATCCCATCGGAATATAAATTATAGCTACTCCTACTGAAACAATTTATGGACCTAACACAGTTTATTTTGTTTCTCTAAAGAACTCATTATCTGTTAGCTCTATTAGAAATGGCTTAAGCTTGCCCTGTGAAAGTAGTAGTGAGCCAGTATATTGTTAAATAAACTCAAGTGCATCTTATGGATATATTGATTCAAATCCTGTAATCTACATTTATTAAGCTCCTGATTCTACTCCTTCTAGTCCTTTAAGCATAACTATCTATAATATTTAAGAATATATCGGTAAATCTTAAATAACAGTTGATTTTGGTGCTATAGATATTAACACTAATTAAGTAACATATCTCAATAATTTAAGTCCAATCAATATTGGTACTTCTGCAAAGACAGTCAAAAATGATGTAGTTGTTTTATCTACCACAGGATCAATTTAAGATTAAACAACTATTACATTAACATAAACTAATCCTTTATTCATAGCTGGAACTAAAATAGTTTTTATGAGTGATACTTTACCTATGAATTCTTTATCTTATACCCCAACTGCATCAATTAAAGGATCATCTTCATCTTGTAATATTAATAGTAATGACTTTGTAGTTACTTGCACATTAGCTTCAGATATAAGTATACCTTTTGACTTAGAACTCAAAAACTATCCTGTTCCAACAACTAGCATATTGTAAACCTAAAGAGCTTTCAATTTGATAGGCTATGAAGGTGCAACTACAAAAAATGTATTCTAATTTACCAACATTTAATTTTCTAATTTTGCAGCTTCATCAACTCTCTAAAGTGTTTCTTCTGTTCAAATATCAGATCAATAGATAGATATCTAATTTAAAACATAATATATTGTTCCTGCTTTAGGTTAAGTTGAATTAGAGCTTGCTTCTACACCTGTAAAAACAGGATTTTATTATTCTATTCCACCTTCGACTCTTTCTCTTTTTATCAATCAGCCTACAATATCCTTAGCTGGCTCTAAAGTAATTATTAAAGGTAAACATTATTTTTAATTTGTATCATAAAAATAGTCAAAAAAGATATAAAAAATTTATTAAGCTAATAAAAAGAAATAGAAAGGGATTAAAATCTCCAAAATAATATTCCATAGGGGAGTTAATATGTGTGGTTTTATATTATGTTTATATATTTAAGTCACACATAAAAATCCCATATATTTTTGAAAAGCCACATAAATTAGACCCCATAAGAAATATTTATAATCTTCCTAGATATAATTTTTAAGTTAAGTTAATATATGTTCAAAAAAATAATTTTAAACAAATCAAAGAAGATTTTAAGAAATTGATAAATTAATATTTTAAAATAATTTATAAATAAAATTAATGAAATATTTTAATGGAAAATAGATTTTTATTAAATGAAGGCAGGAACATATAAATTTAGTATTTATTTTGAAGAATAACCATTACCATAAGTAAATAAAATTAATACTAAGTGTAATTAACAATTGATAGAGAGCTAAACTGTAATTCAGTCTACTAGCAGCTATTCTCCAATTGGGGATACAATTGTTATTAATAAGTTGTTTAAAGCAGACAGTGAAGTTATAGTATTTGATTTTACCACAACAAATGTTGTATAATCTCCAGGCTTTATTGCCATCAAATTCGACATTAATATTTAATCTCTTATATTTAACACTATGGTAGTAAACTACATAAATTTCTTAAATTTACCTTAATTTACAGTAAATGCTGACACTCTTTACATCAAAAGTAATTAAAAAAATAAATTTAATATAAAATAATTTTTATTTTTTAACTAAATAAATTTAGATTTTAACACTATTTCAGCTGGATTAATTTAATTAAGGATTTATTTCAAAGGAGGAAGTACCCCAAGCAAAATAATTTCAATAATCAGTTTCGATAAAACTTTTAATATAGTTGACAAAATAACATCCCTGTAAACAATTTAATCTAACACTTTCTTCAATTAAAATACTGTATCTCCTTTAAGATCTTTAAATTATATTGATTACCATACAATTGGTGGAGCCTATTAGGCAATAAAATTTCGTATAAAATTGCAATCATCGTTTAATCCTGCAGCAGAGCAATTATTTATTACTTTCCCATAATAAATGCAAACAAATCTAATAGCTTTGATGAGCAGCTAAATTAGATTTAAGTGCAACATTAAAAAGGCTTTCTAGAAAAATTAAAACTATCGTGCAAGAAGATGCTATTTACAGAAATATTCTGATATATTTTTAATAATTTAAGACTTTAACTTTAACACAAATGATGTTTTTGATATTTCTATAATAAAAATTGGAGATACTAAATATTAATGGCAGTTACCATCAACAGCGATGATTTACTACTTTTTAATTGATAAAACAGAACTAAAATCTATAAGTTAATCAACAATCCCAACTATTTATTCTACTGATTCAATTTAAATGGAGATATTTTCATAAGTTGCTAAAAATGCATATTTCCGTAACTTTGATGGAACAGTTAGTGCTTCGACTCTTTATAACATTCAGTTTGCACTAAGCTCTGGATATGATTTCATTGACATTGAATTTCCTCTATTAGTAGACTAGGGAACCTCACAATTAACGATTTTCAACCAAAATCTTGGAGTGTCAACAATAAATAATGGTTTTTCTTTCCCCTGTGAAGATAAAGCAAATAACCTTGGAACTAATGTGAAATATCGCTTATTTTATGGCTAAAGTATTTTGTAAAATCCATCAAAAATAAGAATCCTTTAAACTTCGTCAAGTACAGTGAATATCAATATAGCAACTTTATTAAATCCATCATTATTAAATTAATATGTCTATTTAAGAGTAAAAACAGGATACGTAGATGGTAGGCTAGGAAATGTACTTTACTTACCTTATGCAGTTTTTACATTAGCAAATAACCCAGTTAATTAAGTACTCCCAACTCCCACTTTTTCTCCATCTTAGGCATCTTCAGTTATTACTATTTCAATTAACAGTTTACCTTTACTAAAGCAAATGACTGTTAGCAGCCAATCTTCTTTGAAATTTGAATTTGAAGATTATTAATATTCCCCTCTCATGAATGTTGCTAACACATAAACAGACTTTTAAACTAAAAAATCTGCATTCTTTTCATTTAAAACGAATGCCTTTACACCTTATTCTATGAATGTTATGTAAATTAAAACTCCTCCTATAATAGGTAAATTTAATTAATATTTCTCAATTAAATGATTTATGTAAAAACTTATTCAATTTTAAAATTTCAATGATATAGCACTACCCAAACCAAATTTTAAAATAAAAAATTTCTATTATGTTGATTAGTTTTCTTTTAATTAAATTTCAAATATTTAATTAACAAAACCAATTCTTCTCATATTATTTAATTATAGGCTCTTTTAGCTACAAATATAAAGTAAGTGAAATTAGAAACAGAAAAGTTAGATAAGTTTTTAGCTTATCTTCATCAGTGAATTTGACTCCAGGAGGAAAGTTTATTGACAATGCTTCAATTTCTGCTTCAAACCTTAAAATTTAATATCCTAATACACTTTATTAAATTAAATATGATTTATAATAAGACTAATTTAAAGGAAATGTGATTAATTTAAAACTGCCATTTTAGTATACTGTTCTTTCGACTTCTACATGCAAACTCTAGTAGTATTCAAATAAAGGAACAATATAATCAACATGCACAGCTGATGTTCCTAATAATAGCTTTATTATCTAGCTATAATAAGACTTAATTAGTGTATAAACATTTTAAATACTATTTTATACAATTAACCCATCTACAGTTGGAATGACTGGATAGTTTACAATCGATTTATATACTGATATCACTAAATCACAAAAATAACACACAGAAATAATTAATGGAGTAAATATTGTTAATGAAGCAGAACTTTAAATTAGGTTGCTTTAACCATTTTCACCAATTAAGTTTTGTTAGAAAGATGAGACTTGTCCTTTGAGATTCACTATTTAATTAGGGTCAAATCTAGTGAAATAGAGTGACTCAATTGTAATAAATACAAATAATTATATCAACAAAATGGTTTCTCTGTAAAATAGTATCAAAGAACTAGCTTGTTGGATAAATGATTATGCATCTTACTTTTGCTACCAAGATGTCTCAACAAATTAAATTATTGTATTAGCTCCAGCTAATACAGATGTTACATCAGGAGGTAATTATAAAAATTGAATTCATTTAATTCTATTTTATTGATTAAAAATTTGATTTTTATTTAATAAATAGAATTTGAATTTAAATTTATTAAAAATTTTTCTTTTAAACTAAAAAAGTGGTGCTTCACATTTTAATTTAATCATGGAGAGATCCTAAATACTCTAATACAAACAGAGATTTTATTTTACTACCTTCTTACATTGACTTTTTAGATAATTCTTCTATTTTTAAAGACGTAATTGTTTACGAATAACATGGAACTAGTTAAACACCAATTAAAAAGAATTGGTAATTTGTAAACAAGGCTTTTTATTCAGATAATCCTGCATACATTTGCTCTTACACAACTACTACAGATAAAGAAACAATTCTAAAAGCTAGGTTTTAATTCCCTCCTAGTATAGGAATAAATAGTGCATTAGTAACAGAACCTAACTGGGGACGTATTGTCATCTATTTAGAAACAAGTAATGAAATAAAAGAAAGTTTAATACCTTTCAATTTAGAAAGTAGATTTGTTAAAGACGGATAGTAAATTGATTGTATTTGTGACTCATGTAGTTATGGTAGTTTCCTTTGCTATATTTAGTATGGTGGTAACGATATCACTTCACCAGTTTCAATTACAATATAGCCTTAACAAAATATTATTGGTTAGTCTGTATTTTAATTTTATTTCCCAAAAATTAAACTTCCACCTGTAGACAAAAGGTATAAAATAGCTTAACTAAATTAGAATTATAATTTAAAATGACTTCAGTTTTTTTATTTTTGATTTAATTTTATTAAAATTAAGATATGTAAGAATGGGTATTAAAGCACTTTAGTATGATAGCAGCAAAAAAAGATCAATAACTGTATTAGAATACCTTAATTAATACATTTTATATACAACTTTACCTCCTCCATCAGTTGATCCTAAAATTAATTTATCATATCCATCTGGCCATAGAGTTGGTGATCCTCTAACAGTAACATGGCAATATAATATTCCTTAATAGTAGTTATAAAAAACAAGAGACAGAGTTATAATAACTACTACCACTCAAGACATGATTATTGAGCATCCCCACAATCCTGGTGGTCCTTTATTTACTACATCGTCAGAAGGAAAAGGTATTAAAATTTATTAAATAATGTATTTTCTAATATTTTTATCTTGTTGTACCTAAATTCAAAAAAAATTTCAATTTATACATTTAAGAATAAATTTAAAATGAAATGGGTTGGGATGTGATATCAATTTTAGAGAAATTATAATTTATTTTTAAATAAACTTTTTTGAAAAGATTACTAAGATAAAAAATTTATTTTAGAAAAAAAAGAGTTATTTAACTAACATATAAAAATAAACAGTTTAATTAATTTGAATCTTTATAATTTGAATAAAAAGTTTGGATTTATCCTCTGGTAAAATGGCTTGAAATTGAGTTAACTACGAATTTGTCTGTTGGTACTAAAACAGTTACAACTTTCAACTTTAAAAATATGCCTTATTAAATTACAAATGGCGTTGACTATGAGCTTTACACTTATGCAGATGGTGAAACTAGAAACATCTAATAATATAACAATATACCTTACGCAGCCCCTCATCCTTTATATGCAAAAGCTTTCTAGTTTACAGTTTTATATATATCTTAACCTAATACTCTCACAGTAATCAAACTTAAATTACAGTTTTCTACTCAAATAAATTTTAGCTTATGTTTATAATCATAAATTAAAATTTTTCACAAATTAATATTTATAACTATTTTATATTAAATTAAACTCAAAATTTTTAAATATTCTAAAAATATTTAATTTATTTTAAATTTATAGTTCACTTTTAGACCTTATAACAAAATTCCTATTGGAGGTTATATTTCAATTTATTGGGGTAAAATAAATCCTTCTAGTCCTACTGAAACCGATTGGGTTTTCCTTAATACTTACTGTAGGATAATAAGTGGATTACAGGATGCTTCATGCAATATTATTCCTTAGGATATGAGAATATAAATTTATGGATTCACCCGTGAATATGATCCAAGTAGAGATGGAATGATTAAGTTTGACTTGCAAGTTTAAAATAGTGGTTCAGCTGGTAACAGATAAAACTTTTAGTTAACAATTTATTGGGATTAATCTGGATTTAATAATAGATAATAACTACCTTCTACATTACCTAAAGATAGACATATTATCGATGAGGACTTAGCTTATACTGATTTAAATATTTTATATACAATACTTCTTAAATTAAATTTATTAGAAAGATATCAAGAGCCTATTCCTGTTTGTGGTGGAAGTAGAGGGCCTATTTAACTCAAATTTTAATTCAGAAAAGATTATAAATATCCATTTGATTTTATAAGGATAGATTTTTTTAAATAAATCCTTCCTTTAGGCGTAGGAGAAGAGTTAATCTGCTACTTTATTGATACAACTAATCCAAAATTGAATTATGTTAAAACCTTTAGATGTGATTTAAATTCACTAGGATAAATAGATGCCTTCGTACCAGAAGAAACTGATCTTAAATCTGACAGACCTTATATTCTTTACATTACAGCTAGGTCTAGTTTATGTAAAGCAAATTTATAAATTAAACTTATTACATAATAAATTAATGTTATAATTAGTAATTAATTGGGGAGTTTAAATTGGCTCTCCTTCTGGAATTAAATGGACAAGAATTCAAACTATGAATGAATAGACAGGCATTTATAATGAAGGTAATCATATTTAATATATTAATGAATAAGCATTTTTTTTTTGAAATAGTTGCTTGGATTGAGGCTAAAATTCCTCCTTGCACTTTTGACCCTAACAACTTCAGAGTTTACGCTATGAGCCATGAATATAATACTCTTGATTACTCTACTTAAGCTGCAGCATAGTAAAATGCTGAAGATTATTTGTATAACTTCATTAATGTTACTCTATCAGCTAATAATCCAATTGAATCAGGTTCATTATCAAATAATAAGAGAACTCGTATAATTTTTGAATTCATGACTCACAACGAGATATTTGCAAGCTGGGATGAAGATGTCACTGGCAACAAATATACTACAGCTTAGCCAGCTGGATGTGGCGGTATGTATAATGGCGTCAATTATTTCACACCAGCAGATTCAGTGTACATTTTATAAAAATTATTTTATTTTAAAGTTAATAATTTTATTATCATATAAAAGAGCTGTTCAATGTACTATTCTTCCAGCTGCTGGTTAATCTCTTACCACTCCAAGCATTATAATAATGGAAAATCATCCAATCATTGCCCCAAATTCTATTTTCAATATAGGACTTTCAAGAATTAGAAATCCAAATTAACTAGTTGATGGAACTGTTTTCACTTAATATGGATATAAAAAATACAGTAAAAACAAGCCTTATCAGACCTCTGCTCATATTAGAATAACAATTTAGCAAAAATAATCTGATGGAACATTTTATCGTAATTAATTTATTTTATAAATATATTAATTATTTCTTTATTAACTGAATGAACAAATTTTTTGAAATATTTTGGAAAAAAATTTTAAAAAGTTAAATGTGAAAATATTTATCAAATTAAATTGAAAAATGAATAATTAAATATATAAATCTTTTAAATAAACAAATAAGCAATTAATTAATAATGGAGATATTATTTGATACCATAATTTTTAGAACCTATTCCTCCTACTCCATTTGATTCTTCTACATTTTCAATTCTTCATAATTCTGATGTTGTTACTACTGGCATAGGAAATATGACAGTTAATATTTATCCATTGAATATGGTTTTAAGTAGATTAAGGAGTGCAGTTGTTGTATAATACTCCTATCCATATGTACTTACTTATAAGTAGTAATGCTATTAGCACAACTATTAAATACCTTAGATCCCACATGGAAGAGTAGGATGCATGCAAGTATAGTAATCTAGATGGGTTGTCTTTTCAAACAACATTTTTACTTACACAACTGACTAGCCAGGTTCTCCTAATCCCATCCCTGCAATAAATAGATTTTATGCTGTTGATACTTCATCTTCAAGGGTTAACCCACCATTTACATACGATTATGGAAATCCAAAATCTCGCTTAAGAGGCTGGGTTTATAATGACAAAAGAACAGTTATAATAAGAACTCCTGGTTTTAAGCAAACTTATTAACAAATTTGCAATGTAGTTTTAGAAACTACAGCTCATGATAACCCTAAAAATAGAGAAGTGATTTACAGAGTCGGACTGTATTTAACAACATAAACAGATGAAATGAGAAATATTCGCTTGATAGCTCCACCTGAGTTTTAGGATATCAGACATTGCAGAGTTAAGCTAGGAGTTGTTCTAATTGATTTTAATGATATTTAAAATAAAGTAAAATGCACTGTTACTAAATTAGCTTAATATTGGACTATTGATATTACTAACTTTAAATATAAAGCTTCTTAAGCTCTAGGTTTGATTATATTAGAATTTTTAATCCACAATCCGTATGATTCCGGATGGACTAATTAATGGTAATGTAGAACTTTTGCACATAATGACCTAGAGATTCATGATTATAATTAATAAGCTAATGGAAGAACTTGGGTTGGATAGCATATTCCGTACCCTAATTTATTTAGAGTATATCGTAACACAATCAGTTTTGAAGACAGAAAAGCTGGTATAAATGACTATGCAGAATTTAATATGAGAATAATACCAAGAAATAGCCATCCATAAACAGATGATTTACAATCTACTTAAATTCAAATATGGATGCCATTAAGTAATTTAAAAAAATCATTTAAATAATTAAAAATTAAATTTAAAAATAGCCTATGATATCCCTAATGGTGGAACTAATCTTTGCTAGGTGGATCATATTTATCACTAAGATGTAGATGGACAGTATTGTTAAGTTACATCAGATAGAAAGATTTTTGTAAACACGAATAGATTCCATGGTTTGGATAAAACATGTGGTTTAGTAACATTTACTACAACAAGTAAAACAAATTTTAAAAAATAAATTCATTTTCCCTATTATATTAATTTGCTTAATTAAAATTACTACTTTAATTTATTTTTAATCAAATAATTTTATTTTTTAATATCGTTAATTCGTTCGTATTTTAAATTTTTTGATATTTTAAAATAATAAAAATTAAATTAAGAACTTTAATTTTTTAAAAATAGACGCAATTAACGATAACAATGGTATCAAAATGCCTCCTGCAGCAGGAAATGATTAATTCTAAGTATTTATTACTTCAAAAGATAAAGATGGAAAAGTTACATAAGAATATTCGAACTAAGATGCTACCACAAAACCAGCTATTTTATCTTAAATTTCTGATAAATTTGAAATTACTACTTAAGAGCATGAGTAGGGCTAGGAAGCTCGTATAATAGTTAAATTTATTTCTCCTAGGAATATTCCTGCTGGTTACGATACATCAGTAGGAATAACAGATCCTAATTTAAAAAATCCGATAGGATATATTGATGTATAATTTAACACCCTTGATTATCTGGTTTCTTACTGGCCTGGCTGGAGTAAAAATTTAGTTTATTCAACTCCTTAAACTCCATTTGCATGTAAATCTTACAATGGAGTTGTTGCAAAGTAAAACGAAAAACTAATTTGTTAAATTATACCTTCATAATCCAGTTCACCTAATATATTTTATCCTGCAACAGTGAGAATTTCTAATTTCTAAGCGATAGCTGTAGGAACTCAAGTAGAAATTCATTTGCTAAATATTCCTGGACCAGGAGTAGTTAATTAAGGATTAATGTATGTGTTAGCTTTCTAAGTAAATGGTGATGGAACAAAATTTGATATTATTGGCTCTAGCTAATATATCTTGAATTCTGTAAGTGTATTTTCTTATGATTCATGGAAAACAACTATGATAGACGTGAAACCAAATATAGTTGGAGCCTATTCTGAATGGATTTTCTATTTCGATATGCTTTATGACTTATCATCTTCTTTTAGAGGTTGCTTTGATGGGATTTTTAATCCACTTTTAACTTTTGTTCCAGGAACTTACTTCGTTTTGAAGATGCCCAAAGATTTCTAACTTAAAGATAATGGATCTATTTCTGCAACACTTGGAGGGCTTCCATTGCAAATTTGGATTTACGAAGAAACCAATTAAATATTTATGCTCAATTAAAACACTGTACCTTGTGGTTACTTTGATGTCACTCCTAAACTAAACCCCTTACGTATTTCATAAATGAGAAACTCCGCTTACTAATTTTTGAATTCCTACTCTTTAATAATCAAAACATATTCACCTCAAAGAAAATTTATTCGTGAGTACTCGTTTGGGCCTATCAATAATCCTAGTGTAGGTTAATTTGTCCTTCTTGGAATGACAGTTTCCAAGTTATTTGCAGATGAACGTTTTGTTACTTATACTTATTAATTTACACCTTCATATGATATACCTATCAATTCTGTAATTAAAATTAAGCTTCCAAACCGCTCAGATCTATCTTACCCTAATTTTGGTTCAGCTTCACCTCAAGAAGTATGCTAAGTAAGTAACTCATAGCTTTTAAGTTAATCTTCATGCTAATCTTCTCTCAGTTCTTCTGGCTTTTCTATCCAAGTATTAAAGAATATTTCTGAAAACACAAATTTATCAATATAAATAATTGGTACAAGAAACCACCCAACATACTCTCAAATTACACAACCAACTGACTTTATGATAACAATTAATAATCCTTAAGGACTTAAAATTAATGAAGGTTACTTCCCATAAATAACTTTCTTGAAAAAAAGAGATCCTTCATACTTATATCTATCAATGTTAGGAACTTCTTACTTCTAAAATGTAGCATCAGATTATACATTTACCCTTTAATCCACTTCTGATTTGCCTTAAGGCGGGTTTATTAATTTAAAATTCCCTTAAAATTATCTTGAAAAAGCTCTTCAACTCCCATCTCTTCCTAAACCAACTTAAATAACAGGTAATAAATAAATAACTTATAATTTTTGAGAATTAAGTTTTTCATTTATTGATAAATTAAATTATATTAAAAATAGGATCTTGGTCAAGTAATTAGTTAATATATTCTTCTAGTTGGTCAGGACCAGTTTCAAGCTTTTATACACTAACTATTACCCCATAGTTCACATGGCCAGCTAAAAACTCAATTTCTATTTATTTCAAATTCTTCTAGAATCCTATTACAACTATTTAAACTGGGCTTTTCGCAGCTTATACTGTTTATGATAGCAAAAACGTTGATATTACTGATCCAAATGATGCTTCTCTTAAATTTGTTTATAAGCCTCAACCTGATTTAATGAAAAGTAGTTTTGATTTTAATCCTTAAAACGAAGGCTCTCTCTCAACTTATTAAATGAAAATAACACCTTCTAAAAATATACCTAATGATTCTACTTTATAATTTAAATTTGATACAAATTTATATCCTTCTAATTTATCTTCAGCAAGCTCTTAGGTAGATTAAACTAGAAAAAATACATTAATTAACACATTTTAAATAATTTTTAAAGGTTTCTTGTAGCATTAATGGGATTGACACAACTTGCACTGTATAGAATGGAGTTATAAGCATTCCACTCAAGCAATCTTACTCAGCAAATACTATTTTAGATATTAAACTCAATAATATCATGAACCCGCCATAAGGAAAAACAAATATAGTTGGTTAAATTGTTACAGGTGATAGTGTGATACAATACAAATCAGACATTGGACCTGTTGAATCCCAAAAAACTCCTAATAATTTATAGCTTGTTAGATTAGAAACATCTTCAAACGCTTTATAGGCTAGAGCTTAATACACATTTTGTATTGAGACATATGATTAAATCTCACTAAATGATGCAGTTTTCATTTACTTCCCTAACTAATTCCCATTCAAAAGTATTTCATTTTTTATAATTTTTTTATATAAATACATTTTTTTAATCAAAAATAGGTACTTATATTTGCTCTATTACTGCTGAGCATAACACAAAAGAGCTAAACTATGCTTTAACTTCAACTTCACCAAATTGTGCTACATAAAATAGCTAAAAAAGAATTGCCATTACTGGATAAACAACAGCAAAAACTTCTTCTAACTTAGCAAGATTATGTTACAGAGTAGATGGTATTGAAAACCCTTCGATACCTGGATAAACTGATAACTTTGTGATATAAATTTATGACCAAACTAAATAAGTAATTTTAAAATTTTTATTAATAAGTTTAATTAATTCTCGTTCATCATAAAATAGGTGATAAAAAGCGAAACTTCTGGATTAACTTCAACATAGACTACACTTTCGTTTGTCAGAAAAGGATTTTAAATTATTGTAGGATCTATTCCAGATCTTCCAAAGGGTGTAGTATCAAATGACATATCAATTGAGCTCGAAATTTCAGTGAGCTATAAAATTACTGCAATACCATTCTTAAAAAACTTTGAATTCATACCTCCTGTAGTGTTATTTGATCCCACAAAAGGTTAAAGGCAATATTTTAAAATAAAGCCTTTAAATTAAGCAGTAGCAGGATAGAAATTAATTATTTGGACTAAATAAGAGGACACAAGTAAATTATAATTATTCTAAAAATATTTGAAAAATATTGAAAATTACTTTTTCTTTTCATTTTAAAATTAAATGTTTTTTTATTTAAAAGAAAAAATTTTTTAAACTTTAAATAAAAACTGAATAATTTATATTATTTTTTTAATAAGCTGAAATTAAATTCTCTGACATCCCTGATAGTTAATTCAACTTAATTGATAAGCCCTATCCCAATTCTCTAAAAGCTATTCTTTAAACAACTGTTTCCAGAACTGCTTTGCTTTCAACTTCTCTTCCTATAGAAATTAAGTTGAATTAGCCTGCCAGTTAAGTGCTAAGTATTAGTGTTTTCACTTAGGGTCATTTGTAAGATGATCAAATAGATTTTGATCCACCTATAATAGTATTCTAACCAGGAGAAATATCCTAAAAATTTCGCTATACTACAAAAGAAAAGTCAGTATCTGGTTACCTAAAACTTCAATTAGATAAGTATTATAGAAATATTTATGTTATGCCTTATGATACTATTAGTATTGAAATTTTAGACATTGATAAAGCTACTCCTTAAGTTATAAATTATTATATTGAAAGTATGGATAGAACTTATATGTATTTACGTATATCAAGCGATGAGAGTGTTACAGTTTATAGTATGCTCAGTTTGCTTGGTACAGACTACCCGACTTCCTCAGAACTGAAAAATACTACTTTAAGAGAATATAATTAGAGAAAGACAAATGTGATGGAATTTTACATGCAAAATACTAGTTTTATTGCTCCAGCAGCAAAAAATTATATTTACTATGATTCATATCTTCACTTTACTGGTTTACAAGAATAAACAGAATATGTTCTATATTTCTTTGTTGAAGATCTCTCAAATAATTAAAGTCCAGTTCTTTAATTCTAATTTACTACTTTGAAGAAACATAATCCAGTATCATTCACTCTGAGAGTAAATGATATTTTAGCTGATGACAAACTCCTAAATGCCTTTGGTCTGATCACTTCACTTCCTCCAGAAAGATTTTAGATTTAATAAAGACCAACTAAATTTAAGATTGATGGTGTTATTGAAAAACAAATTCTTGATCTAATAGAAAATGTTTCGATAGAGTACAAATTTATTTTATTATAAAATAGCACCTCTAATGAAGTTCGCCCGATATAAAAAATATTTATGTTGGATAATTAATTTGATTTATTGTAAAACGAATTAAGCTCAGGTAGTAAAAAGTAAATTCTTGATCCGAATTTCAGTATTATTAAGCATACATATGAAATGATTGTAATCCCATAAGAATTTAAATATACTCCTGTAATTCTAAATATTACCTAAGATTCTGCTTAATTCATGGTATCTTTGAAATATAAAGGAATAGGATATGCTATTGTGTAATTGACTAGTGTAAAACCACCCTTGTCTCAATAAATTAAATATGGTTTAAATTCAACAAATTATAAACTTTAAAATTCATACTTTTACTCATATAAATTCGAATTCAAAGAAAACATTCCTGAAGAATAATAAAATATCACTCATATATTTTAATTTACTGAATTAATGGATAACTCGTAATACACAGCTTACTTTGTTGGTGAAAATAATTAATTAGTAAATCCAGATCTAATGGATTCTTCTAAAATTATTAAAATAGAATTTAAAACTAAAAGAGAGGAAATATCCATACCAAAATGGTTTAGAGCAAATTACATTTATTCATAATTGTTAACTCCAAAACAGGTACTTACAGCAATTATTTCGATCATATTCTTTTTGGTAATATGATTTACATCTAAAATATGTAAAATTAAAGAAATAAATATTAAAAATGTATCTTTTATAAATATTAACTAATTTCTTATTAATTTTTGATAAATATTCTTATTTTTTTTTAAGCCAATAATTTATAAAAATAATTTAAAGATATTATCTCAAATCTTTTTTAAATTATCTTCATGTTATATTCTAAATAAATTTTTTTCAGGTTTAAATTAAATTAATTTATAAACTCATTTCTCATTTTTACCTGAATTTTTTTACTGATATAATTTAATTAATTTATTTTTCAACCACCAGTACAATTAAATTCAAAGATCCAAATTTTAGAAAAGTAATTTAAGACAAGCATATTTTTTGTAATTACATTTATTGTTTTTTCTTTAAATATAATTTTTTTTTTGTAAATAACATTTTTCTTAATAATCAAAAAGAAAACCTATATTTAAATTAAAAGTAATAAATAAGTTTTAGTGTTTAATCAAATATTTTGTTTGTTTAATTTAGAAATTAAAATTTTTTCAATAAAAATATTCTGAGATCAAGCATTTATAACCATCAGATTATATTAAAATCTATTGATACACAAAATATCATTTGAATAAAGCAATTTGGTTTGAAGAAATTTTTGAAATTTCTTTCTATAAGGTGACTGAATTCTAAAATTCAAACTATTTAGATTAATTTTTGAATTTAGTTTAATTATCAAAGTAATAATCTATAATTACATTATTAAACTTAAATAAATAAACAAACAAAAATATATAAATAAATAAGCTTAAATAATCTCGAATTAATATTCAAAACAAGTATAATGGAATAAATAAGTTTTTAAATATATTTTTAATTATTCAAGTCCAAAAGGTGTTAATATTTTTATAAAAGTAAATAAATATGAATATCATTAAAGTTATATTTAATCAAATTTAGGTTTTAGTCATTAATTTTGAAAATATTTGGATAAGTATTTTCATATAATATTTTTTAGCTAAATAGTATATTTACTGTAAATTAGATCATAGTTTACTTTTAAATCCAGATATTTTAAATGTATTTCTGAATATTTTTACTTCGATAGGAATATTCAAGAGATGTAATAAATGTTAGTATTGGATTAAGAAACTCTATTTATTATTTTACTTATATTAGTATTGGTGGATTTTATTTTAAAATGAATTATTACCCCAACTCTTTAATGATGTTTAATCTAAAGTTTTGGTAGAGTTAATCATTTGTTTTTTTAATATCATTTTTAGCATTTGTTTGGTCTATTAATATAGGATATTATTTTTCCTTTCTATGGTTTAAATGATTTTATGTTTTAATTTAAGATTTTTATAGGTGATAATTTAATTATTTTAGTAACTAATCCCTCTAAAATAGCATAGGGTAAACCAAAAACTGCTAGTTTTAAGTAGTCATAGTGTTTTTTGAAGATATTGATTCTATTAATATTATTTTTTTAAATATTTTAATATAGTTTTTTTATGTGCTAGGTGTGAAATGCGATAATGGTTTCATAATAATTAGTATCTTGTAAGATATGTTAAAGAGTAGGTTTAATATTTTTAATCTTATTTGAAGAGTTTAGAGAACTTCAATTGTGTTCTAGATAGACTTTTAATAGTCATCCCATTCTAAGTTTCTTATATAGTACAATTTTTCAATTAGTTTCTTATTATTTTCATGAAAGGGTATATTTTAATCCATTTTTTGATAAAATTATAAAAAAACACTTCTAATCTACATTTTGAACGTATATATATTTTTTATCTTTTTTAGCTTATGAAAAATGATAACTTTATATAATAAAATAAAATAGTTTGAAATAAATTTTCAGAGATTACACATTTAACAATAAATTAAAAAAATATTTGATTATTATTATAATAATTAATACAAAAGCTAATTTTTCTATCAAAAAGTTTTCAGATTTTTAAAAAAGATTGGTGGAGTAATTACTATATAATTCTGGTAGTTGAAAACAAATTAGACCAATCTACTTTTTAATTTAATTTTATTTAAAGTCTGAATAAGAAATCCATTGCCTTTTACTAAAATTTACATTTATAAGGAGTTTTTCATACTGAATAAATTTGTATAAAATAGTTCTAATCGATGAGGAAAATACTATATATAATATTATTTATTTATAGCAAATGAAAAAAAAAGTTTGTTATCAAAGATTAGTTTTTTAAAAAAAGCATGAAGAATTATTTTTAATTCAGGTAAAAATTGAAATCCTTATAATCTTAATTTATTAAATAGTCTATCTGATAACACCAGAAGATGCAATATCTAAATAAGAATATATTTTTTAATTAAAGCTAAGGTTATTTATCAAATTGTGCAGTCATAAAAGATTAAGAAGCATGAATACCTACACATATAAAAAAGTTTATATTTTTTTTAGTTATATGGAAAAAGATTTTTATTTTTATATAGAACACAAAACTGAATTCATTCATTATCTTAATTAATGAACCTCTTAAATTTTAGAAAAAAAGATAAGATATAATAAGTAGTCATTTACTTATGTAATTAATATCAAAAACAATAAATAGATTTATAAAAATTAATTTAATAAAATCAAGGAGAACAACAAGGTTTCAATAGCTCTAAGCTTTAAATAATACAATTTCAAAGTCATTTAAATAATCAAGAAAGAAAATTATTTAGATAATAAATTTTTAAGGAATTTGAGATGATTGCAATCCTCAAATCTCTTTTTGTGCTTTGTTTTTACCACATTTTAGCATATGGAGGTAAATAGTTAATAGATTTAATAAAACAAAGGGTTATAATAAATAATAGAGTTAATCCAAATAAATTTAACCTTAAATTAATTTTACAAATATATATCCTACTTCCCTGAATATTATATTTCTTGAGTTATTTTTATATAGTATAAATAATGTTTTATATTTGATATTAGGAGTAATCTATCCTGATAATGCAAATCCAGTACAAATGGAAAGAACAAACGATGGTGCAACATCTTCATACAGTTTCTATATGAGTCTTTCAACGAGACTTCCAGCAAGTAAATATTGATTTACCTCATTTCTGCAGTTCTAAGGCTTTACCAATAAATACCCATAAAATGCAATCAGCAATAATCCCTTTATTTTCTTAAATTCTACTTCAATTTTTAAAAGTATTAAAAATAATTAGCGCTGAAAGTGGAAATTATAAAAATAAATTCAAAGTTTTATAAATAAAAATCAATCAAATATTAAAAATTAATTATCAGGTTTTAAATATTTTCTTATTTAGATAAAAGTCTTAGAAATTAAAAATATTTAATAAACTTTTCTTATACAATTATTAGACTACGGTATAATAAAAATTATGTTTCCTATATCGACATTTACGGATCCTAGCATGAATCCCACTCTGAGTTCAAGTGACTTTGGATAATTTTCATTCATCTAGACTTAGAATAATCAAGTAACTTTGTATCAGAATTAGCTTTATTAATACTAAGATGGTACTCTCACATCAAATTACTTATCTGCTACTTGGAATTAAGTAGGAAGATATCTTCTTATATCGAGTATATCAGATGCAATCAATGCTGGTTCACTACAGGTTACTATAAAATTTATACGTAATCCAGTAAACTGTGCCAATACTGTATCTGGTAACTTCTAAATCCAGACATTTATTAACAGCACGAAAATCGATGAAAACTTAAGCTTTGGAACAGTAACTTTTAGCAGTCCATATGTCCTAAGCAATTAAAATACCATTTCAAATGATGGCTCTAATTTAGGTGGTTTTGTTACAAACTATAAAGTTACTTTTAGTACAACAGTAACTCTCCCTGCAAATACTTGGTTTAGAATGAGATTTCCTTATGCTAATGTTTTAGGTGACACTACTTGCTCTTAAGTTGATACCTAGCAAACTCTAACTTGTTAGAACAATGGAGATAATGTACTCATTTTTAGTGGAATATCTAATTCTTTAAGCCCAAACACATACACACTCTAAGTTAGAAATATTACAAATCCTACTTATACAGGGTTTTTCAACTAATTTGTTTTAGAATGTCTTTATCCAGGTAAATTCTTAAAAATATGAATAAAACTATAACTTTAGATTAAAAATACATTTTTCTATTCTTAAATAATTAATATTTTTTATTTTTAAAATAATTAAGGAACAAATAATGTTTTGATGCTTTTCTATAACTCTCTGACAGGTATTACTATTAATCCAGGACAAGTGAAATCTGTTTCTATTTCTGGTAATCCTTTAAATATGAATCTGAGAATAGATTATACTATTTTATTCACACCTACTAATACAGTGCCTTAAGGAGGCAAAATATAAATTACTTTTCCCTCCTTAGCTCCTTCTGCTACTGATCCAAATCCTAGATCTTTTTAATTAGACTCAACTTGTAGAGTAACTTCTGGCTTAACTCCAATTGGTAATTAATTTTTGCATAATACTTCATGATTAATTTCAATTATTTAATTATTTCTAAAATATTAAGCTGGCTAGTAAAACGTAAATTGCCTTAGTAGTGGGTCTGTATTAACGATAAAAAACTTTTAAACATTTTTCTCTTAGCAAATTTAAGTTTTGATTTATGCTGTAAATCCTGGAAGAGCAGCGATATACACTCCATTCATAATTCAAACATTCTTATTTGATAAACCTACTAATTAGTACTATGTTATAGACGAAAATACCAATGCTGGTAGTGTGTCTATCTCTTCAGTAAATAGTTTGACATATGTTTAAATTGATTTTTTCACAACTATGCAAAATGGTACTTTTTCATAAAATATCCCACTTGATTTTAGACTCTATCCTAATCCAGGAAACGAATTACCTCTCTCAAATAGCATAACATAGCATGAAATTTCACTATAGCTTCCTCTTCTTTGGAGAAATAAAGCTGCTGATTTCACGATGTATTATTAATAAGGAAATTCGCCATGTAATTTAATATAAAATAGCAAATATTTTTATTTTAGTTTTTTATTTTATTTTAGCTGTAACATTTGGAAGTGAACCTGCATACTATAGTAATCCAAGTTTGGCTGCAAAGTATAATTTACAAGTTTATCAATTTAAGACTCCAAGTGCTACAAATTATGTTAAATTTCCTGCAGGGTATGGTCTTGGTTAATGTGATCTTCCTATTTCAATTAGTAATGTAATTATGCCACCTTTTGGAGGAAAATACCAATTCAGAGTTCTTACTTTTTATGGAGGTACTCACTATGTAAACTAGCCTCTAGAACAAGACTTATATACAATGGATATTGCTATTCCTAATTTTAACTCAGCTAGTGTTACAACAACAGGCACTGAAAGTGGTGATCAAGATAATGTCATTATTGCTACCCTTGTTACAGGTATTTTTTTAATTTGATTTTACATTGAATTAAATTGATAAAAATATTTTCAATTTAAAAAAAATTTTAATGATAAAAAAAATATTTTTTGATTGAAGAATATTTTAAAATTTTAAGTTTCAAAAATAAAATAATTGCAAATAAATACTTTTAAATTAAATTAAAGGTATGTAAATTCCATTTGAAGGAGCAATCAATTTTAACATGACTACAACAACGATATTTTCTGAAAACACTTCTAAATGGGATACATAACTAGGGTAAACTATGAGTATTACCTAGGCTAGTATAAACGTCCCTTGCAGTATATATATCAATAATGATTTATCTGGATTCTCAAATTCATAACATCCTAATGCAAGATGTTATGTTTTCAAAGGTTCTTAGCTTTAAAATGTGATACTTTAAGTTAGAGGTTTCGCATACCCTATTGGTGCAGGCTCTACATTTAAAATTTATGTTCCAAATATATAACTATGTTAAGATGTTTAAAAGTAGTGCTTTGTAACTATAAATTCAGCTTACACAGCAGACTTATCAGACCCTTATATTTTAAATACAATATATGTCAAAGTAGTAAATTCAATAAATCCAGCTTCTACAATTACTCCTGCATCTAACACAATTAATAGCCCAGCTCCTAGCTTTGCTACTCCTGCTGGATAAAGCAAAGAAATATGTCTCTATGCAACTTGGGATTTGGGAAGCAGTTTTTACACTACACCTTTCTCAACAGGTGATTCAATAATAATTATCTTCCCAAGTTATCGTTTTACATATTGGAAAAGCGATGTTTAGTCTATAACTTATTAGTTTGCGAACGGAGTAAGTGGCAGTGTAACATATATAAATTTTTATACAACTTAGCAGACTTACTATTTAATTTAATTGACAGGCAATGTTCCTGTTGGAAATAATTTATAATTAATTAACATAAAAAATGCTAATGATATCCATGATTTTGGCCCTAATAATAACCAAAATATAGTTTAAGGAGTCTAGTTATCAGGTAAATATTGGTAAAAAGGAATTAAAACTAGTTATGTTTCATGGGCAATGTCACCAGGATATATGGATGGTGGTATTTTGTTTACAAATTTATCCATATTACCAAATAACTCTCCTTCCGCACCTACTCGTACTGTAGCAACAGATATGGAATGGTAGGCTGAGGTTGTTTACAAGTAAATTAATTATTTTATTTATCCTAATTAATTTATATATTTTTGAAAAATTAAAATATTAGACTTGATTTCACAAATTGCAGACCTGTTCCTCAAGGTGGATAATTTAATATAAATATTCCTACTGGAACTCCTCCTTATTTAGCTATTAATTCAAACTGTAATGTCTAATAAGGTTTAGTGGGTATATCTTAACTCACCATTCAAAGTAGTATTAGTTGCTAAGTAATAAACAACTCAGGAAACTATGTAATCTAATTATCGTAGTTTTAAAATGTTGCTTAGTAAACAGCTATATCTGTTATATTTAGGGCAACTAACCCTGTTAAACAACCTACTAGTTGGAACCCTGGAAGTTACACTATAACTTCGAATGATTCTAGTGGAGTAAGTTTTATTATTATTTTTTTAATTCATGAAATGAATTTTGATATAAATATTAGAATGTTATCAATTTTACCAGTGCTAACTATATTTTACCTGCATTACCAGTAGCTGGACCAAGCATATTTCCCTAGGAAGCTTTATGGTAAAGCTTTTATATAACAGACAGACCTGCAAGATAAGGTGAAAGAGGATATTTTTACATGTAATTTACATCTCCAATATCATTTAATTCTGGAACTAGTACACTAACTATTAATTTTGGAGGAGGCATTTATCAACCAACTTAAGTTGACAACACAATATATAACTTTAATTTCTAAACTATGACAGGATATTTATATTGTACACTAAATGGCGAAATTGCTGAAAATTGTACTATTAACTAGCAAGTTGTAACGATGACTATTCCATTTACTAGTACTATTAATGGAATTTAGGCAAATATTTAGTATAATCTATAAATGGGTTTTAGAGGCAATGATGATAGCACTTCTACTAGAGATGGATTTGCTATGAGCTAAGCAGGAACTTATATTTTGTCGGCTTCAATTACAGATGGTTCTAACACAGTTTCTACATAAAAGGCATACAATGTAATGGCTCCTTCCTTTGTAAACTTTTGGGTATGGAGTATAAACAAATTAGTGACTGATTCATCTGATAACAAATGTTTTGGAGGAGGTTTAACTATTTGTGGTAGAACTGTTGTTGCTTTTGTATTCTCTCTCGTAAATCCTATTCCACCAAGTTTAGTCCCAACAGTATCTTAAACTGTCATTATTCTTGAATTTGCAACATACATTAGCACAGCTTTCCCTAATGGATTCGCTTCAGATTTAGGTAACACCTCAACTTAATATTTTTATATCATATGAAAATTTTTAATAAATAAATTAGGTACTGGGTTGCCACAAAGATCAAATGTCCCTTGCGAAGGCATGAATATACCAGTTTTAGCGGGATATGATACTCTTAGTTGTTAATTGTATTTAGGAACGTCTCCCAATCCTGCTTAGATTATTATTAGATAATTTGACACTATACCTGCTGGTAGTTATGAAATTCACATTCCTAACATTTTTAATCCTTCTATTCCAAAGGATTTACTTTAAGTGGACGTGCTAGTTTAAACTACATCTTTATGTATATATTAAAATTTCTGCTTATTAAATTATTAACAATTTAATTTTAAAAAAATAATTTAGCAACTGGTACTACAGTTCCCATATATCAGAATTACTATCAACTCGTTAATATGACAAATGTGATCTAATCTTACTTATTCCATTCATAACCTATAAATTAAGATTTAACTGGTAACGTAGGTTGTACACCTAAATTTTAAACAGCTACAACTATTGATACATTGGATTATTTAAATCTTTGCTTTTATTCAGGTGGTTTTGATATGTAAGGAGGAGATCATGTTCTTTTTTAATTGCCAAGCATGTGGATTTTACCTGATATTGCTACTTGCACTCCAAATCCTAGTGATTATGGAACATATTCTAGTTGCTATACTTATCCTTCTAGCTAGTAAGTGCTACTAGCTTTTTCAACACCAGCAAAAGGTACAGTTAACAAAAATAGTATATTAAAAGGTAATTATTTATTTAAATTTTAGTTAAGTAACCATAATATCATCATAATTTTTAGGTTCAATAAAATTGAAAACACCTCCATACGTTGCGCTTATTCCTGCAGCTTAACATATTTATGGATATTCATATTGGAGGTCAAGATTAGTAGCTAAATTTTAAATTCCAGATTTTACTCAGACACTCACCCCAAAGACCATTCCAGCTGCAAATATGAAAGTTACTGCAGATGATACAATATAAGGTTAATTAGCTTAGTACACTATAACATATATTGTAGTTAGTGATATACCAGCTGGTGGTTGTATTTAAATAATTATTCCAATAGAATTTAAGAATAAATAAAAAGAAAATATTTGCAGAAATGCTATAACTTAGGGATCTGACTTTGATCCTTATGGATATCAGTTTTAATGCAACTTAGTCATCGATCCTAGTCCAACTGTTAATGATTATCTTTTGGTTCATGATTTTGGTCCTTTTAAATTAGATCTTGGTGCCCTTCCTTCTTAAAAAAGAAATGGTACTACATTAATGGTTAACTTTAGAGTTTAAAATCCAGCTGTTGCTAACCCCTCATAATGGACAATTAAGTAATGGTACAAGAATGAGAGCCCTCTTAATTTGTTAGTTGCAGTAGGTAACACTAATTCTCCAGCTTTAAGTGCTCCTCCTACAATATCTTATTGGGAATAGCTCCTTTTAACACGTACTAAATTATATACTTAAGATTTTGGTGTTTTAGAATTTAAGATATAAGTTCCTGTTAATCTTAACGCTGGATAAACTGTTACAATTTAAATGCCTACTGGCTTTACTCAGCAAACTGATTCGTAGCTATTTTGTTATTGGGATTTAACAGTCTACTATAATCAAAAGTACCCTGCCCACACCTGTACATTAAGCGGTGGAGTAATAATTTATTTTATTTGAAAACTTAATAATTAGTTAAATGATATTTATTTAATATTATAAAATAGAATTTACTGACAATTGAAACTCCATTGTAAACCTATATAGATCTTTACAATGTAGCCCAAGGAGGTTCAGCGGGTCAACCAATAGCAGCAAACAGTTATTTGGTTATAGGAGTCAGTACAATAGATCAATATAATGGTAATAATGGTATCGTTATGCCTTCAACTTCTGGTTTTTATTCATTTACTATAACTTTCCCAGGCTCCAGTCAACCATATGTTGCAACTAAAAAAATTTATGTACCTCTTAAACCAACTTTTACTTACTTTGCACCAACAACAATAATAAACAACCCAAATGAAAAAACAGTAATCGATATTTATGTTTAGCCTAGCATTCCTTGCGATAATTTCAAATTATATGTTCCAGTTGTAGACTAATTCAACAATGATTTATTTGATGAAGATCTAGGAACTGGCTTCACATCATAAGCTGGAGGAACTCCTATAAACTGTTAATATTAAAATGGTGCTGTACAGGCAGCATTGACTTGTACACTACAATTTGGTGATAAAGGTTTAGGTACACCTGCTATAATTTCCATATCTGGCATAACATTTAATGCAGGAACTTCATATTTAATATCCATAGATCAAATTAAAAATCCAAATGTCCTTGTTGATGGTAGGGATGTTTATTTAATTTTAGAAGGTTTTATTGGTAGTACAATATAATCTTCAGATATCAACTATGACTTTACATTTAAATATGTTAATACGTAAGTTTTATAAAAATTTATTTATAAAAATTAAAAAATTTATATTTAAAAAATAGTCCTGCAGCTACTAACGTTGCTTCACAACCTGCTTATGGATCAGTTGTTATGGGTGGTACAGGTGCTGGTCCAAAAGAATTTAACATTAATTATCAGTTTACAATTTAATAAAAAGTATTTGCTGCTCAATCTAATCCAGAAAATTATGATTACTTTATTATAGAATTCCCTTTCTACGCTTTTAATTAATAGCCTCTTACAGTTTCATGTAGTCCTGGAAGCTGTAGATAACTATAAGGATGGAATTGGGTAATTTGGAAATATGACTCTAATTATAGTGTTGGAGCAACTATAAGTTTAACTGTTTCAGGTTTATAGAATGTAAAAATTTCAAGTACGACAGTCTAATTAATAGGTTACACAGTAAAAAATAGAGTAGTTGTTGATAAGAGATACTTTACAGCCTTAAATTAAGTAACTCCAATTTCACCATCAGCAGGTGATTTTACAATTACAGCTCCAGACTATACAAATATTTTGAAAGTAAATTAATTTTTAACAAATTAGTTTTAGAATTCTTTATTTTGATAATTTAAAAATTAATGATTAAAATAAATTAATATTGAATATTATTTTATAAACCATAAATAATTTAAATTTAACACATACAAAAAATAAATTAAAAAATATTTTGAATTTTTTTTAAATTTTGAGAATTTCAATAAAAAAAATTTACTTTTTAATAATAAAAATAATGAAAATCATATTATATTATTTCATAACAATCAAAAAATTTCAAATATTTATAAATTAATTCACTCTTTTTTTAAATATAGGTTCCTTAGAATTAAATGACTAGATACATATTTTAACTAAAGTTGCCAATAGCATTATAGGCTAATTAAGGTGTAATTGATTTTATATTCCCTTCTGGGTATACAACTTAAAATTATTGTTCAGACACTTTAGCCTATCCTTTCCCTGCATATTAAGACTATATTACATGTGTAAATAGCTAAGTTGCTCAAGCAGTTTCAATTAGTGGATTTGGTAATGTACCTGTAGGCTAAATAATATAAATAGAAGCATGGGCAGCTAATCCTTCTACTGCTACTGCTACACCAACTTTTACAGTCAATATTTATTAAGATGCAGGTCGCACTATGAAGCTTACTACATTTAGTGCTACTGGACCAGCTATATCTGCATATGATTCTACAGTTTTTGCAAAACACTAGGCTGAGTACATTAACTCAATTAAATAAAACAGCTATGGTGAATTTAATTTCTATCTTTAACCGGGAATGGCATTATCAGAAACTGACTACATTTAACTCTCTTTCCCAAATAGCGATGTCAAGGCATAAGGATAAACATATCTAGTTTGTGGTTTTAACAACAATAATATAAATATAGAGTCAGCTCTCTGCAAAGTTACTTAATCTTTACCTCTTACAATAAGAATTTATGGTCCTGTAGATAGCCCGTTAACAGCTAATACTCTGTAACATTTTTATTCATATTTTTTTAAATCTATCAAAACAAAATTTTATTTAAAATAATATTTTCTTTAAGGTTAATTATGATTTTAAAGAAAGAAATGAATTTTTAAAAATATTAAATTAATCTTTTAAAATATTAAAAAAAGATACTTAGTTTATGTTACAATAGAAAATGGAGCTCAACAAGGATTGCAGTTTACTGGAGTGGGCGAAACAAAATTTTAAGTAACTAATTCAAATAATTTAGGAACTTTGACAGATGTATATTTCACTATTTACCCTACTGCTAATTTCAATACTTTGGCAACTTTAGAAACAACTTATGAAAATTCTGGTTCTGTAATAGATTTAATTGTTACTGTATAAACTACAGTTTAAGTTCCAAATAACGGATATATTGTAGTTGCTTTCCCTAAACTTGCAGAAGATGGTGTAACCACTCTATTTGATGACTATTTAGGTAAAACAGGCTTAGTTCCTGGATCAACTGTAAACTGTGCTGGTAAACCAAGTGGAACAACTAGCTACTAATGCACTATCAACTCTAATTTCAGAAAAGTTATGGTTTCATAGCGCTTAAGCTCTGGTTTAAATTCAGCATACTCACTTTTGATAAATGATATCACACTTCCAGCTCAAACAGCCTCTACAGGATAAATTTCTATTGAGGTTTATACAACTGCTTAAGATGGCACAATGCTTGAAGCCTTTATATTTAGGAATATACTAACTCCATACAATCCATCTGTATATGCTCCTTCTGCTGCCCCACAAGTAACTACAAATCCAGCAAATACAGGTGTAACGTTTAGTGCTGGGACTCTTACTTTTACAACTGTAAATTTAGGAAGTTCAAATATGTTTAGTGGAAATAATGATAGGATTGTTGTTAAATTACCCATTGGATTTGATCTTACATCTGCTTCATTTGCATCATACGCTGCTTCTGAGTACATAGGAATAGGAAATATCATGATTGTGCGCTTAGCTAATACTATAAACTCAGGAATATAAGCACTCCAATTAAATAATGTAGTTTCACCACCAACTCCTTAAAGCAATCCAGTGATGAATGTTTATGTTGTTGTTGGAGGTGTTTATAATTATTTATATTAATTTACACCTACACTTTCTACTTCTACGTTTGCCTCTATCTCATTAGCTCTTCCTTACTACACTTCAAAGGTAGTTCCTTAAGTAATTTAAATAACTTTTAAACCCTAATAAAATTTAATTGGTGTAAACACTGTGTATTTCGCTGTATTAAATTCACCTTTAACTGCTCCTGTAAGTCCTAGAATAGGATAGAGTTTACCATGTTCTGCAGGGACAGATGATGTTTACTGCTAATTAGTTACATCTGGTACCTATTTTGGAATAACAATTTCTGCACCTACAATAATCATAAGTGGCATGGATGATGCAACAACATCCACACCAAGAATTTTAACAATATATAACATTAAAGAGTATGCTAGTAGTGCTTCTATTAGTATAAATTTTTCAGCTGTTGATAGAGTAAATAAATATATAAAATATACTAGTCCAATATCTGTATCATTATCTGCTGACACTATTAATTCTTCTGCTTCTTCAGTAGCTAATACAATAACTACCTTATAAGCCTTAGGCAATCTTGTATTTAAAATTACATCATCAGACTTGCCTTTATATGTCGCAGGGACTAAAATTATTCTATTTTTTGATAACTTCCCTTCTAATACTTTAGCTAATGTAAACACCTTGTCTGCAACAATTGATTACGATGGATCTAATGCTAATTCTTGTACAACTTTTGATTAAGTTGCATTAGCTATTATATGTGATGTTTAATAAACAGCAACAAGTTAGATTAATTTGAACATGAATAGTATTTTATTACCTTCAGTTTACTTCACTACTGCTACTACAGTGACTTATTAAATAATTGGTTATTAAGTCTCTACTAAAAAAGCATTTTCATATATTACTTTTTATCCTTAAACATCAATGACTGTATCTACTCTTGGAAGTGTTTCATCTACAAAAATTACCAACAATTAAATTTAGCTTTAATTTACAACAAATTTACAAGTCCCTGCAACTGGTTAAATTTATATAACTTTAGATTCGTCACCAGGAACTGCATTCTAATTTTATACAACAACGGGTAACCTTTTTACAGGTTCTTATACAGCTAATCTAAGTGGAAATATAATAACAATTTCAGGTAATTAAACATAGAATACAATAGCATTTTTTATGATATTTTTTATTTCAATAAAAATTAATAATTTTATAAAATAGGCTTTAGTTTAATGAGCGCTGGTTCTTATAATCTTTACTTTGCATTCTAGGATTAAACCAAAGTTCCATAAATAACTTAAATAGATACTATGCAAAATGGTTTTAAAATTGAAACATCAACTGTTACTTAAACAAGTAGTGTTTCTTCAAGCCCTGGATCAATTACAGTCAATAGCTTATAAATTATAGAAAGCTAAACATTACTTATATAGTTTACAACATAAACCACATTCACTAATGGGTAAATACAATTAGATTTTGGATCTTCAATTACTTCGACTACATTTAATGGTTAGATCATAGACTCTACAAATATATCATTACAGCCTACGTTTGTATTATCAACGCAATACATTTACATCAAAAGTAAATTTTTTTAAATCAATAGAAATATATTTTTTATCATAATTATTAATTAGACATAGGAACTTTCACAGCTGGCTCTATTAAAATAAAATTGTTCTTCAGTAATAATATGCCAAGTTAAATAGCAAATATCAATACTTTAAGCTAATACTTTGATGTTGTTGATACCGTAGGAAGTTCAACTTTGATAACTGCAAGGACTTTTATGATTGCTTAAAACTGGCTTGCTCTACAATCTTTATAATACTATAGTAGTGTTTCAGTTGGTGGAAATAATGTTTTACTAACATTTAGAATAAAATTAAAAACTGCTATATCAGCTACTACAGATTAACTGATGATTACTTTCCCTAGTAGCATAGATATTGCTAGTATGTATAGTAATAAAATAAGACTAAAATGCAATGTTAAGATGCCCTACTAAACATACAATAGATACCGTACATATAAGTGTTTCTTCCAATAACTCACTTCTACTTATCTTGTTATTTAAGGTTACGCATTTAGTGCTAATACTGTCTACGATATTGAATTAATTCGTTTAGGAGATACTACTTCTTAGAGATACATGTGGACTTTGCCTTCAAGTCCTTAGGTATACTATTTTACTATTGATAAAACTAACTATCATGCCGTATAAGATACAACAGCTCCAACAATCACCCACACAGACTCCATAATTATGGAAATATATTCTTAAGTGTCACCCTCTGCATACTTTTAAAATTATGATGGATCAGTCAGTAAAAATACACTTTACAATGTTTAATTTAACTCTGGTGGCAGCTTTGGATATATTGATATAGAATTCCCTATTAATTAAGACTAAGGAGCATCTTAAGTAAGCTTGTTTGCATAAGATTTAGGATCAGGACTATTAAATGGAAAATCCTTTACTTGTAATGATAATGCAGGAAATTTAGGAACTAATGTCAAATATCGCCTCTTTTATGGTTAATCTACTATACAAAATTCCTCAAAAATTAGAATTCTTTATTCAGCTAGTGGAAATATCAATATTAATATATAAAATTTAATTAATCCTAGCACTGTTAATGTTTCTACTAGAATAAGAGTAAAAGCTGGTTCAGGAACTGCCTTATCAAGTATGCAAGTCTTTAGATATGCAGTTTACACTCTTTCTTATAGTCCTGCCACTGCTACTCTACCTACCCCTTCATTCTCTCCAGCTACTGCATCTACTTTAGTTACAATTAATATCAATGGCCTATCACTTACAAACAACCTATCTATAGATGGAAGCTCAATTCTAAGATTTAGTTATGATCCTCTTTAGTATTCTTCAACTATGAGCTCTTCTAATTCCAATCCAAATTTTTTAACAGTCTCGTAGATCTATTTCTGTATCACTTCAGCTTCTTTGCCAAGCAACTATAATTTGGCAATTAATAATATTTACACACCTCCAATTATAGGTAAAATCATATTTAACTATTTTTAGTTTTACTTTAAAATATAAAAAAATAATTAAAAAATGAATTAATAAGATTTTCCATAATCCCCTCCTTTTTTAAAGGAATAAATCACAAGTTAAAAAACTTAATAAAAAATTTAATAAAGGGAGGAATGTTTTCTTATTTAAATTACTTTAATTTTTTATTTTTATTATTTGATAACATGAATAAGTTAATTAAAATTTTTTAAAAACTATAATTCAGGTACATATACTTATAGTAGTTATATAGTTACAGAAATAAGAAATAGGAAAGTAAGAAAAGTGTTTACAGGAAACGTGAATTAAGCTTTAAGTGCAGGAGGTAACTTTGTGTAAAATTAGTAAATCATTGCTAATTCATATAATGCTGGTTAAACTAATGTAAGGTATTATTTAACTTATGATCTTATGTAGAATTAAGTTTCTGGTAATACTATCTAAGTTATATTCCCTTCTGCTTAGTACACCATAGCAGCCAGTTTAACATGTACTATTCAGGATAAAAATAGTTTAGCTACAATTTCAAGCACGTGTTCCAGTAATACTTCATCTAATAGTTTTGTAATTTAACTCTCTACTGCTCTTAAACCAGGAACAAGCTATATTATTAAAATGGTAGTAAACAATCCAACAGCTGTTGGTTTGACAAATAACTTCTAAATGAAATTCTACACAGATAACACATTAGCTACTCTACAAGGCCAGTAGAATGTAAATGGAGTTACTATAATTAATTAGCTTATCTTAATTGCAAGAATGTACTAACCCCATACAAATGTATATTTCTGCTAATCTCTAGATACTTGCCCTCTCAAATTTACAGCTAAACTTACAAATGCTTTAAATATGGGTGTAGATAGTTTATAGATTGCAACAAGCTATATAGGTACGGTCATTAAATTATAATCTTAAACAAAAGAGCTTTAATGTTGGATAAATGAGCTTGCAGCTTATAATTGTTATATTAATAATAATATTATCTATATTTTTGCTCCTATTCAAACCACATTTGCTACAGGAAGTAATTAATTTTTTTTTATTCTAAAAAATAATAAAAATTTAAACATTCTATTTAAATATTTGTCATTTATGGTGGTTATTTGTTAATTTAAAATTTTTTTACATTAAAAAATATTAATTCCATTTTTTATTAGCAATATTGAATGTCGATATTAGATCATGGAGAGATTAAAGATGGTAAGGAACACAAAATGCTATTCGAGATTTTTAATTGATACCAACTTGGACTCAGTATTAAACTACCCCCTCAAACTTCTAAAATGTACCAATAAATCAATATACTGGTGCTTCTTAATCTTACATATTCAAGAAGAATTGGATTTTTGTTAATTAAGCTTTTAATAGAAATAATTACGCCTTTGCTTGCTCAATATCTACAACTATTAATAATCCTACTATAATTAGAGTTAGATTCTAATTACCTAACTCAATGTCTTTCCCAGATGCTCTTCCTACTACGGCTAACTGGGGCTAATTTATTTTATATCTTGAAACTTACAATGAAATTAACTAATAACTTTTCCCATACAATTTAGAGTCTCGTTTTATTAAAGATGGGTAACAAATAGACTGTATTTGTGTTAATTGTAATAGTAATATGAAATTCCTCTGCTACATTCAATATGGTGGTACTGCACAGTCTGCACCTGCTTCTATATCTATTCACCCTCAATAAACTACTAATCCTGGCACAACATTTATATTCTCTTTCCCCAAAATAAATTTACCTCCCAATATCAACAAGTATACTTTTAAATACATAAACCAAAATTTTTGATTGATTAATTTTATTTTAAAAATACAATAGTTATGCAAGAATAGGCCTTAAAGCAATATAATTTGACAGCACAAATAAAGTAGTAAACGAATACTTAGAAATGCTTATGGATTTTGTTTTTTACACTAATCCAAACAATATAAATAATGCAGGCTCAATAGGCCTAAGCTTCCCTGCAGGACATCGTGTTGGTGATCCAATGTAAGTATCATGGAATTACAATATACCCCAAACTCAAGCGCTGCTATCTAGAGATAGAATTGTTATCACAACTACAACTGCAACAAATATTATAGAATAACCAACAAATCCTTCTATAGCTCTTACTACAACAGCTGATGTTGGAACAGGTAAATTTAAGTTTGTTTTAAATTTATTATTAAAAAGTATTTATAAATTTAGTGAGAATATATCCCTTAATCAACTGGCTTGAAATAGAATTTACAACTAATATGCCTTCAAATTCAAAAACTGCCATTACTTATAATTTTAAAAACATGCCTTATCAAATTACTGGAGGAGTTTATTATTAACTTTATGCATTTTCACAAGGAGAGGAAAGATTAGTTTAACCATACAATAATATACCTTTTGCAAATCCTCATCCTCTTTTTTTCAAAAAGTTTACTACTACCGTACAATACATATCCTAGCCAAATACTGTCACAGTAAATCCTTTTTTTTTAATTTGTCTAAATTAGTTAATTTTTTTTAATTTGAGAATTTGCTAAAAAACTTATCTTTTTATTAATTTAAAACTAACTTTTTAATTATTTAGCTAGTTAATAAAATAGTTTATTAATTTTAATTTCTTTAAATAAAAAAGTTTACTTACTAGCCTTACAATAAAATACCCATAGGAGGATATATTTCTATTTATTGGGGAACATTGAATGCAGCTGCTGATTCAGATTGGTAATTCTTAAGTAACTATTGTGTTATCCTTAGTGGTTTATCAAATGCTTAATGTATTGTTGTTTCATCATAAAGAAGAATATATCTTTATGATTGGGATACATAGTATGATCCTGTTGTTGGAGGTGTTATTAAATTTGTATTACAAATTTAAAATAGTGGAAATGCAGGTAATAGAGTGAATTTTAGTTTAACAACTTTTTGGGATTTAACTGGCTATAATAACAGACCTTAAGTTCCAGGATATGATCCTAATTATAGCCACATCATTGATTAAGATAACTCATATACTAATTTTAATGTATTATCTATTGTATTGCTTTAGTTAAATATATTAGATAGAGTACAGGAACCTATACCAGTTTGTGGTGGTAACCGTGGACCTATAGTACTCAAGTTTTAATTTAGAAAGAATTATAGCTACCCTTCTGATTATATTGAAATTAACTTTTTTGCTTAAATTCAATAACTTTTAGCTGGAGAGGAACTTATTTGTTATTTTGCTGATACTGGTAATGCACAATTAATTTTTGTTAAGACTTTCAGATGCGACCTCCGTCCTAATGGTGTTATATGGGCTTTCATTCCAGAAGAAACGAGTGTTAATAGTGGCTCTGAGTATTTGCTTTATCTTACAGTTAGAACAAACAATGGTAATATTGAAAATATTTACATAATTTTTCTATAAACTATTTTATAACTTAGTATATACATGGGGTATTCAAGTGAATGGTCCTTCTGCTATTTAATGGACAAGATTATCAACTAGCAACGAAAATTAAGGAAATGATTATTATCAAGAAGGTAATTAAATTTTTATTTATTTACTTTTTAATAGAATTAATTATATGATATTTTTTATCTAAATTTTTATCATTTATTTTTTTATTTTAGTTGCTTGGATATAAGCAAATATTCCTCCTTGCCCATTTGATCCAAATGTATTTAGAGTTTATTCCTACTCACACGAAGCTAATACATATAGTTACAACAATAACATTGATGCATAAACTTTTGCAGAATAATACTTGTATACCTATATAAATGTAACTTTAGCTACAGTTAATAATCCTATAGCATCTGGCCTATTAACATCCACTTCTAGGACAAGAATTGTATTTTAATTTTAGACACATAATGGTATATTCCCAAGTTGGGATGAAGATCCTACAGGCTAAAAACTAACCACAGCTGGAGCTGCTAGTTGTGGTGGAATGTACAATGGAATTTTTGGTACACCTTTTATACCTGCAGGATAAAAGTAACAAATATTTAATTATAAATAATTTCATTAATTAAATTTTTAAATTATAGTTTATTGTCGTGCTCTATTATTCCTGCTTCAGGTTAACTTCCTACTACTCCAGCATACATAATAATGGAAGGTCATCCTGCAATAAATGCTGGAAAGGCATTTAATATTGCATTAGGAAGAATAAAAAATCCTAACAAAATTGTAGATGGAACTGTATTTAACAATCCTTAAATCGGAAAAAAGACTTATAATGATGCTCTACCTTTCAGATATTAAACTGCTGCTCACATGAATATTATTATATAACAGTTACAACCAGATGGAACATTTTATCGTAAATTTATTTAAAATATATTTTTATTTTATATAAAATCACCTCTATAAAATATGATTAAATTTGGCAATATTTATTCTATTTTTAGATTAAATATACTATTTCAATAAATAAAAAATTTTAACATTAACAAAAAACTTCAAAATTTAAATATTTTTTACAAAATAGCAATAAATAGTTAATGGAGATACTATATAGTACCATAATGGAATGATGCGACACCTCCTATTATCATGGGCTCTAGTTAATTCTAAATTTAACACTATGACACAAGAGTTAATTTCGACTTGAGAAATGTAACAGTCAATATAATTCCTCTTGGTATCTAACTAAACAAATATCAAAGCGCTGTAGTAATTTAATATGGATATCCATATCAAATGGTCAATAATGCAGGTTGTAAGTAGCACGATGCATGGGTAAATTAAGGCCAATGCTCCAACTATAACCCTAGTTGTCCTGTTCCTCATGGGCCTGTTGGGTGTACTTTCTTACCACAATCTAGATGGCTAGTCTTTTCTAATAACTTAGATACTGTTACTAATTAGTATATGGCAAGAGAAGTAGAAGGTACAGGGTATCCATATAATCGTAGGAATCCTCCGTTTACTTATAATTATCTTAATGCTTAATCCTTACTTAGAGCCTGGGTGTATGATGGTTACAAGACAGTAATTATGAGATCTAATCAATATATAACTCCTTAATAGATGCCTTGTGGTGTAGTAATGGAAACAACAGCTGCTGATAATCCTGAAAATAGAGATGTTCTCTATAGAATAGGTTTGTACATATACACAAGAACGAGTACTATGAAAACTATATGGCTTTTTGCTCCAAATTCTTTCTAGAATATAAGAAGCTGTAAAATAAAGAAAGGGGTTGTTTTAGTAGATTTTAACAATATTAGTAATGATATTCAGTGTAAAATATCTTACTAGACAACGAATTGGTTTATAGAAATAACCAATTTCAATTATAATGAAAATTTTGAAGATGGGTTAATTATACTTGAGTTAATGATAACCAATCCATATAATGCGGGATGGACAACAGATTGGGTATGTAGAACTTTTTCTGCTAACTCATTACAAATAAATAACCTCAATTATAATGCAAATGGCAAAACATGGGTTGGCAAATTTGTTCCTTTCCCAAATTTATTCAGAGTTTATAGAAATACATTCAGTTTTTAAGATAGAAGAGCTGGTATTAACTAATATGCTGAAATGAATATGCGTATTATACCTAGAGCTTATCACCCTGAAACAGATGACACCTAGTCAACTTAAATTTAGGTTTGGATGCCATTAAGTAATTAAAATTTTAATAAAACTAATTACTAAAAAATGTATTTCTTCCCACATTTAATAAGTTACAATATAAAAAAAAGCAAATAAACAAATATTTAAATTATATTAGTTATTAAATCTTAATTATGAAAATACAATATCTTTAAATTTTTTTAGAAAATAAAACTTTTACTTCTTTTTTTTATCTTTTTTCTAAAGATTGTCTTAACTTTAATTAAATTAATAAACCTATTTAAATCTTCTTATTAAATAAATAAAGCTTATGATATCCCTAATGGTGGTACAGATGTTTGCTCAGTTGACCATATTTATCATACTGATATAGATGGATAATACTGCTAGATTACTTCTGATCGTAAGATCTTTATGAATACTAATAGGAATGTAGGTTTATTCAACAAGTGTGGTCTTGTGTTTTTCACTACATAAAGTAAAAAATTTTATTTTGTAAGATTATTTAATTAACAATTAAATCAAAATAGATTCTATAAATAATTAAAATGGTGTCAAAATGCCTCCCGTTGCTGGAGCTGATTAGTTCTAAGTATTTATTACATCTAAAGATACTTCAGGAAATGTGTCATAAGAATATTCTAACTAAGGAGCTACTACAAATCCAAGCTATTTAAGCACGACTGCTTATCCTGCTGGAAATTCTTACTCATATATTACTAATGTTATGTAAAGCTAAATTGAAGCCAGAATAATTCTTTCATTCTATACTCCACGTGATATCCCTCCTGGATATGATACTTCTGTTGGTATTTCAGATCCAAGCTTAAAAAATCCAATAGCTTATCTTGATATAATGTTTAATACTCGTGATTATATAGAATATTATGGTTCCCCAGGATGGAATTTAAATCTAGTAGCTGCTTCTCCTATTAATCCATTTGCTTGCAAAGCTTATGCAGGTTTAATTCCTCAATCAGGATAAAAGCTTATTTGTACAATCATGCCCTCAACTTAATAATCTATTTATAACCCTGTTATAGTACGTGTGTCTAATTTCTAGTCAATATCAGCAAATACTTACATTGAGCTTCATTTACTAAATATACCATGCCCTCCTCAAACTTACTATAATAATTAGGGCTTTATAAATACAAGAGTCTTCTAATAAAACGGTGACGGATCTCAAAACGATATCATAGGAAGTAGCTAATTTACCCTTGGTCAATCTGCACAATTAATTAACTGGTATTATTGGTCATCAAATATGGCTACTGTTACTCCAAATTAAGTTGGTGCTTATTCAACTTGGACTTTCTTTTTTGATTAAATGTATGATTATCAAAATAACTACCAAGGATGTTTCGATGCAACTGGAAATCCAATGTTTAGCTTTTTGGCCAACACAATTTTAGTTTTGAAAATACCTAATGTAAAGTTTGTTTTAGTAGATAATGGATAAATTTCAGCTACTATTGCTAATATACCAGCAAAAATTTGGATATATGAAGACACTAATTAAATTTTTGTTAAAGTTCCTTAAAATACGCCTTGTGGTTCAGGAGGAGTTATCAATAGCCTCTAAATTTATTAGCTTAGAAACGCTGCATTCAGATTCCCTACACCATATTCTATACGTATAGACTCTTATGATGCTGCCTCAAGGACTATAATTCGTACTTACCTTTACACCCCCATAAGTAATCCTGCAGTAGGCAGCTTTGTTTCCTTGAGTATGTACCTATCTAAATATTTTGCTGATGAGCGTTATGTAACTTACACATACGGATTCACTCCTTCTTATGATGTTCCTCCAGGTTCTTTGATAACTATTACCTTACCAAATCGTGCTGCTCTTAATTTCCCTAGCTTTGGTTAGGCTTCTCCCTAAGAAACTTGCTAAGTCAGTGATGCAACTTCACTGAGTGTAAGTTCATGTGTTTCCACATTTTCACCAAACGGTTTTAGTATAGTAGTTCTTAAAGATATTCCAGAATAAACGAGTTTAACTGTTTAAATTGTTGGTACTCGTAACAATCCAAGCTATGCTTAGTAAACTCTTCCTAATGATTTCTAAGTTTCTATAACTCATCCACTTGGCTATTTAATAAATAGTGGTTATTTCCCAGTAATTACTTATCTCCCTAAACGTAGTACATCCTTTTTATATCTAACAATGAGTGGAACTTCTTACTTTTAGAATATTATCACAGACTATACATTTGTCATACAATCTACATCTGATTTACCCATTGGAGGTTATATAGTGATGAATTTCCCTTCAAATTTCCTTGAAAGAGCTCTCACTCTTCCTCCTCTACCTACTCCAACTTAAATAATAGGTTATTATTTTAATAAATTTTGCTACCTTTACAAATTTTATCTTATTTAAAAACGAATTTTATTAAAGTTGACTAAATAAAAATTACTTATTCACTTAGTATTTATTATTTTTTTACAAAATTAGGTTCGTGGACATCAAGTTCTTTAACTTACTCAACAAGCTGGTCAGGTCCAACTGGTTCTTACTATACTTTAACAATTATACCAACATTCATGTGGCCTGCTAAATCTTCAATGACTGTTACTTTCAAAGCCTTCCCAAATCCTATGACCACACTTCAAACAAATTTATTCTCAATCGCCACTATTTACGATGGAAAAAATGTTGATTAAACTGATCCAACAGATAATTCTTTATTATTTAATTACTCTCCATAACCAGCCACAATGTCAGCGACCTTTAGTTTTAGCCCAAAAAACGAAGCTTCTTTATCTAATTATTAAATATCAATAACCCCTTCTTAAAATATTCCAGTGGGAGCCTAAATTTAATTCTAATTTGATACTTCTTTATATCCTTCAAGTCTTTCATCAGCTAATTCACAGGTAAATTATAATCAATAATGCTCTTTTTTGCATATTTTATTCTATAATTTATTTAATTTTAAGGAAAAATATTTATTGAAAAAATATCAATCTTTAATTATTTCTACTATTAAAATAATATTTTTATATTTTATAATAGGTTGCTTGTCTTCTTAATGGAGTAGCTACTACATGCACAGTATAGAATGGCGTTGTTAGTATACCCGTTACTTAAGTTCTTAATGCAAACAATCCAATATAAATCTAACTAAACAATATTATGAACCCAAGCTAAGGATCTACAAAAATAGTAGGTTAAGTTTCATATGCAGGAAATATTCTTCAATACAAACCAGATATTGGACCAGTTTAAACAACCTCACCTCCTAATAATCTTTAACTTACTCAATTATCTACTTCAAGCAACGCTTTACTTGCAAGAGCACAGTACACTTTCTGTGTATAAACCTCAAATTAAATTGCAATTACTGATTAAGTTTTCATTTTCTTCCCATCGCAATACTCTTTTAAAAGTAAGTTAAATAAGCTAGTTGATTTTATTTTCATAAATTTTAATTTTTTAAAAAAGGTGTTTATACCTGCGCCATTACCCCTCAGCACAATAATAATGAATTAAATTATGCATAAACATCAACTTCTCCTTTATGTACAACATATAATGATTAAAGGAAAATTTCAATTACAGGCTAAACTGCTGCCAAAACGGATACAAATACAGCTTAACTTTGCTATTACATTAATGGTATAGAAAATCCATCTATTCCTGGAACTACAGATAATTTTGTAATATAAATCTATGACCCTGCTAACAATGTATTTAAATTAAAATTTAAAATGTAACTTATTTAGAAAATAAAATATAGGTAGTAAAATCTTAAACTTCAGGTTTGATTTCCACCTTAACAACTTTGAGTTTCTATAGAAAAGGATTCTAAATTATTGTTGGTAGCATTCCTGACTTACCAAAAGGTGCTTCTTCAAATGACATTACTATAACACTTGAAATTGCTGTTAGTTATTTTGTAACTGCTATTCCTTACTTGAAAAACTTTGAATTTATTCCTCCAGTTATATCATTTGACCCAACATAAGGAAAACAACAAACATTTAAAATTAAACCCTTAGATTCTGCTGTTGTTGGACCTTAAAACATTGTATGGACTAAATCAGAAGCAACATGTAATTGAATTCTAATTGAAAATATTAAATAATTTTATTTTACTATGAAAATTTATTAAAAAAAAAAAAATATTTTAATTTAAGTTTAATAATTAATTAAGTGATTATACATTAATTTATTGAAATATTAACTTATTTTATTTAAACACTTAAATGGAATAAATAATTAATTTAAATTTTTTTATTTAAAAATATTAAAGCTACAAATCAATTCTCAGACATTCAGGATACACCATTTAATCTGATTGCTAAACCCTATGCTAATTCTCTAAAAGCTGTTCTTTAAACTACTGTTTCTAGAGCTGCATTGTTAGCTACCTCTTTACCTATTTAGGTTATTTTAAATTAACCAGCAAGTAAAGTGCTGACTATTTCTATGTATACAAAGAACCATCAGTAAGACTCATTACTTGTATTCAATCCCCCTTAAATGGTATTTGTACCAGGCTAAGTCTCATAAACCTTTACTTACACTACAAAAAATGGGGCAGTTTCTGGGCAAATTATGTTTTAATTAGACTCATACTATTAAAACATTTATATTATGCCTTACAATACTTTAAGCTTTGAAATTTTAGATATAGATAATAATCCTCCAACAGTAAGAAACTACTATATTGAGAGTATGGATAGGACTTACATTTACTTACGTATTTCTTGTGATGAAAGCGTTAATGTTTATAGTATGCTAACACTTTAAGGAACTTTGACGCCTACTACAGCTGAACTTAAAAACAGTACTCTTCGTGCTACAGATGGTAATTAGACTGATGTTATGGAGTTATATATGCGCAATTCTAGTTATGTTGCCCCAGTAACAACTAATTTTATTTATTATGACTCCTATTTACACTTTACAGGTCTTGAAGAATAGACTTCATATTTATTATATTTCTATGTGGAAGATCTATCTGGAAATGCAAGTCCTGTTTAGAGCTTCAATTTTACAACTTTGAAAAAATAAAATCCATGTGCATTCTCTATAAGAGTAAATTAAACTATCTAAGATAGTACTCTATTTAGTGCTTTTGGTTTAATCACTACACTTCCTGCTAGCCGTTTCTAAATAACAAGCAAACCCTCCAAGTTTACAATTACTGAAGTAATAGAAACTGAAGTTAAAGATATAATTGGTACCGTTCCAATGGTTTACTCATTCATTTTACTCTAAAACAAAACTGCAGATGAAGTGCGTCCTTTGTAAACAGTTAACCTATTATAAAATGAATTTAGTTTGCTTCAAACATAACTAAGTACTGGATTTAGTACTAATGTAGTTGATCCTACTTATAGTATCATAGAACATGCTTATGAATTAATAGTAATACCTTAAGAATTTAAATATACTCCAATGATAGTAAATTCAACAGAAGATAGTGCATCCTTTATAGTTTCTTTGAAATACAGTGGTATTGGATATGGAATAGTATAGCTAGCAAGTGCTACCTAGCCAACTGCAAGATAAATAAAGTATGGATTAAATTCAACTAACTTCTTACTTCCAAAATCTCAATACCAAAAAATTCCATTTGTTTTCTCTTCATCAACTCCATAAGACTAACAAAATATAACCAACAAATTTGAGTTCAGTGGACTTCTTGACCATTCTGATTATGTAGCTTATTTCATTGGAGAAAACAGTCAACTCGTCAATCCAGACTTAATGTCAGACAATTAGATAGTAGCCATACCTTTCTCTACAAGTAGAGAATCTATCAAAATACCCTCTTGGTTTAGAGCTGAAACAGTTTCAGCTAATTTATTGAGAATATCAAAATAATTCATTCAACTGATTTTAATTATTATGATAGTTTCTTGATTAAAATAATATTTCTAAATAAATATTTCATATTATATTTCTATATTAATTATAAATAATATTCATATATATAAATAAAAACAAAATAAAATATAAATCAAGCATTCATTCACACTATTTTATGAATTTAAAAAATAAAATCATGTGTTCATTTCTAAAATAATCAAAAGATCAATTTCATTTTTAATTATTAATAAATTTTTTTTGTGCAAATAAAAAATTTTAATATTTTTTAACTTATTAACTAATGCAATTATTTAATAACATAATAAATATATATTACTTTATACATAAAATTTCAATAATTTTCAGATAATATTACTTTAATGAAAAAAAATTATCAATTAATATAAATAATTTAATTTATTTTATTGATATTTAAACTAGATATTCTAAGGTAAAAAACTCTCTGTAACTTACATCCCATATGGATAAACAATAATCTTTCAAAATAGAATTTTATTTCTTTTAAATATAATTTTTACAATTTAATTTGTGAATTTTGTTGAAAATTTACGTTATTGTCATTTTTTATTAAGTAATTAGTTTTAAAATTTTTTTTAACTATTTTTTTAAATAGCAATGATTGATTATTTATAAAAATACATTTTTAAAATTTTTTTATTCTTATTTTTACAAATTAAATTTCTATAATAAAAAATTATAATTGATTTTAATAGGTCTACTTATTTTTGCATTACTTTTATATTTTTTAAGAAAGATATTTGCTAATTAACATTTGTGCATAATAGGTAGAATGGGTTAAGGATGAATCTTTTAGTTCATTATCTTATTTAAAGATTAATAATTAAAGGTTTTTTTTAGTTTTTTATGGGAATATAATTTAAAAATTTAGTTATTTTTGCTTTTATATGTAATTTCAGGCAAAGAACTATCTGACTAATATATTAATAATATTAATAAAATAATACAAATATATTTAAATAGAAGAAATATTATATAATTTATTTTAAAACTGAGTATGTAAAAATAATAAAATAAAATGAATTCTACTTTATTTCATTTTTATAGAGAATTTAAATATATTTATTGTTTAAATTTTGTATAATTTTAGTTTTTTTATGTATAAAATTTCATATATATCATTTTTATAATTCTATATAGGATAATTCTTTTATTCAACATTTGGAGGCAGCAAATGACTTTAATTGAAGAGTACTTGAGATGCTCAAAGCTGCTAGGGCGTTCTTAGGTAAGCAAGTAAGATATTGGTGTTCTAAGGATCCATCTTCTAATTGATAAGTTATGTCGTAGTTTTGAGGATCTTAGCATTAGTTTCTAAGATAATAAACTGTGCGAGTTTTATCATTTTTTTGAGTAATTTATGTGCAAACATCTAATTAAAGGGCAAAATTTCCAGGTTCTTGTACAGGAGGATGTACTATAGGATGACTTTTTTTAGAAACAATAATATAAGTAGAAGCCGAGATTAAAGCAATAGCTGCTAAAAGCCCGATTAAGGTAATATTTTTCATTATTATTATTCTAGATGAATCGCTTTTCTTTATATTTAATTAATTAATAATTATAATAACTAATACTTTTGTATCTTTTCAAGGATTTTCATTACAATAAATATAAGTAATTCTTTTACTAATATTTAATAATTATTTATTGATCAGAATTCCTATTCTAGATGTAAGTTAAATTTCAACTTTTCAAATTAAAAAAATATGTATACTTTCAATGATTAAATGCTATGCAAATAAATTTAAAAATAAATTGTTACTAAAAAATTAAAGACATTTAAATTTAATTGAATTTTTACATTAAAAATTTAAAATATTTTATCTTAACAATGTCTATATAATTTAAATTCTATTTTAAATGATAAAAACTAAAGTTCTATTCACATGACAATATCCATCCAAGTCATACCCTGAATTATTAAAACAAAAAATGAATCTTTATATTTATTTTAAATCCATTTTTTGCTAAAAACTATTCAAAACTTTTACTTTGTTATTTTTAATAAAATAAGTATTAAATTTTTATATATTCAAACTACTTACTATCACTTTTTAACTTAGCGAAAGGATTAATAATAAACTTTAAATTTAGAATTCAATCACATCATATTTAATATTTAAAATCATTCTAAAACAGGATAATAATCTTTAAGCTTAAAGTGATATGATTTTAAATAAATCCTAATGAATTTTATTTTACATAGTTATTCATAGACTATATTTTATATAAATTTTTATTTTATGAATTATTTTTAATTCAAAATAAATTAGTGAAATTTTTTTTCCTATTCCAATTCGTTTGATTTTTTTTGATAAGATCTATTAATTATGATGGCTAATTATCAAAAAAATCGAATTTATTAAATAAAAAAATTATTTATAATTATTTAAAATAAATTAAGAAAATAATAACTATTGGTTTATGTCAAGATAACAATCTCTCTTAAATATTGATCATATTTATGTATGCTACAGTAAAAATATTTATAATAATATATCAATAATTCTCTTTAGATAAATTTTATTATCTAATTAACTTATATTAATATTATTTATTTAGATTATAATTTTTATTAATTATATTATTGTTTATCATATGGATTAAATTGAAAACCTTGAATCTCATTAAAAAAACAATTTATTAATTTTTCTATTTAATTTAGTAGTTTTTTTAGAATTAAGAATTTATTTTTTAATTAACCAAAATCTATAAAATTAGTTAAGATTTATAAATTTATAAAAGAATTTATTTACTAAAATTAAATAATCAAAAAGAATTCATAAAATCATATTTTTGAATGCAAGTTTTTAAAAATTTATTAATTATTGATATTTTAGCTACATCTTATTTTTTTATTATTTGAATATGTAAATGGATCCTTTGTTAATAATTAAAAAGAAAGTTAAATCTAAAATTTAATTAAGATTTCTATTGTAATAATTTTTATAAATATCAATCCTATTAGGAAAAAAAATTAACTTTTATATGTAAAAGTGTAGCAGAAATATTGTTTATATTAATTAATTTTCTTTGTTAATTTACTCAAATTTTTTTCTAATACGAAAGAAAGAATTTATTCTAATCTCTTTTTAAAATTTACTGCATCATTTGAAATAATTAAATTTATCAATTTTATTTCGTATATTTGCTACTATTTTATTTTTCTAATGAAGTTTTTAAAAAATTTTTATAATTTTTGATATAAAGTATAAAATTTTAATAATATTTTATTTAAATGTATAAAAAATCTAGTGTTTAGTAAATAAATTTAAATAATTTTAACTAATTTCTAGCTAGTTACATTTTGTTTTATTTTATTTGAAATATGTAAATAGATCCTTTTGTTAATAATTAAAAATGAAAGTCAAATTTAATATCTGATTATGTTTTAGACTGTAATAATTTTTATAAATATGAATCCTATAAGGAAACAAAATTAACTTTTATTTGTAAAAGTGTATCAAAAATATTATTTATTCAAATTAATATTCATTATTAATTTACTCAAATTTTTTTCTAATTCGAAAGAAAAGACTTTATTCTTACGACTTTTTAACACTCACTACATCATCTAAAATAATTAAAAAATAATCAACCTTATTTCATGTATTAGTTACTTGTTTCTTTTTCTTTTGGAAAAAAAGCAGAAATCAAATAATTCTGATTTAATCTGATCAAATGTTAGATTGGGTAAAGTTTACTGTTAATAAACAAAAATACTTTTCTTTCTTAATTTTACCAACATGTACTCAAAATTACATCTAACCACTTCTATATATAGTAAGTTGATATTCATCTTTAAAAACTGTTTTGGCACAGATTTAATTTATATAAATTTAAAATAAAAAACAATTATAAACTAATGATAGACTAAAACTTAAAAGACTAAATTATTTATCAGGTGAAGGAACAGGTCCTTCTTATTATGGGAGCATGTATAACTTTAATTTCAACTCCTATTGTTCTTACTGTTATGGGATCTAATGCTCTAACTTGGCTAGATCAAAAATTATCTTCAACTAAAGAACCTTTATCAAAGAGAATTGGTGAATTTGTCAACTGCAAGACCTAAAAGACTTTTGAAAAATTAGTTTAAATAAAAGAGGACTATTATTTTGTTAATTGGATTATATTAACCGGTGTTATTGTACCATTATTCTTTATAATAGCAGCATACCATTCATATTGCTGTGAGTTTAGTATTTTATTATGGGTAGCATATCACTCATTTAGATTAGGTCCAAATCAAATATTTGCTTCTTACATTTTTGCTTTAGCTCATAAAGAAGGTCATATGAGTGGCTTAATCTACAAAAACAATTTACTTGGTAACATATTAGGCAATGTTTACAATTGGTATATTGGCATTTTTTATGGGTTGGTTCCATAAAGTACTTACTATGGACACTGCTTAAATCACCATAAGTATGATAATCGCCAAGACGATTTAATTTCTTGCTCAGACAGAGAAAGAGATTCTATGCTCAATTACCTTCGTTATATCCCTAGATTTTCAGGTTATTCTACTAATACTACCACTATCATTTAGTTCTATAAGGAAAAGCACTACGACATGGTCCTTAAAATTATATATGGAACTTTATATTGGATTGGAATTATACTTGTATTTGGTTAAATATTTGGATGGAAATTCTCTATTGGATACATAGTCTACCCTATGATAGAAACAAACTTTATATTTAGCGGTTTCGCTTGGGGATGGCATGCATTCATTGATCCTGAAGATCCTGAGAACGAGTTTATTAATAGTGTAACCATCGTTGACGGAGAATTTAATGATCTCAACGAAGGTTATCATGTTGTCCATCATCAATATCCTGGTCTCCACTGGTCAAAAAATAAAGAATTATTTGAAAAGCATAAAGATGAATACTATAAGGGTAACTAGGCCACAATGTTCAACTCAATTGAGTCTTATCAGCTATTTTTGCTAATAGTTACAAAAAGATACGACATTATGGCACAAAAGATGGCCTTTAGATTAGAATTAAATACAGAATAAAGAAAAGAATTACTTAAAACAAGGCTAAGGACTATTACTTGGGGTCCCTATACTAACACAGTATAAAAAAGACATAAAGATATTTGAATAAACTAAAATTTTAATGCATATTTCATAATTCATAATATAAATTTACATAAATATAAATTTTATTATTTATATAACCTATATTTTTAGTTACACCAATTACGCATGTTTTGCCTTACCTAATTTTAAACAAATCCAAAAAATAATTAATCCAAAATATCAATTAAATTTATTTAACCACAAAAAAAAAAAATATCAATGTTTGATAAGGATTAACTATTTTTTCTTCACTTTATTTTGATTAAACTAATGGAAAAGACTAAAATTTTACTTTGGTTTTTAAAAGAGATGCTATTAATATTTTTATAAAATGAAAAATCCATAATTACTTCATTTAATTTAAAAAAGTCTAAGTCCCACAAACCACAAACAAATAAAATACAAAACTAAATCAACATAAGAATCCATAAACAAATACAAAAATCTTGAGTTAAATTAAAACTATTTGTTTATCTCAATTATTTACATCTATCATTTATTATTAAAATAAATAAAGGCTAAGTTTTCTATTTCTTCATCATTTTCCATATCCTCATTGCTGATAAATTCTCTAGCTACAAGCGAATGTGTTATAACACCTGTTAATTCTTTTTTTTCCTTTTATATTTGTTTTAATCTTCGAGTTGCCTTTTTTATTCTTTCTTAGAATTTATTAAAATTTTCTAAAGGTTAGGGGAAACCTTAGACTATTAAGCTCTTAAGCAATTAAGGAGTATAAGTAACATTTTTTAGATGCTAGTTAGTATTTATGTGGTTAAATTACCAATCAGGCTCAAAGAATGTTTCTGTATCGAAATGCATATTATATTTTTCTTTTGCCTCTTATATTAGCTAATTAAACTAGTCTACTAAGAAAATATCAGAATCCTTTTTGAGCATTTCAGCTATATCAGGATATATGATAAAATTAATATTCCCTCTAAGTGGATGGTTTTTAAATAGTTCAATGCAAGTTTACAATGTTCTCCTCAAAGGCGATACATAAACTGTCTAGTAGTTTATTTGGTAGTTATGCTTTTAGATATCTTCACATTGCTTAATACCTATTGGATGCAGAGGAGTATCCATAAATAGGTTATTGTCTTTATATAAGAAATATCTGAAGTGCTACTTAAACTTTTTTAGCTTTTCTTTCTAAATACCTTAGGTGTATTTAGATTATATGTAATTCGATTCAGACATAGCGTGTCTAATTAGAACCATATTGCAATTTTATTAGTCTCCAAGCTCTGAAGGACTGTGTATTATTAGCTCATCTTCTTTTTAAAGTTTATATCCTTTTTCTTTCTCTTCTCTAGCTATCTAAGCAAGTTATTAGCACCTCAAAGTGAGATTTGGATCAAAGACATACTCTTTCTTATAATTTTTATACTTCTCAATTGGATTTTGAACTTCTACTCTTTACTTTTCTTTTTTCATTTAATCATTTTTATTTTAATCTATGTGACTATTCCTACATTCAGTTCCAAATTTGCATGTTCCAATCTAGTAAAATTAACATATTTTCTATAATTTATTCTAAGGCTATTATAAAATATTATTTCCAATACTCTATTTAGTTTCATGACCATTGTTAGAATCCTTTCTAACATAGTGAAATGTTTATTTAGCCTTACCTTTTGTGTTTTTTTAATTATTTGTTTCCATATTTTGAAGAACTTTATATTTAACAAGATAAATTAATCTTTTGGATTGTTACTAAATCAATAAATTACTTGCATAATATGAGTTTAAAAAGGAAATAGTTTTATTTCTACTTATCAATCTTTAAATCATTTAAAATAAGAGTGTCTATTTTATTTGTAGTCACTACTTTATTAAGTTTTTTAATATTTGTTTATTTAAATAAATTTAAATCTTTAATTAATTTTTATTTTAATTTCAACAAATTTTAAAGTATTAATATATTTTAAATATCAGTAAAAATATGCATTTGTTAAAAATATTCAATTATAATATTTCTCATTAATTAAAAATTTAATTTTAATTTTTATAAAGGAGGGGAAAGTAAAATATTTCTTAAATATAAAATTTAAATTTACTAGTTACTATTAGAAAGCAATAGGGTCTTTGAATATTTGGGAGGTGAAGTTAGAATAAATGATAATTAACAGTACATAAATACTTACTTGGTAAAATATTATTTTTTTATTAACTTTTAAATAAGGAAAAATAACATTTTAAGCTTGTTTACAAAATTTTAGAATTAAATATATTATTTCAAGGAATGACAAATAATATTTTAGTAAAATAGTTAAAAGTAAATAAATATTTATTTTAATTAATAATTTCATTTTAATACACAAAGAAAGTTCAATTTAAAAGTAATAGATGAAATTTAAATAAAAAAATATGAAATATTTTAGTATATTACATTCATTTTAAATTATTAAAAGTTAATAGTAAATTCTTTTGTTGTATTCAAGTTTTATTTATTACATAGAAAGGTTACTTACTTATTCTCCTTATTTTAAGTAAATAAATAATTATTTTCAATTAAGATTTTGTAAGTTCTAATTATAAGCAAAAAAACATTCCTTATATTAATAGAAGATCTCTTTTTTGAAAATTTAATATTAATAATTATGTAAAATATATAAGTATACACATACTAAAACATATAAATAGGTGATCAAACAAAAGTAAAAGTAGAAGTCTTGAAAAAGAAGAAATGTACGATATAAATTTAGCGTTTTTACTACCTTTGATATCTAGCTTTTCATTTTACTATTTTTGTCAAGGAATTAAAAATTAAAATCAATACAAAAAGATAAATTTGTTTTAATTAGTAGCTGCTATTGTTCATTTTGTTTCTTACATTTTACTTAATAGAGTTATAGATTAATTACACCCAAATTAGGAGTACTTAATAACTTTATTACAGCTGCTTCCTCTAGTCTGCTTTTGTATATACAACTATATTATGATTAAATCATTATTCCTTTCTATCTGTTTTTGCCTTCTTTAGTTAGTCCACTTTGATTCTTCCTTGTTCTCAATATATATTTACCCTGAAAATGACTTAATACTATAGGTAGGATCAAGATTTTTCTTTGCTTAAAACACAATGCTCTTCTTCATGAAACTCTATACTACTATTATTTATGTTGGGTTATGGCTAAACAATTCTGATAAGCACATATTTAAGTTTTCAATTTTTTCTCTTGCATTGCTGAGTTGTATAATTTTTATTTATTAGTAATATAAAAATTATGTAAATTCATAGTTTTTAGATATATTCTCTTGCAAGAAGCTTAAAAAATTAATAAATTTAGATAATTAAAGAAAATTAGAAAAGAATCTCAAAAATATAAAAAGGATTTATATGTGTTTCTAGTGTGATGAAGTCAGCCAAGAAGATTAAAAATTTCTCATTTAAGCATGTTTCTATAATTTTGGATATTGTGAAATTTATTCAAATTTTATAACGAGATTGTTTGTAAGAGAGTCAGGATTTCATTAAAAAATTGAAATAATGAAAAATACATTAATCGATAAATTAAAGCCTTCCATAATAAAAGGAGCATTTGCTCCTTTAATCAAAGAAACTGATTTAAAAGTTTATGGTAAGCATGCAAATGAAATAGCTCTTACTTTTGCAAAAAGTGGGAATTTTATTAAATTTGATCTATGCTATGATGAAGAGTAATAACACAGAGTAAAGTTAGCACTCGAATATCTTGAACTTGTAGAAAATTATTAAGCCAATTTTTTAAGTGTTCTAGCTTATTAAAAATGCATTAAAATGCATATGTTAAATAATCCTAACTTAGTTTTATATGATTTATTTGATTGAATAAATAGTAATGTAATGTTTTTATAAATAAAATTATCAATAAAATTGAAAAATAAATAGTAAATAATAAAAGTAATATACAAAATTTAAAAAAATTTCTTTAATATCATCTAACATTCTTTAACATCAATAATTGATATATCTTTATTTTAATTTTTTTAATTTGTCATTAAAAAAATCTTTTGTTATTATTAAATATATCTATTATTTAATGTTATTTGAAATTAAAAAATAATTCAAAACTATATTATGTATTTCTTCCTAAAATTTCTCTTTATGGGTACTGTATTTTCTAAATAATTTTTATTTTTTTAATTTAGGTAAATTAAAAAAAAATTCTGATTATTCTTTTTTAAAACAACTCTAATATATTAATTACTAAATTGAATATGAAAAAAATATTTTAGCTTGATAAAAATATAAATTTAATTTAATTTACTGTGAATCCTCATATTTAATGAATTCCTCTCACCATTTAAAAAATTAAAAAAAATACCTTATTTCGTTTTTCTAAAAAAATAGTACTAAAATTTTCAAGAAGTTTATAATCTAAAAAATACAATAATATCTAAAATATTTAAGACATATTAATTAATATTTTATCATTATCTCCATTTGTTAATGTATATTATTTTTAAAAAATAGGAATGTGAAATATAACTAATTTTATTTTTTTATCATATTTATGATATCTAAAATTTATTTAAAAATAATTAATTTGATATAACTTATTATTTAAAACTAACATTGAAGAATAAAAAAAAACATTAATAATATAAAAACAATAAGATTTTTAAATTACATAAAATTTAAAATTATAAGTAGAACATAAATATAATGAAATTTATTTATATAATTTTAGTTGCTCAGATGCTGAGAAGCTAGCATTTTTTAAAAACTATCAAATATTTTTACTATTCTAAGTAATATAAATAGTTTTTAATAGGTCTTATTTTCATATTCTTCCATTTTACAGCTAATAGTCTTTTACATCAGTCAATCATTTCTTACGATGGCATAGAAGAAAATATTATTGAGATAATCTTATTACTTCCTATAATACTATTCATGTTATTTAATTATATCTTAACCTAAAGCTTTGATATCTCAACTATTAGCTTTTGCTGCCTACTTATTCATTTTGATGCTTTTTCTATTCTCACTGAATTATCGCCTTCAAATGATTTAATACTTCAAACTGGATTAAGATTTGTTCACATATAAAACACCATGCTGATGAATATTTAGATATATAACACTATAATCTATGTGATTTTATATTTAAATAAGTAAGAAATTTAACTTTTTAACTAGCAATTAACCTTAATCCTATCAATAGCAAGTATTGCTATTTATGCAGGATAACAGTACTATAATCACATTTTGTTGTAAAAACTTGATGTTTATTCTACTAAAACCCTAAAAAACTTAATTAATTTAGATAACTAAGGAAAGTTAGAAAAAAAATTAATAAATGTAAAAAGAATATATTTTTGCTTTGATTGCGAAAAAATCAATTAAAATGAATTAAAACTTCTTACTCAGTCACTTTTTTACAATTTTGGAAATTGCGAGGTTTATTCTAAATTCATAACAAGATAAAAAAGCTCAAATTTTTTAGGATATTAACAAATTAATATACATGAAAAAAAAATTATCAACAATTTGACTTCATTCCTTCATTAAAAACCTTTTGCCCCTTTAGTTAAAGAAACAGATTTAATGCTGTAATAATAAAATGCTAACTCAATTACTCTTGCACTTTGTTCCACAGGAAATTTAATAAAATTTGATTTATTGTATAACTCTTAAAGAGAAAATCAATTTAAAGTTGCATTAAAATATTTAAATTATTTTGATGAATTTGAAGCACAAAACTTAAAAATTATAGCTTATTATAAACACATATAATAGTATTTAATATATAATCCTCATTATATTATTTATGATTTGTTTGATTGAAAATTTTATAAAACTTTATTTTAAGCAATTAAAAATTAATTATTTTTCACTAACTATAATAATAATAAATTATTTTATAGAATTAAATGAGAATAAATAAGTTTAATTATTTAATACCATAAATTTATAAGATAATTACAAAGATTTGACTTTATTTTTTTTACTTTTAATAATTTAAATTATTATTGCGTCTTCATAACACTTAGAATTTTTGATCATCTTTCTAAATCTGATAACTTTTTGCGCTTTAAAATTGAGATTTCAAATATTACTTTATGATCTTATCTTATTTTTTTAATTTGTATAATATTTTTATTAAAAAAAAAACAAATATCAAATAACTACTTGACAGATAAGAGCTAAAATGTACTTTTGTTAACAAGACCACAGTAATGCTTTAGTTTTGAACTCGAAAATAAAATAATATTATGATAAAGAGAAAGATCCTACAAATCCTAAGTAGATTATTCTTAACCTTGACTTGAATCAGAGAGTAAAAAGATATAGAAGAAAACCTTAGTAAGAATTTGTTAAAAGTATAATACAAAATTATAATGAGAGGCTTTAAAAAGTTACCAATATTTAAGAGCTTATTCTTCAAATCGATATTAGCATTTGCGAAGATAATGACATTCTAATTACCATCCTTCAATTTATCTAACACAACTTAATAGATAAATTTAAGCACAGTATAAATAAGCTTTCTCTTTACAAATGTAACTTTTCTTATATGCTGGAGTAGGAAAGTGATTGTGATCCAATCTAGAAATATATTCTAGATCTAATTAATAATTTATAAAATTTAAGAAGTTTTTCTGTGGTTGATTTGATGTCAGAAAGGAATTTGTCTGAACATAGTGTTTGCAGGAGATTTTTCAATTTAGTTTAGAGTAATATTGAAATATTTTAAAGTATTGAGGAACTTGAAATTGGATATATTTATGAATTTTAACATATAATAACTAAAAAGTAGTCACCTTAATTTATTTCTTTTCTTTTTGATTAATTGAAATCTTTAAGATAAATAAAGTCTTTAAATAAATTAAAGTTCATAGCAAATAATTTGGAGCTAAAATCTGAATAATTCTAATAGATAAATCAAGAGATACTTTAACATTCTAACTTAAAGAGTATTTATCTAGATTTTTGTTAAGAAAACCAAACTTTTGATAATTCTATTTAAAGTATCAAAACTTTTTAAAGACTCTAAGACCAGTTAGAGGAATTTGGGTACTAGGAAAGTTTTTTAGAAGGTTTTCATCCATCTAATATAAGCTTATTTACAGATGAATTATCTAAATTAAAAAATCTTCAGTCTTTATAGCTAAAGAATTTTAAATTAGAAAGTGGCTGCGTAGAAATTTTATGCTAAACTGTTAAAAATTTAAATTAATTAGTAAGTCTTACTTTAGATATGAGCGAATTCAATATAAAAGGTTAGGAATTAGAAAATTCAATTTAAATTCTAAAATAGAGTAAAATTTAACTCCAGCTTTTTGATTTTTAATTTCCTTCTTCATTAAAAGTTACAAATAAATACACCACTTTTTTCATTTAATTTTTAGAAATTTAAAGAGATTAACTAAAAGATCTATAAATTAGTTTAAAAAACATAGATTTAGATAGCTTTGTTCAAATAATGACAACTATTGAATAAATTTAACAATTAAAAAATTTTGCAATCTTCTTTAAGAATAGAAGAGAAATCAAAAATAAAATAGTATTTACAACAGTAGAGCCAGATCAAAAAAATATATTTTAATATAGAAAATTTAACTTTTGCGATCCAACCTATGATTTAAAAGGATATTATAGTTTTAATAGATTGGCTGCCAGTTATATTTTAAAATATTAGAATCCCACAATTTTAAGGGAGCTTAGCCTTAATTATTCAAATTATTAAGATAGCTCTTCTTAACAATTTTAATAGAATATGGAAAGCCTACTTAATCTAAATAATTTAGAGACAATTAAAGTAGAACAATGTTAATTAATTCTATTATTAAAACTAATTAGCAACTCCTCTTAGACTCTGTCTCATTTAGAGAATATGGTTGATCTAGAACAAGAACTATTTGAATAAATTTTAAAATGTAAGAATCTTATATATTTAAGTACTTAAACAAACAGCAAAAAATTATAACCAAAACTAAGAGATTTTTGTGAATCTTTACCAAATTTATAATATTTGCATCTTTTTAAATCTAGTTATTTTGGTTATAATGTTTATTAATAGAAAGATTTTGTTGATTATTCTGAATGCTTATAATCTTAATATATAACTGAAATTCATATCAAACCTTCCACAAATAATTAATAATTTTTGTAATTCATCAAAGATAAAAAATTAGCTATCATGTAAAAAATAGTTTACTAAAAATTAATCGAACAATTTCTTGTTTACAAATCCAGCTAAAACTTTTGGGACCTTTACTATTGAAATTAATACTAAAATATTAATATATAATTTTTTAAATAAAAAATATAAATATTAATCATCTATTATAAAGTATTATCTTTTTATTTCTAATTATATATATCTATAATTAATCAATCTACCTTCATTATGAAAAAGCAAAAATTTGTATTAAAAAATGGGTACATCGGTTATCATTCATATTTTTGATATTTGGTACTGTTATCTAACAAGGGGGATTAATAAAACTTTTTTCATGTATTTTACCCATTCATTTAATTTATTAAAAATTTTTAATTTTATTGATAGAATACTTTTTTTGATTTTTTTTACCTTCCTTCCTAAATGTCATAAAATGAATATTTTTAAAACTATTTAAATAGAATATTGAATATTTTTTTATAATTTTTTTGTTTGGAGGTAAGCATAATTTTTAGATATTTTCTTGATTATGAAAAATAAATATCTTTAATTTAAATTTTGAATTTTAAATTTAGTAATCATATAAACTCACTCCCAAATAAATAAATATTATTAAAAACAATTAAAAACTAATTTTCTTAAAAATAAACAAAATAAGAAATATCTTAAATAATGCTGCAATCTATAGCTGAATCAAATTCCTTTTTACTTCTGAAATTTATTTGCAACTTAAACTCTCAATAACAATTTTTACTATAGCAACAAATTAATAAATCATTCCCTGAGCCATTTCCCTATAGTTTTTCAAATTCCTTACTAAAGTTTTTAATTAGACAATCATTTCTAAAACTGATTGTTCGGCGATAAAATAAATTTGATAGTTTTGCAAATAAAATAAAAAACTACTCACATGAAAAGCTTTCGTTAATATCTAAAAGGTATTAAAGTCATGCCAATCTAGAGAAGTTTTCTTCAGGAATTTGACTCAAAATAGTTCAGCGAATTCTCTCTTAGTCTTAAAAAAATATAAAAAATATTATTTAAAATTAGAAATTAATAAATTTAGCAAGACAAGCAAGCAAACTCAACTGTGCAAAACACTAAATTCCTCAAGATCTCTCTAACATAAAAATAAATAACATGAAATATAAAAAATAAATCTAAAATAAAATATGAGATAAATTAATAAAATACAAATATAAATATTAATAAATTAAATAAGAAAATAAAGATATAAATAAAAAAACAAAATAAAAATTGAAATTAAATTTGAATTTGAAATTAAAGAAATAATTATCGTTAATAAATTTTAATCAGCTAAATAAAAGATACAAACAATAAAGTAAATTTACAACATCATATATAATCTAAAAGGCAAACAATTTTAATCTAAAAAGAAAAATTTTATTCAATTAAAATATAATATAATTTGTTATTTTTTCCATTTTATGCAGAATATACTTTTCAATTTATTTACATGTATATAAAAATAATGAATATTTAGAGGTTGCTTCATTTAGGGGTAATATTTAATGCTATCTGTTTTGGATGTACTATTTATGTGGTTTTGATTTGCGTTGACTTTTTTTAGTTCTAACTTTCGACTCCATCTTTTTAATTATTATGTGATTAAATAAAAAGTATATTTAAAAATTTTTTACTTTTATCCAAGAGACTCTCATCTTTTTCTAGTGTTATAGATTTCCTTTTGAGCTATTATTCTGCAAGCATGCTTTTTTATGTCTCTGCTTATTAGTTTTGTAATTAAGAATGGCTATTGCTTGTTTGGGAGTAATAGTTATTTATTTTTTTATTTATCTCTTGAATATTATTTTGTTGAGATATTGATGATGATTATTAAGATTATGAGTTCTAAACACCTTAGACTTTACTATTTTTTAAATCATTCACTTTTGCATGCTCACCAAAGCTTACTTTGTCACTGAATTAATTTGGGCTTTATTTGGTTATATTCTAAGGACTACTACCTCTTGAATAATGCACTTTGTACACTGTTGTTGTATTATTCACAGGGTTTTAGTAAACAAATTACTAGGAAACTGACCCTTCTCTTACTTCGTTATTAGTCTAATGTTATTGACCGTTCTAAATTAAATAAGAGTCTTTCAAGCCTTAAGTAGATACTGTGCTTTGATTTAATTTAGAATCACCTTTATCATATAATTATGATGGTTGCTTCTAATAGAATTATTATTACTGCTTGCTTTCATTATTTTTACTTAAAACATTAGATTGATTTAATGGAATTATTGAATTATAATTAATACTATTTTACATCTACTGCTAAGCTGCGTTTTAATTTAATTCCTACGCATTGACTAGCATCTTAGGAGGTGAATTACTATACTAGCTATTTTTATTATTAGATTCAATATATTTAATAGGCTATCCGTGCTACTGTTCATTCTAATTAAAAGAATGCTGTGTTTAGTTAAAACTATAGTAATTAGTATTGTTCTACTTTAACCAGCTTTAACCTATTGAAGTATTACTATTATTTAAACCAGAATTTCCGTTATTTTCAACCTATGGATTATTCATAGTATTTGAAAAAGACTAGAAGTTATGCAAATAATGACCACTACTTGGATTATTATTCGCATTTATTACAGACTAATTTAACGCTTTCTGTGAATTATTATTAGCTTCTTAGAAGTTAAAACTAGTATTTATCTACTCTTTAATTGGAGAGTTTTTCTAAGTAGTTTAAACAGATTAGATAGGGGTAGCTTTTTCCATTTTAATATAGTAATTAATTGGTGATTTGATCAGATTATTATCAAATTATGGTATGTTTGATTTACTCTATAAGCTAGCTATGCTTTAATTGATACTATTTGGTTAGTTATTTATTCCTATTTGTTGTAAAGTGCTAGTCTTAGAAATGACATATCTTGAGCTACTTATTCTGCTATGGTTATTATTGTTGGAGTTATTTACAACATTTGTATTGTTTGAATTAACAACACTATTTTATTAACTTGGCTGATTATTCAAGAAATTACCTTGATTTATAAGTGAAGAGTTGAGCCTCATGCTTCTTGGGATAGGAGAAGTTTCCCCAACAACTTCACTCATGCGATTTAAAGAAAGTTAACTTTAGTTTGTTTAATCAACACTTTTAAATTGCTATTAGTAAATTTCGTGTATGTCAGGACGATTATTGGGATTTAGTTATAGCATCTTTTTTAAGAAGGTAGTAAATTAATCACCATAAACTTCTTGGACTTTATTAATAAGAAAATCTAAGCTATTTTAATTGATGGAGTCATCTTCTAAATAAATATATGAACAATCTTGAATCAGAGCACTCTCAAGGAGAGTCATTCCTATTTGAAAAACAGATAATTTATATTTATTCATATTTTTTTAATGGATGACTTCCTCTGGTGCAATATATCTCTATTCAAACTACATTTAAGCATGTGTTTAGCTGTTTTCAAAAGACATATGGTGTTGCTTTTGTTGAGGAGAGGATAGATTTAACACAGAGCTATCTACAAGCTTTAATTATCCAGCTTCTGTAAGGAATATAGAAGATGGGTGAATATTTGGATGCACTTCATCATTTTATTGTAAGTAGTCACATAAGCTAATTAAACATTTAGCCATGTACCACAATTCATTAAGCTAATATATTTCCTTTTATTTTATATTAAAATAGTTTAAGAATTGTTTTAATAATTAAAGTGAATGAATTTTTTGAGAATAATTAAAATTTTTTGTTATTAAGAAGAAATATTTCATTTTTTAGCTAATCATTTAAAAATTTGTTTATTGCTTTGATTGCATTTATGTATATTTGAAACTATCATTTTTCGTTAGAAATGACTATTCTACTTTTTTTAACATAAAAATTGTTAAAATTGAAAATGTCTAAAAAATCAGTATAATCTTAGAATTTTTAAGAGCTTTATTTATTTTGTATGAAAAATAATTTTCAATATTTTTTTGGTTTAATACGTTTTATCTTTTATTTTTTTTTTGAACGCATTTTTATAAATGTAGAAGTAATTACTTCATTTTGCTGTCTATTATTATTTTCTTGCAACAAAGAGATAGGGTGATATTCAAAGTATGCATTAAAGGAGTAATTTGTGGAGCATATGCTGTTTTATCTGTTAAATGAATAACCATAAAACTTCAATAAATTAGAATGCTAGATTTGCATTCTCTATTCAAAATACTGTTAAATATGTTTTTATTTTGCTTCACTCCCTATTTAGATTTTTTTACAAATAACATACTCATTCTACTTGCTCTTCTTTTGGTACAAAACGCATTTACCAAATATACCCTAAACTTCCTATCCTTCCACAATTACGAAATTATCAAAGTTAGCTAGCACTGCATCTGTAAATTTTTCTATTTAACTTGAATCGTTTCCCATTTTATTAAACTATGCTAACAACTATTAATGATAGTAACTACTAATAAATATTCTTGTAATTCAAATAAATTGTTGTGAAATTAATTATTATTTTAAAGGTAAATAAACTCTTGTTTGTTTTATTTTAAGAATATAAACATAAATAAAAATAAATTAAATTTCTTTATATAAGTTTCTTCTAATGAAAAAAAAAACAAGTATTTTTATAATTTAACAAACAAGTAAAATAAATTTATTTTAATAAAAAAAATATCAAAACCAAAAACTTATTAACTTTTTTAAAAAGAAAAATTTTATTTTAAGTTTATTTTATTACATTTTTTATTTTCAAAAGCAATTAATTAGAAAAAAAAAAATAATAAATAAATAATTATTTTTGTAAAGCTTGAAAATTATTTTATTCCAAATAAATTAACTATAAACGTTCTTTTAAAAATGAAATGAATGAAAAAAATAAAATACAATTTTTTATAAAATTTTACTTTTCTCGTTCTTTTAAATTAATTAATAATGTATAATTTAATTTCCTCTAATTCTCTTTTTTAAAATTATCTGAAGATATTCTTAAATATTTTTATGATCAATTATTTTATTTAATTGTCACAAAATATTAAAAAAATGATTTGATAAAAGTAAACAAATTTTATTTGGTTTCTAACTTTATTGATATTTATTTCATAGAAAAAACAAAATATTTCATAATTAAATAATTAATAGGCAATTTCTTATTTAATCTTGTAAAAATAATTCAAAACAAAGAAAGTGTTACTGATGGAAAAATATTTTAAAAATTGCTAAATAAAAATAGAGCCAAAATGAATATGGAGATACTAATTTGAAGATATACTAGCTTAATTCTTATATTTATTAAAATAAGAATTTTAGAAAATTGTATATAAAAGAATTTTTATTTTATTTGTTACCTGATTTAACAATTAAATTATTAAGTCAACAGAAACATATCAGGGACTGACTTCTGATGTTTTTCTAAATATACCTTGCAAATAAATTAAATTATAAACAATTTTGAATGTAAATTAATTTTTGAGATCCAAAAGAGATGTTAAAAAAAAGATTATCCAAACTTTTTGGGATAAACTTAATATTCAATTTTCTAGTTCAATACACTTTATAATATGGCTAGCTGTTAGAAAGTAATTAACTTTAGGAAGGAAATTGTGATTAAAATGTAGTTAATTAACTTAAAGTATAAAATTTAACCGTGTATTGTGACCCTGATTTATAAATTGTAGTTGATATGCGTAGCTAATCGGCTTAGAACTTAAATTTAATTTTATAAAATAATTCTCTTTAAAATAGTATAGTCTTTATGAATACGATTTCTCTTAGCTTTAATCAAATCTTACTTGATAATGTATACTGCAACAACTCAATAATACAGATAAAATTTGCTGAAGAATTGATAGTCAATAATTTCATCATTAAGTATGATGGTTAATAATAAAAAAAGAGTACTGAGCCTACAGATATATTAGGATTTTATGGAATTAAAAAACTACTTTTTGGAAATTTAGATATCAAAATAGAATAAGACAATTTTTCTGTTTAATCTTATTAATTAATATTATAATCTAAAGAAATACAAACTATTTAGATTAATTCTTTGAATATTTAATAAATAAATCCTTACTATTTTAATTTTGTAATTTAGCCTTTTTCGAATGCCATTATAAAAGAAATTAATTTAAATTTTTATCAAGCTATTTTAAAAGAAAAAAGCCAATTTATTTTAATATCTGCTCCTGTAATTTAGGTTGATAACATTAATATTTAAAGCTAAGACTTATACCTAAAAAACACTAATACATTTAGCTAAATTTAATTTTAAGACTTTTAAAATTTACAAATTTCTAATATCAATGTAAACAGCTATAACGGAGGTAATCAGCAAAGTCTATTAGCTTTTACAAGAAAAAACACTCCTAATTTTGACTAAAATCTGGAAATAAAGGTTTTAAAAATAGTGCAAGCTTCCATAAAAAGTGAAAATTGTAAAAATTAATTTATATTTGTCATAATTTTTTCTAATATATTTTAAATAATAATATTTTATATAAAATTATTTAGATTAAAACACAATTATTTAGGTAGATGATTCTCTTAACAAGTCTTTTTAATTCTTATTTACTCTTATAATTGATTAAATAGAAGTTTAAAACTCAAGTCTTTAACTTTGTAGTATTTTAAAAGTTAATGATTTAAGTAAAGTGAATTTGAATAGTATTACTATTAGTAAGTTAAATACAGATAAAAATTAGATAAAATCTATTTTATTTAAATTTATACAGTCTTATAGCTTGGGGCAGTTATATATTAACTCTTTATAAATTAAAAATATGGAGTTTCAATATAATGATGGAGGTTTATTTTATTTAGAAAATTACAAATATTTCTCCTCAAATAATACTAATTTTATAGTTAATAAAAGCATTCAAGCTTTTTCAGGTTCTTTATTTAATATAAAAAATACTGCCTCTGTTTCTATTTAAAATTTATTCATAAATTTGAGTATTTCTTCCTCTTAAATAAGAGTTTAATTTGGAGGTTTTATCTCTCTTATTAATGTTGATAATACAATTATTGAAACTCTTAATTTTGAAAATGATTAAAAAGTTAATTCTGTGGCTATAGTCAAGCAGGGTGGAATCTTATACTCTGACATAATATGTGGGTCTATTTAATTATCAAACATAAAAGCAAATAATTTTTAGATTTCAGGAGATGGAGGCTTAGCATATTTGTAGAATAACTATATAAATCTTAACAATGTAGAGATAAAGAATTTTAGGGCAAATAAAAATGGTGGAGCTTTCTTTTTAGGCCAACAAGAATCATCTAATATTTGTCAATAACCCAGCACGTTTAGTTTAAACAGTGTTTTTCTATATAATTGTACTAGTTTCTTAACAGCGGGTGCTATATTTGGAGGTTCTGTTAGTCAGGTAACAGATGTAAAGATATATTCTTGCCAATCTTAACTTGGAGGAGGTTTTTATTTGACTAATTTCAATGAAAATACTTACAATTAAATAGATTTTAAGGATAACAAAGCATTGCTATATGGTCAAAATTCTATGAATGATGTTAACAGTGTGAAATGCATAAATATATATGAGTATAATCCACAATTAGGAACTGAAATGCAAAAGGTATTCTATGATTTCCAGCAGCAAGAAAATTTATAAGTTAAAACAAATCAACTAATAAATGGTCTTACATATGTAATGGAGATAGCTATTAAAGTAGATAATTAATTAATAGAGAATTTAAGCGATTTAGAGATAAATACAAAGAGCAATGACCTTTCTTAACAAATTTATGGAACAATAGAATAGGATGCAAATTAATAATAAGATAGTATATCAAATTTTGGAATAGCAGATGATATTTCTAACAAATTATATTTTGGATTCAATGTACAAGCAGCATAGACTGATGATATATTTGATCTTAATTTTTAGTTTATAAATTTAACAAACATCTAAAGCTAATTTCAAATAAGCATAAAGACCAACATAACTTCATAGTGTAAAATAGGTATGATCTAGTAATAATATAGGTACTCTCTCTTTTGTTCTTATTGTGTAGATTCAATTTCGCTTGAAGAAAATCCTACAACCTCAACAAAATGCAAGCCTTGTTCAAACGATTATTTTTCTTAATGTTATGCAAATTATTCTTATCTAAAACAAGGATTCTGGAGAGAGAGCATGGTAGTAGACTCTAATTAGGTTTAGGCTTGCTCAATACAATAATCTAACTGCATTGGAGGAGACCAATATGGTAAATTAATCATAAATTCAAAAAATAAAATTAATTTTTATAAAGATAAAAGAATTTATTTTTTTAACTAATTTTAAATTCAAAAAATATTGAAAAAAATCAATAGTAATTAAATTTTTAAAGCTCTTGTTGATATTGCTGGAATATTTTTAAGTGAATATTTTCTATTTTACATTAAAATGATAAATTTATAATTTTATTTATTATTATAATTTTTTTTTTTGATATTTATTTACAATTAAATTCTTGATATAAAAAAACAAAAAAAAGGAAATGATGTTTGCTAAGAAGGACATGTTGCCGTAGAGTGCTTAGATTGTGACTTGTATAATTAGAGAGGAAGCGGATCTTTTTATAGGACTAATCATTATTCGTGCACATAATGCAGCTAGATAAAATATAATATTTTAAAAATAATAGCTCTGCTAATTGCTATTTTTATTGCTATTTTAATTATTTTTGCTAATAATTTTAGATAGTAAACAAACTATATATTCAAAAAGTATCTTTCTGAGCTTAAAATTATTTATCTTGGTAGATCTTATTATAGACTTGGTTAGAGCAGCTCTTTTATAAGGGTTTTATCGTTCTTTTTTTAAATAATTAATATATCTTCTTATTTTTAGAGTTCTGTTTATTGGAAGAATATTATGAGTTTCTAATAAGGACTATTTAATCCAGTTGTCAACACTCCATTTTCATTTGATTGCTTTCTAGTTGAAGAATTTAATATTGATTCAATCATTGAACCAAAAATAATAATCATAACTATTTTTCCTTTTATCATACTATTAATATCTCTAATTCCTAGTATTGTGAAAGCATTATACTACAAAAAGAGCTTAAAGCAATTTTAATATTCAGCCTCTTTGATGGTTTCATATGGCTTTCTAACGCTTTTTTGTATGCCAGTAATTGATATTTTGATGTCAGGAATGTTTTGCCTCACTTTAAATGATGGATAATCATATTCTATTTTAGATTTTAATATCCAGTGCCATGATCCTTCTCGAAATAAGTTTCTATTTTCATACATACTACCATTCTTTTTTATATACTCAGTAGTTATTCCTGGCATTATGTTTTTTATCCTTTACAAAAATAGAAATAATCTAGATAAAATTAAGTATCGTTTCCTATTAGGATTTCTATATATAGACTATAAAGATAATTTCTATTATTGGGAATTCATAAGACTGCTCATTAAATTTATTCTTATTATAAGTATTTACAGCTTTCTTTCTTCAGCTCTTTTGATGGGATTTGTTTCGCTTAGCATCTTAATAATTTACTTAATGTTACTGCAACACAAAAAGCCATATGTGTCTAAAAAATTGAATAATATGGAATTCAAATCTGTTATATTAGGTTGTCTGTTATTAATATCACAAATGATCAACTATTCACAAGAATAATAAGAGATTTAATTTAATCAATAAAAATATATGTTCTATGAAGTATTTTCATCAATAATAATAATATTGGCTAATATACTTTGCATAGTTTATACTATATATATGATTTTTTAAATAGGAGGATCATTATTACTTCCTCATCTTTATAAGATACAAAATAACTGCTGCTATCAATTCATAGTAAAGTACTTAAAAATATTTGAATATAAAAAATACACTTTAAGAAAAATAAAAAACCTTTAAGCATTCAGAAAATTAGTTTATAAAATCTCTAAAGACTCAGCCATAGATTATTCACATTACCCACTGCTCGTTTCTAACAACGGAACATTTAACAAGAAAAAGTTAATAGATTAAGCAAGCATGATCGATGATTCTTTTGACTTAAAAAAAAAAGATAACTGCATGCATTTTAAAAATTAAATGGATAATTCTAGTTTAGACTTCTATGTCAATTGAAATTTATATCTGTTTATTGATAAATCGTTTTTAAATACATAAAATTTATAAAAAACATAAAATATATAATATAATTTAGTATTTTTGGAATTTGATAATTTAAATTATTAGTATGTTATTATTACAAATAACTAAGGAATATTAAATTAAAAAATGTTAGTATTTTAAAAATTTTAAATATACTTTAATAGATTAATTACTAGACCTAATTATTTTGAAAAGATATATTTTAAATAATTTCATTTATAAAATTTTTTTCATTTTTAAAAGGAAAATTAAATCTAAGGTTTTAAGATAAAATTACAGTTATTTATAATTTTAATTTGAAGTTTATGTATATTTTAAATCATGATATCAATGATAAAAAATTTTTCAGGTGAAAATATCTTATTTATTTTAATTTCATCATTAGATTATTATAGATAATTTATATATTATTATTGTTAATCTTTCTATTATAATATTTTTCCTTTCAATATTATGGAGTAATACTTATTATCTTTTTTATTTATATATAATTTATTTGTTCTGTTTTTAATTTTTTTAATAAAATTTTTAGTATTTGTCTAATCTTTATATTTAAAGTTGGTTACTCCTAAAACATATTGATTTTAATACTTTTCAAAGAAGGAGAAAATATTATTTCTTTTTGTTAACTATGATAAATTAATTGCTTTAAAAAATCAAAGTAAGATTAATGTTTAATTTATCTATTTTTTGATTTGTAATTAAACTAAAAAAATGATGTAATTAAATTAATTAATTTCAGCGGAAGAATAGAATGAAAAAAGTTAAATTCCTTTCCATAAAATAAAAGGTCAGGTGAGATTAGAACAATTAGAAAATGTAAAAATCATCAAGAGAATTTTGAACAATAAAAAAAATTATTCAAACAATAAATCTATTGTATTTTCAGAGATTAAGATACAATTTTGAATAAATCTAAAAAATAAGGTTACCTCTTAATTTTATGAAGATTATTTAATTACTGATAGAAAAGTCTAAATACTGATTAAATTTATAAAATAATTCAAATTTTGGAATAGGTAAATTTTATATGCTGTATGCACTTTCTATTTCTATTAAACTAAATGTTCCTTAAATTATTTAAAATCTTCTTTAATTTGGTAATATATATCCCAAAATTTTTAGTTTGTATAATTAAATAATAAAAAAAAATTAATAATTTCTCAAAAAAAGAGTAGAAATAACTTTACTAACAATAAAACAATTTAGATTTTAAAATTTATTTACTTATGTCTACTTTTAATCTCTCATTCTATTTTCCTAACTCTGGTAACAGGACAACCATAAACTCTATTTAAAAATAAAATTATAATTAATCTATTGATTAAATTCCTTCTCAGAAAATTCGCAATAATAATTTTTAGCTTGTATTACCTTAATTAGATAGAAAAATTAATCACAAAAAGCTTACTACTTACGATAACTACACTAATGGTTCTAAAAAAAGCGATAATATTGCATCAAAAGAAGCTCTGATTGATTGGTTAGTTGGTAAAAAAGATATTTCGGTTGAAGATATAATAAAAAATAGACACTCTTCTAATATTAATTAAGAAGAAAAGTTCTTTAATGGAAGCTAACAAATAAGCAGTTAAGCTCCTAAGATGATTGTTTCTTAGCGTCGTTGCGTATAAGGTAAACGCTCATTTTAAGATTTAGGTGATATAGGCTCATATTCTACTCTAGATTCTTCCAATAACCCTAATAAAGAAGAGAATCAAAACTTATAATAAGGAGTATCTTCAATAGGAAATTGGTCAGCTTCAGCTTAAAACATACAACTTCCAAGAATTTTAGAAAGTTAACATTTTTAAAACAAATCTAAAGATGACAATGAACAAATTTTATCATAAAATAGCAGCAATCGTCGCTTAGTTAAGAAAGTATCAATCGATTTGTTTGAAGATAAAAAATAATTGGGCTAGAGTTTAAAAACCAGAGAGGAGTCTAATTAATTTAAAAATAGCTGCCAGTAATCGTTTAATTTTTCTAATTAATATGCTGATTAATAATAAAAAGAACTGGCTGATTCTAAACAATCATCTTATCTGACTTATAAACGTCTTTCTAATTTAGAAACATATAATAATACTACTAATCAGTCAGCCAACTAATTTCACTATAGGAATAGCTCTCTTACCAGCTTTGATAATAGCAGTAATTCTCCTATCGAAATCAATAATAGGCAAAACATAAACTTAAATATTCCACGTTATAGTAGTCTTCAACATATCAACATGCCATCAAGTTTAAATTAATAATAAAAAGCTATTAATCAAGAAAGTAATGAGAGCGGAACTAGGGTTTAGAGCTCTAAGAGAAGCTCAAGAAGGTTTATTGCTTCCTCTATGGGAAACATACCTTTACCTGAGTAAATCAAACAATAAATTATTACAAAAAGTATATTAAAAGATAGATCAAATAAAAATTTTCTTTAAACACCCAAAAAGAGTGTGATTTTCAATGAAAAAATACAAGCGTTTCCCATTTGAATTTAGCTGATAAAGTACTAATCTAAATAAATAGTTTACTAAATAAATAAAAAATATCTCAAAATAAATCTACATACAATAAATATTTCTAATTTAAATCTACTAATTAAAATAAAATATTCTACTACAAAAAATTTTCTCTTACTAAAAGTCTGCATATTTTTATATTTGTGTATTGAATAAAAAATAATTAATTCAAAAGTATCAAATCTTAATTAAAAAATAGATAGATACCATACCAATATTTTTAGTTGTATGCGTTTTGTACAGATAGCTATTTTTAATCAAATAAAAATACACAAGTAATAACAAACAAAAAAACATCAATCTTATAACTTATCATAAAAAAATTAAACATTTGAGAAATTAAAGTAAAATTCAATTTAATTTTTATTTATGACTATAAAATGAAATTTTGATGTAAGAAATTTATTTTTTAAAATTAAATAAAAAATGTATTTAAATAAAAATTATTTAATAACTCATTCTATCAGTAATATTTCAGAGTTTTTTATGCTTTAAATCAAAAATCTACTTTCAAAATTTAATTGAGATAAATATTATTTAACAATTATTCTATCATAAAATTAGATCATAATAAAAAGATAAAAAAATATTATATAATTACTTTTTTAAAGTATTTTTTATATTTCTTATTTATTATTGCAATAATTTAAATAAAAATAATAGAGTTAAGTAGGGAGGTCATTTAAAATATCCATAGAACCATTAAAATCAATCGAGTACCATATCTTTTGCAAAAATTTTTGAAAAATAAATTATCATCCCTCCTCCCTTTATCATAGAAAAAAATTTAATAAAATTCCTTCAAAAAATTATTATTTTGATAAAAAAGATGGAAAATACTTTATATTTAATAAAATAGATCATACTAAAGTAAATATTTATAGTACTAAGCATTCTTATTATTTGCTGTGAACATTTTTAAATCATATTTAGTTTAGAATAGTTTATTTTATTTAGAAAATTTAAGTTATTAATATTTTATACATTTAGAAAAATTAATCTATCTTTTATTTTAAAATATTCTAAAATATTTAGTTATTAATGTAAAATATTTTATAAGTATTAATTTTATTGATTTTTTATTTTATACTTACTAAATTTAATAATCTTAAGAAATATTTGTTTTTAAATTTAGTATTTTCTAGATTTTTAAAGTATGAGCCATTAGATAAAATTAATACTTCAATTCATTTTAAATGCAAATTTCACTTTAAAATCAAGTTATTCATTCATGTAATAAAATCTGATGAAATATACTTCTCCTTTTTAACTTTTATTAAATCAACTCAGTATTAAATTAAAATATTTTGCTATTTTCTAGAACTGAAAATCTATTTTTAAAAAAAATAATTATTAGAGTGAGCTAAAATTAGCTACAAAAAATTATTAAATATAAAATAAAAATTAATTATCGTTAATTTAAATTTTATTTTATCATTTGCAAGAAATTAGATTGCATAAAGGAAAATTGATTCATATACAAAAAAATAAAATTTTAAATAAATTATCCTTATTCTTTTTTTTACTTATTTAAGAAAGGATGGTATAAAAAATTTTGGATGATAATTTAGTGTATTTATTTAATAAAATTTAGTAAAACATCTCCATTTTCTTTTAATTTAATTATAAATATATATTCTTTAATAATTTTTTCTTCTCAAATTGAACAAACTTCTTTATTTTATTTATATTATACAGATTTATGTTTCATTCAAAAATAAGACTTGAAAAACAAAAAAAATTATTAAAAAAAAAATTCACAAAAATATTATTCAGAAAACAAAAATAAAAAATGTTAAATAGAAGTACTTTTAGCTAATTTTTGAGTAACCAATTAGCTATTATTGTCTTTGTTGGAATTTACTAAGTTTTGGCTTAATCTCAGTCTGCTTGTGGTTATGGATGCTAAAACTGCATCACTGACTCTCTTACACTCACTTCTAGCTGCTAATAGTGCAATAATGGTTTTAACTACTATTAAAAAGCAAATATATGCATATACTAAAGCTGTTAATCTAACCTTTTCTACCAACCTCTTGTGCAGAGAGACTATTCATCTTCAGGGAGCTGCGTTTCTATTTGCTCTGAATCTTACTATACCAACTTTTAGCAGAATATTTGTAGTCCTTTGAATTAGTGCTCACAAACATATTCTACAAATTAATCTTACAGCAATGGATAACCAATCTAGAAAATAGTCAACTATAAAGGGGATTACTACATATCAATATATCTTGGATTTTTGAATATTGTAAGCTCCTAAGATGGCAGCTTCTAAGCCTAAATTAGCTTCCCAAAGGGTTATTCATCAATTTATTATTTTTTGGGAGAGTTCTACTTGCTAATGTAAAATGGGAGTATACTCCATTGGCAGATTAACTCCAACTATTTATAGCTTGTTTCATAGATTCAGCAAGGCTAAGTAACCGTCAACAGTGTTTTGCTTAACATCCAAAATTAGTATTTAAGTGCTATAACATTTAATGAGGACAATTCTATAATTTATTTGACTTTTGTAGCTCAATTAAATAATTCTTAAGTAATTGCAGTAGTTAATCAATAATTCTTAACTATTAGCTCTATTAACCAAACAACACAATTCTTTTTTGATTAATTTTGCATATAAATTAATTCACATTCTGGAATATTAACCTTATACTAACTATCATTTAACGAGAGTCAATAACAGCTTACTCTTCAAATTCTGATACAAACAAATGACCATGTCAACTATTCTGCGCTCGGGTAGGTAGTTGATTTTCAGCAATCTATTACTCAGTAAAATATATTTTACTTGATTTTTTCTCAAAGTTCATTTATTTATCAGTTTTCGACATAATAATCAAGTTCCTCTTCTTTAAATTTAACGTAGAAACCCCAGAGATTAAAATTATTAAATGGCCAATAATAGTCGGGGTAATTAATAGTAGCAGTAACTTAAATTAATTTTTAAATAATTTACTGCTCTACTTTTACACTATAATAAATCATGCCTATTTAATTTATTTTAGGCCAGATAATTACGTCTCCTATGATTAATGATTTCCTTTTCTTAGATAATTAATAGTAAATTTTGGTGTTATTAAACAATACTTAACTGTTTTCATTTTAGTTGGGGTATATTAATAATTAATTACAGATTTCTTAATAAACGCCTATTGATAGTAAAATAAGTGCCCCATCTAAAATTTCTAGTTTTTCAAGCTTAAATAGCTAGATAGTATTTTTGTACAATGCAGATTTTTAAACATATTCATTTTCTACTGCATAAGCATCGCTCTAATAAAATCTTTTTATGCTTCAGCCGTATTCTCTAATTAGTCCTTTCAATGCCTACCAAGTTAATTAAATAGCTTACTTTTCTTCTCTAAGCGTATTTAGTTCTTGCTCACAAGATGGATAGCTAAAATTTTGGAATTACATAAATCGCTTTGAGCCCTAAATTTTCTTTACATTCTAAATATCAAATTAAGCATGCTTAGTGTCTACAGCTCTTTTTAATAGATACTCGCTCACTGTTTTTAGTTCTTAGATTTCAATAGTAGATGCGTACAATCAAGTTCAAACAGTAACTTTCTAAGCAAAGACTTCTTAGAACTAACTCGTCTCAGTTAGTTAAACAAATTTTTTAATACTATAAGATGGATGTATTTCAGTTTACGACATAAATTTCAAATAAATTGTCTAAAACTGCCAATTAACTCTCTACAGTTAAATTGTATCCATACAACTATTAAACAGTGGATCAATCATAGTTTAATGGAATAACTAGATCTAGATATGGAGTTTATAAAGTAATTAAATACTCTAAGATTCAAGTTATCAATCATCTAATAATATAAATTATTTTTTTACTTAGTTTCTCTCAAATGATTTTAATATAGTCATATATGACTCAAATAATAATTTAACTATTTTAAATTCTAGTCTCAATATAATTTCTTAAACACCAATTAGTTATCTAAATGCAATTTAATCAATGTATTCCATACCTAGTAATCCAAGTTGCATAATTTTTATAGGTATTTCAAATAATTAAAGCAATCCGAATCCATATATCCTTTTTTATTTTAATACTGCAACTGGATCAATTACCTAAATTTCCTCTTACGTATTACTATTGTAGATTTTAGATATTAGCTTTGGTAGTAACTAGAGAGATTAATATGTGACTATTACTGCAGTTGTTCCACTAAGCTATACATTCAAAATTTTTAGAGTGTTTTACTATATCAATCTAAATATTAACTATTTGGCGCTTTTGAAGTATACACCTACAGAAAGTTTTCTATACTAAGTTAAAATACCTAATTAAATCGAAGTCAACAGCTTATACGGAGCATAGAGTGGGTTCGTTGGAATAAATTATTTGAATTATCAATATTACTAGCAAGTTTTGAATGTTAATTCTATTTCAAAAAGTGAAACAATTAATAATTTAATTTAAAGTCCCTCAATGAATTTATACTTTATAGCAACTAATTTTACTATTCTAGTTTATAACCTACATACTGACCAGCTTCTAGAGTAACTGAGTATTAATTCAGTTGATTAAATACAAGGCATGAATATTTACAACAACACTTAAATTTTAGTTTTCAACACAATAAAATAATTGAATTTAAAAAATTATTTGACTTCGCAAAGCTATTAATTAACAAACTTCGGAAACATAACAAATTTCGCTTAGGATTAGTAAGGGTAGAGACTATATGTGTATGGAAGTAAGTTGAGCTCATACGATTTAACTTTAAAGAATTAAATTGATTGGTACACTTTTACATCTAACAGCGGCGAATATATTACTAATTGCCTGCTTTCTACTTCTACTATTGCTTGCGTTTCCTCAAAAAATAGCTTCATTATTATTAACTTAAACACTTAAAAAGTTTAAAATTAAATAATGAATTCATTTACAGGATAAATATAATTGGCCTAAGACCCACAAAACTTAAATTACATTATATACTCATCTAAAATACAGGTTTATTCAGTGTCTGGTATATACATTTAAGACTTCCCTTCATATACAGGCGGATTAATTTCCTTTTTCAATTTTTATGGCTCAAAAATAGTTTTGTACTCTCTTGGATATGTTTATATTTATGATAGATTCCAGTATCTTTTGAATGCAAATTTTCTTAACCAAGGCTCACCAGCACTATTTTAAAGTATTTACATTTAATCTTAAAATATCATGCTTTACTTTTCAGAAGAAATTCGTTATGGTTAAATTTAAGTCTACAATCTTTAATTGTTGATTAGTCAGAATTCAATTTCTTCTAATTATGCATAAAATGGTATAGGAAGAATTATTAATTTTTCTTACGATCCTGAAGGATCTTTCTTGTAAACAATTGACAGCTATGGGAATGTCATGTTATTTTTGGTTTAAGCTACAATATTAAATGACAGTCCTTTGAAAATTATAGAGTTTGACGGTTAAACTCCTCCTTAGAACTATCAGATTGATTTAGCCCTTAACTAAATGCTTATTTATAGTCCTAATTTGGTTTTTAAAGCAAATTATGCTTAAATTGCTTAAGCATATGTAAGACTATATAAACCAAATAAATATTCATTTGTAGAAATACCAAATCCTTAAAACTCAAATGGCTAATTTATTGTTTTAGATACAGCAAACACTCTTTCTTACTACTCTAACTTTAATTCCTATATGATCAACACATTTGATAAATAAAACCCTCTTATGTTTATATAGAACATACAACAAGATAATAATTAATTTCTAGCTCTAGTCTTCTAAAATTATATTTAAATTTATAATTTTAACCAAGTAATTACTCAAGTGCAAAGTTAATCCTATTTATATTAAATTAATTCAGTTAATACTGTAAAATTCTTAACAAATAATACATTTTTGCTATCAAATCAAACAATTATTCATTATGATTTCAATAAAAACATACAGTTAAGCTCTATATCATTAGGAGCACTGAATTATTACAAATCTCACTTATATGTAGAGCAGTCCTCTTTGCTATTTGTTGGTCTGAGTGTAGGCTAAATAATTATATACAATTTATAAACATTAAAGCCAGTAAATATTCCTCTCTAAGACACCTCTTCTTCAGTTATTAGTTTGATATTAAATCAAGTTGGAAATCAAGTATTAATTGCTTAAAAAAGTGGGAGCTTAACCATTTGGTCTCTCAGCCAAAGCTAAGTTGCTTAAAACATAGACTTACAGAATACATTTAATTCTGTTGTAAAGTTAGGTTCTGAATTAAATAAATTATGGATAGATGAATAATTTAAAAGAATTTTTATCAATTTCTAATCATCAACTCTCATAATAATAGCAGACCTTAGTAGTTTTAACCTCATTTAATTTTTATCATTCCCTTTGAGTTAAAATAATTAAATTAAATTTACACCTTCTTTAATTGTTCTTTAATCAAATGCATAGGTAAATTTTCATAATAGAACAAGCCTTTCCTTGCTCTATTACATAAGAAAAAACTACAGAAGAGATTAAATTTCAGAAATTGCTATTTTGGATGATTCCATTTTTGTAGTTTTCATGATAAAAAAAATAGATGTATTTCTTCTTGATCCTAATTCAAATAGACCGTTTTTAATTGATGAACTGATTGTTAACTTTGGATAACTCATGAAATTGAGTTATATTGATCCTACCTAAAAGTTTTTTTCTGTTATTGGCTAGACTTAAAATACAATATTCGAAAATAGATACAGCGCTTACGTATATCTCAATGGCGGTTCGCCTGTATGCACATAATCAATATCTATTAAAGATGCAGTTTCTGCTCAAAAGTAATTTGGACTTACCTTTAACGCGAACATTGTTATAAATTACCTGTTTTATTTAAGTATTTATAACGATTTAAAATATATGGCATAAATCAATCAAAATTCAGGATAATTTGTTTTCAAGCCCTCAAACTAAATTTAAAACCAATTAAATTTATATTCTAACATATTTACATTTGTGTAAGGAAATGTGACTATGTAGAACTTCTAATTTTCTCTACCAGTGAATGACACACTATAATTTAATGCCAATACTTAATTTATAAAATTTGATAACATATAATTGAGTAATCAAACAATAAGCTAAGCTTATTTCAACTTTTCTAATCTCCAAAGTGTTGTTATAAACAGTCTCTCAATAAGTAATCTGACAATACTACAAACATCGGATTCTTAAAATGCAGGATTATTACAGTTTACCAATATTTAAACTGTATATATTTATAATCTACAGCTTAATTAAATATAAATCAAAGACTTTAATAGGGTTTTATTTTCTTTCATTAATGTAAAAACATTACTGATTTAAAACGTAACTCTTATAGGTTCTAATTCTTACAATTTTTTTTAAATGCAGCAAATAAACTAACTCACAATTCAAAATGCTTGGATATAATAAAATGTAGGATTGGGAGGTTAAAATGTGACTTAAAACTCAGTAATTTTGCAATTATAAGGATGCATTTCCACTCTACTCCAAAATATAACTTTTAATGGAAACCAAAATTCAGTTCTAATACAATCATCTAACTAAAATTAATAATCTAATGAAACAATCATTTACAGGAATGATATAGTCTAATTTATATAAAGTATTATATAAAATAACACAGATTCGTTCTATTAATACAGGACAGAATCAAACGAAGGTCTAATTTAGCTTTAAACATCATTTGTCTAATTATCCTAGATTACTTACTATAACAACACAGGCAATTTATGGATTTAAAATAGTTAAAAAGTTTAGTTGACTAATTCAAATTTCACAGAAAATTTATCTTTTAATGGAGGTGCAGTAAAAATGCAGAACGTGCAAGGGAAAATAAGTATCAACTCATGTTAATTCTTAAAAAATACTGCATTATCTTCAGGAGGAGCTTTATTCTTATTAGAAATATAGAGTATTGATGCTGACATTAATACATTAATCTAATACAATATAGCATTAATTGGTGGAGCAATAAGATTACTGAATAAAGTCTTACCTTAGATGAATTTAAATGCAAAAATGAATTAAAATTTAGGAAATATTTATGGAAATAACATAGCAACCATTCCTCAATATGTTTAAATCATATATTAAAATCAAACTCAAATAGTGGAATAATCTCAACGAAGAAATTTACAAAATGTTGTTAATATTTAAAACTTCTAAAGTGGTAGCATTCTTTAAATGGGATTTTAATTTTTAGATTAAGATAGAAAAAAAGTGTCATTTGATCCAATTAAAATTAAAAAACAAATTTATCCTTCTTCTATAATTTCTGAGCTCATTTATTATTAAATTTAAGTTGAAGCTCCAAATACCACTACTATGTAGCTTAACGGTGATAGTTTAGTTAACTATAATTAATATTAAAATAATATAACAGCATTTTAAATTTAAAATCTTTAGATTAACTCTATGGTTAAATCTCAATAAATCCTTCAATTTGTTTTCTCTACAAACTTTTACACAGGATAGATTCTAAATTTTCAAATTCAAATAGATTTTAGAAATTGTTAGAAAGGAGAAATTATGAAATCAATATCAAATGAAATTATATAATGTTATGAATGTCCATAAAACTCGTATTCCATAATTGATCCTTCTAGTTACAATGCAACGAATAATGGAGTTTGTAACAAATGTCCTGAGGGATCATTAAATTGCTTTTCAGATTAAATTATTCCTAAAAACGGATACTGGCTTCAGTAAGGAACTGACTTAGTAATTTATTGCTATAATAATCCAAGTGCTTGTGCTCCAGAAGATGAGTCAAGTTAATAAGGGTGTTCTCTAGGACATTTCGGACCACTTTGCGAAGAGTGTGATAATTTAGGAAAGTATTGGAACGGAAGAAGATTTTCTTCTTTTTTTGGTGATTTCAATTGTTAGGAATGTTAAGATAATACTCTTCAGTATTTTTTTGTAGTAGGAGGATTAATTTTCATGGTTCTTTACTTAGCTTTCTAAACAAAGCGCTATATTGATAATCAAAAACTTATGTAAACTTGCTTTTACTTTAGAATAGCAAAATTAGTTCCATTTAGTAAAAGTTGCTTCAAAGATTAGTCTTCTTTTCTCTTAAAATCGCTTATTCACTATTTGCAGCTATCTTCGATAATTTTGACTTTTAAAGTACAATTTAATCCATAAACAGTTTATTAATCTGCAGGTCAGCCAGTTAGTAAAGTTGCTTTGAACTTTAAATGCTTTATGAGTTTGAATACTCTTGCTAAATATTAAATGGCTAATATTTAAGTACTAATAAGAAGTCTAATTCCTTTTACCGTCTTTTTTTGCTTGTTTTTAGTTTTGGTTTTAATAAAACTTGTTAAAAAATCAGCAGTTAAAAAGTATCACTTCTTTTCTTCAATGACATTTTGCTTTTTATTTTTTTTACCTGACACAATTAAGTTCATAACAGATGCTCTATCTTGTCGCTAAATAGGAAACTAAAAATATTTAAAAATAGATGTCTCTGTCCTTTGCTCAGACGAATCATATCAGAATTTTGTTTTGATAATACTAATTCCCATCTTAGTCTTTTGGTTAGTATTTCCATTTGTAATGCTGCTTTTAATTAGAAAAGAAAGGAAAACTCTAAATAGCTGTTTAACTAAATTTTCTTTCGGAAATTATTATGCAGAGTATAAAGAAAGTTATTACTATTGGGAATTCATTAAAATTTATTTAAAAGTTATTGTTGTCTTTTTGTATACTTAGACTGAATAGTATGGCTCTTCCTCTCTTTTTTTAATAGCAGTAATTATGACTGCTTACATCATAGCACTTTAGAAGTGCCAACCTTTTTAGAGCTCTAATAATTAATTTTTTGAAATAATATCTCACGGTATGCTCATTTTTAATATGAATTTATCAAGTCTCTCAATGGGTTTTGATATTTAAATTTTCGACTATTTGTTAACAATTAGTCATCACACTTTTGTAGCTATTCAAGTCATAATGATTATAGTTGTGATAGCAAAAGATGGAAGTGGAGCAATCAATAAATTTGCAATAAGATTTATAAATATTTTAAAAATAAATTATCTTATGAAATATTTCTAAGCAAATTAATAAACCAATTATGAAGTATTTAGGAGGTGGAAAAAGGTTTATGGAAATTTAAGTCTACTTACTGAATTAAAAGCATTAAATTAAATTTCCTAGCTGTAAGTAAAGCGCCAAAACACTCCTTAATAAAAAAAGTAAGGAGCATATAATTACCTATAAAGGCAAGTGACTTAAGCAAGAGAGATTTCAGACTCAATTACTAATGGAATGATTACTAACATTATACATTAAAGTTCTATACATGCAAAATAATTTATATCCCCAAGAAGTATATAAAAAGTAAATAGTGATTTAATAGTAAACTCGTAATTTCCAGTCAATGTAATAAGATCTGGAATAATAGAAGACAGTCCTTCCTAATTTTAATCTAATTTTTGCTTGGAACCTTTAACTTCAGATAAGCATAATAATGGTAAATTAGTATTATCTCAGTACCATCCCAAAGAAAATTCCTAATTTCTGCTCCAAAATTAAGGAAGTTAAAGTAATCGTGATATTTAATATTTTAAGACTAACTTTATTGAGAGCCCCAGAATGGATAAACCTTAAGAATAAGAAATTTAAAGCAAATATGACTAAGAATCTTCAAGTAAAAATGACTAAGAACCTCAAAACGAGTCAGAAATTGATATCGAATAAGAAAATCAAACTAACTCATGTTCACCAGTTTAGAATCTAAAAATGCAATACTTTAAAACAATAAAAAAATGAAAAAGATGTTAAAAATAATGAAAATAAAATTTAACTTTTTATCTTAAGCAGAAAAAATAGTTTACAAATTAATAATAAAGAATATATTTATTAGTTTTTTTATTTTTGTTTGATTTACAGAATTTGTTCTTAATTTTTTTAAAATAGTAAAATTTTTTTTTTTAAACTGTAAAATTAGCTGAATTAATTTATATAAAATTTATATACTCATAAAATTTAATTTTAAGGATACATTATTTATTTATCTAAATTATTTTAGATATTCCTTTTTTTAATTATTTTAAATCCCTTTAATGTATGATTAATAAATATTTTACTGACTTGATTATATAGGGGTGATTAAACAATATATTTTGTTGAAAATATAGTCTCTGACACTAATTCATATTAAAAAAATCTAATCAATTTAAATACTTGAATTTTATATCATCCCCCTTAAAACCAAATAAGAAAATGTTTATTTATTAAAAAATAGTTCGAGCTTGCAGCTATTTGTGATAATTAAATATTACTTTAATTATTGAATGAATAAAAATTAATTTGATGGTTAATTCAAACAAAATTATAATGATTAGTTCTAGATTTTTTTCTATTATTTTCCCGTCTAATCTAACAAAATGTTTAATCATAAATAATTTTTAATCAAAATTAAAGCGTAATTAGGTTTATTCTATCAATTGACAGTAAAATAACTCTTAGAATATTTATTTAATAACTATATTTGTGATAATTTAACTAAAATAAAGTAATATTAAAAAAATGTATTTCTATTTCATTTTTTTTATTAATTTTTGATATTTTGCTTAAAGTTTGTGAATTAAGTTTTTTGTTTAATTATGAAATTTCTAGTGGTTACTATATTTTAGATATCTTAAAAATTTTTTACATTGATAGATTTTGTTAATCATTATATTATGTTCATGAAATTTTGAATGATTACATTTACAAATAATGTTAATTAAACCTTTTTAATTAAAATATCAGTGAATTTGATTATTTTGTGAACAACTTTTCGTTCTATTTCAAGTTTTCTTAATTGATTTATTAATTTTTATGAATGGATAAAAGAATTTACAGTTTTTCTAATGCTATCTAATATAATTATACATCTATATTTCAAAAAAATACAGAAAACTCTTCTTTTTAATTGAGTTACTGCCCTAATAATAAAATTTAATAGTCTTAGAAAAGATTAAATTACAAAAGTCTGAAAAAATTATTAACTATGAAATTTATTAGCATAAATAAACAGTAACCTTTATTTAATGAGCATATAATTTTTAACCTAATATTCATAATAACATTTAAATTTTCGTTGTAGGCTCTCTCACTGTAATATTTACTTTTTTATATATGCATGTAATTATTAGTCTTCTATATTTTTACTATCATTTTAATATAAAGAATATTTACAGAGGCTATGATATCCTAGGAATATCCAGAAAAAATTTAATCATAAATATGTTTGGAAAAATTATGCATTTACTCATGATTATAAATTAATTAATCAATTAATTAAAGTTTTTACTGTTTAAATTTTTTGCTTGATATTTTGAATGATTTTAAATGGGTTAATTATCATTTAATAATTGGCAAAATAATAAATTAAATAGTGATAACAACTATTGACAACGTATTTGGTTTACTGAAGAAGATTGATTGATTTACTAATTTATTAATTAATTTTATGCAAATAATTATTTGTTATTAGTGTTAAATATTATTTATAATTTTCAAAAAAAACATTTGTAAATTATTAAAAAAAATAAATCAATCAATAAATATATTATTTTTCCTTTCCATTTCATTGACACGAATATGTTTCCTCAGCTGAATAAGAACTTAAATTCTCTAAGCGCTTAAAGCTTAGGTCAATACCAATCACCTACTTAAAATATAACCCCTTCAAGAAACTATCAAATTCTTTCTTCTATCTTGAATAATACAAATAATTCCTATAAAATAAATAACCTCAGTAACAACAATAATATAAACATATTTTCTCGTTAACTTAATGATTCAAGCTATGGTTCTAATAAATGGATTTTAAATAAAATAGATCAAAATTCAAGTAGAATAACAAATAATTACAAAAAAGACTATTCTCCTTTGATACAAGCTAAGCCAGCAAGAGATAGCTTGGAAATACCATAAAACTCACTGGATTTATAATAATAAACTAACAATAGTTGTTAGGTAAGAAGAAGAAGGAAAATTAATTTAAAATAAATTTTTGCTTTAGATACTTCTAATAATTAAAATATATCTCAAAACGATTTAATGGATGATTAGTAACCTAGATAACAAATATCAGATATTCCTTCTAATTATACTATTTAAGAAAGTCCTCTTAGGTAAAGAAAGATAAATAGAAATATGCTTTTTATTTAATCTAACAAATCTTAAGAATTCGATGATCAATATGATTCAGAAAAAAATTTTGTAGAATAATAAAATAGAGTTAAAAAATTAATAAGAAATAGACAAGGCAGTATGTAAGGTTTGAACTAGGATTAAAGAATTATCAACTTAAGTAATAACATGTCAGATGATTAAATACTTAATAAATCCACTATTTAAATTGGAATTACCAAACAACCTTCATATGCAAGTTTCTTTTCTAACAGAACCTCAAATAATCAAATAAAACAAACATCTATCTAAGTAATTGAAAGCGAAAAGGATAATGATTCCTCATAAATATCTACTTAAGAAACAGAAGAATCGTTGTACAATTTTAAGTTACCAAACCAAAAAATGATTTTTCGTAATACTTCCCATAAAGGAATACTCAAAAACTCTACTGAAAATTATATTCAATCTCCTTTTAAAAAATCCTAAAAAAAACAAGTGAGCTTCAATATAATAAAAAAAATATTTTGAGCTATTCAGATGAACAAACAACTTGTTTGTTTAAAATGAAATTACTAAAATTTATAAATTTCCAAAAGCATTTTTAATCAAAGATTTAATAACCAACAAAACTATTCAAATTATCATTCATATTTATTAACTAATTCTTTTCTTCAATTAACTAACTAAATAAATTTAATATAAACCAATTAAATCCAAACATTTTTACAAATAATAAATTAAAATAATCTATTTTCCCCTGAAATTTCTTCATTCAAAATTTAAATGAAATCTAATTTATTAATGAAGATTTAACAAAAAATTGATAATAAATTCATTGAAGTATTGATGGATAACTCAGTATAATAGATATATTTTAATAATAAAACTATTAGAAATAATTAAAACTCATGTAATTAAACTAAAAATGTATTCTTCTCTATAATTATTATTATTTTTTGTATAAATTATCTTTTTAAACATTGCAAACAAACTTTTTAGTTTGAAAATATGAAAATAAATTTGAATAAAATAAGCAAATATCTATCCATATATTGTATTGATATTATTCTTTCTCAATCATTTATACCTGTTTTGACTTTCATTTTACAGTAACTTCAAATAGAAATTAATTCTATTATTATTTCTTAATACATTAAGGTTGAGTTAAATTTTTTATCTTTTAAAAATTAGGTTCTATTTTTACAATATTTAATTTCTTTTTAGACCATAAAGCTATAATATTTTGGAAATTATTATTCTTATAATAAGCTAAATTTATAAATTTATTCATTTATAAGGTTTACATTATTTTGAATTAAACCTTTATTTTATTAGGAGTAACTTATAAAAAATTTCAGTAGAGCACTTTTATTAATAATATTTTTTTGCTCAACAATTCTATTATAGAATAATTTAACTTTTTAATCAGTATTGAGTTAGATTTTAATTAGTTAAAAAATATTGGATGTATAGCTTTTTTTCTTTAAATTTGATAATATTAAATTAAATATTATTTATATATAAGCAAGCAAAATGATTACTGTAATTCTTCGTTACCTTACTCCTCTACATCTAACATTTTTATGAGCCGAGGATAGAAATTTTTTGTAAAAAAATAGTTATACTTGGTAGATCGATCGATCGGCGGGTTGGAGCTAGGAATTACAGTAACTTAATGAGCGAAGAGTTTTTTAAATCTTTCTTAAAAACTTTATTTTAGATTAATAAATAGCCTGAATTAGCAAAATCAAAAAATTAATCAGTTTTGATTATTTGAAATCAGATATTTAAAATCTTGGTGATAATAAAAAATTAAAGAATTCAGACAGATTAAATTTCTATTTATTTAAATTTTTTTGAAACACAATTTGGTTATCTAAATAATAATAAAATTCCAAATGATATTTACTTTTAATAAAATATTTTTACAAGTTTTATTTCATTTACACTTTTTGTTATAGATTAATATAAAATATCTAAACTTTTTGAAAAATTTAAATAAGATTTTTCAGATGATTTCTTTATTTAAATTAAATCATTAAAATCTATTGAATATTATCTGATAATTTCAAATTAAATAACCAAATAATTTTTTTCTATTTTTTTTGTATAACTCTCACTATTTTTAATTCATAGTAAAATTTGTTATAAATCAATAGCATGATCAATCAATCAATTAAATTTTTCAAATCCAAAAAATTAATATTGTAAATATTATTGTATGATTAAAACTCATCTTGAAATTATTTTCTCTTAAAAGGTATTTAAAAATATTATTAATATTACTTTAAAGTAAATTCAGCATTGAACTATATAGTTATTTGTGTAACTTATTAATTTAAATTAATGCTAGTAAAAACTTTTAATTATTATTAATTTTACATAAAATTAAAATAGTTTGATACGAATAATACATTTTTGACGCTTTAAGTTTAATAGATTAATGAATACTAATTCATATTACAGTTTACAAGATAAAATGGATTCATTGGTTTATTTTCTTGTTTTAAACTAGCTTCTAAATAAAGTTAAAAGAAAATAATCTAAAATTTTCTAAATATTTTTAAGCTGCACATTTATAAAATAAATAATCAACTTTTCATGATACTAGTAATATCTTATAGAGAAATATTATTATAAACTAACTAACTATACATTTTTGAATAAATAAATAAAACAAACTATATTATAATTTATTTTGATTTTGTTCATTATCATAATTTTCTGTTATTTTTTTTACTCTGTAGAGGTTAATATCTTCATAAGAAAAGTTAGAAATCTTTCAAGTAAGATTTGATTTGAGATACAATTCAGAGTAAATTAAATTATAAAATAAATAATTCATTCGATTTTATCTTAGTTATCTTGTTAATAATTTACAATAGGACACTACCTGCAATTAGGACAAGATTATTTAGCAAGTAACCATTTGTCTATGCAGAACGTATGATAAAAGTGGCTACAAGGAAGTACACGCAATTCTTAGTTATTGTTAAGATTTTCAAGACATATATTGCATATTTCCTCTTCGTCTTCTCCTTTTACAATACTTTCTTGATTATTTTTATCATTATTTTCTTATGAGTTTTTTCCTGTATATTTTGTTATTGGAAGATTCCTGATTGGTTCTATTTTTTGTATCATTTAGCGTGCTGCATTTATCATATCTTGAGAGTTCTATAAATCATCCAAATTATAAGTTCTTCTTATTTCATAAGATTACTCAAAATGCTCAAGAGCTTTCTCAAATTCGAGGAGAGAGAAATAAGTGGAACCAACATTATCATAGGCTGTTGCTATTTTTATTTTACACTCTTATTATTGAATACGAATTTAAAGCACACGTAGAAATGTATTAAGAGCTTCATCTAGCTTGCCTACATTAAATAAATTAGAAGCTATATTATTTAAAGACGAAACTGTTTCAGGATGAGTTTCTCCTAAATTTTCTCTACGGATCTTTAATGCTTAATTATGATATTCAAAAGATTCACTTAATCTCTTCAGGTTATGCAAAGTACATGCAATATTATTTAGTGTTGTAGCTGCTCTAGCTTGGTTTTCAGGTTCAACTTTTCTCATCAAAGCTAGTTCATCTTGGTAATAAACAATAGCTTGCTCATATTTGCCACTATCATATAAATTCGATGCAATATTGTCTAAAGAAGTTATTATGTCTTTTGATTCTGGGCCTTAAATTTATTTTCTCATTTCTAGGACCTAATTTAAAAAAAAAGTTGAAAAAAAATGATTCAAGGATTTTTAAATGAAAAATCATTAGATTAAAATAATTTTTTGTTTACCTCTATTTGTAGCTGTAAAGCAGACTCGTAATCTTTCAAATTATGGTAGGTGCAAGCTAAATTATGGAGTGTTACAGCTATTTATAGATTATTTGTTTAGTAGCATTTTCTCCTTATACCTAAAACTTTTTTATACATCTCTAGTGCGTATTAAAAGTCATTCTGGTCATAAATAATTGATGCAATATTATCTAATGAGGTTGCTACATCTAAGTGATCATGACCTAAAATTTTTTACTTTATAACTAAGGATTTTTGATGCATTTTTAATGCCTCAGCAATTTGACCTAAATTTTTAAGAGTGCACGCAATATTATTATAAGTTGTTGCAACTTTCAAATTATCTTCTCCAAATTCTATATTTCAAAAAAATTTTAAATTGATGGAAATTATATAGATCAAAAATTACTCTTTATTTTAAGCTAAAGTTCTTCATAATATGATTCAAGACCTTCTTAAAATCTTTGCATATCATAAAGAGTAGATGAAATGCTCTCTATTGAGCTGATAATATCATCGTCATTTTCTTTTAGAATTTTTTTCCTAAGCTCAAGAGCTTTCCTGTGATAATTGACAGCTTCATCAAGGTTATTTATATTCTTGTAAGAACATCCAATATTATTCAAAGTTACAGCAACCTATTTATAATCGTTTAAAATTTCAATCAAAATTTTATTTAAAAAAATCTTTACAAATAGTATAAATATTCACAACCACATATATATTTAATAAATTATAATTAAAAGTAAATATACTTTAGCACATTGAGGTGTATGCAGTTTTTCTTTTAATAGAAGTTCCTTTTTGTAGAATTCTATAGCTTCAGTGTATTTTTCTTGGTCATATAAGATACTGGCAATGTTAGAAATACTACTAAGAATCTCTTGGTGTTCAAAAGGCAAATAACTTTCTCTCAAGCGTAAAGTTTTTTAATGGTACTTCAAGGAGCGGTCTAGGTTTTCTAGATTTTTGTAAGTTATTGCTATATTATTAAGAAGAGAAGCCAGCTAAATTCCTTTTTGATTTAATTGTTTGCGAATTTTTAATTCCTGCAAATAATACTCTAAAGCTTCTTTGTATTTTTGAAGGTCATAGTATGTACTTGCAACGTGATCATATGAATTAGCAATGTCTTCCTTCATAGTTTTACCTATATATTTAAATTTTTTTTAAATTACTGATGTTAATATTTAAATTCATTAAGTTAAAATAAAATCTTAAATTCAGTACTACTTTTCTGTTTTCTTATTTATAGGGATTTCATGTGATATTCAAGCGCTTTGGTGTGCTTTTACTATTTACTATAACATGATCCAATATTGTCAAGATTATTGCAAATAATTGAATGATGAGGTTCTAAAACTTAAATGTTTATACTATACGCTTATTCATGGTATTTCAAAGCCTTTTCAAAATCTCCTAGGTGGAAGTAAGTAATACCAATGTTACAATAGAGGTTAGAAATATTAAGGTGGTCTTTTCCTACTAGCTATTTCATTTTTTACTCAGTTTTTTTGTAGTATTATAAAGCTTTTTCAGGTTACTCCATCTCAGTTAGAGCCCAAGCTAAATGGTTTAATGTTGAGCATAAAAGGTAGGGATCTACATCTTTATTATCTTATATAAAAAAATTATTAATAAAATGTTTACAATAATTTATAATTAAAATTAAAAGAATGATAAAACAAATAAAAAATTTGCTAGTTTTTTATTGAGTTAATGTTTTAAAATATTTTTTTATTAAACTAATACCATCTATAAGTAATTAAGGTTATTCAATTTATATTATTAAGTATTACAAAAATATTTCAAAATTCATTTTTTTTTTTTGTAAATTTATTTTTATTTTTTGATATATTTTGTTTGAAAATTTTTAGAAATTATAAAGCGTTTTTTAGCATAATTAATTATTTAGAAAATATAACAAAAATTAAAAAAATAATTATAATCAAATTTTAATAAATATTTACTTTTATCATCATTTTCAAAATTAGATATTATTTATAGAGATTAGTTTAAGAAGAACTTGCTTTGTTCTGTCTTTCCCTGCTTATATAAAGCCACTGCTATGTTATTTTTGGCTGAAGGAATAAAAATATGATCATTTGAGTATATTTTTACTTTTATGTCGTGGGCTTTTTGGTAATTTTTGAAAGATTCTTCATAATTTTCTCTGTTATACTACGCCAAAGCTAAGTTTTCTAAAGTAGAAGTAATATAAGGGTGACTCTTAATATTTCTTTACCAAATTTTTAGCGCTTGTTAATTGAGTTCAATAGATTAATCATATTCAAATAAATTGTAATATGACCAGGCTAAATAGGTGATAGAAAGAGCTGATAAGATATTTTCATTTTCACCAAATATTTTTTAGCGAATTTGTTAAGATTTTAGGTTGTGTTGAAGGGACTCTTCTGATTTACCCTATTCGTCAAGGGTTCAGGCGAGGTAATTTAGTGTAATTGCGTACTTTGTGTGCTCATATCCATAAGTTAGCTCTCTCTGTTTCAAAGCTTTTTGTAAATATTCTTATGCTTCTTCATAATGCCCTATATTCCTATAAACAATTCCTAAAGAGGTGTAAGAGGAAGCAATATCAGGATGATTTTAAGTAGAAATTTAACTAAGAATTTCTGTTGTACTTTCAGAAAATTATAGTTTAATCAAATTGCTATTAACAGTATTGAATATTTTCTAAAGGAAATTTTAGGATTAAATTTAGCGGTCATACTAATAAATAGATTCTCTTAAACTCAAAGCCTTTTTTTAATTATTTAAGCTCTTTTTAAGCATTCCTAAATCCTATTAAATTGTGCCTATTGATATATATAATTTTTTGTGTCAAGTATTCAAATAAATATTTTGTAAATCAAATGTTTTTTGTGAAATTAAAATTTTCTAGTGAAAGTAAATCTCTTTAAAGAAATTAATATTGTTTTTATATGATAAAAAAAGGAATTGCATTATACTTATTTGTTTAAATGCCTTTCCTTTATAATAAATAAGTACTTTTAATAAAGTTTTTTTTTATGAGATGATAAATTAATTAGATTATTTTTAGATAGAAACTACAATTTATAGAGTTATTTGATTCTTAATAAAATATATTTAATGAAATCTTTTTTGCTTTTAAAAATTGTACAATAAACAAATAGAATGAATGCTTAAATATTTGTTATATAGAAAATAAAGTTAAAACTAATTTTAATTTATATTTTTTAATCATAAAATAGAAATGCGAATTTTAATGAAAATTAAATAAATATACCTAAATTTTAGTAAGCATCTGCTATCTGAGGGTGACTATTTGGGCATATATCTGAGGTATATAATGACTCTCTATTTTTAACTACTTCCTAAATAAGGCTATAAGATTCTTAGAATTTTCCTAATTCATTCTGTACCAGTGCAATATTTTCTTATGAAGAAATTATTTAAGGATGATTTATTTTACCTAAAATCTTTGTCTTTATTTCTAAAGCTTCTCTGAAAAATGTCAAAGACTCTTCAAGTTTTCCTAGAGATCTTAACAAGTTAGCTTTTGAGTCTAGACACTCAGCATACATTAAACTCTAATGTAAATTAACAGACATATATAGTTTTAAGCTCTTTTCACAATTTGTCATCGCTTAATTATACTGGCCTAATTCTTCATATAATACGCTCAATAAATAAAATGATTTAGCCTAATCGAAAAGTTCTTTCTTAAAATTCAGAGACTTTAAGAAATACTCTTCAGCCTTCTTCAAATAGCCTAGCTTTAGATAGGCTTTTCCTATTAATAAATAAATAAAACTATTAATATATTTTAGAATTATTATTTTTTTTTTTTCAAGTAGAACATTTTGGAAAAACAGCTTTTTTAAATATGTTTCAATTCTTTTTTTGGTAAAACTCTAAGTAAAAAAACAAATAAATCAATAAATAAATACCTGCCATGTCCAAAGCCTTGCTGTATTCTTATTCTAGTTCTTCTAAATTTTTTGATATGCAATCAATAGAGTCAAGTAAGAGACCTAAGGAAGCTTTGAAGTCACCTAATTAAAATAGAACATCAGCGTAAGTTATTTGAGATTCAATAAATGTCTTATTTGAAGAATTTCGATTATTCTTTTTAGATTCATACTACTTTTTTGCTAATTTGAAAGATAATTGTAAGTTTCCTTAGTCAAGAAGGCTTTTTATTTCGTTATTTGTTTTATATATTTTAGTTATTTGTGGTGAGAGATTTTCATTGATTTGTTTATTGCAAATACTAAATTCTTAATCTATTTATTTTTCTTAAAACTATGTCTTTGCTCTAGAGAAGATAGGAAGTAGAATTTTATCGTTGCTCATTTTCTGATGATAAAACAAATTGAATATGTAGATAACCTCCCTTAAAGAATTTCTTAGCTTTTTAACTCTAAATCTCTTTTTTATTAAGGAATTTGCCTTATTTATAATAAATAAACCCTTTTTTTGTTCTACCTTAATTTTTTTTTGTGGCTATTTTTTTAATTCTTTGATTTTTAATAATTATTATCTAAATAGAAGTTTTTAAATCACTGTATTTGATTGAAGCATTTTTGATAACAAAAAAATCATAAAATCTTTATAATTTAATTTTCATCCATCTAAATGCCTTCAATAATAAAAGGACTCTTTTAAGATTTATTAAAAGCCTAAGATTAATTAATTAAAATGACTTTTATATATCAAAAAAAATTTATCAAAAATTAATCCATACAGAATTTTAATCAAATAAACTGAAAGATTAACATAATATTTGTAAGATCTGTGGTTAGATTTATTCTAAAAAATTTATTTAATTAAAAAATAAGTCAGCTTAATAAATAAAAAAATAAGCAGAATAAATCACATTTTTATACCATAATTTATTAACCATTTTTCGTTTTGAGGCATTTTCAAAACTAAAATTATTTTTTGTTAAGTATTATTATAAATCATAAATAATTAATTATTTTAACAAATATATATTGTATTTTAATAAGATTTTGTAAAGTAAAAAAAAATATTTAATAAATATTTAAAATTTTTAATAAGAAAAATAATTTTTTTTAAATGATATAATAGTAGCCTATGTTGTTGAATTTGTATAGTATATATTTATATGCTCTTAAGCATTAACTAAATTAAGAATGTATAAATATAATTATCCTCAGTTTATTTAAAAAAATTAAGATACTAATTGAAACTAATATATATATTTATATTTAACCTTACTACTAATCATATTTTAATAAAACAAGCTTACTTTTTATGTGGATAATTATCAAATTAAAATATAAAAAAGACAAAATATGAGTAATTTTATTGATAGATCTTATAATTTTATTGAGTTATCGCCGCTTTTTTGTGAATTCTAGGAGTTTGTATTTAAGTATGTAGCCTTAGATATATATTAAATACTTTAAATATAAGCAAAATGATCACCGGATGCAGTTGATTGTCCATTATCTGTTCTAAAAATTATTCTAAAGCTAGAGCATCTCCATGGAGTTGGATATTAACTTGAATTTGTGGAGTTCCAATAAACGACATCATCAATTGTCCATGCTACATAACTTGGCATCCAGTATAAAGCGTAGTTATGGTATCCATTAGAAAAGTTATCTGTGTAGGAAGGATTAGAATTAGAGTCAAATACTTTTTTATTTTCGTTTGGTGAAAAAGTTGCAGGTAAAAATTATGTTTGTGAGTTGAAAGATGGACCGTTTCCATATCCAATATCAATTTCGTTCCATACAGAAGAAGAATCCATATTACTTCCACTTTCAACATATATTCCAAAAAAGAAAAGTGCATCATTTTGATTAGATAGCTTGAAAGATGCCCTGATTTTGAAGACACCATATTAAAAACAGCTATTTGATTCTAGATGTACTCCAGCCCAATTTGAGCATTTTGAGCCAAAACAACATTTATTACCTGGTTCAGTACAAAAAGATTAAGAAAGCCTGAGAGACATACCTTTAGCATTATCAGGGTTATTTGGAAGACTGACTCCAAGCTATAGGTATGCAGGATTGTGTGTAGTCCATCTTTTACTGTCTTAGTCAAATTAAAATGGTTAAGCAGTAGAGTAATCCATCCAACGTGTAGAGTTGAGCGCTGGTTTTGTTAAGTCTTCAATAAAATCGGTTTCAATATAAGCACTTTATTGTAATGCATTTATAACTGAAACTATATTAAAAACCATTACCAAATAGTAGCAATTCCTCATTTTATTTACAAAATTCCTCATAAATTTTTTAATTAATTAATTAATTAATAATTTAATTTCTTAATTAATAATTATTAAATATGCCTATTGGAATAATCATATAAATATTAAGTGATAGGAATATTTGGTAATTAATTACGTTAGTAAGCAAAAATCTAATTTTTTTTTTTATCAACTAATACAATATAACTAACAAACTGCTTAACTAATAAATTAATTGTTTAATTAATTAAAAATTTCACTTACAAGTAAATCTAAATTTGTTGTTAACTAATGTTTTTGTATTAATATTATAATTAATTCAGTTATAAGATAATAATTTGATCTTTTTAAGTAGGATTTAAGTATTTTAAGTAAAAAAGAGCCTAATTATTATGGGAAACAATTGCTGCTAAAGGTCTAAAAACCCTTAAGAGCTTTAGTACGGTTAAAGTTTAGAAACACTAAAAGACTAGATATCAAATCCTCAAAGAGACGATCTTTTAAATTTTTAAAGAAAATCATACTAAATTAAAGAAGCAGAAAAAATGTTGAAAATTAACTCTTTTGATCCTTCAAGTCATGCTCTACCAGTAGCACTTTATCACTGTATAAATAATTACTGCATTGGACTCAAACCAAGTATAAAAGAAATATACAAAATTAGTTAAAACTACTCATAAGGCATAACTAAAAATTATTTTGATCCTAAATTTCTAATTTCTGAATATGGTGTAATAGAAATTCAATCTTTAGGTTCTTAGTGTTTTAACTCATCCTAACTTTCGAAACAATATCTTATAGAATTTCAGAGTTTAATGAACTAAGTGCATTAACATCCTTACAGGCAAGAAATAGATAGCCTAGCTTTTATAGTGAGAAAGGAGAAATAAAGCTATGCGTTTTCGTTTAAACTTAATTCCTTTAATAATCTGAGTCAGGTAATATCTAACAGAGTATTTTAGTTATAATGAATAGAAAATTAATTACTCTGCTAAATTCCATTCAATTATTTTATTAATTAATTTTTTATATTATCAGAAAAAAGAATACGTTTTGCATACTCTTCATCCTTTTGTTAAAGAAAAGAATAGCTATAATACTTCCTTAAGTAATGTTTTTTACACAGATTTCAAAGGTTTCGACTGTGGAGAATTAATTTTCGATGATATTGATGAATTTTATGAATATCTTGACAGTCTTCTTGTAGATGAAGATGAATATGAAAATTATTGTGATTAATAATAGGTAGTAGGTATCAAATTAAATAGTTAAAACAGTAGTGACTAAAAGAAAACTGAAAATACAATTTTCATTCAATTAATTACCTTCCTTTCAATAAGTAGAAAAAGTTAGATAAGTTTTTAAAGTGAAATTCAACCATTTTAATCCAATTAGTAAACTAATTAATCTTTTATTGATCTGTTAAATACTCTTGAATGTGATGATTCAGAATTAGATAATCATGAAAACTAGTAATAAAGTGAGTATCTAAGGAAATCTGTATTTAACAATAATTAAGAAAAAGAGAATAAAAGATTTTCATATCTAAACACAAAATCAACGAATCGATTCTCACATAAATCTCCTTAAAAATAACTTGAAATACTTAAAAGTTCAAATTTACAGAATCAATTGTTGAAATAGCAAACGCCATATAATAATAAATAAAGAGATTCACAGATTAAATGATTAAATTAGTAAATTATAAATTCTAAAATTAATCAATAATAATTTAATATTTTCAAATGAAATAAATAAATATTCAAAAAAAGTTTTACTAAAATCTTAATAATATAAATTTGAATAAAGATTGAATATAATCAAGAGAATGAATTAGATTAAATAATATATTTACCTAATATAATAAAACTAATATACTTATAATTTAATAACTAAAAGCATTTATTATTTTTTATTAATCTTAACTTTATATTATAAATTAAAAGCTTTTAAACTGATTTTACTCATAAATCTTCTTTTAATATTAAAATTATTTTTATAATTTTTATTTAATTATTTTTTTTACTTAATTTCAATTCTTTAAAATTAAAAAATTAAACTTTATTTTTAAAATTATAATTTCATTTTATATATCATTCATTATTTACAATAATTAATTTTAAATATAAACTCAAATCCTTATGTATTTTTTGCAAGTCAAATTTTTGAGATTGGGTAAAAAATTTCTGCCCAAAAATAAAGTGACTAAACAGGACAAAGAGAGGTTACATTATGTAAATATGTATTTTTAGTAAAGAGTAAAATATAAAATAAATGGTATTTAAACCTTAATTATAGAAGAGTACCTATAGTAATTTTATCAATTTAAAATATGATAATATAAATATAAATAGATTTAATATAAAATTTGTTATTCACTAATTATTATTTACATATATTAATTATTTTATTTCATAAATTTTATCAGAAATTTAGAGCTCTATACAAATTTCGAGTATTTATTTTGCTATTTTTATTTAAAATAGTCATTTTAATTGAGATTTATTCTAATCATGTTCATGCATTTCAGAATGCAATATTTATTAAGACTTAGAATAATTTTCTAAATGTTCACAGATACTTTCAAAATCAGGTCTATCTTAAGCTCTTTAATACCAGCAGCATCTTATAAGTTTTTGAATTTCTTCAGGAATTTCGCTAGGAATTTTGGGTCTACTTTCTTTTTCTACAACAATTTCTTTCAATTCTTTTAAGCTGACATTTTAGAAAGGTTCCCTTCCTACAAATAATTCATATAGAATAAATGCAAAACTGTAAGTGTCAGATGCTGGATCGTTAGTAGAAACTACTGGCCCTCTAGCTAGGAGATTTTCAGGAGAAGTAAACTAAGACTTATTACTATACTGTCCTTTTAAGCCAAGGTACTTCTTTAATGCATTTAAACCTAAATCTATTTATTTAAAAATTTAATTGAGAGGGGAAATATTTGGGAGAATTAAAAAAGTACCTGCAATTCTTGGATATAGCTTTGAACTTAAGAGGATATTATCTGAGTGTAGGTGACCATGTATAAAACCTTGGTGGTGCATATCTCTAATTAAATAAGCAATTTTCAAGGCTAGATTCACCTTACTTGCAAGAGTAAATTAAGAAGTCTCATTTGTTTGACTTGATGTAAATGTTTCTTTATTACATTATGATTAAATATTTAGTATGCCAACAGATTATTTTTGTATAATATATCTAAGAGATCTATTATTATAGAAGGGATATGCTAAAAGAAGCTAGTCAGCTAAGCATTAATACTCTAAAACTCTCACTAATTTCTTAGCTGGAAATTACTTTTGCTAGTATACATCTGATTTAATCTCATCTATTATATATTACGATAGCTATTTAACTTCTATTTTTCTAATTGCTTTATTGTCACAGCTATGAAATATTTTGCCTAAGCCATGATGTCTATAATAAGATATGGTTTCTCTAAAAAAATATTTTGATTAATTATTAATAATCTACAGTCAAGAAATAAGAATAAAAAAAGAAGAAAATTTAATTAAAGTCAAGTAACTAACCAGTCTAAGACAAAATTAATGATTAATTGTATCTATTAAATTAAGTAACTTGATTAGTTTTAAAAAAATAAGCAGCCTTATTAATTAAAAAAAATGCTTGTTTGCATGTTCGCATTTTATATAAATAGAAAAGGAAATATTATTTACCCTTTTTCGTTTTCTTATAATTTAACCTTTGAAATGTCACCAGCTAACTCAAAATTATTCATTTCTTCTGAATAAGTTCTAACTGAATTTATAGAAGGTGCTTCTTTGTTAACCCCTTCTTCTACTTTGTCTTGAGGTAATAAAGGTTCTTAGAATTTTTCTTAAAAAATGTTCGATCTACTTGCCAAAGCAGCAAAGGGAATAATTTCTGTGAAAATTAAAGAAGCAATTAACATAAATTGCTTCCAAATCAGAGTATTTGAGGGAGATTATATTAAATCGAATACTCCGTTCTAATTCTAAGAAAGATATATGTTTACAGCTGCTATTACAGATCTAGAAAGAGCAAAATAAAAGGTAAAAGCCATAATTATTCTTGTATTCTTTTTCAGGTGATTGCTCAAGTAAGGTGTACCTGAAAACTTAAAGACCATCAAGACATGAAATACAACATAACAAATGATAATCAAAATATTTTGTATGAAATCATCGATCATAAGTTCCTGAATTCTAATAATTGGAGTATTGAAGAGTATTACTATAACTATCTACACAGATATAAAAACTATTATATTAAAAATAAAAAATATAAGCTTATACTAATATCTACTACATCCTATAAAGTTATTTCATAGAAAAATTATATTTTTTAAACTTATTTTATAAAGTATTCTAACTATTACTTGAGATTGCGTAGAGAAGTACCTTTTGATTTTACAAAATCTTAGTTTCCCAAGTTGATGACAAAGAAATATGAGAGTAATATTTAAACATTAAAAAGAATCTAAAAAGAGCAAAGAATGAAATGACAAAAATGCAGTCACAAAGGAAGATAGAGTTCATAGCTAGGTGGTACACAATTGAAGCATTGCTTATCTCGATAATATTAATTGAATCTAGCATACATATATTAAAGGAAAAGAATCTAATTAATAAGTAGAGCAACAGAGTACCATACATAACTTTTACACTTTTTCTTTACTTTTTTAGCTTAGTTGCAATGTAAATTGACACTAGCAAGTACAAAAGGATCAAAAGCAAAAAGCCAGTGGCAAATAAGTAGTTATTTGACTACATTTATTATTAATCTTACCTTTTAATAGATAATTATTTAATATATTTTAATCTATATTTTACTAATTTTAATAAAGTATAATTAATATTAGCTTGAAATTCAATTAGTTATTACTTTTCTTTTTCAGCAGATATATCTGCAATGATAAATATTCAATTAATTAAAATATTACTATGAATTTGTCATTTTATGATCTGTTTATACATTTAACTAATCATCTCCATCATTCTATACAAAATTCACCTTTTTTATGAAAGTCCTTTATACTTTTTACGCCATCGCTTTAATAAAATCGCCAACACTTAAATACCTTCTGATTTTTAAATAAATTAACAAACTATCTATAAAAGACTAAATTTTAAATTAAATATTTAAAAATAATATTTATGATATTTTTTAATTAATAATGTCTAATAATCATTTTGGTATTAAAAATAAAACTTTATGATTTGCTTTCTTGCATGATTCCACTTTTCTTCAAGACTTAATTTCTTAGATTTTATCATCAGTTATTAATAATCTTTGCTTTATTTTACTTTTTTGAAATTTCTATTCGATCTGTGTAAGCAAAATGCTGATATCTGATAAAATATATCACTTTTATTTATTTACTTTTTTAATTTACAAATTCAAAAAAAGTTCATTTTTCTTACATTTTAAAAAAAGTTTAAGAAGATTTTTCGAGAAAATTATTCAACTATTTTTAGTTAATTTAAAAAACAGTATTCAAATTTTGCTACATAGTTAAAATATTTATCTGGTTACTTTATTTTTCTTAAAATAATAGTTTTATGTTTTTTTATGTCAAGAAATAGCTTAAAAATCTTTAATGAAAATTGAGCATATCTTATCAAATATCCTAATATAAAATTAGTTTTAAAAAAGGATATTTAAGTTGATGAAGAGAATATCACATTTATATAAATTATCAAATTATTTAATCTGTTTAAAAAAAATATTTAGAAAACAAAATTAGTAATCTAATATTTTAAGATTATCATACTATCATTTTTTATAAAGTCTTATTAAAAATACAATTATTTTTTAGATATTAAATTTGTTATATCATATCAATTAATTCAATTTATTTGAATTCTACTAAAAATTAAATTTGTATTATAAAATAATTAGAATTAATATTAAAGTAAGAAATTAAAATTGCTAAAATATAATTTTTATGATGAGTAATAGATATCCTTTTTAGAAAAATATTTGAATAAGTATTATTTTTTAATACAATTGGATTTTTTTAATAAAAATGATTTGATTTATAATAATTTATAAAAATCTTAAAAATATATCGTTTTAATAATAATTTTAATATTTGTTTCTAGTTCTAATGAATGATTAACATATAAAACGATATTATAGAAAATAGATATTATTATTGAAGTAAGTTTAAAATATAAAATAAAATTTTTTTTGATCAGCTTATTTTTCAATTACTTATTTTAATTCAAATATTCAGAGTCAAATAAAATGCTTTTTTATTTTAATATTAATATTTAAAAAATTTTTAAATTTAAATTTAATTTTGTTTAAAAATACTAATTTAATAATATAATTACTAAATAAATTTATTCCTTTTTAAGAAATAACTTTTATTAGAGATAAATAAGTTTCTTCCTTTAAAATTAAACTTTGAACTTGAATGATAAAATGAAAGCAAATAAAGATGTTACCTTAAACATTTGGTTGTTCATTTTCATTCATTTTTGATTGGTTTGATTGAATAGAAGAGTTTCAATTTCTTGTTTAATTGAAATAGATAAAAAGATTTTTTTTTTTAAGAAATTTTTGTAAGAAGAAAGTTTTAAAATGGGTTGTTATTTAATTGAAAAATCATTGTATTTTTATAAAATATTATTAATATAAAAGCAAACTTTATTATTTTGTTTGATATTTTTAAATAATGAATATATCTATCTGAAGTTTATTTATGGATTTGACTTGGGTGTTTAACTAACTCCTAAATTAAATGATTGATAAAAAAATCTATAATTGCGAAAAATATTACTACTTTTATAAATAGATCAAATTGATTGATTGCTAAGTTTAGGTTTATAATTAAGATTATAATCTATCAAAAAGTATATATATTCTTACTTAGCAAAAGCAAATTCGTGATGAAAATAGATGACTGCGCATAAAAAGAAAATACAAAGATGAAAAATTACACTAAGGATACATCTGATACTAAAAAAAATAAGATTTCTAAAAGAATAATTTTATCTTTACTTTAGATTACTAAGAGAATTTTAGAACTTTATTTAACTTAATAATTGATAATTGAAAATTAACTTGCTTTCGACTCAATATTATGGATAATTCTAATTTTAATATAATTTTCCTATAATATAATTATGGTAGCTGCAATAATATGCAATTACAAAACCTATTTTTAATCATACACTAGACTTACGAAGAATTCTATTATTGTTTTAAGCTTATTAGATCTTGAATCTCTATATCAAATAATATATTATTAGAAAACATAGTAAGAGCAATGTAGATTTTTGGTTTTAATTCAGCAAAAAATGAACTTTATTAACAATATAAGCGTCCTGTATATGTGCTTATTTGTTTATTTGTTTGGCCTCAATCAGAGAATCATTTATTTAAAGGATATTATCCTTCTACTGGTCTATTTCTTTATACTCTATATTTAGTTCAAAACACTTGGAGAGTAAATACGTATTTTGCAGATTTTCTACATAGGAGCTATGATTGAAGTTGATTTCTTTTTCAACAAAAATAATCTTACAAATAGCCTTATATTTATTGTAAGCCTTAAATTTTTCATTCATTAAAATAATTTCTCACAAATTATGATTCATATTTTTTTTAAATAAAGGAATTCATTGTTGTATTAATTCTAATTTTAGTATGCATTTTGATAATGTTAAAGCAACAAAATTACTTGCATGCATTTGCTTCAAGATATATGATTAAAGAATCCTTAAGAATTTTATTTTTTAAACCAGCAGTTATTGTTAAAGATTTTAAATATTTGTAATCTCCTTCACTTCCAGAGCTAATAAATCTTTACATCTATAAAATCAAATTTAAGCACTTAGGGTATACTTGGAGAATAATAGAAAATGTTATAATTTCAACTTATTTAATATTTTAGATGAACTAACTTAAAGGCAAACCATAAGTTATAATTATTCCTTCTTAAATTTCTGTTGGAGAATTTCATTTGATGCTTAATTTAGTCATATGTGCTCTTTCTTACGCCTACACATTCAGTTTACTTTTTAAAACTTTTAAAATAGTTAAGTTTATTCCTTCATTATCTAATGAAGTTATTTTAGAATTAGAGGATTTAAAAACAAGTTAAATTAGATCTGATAAATTTTAAAATTACTATTGGACACCTAGCTCTGACTTAGATACAAATATATTAGACTTAAGAAAATAAACTTTTAAAAGTGAAAAAATCAGTAGCAAGGTTCCAAAAATGTCTGAATTACTATAAGAAAAACCTATTTAATCAGAATAATAAATAAAGCATGCTTAATTTATCAAGCAGTAACAAAAATTATAACCATTTAAAAATATCACAAAAAACCCAAAAAATAAAAAAGTAACTGATGATAATTAACTTTCTTGCTCTTAATCTTTAATAAAAGAGAGCAATAAGCATTTAGTAAAATTTTATAGCCACAATGGCAGTTTTAACTAATAAATGAAGATGATCTAAGATGAAAACTGTGAAAATAATAATAATAAAATGAAAATCGAATTGTCTTAATAGATAAATGAATAAAAAAACAAATCCATAAACATCCCTCTTTAAAACAACAAATATTTTAAGAATATTAAATAATAAAACATTTTCTTGAAGTAATAAAAAAATAAAATAAATAATACACAAATTGCATCCAAAACAAATATTTAAAGATAAAATATTCTGCAAGAAGAATAAATAAAAAATATATAATAAAGTAATAATTATATAGATAGTAGTTAAATTAAACTATAAAACCAAGAAAGTACAAATAAAACTGAACCTTCAAATATCTTATTTTTCAAAAATTAATCAAACACTGCATCTAACCAAACAAAAAATCACATTATCTTACTAACCAACTATAATGATGATAGTGTTCTTGATATTATTTAAAAAAATTGAGTTTTATTAGAAACTCAAAGCTACCATTATAATAATTTTAATGTATGATTTTTCATTATTTACCATATAACTTTGAAATTTGCATGTTATTAATGAAAATTTTGCTATTAGTATTATCAAGTTTTTAAAATATAAAAATATTAATATTTGATATATAATATTCAAACCTTAATATACTAAGTTATTCGGTATATCTTTATTTTAGGTTTTATAAATTTTGATAATGATTATCAATTTTTTTAAAGATTTTTTGATATTATTCAAAATTTAAATATTAATTATAAAATATATTTAATAAAGCAATATTAAATGTATTTCTATTTATTTTTTATTTCACACATATTTATTAGTAAATAAATTAGTTAATTTTATTAAAATAGATTTATTTATTTATTTATTTATTATTTTTATTCAATAATGGTTTAAAAAGATAGACCTATTTATTTGAAATAAATTGGATTAATACTGTTAATATTGCTCTTTTTAGAAATTATAATAGAATTAGAATTCGATAAAATCAATCAAATTTAATTAAGAGAAAGAAGAAGTTTATCTCTAAAGACTAAAGTAAGTATATTTATTAGCTATTTTTTAAGATTTTTTAAGGCGTTTCAATAATTTATTCAAATACGCTTCTTGATTGAAATGTAATACGATCAATTCATTGAAATCATAAATATAACAATTCTTAAGTGGAAATATATCAGATTGTAAACATAATGACAATAATGCTTACTAGTAGTAGCTGACTATAATAACTTAATTTAGAAGATTTTAGAGTTAAAGTACTTGCAGTACAAGTAGAATTATCAGGATTAACCTCAGACCCTATTCCCACACAAATAACACAATCTTAAGTGGTCATTTTTCTATTGAAAGTTAAATATAAGCAATTAGATGTAACACAAGCTGTTCCAGCATTATTTGAATAAATATTTGGTGGATTTGAATTAGTGTAGCAAGAAGCACAAGCATTATTACTTACTTAATTACCCTAATTTAGATTAGAACAATCAGCTACAACGCATTTAGCATCTGTACCTGTGCTTTTCCAATTATCTTTCGTCCCTGCTCTACCACAAGAGACATCGTTGCATGCATTATCTGTAAAACAAGAAACACTAGTTGCATTAGCGTCAGCTAATACAAAAAAAATGCTTTAAGCTAAAAATAAAATAGCTATAAAATTTAATTTCATTTATAATTTATTTATTTATTGATTTACTCTTTAATTTTGATTAATAAAAAATGTTTATGGAAATAATTAATTTTTTTTAAATTAAAAAATATTATGAAATAATATAAAGATGTGGAACAAAACAAATACATTTACTAATTTTTGTTTCAAGAAAATTTTTATTATTTAAATTAATATCTAAAAAAATGGCCTATTTAAATTACAAAAGCTGCAAAAGAAATCACAATAACTAATTAAATATTTCCTTTTTTATAAATTAAAATGATTAATCAAGTGAACCTTTAATAAATAAATAAGTATTATATAAATTAAATATCAGAATCACTTAATTTTTTAGAGAAAAATATATAAATAGATAAAATTGGTAGGAAAAAATGTTATTTTCTTTGGTTTTATAATTCGCATCCAAAAAAAACATTTGATGAAGATTTCAAAGCAGATTAATCATATTAAAGAAAATGAATTCCTGCCATATTGTTGAATATTGTTTTGCTTAATTGATAATTAATAACCAAAAATGAAATATTAGATAATTTATATTTATTTTTAATAAAAGAGTCATTTAATCAGTTCAATATTTTTTATATTCTTTAATTCAAATAAATTTTAAAACTCGGTAAATATTTTAATTTCATATGATTTTTTAACAATTTTACTAAATTAAATTTGTTTTTGGTATTTAGAAAATAAATTTCAATTCTTAAATATTTTGTTTTTAAAAGAAAATATTTATTTACACTTTTGATGCTTTAACTTTTTAGATTTAATAAAATTTATTTTATCTGAAGTAAATTCCTATTTTAAAAAAAGAAAAGTGAAAATATTTTTTTAATATAAATTGATTTTAAATGTAATAAAGCTATTTTTTAGTTGTTATTAAAATAATGAAATAATAGCTTAATCAAATTCTTTTCTATTAGTAAAAATTAGAATTAACTTTCTTACATAGAGAATATAAGAAAAAAGGTATAAATTGTTAGTTCTTCAAACACTTATTTATTTCTTTAAAAATAAAAATTTTAGTGAAATTATAAAATATATTGTTTGCTTTTACAATAATTTTCTTTTGAAGTAAATAAAATATTTTAAATATTTAGAAATTGGTAAAATATTAGAGACAATTTTTGGTCAAATTAAAAATATAATTTATGTCTAATCTCACAATAAAAATGTAATTAAAACAAATAAACATACAAATAATATTTAAGAATTACTTTTTTTAAATGTTACACACTATGTTTTATCTGCACTTGCATAAATGTTTGCACTTATTCCATAATTACAGGAATAGCAAGAATTATTTGATACATTTTAAACTAATTAAGTGCAATCAGCTATTACACAATCTGTGGTACTTCCTACTAAACTTTACCAATTATTTGCAACAATTCCTGAACTTCCACAATTTGCATCAGTGCAAAATCCACCAGTTGTGCAATAAATAGAAGTACCACCTACTACTGCTCCAGAACCGCTTCCTTAGCCTTTTACAAAACAAAATACGACTAATAAAATAAAAGCTACTTTACTGCTTGATTTTGAAATAAACATAATTATTATTTTTTGTATAAAATTTGTTAAATTTTTTTTTGAAATATTAATGAATTGGGGTTAAAAATCAAAATAACTTTATAAATTGAAAATATTAATAATTGATTAGTTAAAATAAATGAATATAAATTATTCTTATTGAATTTGTTTACTAAAGTATTAACTATTGGTTTACAATATTCTGTATGATTTTATATTTTTTTGAAGTCTTAATGAGCGTTTTAAAAAGGTTTACTAAAATTTTTATGTTTTATAATAATATTTACTATAAAGCCTAATATAATTATTTTAATATTTCTTTCTAAAATGTGTAGAAAGGTTTTATTATAATTTTAAGAATGAATTTAAATTGGTATTAATTTTTTTGATAAATTAGTTAGTATTTACAATATTTATTAAAATACAGATTTTTTTGACATCAAAAACTAAATAAAAAGCACACATATTTTGAATGTTTCAAATGTAAAGTAGATATGCTAAAAAGGAAGCAGTTACTTGAATTATTTTAGAATTCAAAATAGAATTTGGTAGAATGCATGTAGACTTATCATAATTAACTTTAGAACCTAAGCCAACACAAGTTTCACATGACTTATCATTCATTTTTCCATCAAAAGCTAATTAAGCACAATTTATATTAACACAATTGCTTCCTGCAGAATTTGAGAATATGTTTCCATTGTTTTATTATTAGTTGCCTTAATCAGTATTGCAGGATTTACAGGCAGAGTTAGATATACTAACATTAGAATTTTACAGTTGTGTGCAATCTTTAACTTTGCATAAACCATTAATTTTATCTATTGTCCAATTATTTGGAACACCAGCCATACCACAGCTGTTTGCATTATCTGAACATTCTTCATTTACAATACAGTTAACGTTTTAACCGCTTAAATCCTGATCTGAAAATACCATAACAATCCATGTAAATAAAAGTAATAGAATTTAAAATTTCATATCTTTTAGTTTATGATACTGTTTTATAACTAAAACTAAAATTTTTAGTATTAAATTTGAAACTATTGCTTGGTATATTATACAAACGTTATTAATTATTATCTACAATTAAATAATTAATTTATTATAAATTTTAATCAAAATATATTCAAAATAAAAAAATAATTAGGCTTATTGAATATTAAAATTACTTAGAAACATATGGATTTTTATAAAGAAAATCTAAGATAAATTTTTTAAATAATTAAAATATTTTTGATACTTTTTAGAATTTATTTAAAAAAGTGTTTATTAAAATAAATCGTTTTTAAATATCAAGGAAAATTTAATAAAAACTTTTAATCACTTAAGCAAATTGTTCCTAAAAAAATTAATGAACAAAGATCTAAAAGAAATAAAAATCATTTTGTTTATATCATAAATACAATTCTTATATTATTCTAAATTTTATTAAAATGAAATCTTTTTAATTTAAATTATTTTATTCTTTTGATTATATTATTTATTTACGTGATGTAACTACCTAGACTAGATTTAACTTAAATTTCTACTTTAATTAAATAAGATCCATAAAGATCAGTTAATTTGAAAATATGGGAAATAAATGAAGAAAATTGAAAATAATATTAAAAAAACATAAATTCTAAACAAACTAAAACTTAAATAATTTTGTTCATTTATTTATTTTAAATAAAAGTTATTCATTTACTCTTTTAGTTAAAGTATTTTCAATCATTTCTTAAAAAAGATAATTAATTTAATAAGAATTTACAGTTTATATTAAGAATATGGAATACCTTTTTTAATAAAGTTTTTTTAATTAAATTATAAAGAGTTTAATATGGCTTATTTCATATTAGTAAAGAAAGAAAAAGTAAGCTTGAGGCAATTACGATTAAGGAACTGGAAGTTGAATTAGTACAAGTAGAATTATCGCTATTGACAGTAGAACCTTTTCCTACACAAATTATGCAATTAGCCGTTGTCATCTACTATTATAAAGCTAAATTAACGCAATCTATACTAACACAAGCATCTCCATTCGTATTTGCATATATATTACCAGCATTCATACCTGCTGAGCTAGTTCCTGAAGTAAAACAACTAGCACAAGCAAAACTTGATACTATAGCTCCACTATTTGTGAGTTAATTACAATCAACTACGATGCACTTTGCATTATCCTTATCATATAACCAATTATTAGATGATCCAGCCATGCCACACCCTTTTGAACTCTCATCACAAGTAGTAGCTAAATTATTGCAGCTTTATTCAACTGTCCCTGGTACAGCAGCTGGCTAGTCATCTGCTGAAGCATAAATAATCAAAAACGGTAAAATTAAAATACAGCTAAATTTCATTCTATCTTGCTTGAATTTAAAAATTAAATATTTTGTGCTTTATTTGTTTTTCACGCTTTTTTTGATTAAATTTTATAACGCAAGTAAGTTATTATGATAAAAACAATATTTGAAATTAATTTGATAGCCCTTTTAATTTCACTAGTTATCTATTTAATATATTAAACATATTGAAGTATATTAATTATTTTCAATTTATTTATCTATTTTTACTAGATTATATTTAGTTTTAATATAGAAAAGTTTTATTAATTAATCAATTTCGTTTATTTTCCTTTAAATATTATCATTAAAAGATTGAATAACGCTGCCTTACTAACAGTATAACAATAGTAATCATTCTATAAAATCCTCAAATACTATTCAAAAAACTACTTGCTGTGTAAAGCAATTGAAAGTACAAAAATTAAGATATATTATTGCAGATATTAATTACTATTAAAAAACTTCAAAAATGAAAATCGTTTCAAGAACTATACTAAGATTTATTGTGAATGATATTTTTTTGATTATTTAAAACTTTTATTATTAGTATTCTCAAAAAATTATTTCTCTAGTAGGAAATATAAATTTAGTAAAACAATAAATATATCATTAAAAAAAATTTAAAAGAAATAAAAAAAATATTTAGAAGCAGGTTTCTAATCTGATAGAAGAAAAAAATAAAAATGATTAATGAAAGATTAATATTTTGATGAAGAAATCTAAATAAATTTTTTATCAAACATTTTACATTGATTTAATTTTTTAAAATGAATGAAAAAAAGGTTTATGTTTTATTAAAATTTAGATTTCTTCATAAAAAATTAAATTTTTTATAAAACATTTTTTATTTTTTTTATTTGTTTCGGGTCGAAACCTATTTATTTCGATGCCTTTTTTTATTATTTTAAATTCTCTTTAAATTTATATAATGCTATTAATTATTCTACTAAATATTTATTTTCTACTAGTGACATAATTATTCAAGAATAACCATATTAAGTGAAAGCAGGTTTAATTTATTTTATTCTTAAATTGTAAATAATAAAAAAAAAAGTAAACAAAAAAATCAAAACTAATATTATTTACACTTTTTACATACAATTTTTACAAAGGTAAATAAATGGCTACTTCATGTTTTTATGAAATTATATTCTGAATATCATGTCTTTATATTAATATTAAAATAAAATTTATGTTGAATATTTTTAAAATACTAATTTAACACTAATTTTTTACAAAACATAAATTACTTTAGCATATTTGTTTAAGTCAATAAAAGGAATAAATGATTTTTATTTTTTCAAATTAGAATGCTTAACAATAATATAAAAGGTAAGAAAATAATAATTTTATTGTCAATTGAAGCCACACTTGTACATGTTTTCTTATCTGAATTAACAGTGGAGTTAATTCCAGCACAAATTTCACAGTAAGCTGAAGTCATTTAAGAAGAATTCTATAACTCTAAGCAATTCACACTAACGCATGAGTTTTTTTATAAATTTGAATATATATTTCCTTAAGTATTAGAATTGCTGGATGGAGTTCCTGAGGTATTGCATGAAGCACAAGATTAATCTGATACTTAAGAATTATAATTATTTAGCTAGCTGCAATCAATTACTTAGCATTATTCAATAGATGGATTAAAAACCCAGTTATTAATAACACCAGCCATTCCACAATCACTATCACTGCAATTAAAATTTTTAGCACAAGTTTGAGGAGTACTTCCTGTTATTTATTGGTTTTAAACAAGCCCAGCAATAAATAAATGGTATATAATCATTCTAACTTTCATTTTTTGATATTTATTGTTATCAAAAAAATGGTAATTTAAAGTAAATAATCTTTAAAAAGAATAATTAAGATTATAAAATATTGTTATTCACTATTTTGTTCTATTATTGTAATTAAAGCTACCTTAATTTTTATATTATAAATTTTTTAAAAATCTCAATTTTGTGAAATAGATTATCAAGATATTTTTTTTTAATAAGAATTTAAAAGCAATTTTTTAATTAACTTTAAAAGAAATGAATAATATTACAATAAATAATAAATAATTTAAGAATGTAAATTATGCATGCATAATTTTTTATATTTTAATTAAAAGTCATCAAGCACTACTTATAACAGTTTTAATGAACTCTTCTATCTATATTAAATATTTTAAAATTAGTATATCTCTATCAAGAAGCCATATTTATGAATTTTATATCGCAGGTAACCACTCTTTGGCATACTCTAATTATTCAAGAATTTCTTGTTATTCCTATTGATTGTTTGATTTTTTCAGTTTTTTCTGAAGCTTTTCTCTTTATTTTTATTCTTTAGTAGAATAATAAGTGCTTAACATACCATAGCAGCACATTGTCATCCATTAATCCTACTTATCAACTTTTTATAAAAAAACATTAAAATTTTGTATAAATTCATCTATAAAATAGTTAGTTACTGTTGGTGGTTTATAATGTTTCTGGAATTGAGCTTTAGAAATATTTATTAGTTATTCCTAAACGATTTAGCATATCCCTAGAATATTCCCAATATCCTTACGGGTGAATACTCTTTTCAAGTTTTTAAATCATTAAATCGAATTTTGACTTGTTAAGCATTTGGATAGCATAATTACTGGACGTACCTCCAATTATTCCACCAATAACTCCTCCTATAAAAGCGCCTAATATAGGAACTGGAATTACTGCTTAACCAATCAATGCACCAGAAAATGAAGCTGTTATTGTTGATCCAGTACCAAGAGCCATTTTTCCTTTTAAAATAAATTTTTTTGAAAATATTAATATAATTTTTTTAATTTCATAAAAAAAGATTTAAATATTTTAAGTTTTTATAAGTTTTAAGATAAAATATTTAATTTAGTAAAGCACTTTCAATGTTTAAATTTAAATTTCTGCTGCAAATTCTCAAAGAATTAATAATTTTCTGTAGATTTTTTTGAACATTTTTAATGGTTTGATTATTTATAAGACATATCTATAAATTTAAGATTTTAAGGACTCAATTTTAGTAAATTAAAAAATTAATAAAAATAGTATTTACCTATTTATCCCATTTTACTTTTACTGTTGGCCACTTTGTTTTAATACAGTTAATATGTTGAAAATCCTAAACCGCCTATCATTAGTAGGGTTCCAACAATTGGAAGTTTTTGAACAATATAAGTAATGCTTCCATTAATAGTAGCAATTTTACCAAAATCTTTCAGGAAATCAGTTGTGCTTTAATATCTGTATATATTAAAATAAAAAAATTAGAAATTCTTTTTAGATTTTTTTAATTTTCAACTTCTTCAAATTAAAAAAATATCTTCATTAAAATTGTTACAAAGAAGATCATCAGTAATTCAAATCATTTTAGTATCATATTTTTAACATTTGAATTATAAAAAAATACTTACTTGTTGATGTTAGCTAAACAATAACCTAGAGAGCTACCTAAATCTCCTGCTGCAGAGTTTATATATAATGGACTTGATTTATTTAAGTCTGGTGGAGGAAGATTTTTTCCATTTTCTTGGAGAAAATCTCCTTCTTTTTTTTCTTTAACCTACTAAATTAACTAATCAAATGATTTGAGTGTTTTTTATTACTCATCTTATTCTTCTTTCATCCAACCATCTGACATATATTTAGCATTTAGCAAGATCAGTTTTCCTTTTATGTTCTTATGCAGTAAGAATTGCTTACCTAATAAAAAATTAATTTGTTGATGTCTTAAATTTAACCTTTTTTAAATTAAATTTTTTACCATCTTCTCTTTCGATGAAGAAACCATGATGCCCATCTTTTCTTACACAATTGCAAATTACTAGCTTCTCGTTTTATTTCATTATTTTTTAAAGCTTATCTTAAATTTATTACTACAAGTTCTGTTTTGCCACGTTTTCTTCTTACTTTTAATTAAACTACTAACCTAAAGCATCATTATCAAACTCAAAGTATTTGGAAATATCAAACTATCATTATACAAAATTTAATATTAAAATCATTTCTATTTATAAAAAATATAAAGTTTTATTTGTTCAGATAAAAATATTACATTTTTTTCATACTTCAAATCAAATAATTCATTGGATTAAATGATGAATGACACAAAGTTTTGGGTAACTTCAGGATCAATTAGAGCAAAGAGAGATTCAGAAAGGATTTAAGTAATCTTATTTCTACATCTTTTTGAAAGCTCTCTCAACAAGCCGATGATTACGTAACGATTACAAAGATTTGCTTTTTCGGTGGCACTTTAAAATTCATTAATGTAGGAAGTCATAGAACTTTTACATTCTGTAAAAAGAATAGCAATTTTTGTATTCATCAATTCAATAAATACTTCAAAGTAATTATTTGTGATTGAAATGATGTAATCACTATTTATTGACATCATACTGGTCATCTATTCTGATATTTTTTTGACAATTACTTCTTTGCAGAGATGCAAATCTATCTCATCATCTAGTATTTCAATGTTTTCTAAGTAGGGAAAGAAATCTTTCTCAAAGAAAGTCACGTATATTGAGGGAATTTAAGATAAAAGGAAAATAAATATCTAGCAATCTGTGATTATGCTCAATTTTATTTTATTTTCTAATTAATTACTCACTTTATGACTAATCTTGTTGTAATCTAAGAAATCTTATATCTCCATTAACACATATTACTTTTTAGGAATATCATAGTCGCTTAAAGACTGATTATAAATCTTGAAGATATGTTTGTAGCAGCGTTCTATCAACTTTTTGATTGAAATAAAAACATTGCTCACAGTATTTGCCTTCTTTAAAAATTATTCCCCATGAATAGTAGCATATTTTTGTTTCAACTCTTCAACATCTTTGTCTAAAGAGTTGATAGAAAGGTGTTTCATGTCAAGCTTTTCAAGCATTTAAACAATTTCATCATTAAACTAACTTATGGGATTTGTGTTTTCTGCATTTTAAGAATTAGAAGCTTTGCTATTCGGAGAATTCTCACGAGAAATAAAGTGCTTTTCTTCTTTTTTTGTATCCTTTGGAACTTCTAAGCTATCCATAAATATACAGCAGATTATAAGATTATCTTTAAATGCTTAACTTTATAATTTTTTGATGTTTTTAATTATCAAAAATCTTAAATAAGTAAATAACCTAAAAATTTATTTATTTTTTTATTAATATTTGGAGTGCTTGCCTGCTGACAAAATAAATTCAATTATAAACACAAATTTAATCTAAAAATCTATCTTAACAAAAAAAAATCTTAAATTCTAAAAGCAATAATCAAGAAAATTAATTAGATTTAATTAACAATAAAGCATTTCTTTTTGTTTTTCAACTTCTACTTTTTCTGCCAAATTCAAGAATTGTTCTTTCAGAATATTTCAGTATTTTAATTTAAAGTACTCAAAAATTAACATAGAAAGCAGCGATATCTTGAATACTATATATTTTTTGATTAATTTATTAATTTTCTATTTTATTTCAAAAGAATAAATAAATCTATATCAAAATTAAAAATCTTTTTTTTGTATACGATAAATTAAAAATTTTTCTATTCTAGCTTTAAGTTATTATGAAATTTCTTGTTATTAAAATGCCTTTTTGTAATAATCTAGATATTCATTATTAGTTAGCATTTCTATCTATTTACAAAAAAATATAATTGATAAATTATCTCTTAAAATTTGAAAGTTTACTGATCTTAAAAAAGAATAAACACATGTAAAAATGAACTTAGACCGAATAAATTATTGCTAAGAAACTAAAATACAATATAAAATCGAATATAGTTTTACATGTTTTAAAATGATATTTTATTAATAATTCCTAAATTTATTATTATTTTTTAAATCTTTAAAATCTATTTTGCTATTAAGAAACACATTTAAAGAAATAAAGAATGAAAGTTGATATTTTAATTGAAATAATTTTATTTTAATTTGGTTTTTTGGCTTTATTTTTAATTTATTTACATAAAAAGATGATTATAGTTGATGTTTAAGTAGATCCCTTTTTCAAAGTTCCCATTTATTTTCTACTCTTATCCTTTCCATTTCTTTAAAAATTTTTTAAAGGAGAGAATATTTTAGCTTTTTACAGAAGCCAGAAAAGGTTATCATATTATATTCTAATTTCTTTTTTTCTTAATAAGTTTAAGGTTAAATAAACTTTCTATTAAAACGCTAAATCTCTAATGCTTTTTACTGGAAATCTTCCTATTACTATTGTTATTGAATATTTAGCTAGACACTAGAAGAACTTTATTTCCTTATATTTAAAAAAAAGTCTTCTAATTAACTTTGATCTTACTGAATAATGCTTTGCATATTAGGCGTTTCTTAAATACTTATTGATGAGGTAGACATTTACTCATTTATTTCATTTAATGCGTTATTGTTATTTTATTTATTATTGTTAACATTGTTAAAATTATTTGAATTTGACTTCTTGCAAGTAATTGAATCTTAACCCTTAATTTCATCAATTATTTTTGAATTAGATCTGTTTTTATTATTAAGCTAATTATTGAAATGTCCAGATTGAGTCTAAGGAGATTCTTCAATTTAAGTTAGCTCCCTCTTTCTAGTTATTGTTTTAGCTTTTTTTCTTCTTTTTACCTTAATTTACGATTTAGCTTTACTTTTATTTTTTAATTCAGTTGTGTCATCTTTTTCTTCTGTTTGTGCATTTTAAGACTTAACAATCATTTAAGATACCATTTTTCTAAACTCTTTAAGTAATTTTATTTTTAGATCTCTATTTTTATAAAATCAACAATCATAAAATTATTTATTTTTACATTTAATTATTATAAAATAAATAAATAATTACTCGTCTATTTAGTTCACCAGTTATGTGTAAGTGCATTTTTTAGGTTCTTTAATTTCGTAAAAATGTATATATTTGTCTAAAGTAAAAGGATTTATATTGTCTGAAATGAATTCTCCAAGTACATTTTTCCTTCTTTTATCTGTAAAAGTGAGTTCGTTGATAATTTCATCCCAGAGCTTCTTTAGGATAAATTATCTTGGAACAAACATGTAATTTCTTAAAAATGTTTATATCATAGTAACTGTATTCATATTAATAAAAATAAAGAATGCAAATTTTATTTTTAAAATATTTAATAAAACTTAAAAAAAATAGATGATAGAGATATATACCTTTCTATATAGTTTGCAGTATTTTCTGTTTGAGAGTATTTTATTGATTTACTTAAGTCAACACTTTTTTTATGAAAAGGCCAGCTTTGGCTTTAACTTTTTTCTTTATTGACTTTGTAAACATGATCAAAGACCTATTAAAGGAAAAATTTATATGAATTACTTTATTGTTAAAATTAGATTTACATTTTAGCATTTATTTTATGTCTTTCTTAAACTGAGATTTATTAAAAATTTTAGAAACCTTATTTAAGAAATTTATGAATTTTATTTTCCATAGATTTTGAGAATATTCTGACTATCTTTGCAGTAATATGAGCGTTTTTAATTATTGTTACAAAATTTAAAAAATTTATTAATTTTATCCATTCACTTAAAATGTACTACTTATGTTCTTTTATTCTCTAAATTCTTTTCATATCATTTTTCAGCAACCACTGTTCTCTAAACTACTATCTCTCTTCAAATAGAATATCTTTCTTTTCAATAGCTTATTCTGTTCTTTATAATCTAACTTCTCTCTTAATTATAATGTATAAATCATTAATGCTCAATAGCAATTTCATATAATTAATTACATTTTTTTCTAAAATTTCATCCTTTTTCCACCTAAACATGTCAAGATCTTTTTTATTTAGTTTCATGTGATCCAAGGCATTTGGAAACATCTTTTGAAATTTGAGCTTTCTTCTTAGTTTAATAGCCTCTGTTTATTATTTTAATCAATATAAGAAGTTATTTAAATTTTAGTAATGATTTTACCAATTTCCATCATAAAATCATGATATTCCTCTGAATTCATAACTTTTTTTTCCTTTTTTAATTTTTCTTGTTTGAATTTTTTTAGGGCTTCTAAAATATTATTTGAGGCACTATAAACTGACTTGATTTGAGCAGTTTCTATTGCATTTATTTCAATAAAGCAATAAGTCTAGAAGGTTATGTTGCAAAATATATATTTTATTTCTTTATTTGAAGAACGTTTATCGTATAAATTGATAAACTTTTACTATTAATTGATTTCATAGTCGCAATTGTGATTACAAAGTTCTGTTGAAGGGTAAGAATCTTTAAAGTAAATTGTATAGTAACCTCCGTTAGTATAAACAGTAAATCTTATTGGAAACTTACTTCCTCTGACTTTTAATTTAACCAATTTATTCATGCCAGCACATGATTCAATCTTTAATTTCTCATTTAATCCTAAAGCTGATTGATATATGTTAATTAAAATTATATAGATTTATATTACCGTTAAAAAGAAAAAAAATAATTAATTAATTTTTTGTTGTAAATCATAAATTAATTGTATTTTAACTTAAAACAAAAATAAGCCTCTCTGCATCCAAATTTAGTTGAATACAATACTTATCTCATAATCCAAATTAAAATATATATTACTTTCGTATTCTTCATATATGTTTTTATCTTAAACTAGCCTTTCAGAGTTAAGAAAGAATTAAAACTTTTTCATTTCTTCTTGAAATTGTTACTCAGAAGTTAATGGTAGAGCATTTTTTTTATTTTCTGCATCTTCAATAATTTACATGTTTTTTAAATATTTTTAAAACGCTGTATTCTTTTTATCAAAAGCACTTGTAGATCTTAAGTGAGGCATCTTTTTGCTTTATTCTTGAATTTAACTTTCATCTTTGTCTATTTAGCTGTATATGTTTTTATTGCCGTCCAAAGTAAATGCTCTTTTCTTTTTTCTAATTAACCATAAATAATCTTATCAATTATAGTTGCACCGATTTAAAAATTGTTTACAATACTATCTTTTATATAGATCTTTTAGGTGAAGTCCTAAGTCTCCCTTCACTGTTTTAGCTAGAAACCCCATTTTAGACTAAGCTTTGGAAATCTGTCACACTAATTTATCTCTTTGAAGCCGTTCGCTCAGTTGAATATTAATTTTCATTAGCAGATTCAACAAATTGTTGATCTAACAGGTAAAAGCTATTTTAAAGTTATTTAGGAATCTTTTAAGTACTTACTGCTCTTTTTACCCTAAAAATACGCTTAGAATCTTCAGGAGCACTCTACTAAATAATTTCGAATTTTGTTTTGATAGGAGTTATTTCTTATATAATATTTTTAGCTTTTAAAGCACTCATTTTATATATAAATTAATTTAATAGATTTAACTAAAATTAATTAATTTGTGGATATTGTTGATGTAGTGTAAATAAATATTAATTATAAGCTTTCGAATAAAGCTAACTCATCACAGAAAAAAAATATATTTATTCTATTTATTATATTCAATCTAATCTAATCCAATCAAATCAAATAATGAAATATCAAAAATTATTTTTATTATTTTTGGATTTTTACATTACTTTAAGTATGCCAAATTTTTTAGTATGTATTTAGGTCAATTTAAATTTTAATTTTTTACGTAAAATTTAAAAATAAAATAAATCCAAAAATAAGAGGGGATATTAGTGGTTAAGAGGAAATATCACTGTAAAAAAATAAATATTATTTATTTCTATGAAATTGATAAAATTAATTTAAACATATAAAATGAAACCATCATGCAAAAAATAAATGTAATATTTTATAACTATTTTTAATAATTTAAATTTATTTAGGATATATAAAAACTCATGGTCAAATGATCAATTTGTTTATTTTTTGCATAAAATTATTATCAGCTAAAATATTTAAGCTATTTTTAATTTATTATATTTTAGGTTTATATAAAAATATCATTTAATTGGTTGATAATTTTTTCTTAGATGAAATATCATATTATAGAGTTTTATTTAAGGTGTTGACTTTTAAAATAAATTTTTCTGATTTATTTGGCTTATTGATGAGAGAAAGAATAATTATCATAAAATTTTTTTAATAAGAATTCATCATCAATAAGAAAAGATTTAATAAAGATTAAATTGATCCATTTATTTATTTAAAATTACAGTAGGATATCTATAAAAGAGTAATATAGAAACAATAAATAAAAGTAAGCAAGCAAGGTAGAATTCGTTCTACAATAATAAAGGTTTTATATATTCAAAATTAGTATTATAGTTTTTCATTTTAATTTGTTTTTAAGGAATTAATCTATTTTAATTTATGTTTTTTATCAATTAAAAATTTAGAATAGATGGATGATTATATTTAGTAATGATTAATTGCTCCTTAATAGTTTCTCATCTCTCTAAGATGCAATAAATTCATGTTATATTTTTAATTTGTACCATATTAGTCTTCATTTTATTTTCAAAGATATTTAATTTTGAGGATTAGGTGAGGAGTATGTTTATTTTAAATTTAGTTGCTTAAGATCATCATTTTCATCTGATTTTTTATCTTTAGCATCTTCATTATCATTATTTTATTAATTTGAGGGTTAACTTGACTGATTTTTTGACAATTATGTACTTTCTAATTTTTTTGAGCCAGAAACTTTACTCTGTAATTCACCTAGTTTTTGATTAATTGTTTTTCCTATTGAATTTATTGTATTCATATCACCAACAAACTTGTTCATGGCTTGCTTTATAATCTCAGTTTAACTTTACACCTTTTAACCTAATTCATTAGCCTTCCTTGAGGTTTACTTTATGGCTCTGTTAAAATCTCTAAATTACTCCTTACCTCTTTTCATTCCCTTCTCTAAATAAAGCAAGGGAGTGTAAAGATCTGTGTAAGTATCATCATTTTAAATAAATTAATTAAAAGTGCTCATTTGCTATGTGATAATTTTTATTTGATTCTATGTTATTTATGCTAATTATTATAATTTCTTGTCAACTAATACTTTTTTATCAAAAAATTCTATACAATTTTAATAATGTTTGATTATTATAAGTGTTTATAACTAGATGATTTATCTAGATTTCTAAGCTGCATAAAGAGTTTTTTTAAATATAAATATTTGGCAAAAGGGCTGAAATAAATTAATCTTATTAAAAAGGATTGGCTTTGAACAGGTTTCAAAATATTTATAATTTTTACAATCAATTTTACACAATTATAGATATTTACCAGGTAATAAGTTTTTGTAAAGAGTTAAATAAAATAATTGCGCCAAACTTGCAATTTGTTTGCTAAAATTAATATTTTTACAAAGCCAAAATCGAAAAAAGTTAACATATAAATAAAAAGGAATTGATTGATACTAATTAAAAAGCCAACTAATTATCTTCATAAACAATTTAATTTTAAATTTAAAATAGGCGATTGAGGTTTTTAATTACTTTTACAAATTTATCATACTTCCTGTTTATTTATTGAATTGTATTCTTACAAACTCATTAAATCCAAAGTCATTTTATCTAAGTATTTATTTAATTCTAGAAAATCTTCAATTCCAATTTCACTTTTTTATAAATCAAAATTGAACTCATTTGCATCAAATTGTTAACAAGGTTCATACTCTTCTTTACTCTCTTCTTGCTTAGTTGTATTATCAGTATTCTAATGCTTAACTTCTGAGTTAGAGAGATATCTTGATTAGTATTAGTCACAAGAATTGAGCAACCTACTTTTTTTTGTTGCATTTGAATCATCTTCAATAATTATTGACTACTATGAAAGTCTCTTGGTTTAATACTCAGTCTCACCTTAACTTTCATAATTTTTTATAGACTATCCCAATTTACTTTCAAATAGCTTTGATTTTTTTCTCTCTTCCTGATTGAATTTAATTAAGAAGTAAATAAGTAAATAAATAAATAAATTGGTATTTTTTACTTCACATATACTAGTAGAATAAGTGCTGTTTGATTTATATTTATAAGTATCTTTTCCTGTTTTTTCATCATTTTCCCATACTCCTTCCACTGAATCTCCATTTGAGAAGATGTATGTGCCCCTTCCTCTCTTTTTGTCATTCTCCCAATTTCCATGATATTTATCACCATTTATATATGTTTACTCACCATAGCCATGTCTTTTCTTTAAATATGTTAATTAAAAGTAAACTGCTTATGTTTATAGTACAAACAAGCAAAATTTATGTAATCTCTAAAGATAATTTTTTAATATTTATCACCACAAATTCCATCAGTGTTTAAATAATTAATTAAATTAAAGCAATTTGTAAACTATTTTTATGCTTTTTAGGAAAAAATATTACAGAAAAAAAAAATAAATTACACTATTCTCTTTGAATTATCCATTGTAAACTTCTTTTGTGATTTTATCTACTAATATACCCTTGACTAATTCATTTTTTATCCAATCTCCTTAGTAAACCTTTTACTGATTGATTAATATTCCATAACCATGCTTTTCTCCGTCCTTCCATAATCCCTCATAAATCGAGCCATTTGCATATTTGTAGATACCTTTTCCATTTTATTTTCCTCTTTGCCAAAACTAAAATTTTTTAGAATATATCAAATATCAAAGAAAATAATAGCATTTAATGTAATATTTATCATTTAAGAATATTTACTCCATCATATAAATCACCATTTTCATAATAATACTTTCCTCTACCATTTGGTTTGTTGCTTTACCACCTCCCTTCATATCTCTCTCTATTTTCAAAAATATAAAATCCTATCCCTTCTATCTTATCATTTTACCAATCTCCTTCATAAGTTGCCCCATTAAAATATTTATATATCCCTTTACCATGTTTTTTATCTTAGAAAAACTATTTTTTTAATTTTAAAAAATAAAATCAATTAATTTTTTTTTCTTCAAAATAAGAATTTTTTAACTTCTCCAAGATAAAGTTCGTTATTTTAATAAAGGATTTTTCCATTTCCATGTTTTAAATAATCTTTCTGTTCACCCTCATAGACTGAACCATCGTCATATGTAATTTTGCATATCTTATCAGGAACTCCTTATTTCCAAACGCTTTCAAACACTTCTTTATTCTTCCCAAACAGCTTTCCAGCTCCTTCTTTTAAATTTTAGAAGAAATTACCAAAAAAGTAGCTTCCATCCAAATAAAATTCTTTTCCAATCCCATTCATTTAACCGAATTTCCACATCTATAAAAGATAAGTAAAATATTATAAATAAATGATAAACTCTTAAAAAATGAAGAAATTTTAGCAAAAGAAAAATAATTAATTATAGATAGATTACTCCTTAATAAAGTATTATATTGCAATTTGATAGAACTCCCTGTCCATCAAACAAGTCATTATACCAGTTTCCTATATATTTTTTGCCATCCTTGAATGTATATTCTCCTTTTCCATGTCTCAAACCTTCTTAAAAATCACCTTCATACCTATCTCCATTACAGAATATTGCTATCCCTAATGAATCCATTTTACCTTTATTAATACATTATTATTATAAGCTTATTTATCAAATCTAATTTTTTTTAATCTCTAGTATTTAATAAATATATTATTTATAAATTAATTACCTTCCTTCCAGCCTCCACGATAATTTAAAAGCTCTCCATCTTTTTAGAATTAATTATTCAAGCTTTTAGTTAATATTTTAAAGCTCTCAATTAAAAGTTATTTTTAGGAGTAGTCGTTTCTTTCATAGAAATTATCAGGAATTTATAGAGTTCCGTACCCATTAGATTTATTATTACTCCATATACCTTCATAAATGATTCCATGTTCACTTATAAACTTGCCTTTACCATGTTTCATGTTATTAAGCCACTATCCTTTAATGAATTTAAAATAAATAAATAATATAATTTAATTTGTAGAAATCTTATTTACCTTCATAGCTTTCTTGAGGATTCTTACTTTAAAATATGCCAAATCCATTTTTTTGTTAATTATATTATTATATATTATATTAATCACCGTTTTTACTTGTAATTTTAACAAAATCTAACTAAGACTCCACATTACTGCAAGGATTATTGGATGTCTTTTCATTTTAATAAGAATTGACGCTTATTAGATTTTTATTCATTATGATTTCTAATATCAATTAAACTTAAAGTTATTCTAAATCAAATACTTTAAATTATAATATTTATGCGCATTTAATGTTAAACTATATTTAACAAACCAATTAATTAATTTCTATCAAATCTTGCATAAGAATTTTGCAGTTAAAAACAAACTCAAAAAAAAAGTGAAAGCATTTATGCAAATATATTTACTTATGTTAAAAACAAAAATAGTTTATATATAATTACTCTAAATTTATATTGTTTATATACTAATAACCTTTACATAATATTATCAGAAAATATATAAACCGATTATCATTTTATCATTTTTAGCTTACTCAATAATTCTTATAAATTATTAAATGTATTTTTTTTACATTTTAAAAGTATCTATCTAATATTTATATTAATTAATTTACTTAAATTGCAAAAATAATAAAATTATGATAAAACTTACTTATTTTTATATGACTACTGCATACAGAACATATAAATATACAATTAAAATTAATAAAATTCATTAATTTTTATAATTTTAATTAATTGTTTGTAATTAATTACTCATTGTTTACATATATTATTATTCGTTAATATACATTTTTCTTTCAAATTATTTTTTACATTAAAAATAGATATTAGTAATTTATTACTGCTCTTTCAAATATTAGTCAGTTTTATTAGATTAAAATCTTAATTAATCAGTAATTTTATTTGAATTTTGAAATTTAAGGATTGATAATAAGCAATCCATCCAAATTAGATAATATAAATAAATATTTAATCTCAAATTAACATAAAATAGTTAAAATAAACATTGATAATTTTTAACTTTAATTAAAAAAAAAAAAAATTATTTTTTTTCAAAAATCATCATCATCTATTTCTTCAAATGCTCCTGCTAATTTATTTTTATTTTTTTGCTTCTCTTTTGAGTCTTCTAATTCCCTTTCTATTTCATCGTCATCATCTGAGAATTCCCCATATTTTTTCTCTAACTTGTCAATTTTATTTTTTTATTTAGAGCTTAATTCTTTACGGATTTCATCGATCTCAGAATTAACGAAAGGCTTGAAACCAGTTGCTTCTGCTTTTTTTTCTTCGTGCTTGATTTGGTGCCTTCCAATAGTGGTGGGATGCTATTTTTTATTTTTATCTTCATCACTATTATTGTTCACTGAAAGAAGTTAATTTTCTACTGAATAATTCTACTCAGTCGCTGTTAATTATTATTCTTATCTAGGTGAGTCTTTGTAAAAATCAAAAGTTGAATCATCAGCTTTTTTCAAAGATTATATCTAAAATTTGTTTTACTCCTATGTTTTTAATTAGTCTTATTTTTTCTCCTCTTCAACAGACTTCTTTTTAGCTAAAGAATGAGATTCTGATTTTTTATCAGTTTCATTTTAATTGTTTTTATTAGCTTCAGTTGCCTTACTTTTAGTTTCATCTTCATTTTTAATATTTTTATCTGGTTCATTTATCTTTCTATCAGTTTAATTTTATTTGTTTTCTTCTTCGATTTTATTAGATTTTTGAGACTTCAATTTCTTCTAATTATCTTGTTTTTATTCATTTTAATTTTTCAAAAGATCGTTTTATTATTACTATGGTTAGTTTTATGATAATGAGGCTTATTTATCTTACTTTTCTTCTATTTATTTGTTATCAGTTTAAAGGGTAGTCAACTTATTTTTATCATCAGATTTATCTAATTCTTTTTTTTATTGTAAATCTGATAAATCTTTATTCTTTTCTGACTCATTTGAGTCTATCTTATTTAATGATGTTTAGGATTTATTTTGTTGTTCTGTATCTAATGATCTTTATCCGAATTTACTTAATTTTTTTCCCTTTATTTCTTAATCACTTTGCTACTTTTAACCTAACTATGTAGGTATTGAATCTGTTTTTTAAATTTTATCAAAAATTGAATCTTATTAATGGCTAGCTAGATCAGGAGGAGGTTGCATTAGAGGCAGTGAGAAAGATTATTTTTAATCATTTGAAGTATCTTTTTATGATATTTGATTCTTGGATTCTCTGGGAGACTATTACAGGTTTGTAAATGAATCTTTAGAGCCTCTTCTCAAGAAGGAAGACTCTTCTGATTCTTTTGTTTTAACATTTTCTTCTTTTGGTTTATTATTTGGTTCTTCTTCTTTATTGGCATTGTTTTCTTTTAGCTTTTAATTATCTGAAATATTTAGCTAACCCTTAGCTTCATTTAAATCTTTTTTAAATATTCCAAATGAATTATTTTAGCTATTTTGATTAACTTCCTAGCTTTTTTTTCTTTTATCGTCCTCTATTTAATTTTTGCTAGTGTTTTTTGAATCCTCTTCAAATTAGTTTGAACTTTTCTTTAATATTTGCTTGGATTTGCTGTCCTTATCATCCTTAGGATGAGGAGAAGGTATGTCTTTTACATTTCCAATTGATTTTTTTGATGAATGATTTGAATTTTTGTTCTTTTTTTTATAGTTGTCTTTCATCCTTGCTGAAATATCTGATAAACTGCTTGAACTTGAATTAATTTCTTCATCACTGATGCTAAAAGAGTCTTTTTTGTCTCCTTTATTTTTATTTTCTTTTTTATCTTTTTTATCATTTTACTCTCTTTCAGAATTAGCAAGACTTTTTTATTGTTCTTTGCTAGGTTATTCTGAAATATGCAATTCATCTAATTTTTTCCCTTTTTAGCTGCTGAACATGCTCTTTCTTCCTAGATTTTATTCGGAACCAACTTCAAGCCCTTTAGCTCCGAAACTCATTTAGTTAGACAAAACATTTGGCTATCTAGGAGTTTCTTGAGTATTGTTGCTTTCACTCTAAAAGTATAATTTCTCTTCAGATTCATCAATTTTATTCTACTCTTCTATTTATTTCTTTGAAACTGTTTTAGTATTATTCATATTTTTAAGCTTTTATTTATCGTCGTCTATTTAAGTTTAGCTCATTCTTTATAAACCAAACAAATCTTAATCCTGTATTGTGCTTAAACTTTTAACTCCATTTTAATTTTTGTTATTATTTTCAATGCTCATGTTCGAAGGATCTTGGTAAATGTAAGTCTAAGATTTAGGATTAACTTTACTCTAGTCTTATTTGTCATCTATTTTCAATCAAAAATTTTTAAAATAATTTGTTAATTAATTTTTCATTAAATAATTTATTCATAGTTCAAATACTTACTTTTTAACTCTTGCTAGATCTGATTTCTAATCTCACTTTCTTATTTTTATTTTAAATATGACTTTCTGTTTTCGTCTTCGCTATCAAAATCATCTTCTAAATCTCCTATGTGGATTACCTTTGCTTATAAAAATCCTGATTTTGGGTTCAAACCTTTAAATTCTCTTATTTATTAGTCGTCAATAACTGAGCTGTTGTTATTTAAAAAGGAATCTTCTTCTTCTTGGTTAAAGAAAGTTTTAGGCTATTTAGTGGCATTTTAAAAATCAGCTGTTGGATGAGCTTATACAGGAAATTGTTCTGAATATAAAAAAATATGAGTAAATATTATTTTTATTTAAAAAAAATTAAACCTTATTTCGAATTTTATTTTGTATTGATAGGCAAAGGTACAGTTTTGTTAGATACAATATTACCAACGTACATACTTTGTTATTCTTTAATCTTAATAAATATAAATAATATTTTTCAATTAAAATTTAATTATAAATATAAAAATATTTTTTATTACAAGAGCTGATTGTTAAAGTGATGATTTTTTTAACTCTTCTTAATTTTGTGAAATTTTATCTAATTATTTAGTGTATTCTTCTTGCTATTTGGTCATTTTTTCTTGCTACTCTTAAATTTTTGAAAAGCTTTTATCAAAAAAAAGTAAATTATCTGAATTTGATTAAATTAAATTTACTTTTTTTAGAAATTCTCTAGATTTTGATTCATTTTTTCTAAATAAGTGTTTATCTCTTATTCTTTTATCTAATTTTTCTGTTAAATCTCTTCCTTTTATTGTAAAATTTTTGAAGATTTCTCTATTTCTTTTTACTTTTCTTCGTTTTGTAATGTAATAACTTAGCTTATTTTCATATCAAAATCTTATTGAAGCTTACTAGTAATTTATTCTACCAATTTGGCTTCGTTTATCTTAGCCTGCTCAAGCTACTTTTGTAATTCTTAGAGTCTTTCTAATTGTATTTTGTTTTATTCTCTAATTTCATCTTGTTGCTTCTTTTTTAGCTAATAAATTGGGTCTTAGCGCTCTTTAATCATGTCCTTTGTTTCCTTTAATTTACATTATAATTGTTTTTAATAATTAATTGAAGCTGATGTCTTAAAAAAAATAATTTTATATTACCTATATCTCATTAAGCATATCTAAATGTCTTCTCTTTACATGAGAATCTAATCCATCTTTATCTCTATATGCCTTAGAACAATAAACACATTTGTAACTACCAATTCTTTCTGCCTCTTTTTTCATTTCTTTGATCTTTTTGCTAAGTTACTTGATTTGTTCCTTATATTTAAAATAAAAAACATTTTAATTCATTTAAAATTTTTGAAAAAGCTATTTTTATTTTATTACTTTATAAGTTTCTTTCTTTTCATTGTGTTTTATCTTTAATTCATTTAAATTCTTTTCTTATTCCTACAACTATTTATATTTCAAGTATTAGTCATCTATTACTTGTTATCTATTAGCCTACTCTTAAGAGTAGTATTCAATTGCTAATTATGATAGTCTAAATAATTTATTAAACATTTCGTAATCCATTTCCTCTGGAATGTGGCTGTTTACAAAATTTTTCAAAACAGCAGAAGCCTAATCTAAATCTCCTCTATAATACAACTAATCAGGGTCAATATTTGCCACTAGTCTCAAATTTAACTATTCTGTTGGCTCTGTAAACTTAAAAGGCTTATAAGGCAGTTAAGCATAAGCTTTAAAAGTCATCTTATCACTCGCTTCCTATTCGCTCATAATACCTGCTAAAAACTATTTTTAAAACTACTAAAGCTAATAAAATTTTATTACTTGGATAATATCTGATTTATTATAAAACAAAAATCAATCAAATAATAATTTAATAAATATATAACAACAATATCTTGCTTGAAAACCCAATTAATAGTTATTATTAACTTAAGCAAAAATTTACTGTTTTTTTTATAATCTATTAAAATTAATAATGTCATTAAAAATAAAGCGATATTTGACTGGAAAAATTAAAAAATGCTATTTATAATTTATACTATTTAAAATTTTAGATTATTGTAGATAATTCTATAAACCAAGTCTAAAATCTAAAAAATAATTTAAATCTTTTGAAGTTTTACAAATATTTAATATTTGTTTTAAAGATAAATAATCTTTAAGTGTTTAAATTGATAAACATTTATATTAAAATAATATATTAATTATTTATTATTATTATACAAAATTAAATTATTACCATCAGAATAGTAAATTTTATATTAAATATAAATACTGTCAGTGTTCATATATTGAGGTAAATTTCGGTTTAGAGGCCTCACTTAAAGTTATTTCTTACCCATTAATTAAATAACATTTCAAATATTTTAAAAAACAGTCCTAATATATGAACATTCACAGTTATCACAATTCTAAATATAAAGAATGAAGTATTATAATAAGTTAATTGTAGGGATACAAATTATTAATATTTTATTTGTAAATAAGTAGTAAACTAGAAAGACTAAATTTTAAGTTAAGAATTTATGAAAATTACAAAAGAAGTATTTTTACTAAAGTGTAATTTGAAAAATTAAATTAATAACAAAACTTGCAAAAAAACTGACAGTATTTGTGAGTTGAATTAGTAAATATTGAATGAAAAAATCTATGATTAAAAACTAGCACCTTAAATTAATTAAATTATAAGATATTAATAGTAGAAGAAAGAAAAACAATTTGTAATTAATCTAAGTTATTTTAAATTGATTGTAAATAACCCAAAGTGCTTAAATATAAAAATTATTTTCCCAAAATATAGTTTATACTATGGAAAAAATTTAAAAGAAGAGATCAAGAAAAGAGGAACAGCGAATATTGGAAATAAGGAGGTTGAGACAAATTAGGATCGGTCCTCCTCCTAAGCAGTTGAAAAGAATGCAAAATGTTTTTTAAATGATGGAAGAAATTTACTCAGAAAGGTTAATGAAGGGGAAAAATAAATAAAGTGTTAAAAATGAAATCGTGAGTGATGAGATATTAAACAAGAATAAATAAGAAAAAAGCAATTCTTAGATATTTTATGTTGATCATAAAGATAAAGACGATAATGAATTCAATAATTAAGTAGATTTTAGAAGCATAAAACTTGTTTAAAGTCCATTGGTTGATGAAACTTATGAAAACAATCAAGAGTTTCTTTTTAAAACAAAACAAATAAGATAAGCAATTTATAACTCTTAGCTATAACCTAAGCCTAAGAAGAAGTAATTTTGAATTTAAAACTAAAAGCTTTATAATTTTGATTGCTTTACACATATTTAAATAAATAAAGAAAATAATTTCAAATTTAAGAAAATGATGAAAACGAAATAAATTAAGCCCTTCAGTCAAATAACGCATAAGACAAAAAGAAAAGCAGAATTTAAACAATTCAAGAAAGGATTGAAAAGCAGAAACAAAAATAAAATTAATTTTTAGATTCTCCAAGAAATAGCTTGCTTTCACCTGTTTCTTAAAGTCCAAATGCCAAAGATAAAACATGGTCTTCAATAAATAAAGGATTTTAAATTCCATTTAATGATTTACTCCCAGAAGATCTACAATCTAGTCTTTCATTATAAAAAAGAGAATCACAAACTCCATAAAACTAAAATAATAACTCTGCAAATTAAATACTTGAATAGAATGATATGCATAGAAAAAAATCAAAATCCCTTTTTCATTTTGAAGACACTCTTCTAAAGAGCAACTTTGATTCATAGGTAGTTAATTTTATTAAAAAGTTGAATTTTAATTATAACTTATTTTTAAAAGTGATTATGTATATAAATTAATTATATTTTAATCATTTAAAAATATTAAAATAATTAAAAATAAATCGGCTACTTATTGATTAAAACGTTTAAAAAATAATTTTATTCATGCAAAAAATTCAATAAAATAATATTATAGAGAAGTAGGATATCTAAAAAATTATTTTTTTTTAGAATTTTTTAATTTAAATCAAAAATTTAGCTTAGCAAATAAATTTTTAGAATAATTATTAAAATAATAGTAAATATTTACTCAAAAATGTTATTATCAAGTCTTCTTACTAGTATAGTTAATATAGATAGCCAAAGTACCTCAAAAATTATTTATATTTAGGCTTTTATAATTTAATTAAATAAATAAATTTTTTGAATAGAAATACTTCTTAAATTAGTTAAAATGCTTTATAAGCAGTTTTACTAAATTTAAATTAAAATGATAGAAAATATTCACTCTAATTTACTTTAAAATCCTCTTATTAGAATAAAAAATTCATAGTTAACCAAGACATCTCAAAAATTAATTATTTATATTTAGAATTTTTTATTTAAATAAAAAATATAATTTAACAAATAAACCTGAAAGTAATTAATTATTGATGAAACGGTAGATAAAGATAAAGATATTTAGTTAATATTCCACTTAATTTTTTATAAAAATAAAATAATATTAATTTTATAAATAAAGAGCGAATTCATGCCAGCTTTGTTAGAATTAAAAAGAAAAGAAGCAGAAATGGCAGAACTTAAGAAACATAAATAAAAATTAGAATAAAGATAAGATAGAATAGATGATATTAGATAAAAACTAGGTTTGATGAGATAATTTGAACTCAAGAATAATATTGAAAAATAAATAAATTATATCCAGAAAGATTTAGATAAAATAGATTAAAATCTAAGTAATATTCCTAATATTAGAAAATTTAGAGTTATTTAACCTAGACCGCTTACATTTAGTAAGAACGATCGCTATTAAAATATAAAGAACTAAAATAAAAATGAAATGAAAAGCAACTTAATTGGTGCTTTAAGTGATAATTAATATAATTTAAATGATATGCCTATTAATAGTTCTTTTAATAAAATTTTAAGTCCTGTGAATCAAAACTTTTAAAAAATTGATCTAAAATCTAAAAAAAGCTCTGATTCTATATTTGAAGAAAATATCATTTAACTTTAAAATATTTCTTAAAATGCTGCATTTCCTTCAAGAAGATTTTCTATTCCAGTCTTACAATTTTATAATGCAGAATAGTTTTAAAAATCTCCAATCTTGAGTCCGAATAGCAAAGATAATTTTTCAACAGAAATGTAAAGCATCAAGTAAAAACATACCCAACAACTTTCAAACAGCTCAAGAAATTTGCTTAAAGAAAATATTAAATAAAGTTAAAATAAAATTTTATCCATAAAAGATTAAAACAATAAACAGTTATTATTTTAAGATAAATAAGAAAATAAAGTACCCTTTGATAGTATTGTTTAAGATAAGCAAATAAACGTATTGTAAAAAAAATAAATGAACTTTTCATAAAGAAGGTATTCAATTCCTGTTAAAAAATTCGATGGTAGTCGTCCATCTTCCAAATTAAGTTTAAAAGATAACAATGTGAGTTAAACAAAAGGAGAATAATTAAATAAATCAAAAAGCTGTTAATAATTAAAAAGCAGTCAAAATTTGCAAAATATGCTTTCTTAAGATTTAAAAATCAACGACATTTTAAGTAGTAGGTCTTAAAGAAAAAGCCTTTATCAATCGTTAAAAACTAATTAACAAACGTTTGACTTCAATAGCTCACCTGATACATCAACAGTTTCTAGTGCTATCAAAAAAGACTAAAAAATATTTAAGTTTCCTTTAACTTCCTCATCTTCTGCATTTTCTGAAAGAAAAAGATAAAATGTAAAATTAAATTAAAATAATTTAAAAAATAATAAAATTCAACAATATTTTATGTAAATCAAATATTTAATTTCAATTTTAAATAAATAAATTAATTAATTAAATTTTAATTTGATATTTTTTTTAAAACTTATAATATAGGCCTAAAATATTGAAGTAAGAAAAAAGGCAGGTAGTTTGTTTTAATAGGTGAATTAACTGTAATAATAAACAAGAGAAATGGCAAAAGAAGAGACAGATTATGTAACAAAATAAACTAAAATTATAGCTCAAGATTTTATGCATTGGGATTAAGAACTATAGGAGTATAATACAGATGCAGATAAGACACTCTTTAAAGATATTTAATTTGAGATGAAGTTAAGAGATAAATATATCTAAGAGCTCATGCATATTTCTTGATTTTTTCCGAATTAAGTATATAAATATAAATTTAATAATTATTTTATCATAAATATAATTATTTATTTATTTCTTGTAAATAAAAAATATACATTTTGTGTTTTATAATTTTGTGAAATTTTATAAAAATTAAAAGGCAATCATCTGTTTATGTTATAAAAGAAACTTAATTAGCAAAAAAAATGCATATTTAGTGGGATAATTTAAATAAATTAATTAATTTTGAATGGAATTATTTTGGGTAAAATAAAGCAATTCACAACAGAGAAAAAAGTGGAAAATTTGATTTGAATTATTTAGAAAATAAATATTTAATTAAAAAGAAATTCACTAAGAAATTTTTGTGAAAAAAAGTAAGTGGATGATATGAGATTATTAGTTAGTAATTTCCAGTTATCATTAAAAAATGATATCATTTATTAAAGTTTTTAATACCCTCTCTCAAGTTTAGTGACCATCTTAGAGCTATTTTACTCATTTGATTTCTGATCTAGACAAAGTCTAGGTACATTCAAACAATCAGATTTCATTTGATAAGATGCATAATTTGGAGGAATCACTAAACTTAAGAAAAAAATCAAATCCACAAATTTAACTAATTATAAAATGACTTAATTACTGCTAATAAAACTCATACAAACCACTTAATCCTCCATAAAATTGTTATTTAGCAAGGAGAAGAGGTTATATCAAAATAATTAAAAAAAATAAAATCATAAATAACAAATTCTTTATTAGACAGACCTACAAATATATATAATTAGTATTTTTTAACTAGGAAATAAATAGAAAGATATAAATCAGCATATTTGAACAAGATGAGGCTTAATTGAGATTTATAATGCGTGCTTAGCTTGAGTATCTTAAAAAAGAAAGAAAAAAATAAAAAAGAAAAAGAATAATAAGAAAAATAAAAGAAATTCATAAAAATCATAAAAAAATAAAAATTAATAAAAGAATTAAATAAAATTAATTAAAATCAAATAAAAAATAAATAAACAAACAAACATTAAAATCATAAATAAAAATTAATTAATAAAAAGAAAGAAAGAAAGAAAGATTATTTATATTTATTGTGCTTATGCTACATCTTTTTTTAAATTAATTAATTTTGTAATATTTATTTTTTAAAATATTAAGCTATTATCATAAAAAAAAAATTAAAATAATTTAATCATAATTAATTATCTTTGGGATTATATGAATATTTTATCTCGAAATATTTTAAATTTTCATAAACTATTAAATTTGAATATTAATTTTTAATGCTGTTGATAAATGATATAACCAAAATATAAAATAAAAATTTATTCTCAAAATAGAATCTTGCTTAGTAAAAGTGTATTTAAAGTGAATAAATAGATTTAAAAAATTAATTGATTTTGTAAAAACGGAATTATTATTTTTGATAAATATGACTGTCCATTATATAATAAATAAAAATGTTTAATTATCGCTTTTATTTATTAGAAATTATTTAGAATTTATTATAAATACTATCTTAATTATTAGAATAATAAATTAAATATTCTAATTTACTTAATTATATTTATTCACCAAATCAAATTATTATATAAAATCTATAAAATTATCTGTTTTATGCTAACTAAAAATAATAATTTTTAAATGGAGAATAGCATTCTTAGATAATTATAAAACTATTTTAAGGATTAAAATAAAAATTGAAAACAGATCCTAAAATAATTAAAAAAGTCTAGTATCTTATATTACGAAAAAAGGATGAGAAAATAAAGCAGGTTGAAATATAATTATTTAATTTTAGAAATCAAAAGAAATAAAAAAACTAAATTTGATTTATTCGTTTACCATAATTATAAATAAATAAATAATAATAATTATTAATATTATTACCATGTGTATCTTTTTGTTTTTATTTACGTTTTTAAGAGTTTTATGAACAAATTTAATCGACCTCAATTAATCGTAATAATATAATCCATATAAAAGAATTATTGTAATGACACCAACTATAACAAAAAAATTATTAAAAACAGGCTGATAAGGAAAATAGACTCTTGTTTCTTAAATACTTTATTCAAAATATTAATTCTTTTATTAGTTAGAGTTGGCAAAAGAAAGTTTAACAAATAAATAAAAAAATAATTGAAAACTTTAACGATAATAGAATAGGTTAAAAAAATAAATTATGAACATAATTTAATTAATATGTAAGAAACAAGTAAATTTAAAAGTTTTGTTGCATCACTTATTTAATATTGTTAAATTATTTAGTTAATTAAAATTTGCACAGATGTCATCGCCAGATGAAAACAATCATGCAATATTTAAATTAGATGAGATGAATCAAGAAAATATTAAAAAAATTAGAAGCGTGTTTTTATTAAAAGAGCGTTAGCTTAATTTTGATAAAAAATATATATTTAAATGAAATCAAAAGCAAAAGAGTCAATTAATTAAGATTGATTTTGCTAAGTGAGACTAGCAAAAAATAATTTAAATAAATAATTATTGACAAGGCTGGCCGTCTGATTGGCTACCGATTCAATAAGTAAATAAAAGAAAAAACACTCAAATATTAATTAAATAAATAAAAACAAACTTTTATGTAGGTTGATTAATTTATATAAACAAATGTATTAAATTGCCTGCATTTGGAATAGATTGTTCCTTTCAAATAAGAAGAATTTAATATTCTAATCATCTATTTTAATATTTGGATATAGGCTTTAAGTTGAATGAAAAACACTGAAAAAAATAATTAAAAAATAAATCTTTGAAATTTATACCTCAGTGTTTAACAAATAAAGAAAGCAAAAAGAAAATAAATTCTTTCGCCATTCATTATTTTCTTCCCAAGATAATAAACAACCATAAATAATTAAATGAGATCTTCTTTTAAATCATAGTCTAGAAACCAAGTATAGTATATTAAAAAGGAAGCTCTATAAGATGATAAAACACCAAAGTACGAAGAAGTCAAAATTTCATAAGTTAAAATCAATGAAGCCTCTACTTATGTTTAAAAGGAAAGCTAACCGATTATTCATTCTAATAATTCAGAATAAGTGTAATATTTAATTGTTTTTTTACCATCATTTTAATTTCTTTTGGTAAATTTAGCTCTAAGCCTTCTGATAAACCACTTGTAGAGTAATCAAATAATTTAGAACAAGACAGCACCAGCTAGCAAAGATAACAAAAACCCGATAGAGCTAATAATAATAATAATAATAATTAATAATAACGCAAGTAAGGACAGAGAAACAACAGACACTTTAAAACTACTTACGTTCCTAAGAAATTGCTATAAAGTGAAATTGACTAATCTTAAGCAGGTCAAGAAAGTAATAAAACTGACAGTCAAACTCAGTCAAACCAAGGTTAATCAAATAATTTAAATGAAAGCTAAGAACCATCAAATAATTTATAAATGAATGGGAGATAAAGCTTATAAGGAAACGGTACAAACACATAAAAGTATAGATATAATTATAGAAATGGATCTGTTTAGCCAAAGAATGAGAGATATTCTTAAGGCGGCAGTAGCCAAATTTAAAATTAGACCAAAAGCAGTTTATTTTATTAACTCAAATCAGACCAAACAAATGCAACTAATGAAGGTAATTAATTCGAAGATAGTCCTCAAAAGAACCAAAAAAATTTTCAACGCGACAACTTAAGAAAAAGTGAAAAAGAACCTAAAACTACCCAAAAGAAAGATTATGCTTAAATTCAAGCTATGTTAAAAAGATAAAATGATAATATGATTGCTAGAAATAATAGAAGAAATCATTCAATCGTTAGAACTCCAGATGCTCATCTTTTGCTCTCTTGCAACTGGGATGGAATCGAAAATGTCGAACAATCTTACGAATTATTATAGAAGAAATCTTAGGACGTTAGCAGTTTTTGTAAATAAATTAAACATTTTTAATTTATTTTTATTAGAAATTCCTATAAAAAAGAAAGAAAGAAAATAAAATCAAATCTTAAAATTTTTGAATAGTCAGTCTAGAATTTTTTAATTTATTTGACTTTAAATAAAAATTTTCTACAATTTAAATTGAATTTATTTTGTTGTAGATAAAATACAAAATTATTAACTTATCATATTATTTTATAGGCCAATAAGAAAATTCCACTAGCTAGGCATTCCCTTCACTATTAGATGACAGTTCTAGATTAAGCAAATTCGCTCCTTCATCACTTAGACCTAGCAGAAAAGCATCAATTTCGAGCTCAGAAACAAATCCACAGGATTTGACAAATTAAATTCATTAAATTGCCTAAGAATTACAGTAAAATTAGGAATAATAGGTAGAGAAGCCCGTTCATGTTCATGATATTTAAGCTTTACAAGAAGTAAAATAAGAAGCAATTATGGAAAGTGAGGAGTTTAATTACAAAGAAGAAGAAAAAACTAAATAAGCAAAAAGTACAAATGCAACTCCAAGCTCAAAAGAAAACAAAAAGAACAATCAAAGATAATCAAATAAAATTTAAAGAGAATCAATAAATAAAGGTCGCAAATCAAACACTATCATTTATGTAAGGAAAGAAAATGTTCAAAAAGAGCAAACACCTTCAAATTAAATGAACTAAAAGAAAAGTGTTGTTTATGAAGAAAAAGTAGAAGTTGTTGAATAGTAATAGCCATAATAAATACAACAACAACAACAATAATAATAACAAGAAGAAAAAGAATATCCAGATATCTTAAATGATATCGAATTTGAAATGGATTTAGAAATTAATCCTACTTAATAGACAAGAAGAAATCAAAATAAGAATTAAAGATAAGAAAGGGATTTATAGAATGCTAATTTTGATGGCTAGCTTATTGCTGAATAACAGTAAGCAGATCATGAATCTGAGCAAAATAAGAAGGATTCATCAAACTCTTAAGATCATAATGAAAATGAAGTTTATCCAAGAATTTCTAATTTGGATGAGTATGTTCCTGTTTAGTTTACTGCAGAGTAACAAGAAGCTTTTGAAAAAGGTGAATATTAGGAATTGTAAAAGGAGATTGACCAATTCTAAAAGCAAGATTAATAAATATAAAATGAGTGCAGAGAAGAAAATCAAAGAGAAATCTCAAGCGACGTAATTTTATAATAGAAGGAAGAAGAAGATTTTGTACAAATTGAAGAAGAAGGTTTAGCTTCTAAAATTTCTTGCTAATCTCCACCTCCCACTGAAAATTTAACTTAGTAAGACGTTGACGCAGCCTTAGAAAAATTTGAGGAAGAAAATTAGAATCAACATCACTTATCAAAGTTTGGTTAGTAATATGAAACAGATTTAGAGTAGAAAGTCTTAGAGTAACTTTAAAAGAAGCACATTATAGAGCAAAATGCAGAATAAGTTGATGAAAATAACAAATCACAAACTATAACTGAAAACAAGACTGATGATTAGAATAGTAATCAAATAATTGAAAAAAATACCTAAGAGTAAGACAATAAAAACATTAATGGCTAGCAAAAAGAACTTGTAGAAGAAGAAAAAAATATTAAAAATGGAATAGAAAATGTATAAACTGAATTAACTTAAGAAAAATTGACTGTAATTGATAATTAAGCTAATTAAAGCAATAATTAAATGTAATACACAGCTAATATCGTCATAGAAGAAAATGAAATTCAAGAAGCATTTAACCACTTTTAATAGGAGCATTAAAATTTAGCTTCAAAAAATGAAGAAGAAAATGTTGAAATCATCACCCAAAAATAAAAATCTCAAGACAAAAGAGAAGAAGAGGTTTAATAGTAATTAGAAGAAGAAGAAGAAGTTTAATAATAATTCGAGGAAGAGGTAGAAATTTTTGTAAGCAGCACAGAATAGACTAGAAATCATAACTAAAATAAATAAGAAAGAGATTTATAATCTCATAATGGTCAACAATTAGATGATCACTTCAAGTAAGAAGAATAAGCAGGAAATTAAAATTAATCTTCTCCAAGCAAAAACGAAAAATAAGTTAAAGAATAAAAAACAATTGACGAACTTGATAAACAATGCGAATATTTTAATGCTAATTCAAACTACAGTAGTGATAAGTAGAACAACACCCAAACACAAGACGACACCTCCAGTGCAAAACATATTGAAATGAATGGATTTTTACTTGAAGTTTAGAGTGATAGAAATTTTGATGATTCCAACCACGATCTTAATTCAGAATATCCCAAGACAGAAGCTCCTTATAGGAGAAAAACTAGATTTTTACAGTAGTTCTCAGATAACTTGAAAGACATAGGCAAAAATAATACTTGCTTAGTTAACTCTTTGGGCTCGAACATTGTAACTACATTTGCTGGATATGTTTGCAACAAAATAGTTACATCTACTTTACTCAAAAATGGTAAATTAAACCATTCTTCTGGTAACAGAATGCTCTTTAGTTCATTCTCTTCATTAAACTCTTCTTTAAAGAATTGAGAAAAGAATGTTTAATGAATAACATTTATTTATATTTAAATAAACACTTCAAATTTCAAACAAAATTAAAACAAACAAACATATTTACTGACATAACATATCATTATTAAATAAATAAAAATATACTTTTACTTAAACACCAAACTATTATCTAAACTTTCAAATGAATTTTTTTTTGAGTATCAACCAATCAGAAAATCAATTATCTACTAATTGATCTTTCTATCTATCTATCTACACCTATTATTTTTAGTATAAAATTTTATTTAGTATTTAAAACTTAAAATTAACATATTTATATCTTTATTTGTCAAATTTATGTTCATATATTTAATAGCTTTGTTCATGGCATTTCTTTCAATAGCATAATTCTTTTCATATCATTTACTTATTTATTTAATCATTTTTTATCTTATTTTAATTTATTATATTTAAAATGGTTTATTTTTTAATTTAATTTTCATTTAATATTTTTTAAATATAGATTTTTTTTTTTTATTAAGTTTAATTTAAATTTCATACCTAAATAACAATTTTTAATTCATTTTACTTACAATAATCAATTTTTAGCATGACTTTCATTTGCTAATTTTTCAAAATATTTTTATTATTATTTCATTTAAAATAATTATATCTTAATTAATTATCTTTTAAGGTTTTTTGGACCAATATAATATGAATATTATTGATTTATAACTAAAATTTTTTATCTGGAAATTGAAATTAAATTTAAAGAAAATTTTATTAAAATTGACATATATGAGAAATTATAATGAATAAATTAAGATATAATATGATATTTAAAAAGAAGAAAAATTTTTTATATTAAATTATTTTAGTAATATATTTTAATTTATAGAATGCTTATTTGAAAATGTAAATTCAAAAAATATACTTCTTTCTTTAGTTTTTAGTTAGAAATCCACAAAAAAAAGCAATAATTGATTAAAAGAGCTAATAAATTGAATGTTTTAATAAAAGATTATTTATTATTTTTAAAATATATTTATGCTTTTTTTTAATTTATTTGTATTAATATTTTTTAAATAATAAAATATTTAATTAAAAGTTTTTGTGAAATAAATTACTAAAATAAAAATTTTTTACATTTTATGGAAAGGAAATTTAAAAGATTATTAATATTATTTATGTAATCTTATAATTTTCAAAAAAGAAAATTGTAAATGAAAATACAATTTGTTGATTTTAAAATACTTTGTTTTTTAAATATTTTGGAAAAGATATTTCATTTAATAAAGAAAAATATAAATATATTTAATAAAGAAGATCAAATATATATTGTGGTAAACGTGGGAAATAAATTAGATAAATAAAAGATTATAAAAATATTCATTCATTATAAGATATTTCAATTCTTTTATTTTTTGCAAATTTTTATTAGAAAAAAAAAGGACTATTCATTTGTTTTACATATTTATATAAATATTGCTTAAAACTTTTAAAGATTTAAATAAAAACTTAAAATATGGAATTATTTAAATATGTTTTATATTGGTTTATTTAAAATGAATGATTGGTTTATTTAAATAAGTAACTATTCGAGGAAAAAATATCTTAAATATGCAATCTAAATTTTTATTTAATACGTTATAACAATTGATTTTTATTTTGCTTAATATGTTCCCCTGCTGATGATGATTAATAATTAGAAGTATCATAATTTTATTTTGAGTATTCTGATGCATTATGTATATATAAAAAACCACTTAAATGATTGATTTTCGTCTTAGATTAAAAAGTTGTGATTTAATTGTTAGCTTTTATGAAAGTTATCTCCTCAATATGCACAATATAAAATCTAATTTATAATTATTGTAGAAATGTTTATAACTAATTTATTATAGAGTTATTTTTTGAGTTATTTAATATTATGTTATAATTATTATAACTCTTTTGAGTAAATACAATAATTAAAGGCATAGAATTTTTTTAAATCTCTTTATCACTTATATTTTTTTAAATCTATACATCGCTTATATTTTTTTAAAAAATTGCTAAATAAAATATATTTAAATAATAAATATGTTTTATTATTTTACAAAAAAACTATGTATTTTTTATAGCAAATTTTATCTAACATTTTATATAAATTAAAGGTTTAACTTACTTCGATTAAAATATTGATGGTAGATTTTTCTATCTTTTTATATAAAAGCTAATAAGGAATAATAAAAAAATAATCAATGATCACAAAGAAATATTAGAAAGAAGAATTTAAGAATGAATTCTAAATTTAGAAATTCATAAGATTAATTTGTTTACATGAAAATGTGTAAATTTAGAATAGAAGAATTACTATAAATAGAATATAATTGTAATTATATTACTAAGTGATATTTATTAATTATAATTATATTATCTAAATGATTTAATATCTCTAATAATAATAATTATTATAAAAACCTGAACCTAGAAAAAAAGAAATTAATTTAGAAAATTCAATTATAATTTCTTTAAAATTGATTGAATTTCTTCTATACTTGTAAATATTCTCAGGAAATTTAATAAATTTTATATTAATAAATTTATTATTTTATTCTTAAAGCCGTCTACATTTAGTTATTGATTTAGTTATTTCTATTATTTTTCTGTATTTAAGTTTCTATTTTCATTAATAAAATCAACAACTTGAATACAATTTATTTTAAAAACGTCTTTTTATGTTTGTCTACTGAATATAATATATTCATTTAGTTAAGCATCAGAAGTATTTAATTATAATAATTAAGTAAGTATCTATTTTTAGATAAATCTTATTTAATAGCTTTAAAATATTAGGTAGGGTAGGGCTTTTTGACTTTGATGCTCTTTAGTTTATTTAATTAATAAATAGAAACAATTTCATTTAATTTTTGCTATTATTATTTTAAATTAATGATTTGAAATTTATCGCTTAGAATCCTCGTAAATTTGCGTATGAACAGACATATGTTTTTAATTAGATAATGATTGAATAATGACGATTAAATTATATTTTTTCGTTGATAAAAAATTAAATTGAAATTAACAGACAATTAAAAAAGAGCGAAATTTGAATTTATTTAATATGCAAAAGGGATTTTAATTAAACTAATAATGATGACAGAGTTAGATAAACAAATGATGTAAATTGAAACTGATGAAAATATCGCAATAAAAATGAAATTTAAATCTTGCTAATAACTTAAAGGATCAGTTTTAATAAATATTGAAATAGCTTCGAATAAATTCTAATTTATATTTTGTCAGAAACATATTTAAAAAGTAATTTGATACTGACTCTTAATAGTAAAATTAGAAAGACTATTTTTTTTCATATATTTCTGAAATTAAATGTTAAATTTTAGAAAAAGTTAAGTCGATAAATTGGATTTGTAGATAGATTAACTCATGCCAATATAATGTACTTCGAGTAATTAAATTACTCATTAGTTTTTTTATTTATAAAAGGATTTTTATCTGTTGCCATAACTAAAATATTTTCATTTTAATCAAAGATTTAAATTTTTGCCTTACTTGCCTCCATTTTCTTAATAAACATGTGTTTTTCTTAACTTCAAATTTAATTTGAAGGAAATTAAGTAGAAAAACAATTTGTATTTGAATGTAATTGGTTTGCTCATTATTTGATTTAAAAATGAGATGAGTGGTTTGAAAAATGCAATTGTTAAATTACGCAACTTTCTTTTGTGACGATTAGTGTTAATTTGTGGAAATTAATTTTTGATCTTTCAATTTTTGATTTTTTGAATTATGACAATTAGAAACATTAATTTAATCATTTGTAATTTTTTTATCATTCAATAAAGCAATTATTCGGGGACCTTAATTTGCATAATTATTTCATTTCAAATTCTTTATTTACTTTATAGGAAAAATGCATACAATTTTCAGAAATTAAGCTCTCTTTTAATAAAATGTTTTAGGCATTCAAAATATTCCCAAATAGAGTGAAAAACCTAAAAGCTCAAGCAAGAGACATATTATAAGACATGCAATATACTTCAAGCATTCAAAATTGGTTTTACAAAAATAAATTTGAAAAGCAATCTTATTAAAACTAATAAGTGATTTTTAAAATATGGTTTTAAATACTTTTTAAATCTAAAAAGTGTTAATTTTATTAATTTTACAAACTGTTTTTACTGCATTTTTAGCTAAAAATGTTCTTAATAAAGCATTTTACAATTATTTATTTTCTAAAAAGATTGTTTTTAAAAGATAGACAACATTTGATTTTTAATAAATTTCTTTGTTTCAAAACAGTTTTTAAAAGTAAATTTACGAATGTAAAGCTTCTTGTTTTAATATTAAATAAATTAAAAAGTTTTAAAAAGTGTTTAACTGAGACAAAATTTATTTTAATGTATTATTGCCTTTGGCTTTTAAAAATCCAACTATTTTATTAATTGTTGTTTATTCTTTAGGAATAAAATTAAAAAATAAAAAATGTTATCTATAAAATTTTATCAAAAACATACTGCATTTGAATAGTTGAATTAAGTTGAGAAATATAACTTAATAAAGCTTAGTTCATTATATGTTAAAATTTGATTTAATATTGAACCTCCAAAATAATTTCTACAAATATTAAAATAAAAAAATTGTAAATATAATTAATCTATTTATTAATTAAATTAGACAAAAATTATGAAAAATTTTACTCTAAAATTTATTTCAAAAAATTTAAATTTTAGTTTAAAATTAAAAAATATTGTGAAAATTAATTTTTTTATAAATTATTTTTGAGTTTTAAATGTGCTCAAAATGGTATTCATCTATAAAATTATAATTTTCTCAAATTTTGATTAATATATATTATGATGAAAAATACTTTATCTATTTCTTTTTAGTTGCGTGTTATGTGTGTATGTATTTATGACAGTTTAGTTAGTTCTATTTAAATTAAATTTTAGACAAAATTTGTTATAAAAAATGTGAGATTGATTAATAAGAACTTGAATATTATATGAATTTACAGAGTAATATAAAAATGCAGATAATCAGTCAGTCATTCATACAAATTTTTATTAATTTTGAGAGTAAGATTTGAAATAATTTTTAAAATTTATAGTATTTATATATTTATAAAAAGTAGAGTTGTTATTAGTTGGTTGGTTAATTTGTTGGGTTTTTCTTCTGATGAGTATTTTGAATATTAGTGAATGAGTGAGTTTTGGTTATTAAGATTTGTTTTCATTCTATTATTTATTAGTTATTTGCAGTAATAAATTTGATTAATAAAACATCACTATTATTTTTATATATTCATTCTAAAGAAGAATTCAACTAGGTTAAACTAGTCAAATCAGTTTTACTTGTACATGACGAAAACTCTCTTCTTGAATTGCTAATAAGACTTTTCGAAATCTTTGTTGGCTACAATAAAGTCTTCAGTGCTATATAAGTCGCTTTCGAAGGCTTTGTTCAATTCAGTCTTGATTTGTTCGCAAGTTCTGTTGATTTTTTCAACAGTGCTTTCTTCAGCCTTTTCAAGTCTTTCTCTAAAAGTTTCAATGTTGGGGGGAATAATGTGGAGACCATTGGCAGTTCCAACTTTTTGCTTGATGCTTCCAGCGAGTTCAACTTCGTTAACTTGGAAAATGGGAATCTTGTTTTCCTTTTCAGCTTGGAAGTATTCTTGTTCCATTTGTTAGGTTTGGTTGACAGGAGGAGCTAACTTGAACATGTCAGGGTGTTCCTTAACTAATCTTGAGGCGAAGGCATTCTTACCGATAGCGGAAGAACCAGAAACAACTAAGGGAGTGATCTTTCTCATTTCTTTTTGACTTTTTTTTTTAAGTAGAAGTTTTTTTTACTTTTGTTGGTGGTTTTACTGATTTTTTTTTGTTTGATTTGTTTTTGTTTTTTTTTGATTATATTCACGAGGAAAGTCTGAATATTTAAAAACAAGCTGACTTTTGATAATCTGATTTTATAAGAATGATTAAAATCAATTGTGATGTATTAACCAAGCAGACGTCAAAAAATAGGTAGAAAGTAATTTAAAGTAATCCTATATTTAGATAACTCTAAAGAAATAAATAAATAATTAGATTATTGATTAGCTCACCCCATGCTTTATCTATAACAAATAAGTCTTTCTGTTTAATTAAAATCTTCTTAATTATTAATTCATTTCCTCATTTAGCTATTTTTAGTTTTAAAAATCTAATTTTTCATTTAATTATAATTAAATTTTTTGTCTTCCTTTCTACGAATGAGTCTAAGAAGATTGTATATTTATTTATTTAATATATCTAAAAACCATATTCAGTTTTTCTTTCTTTTATTTTTTCTTTTTCTTAAATTCTTTAAAATTTTTTTCTAAAAATAAAACAGCTAAAAATGGTACATTAATTATTACACTAATATCAATCAACTTTAGCAAATAAATTTACTTAAAAAAAGTATTTGATAAGATAGTTTTATAGGTTATTTATTTTATAACATATTATAAGCTGTTTAAGATAATTTGATTCTTTCTCCACTTTGTGATTGTTTAAGCTTCGTTTATGTGAAAAAACTAGTTTATCTTTAATATTTTTGAATAGAAAAGTGTAGAGAAAACAAATAGCAAGCATATAGATACCAATCATTATAACAACATAGATCTTAAAAGATATTAAATAATTGATGAATAATCTTCCATTAGCAGATAAAGTAACATTTTTAAAGTGGAGCAAATTGTATTTCGTAGCCTTAATTATTCTGTTTTTGATAACTGCTTACATCAATCCTTCACCTCCCTTGACTCCTCGTTAATAGTATCAAATAAAAAAGTAAGAAGATAAAAAGCTGATGGATTTAATAAAATGTTGCTCAATAAACGGCGTATACTCATTCGATAAGGATTTTACTACAACCACTTACAATCCGTAATGGCTAATTTTTATTTTTTAAACAAATCTCATTAGAAATACCTTGAATAAAAAAGAAATATTTAAAAATTTGATTTTGCTTTATTAATGTAAATAGACATTATAATAAAAGTCTTCTCATTAAACATAAGCATTTTAATTCAATTAAAACAAAAAAATTTATTATTTTAATGGTCAGTTGCCTAAAAAAGAAACATAAATGCTAAAAAATAATAGTTTTTGCTTTTATTTAAAGAATTTTTCATACAATTTTCGTTTAACCTGTTTACTTTTCTAACATAGATATTAGTTTAATTTCAAACTAAATTTATAAAAAATCAATTAATACTCAGGTTTAATTTAAATACAAATTCTTTTAACTAAGCATTTATACAATCAAGTAAAGTTGTTCTTAAAATAAAATAATTTTTTTAAATAAAAATCTTAAAATATTTTTCGAATCATGTCTAAAAATAATTTAAATAAAGCAATCATTAAGAATGATTAATTTTATATGCTTATAATTAATTACTATACCCAAATAAAATATGCATTAATTAATACTTTACAATTAATTCTAGTTCGATAATAAAATATGACCTTAATCAAAATTATTTTTGGTCAGTTCGATGATGGACTAATCGATTATCCCATTTATTCTAAATAATTTAGTTATAGTGTAAGCTTAACTATTACATACAAAGATTGTAAAATTACTCTAAATCATTTAATTTATTTTTATACTCTTTTTAGTAAACTTTTTAGAAAAATTATATATTGATTTTGTCCAAGCTTTTGAAGTATTGATGATTAATTTTGGCATATAAAACTTTCATAATGAGCCGTCTATCTCTTGCTTACAAATTTAAATCATACTATATCTTTTGATAGTAATTAATAACTAAATTAGTTAATTAAAATTATTGTCATTTCTATAATCAAATCTGGTTATAGTACAAACTATTTTAAAATAATACCTATTATTTACATCATGTAATGGTAATACAATTAAATGATAAAATAAACAATAAATAAATTAATTTCTTATTGTTCTTAATTTACAGTTCATAAATATTTTTTTTAATCATAGAAAATAAGTACCCAAAATAATATTTAAAAAATAACAAGCAATAATTTAATTTTAATATGGCAATTATTATTTAAATTAATTTACATGATTGATGACGTTATTTCAATCAATTTTCTTTTATTTTTATAAACTAATTTATAATAAAAATTAATTAAAATTTCTTTTATAAAACTAAATTACATTAATGTACAATTCAAATGTCATTAATGCAAATTTTAATCTATCAATTGACGATAATGAATCTTTGTTAATTACTTAATTAAATAGAACTAAAATTTTTCTCATTTTCATTTATCATAAATCTATAATACAAAAATGGATCAGTTTTAACAAAATGTGAATTCTAAAGCAATTCAAATATTCAAACAAATTAATTTCTACTTTTTTAAATTTATTTTTTTATTATAAGCTTATCCATGTTTTACAACTATGAAGATTAAGCCTTCTACTTAGCTTAATTTATTAATGAAAAAAAGAGTGAAATTAATACATTTAGTATTGCGAACTCAACCTAATCTACAAAAGGATATGTAGAAAGTTAATTGCTTTACGTTTATTCAGATGACTCTAAAATCAACTATATTTCTAAATCAAATGATGATAAGTAAATAGAATTTTATTATTAATTTATTTTTCTTTTTTAATTACAATTTGAGACATATAGTTATTAAAAGATATATTTGAAACAACCCTTTAATATTATATTGATTTAACTAAAAATTTTTCGATTCTTCTATATAGATTTTATGTCATTAATTAGAATAGAAAAAAATTTACTGAAATAGAAATTTAATAAATACTGTTTTTTTTCACTAAAACGAATACTAGGTTAGAATCTAAACAACTTGTTGAAAATATAACTGAAAAGATAAATAAACTAGTACCATAACCAAAAGCTGTATGCTATTCTAAAAGCGTCACAAAGGGAACAAAAAAGAGTGAAATTTTGATCTTTGATAATCAGCACCATCTCCACATAATGGACAATAAATTCGAAAATCCTAAAAGAGAGATTGAGGTAGAATGATTTTTTATTAAAAGATAATATGAATTATATAATTATCTAAAATTACTTTATGATGTTTGAAATAACTTACAAAAATTTAAGAAAATATAAAAAATATTTATAAATTTTAAGTTAATTCAATTAATTAAATTAGCTCACCCCGTTCATATAGTTAAATTTTTGTTCAAAAATTTAATTTTTCTTACAAAATTGAACAAAAATTAAGCTAGCTTGCTGGCTTTAATTTTTTTATAGAAAAATGTTTAACTAACTTAAAAATTAAATTTTAGGTGGGTTGAAATTTGTTTGCGTTTTATGTGGTCGAAAACAAAGACGTAATGCACAACAAATTTTAATCTAGAAAACTATAACCCTTTTTATATTTAGAAAAACGCTCAAAATATTAAAACAATAGATTTTTAACAGAAAAATTTATTTTCGTTGAATTTATAAAATATTATTAAAAAAAGACTTCTTTCAAAAATTATTTTAAGATTTTCAAAAAAAAATATTAATGTAATCATATTTTTTATAGCCTAAATTTTTATTTATTCAAAGCACCGTGAAGCAATCAATAAACTCATCAATCTATTTCTTTTATTTTAAGCTTAACTTTTCAAATACTTTTATGAATTAATTTATCTTACTAATAAAAACCAAAGTTATCTGGATTCGATTAAATCAAAAAGCTTGAAAACTTCTAAATTGCCTCACTCTTAAATTACTTGTTGATTCTAGAATCGAACAGTTCCAAAATTCATGTATTCGAGAAATAGGATGGAAAATTTGTCAAGTAAATAATTGTTGAGTTTTATCCAACATATATCAACTATTTTTTAAATTTAAGGACAATTGACATCGAAGAAGTTTCAAAATTCGCTTCTCGAGGAGTAGAAATCGGATAATAAGAAGACACCTTAATACATCCTAACACCATAACCACTAATGAATATGACCAGACGTAATAATATATTATGTTTAAAATTATGTTTTAATTCTGATTTGAAATAAATAGAGTTTATTTGTTTGGTAAGGGGTGGAATGGAATTTATGGATTCAACTTTAGATAGAGCGAATTAAACATTCAGTTAGAGCTATGACGAATAATAAAAAAATATATTAAGTACGTAAGCGCTTTTGATATGACAGCGCTAAAAAAGATATGATATTAAATAATAAACTTAATTTAATTTCTGCTTGCAAGTGTGTTTGTTTTTTTATTTTGCGCTTAAAATCTTAAAATTAGAAATTTTACAATGAAAAAAATAGATTTGTAAATATTTATTTTAATTTTTTAAAGATGGGGTTAAAATTATTAGTTTAGCAATGTATATTTTCTGTTCCATTTTACTTTTCACTTCTAAGGCTTTTAAATATAAAAATTTATTTGTATTTTATATTAACTTTTTGGCTTTGAAGCTTAACAGATTTAATCCGAATTAGAATTAAATGACCTAAAAACTAAATTAATTTTTAATATCATGGTGAATTTAATGTATTTATTTTTAGCTTAAATTAATAACTACCATAAGTTAAGAGAAGAATAAATTTACTTATTTTGAATATTGAATCATATAATTTCTAAATTTTACATTTAAATACTTCATACTATTATAAATTACTTGACAAACCCTAATAAATATTGTAATCATTTAAAGCATTCTATGAATTAATTACAATATTTATATGCCGATATATTTTTTATTTGCAATCTATCTATCATTTTTTAAGAGCTATTGCAATATATCATGAAGCTTACAATTAATTACCTATTAAAAATAATTATAAAGGTAGTAAAATATTTTCTCTACTGATAATCTATCTAATAATTAAATAAAATTTTTTATAATATTGAATATCTTTTGATTTGAAAAAAAAGTAAAACATGATTTTTACTTTGAATGAATAGAAAAGTTATTGTTTGACACTTTCATATAGGCAGTATCATACTATTGAACATATCAAATAATTTATTAATAAATATGGAATTAAGTATCTCTATGATAATGAATAGTACAAATTAACATTTTTATTTTAAATAAAAAGCAATTAATAAAAGATTCTATTTTTTAGTCATATTATGTCTTTTAAATTAATTTATCCTTCAAATAAATTTTTTTCTTTATGATTTTCTTAAAAACTAATTAGTGTTTTGATTTTTAACACATACCTTTCAATAGTAAAGGTAATAGCTTTTAGCTATTCCAAAAAGCAAACTTTTTATATTAATGTTCATGGACATTTCAATATTAAATATAAGAATTTTAAAAAGAGAAATGATTAAATTTATATAAATTGTAAATTAAAAGTTAATTAAACTATTTTATTAATAGTATTAATTAAACTATATGCTAATTCAAGTAAAACGAACTCTTTTTTATTTGTGGCTAATTCATTAATATTAAATAGTGAACTTATTTTAAATAAAATATTAAATAATTATTAATAAAAATATACTAAAGTATGTTTGTTTTTTTATAAAATTTTTATTTTTTTGAAATAAATTTTCTTATTAATAAGCTTAGGTAGAACAAAATAATTTTTTAATTTTTTTATGCAATATGAAAATAAAATGACTTAAATATAAATTTTATACAACCCTTATTTTAATTATTGATTTGATTCTGTAATTAATATTATTTTACTAACTATGAACCATAAAGTATAAAATTTTAACTAATTTCAATCATAATCGTATGCAATATATCCACAGACTAGTTTCTTCATTTTTAAAATCTTCTAATCACACATTTTTATTATCTTTTGATTTCCAACTAAACAATTACTTTTAATAAATAAATAATAAATCTATATTTGAAATTAATCTTTAAAATATGTTTATATTAATTTAAATGATAAAAAATAATAAATCTATTTATGAGATATTTTGATATTCAAATAATTTTAAATAAATAAAAATAAAAATGTGGTATTTACCATAAAAGAATAATCAAATATGTCAAATTTTAGAATTTAGAAACGTCTTAAACTAAAGTTTTGAGGCCTTTATCTCCTATTTAATTCTCACTTTTTATAAAAAATAAATAAATAAAATAAATGATATGTTAAAATTTAATATTTATTCAAATCGAAATAGCTACTAAAAAATAAATAAAGTAATAACACATTGAAACTAAATAAAGTTAGTGCTTTACCTTAAATTCAAAATCAAAGTTTATAGATAAACACACTTAGAGAGAGAAGGACCCAAACGTGATAAGCCTACATCTCCAATCTTGTTTTAGCTATTATAAATAAAGCAAATAATCAAAATATTTTTTAAATAAATAAACAAGTAAATAAAAAAAAAATTTTCAATACAAAAAAAAATTTACTCTAATTCTAATATCAAATTTTTCAGATTTATGCAGTTTTATAAAGCAGAGCATATACTTGTAGTACCTCCAATTTGGTTTACCCTAAAAGAAAATTAAGGAAATAATTTTAACTTATTTGATTGAGATTGTTTTAAAAAATTTTAAGAAAAAAAAAAAAAAAATAGTAAGTCTGTTTCAAAGATCTTTTGTTTTATACATAATCATTTTAACCTCAAGATGCCAAATAAGCGATTCAGAGATTCATTTAAATAAAATAAAAAAGAAATACTTTAATGATAATTCTAAATTTTATAATTTAGAGCAATTAGCAAGGCCAGGAACTAAAAATGTTAAACCTGATGCAGCATATTCGTTTCCTCTATTATTTTATAATTTTATCGTGAAAAGAATAAAAATAATTAAAAATCTAATTAAATCTAAAGAATGATTTTTTTAACCATTTTAAAAATTAAATTACTAACATAAAAAGTAAATTTTTGCTATCTAATCTTTGAATTATTTATCTTATTAACTTAGTTTTAACAATAAATATTTTTTTTTTGCATTCAAAATTAATAGTGTGGTAGGTGGGTGGAGAGCCAATTTGTAGGTTTTGGTATTTAGTTAATAATAGAAATATATGGATTTAAGTTATAAGTTTTGATTATAATTATATTTTTTAATAAAAATATATTTGATTATAATTGAAACAATGTTGATTAAATTGCACTAAAGTTAAAATTTAAATTAAAACGAAAGTGTGAAATTAGAAAGCATACTTTATTTATTATTTTTTGAAAAAGTTGTTTTAAATTTTATATTAGCTATTATATGTTGTTTACTTTAGTTTAAAACCTTGAAATATATATCTTTCTACATGCACATTATAAATAAGATATTAAAATTAAACTAATTCCAAATTAAATAAAATTAAATTTTATTTTAAAAAAAGTGGTTGGTCATTAATGAAATTTAACAGTGTAAATCTATCAAATATTGTATAAATTTTTTAATTTAATTTTTGATTTAAAGGTATCAAATATATTCAAATTCATTCCAAACTTTATTAAATAATTATAAAAAGAATTAAAATAATAGCTTTTACCCAAGATTGAGCTTTAGAACATTTAGTTAAGAAGTGCAATTTGCTAAAGCAGTACCTAAATTAGATGCCCCTTTTTATCCTTTCTCGTACCTTTTTAATAATTATTATAATAAAAATTTATCTTTTTGTAAATGTAAAAGCAACATTAAATTTATTATGAAAATCTGGCTTTTAATAAAAACATGAGTTTAAATTAACTCTCCTTTAAATATTTTATTTTAAATTAATCTATTTTTACATAAAATCAATATTTAAAGTCTCTAAATTATTTAAGCTTTCTAGACCTGAAATTAAATTAGCAGCATTAAATGATCCATTTTCAGTAAATCTGTTGATAAAATAAAGATATGAAGATTATTAATTGATGATAAATCAGTAAGGAAGTAAGTAAGTTAGTAAGTAAGTACCAAAAGTTTAATAAAAAATTAGAATTATTTTTTATCTCAACCAAAAAATAAAAATAAGGTAGAAAGCAACAAATAAATTTAATTAAAAAATGTTATTTTTAAAAATATTTTAAATAAATTAATTTTCAAAAGAAAGTTAGAAAACTAAATTATAAGATGCTTTTATTTACCGTATATCAAGTTACAAAGTAGATAAATTTGTGCAAGTTGATAAGTAATCACGTAAATTTTTTACACACGCAGCTCCAACTCTATTTTTGAAAAATAATTTGTAAATATGAATTATAATAAATAATAAAGTAGGTTTAAATAAATAAATTTTACTCGACAAATATAAAATTTAAAGTAATTAATTAAATATAAATAAAAATTAGCAATTTACTTTTCAAGATTCAAATTTAAATTTGAGAGTTTAGTTTTATTTTTTAAGGCATTAATTAAACCAAGTAGAGTGTCATCACTAATTTTATCTTCACTTTTAATAAAATAGATATATAATTGCTTGAGTTTTGATAAAAATAAATTTTAAAATAAAAAGAAGTGAATTAGATTTAAATAATATATTATTATTTCACATATCATCAGATCATTTAATTCAATTTCTTTAAAAATCAAAATAAACTTTTATTTCAAATAATTTTATATTTAATTGTATTCTTCATTAATTTTCTTATTTTAAAATTTAATTGTTAAATGAGTTTTAAGAACTACAAAAACTAACAAGTTATTTATGAAAAATGTTTTTTAATTCTGTTTTAATGAGGGTTCACATTGTATGAATTTTTCAAAGGTAGATAATAAATGAAAAAATTTACCGAAAACTTAGAGTTAAATCAGTTAAATTAATACAGTTTCCTAAAGAAGTACCTATAGCTATTGCTCCCTTAGCTCCAACTTAATTATTGCTATCAATTAATATAATTTAATAATATTATATTGATAATATGAAATTAAACTAAGCTATTATTACCAAAGCGATAATGATAACTTTTAGATTTTAGAGCATTTTTCTAAATTAAGGAACAATCCTGATACGCCTTCATCGCCAATATTATTACTCCTTTATTTTAAATAAAATTTTTCTATTTAATTAATCTTATTTTAACAAAATTTAATTAGTAATAAAGTTTATAATAAAGATAAAATCTTTTAAAAAATTATTTGTAATTTTTATTTTTTTTCCAAGAAGTTTTCTATTAAGTCAATCAAATAGTTTTTTTAATTTTTAAAATATACTAATTACATGATTTCAACTGATAAATTCGAGAGTTAAACTAAATTAACTAAAGCAGACCCTAAACTTTTTGCATCTTAAATTTCAAGATTATTATTACTTATTTATAAAATTTTTAAAGCAATTTGAATAATAAAATTATTAAAATAAACATTAAAGATTTAAATAAAATAAAATTATTCAATTTAATATTTTATTATTTTCGAGGATTATTTGCACTTTTACTCAAGAATATTAAATAAATAATTGAATGAAATAATAAAAATATATTTACCTTAAATGTAATTCTAAAGTTTAGATATTAATGCATTTTGCTAAATCAGACCATAAGTCAGATACACTTTCAGAATCAATTTTTATATAACTTTTTAGGTTTATAAACACAATTTCTTAAAATTTATTAATATATTAAACTTTATAAAAGTAATATGTTTGTCATAATCTTTATATACTTTAAGTTTTTTATATGAAATAATAAATATAATTTACTTTAAATTAAGTGACAAATTATAGAGTTTCTCAAAATTAGATAATACAGAACATAGAGCTTAAAAACCTTAAGCTCCAATTTAAATTGATCTTTTAATAATAAATTTAATAATGTAAATTTTCTAATTTATGAAGGAGATTGAAAATTTTCAATTTTATTTTATTATTTTAATAAGACTATTAAAATGAATTATTACTAAAAAATAACTGATAGGTAATAATAAAAGAGGATAAGGTATTAAAAATTAATTCAAAAAATCTTTAATCTAAATCAAAAAAATATATTTAATTAATTAATTACTCCAAATTTAGTTTGATAATTGAAAGATTAGTACAATTAGCTAATGAAGACATTAATTTAGATATTCCTTGAGATGTAAGAATTTAATTTGAAGGTCTTTAGCTTTTTATAATTTTAAAAAAATTATTTATGTAATAGAAATTAGGAAAAATAATAATTTTTTATAGAAAATTAATTTAAATGGTTAATAAATATGAGATATTATTATATTTTACTTTAATTTAATAATAAAAGACTAAAGTGAAGAAGATGCTTCCAAAGCAGAACTGAAAAGAGATATATTTTCATCATTAATTTAATTAGACCAACTTATAATGTATTTATTAAATTTTAATGTTAAAATTAGGCAAGTATATTATATGTACATTAATTCAATAAAAAATTAAAAACACAATAAAATATTATGATTTTACAATTTTTTAATAAATATTTTTAAGTATTAAAATGATTGATGCAAGTATTTTATATAATACTTCACATTTATTATAATTACTTAAAGAGTAGTTTCAAGTTTGAGATATTTGATTATTTTCTTATAGCAGAACAAACTAAAGAAAATAATTCCTCATTTAAAGGTGAACTTTTTTATTAAAATATTTATAACTAAAATTGAAACTTAAAATGTAAAAAAAAGTAAAAAAACTGATTTAGCTAAATGGTACATTTATCGGATTTCATGCTTTATCTTTTTTTATATTTTTAACTTTTTAATTTCTAAATCTTATATTTCTAAATTCCTATTATTAAATTGTATAAGAAATTTGCTTTTATTACTTTAATTTCATCTCAAGGCTTGAAATATTGGAAGCAGAAAGCTTATTTTCCAAACTTTCAATATTGTCTATGTATCTATACATTTTTTATTTTTATCAAATTTCGAATCTTTTATTTATTTATTAATTATGAAAATTTTATATTGATATCTTGACTGCATACAATATAAATTATTTAATTAGTGTAAGAAGAAGTAAAGTGTATTTTTTTAATATAATAAAAATAAATTCGAGCTTTGCTAATTATTATTTATGAGCATGAGAATTTCAGTTAGCCTTCATTTTTAGTGAGAGTACTTTAATAATTAACATATTATAAGGAAAAAAAATCTAAATTTTAAATCAATAATTATGTTTTTCGATCAATATTTTTCATAATTTTAAGATCAATTGATCATGTAGATCAAATAAAAGATATTATTAAATAAATTTAAAAAGTTTTTTATTATAAAAAAGCGCCAATATGAAGAATTTATCAGATAGAATTTTTACAGCTTAAAATTTTTGAAAGTGAAAACTAAAATGATATTTTTTGCTTCTTAAATTTTAAATATTGAGTTGATAATAAATATTTTGCATATTTAAAGCATCTTATAATGAAAATAAGTAACTAAATAGGCTGAAAATAGAATATTTATAATTTAAAAAAAATAAATGATAAATAATCAAATGTAAATTTGAGATATTAAATATTCATAAGAAACAAACACATAAAATACTTTGTGGTTAAAAAATAAATTGTTAGATAATGATAAAAAATTCATCTATAATGCTAAAATATAGAATGTAAGTATGATATTTAAATATTAATTTATACTAAAATTATTCACATTAATATTGTGAGCAATCAAATTTTAACTATTTATAATATTTAGATATTTGCAAGAATTTCATAGAGAGATAGAGAGATAAATAAATTGATTAGTTTCATTTTTATTTATTCATATGAATGGAAGAAGATTTTTGCAATCAGTCCACCATATTATAATTAAGGCGACATACATGAAAGGGAAGACCTTTTAAATACTCTTAAAGACGCCTATAGTGCAGTAGGGTTCTTTGTAGAAAATCATGTAATGGAAGTAAAAAATAATAGCAAGGTAAGGGTAATTCAACAGCTAGATATCTGGGAATGCTATCAAAAGAGCATGCCATGCTTTTAATAATATAAAATAATTAAATTACTGATTTTTTAAATTATTTATTTCATTTGCTGCTATTTATTTTCGAATTTCTAAATTATCTTTAAAATTTTAAAGCTTCATTATTATTTTAATCCAAAAAAAACAAAATCAATAAATTACCTGCTACAATAATTGTCCACCAAGGCATATAATTGAGACAGTTAATGTAATAGAGGAGGGGAATAGAAGGGATATGATGACTAAGGAATGCAAATCTACAGACATTTGTATAGCTTCCATCAACAGCTGTAATAATAATATCTAAAATATAGTAGTAAAATGCGTAGAATGTGAGAGATTTCACTAAGAAATATCCTTTTGTTTTCTTAAAGTTTGGTTAATCTTGCAATGATTTCTCGTTTTAAAGTGGGTTAAAGAACCTATAAAGAGATATCACCAATAGAGGTACCTTTTTAAATACATTTTTTATAGATTTATTGATTAATTAACATAAAAAAGCATTCGATTGTCATTATAATTTTTAGAAAGCCAGAAAAAAAACTAGAATAAGGAATTACTAATCCTGCTAGTGAATAAGTGTACCAAAACATATCGTTGTAATAACGGAAAGTTTTTGACCAGTCATTTTCGTACTTGTATGGCTCTAGTGCTTTAACTGCTTGCTAAAATAACTCCATTATTCAATAATTATTAAAGTCTATTTAAGCTTAAAAATTTTAGAAAAATTAAAATTTTAATAATATTAAATCAATATAAGATTTTTTAGATTTTTCTGATAAATTTGAGAAAGATATCTTTTGCGATGATATTGAGTAATCTTTTTCACACATAGCTTGATTGATATTAATGTAATTTTTTACTTTTAATTAATAAATTTGAATATTTTATTATATTTGTACAAGCCAATTTAATTAATTTAATTGTGGTATTTAAAATATTTGATTTTGAATGGATTTACCTTTTTAATTTACACTTCCAAATGTTTCTTTTTGAATCGTGATGTATTTTTAATCTTCCAGTCTCGCCTCATAATTTTATTTGTGAAATTAAAATGAATAATTTTTACGCACTTTAATTTACTACTCTAATAAAAATAAATTTGAACTTAAATCCCTTTTTATGTTTTGTATTTTCAAATTAAGTGGAACGTTAGATATTTATTAAGCTAAATTGAATAAATTGCTAAATAATTTATTTTATTTTCATTCTTATTATGTTTCTAAATTTGATCATTTAAAACTTCAATAATAAATTTTTTGAATTGAGTTTTTTAGAGTCATTAAGAAAAAAATTTAATTTTGAATTTAAGAATTATGTCATTTAAAATTAAAAATTTTTAGATGCAACAAAGAATTTTAATAAAATAATTGTTTATATTATTTTTTTATTAAACTCTGATTTCATAATAAATATATAAAATAGTTCTAACTTACACATATTTATAAATAATAAATAAATAAATAGTTTTGTTTTGTTTTTTTTTAAAGACATATTTTTAAAAGCAATTAAAAAAATAGAATAATCATGAAAGTCAATTTCTTCTAAAATAATAAACATAAAAGTAAATTTTTTCCAAAAAAAAAATAATTTGAAATTAATAAAATGAATAAAAAAACATTACTTTCTTTACCTTTGCTATTTTTATTAATAATTAGTTTAGTTGTTAAAAAATATTCTTTTAAAATAAAAAAATAGTTCTAAAATATTTAATTACAAGTTTAATTGAATTATTTTATCATAATCAATAAATTGGTAGTTACCTATAATCATTTTAATAATAAATATAATCATTTTAACATGATTATGATAAAATTAAAATGTTTAACAAATTATTTCTAAAATAGGTCAATTATTGCAATAAGAAATTTGTAACATAAATTAAAAGATCTAATTAGTTTTTTTAGATTTTTAAATTTTTTAAATATTAAATGATAATTTTGAAAAAATAATTGAATTTTTATAGATTTTGTTAAGGTTTTACAGTTAGTTTTAACAATTTTAAATAAAATTAATTTTATATATTAAACTAAACAAGTTTATTTAAAATTAAAATTTTCGTTAAAATAAAAAAAACTGTCATAATCGTCAATTCTTCAAAATTAATTTAAGAATGTTTTTATTAAAAATAAAAAATGAATTTATATTTATGGTCAATTCTTCAAATTAAAAAAAATGATTTAGAAAAATAAATTATTGTTATTATGATATAAAATAATTCAATTATGAAAATTTTGTATTTTAATTTTTTATTAATTATTTTTCCACTTTTTTTATGTGTGATTCATTTATTTAGTAAAATAACATTGATTTTTATCAGTATTAACAAATTTTTCTTTGCACTTACAAATCATAAATAAAAAATTTATTTCAATCTTTCAAATATCACATAAATTAATAATATAGTATATATTATTTTATATAATCTTATATAAAATATATTAAATTATTTATTATAAGTAAAATAATTATTATTTTATATGGTTCTCATGCACAATAAGGATTAATGGAATATATAGGAGGAGGGATAACACAATTTTTTGAGCAGCATTATCCATTTGAGCTACATTGTTCCTTTGGAAGACCACAAGCAGGACGTTCATATTTAGTGCAGTATGAAGTAGCCATTTGTTAATCAGATGATGGTTTGATGCATTTCCCTGAGCAGCATTGACTATTAGAATAGCATGCATATTCACCATCAAAGCATCTATTTTAACTCACAAAATTTAGTTAAGATTCTTATTTAACTGAAAAATTTGTTTATAGAGCATAGAGAGAGGTAAAAGCTATTACAGTAGTAGCTATTAAAATAGAAATCAATTTTAAATTATTCATTTTCAGCTATTTTAAATGATTTTTTTTTCAATTTGGTATTTTAATTTTGATTTTTTTTATCTAGTTTCTAAAACCACCTTTTTAAAATAAAGACTTAGTTAGTAATCAATCCTTTAATTCAAAATAATTGTTTATTAAAATATTTCTTTTATAATTATGTGAGATAGATTTTGAAAATGAATGCAATTTAATAATAATTTAATTAAAATATTATTTAATGAAATTCACTTTTATTACAATTGAAATTCTTATATTATTATTCCTTTTTATGGGAGTAGGATATTTAGTTGGAAATTCAAAATAAATTAAAAAGGAAGGATATTCTGTCTGTACCATATTAAAAAATCAATTAAATATATATAGATGATTTCTTTTATCAAAATATTAATTTGGAAGTGTTTAATCGTTTTTTTTTCCATTATTTATCATCTAAATTTTTGATCTTTCTTCTCCAAACGATTTCATTTAGTGGTTCTTGAACTTCTAAATTTTTAAAAATTACAATCCTTGATAGAATTTTTATTATTATTTTCTAATTTACAACAAATATTTTTAAAAAAATCTACAAATTTTATAAATCTTTTACAAAATAAAAAAATATTTACTTACTTTCTTATGAGCATTTTAAAATTAAGATTAGCTAGCCTACTTTATTTGATTTTTAGAATTAATTTTTTTTCTTTTCAAATCATTAGAATGAAGAATTAAATAAGATATTAAAAGCAGTGATGGATAAATTTTACTTTTTATAAACTTGAGCTTAGATCTAAAATTTTTTGAAGACTAGAGCCAAGCTCTAGTTGTATATATTTTTTTTAAATATTATAAAATTTTATTTGTTATTTTAAAAAATAATGCTATAAACAAATATAAAATTAAACATTATAATTTTTATTATCAAACATTATTATTTATTTTCTTAGACTTCTTAAATTCTTCTATTCATACACTAATAAAATTTTTCAACAATAGAATCGCATTCTTCGCTATAAATAAATAGTCTCTTTGTATGTCGCTAAATATCGTATTTTGTTTAAATTTTTCTTTGCAGAGAATGAATACCATTTTTATTAATTTATCATTTTTCTTTTTAAACTATATTATTTAAAAGATTCGTAAACAAGCTTTTTAGATTTTAGAATTATATCAATTTTAATAATTAATAGCTTTAAATCTAAATTTTTCAAAAATTTTAATAAATTTAAAAGGTAATTGATTTTAATTCAAAGTAGAAAATGAAATAAACCTAAAAAGAAACTTAAAAGCAATCTATTTAAAGGCCCCAATCAGCTTCTAATGCAATACATAGTTTTTCTTAAAAATAGCAAAGTATATTTTTTAACAAGACAAAATTGTCTAGAGCGAATTATTACAGTTTAATTAAATATTAGCTGAAGATGATATCTTAGGCGAAGAAGAATAATAATAAAAATTAAGATATGAGCAAGAATTCAAAATGTATGAAAATTATAGATCTTATTTACTTTAGTACTAATTTTTAAATGTGACTTTGAAAGATAAAATGAAAAAGCAGCAAAATAAATTAGAAGTATTAAAAATTTCTCTAAATTTAGAAAAAATGATAAATAAAAAATGTAATAAAATAGATTGAATTTACAGACAGATTGCAGTAACTCAAAGATATTATTGACAGTAACATACAACTTCAAACAAAGATCTTAAGAGAAAGGGCAATTAATACTCTAGAAGAAGTTTTATCTATTGAAGTATTTTTAACATTTTGAAGAGCATTCAAAAATATCTATTTTTAAGTATAAAAATTACAAAGATATATTTAGCAAGTTAGATGAATTTAGTGAATACGCTTCTAATTTATAAGAATTTCTAAATGGTTCGGTAAAAAAAGTCTATATAGAAAGTGGTCTTTCTATTGACATAGATTAAGTAAATACCTACATAAACGAATCGTCATAGTTAATAGAAAAAGTAATAGAAAAACATAGTGATTTCTTTAGTGAATACCCATAAATAGCATAAGCATTAAATGAAATTATACAAGAATCCATAGTACAAATAAAGGCTATAAAATAAATAAATATCTTCCTTACTGAAATAAAGTCAGAATAAGATATTAAAATTGAAGAAAAAGTATTTAATAATTTTAATATTATTTTATTTTTAAAAATTAAATGAAATCAAAAAGGCTAAAGAAGAATATTTTAGATCAAAAGGATTTGGAGTAGAATAACAATTTGATGATTAAAATAATCAACAAAAGGAAGATTTAGATAATTATTAAGAAGGAGAAGAAAGACATAATTAAGATTATGAAAATTAAGAAGAAGAATAATAATAATGAAATTATTTTAATTAAATTCAATAAATCTAATTAGGAAAATAAAAGTATTTTTTTAACAACTCTAAATCAATTTAAAATAAAAATAATTCTTTTCTTATATTATTAGTGTCTGCCTGTTTTCAATTTATAATAATTTTATAATGTTCAAAATTAATTAAATCTAGAGTATACATAAAACAAAAGCAAATTAATTCAATTTGGTTTTTATACTTATAAAATAATATAATTTTTATTTGATTTTCCTATTTTCAAAGATTACTAGGTCCTAAACCTAATTATTTTTCATAACTTAGTTTACACTTACTTACAAAATAATTAATATTTCTATACTTTTAATTTCATATTTAAATTAAAGATTATATCAAAAATATCTATTAGATGAAATTGATTAAAAATTAATATCGAAAAAAGATTTATTTATTTTTTCGTTTTAATTAAAAAAATAGAAGCTTTTGATTCACATCTCTAATTTAACATCATTGTTATACAAAACATAACCTGAAATGTTTGTTACCTAGCACTATTTTAAAGTATTTTGTAATTTTATAATAACAAAAAGTTCTTATTTATTACTTAGTTAATAAAAATACAAAATTATAAATATTATAAAGTAAAATATATTCATTAAACACCTCAATTTTTGTTAAAATTATTTACAGTCCAATCATAAGATAAGTAATTAATTTAATATTTTATCTTTTTTTGTAATATATTTGATAATGTCTATTTTTTTTATTCAGACAAATATTAGCATAAGAGCTAAAGTATAGCTTGCTCATTTGGAGCAAAGTCTCCTTTGTACCATTTAAAAAGCATGCTTAAATTTATTTTATACGATTTTATTTATCGAATTTCTAAAATTTCTACATTTTACTCTATGAAAGATTTAGTACTTAGCTCAATTTATTCATGCAAATTTTCAGGATCATAAACTCTTATTGGTGGGCATGATTTAGCTCCACAATTCAAACAAAAATGAATTCTAAAATCTGTTTTTTAACAACACAGTTTATTTCTTGCATCGTGCTGTTAAAATCTAGGCTTTGATTTATCGCTAAGCGATTTTCCTTTAATTAATAGCAAATTTTAAGCATTAAAATTTTGATATTTACAATTAAATACCTTGCAAGATAAGACAAAAAGTTTTAAATTTAGAGTTTCCAAAATTGTCATTTGCTCTAAGAATTCCATGTTCAATGTCATTTAAAGTGTAATTTTATCCAGCTATGTTGTATTTGTACTTATTGTAAAAATCAGCTCTTTCTGCAGCTGACATTTAGTAAGCTTGATTAGATTTTGACTATTCAATAATTGAGTGGATATTCAATATATTGTAAAGATTTAAGAAGAAAGAAACTTTAGCCTCTTCATTATTTCTTAGGATTTGTGTTTTAATAAAAGGTAGTTTACATATTAAATTGATAAATTATGTATTAAATATATCAGATTTGCTTATTTTTTGATAGTCCACTAATGAACCATCGTCGCTTAAAGCTTAGGCTTTTAAGTCTTAAATAATTATTCTAATATCATGAATTAGCTTGGTGGGATCTTCCATATATATATCTTGTTCATATCCTTCTTCAAAAAAGAACCCTTCAAAGCAAAAATTTGTTTATTTGGAATATTTTTTTAAAAAATTTACTTACTTTACTAATTGCGTGAATCTTGAGTGATATTCAAGACGAGCGAATTATTAGCATGCATTTCAAACTCTTCTTAAATGAATCTCGCTGATTCAGAATTATTACTAAAAACAGGTTTGGAAGTATCTAAAATATATATTGTTTATTGATATTGAGTTGGATTAAATAAATTTTCATTAATATCTTTAATAATTTCTTTTAGAGGATACTTTGTCTATTATTGAATCCAGCTTACAAGATCTCTGCATTTAAAAGTGGATTGAATTAATTTATTATTTTAATTTTAAGAGTCTTTTATTAGGTATTATCTAGCTCGAGTGAATAATTTTAAGTATTCTTAACTTTTTTGGCTATCCATCTATATAATTTCGCTTACTTAGACGTTTAATCCTTATTATAAACTAAATAATTATTAATAAAAAATAAATAAAGTTGAATATTATCAGAAATTCTGTTAAAAAATATATATTATGGTTTGGATCATTAAATCCAAACATGAAATTTTTTAAATTCTATTTTTCAACTCAATTGGCATTATTTTTAATTGATTTAAATAATGAAATGATTTCATTTCAATTTTTTTGTTGCTTTAATTTTTTCTAATCTAGATGTAAATTATATATATACTTATATAATAGAGTTTATTGTATAATATTTTCTCAAAAATATAAAATAATCGAGATATTATGTTGATAGTTTGTTTAAATAATTGAACTAGTGATATTAAGTATTCAAAAGCAAATAATTAGAAGATTTTTGATAAGGATTTGGGTATTATTAAACCATATATAGCCATCTGATTATGTAAATGCTTGTGTTTTATTTATAATTGATTATTAGCTTTAACTTATTAAAACAAATCACAAAAACAAAAACAAAAAAATTGAAATTACTTGATAATAGAATTATTTTGTAGAAGAAATTTTGAAAGCTATGATGCTTAAAAAAAAGGCTCACCAAAGCTTTAATTAGTTTTATTGCTATGAGCAAAAATTTAGGTAGGAAAATGCTCATATGCAAGAAGGAAAGAGACCAATTTCAAAGAGGTGGTCTGTTTTAAACAACATCAATAATATAATTTCTATAGATGACAATATAATAGCAACGAGTAATACAGTTTCGTATGAAGTTAGATTTTGGGATATCAACACAAAGAATTTGGTTTATGTATTGCACTAATGCCATGGATGGGTTAGAAGAATCCTGTATTCAAATAAATCTAAGAGGTTATTCATACTTCTTTCACCAAATACCATGCTAATATACAAAAAAGATCATTCATCTATTGAATTCAGTTTGTAATAATAGGTCCTACTTAACAGTAGATGTGAGATACTTTACTCTAAAAACTTAGTATATTATGCAGGAGAGAATTCAGAAATTGGTGTGATTAACTTAAATAATAAAAAAAGATTAAATTAAAATTTTCTTAACAAACCAATTCTTTCTCTTGAAAAATGGAATAACTATATAATAGCTGGATCAGAACTAGATATTACTTTCTGCAGTAAAATTAATTTATAATAAGAAAAGATTATTGAGAAAGCGCATTCAAGTTCTATTCATATACTCAAAATAATGAAGTAAACGATGTACAATACAGACGTTTTATTTTCAGGATCTTATGATAGAACTTGCAAACTATGGAATCCTTTTACTCTTGAGTTGATAAAAGTCTTAGATTTTTCAGCTGACCTCATTCAAGTTATTAATACTAATTAACTACTAGTTCATCCATTTTAGTTCTCAAAGGCTTATCATAGTATTCTACTATTTGATGTGAATAATGCTTATAATACCCATCTATTACCTTTTTCAGAAGTCAAATACATATCCTCCTTCTACTACATTTAAAATTAAATGATGTTCATTATAGGATTCAAAAATAATACTTTTGAAGTCTTTCAAGCACTAAACAAAAAATAAAACAACAAAAAGAGGGCACAAAACCTTTAAAAAATATTAGCTTGTTAATTGTGATATACTATAAAAATTTTTAAATGTGATCGATACTGATTCCAATACTCAGTGTAACAAAGGAAATTACTTTATATTAAAACTAACTATTTATTTAATTAATTAATTAACACAAAATAAAACTATTTTAATTAAAATTTTTATAAAATATACCAAAAGAATCAATTATTTTTGTATTATTAGTTATAAAACCATATTTATTCGCTGTTTTTATATGTGATCAAAGATATTATTTCAAAGTGAGTACCTTTTCATAAATAACATTAATAATTCCAAAATAAATAATAAATTAATTAAATAATTATCGGATAACTTGGCTATCTTCTGATAATTTCAGAGCGAAATTGCTTTTACTTTTCTTTATTATTTCTTCAATTAAGCAATTCACTTTTAAAAATGAATTAAATTTACAAAAATATCATCTAAAAAAACAAATATAAACAATAAATCTGAAATTTTAAATTATTTTAAATTAAAAAGGTAAAGAAAAATTATAAGTTAATTAATTTCTATTCAGTATTCAAATATAAATTTTAATTCATTTTATTTCTAAAAGTTAATAATTAGAATTTTTTTAATAAGATTAATTATTACTTTTAGTTGAAAAAAATTGTTTTCATTAATCAAACAAAAGTATTAAAAAATTAATATTTTTAAATAAATTATAGAATAATCGTTTTGTTGACAATTAAAATTTATATTTTAAATTAGTTGGTATTTTAATATAGAATTTTTGAAACTAAACTAAAGCAAGCTATTGAAATTTAATTTTGATTAATTTCAAAATAAAATTGAAAATAATATTATAAAAAAAACTTTAAATAGTGTTACAAATTTGAATGAATTAGAATAGAATTGATAAGACAGATATACATTTTTATGATAATTTCTTTGAGAAAATAAGTAATACAATAAATAATTATATATATTCGATTTTTCCAATATATTTCGAATATCAAACATTAATTCTTTTATAAATAGAATTTTAAAAAGTAATTTATAAATAAAAATGATATATTTAAGTTTTTTTAAGATTTAAATAAATATAAAAACTAATCAAATACATTTAAAATTATATTTTTAATTTGTTTATCTTATCTTGGAAAAAGCTTACAATAACAACATAAGTGTAGGTAGGCAATATTAAAAGAAGCTCTGTAAAAAAATGAATTTAATTAAGATCACATACATCTATTTTATCTTATCAAATAGATTCGAACATTTTTTGGAAATTTAGAATATTTTTTAGCTGATAATTTGTATTAAATGATTACTTGTTAAAATATTCTTAAAATAGACAATGTAGATTTTTCTAGAAACGATGGAAATTCAAAAGAATAATCATCTCACTTACTCGAGAAACTGTTTAATACCCATAAACATGAAGCATTATCAAAAATGCTTTGCCAAAATAATAAGATGTAATAACCGTTTCTTGTATGATTGTGAAGTATTGAGTTTAAGAAATTTTTCATCTAAAAATAAACTATTAATTAGTTACTGTTAGGAGGACAAATAACTTTGAATTTTTGTTTTTTTTGGTGGGCAGCGCTAATTGCAGCATATATTAACACATAAGAAGTCAGTAGTTTAAGAAATTTCTTTTAGAAATTGGTTGCTTTGGTATATGCTTAAGAAGATTATGTGAGTAAAAGTGATGGAATATTGTAAAATTAGTATTAATGTAATTACTTAAGAGATAATAAAGAAGCAAAAAGTAAAAGATATCTAAACATGCTTCAAACTTGGTTTTTGATTTGTAAAAAAGAGTTGAATATATAAATGGAAATTGCTTAGCACTTTTCACATTTGAAAATAGAATCGAAAGAAATTAGAAAAAAATTAATATGATTAAGTTTTTTACGAGTTTAGTTAGGTCACTTGGTGGAGTATTGATTAATTAATTGATATGAATGAATGCATACAATAATTTGGTAGCATTTAAAATGATTGACTATTTAATAAATCACACTAAAAACAAGCGAATTTGATAAAAAATTTTACTGCTTGCTATCATTGTGTAATAGAATCTTCCTGAATTATTTGTTATAAATACTCCGAAAATTCCTTTTGATTTTAATATAAATAATAATTCACAAAAAAAAGTAACAAAAGCAAACAACCAAAAAATCAAAATAACTCTAAAAAAAATGCCTAGAAGATGTAATTTATTTTACTTAATTCATAAAAAATTTGAAGTCTAAAAATATTTTTTAAACTACAGCAAGCTCCGGTGGTTTCGGTGGAAGAACTTCCTCTCCTCCTCCCAGAAACACTGCTACTGCTTAAAGACCCGCTCCCGTCTAACAAGCTCCTCCTCAATAATAAACTCAATCTTCCGGTGGTATGTTCTCTGGTCTTGGTGGTATGGTCATGCAAGGTATGGCTTTCGGTGCTGGTTCTGAAGTTGCTCACCAAGCTATCAGATCCATTACTGGTTCTGGTAAGTTATTAAATATATGATTTTTCTCATTTTGTTCTAAATGCATCACTAAATTTCGTTGATTATTAAAAAACTAATTAAAGTGCAAGAAAAATGTTGTGGCTCAAGCAGAAAGAGCAATTTAGTAGATGCTTTTAAAACAAATAAAATATATATAAAATAAATAGTTTCTAACTAATTTTATTATGTTAAATAGGTTCTCACAGCCAACCCTAATAACAATAATAATAAGCTCCTGAATAATACCAACAAAGACAACAAATTTGCGGTGATGAAATGGGCAATTTCTCAACTGTAATACTCTTTGATTTATTTATTATTAAATCCAATTATTTATTTTATTTCTAATATTTAAATACTAAACTCTTTTTTAATTAAACAGTGCTTGAAGAGCTAATCTGAAATAGCCATGTGCCAACCTTACTTGGACGTCCTTAAGGAGTGTCAAAGAAGAAATAATCTCCCTCAATGAGATAAATAATTATTAGCACCTTCCATGCTAAACTCTGAATGAATAGCAAAATCAACTAGCCAGGACTTGAAGCTTAAACAAGTTACATAATATTTATAAGAACCATTTAAATTAAAAAGCATAGCAAATTGAGTTCATATTCACTTCAGAGTCACAAGCATGTAATAGCTTGCTTACTTACTTACTAAATAATAACAAACAACTTTCATTCGGTGCAGGTTTGTGATTGAAAAGCTTGAAAATATATCAACGAACAAACGAACGATTGAGCAAAAGAATGATTGTTGAGGGGAAATTAAATATGAATATATGTTAAATAAATAACCATCCATCCATATATATTATCCCCGTTTTATGAATATTAATAATAACGTATTATAAATATATACTAATAATTCAATACCTTCTATTATATATATATATTTTCCTTTCTTTAGTTTTAATATTTCTTCATTCTTTCACACACTTTCTCATCCTCTTCAATCAATAAATCAATAAATCAATAAATAAATAATTCTTATTTCGTCACTGCATTTCAATTGTTAGAAAATATTATGCATCATAAAATAAGCAAGCAGTATAAACTTAATTCTATTTAAAATATATTTTGTTATTATAAATAAAGTAGTTTATTTAAGTTCTTAAGATATTTATCCATTTTTAAGATTTTTTGATTATTATTAGATTTAAATTATACTTAGTTATATATTCGAGTCATTCATTTTTTTACTTATTTAATTTTAAGAAAATTTAAGAATGTATTTCTTAAAAATATTATTCTTAATTATTTATTTTGGTTATTTAATAGTTTTTAAATTTAGCAAATAAAAAATATATTAAATTCTTGTCATGAAGGAAAGCGAAAGTTATGAAGATATCAGCTCTTCAGATGATGATGATAATGAAGAAACTAAAAATAGCAATTAAGGAAATAATAAATAAGTATCGAAATGCGACATATTATTAGGTAGAACATTATAAGTCGTAACAATTGTCCTTTTGCTACTCTCAAATTACATAGTATATTCGCTATTCTTGCGTAGATGGTTTAAAGAAGATAGGAAATTTTATTTAATGATAAGGGGTATTGAGCTAGATAATACTGGTACATGTCTCTTCATCCTCTATCAAACTTTTTTTTTCCTTGCAATAATTAGCTATTTTAAAGCATCTTTGAGCGATCCAGGTTTTTTAAAGTAAATAAATATTATTCAATTAAAGATAATTTATGTAGGACAAAATGCAAAAAACTAACTTTATTAATATGCAAAGTTTAAATGAAAAGAAAGATTAATTGTGGCATCATTAAAGACATATCACTAATTTCATTTAAAGTGTTTTTAATTTAATTTGAATTCATTAAATAAAAGGAATTTAAAGCCACCTAGTGAATTATTAGAAGAAAATTAAATTATTTATTGTTAGAAATGCCCAGATAAAAAATGGAAGCCATAAAGAGCTCATCATTGCAAAACATGTTAAAAATGTGTTTTTCGTATGGATCATCACTGCACATGGATCAATAATTGCGTTGGATTAAAAAACTAAAAGTATTTCATACTATTCTTAGTTCACTGTGAGATCTACTGCATACTACTTATTATATATTTAGTTTTTAGTGCAGTTCTGTTATATTAAAATACACCAAAGTTATTTATGCTCTTTATAGGAATGACATGGAAGCACTTAGTGGTAATTCAATTTTTTATAAACATTATTTATTGATTCAAATATAAAATAATTCTACTAATTTTTTTAAACTTGTATTAAGGCTTTGCTAAATAAATATGTTAAAACTTATTTAATTTAAATAATTCTAAATCTTCTATCTAAATGAAATAAATATTTTTAATGGAGTAGAGTGAAATAAATATATTAACTTTTAACAAAAATAAATACCTTACCTTGATAAGAATTAATAATAAGTTTTAGAGAAGATAAAAAATAAATCAATTAGATAAGAAGCAATTAATTTTTGCAATAATTTTTATTTAAAAGCCATATTCATTTTTAAAAATAAATTAGAGTTTTTTGTAAACCATTTAATTTTAAAAAAGTAAAATATTTAAAAGAAATTTATAAACATAAATTATTTGACTAAATATTTTTTATTTCTAAATATGGTAGTAAAATAATAATTTTCTGCAACATTATTTATTGATTTTTTGAATGCAAATTAAAATAAATATTAAGTGTTATAATAATTTTGATAAATTTATCAATTTGAATAAATTAAAAAAATATTTCTAATTGAAATTTATTAAAACTATAGGCTATCTTGTTTATTGTCTTGAGTGCCTTATTTATATTTTTAATAAATGAATTCTTATCTGATTAATATGACTGCTTAAAAACAAACTAAACAACCGTTGAATCTTATAAAGAAAAATTTGGAAGACCTTATTCGTTTTTCAATTAGTTGTAATTAGTTTTTGGTTAGGATCAATTTTATTGGCTGATACCTACAAAACCAAAGTATAACTGCAATTATTTAGAACTACTTTATAATGGAGAAGAGCTTGCTGAAATGTTATAATCAAATGCTGATTTTATTGAAGATCACTTTTATAATTAACAAAGTGAAATATATGAAGCCTGTAGAAAATACAAAGTTAGTTGAGTTAGTTAGTAGTTAAGTAAGTTAGCTTTATTTGTGAAAAACTAATCATTAAAAGTTGCTGGTTTTATTAAAAAATTTATTTTAAAAATTTAAATCTATATCACACTACTGTAAATAGTTTAAGATATCTTTTATTTTAATGATCTTGAATTTTTTTAAGTATTTTTAGAAATAAATATTTTAAAATGAAATGATCTAAATTGAAAAAAAACTATTTTTGAATTAATCTAAATAAAAAAATTTATGAATGTCATATTTGTTTTAAAATAAATATAATTGGAAATACATTTATTTAATTTACTAACAAAAATAAAAATGAACTAATTAATCCAATTGAAAACATTTATGAATATTTATCTTAATAGTTTTAAATAAAAATTATAGTAATAATATTTATTTAATCTACTTACTTACTTATATAGATAGATAGATAAAAATTAAAAACAAAATGAAAGAAATTGTAAATAAATAAACAAACAAATAAATGAATAAATCAATAATTTAAATTCAAAATACAAAAAAACATTAAAAACTAAGAATATTTTTGATTATACTTAAACTTCTATAAACCTGACTGATTTGAGTATTTATTTTAGAGGTAAAATATTCTTTTATTTATAAATTAATATAAATATATCTTTTTCAAGACAAATTTAATTTTTTTTGTAAGTTTTTTACCATAAATAAATTTGTTTGTTGCAGAATATAAAGATAGAGAAATCTAATAAAAAGTAAATATCTTAAAACAAGTTTTTTTATTTTATAAATTAAATGAAAATAAAGATAACAAATGTATAAATAGATAGATAGGTATAGAGAGTATAAACAGAAAATTGAGTTAAAAATATTTAAAATTAATCAAAATATTTGGCAAAAATTACTATTTGATTCTAACATATAAGAGAAATCGTAGTTTTGTGGAATTCTAACTAACCCTGAAAATTTATTTTCTTTTCTAACATTTGCAAGTGATTTAATTCTATTTTCAACTAAAATATCAACTTTATTGTTGTATGTCTTTTAAAAAATAAAAATTATTAATAAATAAAATAAATATAATTAAGAATCTACTTCATTATCTTTAATTGTCCCTTAACATTTATCTCTTACAAAAATCCCTACACCAGAATCATTTTCATATACTTTATTATTTAAGAAATTCACTCTGCTATCTTTAACCATCATAATTCCTAGAATTTTGGTTTTATTAAATTAAATTATTTATCATTTATTTATTTATAAGATTTAATTAATATCATTTTTAAATTCTCTTTATTAAATTTAAAACTTTTCAATAAAAAATTTTCATTATTTTTTTTCAAAGTTTCTATAAATTACTAAAATAAAAAATATTCTAATAAAATTAGTTTTGCTTGATATTAGAAATTAAATATGCACACATTAGAACAGTTTTTAAACACAAGTAGTTTTTATATTTATTTTAACTTAGGTTTGCAAACAAATTAGATTGGTAAATGATTATTTTATTAAAAGAATAATTTAGGAAAAAATAATAAATAATTTTTAATTAATTTTACCATGACTTTTATTTCTGTATATTTCATTGCTTTAAATTAGAGGTATAGATGTTACAGAGATGATGCCATCATTATTTTCATAAATGTGGTTTCTTAATATCCAAGCATTTTCACCATCTATTATAAATATACCTTCACATCTTCCTCCGAATATTTTATTTTCAACAATTAACGTATTCACTGAATTACCGCCTCCTAAAGCAATATTTGCTTTCATATTTTCATAAATTTCATTTTTCTCTACTACTGCACTTGCAGTTTCAACAACTAAAACACCCTAACATTTAATAAATAAATAAATTTTCTGAATTAAAATATTTAATTTTAATTTATATTTAATCATACTTATCCCATATTTCTAGATATCTTATTTTTAAAAATATATATTTCTGAGTTATCTTCTGCTCTTATACCACTCTTTTTATTGTAGCTAATGCATGGATTAGACTCTATTTTTGTGTGATTTTTAATACCACTGCATACAATTCCAAAGTCTCTGTTGCCTGAAATACTAATATTACTTTTTATCCTTCCATCGCATCTATTTATATTTCATTTAAGTTAATTATGTTCATTTAATAAGAATTTTTGTTTTATATTTTAAACTTCTAAATTAGAAATTTTTATTAAAAAATTATTTTAAATTTAAGATTCATATTAACTGCTAAACAATTTCTTACAAACACTATTTTATTTTTAAAAATTATTTATTTCTATATTAATTTATTTGTAATTTTAATACTTGTTTTCTTACTTTTTTAAATAAATCTACTCCTTATAAATGCTAACTAATTAAAATCAATTTATTTGCTTGAATGATACTTTAATTAATCTATTCTTTTAGGAGTTAATTTGCACTAATTATATTTCTTATAGTATTTTTTATATATTCTTGATTAAATTATCCATTTATTTATTATTTTACCTGTAGTCTGAATAAGCAACTGTAACAATACCAGAAGAAATATTTTTATCTATTTTATTTTCATAAATGTATGGATCACCGCTAATGACTTCAATTCCAGGTCTATTTAGCCTAATTTCATTTCTGATGATGCATGATTTATTTGATATACCTATTCTAATTCCTGGACCACCAATTTTTTCGATTTTATTGCCTTCCAATAAGACTTGAGAGTCTATCCCTTAACACAGCACACCAATTATTTCATTTTAAACAATTTTAGTGTTTACTATTTTAACGTGATTAGTTGGTTTTGATTTTATATAAATACCTCCACTTTTGTGGTTATGGATTTTACTATCTTTAATCAAGGCATCTCCATTTTGGATTAATACACCTAATATAATTTAATTAGAACTATTCAAAATTAATTAGTAATACTTACCTATTGTGTCTTAGTTTTTATGCCCTTTAACTTCAGTTCTATTTAATATCAGTTCTCCATTTTCTGAAACTAAAATAGCAGGTAGAATCTGCTTAAACGTATATGCAATAAAACTTTTAAGATTAAATATTTTTATGTTTTATTTAAATTACATAAAATACAAATTATAATTACTTTAAAGAGAGAAGTGAGTCTTCAATGAACATTTTGCCTGAATACACAGTCACAATACTATGAACATACTAATTTATATTGTATACATCACAAAGTTCTTTTTCTGGAGGTGAAACATAGGTAATTATATCTTAATTTATATCTCTTTCTATAATTTCTTAGTTGTTTACATTCAAATTCTTAGTAAAATGACTCTTTTTATATCCTTCATCCTTTTCACTTAAACATGGAAGTTAATAATAAAATATATGTAACATTATAGCAATAAAAATGAACATCAAAATAAATTAATGCAAAAAAGCTATTAGTATTTATGCTAAACAATATAAATTAAAGCTATTTACTCTTCTACTTATCCTGTGTGGGCTATTTTTAAGCCAACTAAATGACATTTCTCACTTTTTTACACATTTAATAATATAACTGGACCTTTATTCCCTAAAATGACTACATCTCCGCTTTTATCTTTTGCTTCCAATCTCAACTAAGGTTTTCTAAATATATATTTGATAAAAAAATTTTCTTAAAAGAGTATTTTTAGTTATTTATTTTGCATTCTTTTTTTAAATTCTAAGGTAAATTTAAAAGCATAATCTGCTCATATGCTGTAAATTCATAATTTATTTACGTTATTTTTAAGCATTCTTAATAAAGACCTGGCGCAATCTTAATAACACAACCAGGAAGAGATTCATCAATAGCCTATTAAATTGTTTTAATTGGACCCTTTTCAGAATCTTTTCATTTATTAAAGGATTATAATTTGAATATAGCTGCCATTGTTTGTTTTTAAAAAATATTATCATTCATTCTATTAAGATAGAAAGAAGGATTTAAACTTAAACTTTATTTGATTGTTTACCAACAATAATTTGTTGCTTAAATGCAGCTAGAATCTTAACTTCATTCGAACCTTTTGTTTTATTAATAGAGCTTGATTTCAATTATCCATTTCCACTTGAGTTCATTTTCTACCTTTGAATATTATTGTTTATTTCCTTTGTTAATATTATAGCACTAATAAAAAAATGCGCTATTGATAGAATAATTGATAATTTGTTAAAAAATTAATTAAATTGTATAAATTAATTAATTAAAACTGTATTTTAATAACAAGCAATTTTATTATTAGAAGATAACCCCAAATTAATTGATAAATACACTAAACTTTAAAAAATGTTAAATAAATATAGAACGACTAAAAATTAATTTCATCAGTATTTTATTAATCAATTTCATTATTCAATTTGTTCTACCTTAATTTATAATAATTTCATTTATAATATATTTTATTGTTCATAAATTTGATGAAGAAAATTAATAAATGTATATTTATTTCTTCTAACATTTTTATCAATTTATTTGTTTCATATAAAACCAATAAATAAGTTTATAAAAAATATAATTTTATCAAACTCTAATTAAAAAAATCTATTTTTTTCTCAGTAAAAAAAACCTATTATTAAAAACCTCAAAAAATAACAAAAAAAAACTTTTTACGTACTTTGTGTAGATGTTTATTTGTCAAATTTTTGATAATATAAAATAAAACATTTAAATAAAAGATAAAATTTTGTCAAAAAAGAATATATATTTTAAATAACTTGATGAAGATTAGCTACATTAATTCATTATGCAAATTGTATTGTTTATTATCTTAATATCAGCAATTTGACTCCAAAAATCTTATAAATAAAATATTATTTCATAAATAAAAATATTTTTTGTTTGTTTAGAATATAATTTGATGAATTAATAATATTGAAAAATTTAAATAAAAAAATAGAAATTAATAGATTAAAAATATTTTTTTTGGTTAAATTTTCATTTATTTCTTGATATTAAATTATTATACTTAGATATCTAATCATCTTAATTTTATTGGATAACTTTTTCCTCCTATTTTTGGATTTTCATTAAAATACATTGAGAAATTAAAACAAATTATTTCAGATTCATGCTCAAAAAATTATTAATCACTTTGACATGGGAGAATAAAAAGAAAATCTTGTATTTTGGTTTAATTTCATTTGTTAGCTTCATATTAAGCTATTAGCACTTTGTTACTTTGTTGGGAAAATTAAAAAATAAATCAGAAATTTTAGACGTAAATATTATTTATGAGGAAAATTTAGTCTCTAGATTTTGTGTTAATGAGTCGATTTAAATTTATAATCTTTTATAGAATCAAATATTTAATAGCCACTACAATTAATTTTATTTACGAAACCAATTTAAGTATTGTAAAATTTAATCATCAAATTAACTTTTTGTAAGTGCTTCATTTAGCTTTTTTTTTATTTTTGCCATTATTATTTTTCAAAAGTATAGTATTTTTTTAAGCATTATTTCTAATCTTAATAAACAATTTGATATATTTTATATTACACTCTAATCTAAAATTATGTAGGTAGATGTTTACTTGATTTTAAGAAAGAATTTTATATTAAAACTTTAATTTTATCTCATTTTTTGATCAGGTCAGGGTAGTTACTCCAAACTTTAACTAATCTCTTAACAAATAGAAAGTATGCAAAATTTACTATAATATAAGCTGAAAATATTAACTAGCATGATTTTAACAACTGAACCTTATGTTCATTCATCCTAACACTGTCAAAAAAATTTAGACTAGGTTACTAATTTAAACTTTTAAGTTATTTTGTTTATTAAAATATATTCCACAAATAAATTTGATCTTAAATGAGAAGCAAATAATTCGTGTTATTGAGTTAGATATTTAATTATTTTGGGTTTTAAATAATCAAACCTGAATAGATTCTCTAGATTTCTTCAATTATTAACAATAATGTTAATAGAAAATAAAGAGGATTTGATTGATAGTCAAAAGATTTAATTAATTAATAATTAAATATAAATAATTGCTGTTTAATAACAAAAATTGATTTTCAAATGCTTAAAATAACAATATTAGGATTTTTGTTGTTAGCAGGTGCTATCTGCTATAGCTATTAAGGATATAATGAGACAGATCCTTATAGATGGGGTTTATACAAACCTTAATTAATCCATGCTATTAGTTAAAGCACAAATAACCCACTTGTTGTTAGTCAGGCATACTTCCGCAATCACGAGGCTAGCTTGACCCTAAGATATTAATTCCCTAAAAGACGTAGTGACAAGATCATTTACAACTACAGAGTTAATACTGGTGTAGGGAATTATGCTTCATAAGAGGTTTATGATCCTTTGCTTGGCGACTTATAGATGCTACAAAATTATATCAGATTAAATCCTACTGATTGGATTGATACAACAAGAAATATCACATCTAAATCTAAATCATTAAAAAATAAGCACTTAGAAGTTGGTTTTATTTACGCTATTGCTTTTGAGAATTTTGAACAACCTTAAAATGGAACAAACAACTCAACTGCCACTAGATCGTTGCTAATCAAAAATATTACTTAGAACGAAATAGTTATTGTTTCTAGCTGTTTGTAGCATAAAATAACAATTATTGGCAAAAATTTAGCTGAAAAAATCTCATTTAGAGGTATTGCTTCAGATGAGAAAGACAATTGGGATGTTGAAAGTTTACTTAAAAAAATTAAATACAATTTTAACAATTCAGTTGAAAACAATTCCACCATAATTTTTGTTAAGACAGCCACTAAGCTTAATGTCGGAGCTGAAATATAAGTTTACTATACACCTAATGTTAATGCACATTATATTTATATAGATGATCAATAGATAACCAACGCATTAGATCCATATGTTTAAAAGAATTTCAATGCAGCATTTAATGTTGAAAATTAAACTTCTACAAACCTAGTTAAGTAGCTTTAAAGTTAGAATTAATTTTAGTTGATTAGATATCTTATCTAAGTAAATTAAAAAAGATCTTACTCTCAATTAGCATAACAAAGAACTATAAGTAAAAGTGAGATGACTTGTGCTACTCAAAGCTTTTACAACTTAATGGGAGGTATACAATACACTTATGGAAATCTTTTATGTGCTTAGGATGAGGAAATTTGTTAGGAATATTTACCTTTATTTAGTACAACTCCTTCACGTTTAGGCTTCCCTCGTCCATTCCTGTGGGATGATGGATTCCATTAGATGCTCTCTTGTCAATGGGACCTAGATTTTTGCAAATAAGATATTGAAAAGTGGTTTAATACTATTTCATCTTCAGGCTGGATTCCTAGAGAGTAACCTAGAGGACCAGAAGACCGCTCCTACATCCCAGGATTGTATGAAGATAATAAAGATGGAAACCCTCCTTCTTTCTTGTTTAATTTGCTTTACATATAGAAGTAGGAAGGTTAAGAAGAATACATTCAAAAACTCATTCCTAAAATTGAATTATGGTTTGGCTGGTGGATGAATATTCAAAGTGTGCAACAAGACACAAATTCTACTTCTTCGGATTTATTACTTTTTAAGTGGTGGGGTCCAAAGGAAACCTACAACTTGGGATCTGGTATGGATGACTGGCCAAGAGTTGAAAATTTCGATGAAAAATTATATGTTTCTAAATATAATATTGATGCCAGCGCATGGGCTTACTTTTTTAGTTAATCACTTGCCATCTTAACTAACAATTCCACTTACACTGAAACAGCAGAAAAGATTAAAAATTCTATCAATGAAGTCCTTTTAAACAAAGAAGACTCAATTTATTATGATATGCTTTACAATACTACAGTAAACAAGCATGGATAAAATTTCACTTAATACCATTTATCTACTCATTTAGGATATCCTAACTTCCTTCCATTGATGCTAGGTTTAGTCAATGATACTAAAATTTTAGAAAAACAAATCTTGGCCATGATGAACTAAGATACTTTGTGGACTCCTTATGGCATCAGAAGTTTAAGTGAAAAAGATGAATACTTTGGAAAATCATCCAATTATTGGAGAGGACCTATTTGGATTAACATGTAGTACATGATTTTAAGAAGCATGAAGCTTTACTACTGGGATAGCTCTGATATCGTATAAGAGTTTTACGAAACATTAAGATAAAATGTTATATAAACAGTATGTGGAGAATTTGAAACAAGAGGATACTTCTTTGAGCACTTTAACTAAAAGCTTGATGGTAAAGGAGCTGGAAATCATCCATTCAATGGATGGACTAGTTTGATTACTCTAATTATTACTGAGTCATACATATGAATATAAAATAATTTTAATATTTTTTATAGGATTAAAAGTAAAATTTATATATTAATGAAAATTTATTTTTAATAAATAAATAATTTTAAAAGAAAATTAATAAATAAAATTATATCTTAAATAAATTCTTTATTCTAGTGAAAGGGAGGAACTAAATTTATGTAATTGAATTTAATATTATATATTTATAAATTATTGATTGATTTTATGGTATTAATTAAAAGAATAAATTTATTTTTTGAGAAATAAAAAACATTTATAAAAAAATTCACAATTTAAATTCAATATTTATTTAACTAAAAATGACATTTAAAATGTTAAAGATTTTAGAAACAAAAATCCAAAAAAACACTTTTTAATATGGAAAAACTGAGATTGATTGATTATATGCAAAATAATATAATTCTAAATAAGTAATTTTTAAGACATTTTTCTCAACTATATTTTAGTGTTTTATTAAGAATTTGGTTTAAATGAAAAGAAAATTTTAATAATTTAATGTTAATAAAAAAAATATTTCGATGCTCATAATTAAATTATAAATATGATATTTATGATTAATTTTTTACTCATGTACTTTTTCAAAGCTGAAAAGATAACAATATCTATGCTTATCACTTTGAATGATTTAATTATTATTTATTTATTATGCATGCTTTCATTTTAGGTGTTATTAAAAAAAATAAATTTCTTGAAAAATAAAAATTTAAATAAAAAATGGAAAATATAAATTATATATTTATGTTTTATCGAAAAGATAATTAAAAATAAAAGATTTTGGAAAGAAAAATCCAAAAAAAATACTTAGAAATAAGTAAACCTATAAAAATATTATAAAAAATAAAATATAAAATGAGTATTTATTTAGACATATGTTCGTGTTTATAAAGCTAATATTCTTGCTAAAAGATTACAAAAAATTTGAAAACCACTCAAAATGAATAATATCTTTTAATTAATTATCAAATTTTTGATTAAATTTTTGATAATATATTAGGATAACTATTCAATACACTGTTTATATTTATTTAAATGTCAAGATATTTTAACTTGATTACTATTTAATTTTATTAAATAATAACCATAGAATTAAATACTAGTTATTTTTAAATACTAATTTTACTTCAATTTTTTCTTTTTGTAAAATGTAATCTATTATTTTTTAATTAATTTAGCCCATTAAGCAAATTTAGATACTCAAAATTAATTTTCTGATACCTTTTCTTGCTTATAAAAAAACAAGAAAATTGACTGACCACATAACATACTCACTTACTTAAGTTAATTTTTGATTAATCTAATCCCCTACTAATAAAAATTCTAGCTTTGTTTGATATCTTTTTTTTGAGATTATATTGATTGATTAATGTATTAGTTGCTTTAATTAATTTGATTCGAAATATATTTATGATATAGTCATATTTAATCAAAGTCTTAATAATTTAATAATTAATAACATTTGAAGATTATTGATTCATTCATAGAGTCAATCTATCTATTTATCAATCAATTAAAATAAATAAATAGATTAGACATTTAGAGATAAAAACTAACTTTCTTTTCACTAAATAACAAGATAAGCAAATAGAAGGATAAAGAAAAATCAATAACTATTTCATATTAAAAGTTTAAGCTAGGTTAATGTTTGGCATATTTAAGAAAGAAGGATGCAATTTATAGCTCTTTACGCTTAAGATAGGTTCTCAGGGATTTCTTGTAAAATATTACTCTAATGAATAGAATCAAAATATCATTTTAAGAAGATATATGCAATGAATAAAATAAATAATAATGTAAAATATAGATTGAAGCAAAGAAAACAATTACTAATATTGAATCAAAGATACTTATCGGCTTCGATGGAAAAATACAAGAGTTTAGTAAATCAATATTAATAGATAATTTAGCATTTTAAAGTGGAGTTTATATGTGCTAAATACATTTTAATTAAAATAGATTGGGATGAGAAAATAAACTTTTAGAAGAATAGTTAGGTTTTAATGTCTGCATTTTTAGGGATAATTAATATACTCAATTAAAATTTTCTAGTGTTTGTAGAAGAAGTTGATCAAATATGTGTCATAGATGAATATTAGATTTTTGAGTGCAAGAAAGTGGAGTTAATCCATATGAGTGTAAAAATAATTAATTTTCTTATTAACTTGAGAAATAATATTTCATATGTTGATTGATGATAAATGCAAAATAAAAAAACATGTTATCAAAAACTAGCAAAAATGAAAGCTAAAAAAGAAATATTTTAATTAAAAAGTTTTAAATTTGTATTTTAAATATGCAGAATTTAAGATAAAATTAAAATTTAAAGAAATCTAATTTTAATCTTAACATAAATAGTATAACAAGATGGAGTTAAGCAAGGAAATAAAATCATATATAGAGAGAATTGAAAAGGTAATTAATTAAAAATCTGTTCGGTTAAAATGACTATTTGGCTATTTTAAATTAGAAGAGTATTAAATTAAAATAATTCGTAAGGAGAATATCCTTTATCTTTAAAGTAACATTAATACTTAGAGAAATTCTAATTAATAAATTGGAAAACTCTTTAGTAACTTCAGTAAAAACTTACTTAATTCCCCTCCTTTAATTAAAAATTTTGTCAATATAATTCTTTTAAAAAAAATTTGATCAAATCTATTTATTACCAATTTATTTCTTTTAAATACCATATCGCCAAATAATAATTTACGATAAGAAAATTTATGACAGCTATCTAAAGCAAATAAAATTTAAACAAATTAATCAACAAATATACATATAGATTCTTAGTTTCGGTCACTATTTCGCATTTAATTATCCACTAAGCTTAAGTTTATAAAAGTAAGAAGAAATAAAGCATAAAAGTCCTTTAATTTCATTAGCAAGTCATTTTGAACCTCAGTATTTTTGGAATCACTCCATGATGAAGCCTCTTATAAATTAAAACATTTCCTTTTAGTGGCACTTGCAGCTCATTTAAGGATATGTTAAAAATTTTTAGTGCCAAATTGATAAAAACATTATTGTTAATTATTATTTGATTTCACGTAGATCTATCTTTAGAAGTGGAACTCGTTGTAATCATAGAGGTAATTCATTTATTCATTCTAAAAAAATCATTTCAAATAATTTATTATCTTCTATAATTTTATTTGTTAAAATTAATTAAATGATTTATAAAATATTTATTTAATGGAAATAATTATTTATTCAAAGGAAAGCAATTACTTTATTTAAATGGAAGAATCTAAAAATTATTTTTTATGCAATAAATCAAATAAAATAATTTTTAAGTAAATAAGCAAATAAATGCTGCTACAAATTATCTTTTCTTTGGATTGATAAATATTAAAATAATTTTGTAAATAAATATCAATTATAAAAAATAATTACTATTAATCAGTAAAATTCTTTAATTTGATATTGAATAATTTTATTTATTTAAAAAAGATGAAAGAGAAATTAAGTAAAAAATTTTATAAAAAATAATATTAATCAAATTTATTTTATCTAATTAATAAAATCTCAAATTTTAATTCAAAAATTTTTTAGATTTATTCTTAATCTTTTCTATTTTAATATTTTCTCTTCAGATTAAATTTATAGTTAAAAAATAACAGATTCCAACAAATGCATAAATGAATAAATATAAGAATTAATAATATTTATAAATTAATTTAAGGTGTTGATACTGATGGAAATACAGCTAATTTTGTTGAGCATGAGTCTATCTATATTTTTAATAAAGGAGAGAAAATAACATCTCATATTTAGATTAGAGGCTCACTGCCAATTTTATGGGAATAAGAAGGTTTGAAAGGAAAAATAAGATTGGCTGGCGGTGAACACTTGAGTTTGCAATCATTTAAAAAACATTTTTCTGATATCACATAAAAATATGGCAAAATATTTTCAGTAAGTTTAATGGCTGAAGGGCGTTCTGGTGAGAAGTTATTAACAGGGACATTTAAACAGCATTATGATTTAGCTAAAGAATTTCATATGCTAGTACAATATGATACATTTGATATAAAACATCATTGCAAAGGAGGAAAATATGAAAACATTAACCCATATATAATTAAAAATCTAACCCCAATATAAAGATAGTATTCCTATCTACTTCTTAATACACCATAGTTCTAAAAAGGTAAATAAAAAATCTAATTAATGTTATTAAAATTAATTAAATCTCAATTTATTCTGAGTTAAAAATTTTATTTCTATGCTAAACAATGAAAATAAATTTTTTACATTTTATAATGTTGGATTATATTTTTTTAAAAATAGGAGTTATAAGGACAAATTGCAAATCTTCCTTGGATAGAACAAATATATTTTAATCTAAAATTGAATTAAATACATTATAGTTGATGCTTAAAGATCTATATGGATACGACTTTTTTTAAGTTTATAAATAAGATGCTTTAGATATGATGGAAAATTAAAAGTAATGCATTCAGTTTGTTAAACAATTTAAAATATTATGGTCATAAAATGGTGATAATATCTCTTAGCATTATGCAGGAACTAATGCCTTAACTTCACATGCAACTAAGACAGGATCTGGAGGCTTGTTTGGAAAGTTGAGAGGAAAACTAAGTAGTATAAAAAGGCTATATGAAGGCACATTTTAAGATTCTCATAAATAAGAGGCAATCGATCTCATACTAGGAAGACATGTTGATTCTTAAAAATGTAAAAATAATTTAATAAAAATATTTAAAATAAATAATTAATGTTGAATAACTAATATTAATTTAAATAAAATTTTCAAATATTTTTGATTTTTATTAAAAAAATTTTGATTTGATTAGAATGAATGAATTTTAAAAGAATAGATTTTTTTTGTTTTTGTTAAAATGAAATATTTCAAGAAAAATAGTAATAAAATATTTACGAAAAAACTGAATCCATTAAAAAAAAATTATTAGATGAAAATAAAAAATTAAAATTTTTTTTAATAAAGCATTGAAGTTTGAATAGGAACTAAAGGAAGAAGCTTTTAGAAGAGAAAGCTAGTTTTTATTAAAGAAATAAATATCAGTTTATATTACAACCTGGAATATCAAAAAGTTCTTACCTAAAAATACTCAGTTTAGCTTAAAAGGTTTATTTGACTTCTAAAGTTATAAAGCTCCTGATATTTTAGTTCTCTGTTTTTAAAAAAAACCTGAATATAAAATAGAAAACCTTGATTAAAATTGCTAAGATAAAACTGAGAGATAATTTTGGATCTAGCTCATTTAAGTAACTAACTTAAAACTAATTTTTGTGAGTTGATGAAATTAACTTTATAACTTATAATAATAGTATAATATTTTTAGCTTGGATTTACCAGAGTATGTCGAAGTAGATTTTCATAGTTCAGGTGGATTAATGACTGTCATTTTAGCTTAAAAAAGTATTATTGAAGATATAACAGCTGTAGAACATGACGATATTGTATCTACTTCTGTGGGAAAAGGAACTGTAGTTATTAAATTAAGTGTTTGTAATACAAAATTATGCTTTATAAATGCTCATCTCTAGCCAGGATAGAATAAAACATAGGAGCGCTTTTAGTAAATTGGAGAAATCCATTAAAGAGCATTTTAAAAAGAAGGAATGTCAAAGTATAAGAGAGAGAAAATCGAAAAAGCAGATAAAATCTTTCTTGCGGGAAACTTAAACTTTAGAGTGAATTTAGATTGTAATGAAAGTTTAAGATTGTTAAGCAAATTGACAGATTCAAATATTTAGCCAGAAAAATTTCATGCTATTTTTTAACAGTATTTAGGAAACGATTAACTTATTCAGTTTAAAAAAGGTATAGTTTGTAATTACTAAGAAGCTGGTATCACATTCCTTCCCACTTACAAATATACTGTGGGATAAAATAAATATGACACTTAGAAAGAAAAGGTTCATAGTTGGTAATTAATTTTATTAAACTATGGCATTTCAGTATGATTTATTACACATTTATTTAAGTTTAAGAATTAACTTAAATTTAATTAATTAATTACTTTATTTATTTACTTATTTACTTATTTTAAAGGTGTGATAGAATCTTAATGTGGAATAACGAAAATAATCATGTCATGAAAAAGCAATAAGAATAATAAGATATAGAAATAGAATCTTAGTTTTTACCTTTCAATGCTTTGATAGGTAATTAAAAACAACAAAAAACATATAGAGAAGGTCTTCCACTTTTTTACAAAAGAAAAGAAGTAGAAATCAGTGATCATAAGTAATTTTATTGTTTTAATTTTATTTTATACAAGCATTACATTTCCTCAATTTAAGAAATAAATTTATACTATTTGCATCTTTAATTTTTAGAATTTTTTTATTCTTTTTATTGATATTTCTTCATTTATGCTTCTTATTAGAATTTATTTTTTTTTGAATAACTCATTTGACTTTTTTGATAATTTCCCTGTTTGATTTATGTAAAAAAAAAAAAAACAAATTAAAATTTTCTATTAAATTTACTTTAGCTAGCTATAAAAAATAAATTTAAGTTATATTTTGAATAGTTAAAATAACTAACTGATAAAATTATTTCAAATAATATTTTAATATTTAAAAGATTTAAAATATGTTTTTTACAAATAAATAATTCTTACTAAAAATAATTAATAGACCTGTTTGCTGCTACTATATTATTACAGTTAAAGAAGAAGATGCTTAAAAAAAAGATAAAATATTTAAGGATTTAGTAAGTAAAAGAAAGTGCGATGATGCCTTAAAAACTAATTAGCAAAATATATTGTAAGAATTTTGGTAATAGGACGATGATGATAATGATGGAAGATAATCTGTTCCTCAAAAAAAAGAAGATTACAAGTAAATTATAAATTCTTTATAGAATGACCAACAGTAGTTTGAGGAAAGTGAAGACTATGATGAAGAAGATGATGAAGAAGAAGATATATAAGGAGATTATGATAAAAGTCAATATTATATAGATTAGACTTAGATGAATCATACAGCCAAACCAAAATACAAATACTCAGAAGATTATTCTGATCTATAAGCAGATTAATTAGCTGCTTTAAACTTCTCTAACAATATGGAAATAAACAAATTAAGAAATAAAAATGGTAAAAATAGATTCAAAAATGCAGTAGAAGCTACTTAAAAGAAGGAAAAACCTCAATAGGAATAATCTTAAGAAAGAGATCTTTGTTTGATGAAATATCCAAGTGAAAAAGATGCTAATTTTGTTACTAAACATAAATTCTAGTCTGATTTCTAAAGGAATAAAATAATTAATGATCCTCAATATCAGTAATAAAATTAATAGCAATTATTTTTATCATAAGTGCAAAAAACATAATAAGTTGGTACAAATTCGTTACTCCACCCACATTCTCATATTGTTTATTGTAAACCAACTGAAAATCTTGAATAAGTCAATATAAATCCACCATCACTTCAAAAATTCTCCAGCCACATTTTACTAAGTAATTCTGATAACTTAAAATTGACATCTAATGATAAAATCGTTAACGATTATCGCTTATCTGGAAATAATGGAAACAAATAATACTAAAATTTCCCTTTACTTAGCACATCTGATAATGAAGGAAAAATAATATAATTTAATTTACAAAATTAAGGATAGCACCAAACTAATCCTTATGCTCTCAGTGATTAAGATAGTTATCATTTAAAAGCCAATCACAATCATTAAATCAACTAAGCAGGTTAAATGAATAATTAAATTCAAAATAATTAAATTACTTAAAATAATGAAAATTTTCAAGCAAACGAGAGTGCTTCTGGAATAGAAAACTCATTTTATTTTGTAGAGTCTAAAATAAGAAATTTTGAAGAAAGTAAATAATAATTAATATAAAATGATAACTAGAGCTAAAAAAAATTTTATAGTGATGCAGAAATATATCAAAGCTAAAATAAAAGCCATCGCAAGACAAGTGAAGGCAACTAAATAGATTCTACATAAAATAATTTATAAAATAAGGAATAGTAGTAAGGATAAATTAATAAAACTAAAGATGTTGAAGTTGTTAAATATGATAAGTTAGTAGTAATTGAAAATTATAAGCAACAGAAATGAATGATAAAATTGTTAAAAAAATATTTTGTAAAAAATAAATATGTAAATCATTTTAATAAATAACCTTAAATAGTTAGTTAGTTAGTATATTTTTAAACCAAAATAGTTTATTAAATTTGTATTAAAATTTTAATCAAATACCCAAATTAATTATATTAACAAAGTTAATAAAAGCTAATCAACGATTCTAATTTTACTTACAAATTAAAATCTTTTAAATAAAATTAATATTTATTTTTTTTAAATTTTACTAAAATTTTTAAATATTTAAACTTAATTTTTTTATTATATCAATAGATGAATTCTTAAAGAAATTAATTATAATTTCTTTACACATAAAAGCATTTTATATTTTTTAAGGTGATATCAAAAAATTAATTCAATAATATAATAAATAAAAATTGTTATTTTTTGTTTTTGAAAATTTTTTTAAAAAGTAAAAAAATTTTTATTAGAAAATGACTTCTTTGTTTTTAGATATTTTAAACAAAGAAATATAAATTTTTAGGCAAAAAATAACCAAACAAAAGAGAGATAAAATAAATATTTTTCTACAGAAAAGAGAATAAGAAGAGTTTATTGGATTGGATTGCGAGTTTACTTAAATTGATTAGACTTAAGTGCTAGATATTAAAGAAGGAAAATAACTAGATTTATAAAAATATTATGTTGCAGAGTCAAAAGATTATTCAATTGATATAATTTTTGATTAAATATATTAGACTCCTTTGATAAAGCTAGTTCTTAAAAGTGTGATTATCATAGAGGAGTCAACAAAACCAGATGAAAATGAAAGTTAGCATAAGTTGATTTCTAATGATCCTAAATATGAAGGTGTTTTAATTCAATTAAAAAAAATGTACTTCTCCTAGAATTTTAATTATGATTTTACATCTAAAGTTATAATGAAAACTTAAATTCAAGATAAAGAATCAAAAGCTAAGCTACTCAAATTAGGAAAAACTGCTAACTGTATTATTAATTAAGTAGATTACGATGAAGATTTGAGCTTAAATAGTTGCACTTCGGTCCTTCCAAAATATAGTTCTGTTCCTAAAACTAAGTTTGATTACAAGAAAGTCCATGCTGCTAATCAGTAAACTGTAGATTTTGCATTACCTAGAAAAAAATAAAAAGTCCTAAAAGATAAATAGAAATCAAAAAATGAATAAAAAAATTAGGAAATTGAATATCCAAATGAACTAATAAACCCAGAATTTTAAGATTAATAAATTAGTTAGCAAATATATGATACAAATATATCTTAACACTCTTCTATTGATCATGAAGCTTATAAAATTCGCTTTGATAATCAAAGATTTAATTTAAAAACTCAAATAGGCTTTAGAAAAAATAAACAATAGCAAAACAAAAATATAGGCATTGGTGAAAGCGATGACGATGTAACATTAGCAGATTAAAGTGAAATTGATTTTGAACAGCTTAAAAAAAATGCTGGAAAAAAGAGAGAAACTATGTAAAAACTATTAGCTATGATTCCTAGTAAGTTGAGATCAGATAAAAAAAGCAAAAAAAATTATAAAAATGATAAGAATGATTAAAATAATTCAAGTTAAATAGATAACACATATAAAAAAGGTAAGAAATTTAAAAGAGGGTAAAAGTATTTATTCAAAGAAGTTGATGAATAAAAGAAGAAGAAAAAATAATTATTCCCTCATAGAGATTACTTCATCGTTTCTGATAATGAATACGATATAGAAGAAGAGCGATAGCATATTAAATCAAGATTAATTAATAACCATCTTCAATTACCTTAAAATCCACAACCTCCTAAATTATCTTTAGAGTAAATTAAATAGGAAAAGCAAGAATATAAATTAGAAAACGAGTCTGATGATGAATAAGAAAGTATAAATTGAAAAGTATTTTTCAATTAAATACTCTAGATAATTTGTTATTAAAAATAAAATTTATAATTAATTACCACCGAATTTTTGTTAAATTAGTTAAAGATAAATATTCTAATTAATTATTAATGTTTTTCTGTTCTTACCAAATTAAAAGAAATATTAAAGAGAAACAAAATTTATAATTTTTAATATTTAATTTCTTTCATTTTATGAATGAATAAAGGAAATTACTTTGTATAAAATGAAATATATTTTGGTTAGTTAGTTGGTTAGTTATTTAGTTAGTCAGTTTGAATAAAAAAATTTGTTTACATTCTACAAATTTCATATAAAAGATTATAATAAAAAATGATGAAGATAAAAACTACTTTTTTATATCTATCTATTCATCTTTTCATCAGAAATTAATAAAATATTAAGATATATTTCTTGATTTTAAATCACTTTCTGAACAAATATTTGTTAATTAAAATTTATTAGAATTAAATTTGTTTTGTATTAATAATATTTTCCTTGTTGAAAAAAATGATAACTAGTCAAAACTAAAGTCAAAGAGAACCAACACTTACTGAATAAAACATACTCCCTGGTAGACTCAAACCATAATCAGCCCTCTGCTTTGATAGCAATCGGAATGTTCTCTAATTCATTGAGGGATAAAATGTATTTGATCCTACTTAGAAAGTTTGTATTCCTCTTTTGTTAAGATAATCTGAATAAAAATCTGATATTTGCGTCCTCTACTTTCATGGAAATGGAGAATACATAGATAACTATATTGGTTTTATGGAAGATTTATCTGCAGAAAATTAAAAAACTAATTTTGTTGTAATGGAATATTCTGGATATGGTCTTTATTGTGATTAAATCATTTCATCTAAATAAATATTAGCGGACTCTTTAGTAGCATTTGATTATATTGTATCTGAGTTGAAATTTGATCCTAATAATATAATAGTATTAGGACGTTCTATCGGCAGTGGTCCAGCGAGTTACTTAGCTTCTAAAAGAAAATGTAGGTTAGTTTGTCTTGTGAGCCCTTTTTGGAGTATTAAAGATTGGCTAAAAGATTTGGAATAATCTGATTAATTTGAAGACTGCTTTAATAACTTAAACTGTGTTAAAAATTTTCAAAGCCCTTGCTTACTTATTCATGGCAAAAAAGATACTCTGATTCCAATATCTCATTCTATTAAATTAGAGGAAGAGCTAAAATCTCTTAACAAGCATCACAAAGTTGTTTATAAAGATAATTGGACTCATAATTTAATAAGCTTTGATGAAATATTTACAATTTTACTTAACTATTCAAATGAGATATTAAAGCCATGAATTATTAGAATATTAATAATAAAATTAATTAACTAATTTAATATTTGATTTACATGTTTGAAAATTATGAATGAAAATGAATTTATTTTTAAGAAAATAATTTAATTTAAATATTGTAAATTTTTTAAAAATTAAAATAATTTTATTAAATTTTTTTATTTAAATTAATAAAAATTCCTTTAAACTAATTTAGCTAGCTAGTCAACGAAATTTTAAAAATCTGTATTAGCTATATATAATTTTCTAAATAAATAATAAAAGAATTAAATAGAATAAAATAAAAATTTAATTAATAGCAAAGTAGAAGTAATTAAATGATTGAAGTGCTAAAAGACTTTGATGCCTTTTCTGAATCAATACAATTTAATGCAAGTAAAAAGCGATTAAAAATAAGAACATTACTAGGTGCATTTCTCAGTGCAGCTATCTTAATTATTGCACTCTCATACTTCATTTATTTGACTTTTTTATATTTTGATGGAAAGATTGAACCTAAATTTCAATCATAAAATTTTGTGTCTAATGATGACATTCAAGTTTAGCTAACCAACGAATTAATCGGATTTGATTTTTTTTCATATAATGGTTATAACTATTTGAACTAGATATAAGATGAGTAAAATAAAACTTATATAGTCTATTAGGGAATGTTTAGATATAGCAATAGTACAGATTCATTTGTAATAACATTAGATATAATAAGATGCAAGAGCCCTTAATTGAAAAATATGAACTGCTTCGATTTCAGTAAAGTACCTAATCAAGTACTAACCTTAGGAAATATTAATAGAATTTTGTCAAGTATAAATTTATATGTTTATAGGTGCTAAGATACTGATCAATTAAAAACGTTTGTACCAAATGATTGTGCCTAAGAGCAATAAATAAATGAGTTAATAAATCATTCTGACTATTTTTTAAATATTAAAATAAAAACATCTCAATTTAATACAACTTAATAAGAAATTTAAGATTAATACAGAAGCTAACTTACTATGTGTAGCACAAGTGTAGCACAAGTATTAGATTTTAGAATTTAAAATCAAATTACATCAGTAAAGAAAGGCTTTTTTATTCAATCTGAATAAACTTATACATCACCAATTTCATATTCAACCTAAAGTTTAACCTATAATCGCTAATGGCTTATTTAAGATATTGGGACTTCATATCTTAGTTATGTTTATTTTGAGATTGATGAAAATATAACATATTTTCGCATATAATATCCAATGTTTACTGAAGTTTTGGCTCTCTGTAATAGCACCTTAGCACTTATGATAATGCTTTGTTCTTTCTGTAGATCATTTACATAAAAAATAATCAGAAAAGATATTTTTTTTACTTTACTACAAAATATGTTTACAAAAACATATATCAACATGCTAAAAAATTGTAATATTTAACAGTAAAATGAAGAGATTTAAGAAAAAGATATGGCTTAAGGTTCCCAAATTTAAAAAATACAAAGTGCAAATTAAGAAGGAGAAGAAGTTGATAAAACTTAAAGCGAAGAAAAAATGGAAACAGAAAGTAAAAATGATATTTCAATTCCACAGTTTTAATCAAAGTTTAGTTAGCAGCTAACACATGACCTCGTAAGTTAAAAAATAGGGCCACATATTAAAGAAAATAAAGAAGACATTGTGAAATTGTCTAACATTTATAAACAATCTAATAGAGAGGAAGTAGAATTTAAGAAATACGATAATTTACATGATTTAACATGTTAATAGTCATTAAATTTTTAAAATTCAAGTTTTTAAGACTAAAGTCCAAATCTAATAAATTCTTATTAAAAAAATTCATAGTTTCATTCATTAGAATTTAAAGACAAATTAAGTTAAATTAATTCTTCTATTTTCAAACAAAATAAAATGAAATAAAAAATGTTTTAACACCATAAATCTTCATAAAATTAAATTAAAAATTAAAAATTGTAATCATTAAATAAGAAAGTAGATGAAAGTTTGTAGATGCTAAATGAAAAACAATTGTCATTACAACTAGAAGATTAATTATTTTCAACAAAGTAAATTATTTATATTTTTTAATTTTCAAACATTTTAAAATTTTTAGACACTTAAAAATTGTAAAAATAATTCAAAAATCTTTTAATTGAAATTCATTATTTTAATAAAACATTTAATTCATCTTAAAAATAACAAATTAAATATTTAATATTATTGATTGTTATTGTTAACAAGCATATTTATTTATTTATTTTAACAAATAGAATATTTAAAAGAAAGTCTTAGCTTGAAAATAAAGGAGTAAAAAAGTAAATGCTTAAAAAAATTGAATAACAAATTGATGATAGTTTAGATTTCTTTAAATTTTTTAAAGAAATTTTATTTTTAAAGAAGGCTGCTTTAATTTTACTTAGCAAAGAATAACTTGCTGCAATTCAATTAGTTGGATTAGACATCAACGATATATAATCAAAGAGTTAGAAAATTTTTAATGATATATAAGGTTATTTTTTAATTTAATTTTTAATTAATTTAAATATTAAAAAAGGTGAAGGTGATTGTATGAATCATCTAAAAGAGTAATATGAAATATTACAATCAACTGAATTGTAAAGCTAATATATCAAGATATTTTTACAAAAATGCTAAAATAAATACTTAAAAGATCCTATAGACAAGAGGATATTATCTTCTTTAGCAATAAATGATTAACATTGAATTATATATTATTTTTTAAGTTTTTATCATTTTTCTCTTTTCTGCTTTATAATTTTTGTAACAATACATCAATCTATCTATATATCTATCTATATTTATGTATTTCTTAAAAATTTTAAAATAAATTAAATACCACCAAAATTTACAAAATAATAATGTGAAAATTAATGAATTAGAAAAATTGAAAAAAATAAAAATATTTACTGTATTCAAAGGGTAAAGTTTTTGAAATTAATTTTCACTAAAAATTTCAGAATTTTCAAAAAAAATCAATTTAGAGTCACAAAATGGGGTAAAAATTTGGGCATAATTAATGAGGATCTATAGTATATATTTATTTAATTCAACTATTTTAGGCCATTAAAACTTTTCTTCTATAAGCTTCTTTATACTTTTTTTACTTTTTGATGCCTATTCTACATTTAATTCATAAATTTAATAAAAAATTTTAAATAGATTAAAATAATTAAGAATTTATTTAATTGGTAAGTAGAAGTAAAATAAAATGATAGAAGTATTAAAAGATTTTGATGCATTTTCTGAGTCAATATAATTTAATTCAAGTAAATAACGCTTTAAAAAAAGAACATTAATAGGTGCAGTCTTGAGTTTATTAATCTTCATAACAGCTCTCTCATATTTCATTTATTTGTGTTTTTTATATTTTAATGGAAAGATTGATCCCAAATTTCAATAATAAAGTTTTGTCTCTAATGATGATATTCAAATTTAGCTAACGAACGAATTGATTGGGTTTGATTTTTTTTCATATAGTGGTTATAGCTATTTGAACGAGATATAAGACAAATAAAATAAAACTTACATTATCTACTAGGGCATTTATCTATATAGCAATAGTACAGATTCAATTATAATAAAATTAGATATAGTAAGGTGCCAGAGCCCTTAATTGAAAAATATGAACTGCTTCGATTTCAGTAAAGTACCTAATAAAGTACTAACCTTAGGAAATATTAATAGAATTTTATCAAGTATAAATTTATATGTCTATAGGTGCTAAGACACTGATCACATAAAAAGGTTTGTACCAAATAATTGTGAAGAAGAATAAAAAATAAATGACTTTATCAATCATTCTAACTATTTTTTAAATGTTAAGATAAAAACTTCTCAATTTAATACAACTTAATAGGAAATTTAAGATTAATATAGAAGCTAGCTATCTATAAGTACCACAAGTTTTACACAAATAACAGACTTTAAAATTTAAAATCAAATAACTTCAGTCAAGAAAGGTTTATTTATTCAATCAGAATAAACATTTACATCACCAATTTCATATACAACTTAAACATTAAATTACAACCGTTAATAGCTTATTTAAGATTCTGGTTCTCAATTTCTTAGCTATGTTTATTTTGAGATTGATGAAAATATAACATATTTTCACATATAATATCCAATGTTTACTGAAATTTTGGCTCTCTGCAATAGTACTTTAGCACTAATGATATTAATATGCTCGTTTTGCAGATAATTTTCAAAAAAAATAATCAGAAAGGATATTTTTTTCACTTTACTACAAAATATGTTTACAAAAACATATATCAACCTTCTAAAGAAAAGTAATATAAATTAATAAAATCAGTAGATTTAAGAAAAAGAACTGGATTAAGATCAGTAAATTGAAAAAATTCGAAGTGAAAAATAATAAGGAGAAGGAGAAGCTGATGAACAACAAGATGAAGATTCTAACAATGAAGAAAAAAATGAGACAGAAAGCAAAAATGATATTTTGATTCCACAATTTTAATCAAAGTTTAGTTAGCAACTAATAAATAATCTAAAAAGTTAAAAAATTGGGTAAAAAATATAACAAAATAAAGAAGATAATATTAAATTGTCAAACTATCAAATACAACCTAATAGTGAAGAAATAGAAATAAAGAAATAAGAAAACATATCTGACATAACATATTAATAGTCATTAAATTTTTAAAATTCAAGTTATTAAGACTAAACTCCAAATCTTATAAGATTCGATTCTTATTAAAAACAGTCATAATTCTATTAATTAGATGTAAAAGAAAATTCAATTTAGGTTAATTCTTCTACTTTCAAATAAAATAAAATAAAATAAAAAATAATAGGATAACCAAATAAATTTTCATTTAAGTAAAGATAAAATATAAGTATGTTAGCATCAAATTAGTAGGTAGATGAGAGTTTATAAATGCTAAACGAAAAAAAGTTATCATTACAACTAGAAGAGGAACTATTTTCTACAAAGTAAATAAATTAATTACTATTTTAATCTATTAAAAATTTTAAAAGCACATTAATATTAAAATTATCTCAAATATGTTTTATTTGAAACATATGTTCAATAGTTTAGTTGACAATAATTTTTAATTTTTAATTCAATTTTAATAATAAAAAAGTAGATATATAATAAAATATAATATTTAATAATCAAATTTATTTTAACAAATAGAATACTTAAAAGAAGAGCTATGTTTGAAAATAAAGGGTTAAATAAATAAATACTTACAAAAATAGAATAGAAAATTGATGATAGTTTAGATTACTTTAAAATTTTGAAAGAAATTTTATTTTTAAAAAAGGCTGCTCTTGTTTTATTGAGCAAAGAATAACTTGCTGCAATTTAATTAGTTGGATTAGATATTGAAGATATAGAGCCAAAGAATCATAAAATAGTAAATGGTAAATAATATTTTGTCTTTTTAAAAATATTTTTTAATTGATTAATATTAATATTAAAAAAGGTGAATATTATTGTATGAATCATATAAAAGAGTAATTTGAAATATTACAGTCAACTGAATTGTAAAGCTAATATATCAAGCTATTTTTAAAAAAATGCTAAAATGAATTAGCTATAGATCCTATTGATAAGAGGATATTATCTTCACTAATAATAAATAATGAAAATTGAATATTTATATATTATTTTTTAATACATTATCTACATCACTTTTGTAATTTTATAAACACTATTGTTCCTCTTTAAGTATGGTTTTAAAATAAAAGTAATTTTTTAATCAAGTAGATAAATTTTTACTTAAAACCAATTTTAAATGTGTATTTATTTAATACAGATTTAAACTGCTTAAGTCATAAGCATACAATACTTTAAATTAATTATTGTTATTTTTCTTTAATTATTTATAAAGTATTTATAATTCGTTTGAATCTAACTAAGTGCCTATCTGATACTTATTTTTTAGAACCTACGTTGCCTTCAATTATTTGTAGAGACAAGTAAGCTAGGCAGATAGCAAAAATAATTTTTCTAATTACAGTGAGTCTATCTTCTGAACTCCTTCGACTTTTGATTTAGCGAAATAAAGAACAAGCATATATGGATACTTCAATTACTATTCTCGAATAAATATTTCTGTAGTAGGAAATAAATATTTAGTAGAATAATAAATATTATTTTATAAATTTAAAGAAAATTTAAAATAATAAAAAAAAGTATCAAAATAATTAGGTATAGAGAGAGCCTAAACAAAAAAAATAAAAAATATTTAATCAAAAATTTTATTTTTTAAAATTAATTATTAAAAAATTTTAAAAATACTAACTTATTATTTTTAATAAGGATTCATGGTAGTAATTTAAAAATTTTTAATTAATTATGACAATCCATACTATAAATATTTTAAAATTTATAGTTTATTAATTAATATCATAATTTAAGTTAAATACAATTATCAAATTGAAATAAAGTATTATTTTTAATATACTTGATGTAATTTTAAATAATTAAGACCATAATTATCTCTTTTAATTTTTATATTTTGATGTAACTTCTTATAATAAATGAAATTATGTTGAGAGATTGAATAATTTAATAAATATCTATTATCAAAGATTTGAAATACTGATCAATAATTTAGATCAACTTTAAAAATTTGTAATTTTGAAATTAAATGAGTATAAAGATCATTTTAGGATTAAATTCTATTACAAATAATTATTTAAATATGAAATTTTAATTTCATTGTTAAATAATTCTAAGTATTTAATATATAATATTAATATCATCTTAGAAATGATTTTTGTTACATTTTATATTATATTCCATCATAAAAAAATTTTTTAATTTACTCACCAAATTTTTCTTTTATTGAGTTGTAACCCAATTTGTGAAGAAAATAAGTGTTAGAGCCAAATGATTTCTATTTACATAATGAATTTAAATTAATTCGTAATATATCTGAAAATCTCTAAAAAATAAAGAGCAATTTAATTTTTGTGGAAAAAGTGGAAATAAAAGTTGTAAGCTATTAATTTTGATTAGAATTACTGAATTAATAATTCATTGAAAACTATTGCTACAATTTGAATTAATTTTTAAAACTAAAATTAATTAAATTTATTTGTTTATTTCTTTAGAAACTGATAAACCAAATTACATAGTCTTAATTGTTATTTCACAAGAGGATTAATGTAAGTTCCTTCAAAAGATGTTATATATATTTTAAAGAAAATTAACGTTTAAACTCTACTAAATTATTAAATTTCTATTAAAAAATAGAAATCAAGGAAAATTTAATGAATTATTAATAGCAAAATTATTGACTGACTATTATTTATTAAGAACTTGAAGAGTTATTTTAATATTACTAATTTATATTCAATTAAATAAGATAAATACATTCTAATTAATTGTTATAAAAAAGGAAAATAGTGCAAATAGAGAGGGAATAATAGCAAAAAGTTAATGAAATCTAAGTAATTCAATTCATTTTTTTCATTAATTTATTCTTTTTTAATAAGCAGTAGGAAGCCGAGTCCTTCTCCAAACCAAAAGAACAATAAATAAGGGTAAATTTGATATAAATTATCTAACTTAACTGTAACATATTTTTTGTTTAATAAATAGTAAGATATTGTTTTCTTAATCTAATCATTTAAAGAACTAATCCAGCTCTCATCTTTCAGTAACCAAATGATAAAATATTATTATTAACAAATAAAATAGATTAAAACTAAGCTAAAGCGAGGAATGGGTCAAATTCTTAGCAGCAGAAAAAGTAATTTTAAAAAATTTATATAGAAAAGCAATTATCAAATAAAAATGAATTAACTAACAAATATTTATAAATAAAATAATAAAGAAGCACAAAAAAAGAATCATAGAAAAACTACATAACAATAGTTAAGACTAACAACACCTAGAATAATGAAAAGAAAATTTAAGCTTAAACTTTCAATAACTTTAGCGTGAATATACCTCAAGAATAAATGAAAAATTAATTAGGGATTAAATAAGTTCAAAGTTAAAATGCATTAAGTGCTAATTCTTTGAATACAATCGAATCTCCTTTGCAACAAGATATGGTCCCTGGCATTTAAAATTTATAACCTCATAAAGGAGTATCAATGTAATTTCTTTACTATATAATTAACTCTTCTTCACTTATAAAATTAATCATAACTTCAACTCTATGATATAAATAAACTAACAAATCTTATTACATTAAAGTCAGCAATATATAAAAATTAAGATTGAATTTGAATAAATAAATAAATTCTTTACTGAAAAAATACTTATTTTTTTTATTTTTTTGCTTACAAAATTGGATTATTTTTATATTTCTAAATTTGATTTTTTATCTAATAAATGAATAGGTTTGCAAATATAACTTAATAATAGCAGGTAAGTAGTCTTAGTTATTCATAAAGTCAAGCATAAAATTCTTAAGTGGTTGAAAACAGCTAGAATTTAAAATAAAAGCAATCATCACCAAATAAATATTTACAAAACTCTTAATTTGAATTAACTTACTTGCAAGAATATTAATAGTATATAGACTATTACAATAATAATTAAACTCCTTACTACGCTTTTGAGGAAATAACAACTCCTTAATAAAATAACTCTTATTAAATAGATGAGCACTTAAATGCTATTAATGCTTTAAAAAGTAAAGAAGCTAGCATTGTGATTAATAATGAATCTTACTAAAATCTAAATGATGCTAACAAACTAAATAAAAATGACTATTCTAGCAGAACTAACCTAAATTAATCAAATATTCCACTTCAATAATATAATTTATAAATATAATAAACACCTTATTTAAACAACACAAATCAATTAAGCTAACTCTTATAATAAAATGGCTAAAATTAAATTTAGAATAACTCTAACATTAATAATAGTAACACATAAGTTGATAATAGAATGCAATTATCACAACTTTAATCTTATTTATTAAAAAGTAATCAAATTTAAGTTTAAATATTGAATAATATGAATAAAAGACCACTTTTTAATCATATCACAGATAATTAACTATTATAAAACTAAACTCAACTTAATTAAGAAAATCAATATCCCCTAACCTAGAAATAGCTCAGTGAAATTAATCTTAAAATGAAGGAACATCGAGATTATAATTAAGGACTTCCAAATGTATCATAAATAGCTATATAAAAGAGATGGGAAGTCTTTGATTTGCCTTTCAAAAATACAATAGCAAGTTTAATTAGTGAAAAAGGCTAAACATACATTTATAAATTTGATCCTCAAGGTTCTCTTCCTGATTTAGCAAAATATAAGCTTAACTATAAATTTACTAATATACCATGCGCAAATATTGCAATAGATTAAAAGAATGGGAGATTATTTGTCTATGATAATGATGGGAATCTTCTTGTATTTAGTTAAGATCTTGAGTTTAATGAAGGTAAGCCAATAATAAAATTGTCACTTGAAGAGAGATTCCCGCGTAAAAATCCTACGCTTTTTGTAAAAACATATGATAATTATACTCTTGTATTCGTGATTGGAGGCTTTTTCAGACAGTAGACCTACAGCAACATAAAAGTAAATTTGAATTTTTTTCATTTAGAATTTTAGCTTTTTAAGTTAAAATTCAGTAAAATAATTAATCAGCTTGTTATTATAATTTGTAATATAAACAACAAATACAAATACAATCACTTCAGTTTCATCAAATTATATATATTTATTTTTCAATAAATACTTTAATCTCTAAATCTAGTATCTTTTTAAACCCAAAATCAAAGACTATTTCTAAATTTTCTCAATTTTTATTTTGTAGGGATTAATAAATTATTTATTAAAATGATAGAAAATAAAAATTGTAAGGTATTTATTTGCTAACATAACATCTATCCAATCAAATCTTTTTCTTTTTAAAAATTAAATTATTTTATTATAAACAGGTCTTTAAAATTGAAAGAAGAAATGCTTCTATTAGATATGAATTATCAATAAATATGATGAAAAGAAGAAGAAACCCTATTGTTTTTTCCTACTCTGTAAAAAATACTACTAATACTAATGGTAGTGTATAAAATTAAATAGGTGCAACTTCTGGAAAATTAAATTCAGTCCATTAAAATACTATAGAAACTGAAAAAGAGTATTTAATACTGTTAGGAGGAAATTCTTATGATCCAGAAAGCGATGCAAATATTACAGGAGAATTTATTGAAATAGATAAAATACATACATTAATTAATTAAAGAAACAACTTGAGTATAGATATAACTGATTTTATAAAAATTAGATTGCATTCATCTTTTGATGACAGCTATGAAATCAGTGCCTATCTAACATAAGGTATTTCATAATTAATAAAACATGTTTTAATATTGAATTTATTAAATAGGTTATATAGTTACTTGGCATAATGAAGAACAAGAAAAAACAAAGCTTTTGATTTTTTAAGAAAAGTTAAAAAATGTACTTGAAATAAAAAAAATAGATTTAGGTTTGAGCAAATCTTCAACCTTTGGAATTTTAGATATTGTATATAGTGATATTATTCATAAAGGTCATAAAGGTTTGATGAGGATCGAATAAGATTATTTAAGCTATTTCAATTAAAAAGGTCAAGATATTCATATAATTTCATTGAAAGAAGGGACTGAAGTATATAGTACAAAGAAAAAAACTAATTTTTTCAAGCCAAAAGGGGTTTAGAATAATACTCTGTCAAATTTAGTGAAGTAAAAAGATTAAGAAGAAGAGGAAGTCGAAGAAGAGTCAGAGGATGAAGAAGTAACTTAAAAAAAATAATAATAAGAAAAAGAAGAAAGCAAAAAGTTAGAATAAGCAGAACAAGTTGAGAATGCTAAGAAAGAAAGTGATAAAAACATAGATGCTAAAGACACCAAAGAATAGTCATAAACTCTATCAGAGAGAAAGAATGGAAATGTGAATAATTTGTCTCCTGATAATATTTTATCAAATAACAAACTGCTAAGTTACGATTAAAATCCTTTTATTGAATCCAAGAGAGATTATAAAGATGATGAATTAAAATAATTAGCAGAAAATGAATAATAAAAGAAAGAAGAGGAAAATAAAAATAAAGAAAAAGACAAAGACAAAAAAGACCAAGATGAAGGAGAGGAACAAGAAGATGAAGAAGAATAAGAAGAAGAAGAAGTTTAAAAAAAGAAAGAGAAAAATAAAAAAATGTAAAAAAATAAAAATAAAAAATCTAATTAAAATGTAAATAGTAAAATTAACAAATTTTGTAAATGTAAATGTAAGTGTAACATATTTTAAATGAGTTTCTTCCTATGACCTAAACGGAACTACCTCAAAGAGGAGTATACGTTTAGCCAACAGGGGTATTAATAAATTCCTTTACATGTTTAATTTTCCAAATTAAAATATATTTTACTATTTAAAATTTATTATTTATCAAAAAGATAAGAAGCAAAAATCAATAATTTCAAAGAGTTTTTTATTAATTTTTTTCTATTTCATTTTAATATTTTAATGAATATATTTTAAGATTTATAATAAATTTATCTTAATAAAAAAAGAAATATTTTATCTTAATTAATTCCTTAAAACAACTTTAATAAATTCTAATATTTTAAATAATTGAAATCTAAGTTTTCATTAACCAAAAACAATTTGATTATAGTTTGATATAATTGATTCTTAAATTTATATCTTTGATTTTAATACAGTTATGAAAATCTTATTTTTGAAATTACTAATTAAATTTAAGTATTTACAAAGTAGTTCGTTTAATTAATAAACATATTTTAGAAAATTAAATTTTTAAAAATTAAAACTTCAAAATATTTTAACTTTTAAACAAAGATATTTCAAAATAGTCTAAGATAAAAATTTAAAAATTAATTAATTAATTATAAATAATATCTAATTATTTAATTTTTATAAGATATTATTATACAAAAAAATGAAAACCCCAAAACACCCTTTTTACAAAAAATAAAACTCAAAAAGAAAAAAAAAAGAAAAAATGAAAGAAAGTAAAAAAAAAGCATGCAGAAGTTTTTTTTAGGATCGTTTTGCCGATTAACGTTATCATGCACAAAGGGTGCAGATAACCAAAGCAAAACAAACAAAATGATTATAAAAGAAGCTCATTTAACTATTAATTACAAGATCATCGAATTATTCAGTATACAATAAATTTTTTAAAAATTTAATTTCATCAACTAATGCTCTTTTTTCTTGTTCCCATTTGAGTTCTCTTGCCTTATATCCGCTGAGTAGCTTTGATGTTCTTAAAAATGTTTTTTGGAGTTGCTCATTAATTGCTGTGTGATTGCTTTGCTCTCCTCCTTCGTATATGTCTTCTTATATCTTCATCAGGCGATTTTCACTTTTGGTAAAAATAAAATTTAGTTTGAAATATTTATTTATTAAAAAAAAGAAAAGTAAATAATAATTTTACGCATTCTTAAGGTTATAGTTGATAGCTGCAGTAATTATTTTATTTTGGTTAGAAGTAGTATTAATGTAAGGATTTACAAAATTTTAGTATAAGGTATTGTTTTATTGTTGAGGTGGCTACGATAATTAATTGTTAGAGCGGGCCGAGTAAGAATAATTAATAGAATTGCTAATATTGTTAGGGTTGTTTTGAGAAAGTAAATTTGTATTGCTTATATTTACCATATTAGTGTTGTTTTAATTAATATTTTATATTTAGTTCATGTTTTAATTTATTGTTTAAGAATTTATTAATAAAGAATTAGGAGTAAGATTGTGGTCGAAAAAGAATTTTTTAGTTTCAAGATGTTGAGATGATAGGTTTTAATTATTGTTAAGATTTTAGTTATTTGGTGTATTGAAAGTGTTTTGAATTATATGTTTAGAAGAATTTGGCACGCTTTGCGAAACTGTATTTGTAGAATGCAATTCGTCAAGCTCCGGTGGCCGATATTTTTTAAAGAACGGTTTAGACTTTTTTGTTCCTTAAAGGTATTGTTATTATTGTTGCTGCTATTGGCTGGTATTTATTATTTTTTTGGTGTTTTTGTGTGTTTGCTGGTTGTTTTCAGGTGAAGCAGACTTATGCTTTTTTGAAAGAGTGCTACTCTTTCTCGTATTATGGTCAGTCAATGCTTCGTGTTTAGAGTTGAATAAGTTAATTATTCTTTCCTTAGAGCTATTTCTTTTTGAAATATAAGAAAACATGTCTTAATTTACAGCTTTTGGGACAGACATTTTCTTCTTCAATGCAGCTTTGCTGTCTGCTTATACTTATATTTATTAGGAGTTTAAAGATGTTGGAGAAACAGCAGGATTTATGTGCTTTTGTGCTGCTATTATGTTCTTTAGGTTTTCTTTTGATGGCGATAGAGAGTCTTTCTTTTCAGGAGAAAGACCTTTGCTTTTTAAAACTGCACTTAAGATAGGTGAAAAAGAATTCTAATGATGCATCTGCATGTAGTTTTATTCTTTCTTAGTTGATGGCTTGATTTAATTAAAAATACCCTGTATATTTTTAGTTTCTTTAGGACTTAGGATAAATTAGGTTGAAGAATTATTTTGGATCTATGACTTATTTGCCGTTTTTTCTTAAAAGTAAAGCAGATTTTTCATTTTCGAAGGTGATTTTTTCCCCAAATGATAGTGGTGATGGTTACTTACAATCCCACCGATATTGTAATTGTTATTTATCTGATTTTATGGAGACTTTTTCCTATTTATTATTTAAAATAAAAATATTAATTTTATTGAAACTAATTTTACTTGAAAACTTTTTTATGATATTCAAATATTTAAACAGAAATAACTTTAATATCAAAATGAATGTTGCATTTTTTCAATGATAAAAAATATTAAAGAAATAAATAAATAAATAAAATGATTTAAAATTTAAAAAAAAATAAATTTGATTGTTTGTTTACCTTTTTCCAAACTCACCGATGGCAAAATCTAGAGAATTACCAGAGCTTTTAGAAGCTATTAGTTTTTTGCAATCATTCTTTTGAGTAAGAAGATTCAATAATTTATTTTTAATATCTTAATTACTATCTGAGCTGCCTGTTTCGTCATTATCATGCTGATGGCTAAAAGGACTATTGTTAGAGGCGAGGTATTACTAGTGATCGTTGCTACTATGAAAATTTTAACTTTGCTGATTTAGCTAATTATTATTTTGCTATGTAAGGTTTACAACAACGTAGTTACTTTAAGGTGAGTTAGCATGCTGGTTCATATTCATTATAATTGGATTTTTATGACTATTTCCAACAAAATTGTTGCTGTGTTGCTGATAACTACTTGGGCTCTATGGAATTTAATTACCATTTTACACAGCAAGAGACGCTGTACTGATGACCCCATTCTATACAATAGGATTGCTTTGAGGATAAAACAACCTATTTTCAGAAAGTTTTCTTGAATGAATACCAACTTTTTTAGTGCTTTCTTTTTTTGTCTTCTTTTTAGCCTGATTAACAGAAACAGGAGTCGCTATTCCAGGACCTTATCCAACCGGACTGTGAATTCCAGCTGAGGATTGAACGGACCTCTTATTTAGAGTGATCATTGCACAAGTGAATGCTTAATAAGAGGATGAGTATCTTTTGTTTAAATTTATGTATTTATTATCTATTTCTTATTGTTAAGAAAACCTTTTGAATTATTTATTTTATTAATAAATTATTTATTTATTTTTATTTCTTCTTTTCAACGATTTATTCAATTTGTAATGAAAAATTCCAATTTATTTAAATTTTTCATATATTTATTTAACTTTTATTTATTTCAAATAATCTTTATTTTTTCTTCATGCTTGCTCGTTTTCTTTTAATGTTTTCATTTGAAAAAAAAGAATATTTTATTGCTACTATTCATTTTTAAGCAAGAGAACTGGCTGATTTATTTTTCTTATTTATATCAATGAGACCTCTTAACCAAATATTTTTACAAGTCTTATTTGATTAAAAATTTTATTTTTTATCTAATTATTATTTTTAAATTTTATTTCATATGTTTATTTTTATTTTTAATTTAAAATTTTTTATTTCTAACGAAATATTCTAAGTATTTTAAAAGACTTTCATATAAAAAATTATTTTCTTTCTTCAAACTCATGGTTAATAATTCTCTGATATAAATCCTAATCGTTTTTTAAAAGTTTTTAATTTTATAATTGTATAGAGATAATATCTAACAAAATTTAAAGAAAATAAATTAAATCAAAAAAAATTTATATTATTTTTGAGTTTTTTCAATAAACTACTGATAAGACTTTTTAATTTTCCAGTAATATTATATTTTTTTGATAGTTCTAGCAATTAATTTTTCAATTTTCTAAAAATATATTATAAATTTATAATTTTATCTTGAAACAATAGCAATTTCAAAAAAAAAAATAATAATAATAATAATAATATAAAGAATAAAAAATTATTATTATTCATGCAATTTACTTTAAATTTTATATTCAAACAAACTTAAAATGATTATTTTATAGAACTTACTATTTTAAGTATTAAAAAAGTATCTTGAGCAAATAAAACTTTTAATTATTAAAAAACCTAAACAAGATTTTAATTTGAATGGATAGATATTCTTTTATAATGAATTATAACTTTATAAAATAATAAACTATAAATATAAATTTACTGTATTTTTTGTAGCTTCTTACCTAAAAGGTATCCTCCAAAGAATTTAAAAGGCTACTTTATTTCTAATAAAAAATGTCAAAATTTAAATTAGGAAATTTACTTGAATAAAGAAATTAAGGTATAAATTATATTGTTGATTTTAGAGAATATTATAATTATTTTTACATCTATAAATTACATTCTATATATTTTAGATTTTTTATTTGTGGAGAAGTAAGTAAGTTTTTGTTATAATCTACAGATATTCTTAACTTTGAAAAATAGAGTAGTTATTTTCAAGGTTAGTACTATCAAATGTTTATCAAAAAATTGAATTACTAAAAAATTCTAAATAATCTTAAATTTTCAAAATTTTATATAACCAAGATAGAAAGAATAAATCTTTTAAATTAATAAATAAATTTAGAAAATAATTTATAAAGCTTAAAAATCAAACATTCAAATAAAAAACCATAAACTACTGCTCTTTTTTTAATTTGCTAAAAATACATTAAAGTTAAGCTTTTTTTAAAAAAAAATATTATTAAATGGAGAAAGAACTTTTCTGCGCCTATCATGTAGGCTAAAACATAACAAACTTTTGTGAAGATTCTTAATGCTTAATGCCTCTTTGCCCTAAATGCTTGCCAATTCATACATCTGAGCATAAATAAAACAAAACATATGGGTCATTTTAACCAATTGATGATATGATTTAAAGAGCTACATCAATATCTAAGTCAAAAATAGATAGCTATAAATAAATCTTAGCAAAGAATGAAAGATCTTCATAAAACGGATCAGAACTGCAAACGTATCTAATCAGATAATTAAAGTAATTACTTTAAATTCATTTTTTTATTCTGAGAATTTTTTAATAAATAATAATTTAAATATAGAGAGGCTAAGGAAAAGGTAGTTTTTGAAATAGAGACATTCTTCAATTCTTTAGAAAGCAAGTGCCAAAAATTATGCACAGAGTTAACTTACAAGAAATCAAACAACTTAAAGAGTGAGACATTTGATGTCGAAAAAAAGATACGTTAATACTAAGAATTTTTAGATGGAATCTAAAAAAAGGAAAAATGCTTAATGAGTTTGATCCGTATTTTTAAAGCAAATAAAGAAGATCAATTAGCAAATAATTTTGAATTGGGTCACTTAAATAGCAGTAGCGAAATTCCATAAAATGACTTAAAAAAAATATAAATCAAAGTAGACTTAGAGAAACTAAGTGAGATCACAGACTCTTTAAGCGGTTATGTCAAATTAGTTTACAATTAGTAATAAAAAGTAGCTAAAAAGTAAGTTAAGTTTGATGAAAATAGCTTGAGCAATAAATCTGTAAATTCGAGTTAAGATATATCACCTATAGTTTTTGAGTCACCTAACTCTAAGATAAAAACAGACAAAGCTAAGGCAATAAAAAGAAATACAAATAATGTTTATGATAAAGACTAAGAGTTAGAAGATGAAGACACTACTTCAAACAATTCTTAAAATAATCTACAAGAAAAACAACAACAACAAAACAAGTAAAAAGGATTTTATAAAGAAGCAGATGATATATACTTAATTAATGATCCTGACATTATAAGACTAAAATAAAAGTAAGAAGAGAGAAGGATTAAAAATGAGCTAAGAGAAATTGGAATGAAAAAAATAACCTCAAATTCGAACATCCCATAGAGTAGCAAAGTCAGAAGACCTCCAAATTCAATAGAAGATAAATTGGAAGAGTTTAATGAACCTTCTAATAATTTCATTACATTTGAAAGACCATCAAAAGATTAACTGAAATAATTCGCTAAACCAGAAGAGCTAGAGTTTTTAGAAAAAGTTTAACAAAAATCTATTTAGTTGTAATAAGAATTTGAGAAATAGCAAAATGAAATATTCTAGTCTGCAATTAATTATTAGATTCCAGTTCCATAAAGAAATGTTTATCAACCTAGATAATTCCCAGAATAAAAGTAATTATAATTTAATTCATAATAAGATTTACAACAGCTTCCACCAGTCTTTAAAAGCCATAGTGCATCATAATCATAATCAGAAGTAGATATTAGTTCTCCATCTGGAAAATAAAATTTATAAAATAAATACACAACTTAATAGCAAGTGCTATAGAGATCACCTCTAGCTGATAGATTTGATTAAAATAGCTTTAATAGGAATCCATCTGAGTTTATAAATAATTAATACGAAAACAATTTCAACAGAGTATAATCACCTTACAGTTTAAAGTCTCAAAATATGAATAGTCCAAACAGTAAATTGGTCTAGAATCCAATCAATTATGATATCTAAAGCAACGGATATCAAGCCTAGTAACAATGGAATAATAAAAAAATATTTTATAATTGATTGTTTAACGAAATTCAAACTTGTTACTTAATCATATTGATAATATATTGCTTAAAAAAATCAATCTAGCCTTTATATATTAATAAGTTTTACTGTATTAACTTCCATACAGCCAAATATTAAATAAATAAATAAATAAATAAATAAATAAATAAATAAATAAATAAAAAGGAAATAATTATTTAGTTTATTCGAATCTACATTTTTATATAATTCTTTTATAGCTGTTATTTTATTAATATTTCTACTAATTATTTTTTCATATTTTAAAATTTATTATTTAAATAAAATGAATACGAAAAATATTATTTATTTATGGCTTGATGAATAAAATTACGAAAACAAATTACCTCAAAAGTTTAAAATATTGCATCAATAAATATTATTAAATTAAAAACATTATTATCAAATGTAATTTAATATCTAAAATAAATCATTTCTATTTTGTTAAATAATTAATATTAATTTATTATCAAAATTTAAAAAGAATTTTCATGGATAATATATGAAGCTAAGTATAATATTTATTTGTGCTTGAAAAAATCTTATTTTTACTATTTAAATAATCATTAATTTAAATATTTATTATTAGTTAATTCAAAAAAAATTGATTGTAACCTTAAAAATAGCTAATAAATTGAAATAAAATGATGAAAATAAATGGATTTATAAACAATAAACAACTAATATTTAAAGTGTGAAAACAACAAACAATATTAGCTAGCAAATTATAAAATAAATTAGCTATGATTTGCCAAAACATTTATAATATTATTTAATATAATTTTTACTTTCTAGTTTATTTTTATATAGAGGTAAAAAGATTAATTTTTTAATGTATGTATGAATATATTTATTTATTTAATTTTGTTTATTTGTTTGGATTTTTATTTCCTTCTCTGATTAATTAAAGTTTTATATGAAAGCTCCTCCCTAGTTGGGTGCTAGCTAGATTTTTCAAAAATAGTAAAATAGAAGAGATGATCTTTATATTTAAGTAAAATTAATGAATGCATCATGAAGGAATTGATTGTCTGTGTCTCTAAAGGAGATCCTCATTTTTTGTTAGTGAAGATTAAATTTGAAAGGACGTTATCCTTTGAATTGATATAAAAGAATAAACCAAAAACTGTAGCAACCAGTAATATTTATAAGAAGAATTCACATCCAAAGATAGAATTTAATAATTTTTTAATTGGTGAAACCTTTCCAGTTTGAACTTCTTCTTCATTTTATTCATTTTCTTCCTTTTCTCTTTATTCCTTTTCTTCTTTCTTCTTGAAGTAATCCTTTAATGCATACTGGAATACTTCAAAGTTATAATTACCATTTTCGAAAATGTCTTTAACTTTATCCTTTCTAAGGCGGTCTAATCTTCTCAAAATTTTTTCATTATCTAAATCTACTTGCAGTTCTTCTCTTAGTTTATTCATTATACCATTATTCTTGTACTCCTTAAAGTCTAATTTTAATAAATAATTCATTATATTCACAGTCTCACAGAGAGTTTATAGTTCTTTCTTTGCAATCTTAACTTGATCAGGTTTTTTAGTTTCTGTGTAGAATTCGATAACTCTGTAATACTTTCTCATCATTTCTAATATGATTTCATATTCTTGGTGTTCTTCATTCATTTAAATAAAATTGGAGCTTGATTCATCATCGTGATCTTTTGGGATTTTACCTATAAATAATGTTAAATAAAAGTTAATATTTGATTAATAAAACTTAATAATATATTTTAAAATAATTTCATGTTTTTATTTATGAATTTATTTATTATTTTAAAAGTTGAATTCAAATTTATCAAAATATGATTTCAATAAAGTTAACATCTTTATCTGATTTCATTTATTTTGAGAAAAGAATATAATTACCTTCACTTATCAATCTTTATTCAACTTCTTCTATGTGCTTTTCTCTTTTAAATAGCATAGTTATTTATTCTGTTTCAAAGTCACTTCTTTCTTTGATTCTTTTAACGCAGTAATGAGCCTTTTAAAAATAAAATATTAAATTTAAAATAAGAAATATTTAATATTAATTTATTTATGTTATTAATTTATTACAAGGTTAACATAGGCTTCATTATGATCAGATAAATTCATAATTCTCAAGATACCTTGTTCTTATTAGAAAATTTTCTCAAATCTCTTCATTTCAATAGCTGTTTCAATATCTTTCTTGGCATCTTCAAGTTCCTTGATAGTACTGAATTTATTGTAAGCAACAGCTTATGATCTTCTAAATAGAATTTAAGAACTTTTTTGTGTAATTTTATAGGCATCATCTAGAGCTATTTATGCCATTTTAAAGTAGAAACATTTCATATATGCAACGGCTAAACTCATATAGATGGTCATTAACATGCTCTATCTCATTTCAATATCTTAACTGTCAGTTAAGTCTTCTCCATCATGAAGCACTACATTATCATCTGTATAAGTAACCATCTAATTAAAATTAAAAAATATAATTAAAATTTGTAGAATTTTATCATCAAAAAAGTTCAATTATTAAATTTGATAAATTAGAGATTATCATCAAAGCTTGTGATAAATTTTCAAATATTTTTAAGATAGATTCATTTTAATTTTGAATTATTTTTTGTTGATTATATTCTGGTAGGCAAATACTAATTTTATTTTAATTTTCTTTCATTAATAAAATGTAAATGCGTGTTTGCTTGAAGTGGATTAGACTAGAAAAACCAGCTGATTTTTGCTAATTTATTTTTTAGATACTAAAAATAGTAAAAGTGGATCAGCTCTTTTAACTTAAATGAAATTTATTCAGAGCGGAATACAAAGTGAATTTATAGTTTTTGTTTTAATGTTTAAAATCAATCTATTAATCAATCAAGCAAGAAAGGGAGTTTCACCCAAAATTATTATTTTCTTTATTATCCACATAGTAATTAAGTGGATGATTAGAATTTATTTAGTTATTTAAGAATGCAAATTAGTACGCTAATTAGTGTAATTTAATTTGCTTGATTAATCGATTATTAAATATAGTATGAAATCAGTATAATAGATATTAAATGATTAATTTATTACCAATCCTTTGTATTTCTTTCTAAAAGCCTTTTTTTCCTTTTTCACTTATTCTAATAGAGCTAATCTCTCTTTCTTTTCTTCAGGAGTTTCTTTGGGTAGGTCCTTAAAGAGTGGATCATTTTCTGCATTTTCTTCTTCCATTTCAACATGAACTTCATGGTTTTCTTTTTTTTCTTCATTTTAGTCATCGTTAAGATCTTTTTTATCTGTATCTGATGAGTTTGAGGAGGAAGCAGCTGTAGTCTTTTTTTCGTCTTCATCATCACTATCATCTTTTTCTACATGTTGCAACCACTTGAAACAACTCATAGCTCTTTCATAGTACAAAATAGATTCTTCATAATTTCCTTTATGGAATTCCTTATTACCCTTTTCACGCAACTTATCGTATACAAAGAAACGCTAAGCTACTTCTAATTCACGTACTTTCTTCATATTTTCATCATTCATAAATAGCGTGTGTTTTAAATATACAGGATAGGTGTCGAAGACCTTTCTCTTTTCCTTCAAATTCTTTTAAATTAAATAAAAGTTGAGATTACATTTTTAAAATTTATTTTTATCATAAATAGTTAGTATGTCTGCTTGCTATTTAGTCAGTTGATTTGGTTTTTTTATTTGTAAGTTTGAAATAATTATTTTTGGAAACAATTTAAATGTAATTTGAAAGATCTTTGTTTGAATGAATAAATAAAAAAAGTAAAAAAGTTGCTGAATTTTTTTCTTGCATATTTTGCGTGAAAAAAATAAGAGTGATAGTATATATGTTTGTATGTATGTATGAATGAATGAATAAATGTATTAATGTATGTTGGTTAGTATATTTTTTTAAAAGACCTATTAATTTATTAATTTGATTTTTGAATGGAATTAATTAATTTAGTTTGATTAAAGTACTACTAGAGAATTAATAATATAAGTGTAATAACTGAAATACGCCTAAAATTAAAAAGCAATGGCAAATCTACACATTTTAAGTTTTTTTTAAATGCAAATTCAACAACTCGTTTATTTCTACTGGAATAAATTCAAAAGAAATTTTAAATATAAAGGAAAAATTATTACAAAGTTTGGCTTTTCAAGCTGATCAAATGAGAAAGATAAAAAGCCTCTGTAGTCAATTTAATATGAATGAGGTGAAATAAATTCTTCATTCCATCCTTCTGAAATGCAATCCAAATTAGGGTTCTTCTTCTTTTCAGAGGGCATAAAAGGACAACCACCTTTAGGTTATTTTTCCTTCTTTTTAGGCTTACCATCCTCACCCAACTTTTCCTCGGTATTCTTCTACATTTAAAAGTAAGGACATTTATCTTTATCATCTTCAGAATACTTTTCATGACCCTTAGGAAGAGGTAATGATGATTCAACCTTACTATTCCTATTAGTCACTGTGCTATTTTAATCATCTTTCTTCTTTTTTTTCTATTCAATTTCTTCTAAGAAGGGTATATTCTCCTTCTCTTCTAAGTCGTCGACCTTCTTTTTATTCAAATTACTCTTCCTGAAAAATGAAGAAAGCATCTCTTGAATTTGCTATTTTAAATATTTGTTTTGTAGTTGCTTTGTTTCTTCTTTGAAATTACTTTTTTGTAAATATTAAGAATTCAATTATTATTTATTTATTTGTTATTTATTTCTCTTCTCTTTTAATATGTGTATAATCTGTGTTTCTTTTAATCGAACGAATTCATTACAAAAATTCATAAATTAATAAACAAACAAACAAGCAAAAAGAGTATCAAATAAATAATTTCCATTATTGCTTCATTCAATCCTTCATGCGATTTTTAATTGGTTTATTGATACCTTTCAAATTAAATAGAATGGATCAATTAATCAAACAATCAAGCAATCAAATAGATCAATTAAAGTCTTTAAAATTCAACTAAACGCTGAGAGAGATAGACTAAAAACTGAATTCAGTATAACCTCTAAAAAAATTTTTAATAAAGAAAAGCAAATTTTATCGAATTTTCAATCAATTCAAATTATTTTTAAATGCCCTTATACATTTAAATTTTAGTTATCTCGATTTTAATTGATTATTACAGAAATTAAACAAGCTTATTGCTCTTAAAAATTATGTCGAATAAAAATTATATAAAATAATTTTATTTCATCAAAACTCAAGTAATTTAATCTAAGTTTCATAAATTTGAAATACCATAAAAGTTATTAAAGCTAATCAATCAAATATAATCAAAATCTTCCAATTTATCTCAGTTCGATTTTACATAAATTTTATTAAACAAAAAGGCAAAAAGAGTTTAAATATTAAAGTAATAATCTTAATAGTTTTATAGTATTTTTATCTAAAAAATTTTGATATAAAGTATCAAAGCTCTAGTCAAACTAAAATACCCCTAAAATTGTCTACATTTTCTATTGAAAGATAACATTCATCAAATATAAGAAATTATTCTTTGACTTTTCTAATTTAAATTAATGATTATGTAAGCTATAAATTAAAATTTCAAATATTTTTTGTAAAATATTAAGCTCTTAAAAATATACCTGAATTATAGATAATTCATATTTATAAAATAAAATCTCTGAAACATATCAATCATAAATAAAATAATTAAACCTTAAATGATATCAACAGTCTAAAGTAGTATTAATATTATTTTATAGATTATCAAAAATTTAAAAAAAATCGTGATGCATGATATGTGAAAGGTAGTTTGTTATGGTTTTTTTCTAAAATGAATTTTGTCTTTTATTTCTAATTATTTTTTATTTTAATTATTTGATTTTTTTATTTATTATCAATTTTTTTATTTTCTTAATTTTTTATTTATTTATTTAATGTGTTAATTTATTTATTTATTTATTAATTTATTTATTTTATTATTTATTTTTATTTTTTATAGTGGCTATTCTAAATTAATTTGCATGTCAATCTAATTATTTTTTAAAAAATACTTTTTATATATTTAATATAGGATTTAGGAGAGAGAATTTGAAAAATGGTTTCATCAAGTAATCTAAGCTTGATGGTCTTTTGAGCATGAGAGTCTTCTAAGCAGAATTATTTGGAATGCGGGGGTTTCGTAATGCTTTTTTTTATTTTTTTTTTCTGTCGAAAGAGATTCATCAATAAATAATTGAAGTTAAGCATTTCAAATATGAATGAATGCCTTTCAGTCAAGAGGGTTAACTGAGTAACTTCATTGTGGGGATCCCAAATTCCATACTTAAAAACTTATCCGCTTATCTGCTTAGCGATTGGTTTCTCACACTCAAAAAACTTCAAAACCATTTTTCTTAATAATTTTAACTTTCTGCTTTTTGTTCACAGATTTTGTTAATTTTTATTAATTTAATTAATATATAAAAAAAGCTTAACTTCCTTTCTGCTCTTAAAAAATTTGAACTCAAATAAGAAAAAAAATTTAAATTTAACTATTTGAAATAAAAATTCATTTTGATAAATTAATAAAATAAAATTATTGAATTTTTTAATGAGTAAAATATTTTCTTCTAAAAATAAATATGCTTCAATTTTTATAATTTGTAATATAGTTTAAAATTAAATGATTAATTTTAGAATTTTTAAATAAATTAAGTTTTTATTTTATCAAGTAAAATAGTGCAATAATTAAATTAAATTGAAGTAAGATTTATAACAGAATTTATATAAAAATTATTTATTAAAATTATTAAAAATTAGAAAAATACTTAAATAATTAATGTAATTTTTTTTCCATTTTATTTCACCTTTAATTTTATTTAGGAAATTATAATATTTTTAATTATATTATTTCATCGTTATTATTGATAAAAGTTTTTGATTTATACAATAAGTCTAAATAATAAATAGATATTTATTTTGATAATTTTCAATTATTATAATATAAAATACTCAAATTAATAAGATTGTAAATAGTTAGCATAAAATATTTAGCTATTTATTCAAATTAATATGATTTTATTTTTGATTTTTTTAATTTACTAATTTAAATTTAATCATTTAAATTTCTAAATTTTTAAAAATCTTAATACTAAATATGAATTTATGAAAAATTCTTTTATAAATATAAAATTAAGCAAGGTGTTTAATGACATAAATATTTATTTATTTTTGTGTACTAAAATTGTTTTTAAAAAAATACAATAAAATGAAATAAATATTTTTAGAAATTATTTTAAAAACTACTATTATCGAGCTAGCTAAGACATCATAAATTTAGTTTTGATTTATTTTTTATTTTGTCATACAAGAAATTAGTGGCTAAATGATAATAGTTGAAAATATCTGATATTATTAATTATTAACAAAAATTTGATTTGGAATATTAACATTAAAGTAAGAGATGATTTAGTAGTCAAGCAAAAATACGCTAAAACTTTTTAGGTTGTTTAATTCATTATGTAATTAGCAAAGTAAATCAATAAAAATGAATAAAGAAAGATGAATTCTTTAAATTTTATTTTAAGTATATAAAATAAACAGCTTCAACTTAGCAAATGAAATGCCTAAAGGAGCTTTCGATTCAGATGAAAGATCATATTAAAATTAAGAAACAAATTAGTAGAAAAGCTAACCATAATAAAATTACTAAAAGAAATAATATTATTCAAATAATTAGTAGCAAGGATAAACTGCCACTGTAGGAGGATACTAAAAATTGCCATTTTAAGGTATGAATTTCATATTAGAAGCAATTTAATAAAAATTTTTTTTTTTTATAAATTAGCTTGGAATGATTCAATTTATATAGCTGGATAAACTCATACAATTTATATAATTCCTATTCCTGTAAAAATATATATATATAAATTGCTATTAAAATTTAGAACTTTCTTAATTAAAAATACGAATATTGTCAATTTGCTTAAGAAATATTATAATTCACTCAATATAAAAATTAGGTTTAAATGATTTAAAGAAAGGCATCACTTGGTTTATCATCTAGATTCCATGGTTTATTATTCTAATTTTCTAAAAATGTGCCAAAATAAAATGACTCTATGGTAAAATTAATAGTTTATATATGTCTTTTAATCTCCCTTTTAATAAAGCCATAATAAAAGCACATAAATGCTAAGTATTTTAGAATTGGGTTAGATTAACTAGACAAGATCATTTATCATGATATAGATAGCTAAAATGCTAAGGATTTATATTTAGGTATTGATTTAAATATGTGAAAACAAAAATTAATCTTAATTATATTCACAAGTTGAAACCACCTCTATAGAAAACAAGTATTTGAGATTTTAAAAGGACACTGAGAAAAGTTAGGTAAAATTATCAGTTCGCTTCAAGAGTTAAGATGGTCAGGAATCAAATGATAAAATTGACATCGAATTCCCTATTACAAAATTCAAATTTCTTTAAGACAACATTAAGGTATTTAAACATAAATTTAAACGATTTTAAAAATTTTTATATTTTCTTGAATTTTTTTTTACGAAGCAGATTAATTAAACAAATTTAAATTAAAATAATAATTTTGCTAAAAAAATTAATATTTTTATGGATATCTACCTCGTTTAAAATTAAAAAGACCAAAGTTATTTCTAACAAATCTATAATAAAAAGTAATTGATACTATTTTCTAAAAATTTTTTTCATTAATACTGCTCTTGTTCTATTAAATTACTGAATTGAAATTAAATCTAAAATCTATTTATATTTCACTTAAAATTTAGATCAATTCTTAACGATATTTATTTTAATGTTAAAAATATTTTTTAGCTTTCTCTTCCGTACTTATCTGGTTGGGCATTTACTTCATAACAATTTCAATAGAAAAATATGAATGCAGGTAATCCAGTTGATGACATGTGAGAAGAAATATATTTAATTAACTATATAAATTATAAAATTAGCTTAATTTTGAAACCTAGAATAATTAATTAATAAATTATGTATTATTTTGATCCTAAAATTTTTAATTCTATCAAATTTATAGACTAATTTTATGTAAAAATTAATGAAAGCTAAATTTGGATAAATTCACGATAATAGTATAAGCTGCCTGAATATAGATTTATATAAAAATCAATAATCTATTTATTTTGAAACTGAGTATTTTTTGTTTATATATTTAAGTAATTTATATTATTTACAAAGAATTTAATGAGTAAAATAGCAATTTACTAAATTTATTCTAATTAACTTTTTAAAACAAATAACTAACTATTATTTTGCATAAGGTTATTTTCAAATCTATAATTTATTCAATTAAATCTTTTGTCTATTAAATATTTAGTTTATAATTTTAGAATTTGAAATAATTTCATAGAATTTTGTTTAATAAATACATTTAGAAATAACTGTTTAAACTACAAATATATACTTTTTTTACTTATAAAAAAGGATAAAAGAGGTAAAAACATGTAATAGTTTGAGATTAAGTTATCAAAATAAGAGAGAGGTAATTCAAAGAAACAAATAACTTAATTTTAATAAAAGGAGTATGGGTGTAATTAAATACCTATAAATATAATGGATCAATCATATACAAAAAGGCATTATAATACAGAGAATACATCAATTAAATTCAGATTATTATATAAGTTAAGAATGTAAGTTGATTTTAAATTAGTTGATTTATTTATTGATGAAATGAGTGAATTGCTATTTTAACTAACTAATTAACTAAAAAACAAATAATTATTACTTAAGAGGGTAAATAATATGCTTTTTTAATTGATTTAAAGAATGACTGTATGAACCAATATGTATATTTAGCTGTATGTATTTGTTTTAGTTATTTATTTATTTGCTATCTTGTTTGTCTGCTTGCTTAATTATTTTTTGTTTGTTTGTTTGTCTGTTTGTTATTATTATTATTCCTATATGAGCAAATTCATTCATTCAGACAATATCATTCAACAATATTATTATTATAGAGAGATCCCTTATTTAAAAGGTATTTTTAGTTTTTTATTTTATAAATGATTTTGCTATTTTACTAAAATTTTTTTCAATTAGGTTTAACTTTCTTCTTTTGGGTAGATTTTTGTTCAATGGCTTCAGCATCATCATCATCTTCTTCATCTTCAGCATCATCGTCATCAGCACCTTCGTCGAATTCTTCGTCACCTTCTTCTTCTTCGACTTCTTCATCATCATCACTTTCTTCGTTTTAGTTAACACCTTCTTCATCATCATCACCTTCATCGCCTTCATCTTCATCTTCATCATCTTCTTCGTCTTCGTCTTCGTCATCTTAATCATCACCCTTAAAGATAGTAAAAAAAAAAATCAATATTTAGAAACTAAAACTGAAAAGTCTGTTTTTGTGCAGCATTTTTTTGGAAATTGTATAATTTATAGGGGGGTATTTTCGAAATAAAATATTTATCTACTATCCTTTTAAACTCACAAAATGAATCATGAAATTTAGAAAACTCAAAAAAGTTAAAAATAGTCAAATGATCATTGATATCGATCTTAAATGTGGTTAAAAAATTAAAAACTTCTTACATCTTCATCGTCTTCATCATCGTATTGGACTTCTTGACCCTTGCTATCATAGTTATCAAGGATTCCAAGACCCTTCAAAGTAGAAAATACGTATTCTCTGTAGTTAGGATCTTAAGCTACATCGTTGTTGAGGAAATCAAGTTAGAAAAGTTTAGGGAGTTATTAGAGGACATCGATTTCCTTGAGGTTCTTAATGAGATTACCGCCCAAAGAGAGAGATTGTAATTCACTTAAGTGGAGTAAATGCTTGAGTTATTAACCTGTAATTTTATTATCAATCAACTCAACTCTAATCAATTTAGGAAGCTTAGGGAAATTTTCCAAAGAGGTGATTTCACATTCGTTCAAAGAGAGGGATGTCAAGTTGGGGAAGGATTCTAACTTCTTTTTAATTTCTTCAGTAAATTTGCCAATCTTAGACTTGTCCAAAACGAGTTCTTCGATTGTGTTGGGGTCATTGTTTTGGGTTTATTCTTCAATTAATTCAAAAATATCTTAAGACATCTTATAATATAGGTTTATCGCTCTTTTATTTTTGGTTTATTTGGATTTTTATTATATTTTTTCAATTATATGGATTGAATTTATTTAATTTCTTATTACAAAAGCAAGGCCACCTTCATACATACATACAAATAAACATATATAAATACAAACAAATAAATAAATATGCATACATACATATATACTTACCTACCTACCTAACTATTAAGATTCCTATTTATTTTTTAACTCTATTGATAACAAAAAAAATGTATAGACATATGTACTCTTATACTAAATATACATGCAATATTTCATAAGGCAATCAAAGAATTATTATAACAAAAGCAAGCATCTTCATTCATATTTACAAAATTTATTAAAACGAGCAAATAAATTTACAAATTAACAAAAAAAAAATAAATAAATAAATAAATAAAACATATCTATATATTATACCTAAATAAATGAATGAATGATTTCCTTGTTAATTACTTGTATTGATAATTATAAATAAATATTGAATTTGCTTTTAAACAATATTCAATTTTTATTTCACTTTAGATGATGATTTTCTTTCTTTTTTTTTCTTTATTTCAATAGTTTTGAATTCTATTTATTTGATTGCTACATTGGTTTTAACATAATTAACAAATTTCATTTTTACTTTCATCTTAAATAAATAATATTTCTTTATTTACTTAAAGAAATTAATTGTAATTCATTTATATCACTCATTCATTCATAATTGTTAACTCAAACAAGAAGCATAATTAATAGCTCACAATAATTTTTTTTGCACCTCATTATTAAAATTAAAATTCATTTGCTCTTTATTCTTACAATCTAATTTGAATTGATAATTAATTAAAATATAAAAAAAATTCACTTTGATAATTATTAAGAAAAATAAATATCTTTGAGTTTTCGAGACATATAGTTCTTTTATTTTACTTTCTTTAAAATCAATAATCTAAAAAAATTCTATAGATGCACTAGATTCTTTCTAAAATCTTTCCTTACAATATAAATCTTTTCTCTCTATTTATTTTAAGATGTTTAATTTGAATTTATTTGTCTATTCAAATATTTAATTTGGATCCCACCATTCTCTTTAATATACTTTGGACCCCACTGATTAATTTATTTTGAATTAGATTTTAAATTTTAGATCTTTCCGCTTAATTAAAATTTTTTAAATTTGAAATCCCTTAGTTAATCTAAGTATATTTGATAGAAAGTTTTAAGATACAATATATCAAGCAAACAAAGAATGCTAAAAGATTAATAAAGTTCGCTTATAATACTTCAAAAAAGCTTACTAATTATTTTATAGTCTAATGATAAAATTATTTTATTTACAACTTTAAGAGTAGAAATAAATCTTATAATTTTGCATTAAATTTTTAAAAAAGTTAAAAAAATTATATTGCCAAAGAGAAATAAATTATAAATTAATTATTTAAAATAATAAATTAGTAATATAAACTATTATTTATTTATTTGATAAATTAGCTTTTATTAAAAATATTTTAGCTTAATTAATTTTAAAATTTCAAATTTTAAAGTTTTTAGACATATAATTTTAAGCTTTTACAGCTATCTATTTAGTAATTCAAAGCAAATTTATGATTAATAATGTCTAAACCTCTTGAACTATTGAATTGAGTATAAAAAAATTTTATTTTCTTGAATTAAAATAAATTTTTATTAGCATTAAAAACTAAATCCTCTGCTAAAGATTTCTAAATCTTAAATGTTAAAATGAAAATATCTTTATTTAAAATATTATTTTTTCTTGAATTAATGTAAACATTTTTTGATGGAATCATTCTCAAAAACTTAAATTTAATAAATTCCAATAAATTATATCACTGTTTAAAATTTTCAAATTTTGAAAACCTATTTTTTTTGTTTTAATATGAATTTTAAGCTTTAAATTTGTGAATATCATTTATTAAATTAGGTCTTTGTTTAAAAAAATAATTAATTAAAATAATGTGTTTATTAAATGAGTATTAACAACAAGTATAATTTTAGATGAATTAAATACTTTTACTATAACATTTACTGAAAAATAAATATTTTCATTTATTATAGACAATACTTATTTTTATTTTAATATAAACACTCTAAAATAACAATTATTTTACCTTTATTTTTTTAATTAGGTAAAAAATTCATTTAAAGAAAGAAAGGCCTATTTATAATTTCTAAAGATTGTATGCCACCAATATATAAATAAATTATTGTTATTATTATTTTTATAATGATCAATAGTCTTCTTCTTCATCATAATTATATGATTGGTCTTTCCATTTATACATAAGCTCTGTATCCAGAGCTTTCTTAATGAAGCTATTAGTCTATTCATTAAGTTTGTTTAAACCTGATTATCCTGAATTCATAGGTTATTATTGTTATTGAAGTTGATTCTATTTTTAGGATAAATTAGAACCATTCAAGTTCTTTTTCTTTTTTGTTGCAAATTTTTGCTAAACCTTTTAAGGAGCTTCCTTGAAAGCTTTGACTATTTCTTACTTTTAAGATTAGCTCCTGTCTAACGTTGATATTTGTTTTCCAGTTTATTAGAAAACTCCTTTTGGTTATTAACTTGGTTTTTTAATTCCACTACTATTTAGTACAGATGATGAGAGAATATTAGTTCCCCTCATTGGATCAATACTTTGATTTAAAACACTATCATTTAACATAGATTAGTTGTTATGATTATTAACTATATCTAAGTTAGAATTTGACTCATGGTTATTATTAAATCCAGTTTAACTATTCTCAAACTTCGAATTTGCCAATAAATTTTATTTATCTACATAATTATTATCCAGTTTTGCTACTTCTTAGCCATTTTAAGTTTATTACTAAGGATTTTAATGTTATTACATACCTTAAAGCACCCCACTTTTTAAGGAAGAGCGGTTGTGTACTTATGCTTTAGGTCTAATACCTTATTCTGTAGAAGCATGTAGTGTGTTAGATTTATTTTTTATATGTGGTACACTACTATTATCTGCATATTAATTTATTAGGTGACCAGCTACATCCTATATTGCTTCATTATTTATCATAAATGTCTTATTGTAATCATCTTCTTCGTTTTTCTATAATATTGACTTATTGTCTGTTTACCCGAAACTTTAATTATCATTTTACGAGGGCTAATATCTTTCATTCTTTTTCAATATTATACTATCATTTGAATCGTTATGTTTAAGATTCTTAAGAATTCCTTCCTCCAATTGAGTTGTCTTATTATGTAGACCGGAAATATCATTTAAATTAGAATTGATAGAGTATATATCTTTTTTGTTTGAGCCCAAATAAACTTCACTTTTATCAAATTACGTGACTTCTGCTTCTGTAAAATTAACAGTTCTGGTAGGTGATAGTTAATTTTATTTGTCTAAGGTATTATCCATATTGTTTTACTATTAGTTAGGATTATTATTGATGAAATTTTATTAAGTATTATTTTTATCATAAAAGCTACTACTGTTATTTTCATTATTTTGCATAACTCTGTTTGTTTAGTTAAACTATAAATTTTGTAAAATTTCATCATCTAAAACAGAAAGTATATTTGGATTTTCATTATTTTATTATTTAAAGTTGGTATCTGTGATAATGTTTTAATCTGTCTCGTTCAGGTAATAACTCATTGATTAGTTATTTTATGCGTATGGGTTTCTTCTAGATAAACCACCATTCATTGCAGAATTTGGTGGTAACTCGCTCATTAAAATTTGACTATTATTGAACTATAGTTAATGTTCTTTAATTGCTTCACGATAATCTGGTTAGACTTATATTGTTTCATCATTTTGGTCAAATACTTATTTTAAAGCATTTTTATTGTTTGTTGATTAAGCATTTTTGCTACTCCTTAAACCATTTGGTAATATGTGCTTTGGGGTTTAGTTTTTTTGTAATGTCTTTTTTGATGCCTGATTTTCAACAGATTTACTCTTTTCACTATCGGAATCTGATATATCATTATTCTTACTTTAGCTTTGACCATCTTTATTTACATACTCTGTAATTGAATTTTTCTTTTATCTAAGTACCATTTTTTATATTTCTTTTTCTCTGTTTATCAAGCGACGCTTTGCCATATACTAAATAAACAAAGGTTTTTCTATTTTATAGAAATTGTAAAGAGTTACTGTCATCATATAAAGTAAAATTAAAAATATGCCCAAGATTAGAGATACTCCTACAAATTATTTTATTGTTTATCCTTCAATGCCAAAAGAAAATTCATACCAACAACCTAAAAAAAGACAAAAGAACAGTAAAGTCTCATATATAATTTGTTATTTATTGTTTTCGACAGTTGTAAATGGTTTAATTGCTATAAGGACCATATAATAAATAAACTAAAATACTATTACTAATATAGCTTAGGTTACTGGTTTGTTATAAGCCCCAACTATACAACAGACAAGAATAAGCTATTTCAAGGCTTGAATAGTTCTAAAGTTTTACTAAAATATATTTCCATTTATGAAATTAATATCACGCAAGTATATTGAGAATCTAAAGATGTCATGATTCTTATCTTTTTTCTTAAACAAATTTATACTCTTCATAAGAGTGTAAGTGTGAAAATATACCATCACAACGATCAAAACTAAGCTGATAACAGCACAAACAGTGCCAATAACATGTAAAGCCCCTTAGGTTGATGCATGTTAAAATTATAAAATCATATAAATAAATAGAGCTAAAAGACTATGGTATAAGAAGAAAGGGATAATTTCATTTTTAATAGTTCTTTCATAGATAAATTTAAAACCCTTCACTCTCTCATAAACTCTAATAAAGATATAGCTAAATAATGGAATCAAGTTAATAATAAAATAATTTATAAAATTTAATAAGAAGTTCGAAGTCATATCATAGTAAAGCATAAACTTAGGAAAAGAAAATATATCTTCTAATTAAGCAGATGAATTTGAGAAATAAACAGTTTATTGTCTTCCACTTAAAGTCATTTTATCTTAATCAACTTAAAATACTCTTGGCAAAAGATTTGGTAAATTAACTCTGTTAAATCCAGTAAATATATCTTAAAGAAAATATGGATAAGGCATATTTAAGAAGCCTAGCAAACTCAGACTTTGAATGAAATACATAAAATTCATCAAATATAGCATTTTGCCTCTATAAGCAAGCTATAAGCTAGCGAAAAAAATAACAAAAAGCATAATATAAGTAAAAATATTCCACTAACCAATTTCCTAACAAGTGTCATCTATTGTATCAAATTAATTAGATTATTTGCAGTCACAAATACCTAATTTGCTTGAATAAGTGTCTTATTATAAATTCTCAGATTAAACATATCTCCATCTTTTATATAAGAAAATGTTAATTGTTATAAAAAGTTTCAAAAAATTTTTATTTTTTATCCAATGCATTTATTGAAAAAAATTAAAACTTTCGGTAAGAATAAGTTTTTTAAAAAGTAGAAAGTAGAAAAAACAAATATGTTAAATTAAAGTTATTATGGCTATTGAATATACCTGATAGAAGAACACTCTTTGCACTAATCCCATCCTGTACCAGTGCAGTCATGGCAAAGACTATGACACTCAATGCAAGAGTCTTAACTCACATCATAATAATATCCGCCCATGCATACTTAACACTCTACATTAGCAAGTCTATAAACAGAGTCTTAACATTTGTCTGAAATACATTTTTTTTCACTGAAATAATACCCGTTATTACAAGCTAAACATCCATATATACTACTATCTTAGCATTAAGCGCAATTTTGATCATAGCATTATTTACATTATCCTTTTTAAAAAAAAATTTATTATATTGAAAATCTAAATAATTATGATATACCATTTACAAGAGCGTATTATTTATTACATTAGCTACACTATCCGCTTGAATTACAAACAGAGCAACCTGGAGAGCATTCTTTGCATACATTTGATCCATCGGTTGGAGGGATACTATTTATTGGACATTTTTAGTAGCATTTACCTAAAATAAATTTAAATCATATTAGTTAGTATGTTTTTTGTATTTGTATATTTGAAGATATCAAAGTAGAGATAAATTTGTGGTCAAACCTTAATTTAAAATTATCGCATATTATTTGCTTTTAAAAATTTAACTGCAGAGTAATATAAATTTGATGCAATAGACAACTTTATTTGAGAATATTGTGATTTAATAATAATTGCTTGCATCATTTTTAAAATGCATCGATATCCTAAATATTGTTTAAAAATCATAACAATTACCTTAGAATAGGTAGTAATTGATATAACATTATGAGCATTAGTTTTAAGATAAGCAGATTTAGCAATTAGGATCGCACAAAACACATGTTCTAGATGGTACATCTAAAACTGAATTTAGACCACAATTTTATACACACTTTCCCTACTGAATTAGAAAGTTAGTAGGGCAAGACTAAAGACACTAGCGTCCATCAAAAGACACTAACAAATTGTTAGTGCAAGAAGTGCATGTGTATTGATCAATACACGCGCTGCAATACTGATCAGGGCAAAGATTTGAGTAAACATTAAATTTTCTTATACCAAAACTCACCATAGAAGAATCAGAAAGTGTATTAGATGTTAGTGAAATACTTAAAGTATCTGCTTTATGATCAATCACATTTGTAATTTTTAATAAATATCCTCCATCAACAGTGTTTTAACAAGCTAATTAATTTGTATAAGCATCTTGTAAGGTAAATTTAAATTAATTTTGATCTGCTGTTAGAACTAAGTAGTCTGATCTTGTGCAACTTTATACTCCCTAAACAGCCCAAGTTCCAAATCTAAAATAAATAATTATATAATAATTTTTACTAAGACTGTTAACTGAAAAAATATTAATTTTTTATTAAATTTGCCTTTTTAGTTAATTTTTGTTTCAGCTTAATATTTTTATTGCAGTTAAATATTTGAGTAACTCAACTGTAAAAAATTTCATTCATAAATTTAGAAGAAACTTTTTTTAATTTTAAGTTAGAAATGCTTTCTAGTTAAATATGAAATCTAGTGCTAAAAAAAAAACATCATTCATTGATTTATAAACATGTAAGCTAAATTTATAAGTTTATTTCATTAAAAAATTACAATATCAACTCGACATCAAAACCAATTTGATAATGAGGCAGATTTGTCATAACTGAGCGAGAAATTTGAAATGCGTATGGTACTGAATTAGCTCCGGGAACACAATAATACATATTTGATGGTGGCTGATTTTGGTTTCTCCTATTATACAAATAAAAATAATTGAATTTTGTTTAGTCATGCTATATTTTTCTTTTATGAAATTGTATTTTTTCTGCTTGTTTGCTTTGGCTTGGAGCTTAATATTCTTTTAGTTTCCAAAGTAAATTTCAATAAAATAAGAAATTTATATAAAATCCTATTGTTATTCTCTTGCTAAAGCTAACTTATGGTTAAACTTGAAAAAACTTGATAAGCGTTTGCAAATCTTCAAACAGCAGACACATAAGAAATAATATGAATTAAATTTACGTGCCATAAACGTATGCTGGACTATAATTATCAGTTGGATCGCAATTGCTTAGATTTATTTAACCCCCTTATACTTAAGTCTAAAAGTAATAATATGATGATTAACCTTCTAATAATAATAGATCCAAAAATTAAATAATACCCATCCTTCTGTCGACTATGCTTAATTAGAAGAGATGTTCATCTAATAAAACACCTGCTTTCTGATCGTTATTTAAGTTAATACGCTTTTTATTGTCAGCCATACTATAAAAAAGATACCTAAACTAAATCTACTCCAAACCATATTAAAATGAACTTCTATATACTTTATTTAGCTAATAAATTAATAAAAAAAATTTTATTATCCACTTTTTTATTTGATACAAGTAGAAAACACCACTCGCTAACAATCAATAATATATTATTTAATTAATATTTGTATAGATCCTTTACTCTACTCGCATGCATACTAATAACTCAATTACGAATACAAAAAATAATGTGCACCTAAGCTACTCAATATAATATTCAGAATTTAGAATTTACTTTCTCAATGAATTCTTTCATAATCTTAAGCAAATCCACTAAGATAAATAGAATATAATACAAACAATGTAATAAATATTTATTTCATGGTTTTAGTTTCTTGCTTGATACCACTAATTATATTAAATTTTACTTATTTAAAATAATCCTTAAAAAAAATAATTCCATCACCTAAATATTTGTTATTTTCAATGTAATATTTAACTCCCTCTCTAATTTATTTTAATCAATCCACTCGTATATAAACATAACGATTATTTTTTTAAATTTCTAAACGCATTTATTTTTTGTTTTAAAAAAAGTAACTAACTATAAAACCTGCTAAATCATTAATATAATAGATAAATATAGTACACTATAAATAATAAAATTTATTTATCACAATTAAAATATTACAGAATTATTTTATTTATTCTGATAATTGCATCAACATTAGAATAAAATATAATAATACTATATATCAATCTGACCGAAATCAAGTAAGTTATCAAAGTGAGTTAATGTAGTTTAATTAATGATAAAAATTGTATATTTAAGATGACCTTACATTTCAAATCATCAAAAGAATATTTGTAAATTAAATTTCAATTTTCCAGTTATTCTTTTATAATTTGTATCTTTATTAGTAAATCTATCTAGGATAGAAGATCTAAATTTTTAATAAAAATATTTTAAATTTATATAAAATATAATTAATTAAGCAATATTATGAATTTCTAATATTTTTAAAATTCATAAATACTTTGATAAATTTAAATATTTTGAAAATTAAATAAGAAAATATCAATAAATTTATTATGCTATAAAGCATTTATTTATGAAAATAATTTTCATTAGATATTGATTTGTTACTAAATAAAAAGGCTTTTCTAAAATAAGCAAAATTTTAATCAAAAATTTACTATTAATATTATTTTTTATTATAATAAAAATAATCATAATTATACCTAAATATATATGAGGTTGTTTATTTAATAATTAATCTCAAATTTGTGGTAAATTTAAATAAATTTTTATTTAGAAAATAAAAAAACTAAACATTTTTTAATTATAGATAACGTATTTCAAATTAATTTTAGGCTTTAAAAACCACCAGTTGTATGATATTAAATATCCACAAAAATTCTATTCTGAAATTATTAATTTTTTAGTTATTCAAGTGATCTTTTTTTTATCATAAAATTTTATTGAATTCAAATAAATAAGTGGTTTTTATTTGTTTCTTTTTTAATAAAAACTTATTTATGACTTTATTTAAATATTTCCTTACTTTAAGTTATTTATGGAATAAAAAATAGAAAGTCTTATAATATAATATATGTATGGATTTTAACCTCAAATTTTTAATTCAAAAAAAGTTTGATATAAAAATGTCTAATTATGGATAAATTTTAATCATTTTGCTTTGGTAACAAACAGTTTTTAAGTAAAATAATTTTTTTGATAGAAAACTACAAATTTAAAAGTTAGAATATTTGCGCTTTGATGGATCAAACTATTTTTTCAAAATGCAGCCATAGTTTTTCAAGTGTGTTTGCTTTATGAAAATATTACATTAAAATTAAACCAGTAGCTTTTATTTATTTACATTCCAGCATTTACTGATAAAATATAACTATAGGTTGTAGAATTATGTGCTTGCCTGCTTGAAAATAGATAGTAGTAATAGTTATATTTTAAATCTTAAGTTAAAATATTCTTTCTTTTAAAATAAATAATATAAATAATTTAATATATAAAAAATAATCATCTATATAAGTTATAAACAAATATTTCTAAACAACCAAAAAAAACTTAACTAACTTTGAAATGACATAGTCCTTCAAGCTTTTTAAAATAAATCTGATTTATGCTATTCTAATAATAATTTAAATCCATACTTTACTGGGATAAACGACATATTCTGGTGCAACCTTGAGAAATGAATTATTCTAAGTATTAGAAATAAATAACCGCTACAAATTTAACTATGAATAATTAAATAAAATATTCTGGTTAAATTTATTTGCCTCTTAACCTTAAAAATCAGAATATTACATTATATAAATAGATTTTTACTCTCAAGATCCATCTTCTAAAATCAAAGCTTGTCTTAATTTCTAACAATAGAATATTTAATAAAATGATAATCAGAATTGTTAAATTACTGATTTTGATGCTACTAACGAGAAATTAAGTTAGCATTTATTAGTTATTAAAAAACAAGATGTTAATTTACAGTCTAATAAAATTCCATTCTTAGTTATTTACGAAGATAACTTAAATAGCATGTAAAACTAATATGAAAACTCTTCAAATTCTTTAGAGTATGAAATCTCAATTTATTTTTCTAACTCTTATCCATGCCATAATAATTGCCACGGACTTTAAGGCATGTGTAACTCATAGTATGGTACTTGCGCTTGTAAATAAAATTACATAGGTAGTGATTGTAGTGTATAACTTAATCCACTTGCTCTACTGGAAAATATTAACATTACAAATACATCTATTTTAAATGAAGAAGACTATTTTAAAATTGAAATGGACCTCAACATTTTACACCAAAATAATAATGTTGCTTCTCTCTTCCTTTAAGCAATATAAAATCCTTAAAACCTAAAAATATTTATGTTATTTAATGACTATGAAATGCCAAGCGAAACAAACTATCATTTTATATTTGAAATGACCAGCAATTAGATCATCATATCAAACCTTGAAAACCTATGCAAATAAAAAATTTTTAATCCAGAGCTAGTAAAAAATTAAGATTAAATTAACTCTTAAAATTAATGCTCAATAATTATAAAAATATAATAGAGCAATCCTAATGTACAAACCCTGGTAAATATTTTTGCAAAACTAGAAAATACTAATTTATTAGATAATTAAAATAAATAAATTAACGATAAAGATAACGAAAATAATCATAATGTCTTAGTTTATAATAATAGTGATGGATTTTTAATTAAAAATAATAAAAATGACCAAAAATAGAATCAAGTATTTGAACATTTGATAATTGCGCTTGTTTCATTTACAGCAGCTATTTTTATATGTGTTTTAGTTATTAAAATGACTTAAGTAATGATAAAAAAAGATGATCAATAAGAATCAAATAAAAATTTTTAAATAATTAGTAAGATTGCTTATGTATGAGAAAATATAAAGAAACATTATGGAAGAATTTAATTCTACAATATTATAATAAAATATGTCATATTATACTTAAATTATCTTAAATTTATAACATTAATATATATGTTTATATTTATTTAAAATTTATACTATCATTTTAAAACCACTTTATTAAATTAATAATTTTACTTACTTAATTAATTTGAAAGAATTATCAAAATTTCAAGCGTTTATATAAATCTATATTTTTATAATTTATTATTTTTCATGACCAGAATGTATATTTTAAATTTTAGAAAAAATAATATATTCAAATATACCTTAAGTTGATTTAACTATCAAAACAATTAAAATTACATCAACACATTCTAATTTGAAGATTGCTTGAAATATGTTTTGAATATCTGCTTGAACGCAGCAGATATAATTTCTGATAAATCTTAAAGCTAGAAATTTAAGGAATGACTTTTAGCAAATTTGAGGTATTAATTATGCTAGCTGGTCAAGAGTAAATTCTAATTTACTTCTATTATTTATCAGTAAAAAAGAAACACACTGTACTTAATTTTTTTATACAATGCATAAAATAATGCTGCTTTTTTAGTGCAGTGCCTATTTAAATATAATTATAGAGTTATTTAGTTTAAGGTAATTCAAAAGCTTATTTGTCTTATTCAAGAACAGTAAATAATAATTAGATTTTTATATTCTTTTTTATAAGTAAACATATTTTTTCGATAACGATGACTTTTTTTAGATAAATAAATTTTAAGTAAAAAATTCAGAGTTACTTTAAACGTTTTTACATACTTAGTTAATAATATGAATGAAATCTTATTTTGATTATATTTTCTGGTTTTGTATTAGTACTATTAAACTTTCATAGTATAGTAAATTTTAACTTTTTGAAAGCATTATAGAGTAAATAATATTAATTATAATAATGGAACAAAAATTTAATTGATTAAGTAAGTAATAAATAATATAGATAGACAGATAGGTATGATAATACTTTAAAGATTTTTCTTATATATTAAAGCAATAGAAGATTAATTTTGCTTTATTTAAAAATGATAATTTTTAGCCAGCTTTAAAATAAATGCAAAGTAATTTACGCACTCGAAGAAAGGATTTTAACAAGTTTTTAAGTAAATATTGGATTACAGTTTTATATGGAACTTTTATTTTTACCTAAAAATATTTTTGTTAAAATTACTTCTGTTCCTTGATATTCCAAAAAAAATAAAGAGAGAATCTCTAAAATCATCAAGTAATAATATGTATTTTATGATTTTCCCATTATTCATGCAGCTTTACTAGTAAATAATTAGTTTGTTACATATTTCCATTATATAATTATTTGTTTATTTGTTTGCTAGTGAGCTCAAAGAACTACCAAGATTATAAAAATATCTTAGTTAGTTATAAATTTTACCTCTAATTAATTAAATAAATAATTACATTTTCTCCCAAGGTTTAAGAATCAATACGACTTAAGATAATTATAAACATTTTTAATCAAATAAATTAAAAAAAACATAAATGAGAATCTCTTAAGCTAATTTAATCATTTTCTATCTTTGCCTCTTCTAATTTGCATTGTGCTAACAATAATCTACTAAATAAGAGAGCACTTAAAGCATCTTTCCTAATTATAACTATTTATTTAGCTAATTCTCTTATTACAAGATTTACTAAATAGATTTATAATAACACTTTTACGAGAACTATGAATATATCGCCTTTTAAATAGACATCATATCTTAATTCATTCCTCAATAAAACATCACTGTATGTCTTAACTTTGAATAGAATGAAGAATAACTTTAGAATAGTCTAAATATGAATAATTTCTATTGTGAAATTACTGACCTCATCGCAACAAAAGAGTAGCTAACTTAGCATTTGCTTTATGTTAATGCTAAAAGTCCTGCATTCTAAAATTCTCTTAAAGCAAATCTCGTAGTTTTTAACTCAATCAAAGGAGTAACAGTTAATTCATAGATCTATATAAAATATAACATGAAAGTACAATTACTAAACAAAAAATTATGCCATAACTCTTGTAGCGGAATAAATGGAAATTGCAACAGAGAAACAGGATAATGCGTTTGCAATAAAAATTTTATTGGATATGATTGCCATATTAAATTACAAGAAATTAATTTCACTAAGAATTAAGATTCAATTTACTTATATTTATTATAATAAACATCCTAATACGCTATTGTGAACATGGATTATCTTATATAAAACTACTAACAAAGCAGCTTTTCATTATAATTAGCTAGGTCTATTGAATATAATGAAATAAATATTTATATGACTTTCAACAAATTAGAAAATCCAACAATTGATTCTTTTTAAGAAAAATTTTTAATGCAAAACAAAGAATATTCAATTCAAAATATTGAACAGCTCTGTTAAAAATATTAATCTAACATTTAATAACAATAAGAACACACTTTATAAGACTAAACTATAAACAACTAACAAGAAATGAATTCAAATACATGCTTCTTTATTATTGAGCTCAAATAATAGCAATATGGTAATAACATGGCTTTAAAATTGAGCGTTTAGATTTCAAAAAAACAAAACAACTCAAATACCTAACAATAAAACTTTAATGAAAACGGAATGCAAAACATGAGTGATGATAGTAATGCAATTAAACTTTCAAAATTAATCGCCATATCCACATCATCTCTCTTTTTAGGTTCAATCTTGCTTTTGTTTGTCTTCAAAATATTGAAAAACAAAAAAGAAGTGAGCTAATAATTGTTAACAACTAACTTAGAAGAGACTAAAAATGAATAGCTTTGCAATTCTGTTGTAATAAAAAATATTTTACACCAATAAACATAACTCATCTAGAAAAAAAATAAATAAATCTAAAAATAGAAATTACTCATATAAAATTTAATGCCTATTACTAAATATTAATCATAAAACAAATAAACAAGTGATTCATCAATTATTATTCTCTAAGAATAAAATTAAGAATAAGAAATTAAATAGAAAATTTAAGAATAAGAACAGAAAGAAAATTTTAAGTAATTCAGCTGCATTATTTAAATAGATGATTTAGAAAATAATAACTCTTAAAAGTAAAATAAAACTAGTATTTCTGAAAGTATTTGCTGCGCTATGTGCTTAACTGAGCTAGTAAATGATGACTAAATAATAAAAACTATTTGTGATCACAGTTTCCATGCCTAATGTTTTCAAGAGTGGATTAATAAGAACGACGAATGCCCCTTATGCAGAGAAAGTTTTGAAATATTTAATCTCCTTGATTACATGACAGAAAGAAAATTTTTAACTCTCAAAAAAAGATGTGATAAATATTACTGTGTCTTAGAAAGAAACTAAATCCTTGAAAAACTAAAAACTTAATTTGACTTAATTTTAAGCCTCCCTGATGAATAATTTTTAGATATCTTCAAATATTTCTAAGTTGAATAATAAGAAAACAAGTAGTAAATAGAGTAGTAAGAGACTATAGAATAATTTAATGGAGTAGAAAAAATAGGCTAATAAAAGTAAAATTTCTAACTAGTTATCCGCCAAAATGGAGATTCCTCAAATTAAATGGGCAATAGTTGCGTTAGCACATGTAGACTTTCTTAAAGATGTTCTATATTTTCAAACTAAAATTTGGTTTAGTCAAAAAGAAATTCTTTTTCAAGCTAAAACGAATAATAAGAATAATAATAAAATAAGCAATCAAGCTCTAATTCAATTGATACTCCATACGCCTAATAAAATTCATAAAAACTCCTTCTTAATTCTAAATAATAAAAATATTTTTAAAAGAATGCCCCTAAAATACTACAAGTCGAGAATTAAATAGAGAAACTCTTTTAACTAAAAACTCATAGAAAAGTTAATAATTTAATTGATGCTTAAGAAACCTACAGAATACCTTCAGATTGCCTTACCCAACAAACTCAAATGAATTAAATTTTACTAAGCAGTACTAATAATTCAACTAATTCCAAAAATTAAAATGAAGCTAAGAAAAAAATCAATGCAAATAAACTAAAAAATTAAATACTAAAATAATAGTCTTTTAATGTTAATCATTAATAAGCTAAATCAAATAGAATGTCTTTAAAATAACCAATAACCTTAACCGAAGAAGCTAAAGGAACATAATACAGCCAATGAACATAAATAACTTTACAATAATACTAAACACTATTAATCTACTACAACTTTATTTATACATTTATATACTTGTACATTAAAATCTTTCTTACAAATCTATCAAGATTAATTAAAAATTATTATTTTCCAATCTAAATAAATATTTTATTTCAAAAAAATTAAAAAATTCAAATAAAACAATCTTTAAAAATTTAAATTCTGATTCATTGATACTATCATTCTCATATATTAACACCCATAATATTTTTTTAATTTTTTTAAAATAAATAAGATACAAGCTTAGGCTTAAGCCAAAAACTTCTGGTACGCATCTACTGCTAATACATGAAGATTCATAGTATATTAAATATAAAATGTATCATTAAATTAATTTTACAGTAAACTTTTAATTGAAAACTTTTTTAAATATTAATTTTTAAACCCAAAAATCAGAATTTAAAAAAATTAATTTTTTTGCTAACTAGAATTACAGAAAAGATGAACAGACTTCTAATTCATCAACTATCCTAAAGGCAATTTAATTAAGAAGAACACATAATTTTACTATTAAATTTACAATATAAGAAAATATAAAAAATTCGTCATTAAAATAATTTAAGAGCATTTAGATAAAAAATATTTTTATTCATTTGAATACTTTTTTAATACATTTTTTAAAGTAATCTTAAAAATAATAATCGCAAAATTAACATAATTTCAGACTAAAGTAAATTTAATTATTGAAATATGATTGATACTCATAAATTCATATTATTTAAATATCTAGAATAATAACAAAATTATTTAAAATTGTTTACAACTCTTAGATAATTTATTCTAATTATAATATAAATTTATTTTAATTATATTATTTTTATTTTAATTCATTTTTGATTTTTTTAATGAGAGAACTGAGTTAGAATAATTTGAAATATAATTTATTAATTGATAACATAATTTAATAACTGTGCTTTAATGAATTAATAATCTTTCCATCTGCAAAACTCAAAAATGTTTAAGCATAACAAACCAGCCTATAATACGGCATCAAATTTTTTAAATTTTATCTGGCTTATTGCTATTTAGGTTTTTAATGGTGTTTTTTATTTGGATAAAATGTAAATTTTTAATTTTTGCTATGTAATTTGTGTAATTAAATTAATTTATATACTTTTAAAATGGCAAACAAAACTGAATAGATGGGCTTATAAATTCTCTGTTATTTAATACATTTTTTAAGCAGTTTTTATTTGCTTAAAACAATAAAAAAAATATAATTGATAATTAATTAGACAAAAATTTGATCTTTAAAAATTAAAAAAATAAACATTAAAAAAACAAACAACAAAATAGCCAATTAAAATAGGCAAAAGAAAAGTAGAAGTAAATCAGCATTTCCAAAATATGAGCATCTCAGCAAAAACAAAAAACGCATTCTGTATTTGTTGGTTACTTATAATCACTTAGACATATAGTTAGCAATAAAATTCTACAAATACTTCAAATTAAACTTAAAAATATTAGGTTTTTGGGTCAAATTATTTGTATTAAGTCAACCAAAATCTAAGTGCCCAAACTTTTTAGCTTTCATTATCAAATAGCTATTTCAGTCAGAGATATATTGTGATAGATATAATTATACTGTCAAAGCAGGATTCATAATTTTAGTTTATATCTTGTTTAAACTACAATCAAGACCCTTTGTAACAAGATTCGTTTGTTAATTAGGGCCAATATAATTGCAGCTTTACTGATTAGGTCGCTTAATAGTAGAATTTGGCTTAGCAACTTCTAATTATAGATACGAGCGATCCTTCTTATCAATAAAATAACACAATTTACCTAACAGTGCTATACTAATCCACTAATAGCATTTAAAAAGCTTCTTTAATACCCTTACCTTAACCAATTAATTATGATGTGTATGTTTATTACTACAGTAAAGTACCATGTCATAGCAGCTGCAACGGTTTAAATGGTTATTGTAATGATTAAACTGGGGTTTGCAGTTGCAATTAATTCTACACTGGAGCTGATTGTGGCTTGTACTTAAATCCTTTAAATATTCAAAATGATAAAGACAGTACATACATAACAATTTAGCCACGATCCCAATACACTTTTTCGATAAACATGACAAACATTATTTAGAAAGCTTAAGGATAAAACATTTAATTTTCTCTTAAAAAGATATATGGGGCATCTAATTTAAATATTTATATGCTTTTTAATCAAAACTAATAACCTTCTCCAGATTAATATTAAATGTATTATTCGATGGCTAATAGCTATATGAATATTTCAAATGTAGACAGTTTGTGCAGTCAATTTTAAAACAGCACAAATAGCTTAAGCAATAATTCTTAATAACCTTAATCAAATCAATGCTTTATCGTATTTAATATGTAACAATTATCAAACTCAAAGCTATCTATTATTGTGAATTTTGGTATTAATATTTTAGCTAATACTACTACAAATTCTGCGACTTCTAACTCAACTTAAAATAATATAAATAATAATACTAACTTAAGAGATCCTAAATCTATAACTGGGAACAACTCAGGTAGCAACAGCACATATAGTACTTCACTAACAACAGATGTACAATCAAAGTATTAAGCATATGAAATAACAATTTATGTTTTAGTTGGCTTAGCATTTATTTTCGTAGCCTTTTTATTACTATTTACTGTATGCAGAAGATGCTAAAAAATGCTTGAAAGTAGGTATCTAAGTCAACAGTAAGAATAAATTCGAAATGATTAAGAAAATTAATAACAACAAGCAAATAATCCAGATTTACTCATAAATTTACAATTGAGATTAAAAATATAATAAAAAAAAAAGCTCATTCTATCAAAGAAACGTGCACTTTAGAATTATTTAATGCCAAGTATACCTTTCTAATCATAAACAAGAACATAATTAGATTAAAGCGTACTAGCTGAAAGTGCATTAGATAAAGTATCATAAGAAGAAACTTAAAAATAGAAAAGAAAAAATCAAAAAGATAACTTATAACTGTAAGATTTGGAGACAAATCTTAATAAGTCAGTTTAGTTGAATACAAGCTTAAATAGCAGTAAATAATGTTGCTCAATATGTTTAATTGAATTTGTGCCCTAAGAAAAAGTTCAAAAAACAATCTGCAGTCATACTTTTCACATCGAATGCATTTAAGATTGGATTTAAAAGAATGATAATTGTCCTCTCTGCAGATAGAGTTTTGATATATTAGATATGATAGATTATTTAGCCAAAGAAAAATTAGCTTAAGCTGAGAATAAAGACTAATAGCTTGCTATCATATAGAATAAGAATAAAATTGAAGACATCCTATTAACATAAAAGGAACAAATCATTTAATTTACGGATGATGATTTTTTGACTATTTTTAAATTTTTCAAGATAGATAAAGAATTAATCATTCAAAAATAACCAAAACAACAAAATGCTTAACCAGTAGCTAATACTTAAAGCGATAAAATAACCAAAGATGAAAAAGCTTTTAAGCTAGAAGAATCTAACGCATTACTTAATTAAAATTATGACTAAGTTACTTGCTTAAGCCCTACTTATTTGTCAACTCTCTCTTCACCTGTAAGCAAATTTTAAAGCGTATATGTTCAATAATAACTTATTTAGTCACCAACAGCAGAATTACCATAACACTCATAGAATCCAAGCATTTTTACATTATAAAAATTCTCATAAAACTAATAAGAGTTAAATGCATAAAATAATTAGAAAAATACTCACAAATCTATTGATAACATTCCAGAAGAAGTCAGTTATCCAATTTAAAATTAAAATTACTTTTCTAGTAAGAGCTAAGTATTCACCAAAAAAACTTTGAATCTAAAAAATAAGAATTCTATTACACATAACCATTTGAAAATGTAAGATGAAAATTAAAACTAATATTAAAACTTTGCTAATAACGAAGAGCAAAAAGATGAATAAAATTAAGAATATTCAGAAAATTAAAACAATTTCTCAAGCTTTTAAAATTAAACTGGAAATTAAAAAATATTTACTTCATAAAAAAGTTGATTTTAAATATTTTTATTTATCTATTTATATTTTTGATAATTTAAAAATATTAGCTGCAAAAAATATTAAAATGGACTGAAGAATTAATGAATGAATAAATGAATGTTGCTTTTTATATTGAATTACTAAGAAGTTTTTTATGTTTATTAAAAATAAATAAAATATATAAATTGGTCTATTTTTTCAACTAAAATTTGTATTTGAAGAATTAATTATATACTTTATTGATCGATCTTAGTAACTTAACTAAATATTTTTACTGAATTTGATTAAGTAAATATTATGTAAATGTTAAAATAGTTTTTTTTTCTTCTAATTATCTCAAAATATATTTTTTTAATGTTTTAATTTTAAAAATATTTAAGATCTATAAAAAAAGAGTTTAAAAGAATATTTACTTATTTCATAGCTTTTTGATGAGTTGACATAACAAAGCCTATTTTTAATTTTTCGAAATATTGAAATAAAATAATCCCAATTCAATTTATGCTTTTCACTATCTTCAATAACTTTTATTTCATGTTTTCTTGTGTTTTTTTTGTTTTAACTCTACTAAATTTTGATTATTTTTCCTAAATTTTTAATCGATATCATTCATAAATAAATTGAAGATTTTTAAGTAATATCAAATTTTTCAATCAAAAATATCCAATTAATTAAAACCCCTGGTAAGTTAACTAAAGAATATGGATGGATTTAGATCAAAATACTAAAGAGAAGATATATTTATTTCTTCACAAAATTTTCTATGTATAAATAACATTCTATTAAAGTATTACTTATAGAGTGAATTTATTATGTTTGTAGATTCGACTTTATAATCTAATAAGTTAACAAATAATAATTTTTTATTAATCTTTCAGCCAGAAAGACAGAAAAACGCACTAAGAGTCTTTTTAATTTTATAATATAACTATATATTCATTCACTAATATTTTGGCTTTTGTTTACTGATTTAATTTATTTTATTATCTCACCCTAAATGTAAAATTTATTTTTATTAAGCACTTTAAATTATTAATATTACTGGTTAGCATTTCTTGAAGCTATAAATTAATAGAGATCATATAAAATGTAAAAATATGAGCTTTTCTTTACCCTTATAGGAAGTTATAAAATACTTGTGAAATATTAAAAATATTAAAAATAAAACATAAAATTCAATTTTCATAGAAAGCTTCTTAAAAAAGCAGCTATTTTGTTTTGAATATGCAATTTTGTATCTGTGGCATTTTTTAGCAAAATAGGTCAAGTAAAAAAACGATTGTTGATTATTGTTAGGTAATTTACTGATTCTATTATTTAAAATAAAATTTTGTGGTAAATTGTTATTAATTAATTGCTTCTTAAATTATTAGTTAAATGGCATGTAATTTTTGTTTCTATTTTTAATAAACTAAAAACAAAAAACTTTTTAATAAAAAAAAAAAATTCTTTTTAGAATAAAAATTTAACTCAAATAAGACTTTCTTTCAATGCTGGTTTACCTCTTTTTTATAACATTTGCAGAATATGTTATAGCTTAAGAATAACAAAACAATCAGACCCAACCTACTGATTACAAGGTCTTAAATCTTTACGAAATCAATTAAATACAATAAGCTAATAACACTCAAAGCATGATTTTAAATCTTAAGAAAAATAAATAAGATTTAGCAAACAATAATTTTCTCGTTATTGATATTGATTTAACATTTACATAGATCCCTTAATCAACTTTCATCGCATGTCTCAATTTCAATTATGACGTTCTCTAGGATATAAACTTTTAAAACGCTGGAGCCTATAGTTGCTAATATATGGATGCTAATGCAACACAGTAATAGATTAGTCAGCACTTAATTGTTATCAACGCAAGCGATATAAATTTAGTAAATAATAATAAAGCATATTTAACAATATTTTATTTAGAACACCCAAATGATTTTCTGTCAGAATCTAAATAATTGAAAAGTCAAATCAACTATGTTTTAGTTACTTATTACTCAAGTTGGTATCCTTGTCATAATAATTGCAATAATTACAATGGAGTTTGCAACTAGAAAACAGGATAATGTCAATGCTAGCCTTTATATTTTAATATAGATTGTAGTTTTCAAGCTGATTCTTTGAATTTAAATTAAAATTATGATTCAGTTGATATCACTATATACCAACAAAAAACATCTTACTTTTTTATTAATCTAACTCAAGTTATGTTAAACAATAACTAAAGTCATTTAACACTACAGTTCAGGTAAATGAATTAAGAAGCCATGATTGGTATTTTAATAAATGTAAACGAATTAAATTTACCTACAGATAATCAAAATAATTAGAGATTTGTCATGTCAAACTAAATTATGCAAATATAAAATGTAGATCTCTTATGCAGTAATTATTATTTACAAAATGTTAATGACACAGATATAGTAAATATAGGTGGTCTTCAAATATAAAATTAGTGTTTCTTGGTTTTAGCAATGAAATAAGCTATGTCCCAAAGTTAATTTTCTTTGATTGGTGTTTAATTGGAACTTCAAACCAGCTCTACTACTTATGATGTAGGCAATAATAACAATTAAGCAAATAATTAAAATAATAAAAGCTAATCTTCACAATTAAACTAAGTATAAATAACGATAATCCTAGTCTGCTCTTTAAGTGGAATGTGTGTTTTAATTATTATTTTAAAGGTATTGAAGAAAAAATTAAAAAGCACAATCCAAAATAGAAATTTGAACATAAATAATTTGCAGAATGATGTTTTAGCATAGGATTTCTTTAATTTTGTTAATTAACATACGTAAAAAGATAAAATAAAATAGCTTATTTCTCAGAAAAAGCGCATTTTACAAGAATATTTAATGCCTATCATTAAATTTTAATCAAGTATATAATAATCTGTCAACAAAATTGAAGCTCAATAAAGTAAAATCCTCGTTGATTAAGGCAAAATAAAAAATGAATAAAATAGTGACTTAGAATTCAAAATAAAATGTAATAATATTTTACCTAGTCTTTAAGTGTAAGTGATGTCTCCTGTTTAAGCGGGTTTATTAGGTCATAAAGCTATATAAATTATTTCCAATTGCTAATCAGGTAGTAAATACCTTGACGAGGAAAATAAGGACAGCTTATCATAGTAGTAGAATTAAGAAAAAAAAGTACCTTCGCTAAGCGAAAGTTAAATAAATGGAAAATAGACGTGTTCTATCTGCCTAATTGAATTTAATTCAGATGAATAAATTAGATAAACAATATGTAATCACACATTTCACTCATAATGCTTGAATGACTGGCTTTAAAAGAATGATAATTGTCCTATTTGCAGATAAGAATTTGGAATAAATCAAATGATTGAATATATAGTATCAAAGAAGTTAGAACTAATTTAAGACTAAACATAAAAAGATCGAATCAATTCCAATAAAGAATAATTATTATCTAAATTCTAAAAAGTTGAAATATTTGAGCTTGAAGGATAACAATTTTTAAATATGATTAAAAAGTATTTGATTGAATAATTATCACTTGATTAATTTTAGTTTGAGTATGAAGACTAAAAAGAGTAATAAAATGTTCAAAAAGATAAAAATAAAATAGATTTCTAGAAAATAATTGATCAAACATCTTTTTTGAGCAAAAATTAAAGCTCCTAATATAGCCCTTAAAAATTTCAAGCCACTTTGTATACAGAAAGCTCTCCTGAAAATAACAAAGACTTCTCTCAATTTAATCTAATGATGTCTCTCAACTAAGATTATTCTAATAAACACCTAAACAGTAACTAGAAATTACAAAATTAATTCTGTTATTCAATAGAATCCCCAAAGACACCTAAATATTATAAAGACTTAGAATAAAAACAAAAAGCTAATTCTAAACATAAAAGGAATGCTTATCAGTAATAATCAAAATTCAAAACTAGTTAGAAGAAATCTAAAAATGTTATTGAAGATAATATTATAGAAGAATAGGATGGAAATAATAATAATTAAGAGATAAAATTAAATTTTAATTTATTTAAAAGTAATAGCGAAAATCTTTTAGAAAGTAACTTTGAATAAGCTCAATAAGAAAATATATTAATAAACAAAAACACCTAAAAACTTGCAAAATTAAATTAATCATTGAATTCTTGATCTATCATATTTATTTTTTAACTTTGTACTTAATATAATATTTAATTCATTTATTTATTTAAAAATAACCTAAAATACATATTTTCGATTAATTAAACATGATTTAAATTTTTAATTCAACCAAAATAAAGTTTTTTTTTAATGCTATTAAAATTAATAAGAAGTATTTAACCATAATTTAAGTTTTTTAGGCAAATAAACTAAATTGTTTAATCTATCAAATATAGCTGAAAAAGTATTAACAATTTTTCACTTATTGGTAAGTGGAAACTCAACTAGATGAATTTATTCAACCATTTATTTAAATTAATTACTAATTAGAAGAATTTTTCTAAAAGTATTCCTATAGTAAGTATACAAAATAGTGATAATTGGGGAGGCCTTCTCATACAAAAAACTTTTAAAATAACTCAGCAAATGAACTTAATTTTTATAATAAAATCTTTCAAAAAATATGATTGAAATGATGTACCCAGTCAGCGAAATTACAAAATTGGGTTAGATATATTTAGTACAATTACAAATATTTTAAAAAAATAAATCTCAAGCAAGAATATATAGCTAAAAAAAATATTAACAAATAAAAAATGTTTATTTAAATATTTAGATTGTTTATTGGTACTAAATTAGTATCGATCAAAATTTCTTTAAATAAAATAAAATATTATAAGAACATTTATACATTTAAGACATATCATCCATATTTTATGTTGTAATACAGTAATTTAATTTTGAACATTTATTTTGCTTTTTTTGATGAAAATATCTAAATTTTAAAAAATCTCATGTAAAATTTATATATTAATTTTAAGTATTTGCTATAAATTAAAAAATTATAAATGCTAATTTTATTTGTTAACCTTTTATTTCAGTTAGTTAATAATTTTTATTTTGTCTTTTGTTTATGAAAGTCAAAGTAGAATTAATAAAATTAAATAAAATTCCTTATTATGTAGTGTATGCTTGAAAGTGTTTTTTACAAAAAAAAATAAAAAATATTGACTTTTTACTAAAAAACAGTAATAATTAATTAATTTAATTTTATTAAATCTGCAAAAATTATCAAAAAAAAGAAGAAAAGTAATGAAAGCACTCCATATTTACTACTTATTAGCATAAATATTAGTTTTCAAAATCTTTATTTAATGCTAATCATTATCTACAGATATTCTTAGTTTAGATTAAGTGTATCAAATCAATCAGAGTCAAACTATTCGGAATTTTAAAATAGATTTCAAATCAAATAATTAGAAATAGTTATCCTATTTAATCATCTCAATAACAATATCTTCAATTTAATATTCAGCTTCATAGTTTGTTGCTTGCCTCAATTTTAATTAAAGCGCTTTAGATTAACCGTCGTATGTCATATCAGGTAATTATTCATGTCAATATTCTGACAATTTAGCAACTTAATAATAATTATCTTAACATCTTTTAATTTTGGAGAATAATGATACTAAAATTTATTCTACTTTTCCTTTTTTGACAGTTTTTTATCAAAGCTAGCCAAGCGAAACAACATCTTATTCATAATAGCTCAATTTCCCTGTTTCTTATTCTGTTGTCATCTTTTATTAAAACTATTATCCATGTCATAGCGAATGCAACTAACATGGATTGTGTGATGAACAAACTGGTATTTGCTCATGCTATTAATAATTTTATGGCTCAAATTGTAGTATACAGCCAAAATCACTAACCTTAGACTAAATTTAAGAACTAACGTTGAGTCCATCTTTAATAAATTACTACATGATCAATTTAGAAATAATAATAGATAAAACTTAAGATAGTCAAGCTTCAATTTGCATCACTAAAAATAATGGGAAAGCAGAAATATATATTGATTTTAATATTAATATAAATTAATTACCATTAATGCAAGAAAATAACAATAAAATGATTCTTAAAAATAATTATGAGTTAAATATTTAGCAAATATGTCAACAATACTAACATTAAAATACCTCCAATTTTAGCAATAATAATATGTGCCTTATGATTTTAGGAATTAGATAATCAATAAGCAATAATCCTTCATAAATTACTATCTAATTATGCAATTAGTAATAAATTATTGATTAATAAGCTATGCCTTCGAAATTTAATATAACATAACTTATAATAATAGTTATTATTTCTTTAGTATGTGGGTTGATTCTATTACTTTTTATTTATTTTTTCACTAAAAAATATATTAGAAGAAGAAGAGCCTAAATGTAATAAGATAGTAATAATAATCAAATTTAACAAATATAAAATCAAGCTGTTTTAAATCGCTAATTTCAATAAGATTAAATTTAAGCTAATAAGCTTACTTTATATTAATATTTTATGCCTTTAATTTAGTTTGAAAATAATAACTAATTACCTAGAAAGCAAGATATTGTTCAAATGAATAAATAGTAAAGTCAAGAATAATAAGAAATGCTGTAAAATAATTAAATTTAAATATTTTTTTTTAATTATAAAATTTTAAAATCAAAATAGCTAAATTTAAAATATTGAGTTTAATGTAGCTTCACCTAAAGGAAATATCGAAAAAATTGAATTAGATCAATAAAAAAATGAAAATATAAATAATTAAGGAGATACTACTCTGAGTGAAACTCATACTTGCTCAATTTGTTTAATTGAACTTCAAAAACAACATGATCTCAGGTTAACTATTTGCAAGCATGCTTTTCATTCAGAGTGTCTGATGGCTTGGATCAGAAAAAATGAGAATTGTCCCCTCTGCAGATAAAGCTTCAAAATAGCAGACATAATTGATTATATTGTTGTTTAAAAATTAAATTAAAATCTAAAAGATTAAGATTAAAATGAGATTTTAAAATAAAAATAAAAAATTCAAGACATAATTTCTGATAAAAAAAATGATTTAAATTCATTTTCTTAATAAGATTTTATAAATGTTTTTTATTTTTTCTTACCACTTTAGAGTTTAAAATAAAATTAGTTTAGCTTATTAAAAGATGAAAAGAACATAAATAAAATGACATAGATATTAAAGCTTGACTCTTAATAAGATATTTTTTATGATGCAACAAGTAAGTAAATTATAAAAATATTTTCATTTAAATACTTTTTAATAATAGAAATAACATCTGAGTCATAGTCTCCTGTTTCTTTGTTAACCAATTAATTCAATAATAAGTCTTTCTTATAAAAATATGATAAAATTTTAAAAGACGAAAAATCTAATTAGGATGATATTAAAATAAATAAATAAAATTAAAGTTAAAATTAATAAATTTAAATAAAATGATTTTTAAATTTAAATTATCAATATGTATTTTTTTATTTTATTTCATTTATTTTTAACATTTTGGTTGAATAAATACTGTTTAATTTTTATTTAAAGCTCGTTTTTAAATAATTCTAAGCTAAAAAAATGATAAATTTAAAAATGAATATAAATATAATAATTAAGTTGATGATCATACAAAATTTAATTTATAATATAGTAAAGGAACAATCATTTAATTTGTTTATTAAATTATTTATTTTATGTATGAAAGTTAATTAATACACATAAGTAAATTAGAAGAAAATGCAAAAAATGTAAATATTCATCTAAAATTATATATTCAATTTTAATAATTGAATAACCTATTTTTGTTATTTTCATGTACTAAAAAAAATATTTTTACTTCATAAAATATTATTTGTGCAATAAATTGCTTAAGAATTAAATATTTATAAATATACTATTAAACCAAATTATTCTTTATGAATGATATAATATATCACTAAATATGCTGCCAATAATATTAGAGAATCAATCTAGATTATTTTTAAAATTTAATTTATCTCATAATAATAATAATAATTATTTTTAAAATGAACTATGAATACCTCAAATCAATCAAAGATATCATCGATAATTATTATTTATCATAAAAATTTTAATTTTTAATTTCTTTTGGTAAAATAGAAATTAATTAATTTCCCCTAATCTAAATTCTTAATAAATAAATTTGATATATTATAGAAAATGAATTTCTAGCGTTAAAGCACTGTTTTTTCTAGTTTTGAAGAAAAGGCTAAGGCAAGAAGTGATTAAATTATCTACGAACCAGAATTCTTTCTTGACATTAGAAACCATCAAGAAGAATAATTTTAATAACACACAAGTAATTAAGCACAATATCATCCTCAATTATTGCTAACAGATTCAAATATTAGGTAATATAATATTGATAATACCTTATACGAAGACCTTAATTAAGATAATTAAAAACTTTTTTCAATGGTATAATTATAAGAACAAAATAATCTACATTTAGAAAATTAAAGGCTTCATATAAAAAATATTTCTAAAAAAAACTTACTTCAAGACACTCAAATAGAAAAAAGCAGATAAAATATTATTAATCACTCTCAGATTGAGCAATAAAATGCTATTTTATTATAAAGTCAAAACCAAAAAACTTTTTATGAAATAAAAAGATAATTTTTAGAGACTCATTGTATAAAACCAAAAAAATAATGTACAAAAAACAAAAAAAGATTTAAAAACTAAAATATCTTAAAAAACATTCTTAATTCTTTTCATAGGTACTTGAAGAAACTAAAATCTTTTTCTTGTCAAGAACTATAAAGTGTTAAATTAAGTGAAGTCTAAAAAAAATTTAATAGGTATATGAAAATACATTCTTTTAACAATTCGGTAATCAAGTATGTGCTTACTCATAAATACTACAAAATACTTTTTAATTAATATTACGAAGATGGAAGCCTCGAAAAGTGGGTTAGTAAAAGCAAGGTGAATAATAAAGATATGCTTAGAGATTGGGTAAACTATTTAGTAAAATGCATATAAAACCCTAAACTATTAGAAGATTTATCAATTAGTTAACCATAACTTAAAAATATAATTATTAAAGACTATTGATCGTAAATAAGCTTATCTTACCTAATTCAAATTATATTTCTAGGCATGTGTATTAGAGTTTATTTATAACCATTATATTTACAATATAAAATATATAGTACAGTTCAATATAGAAAATAAATATTTATAAAATTAATTAAAGAAAATAAAAAATTAAAATTTGACTATCAATTTATTATTTTCTATTGATTAATAACCGTCACTATATTATTATTTCATGATCCTATATTAATATTTTTAACTTTTTAAAATGTTAAAATGAACAAAAACTTAAGATTTTCAATTTATGAAAGCTTAAATTAATATATGATAAAAATGGCTCTTTTGAAAAATTAATGATTGAAAATGGCATAATCAATAAATTGCATAAAATAACATAAATAAATTGATAAACAATTTTTAATTTCAATTAAATTAGATAAACTGACTGACTCTTAACTAATAAAAAAATAAAATTAACTAACTAAATATCAAAAGACTGTAGATATATCTCTATATACTAGATAGTTCTACATTTTTTTTCTTAAATATTCCAAAAAACTAATGAAAAAAATCTTAAAAACTTCAATATTTTTGGAGATAAAAGCTTAAAAGTAACATTTAAACAAAGAAATAATTAAGTTTGCTATTTAAACTTTATTTTTTTAGAAATATTCAAAGAATTTATCATTTGAGATCGTTTTTTATTCTTTCATTAACAATTAAACATTCTTTAAATTTATTGTGGATGATTCGAATTATAAAAGGAGACATAAAAAAAATAATAAAAGATATATTTTTAATACTTTATAAGAATAAATAATATTAATGTTATGTATCTTTTGTGATTTGCCTAATAAAATAATTTGCTTTTTTTTATAATTTTTATTTAAAATATATGCTCCTTAGATTAATTTCGAAGATTAATTAAGCTATTTATTTTAATATGTTACCAAAAATTTAATATTAATTTAATGCTTTTAAAAAAAGACTTCATCAATTTAATACACGAAAATTAATCAAAGTTAGTTTAGATGTGTTTTGAATATATTTTCTATTCAAAATGTTTTCTGTTAAAAATTAAAATAAAACAAATAGCATTCATTTATTTTAAATATATTTTCTTAATATTTTAATTAATTATTTTCAGAAAACTCAATCAAACAATCTCTTTATATATTAAAAATAAACCTTCGAAAAAATTCACGCTTTTTATCTACACTTAAAGATTATTTTTGATAATTTTGAATAAAATTAAATTCTCAAGTCAATCTTATAAATTTAATATTATTTCATATTTTTTCACACACGCACAAATATTTATAAATACTTTTTAAAGAGTTGGATGCTCTTATCAAAAAAATAAATATGTTTGGGCTTTATTCAAATTAAATCTCCTAAATAATATGTAATTTTTTGAGAATGTGAAAACAGTTTTAATAAAATATACCTTTATAATTTAACTGAATTAAATTAATCTTAGTGTTTCTTTAAATTCTATTGCTCTAAAAAAACACAATTTTATATTTTCTATTCAAAAAGTTAATAGATGAGTAACTAACTATTCATTTTTAATGTCATCTTCAAATTATTAAAAAAACCATGTTAATAAAACACAAAAAATTCAATTAAAATATTTAGATATTGAAAATTAAAAATCAAATTTTTTATCTCTCACATACTATTGCAAAATTTCCACTTACTTCTTTTAATATTATTTTATATTCTATTTTAAATTTATTTAATCATATTTAATAAGATATTTTTCCTGTAATTTTAACATTTTAAAAGTTTTAAATGTATTTTATTTTTGAATATTCAAAAGATATTTTTTAACTTTGAGTAACTGAAATTTATTTTGGATTAAAAAATTCTTTTAAAATATCAAACAAAGAGTATTCATTCATCAAGTCATTTATTTATGTAAAATATAATTTTAATAACCTCAAAAAATTTATTTTTTAATGCCATAACATTTTTTAAAGAGTGTTATTTGAATAAAAATAACATAACTTTTGAATAAAAAAATCAATTTATTTATCTTACCATTAATTATATGAAATTAATAAAAAAATATATATAAAATTTATGATATTCATCTTAATTAAACTAATCTTTTTTTTTTCTGAGATAAATAATAATGTTAATAAATACCATAAAATTTAAATATATAATTGCATTATTGTTTATAAACATTATTTAATCACAAATTTTCAAGCTTTTATAATAATAAATTAAAAGTACTTTCCCAAATCAAAATCATATAATACTAGCTAATAAAGTAACAGGAAATGAGTTATTAAAATGAAAATCACGTTTACGCAGACTTTGAATAAAAATAGGAATTTCAAATATAATTAAATAATTAATTCATCTATGAGCCAGAGTTTTTTTTGGATATTAGAAGCCATCATGAAGGTTAGTTTTAATAAAACGTATGTAACTCTTTATAGCAATATTAGTCACATTAAATTTCAGATTCAAGGATTTGCTAAACTAATATTGGTGATTTTAATGAAGATAAAAATTAAGATAATTAAAAACTTTTTTCTCTGCCCTAATTCTCAGAGATAAATAGCCTAAATTTTAACAATTAACAAAATTATTTTCAAAATGTTTCTAATAATAATTAATATGCAAATACACAATAACATTTTAATTTTGATAATTCTTAATAAACTCATCAAAATAATATTTTATTTCAAAATTTAAACTAAAATTGCATTTACGAAATAAATGAAAAGTGTTTATAAATTGATAAAGAAAAGCCAAAAAAATAGTCACTAAATGAAAAAAATAGATTCAAAAATTAAAATTTTTTAAAGAATATTCTAAATTCATTTCATAGGTACATGAAGAGAGTAAAATATTCTCCATTTAAAGAATCAGAAAATGTTAGTTTAGGTGAAATTAAAAAGAAATTTAACAGGTATATGAAAATACATTCTTTTAACAATTCAGTCATCAAGTATGTACTGACACATAAATACTATAAAGAACTTTTTGCTTAATACTATGAAGATGGAAGCTTAGAAATGTGGGTTAACAAAAGCAAGGTAGCCAACAAAGAAATGCTCAGAAATTGGGTTAATCATTTAGTTTAATGTATTAAAAATCCTTCATTGTTAGATTAATTTACTAGCAATCAACCAAACACTAAAAGCCAAAATACTTTAATTGAAAATTTTTGAAAAAAATAAAACATGTCGATTTAGATACTATCTATACAAGAAATTCATTATTAGAATTTATTATTTCATAAAGATTATTTTGTATATTTATGAGTAAAGTATATTTTAACTTCTTCATCATTTAGAAACCTCAGTGCAAATAAAAAAAAACCAAAAATTAGAAATAGAATACAATTAATTTCTTAAAAATAATCTTTTCTAACCTATTGAATGAATAGAGAGTTTTAGAAGCAATCAAAATAAAAGAAAATTTAATGAAAAATGGATACTAGTCTATATATATTTTTTATTTTATTTTCATTCACTTTGGAGATATAGATAATAGTTAAGTTCGATTCGCTCATCGACCTATTATATTATCTACAGTTAAACCAAACAAACAGATAACGGCATAAATTTAACAATATTAAATGAACAAACATAATTTGTTATAGTCTTTTTATATAGTCTTGCAATATAAAGTATATGTAATATAAAATCAACAATAGAAAATAAAAGTTTACATTTATGATTTTATTAAGAACAAAAAGCATATTTAATAAACTATAATAATTTGATGTATATTTGTAAACAATTATATTTATCTATCCATTTTTTATCTATTTAATTGAAATTCTATCTTTTATTTTTATAAACCATTAAAATTAATATTATTCCAAGCTATTTTTGAGAACAATTTTAATTCACTATAAATACAAAAGATTCAAAAATAAACAATAAAATGTATAAAGGGTTTGCAGTAATAAAATTGTATCATTATTCAATCAATATTTTTTAAAGTGATTTCGACAAAGATTTTCAAAAAATTGTTCTTCTCAAAGTAATAATTTTTTATTTGATTATAAAATTGTAAATATTTCAAAAAAAAATGATTAATTGTTTTATTGATTAATAAATTCTAATTTTTAACTGAATATGAAAATTTTGAGAAAAAGGTTTAATATTTTTAATTTTAGATAAAATAATATTATAAAACCACTTAAAACTGTAAATTTACATGAAATAATATTGATATATTTACAGAACTTTTAGTTAAAAACATTTATAAAAACTCATTTTTAAAATTTTATATTAAAGATTACTAATATTTTAAATTTAAAACAATTTAATTATTTGAAGATTAATCAATGTTTATAATATAAAATAATTTTTACCTATCTTTACAAGATTTATTCGTTTTTTGGTATTAAAAAATTTTATAATATTTTTTTGTTCTATTATAATTGTTTTTTTATTCTGCTAATATAAATTTTATTAAAATGTAAATCAATATGTGACTCTAGAATACATAGATTAATCTGCTGAAAAATGAGGATTTTATAAATTTTGACTCTCAAAATAAAGCTTAACTTTTATTTTACCTGATAAATTAGAATTTGAGAAATAAATAAAATTGTTTTGAAATTAAAAAAAAAATTTAATTATTTCGTATATTTTCTATTCAGATTATATTCATCCACTAATTAATTCTAAAGCAGTATACTTTCTATCTAGAGCAATTTTATTCACTTTTTAATTTTAAAGAAGGTGATGTTATTAATATAATAAATTTATAATCAATTCAGGCAATTCACCAAAAATCAAAAAATCATTCATATTAATATTTTTTTTGTATTTTTGATTTTAATCTCCTACCGAAATAAAAAATTTAATAAGGAGCAAATGATTTTGGAGTATTTAAATAATTTAATTTTGCTGCTAACTTGAAAACGAGTCATCTATTTAATTATAATATCAATGTTAATGAAAATTCAAATTTGATTAAACGATTTTTGAAATTAATATTAAGAGCACTCTTCATATTATTGAAATATATTTTTATTTTAGTTAAATTTTTGGATAAAGCTAATAAAATTTAATTCTAATTTATAAATTCAAGAAAAATAAACAATTTAAAAATACAAATGTATATTTATTATTTAAAAAATACTTTAAAATTTCACATTTTTATAGCTTAAAATATAAAAATATTTGAAGGTTTAACCAAAAATATTTTTATTTTTTTTTAATTATGTGTTAATTATAAAGATGATAGCAATTTTTAAATAAAAAAATGTTTAAATATGAAAGCGAATTTTATAGAATGTTGTAGATTTTTATTTAATATTATACGTAAGTATATGCTGAGAAATTATGTATTTACAAAAAAATAAATGTGAATTTGAAAAATAGTTGGCTTAAAATAAAATAAATGAAAAACAAAGATTAGATCTTTATTTTGTCAAATATCAGAAATAAGAAAAATAAAATAGCTCATCTCTATTAGGATTTATTAGCTTTATGAATGTTAGATATAATGGTTAATAGAGAAAATCAAAAATTTAGGCAAGTAAAAGTGAAAAAAAATAGAAACTTATTAGTGTATTTAAAAAATAATTTAGAAAATTAATATTAATAATTGATTATTTATGTATAGAAAAAATACAAAATAAAATTAGTATATAAGCTAAATTGTAAAAGTAGCAAAGTATATTAAAACAACAATTTACTTTTTCTAATTAAAAAAGCTTATTAAAAAATGAAAATAAAATGTATGATCTTTTATTTTGTTTTCACTATGTTTTAATAAAAATTTAAAAGAAAACTTAAATTCATACAAAAACATAATAATAACAACCACTAAACAAAATTTACCTAAAAATAAGGTTACTTTTAAAATCATTATATTCTTATTTATTTTTATCAACTTAGATTACAATTATCACTTAATTCTACAACTGAGACACATTTTTTGTGTAACTCTCATGCTAATCTTTAAAAAAAATTGATCTCAAGTATTCTGTTAGAAAAATCTAAGATATTTTATAAATAATCTTTATGTTTATATATTTTACACCTTCAGTCATTTCCCCAAATAAATATAATTAGGTTTTGGTGGGTAAAAATAATTAGTCATTACTCAAAGCATTAAATACTTGAATTTAATTAATCATTCATTAATAATAAAAAAATCAAGAAAATCAAGATATAATTAAAATAACTATTTATATTAATTCTATAATTATAAATAATCTTTTTGGTGAATTTGGTGGGTAAATAAGAGCTTGCTTGCTTTTCACAAAACCATTTTTAGATTACTAAAACTAAATCTTATAATTAGAATTTACAAGTATTTTTTTACATTATCATAATAAGAAAAGTGAATGATTGATAAGAAAATAATTAATTTAAATTGTTAATCAAACCAATCATTTTTTATTAATAACAATTTAAATTATTAAAAAAATACATAAATCTTAAAATAAAAATAAGATTTTCTCTAATCTTATCCAAACAACTTCACTTAATCCTAACTTTTTAGATACTTTTGTTTAAAAGACATGAAAATGCAATTAGCTGAAGCCTTTTACTCCGATGCTAAGCTGAATAAAAACCAAGATATTTTTAATCAGAATCAAGTTATACATGAATTTTTACAAATATTTGCTAAAATCTATTAATAATACAATAATAAATATTAAGAAAAAAAATTTTTAATTTCCTCTTTTTTTATAATTAATATTTTATTAAAACATAAAATAAATTTAAAATACAAAATATCTTTATTAGTTAATAATCGAATATCTTCAAACTATTTTAATTCTTATATTTACTTTTATATTGAATCCGTAAAAACTTCTGAGAAATATCATTAACTATTTTAGTGATTTAAGAGATAAAAAATGAGGTAATGTGTATTTTTATTACATTATCTCCTAATGCATCAATATTATGATATACCAATTACATTTATTTTATAGATGCTACGTATTATATTTATTTCACAGTATTTTACTTACAAGAAAGTTAGTTTAACATCTATCTTACTTGATTTAATGAATAAATTAAAATAAGATAAATATCACTACTTTTATTTATTATTTCAAAATCTTTAATACTTTTTATATTACGATTTAACATTAATTTCAAGTTAAATCCCCTATCCTTCATCGCTATCACTAATCAAGCTTGAATCTGAATTTGAGCCTTTTATTTATTGTTATTTTAACTTATAATAATAGGAATAGATTATTTATTTTCTTCATCTGATTGAGGCTAATCTATATTATTAATTAAAGTAATTCACTTATTTAATAAATCTATTTTGTAAATTATCTTCTTTTTCTTCGTCATTGATTTCCTCCTCTGTTTAGACAACACCTTAATGTTCCGATAAATTTACACCGCACTAAATGAAATTTTTTGAAATCATCCTTATGATCGAAATAGTATAACAAGCATGAGTAAATATCCTAAATATAGGATACTCTTTTTCTTCATCATAATTTTTATTTCACTTGTTTCCACTTACTTTCAATACTTTATGTATGAATTAAGTGATCTTTGAATTCTATTGAGAGGAGTGGGCAATAAAATGTTTAGAGCGGTTAACTGTTTCATATGAATATCCAAAATCTTATAATTTTGAAAATCCTTTCTATTAATCAGTGCATACCATTGTAGCTTTTATTGAAATGAACATTTCAATATACTTGAAAAGAGTGGTTGTATCTCTTTTTATCAACTGGAATCATTATTATTTCTCTTTTTGTCATTCCTAAGACCCATTAATTTCTTTTTATCTCCCCTCCCCTCTGATATTTATGTTTAAAATAGGATTTATGTATTATTAAATAATAAAAAAACTGAAAATTTTTTGTTTGAAGATTATGAATACTATTAGAAAAATATATGAAAGATATGATTAAATTAAATCTATTAAAAAAATGTTGTGAAGATTATAAGATTAATTTTAATATCTAAAATCACTTCGAATACATAATCCATGGCTCTTAAATAAACTTATTCATCCCCTTCATTTGTGTTTTGAAAATTAATAGTGTAATTATAGATTAACAAATTTAAACATAGTTAATAAAAACAGAAGTTTGTTCATTTATTTTGGAAATATATCATAACAACAGTAGTAATAATATGATATAAAAGTAGAATTATGAGAGTATATATGTAAATTAAAGAATAATAATTATAAAAATATTTTTAAAAATATAATTTTGATATAATTACTTGTGTTTAAGATGATTGATTATAAGATATTTTTACAGATTAAGGTAAAAAATTTACATTTATTTTTGTGTAATATTTATTAAAAGCAGTTAAAATTTTATTAATCACTTCCATCAATAAAATAATATTTTATTTTAAACTCAAAACTAAAAAGCTTTTCATGAAAAGACAAAAAATCAAATAATTCATAATATAAACAAAAAAATAATCTACAAATTATCAACATTTTTTTAAAAGATACTCAATTTTTTTCAAAGATAAATTAAGAAACTAAAATGTTTTATTGTTAAGAACTTAAAATGAATTAAATTTAATTAGTTTTTGTAAATTTTTTAAAAATCATAAAATGATAAAACTATTTCTATGGTTAGTTTTTTTAATATTTGATACCATGATTAATTTCCATCATAATTGTTTTTTAAATTCAAGGATTAAATAAATAAATACAAATTAAGTTTATCAAAATATAAATTAAGTAAGATAAAATTTTTTTCTATTGCTTAGTTCTAAGTGATAAATAACTTACATTTTAAGAATCAAAAGCAGTTTATTAAAGTATTCCTAAAAATATATTATTTGAAGATGTTGAAGAGGATTTCATTAACTATAATGATATGAGTAATTCTAATCAATCATAGTAATATTTTATTTCAGACTTAAAGCTGAAATTTCATTTTACCAAATAAAAGAAAGGAATTTAGATGGTAGTGAAGAAAAATTAAAAGAATAAGATGACAAAAAAATTTCTTAAAGGTCATTCATTCATTATTCATTTCATAGATAGATAGATGGAGGAGATGATATCTTTTGCAATTAAAGAAAAAGAGAATGTTAAATTTAACGAAATTAATAAGAAATTTAATAGGTTTATGAAAATACATTCTTTTAAAAATCCAGTTTTCAAGTATGTGCTGACACATAAATACTATAAAATATTATTAGCCTAATAGTATGAAGATTCTATCTTAGAAGAGGGTTGGCAAAAGTAAGATTAATAACAAAGATAAGTTGAACACCTAGCTTAATTATTCAGTTAAAGGCATTTAAAGCGCTACCATTATTGGACAATTTATATAATGATATTTATTGATCATGATCATGAAGCTGAAAACTAAAAAATTGTTATTTGAAAAATTAAAAAAATAAATCTATCTATGATGATGGTACTCATAAATAATAGATTAAGTTGATTCAAAAAGGCTATATTACACATGAATGTTCCAAGCACAGTCAGAATTACTTCAGGACTAGGTAACCTGGTTATTAATAAATAAGTTGAAAGAAAAAAAAGAATAAAAGTAAAGTTATGGAAGCTTAGAGAAGTGAGTCAGCAAAAGTTAGGTTAATAACAAATATAAATTGAAAGTATGGTTTAGTTATAAAATTGAATTCACTTGTGAACTATCTTAATTGGACAAATTAACTCATAACCATCATGAAGCTAATACCTAAAAAATTTTTATTTGAAAATTTAAAAAACAAAATAAATTTATCAATGAAGATGATAATAATAATAAATAATAGATTATGTTGATTTATTTCTAAAAGGTTATATTATATATAAATGTTATAAGTACAATCAGATTTTCTTCAGGATAAGGTAACCTAACTATTAATAGTAAATATGTTCGAAGAAAAAATAGGATAAAAGTAAAGTTCTAATTAAATTATCTAGCATTTTTTATATTTTCACTGTAAACCCAATAGATAATGATGAAAAAATATAATTTAAGTATATAAAATAAACGAAATATTTTTCATGTTCAAATATATAGTTTTGCAATTTAATTTACAATAGAAAATGAAAATTAATTAACTTTTTCAATGCTTTTTAATTTAAATAAACGTGTAAAATCATTAGGTTAAAAATAAATAAATTAATGAATAAACGTTTACTTCTTTATAAAATAAACTAAAACATTTTATTTTTTAATTCTAATTCTATCTTTTATTTTTGACAAAACATTTAAATTTTCACTGTTCTAAAAAATATTATGTCAAACAATATTTTTCAAAGCTAAATAAATAAAAAATAAATCATTTGATATTACTATTACAGCAGAAAAATTAGAAAAATTTTTATGATCAATTTAATCATTCAATCGATAGCTTTTTATTTATCAAAAAATAAAAAAGCATCTAAAATTTCTAGTAAACAGATAACTAGTTTATTTATCAGTTAGAAGAAGAATTCATAATAGATTTTTAAGAATTTAAAAGAAATATTATCATAATGTTTATAATTTTTCAAGTTGACATGTATAATTTTAAAGTCTAATTTAACTTTTAAGATTTGCAATTTATTTTTTGATTTTAATTTTTGTATTTCTTAGAAAATTTATAAACAAAAACATAATAAACAGTTTATTAATGCATAATGAGATAGGCTATTTCGTTTTATAGGTAAGTAAGTTCAATCATAAAAATCTATCTAATCAATTAATATTGTTATAGAGAAATTTTTCATTTCTTTTATCACTAATATCATTTTTGTAAAATATTTGACCACTTAAATTGCACTTTTATTAGAAGGTAAAAGCTTTTATGTTTTTATTCGTTTTCTAATCTTATTTTTATCATTTGTTATCTTTGAATGCAAATTTAGTATACATAAGTTATCAAAAAATATTTTAAAATATTGATATAACTCCATTCATTTAAAAAATTTAGTAATAAATATATTAAATTTTATATTTATTTTTATAAATTGGCTATTAGTAACAACTAAAAATGCTTATAACTAATAAAAAAGACTTTTTTGATGCAGGGAAAGGTTAAAATGCTAACTTGAATTTTGAGACGTTTACAAATTTAAATCTAAAAGGAAATTTTTTGTAAGAAATATACACAATTAATAAGTAAAAAGTGTAGTTTAATATTATCTTCATAAATATTTGATAAGTATATTTTGATAAGTTTTCTAATTATTTAAATTATTTATTTAGTATAATTTCTATTCGGAGCATTTTCTTTTAATTTCTTTCAAAAGAACATTACTTATTTTTAATAAATTCTTTAGAATTTCTTGTGCTGCTAATCAATTAAGCAAATCTCCCTCCTGAGATCTAAACAATTATTTGATATAATTTTATTTGAATTTTTTTCATTCCTTTAAAAATTTGTTAATTAAACAAGAAGCAAACTAATTTTATAACAATTAACAAATTCCAGTAAACATACATACATACATTAAATTTTTGTGTTATCGCATCTCTAAAATCCATCAAATATATTTTTTACTTTTAAGAAGTAAATTTCAAGCGGTTTATTAGATAAGAAATATATCTGTTAATTTTATTAGAATATTTTGAAACCAAATACATAAAAAATGATTTTAAAAATCAGTTATCATTTTAATTTATATAGTTGCTTTTGCTTGAAATCTTAATTGATGCTAAATTTAAAGAAAAAAAAGTTAAAAAAGAGGTTGTTATTTAACTTTTATTAGACTTTACCTTTAATTTGGATAGTTTGTGTAAGCTTATATTGAGAAATCGCATATTTGTAAATAAATAATTGAATGATTTCTAAGAATTTTATTTAAAATAAATGAAATCAAATATCATTGTTCAAAAATACAAAAATCAAAATTTACTATTTAAAAAGCTATGCTTAACTATTGATAAGTAAGGAGATTAAAAATTTACATAATTTTAAACAAAATAAATGAAGTCTTCTAGTGAATCCATAAATAATATTGAAAATTACTATTAAAAATTAATCTTACATATTGTAATGTGCTAATCTAAAAAACAAATAACAAAATAAATGCAAAATAAACTAAATATATATCATTTTAAATCACATTTTCAAATAATAAAATGATTTATTGATAAAAATTACTATATAAATTGAATGAAGGTTTTATTCTGGTTAGAAATTGCTTGAAGAATGTGCATATTTAGTTGATATTTAAAATAACATTAATTTATTCAAAAATATAATTTTGAATAAACAGAATTTACCTAAAAATATGATCACATTAGAAATTATTATTTTTTTCTTTCTTTCTTTCTTTACTTTATTAAATTAAGTTAAATTTTAATTATGACTGAATACAACAGAAAATGATTGTAACTCTCATTCTAAAAGGAGAAAAAAATTTTCAAGTATTTTTAATATAGTTAATCAAAACGAACATATTTCACAAATTAACTTTTTTTTTGTTTTTATATATTACTCCTCCAATAAATACTGTTGAATGATTTAATTAGGCTACATTGGGTAAAATTAATTAATCTAATCTCAAAGCATTAACTTATTCTATTCTTCAATTAAGATTGAAGCTAATTAAATCAAAAATTTTTTAAATTACATTTTTTACCTATACTTTAATAGTTTCGTTTCCCACAAACTTTTCATGCTTTTTATGGGTAGCAAAAAGAATTTGATTAATATTTTCTCTTAATCTATCACTGATCTAATTGTAATTTATTACTATTAAGGGAATTTACATATATTTCTTACCAGTTGTTAATATTATCCTAAAAGTAAAATGATAAATTTATTAGCAAATAAATTTTATGTTTAAAACAAAACTACAATCAGTCAATTTTTATTATTAATATTTATAATAAAAAATTACTTAAAGTAAGATATTTTTAACACTTAAATAAACAACTATTCAAAATCTTACCTCGCCAAACATTCTTACATTTCCAATATTAAAATGAATTCAGGTGAAATTTTTTACTCCGATGCTAAGTTGGTTACAAGCTAAGATATTTTTTAAGAGAATTTAGTCATACGTGAACCTGAATACTTTTTAAATATAACTAACGATATTTAAGAGCAGTAGTTTTAATTCGCTAATTAGTAAACACTTAATGAAGTCTATCAAAGTTAAAAACATGAACAATCTTATCCTGCCAACAATCTAAGAAGTTTAAATACATTTAATAATGAGTATTATTACTATTTAAATTAAGAAAACTCATATACCTAATAACAAGCTGATTCTTTAAACTTTTAAATTAAATTTGAAGAACCAAAATATGTAGATTGTTCTGTATCATAGTTAGAATAAAATTATATGCAACCTACTTTTTCATTAAATCAAATAAAAGAATAAGAATCAATGATGTATCAAGATGAAAATAAAAAATATAAAAACCAAAATATTTTAAAAGATATTTTTAACTCCTTTCATAAATACGTTAAGGATTTAAAATATTTTCCAGTTTGTGACATCTAAAATGTAGACTTAAAAGAAATCAAGAAAAAATTTAATAGATTTGTTAAAATTCATTCATTTAACAACTCAATAATAAAATACGTTCTAAATCATAAATTTTATAAAATATTATTTACCGAATACTATGAGTAAGGGTATTTACTTTAATGGGTTTCTAAAAGTCGAGTTAGTAATAAAGATGGTCTTAAGTATTGGGCAAATTATTTAATTGAATGTATAAAAAATCCCTCTCACCTAGAACATCTTCCGGTAAATCGTATATAAAAAAACAAGAACAAAAACACTAAAAATTGATAAATTTAATTTAATTTAGTATATAATTTATATTTCATAGATATATTAATCACTGTATATATAAAATAACAAATTTAACCTGTAATAAAACTGAAGTTAAAAATAATCAAATTGTTAATGAATGGTAGAAATAATAAATTTATTATTTTATAATGTAAATTAATATTCCCCTTTATTAAATCTTATTAAGAAAAAAATTAGAAAAATGCGCTAGTATAAATTCATAATTTTATGATAATTTACTAAAAATATATAAAAACAAGTTTTTTTCAAATTTTTTGTTTTTATTAATCTTAATTTATTGAAATGTAAATTAAATTTAAAATGCATTATTTAATCATCAAATTTCTTCAGATTTTTTTACTTCTCATATTTATTTTTATATCAAATTTGTAAAAAGTTTTGACAACTTACAATAGAAAGAAGGAAGATATGTCTTTCATAAATATTTTTTGATTTTAAAAAAAGTCAATTTAAAGATATTGAAATTATTTTTAAAAGAATTAATTTTGATATAATTTATTCTATTATTTAAATAAAACTAATTATTATCTCTTTATTTGTTTTCATTCATTTTAAAAAAAAATTTTATGATATTATTTTGACATTTTGAAGTAAAAAAATAGTGCAGGTCAATCTACATCTTATTTTCTTGTATATTTTTAATTTGGTTTTGATCTCATGTAAAAAATACCTACTTAAATATATCTTATGCTTTTATTTGCTATTCCTATAAACTGTATTGAATAATTATGATTAAATCTCATAAGCCAAATAACACCCATTTAGTCTCTATCTTAAGATTAAGATACCATAAGTCCTCATGAACATTACCTTATTTCACAATAAATTAAAAGTAAATTAATTATTATCAAAATTTATTAAATTAGATTTAGCGAGAGTTGAAGAGGTGGAATTATGGAATTTATTTTCTTCTTAAAAAAATAGAGTTTGAGTTTTTAATAACGAATTTGTACTTTCTTTCATAAATTTAATGAGTCAAAAGAAATTATATAAACTAATTTTTATTTAAATAGATATCAAAGTATAATAAAATATATTAAATAAAATAATTCAATAATAAATAAAACATATTTGGTATGTAAAAAATTTACATTTATTTTTGTGTAATATTTATTTAAAGCAGCTCAAATTTTATTAATCGTTCTTAGATCCATTAATAAAATAATATTCTATTTTAAACTCAAATCTAAAAAGCTTTTCATAAAAAAACAAAAATCATATAACTCATAATAGAAAAAAAATTAATCTCTTAATAGCTAACAAAATTTAAAAGCTAAAGTATCTTAAAAGATACTCTATATTTTTTCAAAAATAAATTAAGATGCTAAAATATTTTTATTGTTAAGAACTTAAAATGAATTAAATATTATTAGTTTTTGTAAATTTTTTTAAAAATATTTAGTGATAAGACTATTTCTATGTTTAGTTTTTTTAATATTTGATACCATGATTAATTTCCATCATAATTTGCTTATAAATTCAAGGATTAAATAATATATACAAAAAAATATAGATTTAGTAAGATAAAAACATTTTTCTATTGCTTAGTTCTAAGTGATAAAAATAACTTACATTTTAAGAATCAAAAGCCGTTTAGGATTTTATTAACTATAATGATATGAGTAATTCTAATCAACCCAATTTATGTAATATTTTATTTCTAAAAGATTTTATGCTTAAATTTCATTTACTAAATAAACCAAAAGAATTTAGATGGCTATGAAGAAAAATTAAAAGAATAAGATGACAAAAAAAATATAAAAACTTAAATTTCTTAAAGATCACTCATTATTCATTTCATAGATAGATGGATGATGATATCATTTGCAATTAAAGTATAAGAGAGTGTTAAATTGAACGAAATTAAAAAGAAATTTAATGGGTTTATGAAAATACATTCTTCTAAAAATCCAGTTATCAAGTATGTGCTGACAGATAAATACTATAAAATATTATTTGCTAAATAGTATGAAGGTGCTAGCTTAAAAGAGGGTCAGTAAATGTAAGGTTAATAACAAACATAAGTTAAAAATGTGGTATAATTATTAAGTTAAATGCATTTAAGACCCATAATTATTGGACAATTTATATAATGATCATGAAGCTAAAATCTAAAAAATTGTTATTTGAAAATTTTAAAAACAAAAAAAATTTATCAATGATAAGTCTGATAGTGCTTAGAACATTCATGTGTAATACAGCCTTTTTGAATCAACCTAATCTATTATTTATGATTACCATCACTTTAGGATTAGGTAGTCTTACTATGAATAAAGAATAAGTTAAAAGAAAGAATAGGATAAAAGTAAAGTTATGGAAGCTTAGAGAAGTGGGTCAGCAAAAGTGAGGTAAATAACAAATCTAAACTGAAAGTATGGTTTAATTATTTAATTGAATTCACTTGTAATCGATTGTTATTGCGCAAATTAACTCATAATCATCATGTTGTTAATATCTAAAAAATTTCTATTTGAAAATTTTAAAAACATAATAAATTTATCAATGAAAATGATAATAATAATAAATAATAGATTAGGTTGAATTATTTCTAAAAGGCTATGCTACATATGAATGTTATAAGTACAATCAGACTTTCTTCAGGATAAGGTAGCGTGATTATTAATAGTAAATAAGTTCGAAGAAAGAATAGGATAAAAGTAAAGTTCTAATTAGGCTTAGGTAGCGTTTTTTGAATTTTCACTGTAAACCCTTTATATAATGATGAAAAAATATAATTTAAGTATATAAAATATACCAAATATTATTCATGTTTAAATATTTAGTTTTGCAATTTAATTTACAATAGAAAATGAAAATCAATTAACTTTTTCAACGCTTTTTAATTTAAATAAACGTGTAAAATCATTAGGTTAAAAATAAATAAACAAATAATACAATGAATTTAATTTAAGTGTTTTATTAAATCAACTAAAATATTTTATTTTTTAATTCAAATTCTATCTTTTATTTTTGACAAAACATTTAAATATTCACTGTTCTAAAAATTATTATTTCAAACAATATTTTTAAAAGCTAAATAAATAAAAAATAAATTATATAAAATAACTAATTAATATAGCAGAAAGATTAGAAAAAATTTTATGATTAATTTGATCATTCAATCAATAGCTTTTTATTTATCAAAAGTAAAAAACCATCTAAAATTTCTAGTAAAGAGATAACTAGTTTATTGATTAGTTAGTATAAGAATTCATAATAGATTTTTTAAAATTTAAAAGAAATTTTATCATAATGTTTATAATGTTTTAAGTTGACATGTATAATTTTAAAGTCTTACTTAACTTTTAAGATTTGCAATTTACTTTTCGCTTTTAATTTTTGTCTTTCTTGGAAAATATATAAACAAAAACATAATAAACAACTTATTAATGCATAATGAGATAGGCTATTTTTATTTATAGGTTAAGTAAGTTGAATCATAAAAATATAATCAATTAATATCGAATTAGAGTCATTTCTTTTTATCATTAACATCATTTTTGTAAAATATTTGACCATTTTAATTGCGCTTTTATTAGAAGGTAAAAACTCTTATGTTTTTTAATCATTTACTAATCTTATTTTTATCATTTCTTATTTTTGAATACAAATTTAGAATTTATAACTCATCAAAAAATATTTTAATTTATAGCTACAACTCTAATTGGATAAAAAATTTAGTAATAAATGTAGCTAATTTTATATTTATTTTTAATAATTTAGATATTAGTAACAGCTAAAAATACTTGTAACAAATAAAAAAGAGATGAAAAAGATGCTTTTGATACAAAGTAAGGTTAAAATGCTGACATGAATATTAAGACGCTTATAAATTTTAAATATTAAAGGAAATTTTTTGTTGGAAATATACAAAATAGATAAGTAAAAAGAAATATTTAATATTATCTTCATAAATTTGAAAGGTTTTCTAATTATTTAATTCATTCATTTAGTACAATTTCTATTTGGAGCATTTTCTTTTAATTACTTTCAAAAAAACATTACTTATTTTTAATAAATTCTTTAGAATTTCTTGTGTTGCTAATCAATTAAGCAAATCTCCCACCTCACATCTAAATAATTATTTGATATAATTTTCTTTGAAATTTTTTCATCTATTTAAAAATTTACTAATTAATCAAGAATCAAACTAATTTTAAAAGAATTAACAATTTACAATAAACATAAATACATACATTAATTAAATTTTAATGTTATTGCATCGCATCTATAAAATCCATGAAATATATTTATACTTACAAATAGTAATTTCAAGCGATCTATTTAGATAAGAAATATATCTTTTAATTTTATTTGAAAATTTTGGAATCACAAACTTAAAAAATGATTTTAATAATTAGTTATCATTTTAATTTGTATGGTTGCTTTTGTGCGAAACCTTATTGGATAACACAAATTTAAAGAAAAAAAAAGTTAAAAAAGAGGTTGATATTTAATTTTTATTAGACTTTACCTTTAATTTAGATAAAATTTGTAAGCTTATATTGAGTAATTGCATATTTATAAAAAGTGGATTGAGTGATTACAAAGAAATTTATTTAAAATAAATGAAAACAAATATCAATGATAAAATCAAATTTCAAAAATACAAAAATAAAAATTTACTCTTTAAAAAGCTATGCTTTATTTTACTATTGACAAGTAAGGAGATTAAAAAATGGCATAATTTGAAACAAGTTTTCTAGTGAATCCATATATAATTTTGAAAATTACTATTAAAAATTAATCTTACGCATTGTAAATAGTAATGTGTTAATCTAAAAACAAATAATTATATAAATGCAAAACAAAAATATTATAAAAGCATTTTAAATAACATTTTAGAATTATAAAATTATTTTTTAATAAAAATTACTTTATAAATTGAATGAAAATTATATTCAGGTTAGAAAATGTTTGAAGAAAACACATATTTAGTAGATATTTAAAATAACATTAATTAATACAAAAATATCATTTTGAATAAACAGAATTTACCTAAAAATATGATCACTTTAGAAGTTAATATTCTTTTCTTACTTTACTACATTAAATTAAGTTAAATTTTAGTTATGACTTAATACAACAAAAATGACTGTAACTCTCATACTAATCTGAGAAAAAAAATTATCTAGAATTTTTAATTTAACTAATCATAAATACATTGAACACATTTCACAAATTAACTTTTTTTCCTTATATATTTTACTGATCGATGGAGTGCTATTGAATGAATTAGTTAGGTTAAAGTGGGTAAAATTAATTAATCTAAACTCATAACAATAACCTATATAATTCAATTAAGCTTGATGCCAATTAAATCAGATATTTTTTAAATTAAATTTTTAATATACTATTTAATATTTTCGTTTCCCACAAGCTTTTCAAGCTTTGGATGGATAGAAAAAAGAAATTGCTTGATATTTTCTCATAATCAATCACTGATCTAATTGTAATGTATTATTGTTAAGGGAATTTACAAATATTTCTTACCAGTTATTAATATTATCCTAAAATTAAAATAAACAATTAATTAGCAAATAAATTTTATATTTAAAACAAACTACAATCAGTCAATTTTTATTATTGTTATTTAAATTAAAAAATTTACTTAAAAATAAGATTATTTTTAATAATTAAATAAACAACTATTCAAAATCTTACCTCGCCAAACATTCTTACTTTTCCAACATTAAAATGAATTTAGCTGAAACTTTTTACTCTGATTCTAAGCTGGATACAATCTAAGATATATTTTAAGAGAGTTAAGTCATACATGAACCTGAATACTTTTTAAATATAACTAATAATATTTAAGAGCAGTAGTTTTAATTCGCTAATTAGTAAACACTTAATGAAGTCTATCAAAGTTAAAAAAATGAACAACAATATCCTGTCAACATTCTAAGAAGTTTAAATACAATTAATAATGAGTTTTATTATTATTTAAATTAAGAAAACTCATATACCTAATAACAAACTGATTCTTTAAACTTAGAAAATAAATTTGAAGAACCAAAATATGTAGATTATTCTGTATCATAGTTAGAATAAAGTGATACTCAACCTACTTTTTCATTAAATCAAATAAATGAATATGAATCAATGATAAATCAAGATGAAAATAAAAAATATAAAAACCAAAATATTTTAAAAGATATTTTTAATTCCTTTCATAAATACGTTAAGGATTTAAAATATTTTCCAGTTTGTGACATCTAAAATGTCAACTTACAAGAAATCAAGAAAAAATATAATAGATTTGTTAAAATTCATTCATTTAACAACTCAATAATAAAATACGTTCTAAATCATAAATTTTATAAAATATTATTTACCGAATACTACGAGTAAGGGTTTTTACTTTAATGGGTTTCTAAAAGTCGAGTTAGTAATAAAGATGGTCTTAAGTATTGGGCAAATTACTTAATTTAATGTATTAAAAATCCCTCTCACTTAGAACATCTTCCAGTAAATCGTATATAAAAAAACAAGAACAAAAACACTAAAAATTGATAACTTTTCTTTAATTTGGCATATAATTTATATTATTATATATATATTAATCACTTTGTAAAAAAAATAACAAATTTAACTTCTAATAAAACTGAAACAAAAAATAATCAAATTATTTATAAATTAATAAATGAATGGTAGAAATAATAAATTTTTTATTTTATGCTGTAAATTAATAAATAATCAAAAATTAATATTCCTCCTTGTAAAATCTTATTAAGAAAAATTACAAAAATTTGCTGTTTAAATTCATAAGTGTATGATGATAAACAAATAATAAACAAAAACAAATTTTTCAAATTTTTTGTTTTTATTAATCTTAATTTATGAAAGGTAAATTAAATTTAAATGCATTATTTAATTATCAAATTTCTTCAAATTTGTTTCCTTCTCATGTTTATTTTTGTATCAAATTTGTAAACAGTTTTGACAACTTACAATAGAAAGAAGGAAGATATGTCTTTCATAAATATTTTTTGATTTTAAAAAAAGTCAATTTAAAGATATTGAAATTATTTTTAAAAGAATTAATTTTGATATAATTTATTCTAATATTTAAATCTAATTATCTTCTGTTTATATGTTTACATTTATTTTTAAATAAAATTTTTATGATATTATTTAGACATTTTCAAGTTAAAAAATAGTTCATGGAAATCTGAATAAAATTTTCTTGTATATTTTTAATTTAGTTTTGATCTCATCTAAAAATACCTACTTACTATATCTTATGGTTTTATTGCTATTCGAATAAACTGTATTGAAAAATTATGATTAAATATCATAAACCAATAAATATCCATAAATATTTAGTCTAAATCTTAAGATTAAGATACCATAAGTCCTCATGAATTATCACTTTATTTTTATTTCACTGTAAATTACGAGCAAATTAATTATCATCAAAATTTATTAAATAGTACTTGGCTAGAATTAACGAGGAATTACTGTATTTAGTTTCTTCTTAAAAAATAGAGTTTGAGTTTTTAATAACTAATTTGTAGTTTTTTTCATATATATTTTAATGACTAAAAAGACATTAAATAAACTAATTTTTATTTAAATAAACTTCAAAAATTAACAAAAGATATGATATAAAATAAATGATTTCCATAATAAAATGTATTTGTTTGGTATTATTACTAATTTTAAAATTTAATAATTATATTAATATTATTATTACTTTGTTATTATCACACTAATATGTTTAATATCGATTTTAAAAATTAAGGAAAAATCAAAAAGCAATTAAATTTACTTAATATAATAATTTTATAATTAAATTTAAAAAGCTTACAATATAACTTTGTGGAAAACAAAATAAAATTTAGTGAAATCAATTTTTTATAATAATAATTTAATAATTTTTGCATAAATTATAATATAGATATTTATAACGCTAATATTTAGTGTATATCAATTAATAAACAAAGTAGAACAAAATATATTATCAATAAACTTGAAGACTTAAAAAAATTTAATTTTATATTAAAGTTAAGGGGAAATGTAAATTTTTAGAAAGTTAAATGTTGACAATAATTCTTAAGAGCATCATAAAGATTTTCGAAATTTGAGCTAGCTTGTATAAAAAAACAATTCTCACCTAAAAGGAGTTGGTTTTATTGAGAGAAAACACAGGTAAGTCAATACTAATTCAGATAATTTCAGAAAAACAAAATTAGCAATTTTTAGATAACATAATCATGAAGATGAAATTATTGAGAATGCTAGAAGTCTTACATAGTATAACTAATCTTTTTCTTAGAATAGTTCACAATTTAATTCTCCATTAACAACGAGAATTAATTCCCCTACTTAATAGTCTGAGGCTGATTTTTTAGATTATTTTGTTCTTGGATCAATAGACCAGTCTTAAAATGATAAAAGGTCTTATCACAAATAGAGCAAATCAGCAGTAAATCCAAAATTAACATAAAATTTTGGTACTTCAACAATTACAGAATAATTATCTTTAGTAACTTAGGAATAATTCAAGTTAGTCAATCAGTCATCTGGAAAATTAAACAAGTTTTTTTTAGTATAATCATAAATTAAATTTTAATACTTCTACTCATTTTAAATTGATCTTTTAAAAAAGCATCATATAAATATAAAATTTATAAATAAAGAACTAGATTGATCTAAAAAAGGCCTAATCCCTTCAAAAAGACATTGAATATGCCTAAATCCTGTAAAAATCTGCTTAAATAAGTGGCTAAGTAAATCACTCTAGTAAATAGAGCTTTTTTATATAATTAAATCCAAAAAATTAAAAATTTTTACTAATAAATTAGTTATCAACAACTAAACTCCTTTGAAAATGATGCTCTTTAAAGACTCAGTAGAATATTACAAATTGGAATGCAAAAACAAACAATTTCCCCTTCGAATTCATTGCTCTGATCTTACTGCTCCATTTTTACTTGCTATTTCTGCAAGAAACAAATACCCAAAACCTAATGCTCATGGTCATGAATATCTAATATAATTTGATACTTCTGGTAGCAAAAAGCTTGAATTTTAATCGCTGCAAAGATATATAATAAATCCTAATCATGAAACAACTTAATCTATCTCAGCACATTAGAACTCAAATAGCTTAGATAATAAATTACAAAATCCAAATAAAATTCTTTTCTAATAAACTAAAACCTAATGGATATACTTTTCCTTCATTGGTTAATAATTCTCAAGTTTTACTATCACAACTGAATTCTAAGGTGATTATTGGTCATATAAAAATAAATTTTAATAGAAATCAAAATAATTTTTAAAAATATTTTCAAAAAAAAATCAGCCAAATTTTAATCTTTTTTTATTAAATAGATGATATCAGCTTTAAATTTTTTAATGAAGAAATGTTTAAACCTCAAAAGCATATTCCTTAAAAGTAGGTTAGCAAAATGATTTAAGCAAAGAATGAAAAGTACTTAAGCTTAGCTTAGCTGCAAAAATTTAATAAAGAAGCGTGTAAATCGATTTAAATCTAACAATAAACTTACTTTTTTTATAAAAAGTGGAAATAATTAGAAGAAGAAAAGAAGAAACTCTAAAAAAATCAAATAATGTTGACATTGTTGAGCTAAATAAGTCAAGAGCAAAATAATTTTTAAATTTAGAATATGAAAAATTTTTAAATAAAGTAAAAATAAATATATTTCAATTTCAATAAATAAAAGCTCAAATATTTTTAAAATAATAAAATAAAGGTTAATAAAGTTCAAGATAGACAAATAAAAAAAGTAAAAGAGCAACAAATAGTGAAAGAGGAAGAAAAGTAAAATGAAATCCAGCTAAAAATATAAATTAAAGAATATGTTAAGAAGTAAATGCAAGAAGCTCGAAAATTATAATATAAATAGTAACAATTAATTCAATTTAGAAAAAGATGGATTTAATTAATAACTTTAAATAAGCTGATAGTCAATATTATGTATACATTAAAAGTAAATTAATACCTATTTTTATAACCTAAGTTTATTTTATAATAGAAATATAAATTAGTTTAAAAATTTTACAGAAAAGAAAGATTATTTGCTATTAAGATTGTTGAATAGCACAAAAAGAAAATATAAATGTAGAACACCAATCTTTAAGAGAGACTCGTGATTTAAATATAAAAGTAAGATATTTTAATAGTTTTATGAATAATATATTTTACTCTTTATTTAATTATTTATTTGGGGGATGTTAAAAATTTTATTGATTTTCCTATTAAAACATATATTTTATAAAAATGCAACATAGCTTCATGTTTTTGTTTTCTAAAATAGCTAAAAATCCCCCCTTTTATAAGAAAAATAAGGAGCTTATAAATTTAAAATAAATTTTATTCTATAAATTCTAATAAAAAGTAAATTTAGAAATACTCTTTAAACTTAATTAATATATTAATATCTATTTTAATTAATTATCTAATTTTATATAAACAGCTCTTTGAGATTATTTGCTTCAAGTGTTAAATAATTTTCAGTTTAAAAAGCTACTGAGATAGTCAAATTAACTCTATTGAACATAGAATCTTTTAAAATAATCAATAAAATATTCACAAAATCTTAAATATAATATGACAAATGTAAAGTTGATTTTTAGACGTATATCTCTTTGTTTAATATATACAAAAATGTTAGGTAAAAGACTTCAAATATTTATCAAAACATAATATAATTCTGAAAAAGAGAGAGCTATGAATCTTTTATAAACTCTTTTCTAAGAAATAAGAATGAATAAGAAGGTTACTGCTTAAAAAAATGAAGAATAGCCAACATCATTATTCAGTCAATTAAATCCTGCTCTTGATCTCTCATTAGTCTATTTTTTATCACAATTTACTGAGTAATATTTATTACATATTTTATTTTTAATTCATAAAATAAATTATTAAATAGAGCTACCAAAAAAAAAATATGCCAGTAATATATCACTCTTCGTAAATAAATATTTCGCTAGCAATATAAAAAACATAATGAGCTTTTAGAAGATTTTTAGTTCAAATTGGGTCAATATAAATAAAAAGTTTAAATGCTAGAAGAATATAAGAATAATATGTTACAAAGTCCTTAATTGGTTTCTAAAAACTGGAGCAATGTTCGAAAAATTAGTTTAGCAGTTTCTGTAAATCAATTAAATTAATTCATTTTTTATTAAATTTAAAAATAAATTTAGTTATTTTCAGGGAATCAATCAAATAAAAAGTAGATAGATTTAGATAAATCTTAAATAGAACAGGGTAGTCCATTTATAAGATAGAAAACAAGTTCTTTTGCAAGTTCATAAAGCTAACTTAATTCTTCTTTAATGGAATAAAGCAGAATAAAAAATTTAAACACTCCTAGAAATTCATCCAAAAAGAGCAACTCAAATTCACCACTATCAAATAGAAATTCAAAAGAAATTTTTAATTTTAACAACGCTTTTGACAACTATGAGTCATCTCAAATTCAAGCAAAATAAATACCTTCACCTCTTTCAAATATAAAACACAAGATGAGTTTAAGAAACTCATTATTTTCACCTCAAAATAAACTCATGGAAGAAAAAATTGAAGAGCCAAAATTCACTTCAAAAAGACCAAAACTAAATTTGGAATCCAGAAAAGAAATGGAAGATATTCTTTTATCATATTTATAACAGCAAAAAGAAAAAAATATATGAAAAACAAACAAACAAACAAACATTTAATTTTTCAAGAAACAAACATTCACTTAAAATCTTTGAAATTTATAAAATTGTTTTTAAAAAATGTTTAAATTAATATATTCCTATCTTGTTTTTTGTAATGCATGAAAATTATATAATTGAATTCTATTTTCAAATAACACAAAGCCATTCAAAAGTAAAAATATCTTACTATTTAAATAAAAATCTAAATTGTAAAAAATAAATGTTTGGTGTTAGATTAAAAATAAATATATTGAATAAATTTTAATTGATTAGATAAAAAATATTAAATCATTTTATATTCATTCAGTATATTTTACTTAATTAATTAATTAATCTATGTGGAGAGACTAATCGACTTCTACTAAGTAAAGACAACTTTATTTTTTTAATAAATTCTGATATCTTTTTTGATTAGATATAAATTATTAGATTAAGGATTCAATAATGAAATAAAACTATGAGTAAACATGCTAAAATTAACAATATGAATTAGCTTAAAACGACTAAGAGGAAGAAAAATTTGATAACAAACTAGATATACAGAGTTAAAATAACTTTTAGTAAATGAAAAATAATAAAGATTTGAAATAGTAAATGATGTATACTCTTCTATAATCGCCAATAAGGCCACCTCATTATCATGATCAGAACAATTAAATATAGTAATTTGACTTAAATTAACCAATGCAAAGCGGTTTTAAGTTGAATTAGATTTAAGATTTGCAAACCAGCTTTATTGATAATCAAGAAGAAATGAAAATAGAGCATTTTAGGTTTGTTGTTTCTAAAAATGAGAAAGGCGAAGAGTTTAATTAAGATGATGAATAAGATGATTTATAATCGAAGCAAGGGTTATTTCATCATAATAATATTTTAGAAGATTTAGATTTGTTAGAAAATAAAAATGATCCAAATTATAAAAAGCTTATGATAAAGGGATTAGATTATGTCAATTTTTAGCATTATTTTGAGTATATAGATTTAAATAATATTAATACTGAAAAACTACAAAAAAAGTACAATCTGAAGGATATCAATTATTTATATCTCTTGTAAATAAAATATGCAAACATTAAATGGAAGTAAAAATTTTGGATATTTTGCCTTTTAAGAAAGAAAATTATAAATAAATTAGCAAATTTGCCAATAGAATTATATACGAATAATTATAAAAATATCTTTGAATTTATATTAGTGAAAATGTAGAAGGAAATTTAATGGTTTTTTATTTATTTAGAATTAGGAGAACACTAGAATAAATAATATAGTTTGAAATATAGTATGTTAAATTCATGAATGAAATGGAGCTTGAAGATTTTGATGATCAAGTATACTTGACTTTGGCAGAAACTCTAGATTAAGAAGTAAGAGAAAACAATCCTAACAAAGTTTTGAAATACATTGAAGAATGCTTAAAAATTATTGTTAATTAATTTCAATATGAATAAGCTGGCATAGATCCATTGATTAAACATAAAAACTTAAACGATATTTCTCGTAAGTAATCTACTCTCATCAACGAATTTAAAAATTATCTAAGATCGTTTTTAGAGTTCTCAGATATATTTGAAGAAGGGAAGTAAAAGTATAAAGAAGTGTATGTTTACAAAAAAGCTGGAGGAAGATATAAGCAAAGTTTCTGCTAAAAGCTAAATTGCAAGAATTTATTTGGCTGTTATGACAAGAGATATTTTTTAATTAGTTAAGAGGGTGTTATGTACGCAAAAGGTCTTATTCACCCAGAGTCCACTTTAAGCGAAGTTATCTTATTTGATTATAATTTTAAGGTTGAGTATGGCAAAAAATAGACTGGCCAAGAGTTTGGTAATTCACTAAAAATTTATGTTTCTTTCTTTAAATTAAAATTTTTGTAAAATTTTTAATTAAAATTAATAAATAAATTTTATTAGAAAATGGTTAATATTTTATTTAAAAATATTTAGGAGTTCATTTTATTGCACATAGTAGGACTTTAAGTATTTAAGCATTAAATGTGTTTGATTACTTAGATATTTTGTACGCTATAAAGGAAGCTTATGATAATTCTATTTATGGAGGTGTACATAGATTTAATTCATTTGCTCCTCCAAGATCAAAATGCTTTGCTAAATGGTATATAGATGGTTAGAATTACTTTTAGGATGTTTTTGATGCAATTGAAAGTGCTCAATAGGAGATATTTATCACTGATTGGTGGTTATCTCCTGAGCTGTATCTAAAAAGACCTGCTCATAAGTTTCCTGACTCTAGAATTGATTAGCTTTTTCAAAGAAAAGGTAAAAAAAAAATAAAATTACACTTTAAAAATATTTTTATATTAAGCAAATGAGGGAGTTTAGATATTCATTATAGTTTACCAAGAACCTGAAATGGCTTTAAATATTGAATCAAAATACACTCAAAGTAAACTTTAGAGCTTACATCCTACAAATATAAATGTTGTTCGTCATCCTAAATTTCTCATCCCATTTATGTGGAGTCACCATGAAAAAATTGTTGTTGTTGATTAAGAAGTTGGATTTTTAGGTGGGCTTGACTTGTGCTACGGTAGATGGGATACGCAGTTACATCCTATGGTAGATGAATAATAATTATTTCCTGGTATTGATTATTGTAATAGTAGGATTAGAGATTTTCAAAATGTATAAGATTTTGAAAAATCAGATCTTGATAGATAGACAGAGCACAGGTGATTATTTAAATTTCTATGAAAAAATCTATAAAATTAAGAAAATTAGATATTTTAAACTAATTTCTTTATTACCAAACTGCGCTTATTGATTAAATTTTAGAATTTATAATTTAAAACTTAGTTATAAAATAAATATTTTCAAGCATAAAATCGACTTAGAGGCTTATCAATGCTTTAATGATAAAATAGCTTCATTTTTTAGAGTATTTTTATTTTAAATGAGAAATTATCTTGTTGAATTATATACAATATTTAGTTGAAAGTGGTTTATTTTGCATTTTTATAGACAGTTTTAACAGATATTTTATTTTTTAAATATTTTTATAATTAGAATGCCATGGCACGATGTGGCTCTCAGAATAATTGGACTCCCTGTTAAGGATTTGGCAAAACATTTTATTTAGTATTGGAATTTCTCTTAAATTGATATTGGGAACAAAGGAGGGCTTAGAGGTTGCCTCATACCTCAAGAAAGAGAAGGGTAAAAGAATATGTTTAAACCTTACATTAAGGAATTCAACTAAAAATTGAAAGGAATAAAAAACAAATTTTAAGGCTATATAAAAGAAAAAATTACTAAAATAAAGCCAGAAATTTAAAATTACCTTAACGATCACAATATATCATTTGAATTTATAAATAACCTTGATGACTTTTACAAGAAATCAAATCAATCACAAGAAAAAAATATGAAAACTAGCTTTGAAATTATGCTTTTAAATGAAGATAAAAAACCAAGAGATGAAATTATTTAACTCTTGCAATAGCTTAAATAAATTAAAGACGATAACTTATATGATGAATTTGAAGATTAATCTAACTATTCTCTAAAATCAGTTCCATCATTATATGAACAATAAAATGATTCTTAGAAGTCAAACAATAGCTTTGTAGAAAGAGAAAAAAATCGCAGATAAAGTGCCATAAGCAGTGTCAATGTAAGTAAAATAGAAACTGCAACAAGATTTTCTTTCTACAAATCGATGTTTGATAGAACCCTTGATGGAAACCTCTCAAAAATCCAAAATTAAATTTAAAACACGAAAAGCAGACTAAAATTGCAAGCTAAGAAATATAAACAATTAGAAAAAGATTAAAATACTCAGCAGTGCTAGATACTTAGATCTGCTTCCAATTGGTCTCTAGGATTAAGCACTAAAGACACAGAAGCGTCAATTCAAATTGCTTATCTCACTCTGATAAATGAATCTAAACATTTTATTTATATAGAAAACTAATTTTTTATGAGTTCTCATGCTGGTGCACCTCTAAGAAATTAAATAAGTGTAGCTTTAGTTTAAAGAATTAAAAAAGCTGCTTAAAACTAAGAAAATTTTTTAGTTATAGTTATCTTACCTCTTCTACCAGTAAAAATAAATATCACTTTAATGATTTAAAAAAGTTTTAATGTTTTAAATTGTAAGGGTTTTGAAGGAGAAATTGATAGTCCAAACTCCAATGTTATGAAAATCTAGCTACATTGGGAATATTAAACGATATGCAGAGGTGGTACATCTATTTTAGAAGATTTAGCTAATGACCCTAACATTCCTGACCCCTCAAAATATATTAAATTCTTTGGCTTAAGAACTCACTCAGTCATAAATAATAAACCGGTTACTGAAATGGTTTACGTTCATAGTAAAGTAAACAAATCTCTTCATTATTATATTTAAATTATTAATTAATTGTTATAATAAATATCGTAAAGATGATGATAATTGATGATCAGATCGCTATTATTGGTTCAGCTAATATAAACGACAGAAGTTTAAAAGGAAATAGAGACTCTGAAATAGCTGTAAATTTCTTAATTTTCATTCTCTGATTTTCTTTAAAATAAAAATTAAGATTTTTGAAATACTTTACTATTAAGATTTGATAAATAAAAACAGAATAATATTTTTAGAACTTAAAATTATTATTTTATTATTGAAAAATATCTTAGAAAATTGAATATTACAATATTCAAAATAGTTTAGAACTTTAAAGCAATATTAAAAATACAAAAAATTAATTTAAATGTTTTAATTTATTTAAATTAAGGCTATAATTGAAGATAATGATTAGATAACTTCTAAAATGGATGGTTAACCTTACATGGCAAGTAAATTTGCCCATACTTTGAGATGTGAATTATTCAAAGAACACTTTTCTATTGAAAATACTATTGATCCTTTGAATCCTTAGCTAATAGCTCAAATAGATAGCCAAGCATTATAAAATACTTTACTTTATAGAGAGATTTTTAGATGTTATCCAGATGATGAACTCAAAGAAAGTAGTAAATTAGAAGAATTTAAGTCAAAAGCCATGACTAATTACTATCCTTTGAAAGCTCATTACTTTAAAGGTAATGTAGTTTAGTGGCCAAAGAAATTTTTAGAAAATGAAAACATGAAGTTTTCTCTTAACATGAAGGAATATTACTGTCCTGACATAAATTTTACATGATTTTCAATAGAATTAATGAATAAATAAATAAGTGCTTATTTGAAGCTTAAAAATAAAAATATATATAAGTATATTAAAATTACAATATATTTTGTATAATTTATTAAATTAATTAATTAATATTATTAATATAATAGTATTGTGTAGATGCTATGCATTTATTTTTTTTCATTTATCTTTTTTATCAATCTCTTTGATATCTGTATACTTTCCTATTTTTTACATAATTACATTTTAATACATTTATTATTTTGAAGAATTATACCTAAAAGCTCATGTAAGCCAATATCATTCCATTCTTTTACTTTTTCGATTGGAAATTTCAAAGATGGTTCATGTGCATCGTTTGCATCATTATTTATTGTTAGCTTAGCCCCTTCGGGGATGAATATATTTACATCTGTTTTAATCAAAAATAGATTATTATTAATATTAAATTTTAAAAATATACTTTTGAAAGATTCTTTTCTCCATTCATTATCTACAATCACGCTAAGAAGTGGATTAGAGCTTTTTTATTTAGAAATAAAAATAATTTATTATAATAATTTGGGTATATTTTCTACTGCATGCTAAAAATGAATGCTCCATCTCTTTTTTAAGAAGATATCATTTCCTAAAAATTAACTTTTGAATTACTTTTTACAAATTTTAAAAACTTTAAATAATTGCAAATGAAGAATTTATTAATAATAAGAATTTGTATATTTTATTCGTTAATTAAATAGGAATGAATAAACATTTGTATTTTTAGAATAATTGATCACTTTAAAAGATAAATTATAATAAATCATTTTCATTAATTAATTATTTTTTTTTTTAATTTTGAAAAAACACACGATTTATTTAAATTTTTATGATAAGAAATAATTCATCATTTTTAGATAGAATAAATATAATTTATTAAACAAAGAAAACACAATTTTAAATGGCATTTACTTAAGAAAATCTGCTAAAATATTAAATGATAAATAATATATTCAATAATAATTGGAAAATAAATGAACATAAAAATTAAGAAAATAAATTTAAATTCTAATTTAATTAAAAAAAATGAACAAAAATAAGGTATAAAAATCATAAAAATATAAAATTCAATTCAATTAACAAATAATTTTTAGTTTTTTAATTTAAGTATGAATAAATTAATTAATTATTGATTTATTTATCAAAATATTTGGTTTTTCATCATGAATAGATAATTTTTTATTGGTATTATCGAAAAAATAAATAAAGTATTTAATAAACTTTATACTTAGATTGAGTCACACTCATAAATTAAGTAAAATATATTTTCATTAAAATATGTGATGATGAATTTATCTTCAAACTTTAAGTTTTCCGTTTTTAATTAACAAAATAACTTTTAAGAAAAATTGTAACAATTTCTTAAATGAAATGTTTTTTTAATTTTTAATATTTTAAACTTTGCACATTCTAAAATAAAAGATATATTTTTAATTTATTCTATTTTATCCTTTATATTTAATATTTTTAAACATTTTTGTAAGTAAGCCAAACCCTTTTTATTATTCAATATTTCTTTTTAATTTAGTAATTTTACTTTTTGTAGACCATACAATCAATTAAAATATTTGCTAATAAATTAAAAGTGAGCAATTAGAGAAATTCAAGCTTAAAAAAAATAGAACTGAAGATATATTTGTAGGATAATGTTCAACTTGGTCAAATTAATTGTTGTATTTAGATGCATTTACTTTAACATGATTCAGCTATTGATATTTATAAGATGGGAGAAGGAGAAAAATCAGTTTTTTTGCTTTCTTACAGCTCTTATTGTGCAAAAAATTACTACTGTATTTTTTTACAATTTGTAATCTGCTAGATATAAAGTTGGACATGTAAGACTACTGCTATAACTAATTCTTAATTTTGATTATCACAAATAGTACAAACAAATATACAGAGAGCTATCTTATATGTACTTACCATCATTTTTGATTATTTATGATGTTATAGTCATTAAAAATCTCTTTTTTGACATGAAAATATACTCAATTGAAATCAATCCTGAATAAACACTTCTTCTAATGATTCTACTTATTGGATTTTACTTAAAATCTCTTTATTATTTGTACACAATAGATTTTTACGATAATACGAAATTCACAAAAATCACACTTCTATAAACTCTATCTATTTTCTTTGGTATGGTATGCTATTAGAGCTTGCTTATACTATTTATCAACAACATAAAAAGAATATTTATAGCAATACTAATTAAATCTTTTATATTAATTTTATAAATTGCGCTTTTTCACTACAAAAAATACAAAGTCTATGCAATTCAACCTGATTAAATATTTATTATGATAATTACGCTGGGTTCAATGACATCACTAAGTTTACCTTGCGACTATTCCCCTTTCTATTGTGAAAATTTTTCTTATGGTCATATCTTTGCTAAAGAAATTCCATCTTAAATTTCACTGACAGTTTTAAGAGCAGGATAGATTTTAGAGAGTCTCATCTTTTTAATTTTCACATTTGATTCTTAATTTTTTAGTAATACTGAGTATATTTACTATAAAATATTTTACAGAATAGTTTTGTACTGCTTTATTATTAATTTAACACTGTCTTTGTATAGAATGATAAAATAATATTTTGCTTACGTTACAAATAACTTCACGCATTTTTAAGAGTAAAATTCTTCTCTAAAAAGAGTAACATAAATAATTAAAAGAAGTAAAAACATTAAGCTTTTGTGGATAGAAAGGATAAATGATCATAATTATAAACTAAAAAAATCAAATGGAATCAAATAAATTATTTTTGATAAAGTTTTTGATCAAAATAACAAACAATTCTATGTAAAGTTAGATAACCTAGTAACATTTGATGAAAAAAAATAAAAAATAAATTATCTATTTTTTAGGATTTAGATTCAAAACATGATTTTAAATAAAAGCAAGGTGCCTATTATAAAAATTAGTAAAATTACAGAATCAGATGAAAAAATATTTGTCCTTCTCTTTAAACTGAGATTTCTAAAATTTACTGCTGACCTTGCATTCCAAAAATTTACCGATATGTAATGTGTCTATCTAAAATTGTTAATTACAAGATAAAAGCAACTCTATTTTAGATAAATTTATACAATTTTAGCCTTTTAGTAAAATATTTCTCCTTTCTTGAGCATAAATCCATGCTAAACTCTATACGATTTAGAATAAATGGATTGAGGAATCATTATATTTTTAATTTATTGATGAAAGGTTTTGCTTATTATTATTATTAATATTTATATATACATTATCTTTGTTTAAGCATTAAAAATAAACACTTATAGATCAATCAATTTTGATAAATAATTAAAAAACTAAATTCAAAATTATAAGCCATTTTTTTAAAATTTATTTGATATTTATTGTGTTTTCTTCTATTTTGAAATTAAATCTACCATTTCTATTTTCCAAATTCTAATTAAAAAATTTTTTTATTGAATTACAAACAGTGAAATAATATTTTTTAGCTTTAAAAGATTATTTTTAAAAATAAAAGATTTTTATTGTATTATTTTAATGCAAAAAAATCAAAAATTTACAAAACCACAAAAAAAAAATAGGTAGAGTTTTTAGATAGAAAAAAGGATCGATTTATTAGGAAATTAAATTAACATACCTTACTAATTAAAAATAATCTTTTTGATAAGCAAATAGAAAATATTTTTAGATAGATAGTATTTATTTGTTAATATTCTAATAAATAAATAATTTAATGGATTATTGTCTATCTGATAATAAGACACATTAATATGATTTCTTTTCAGAATTTTATCAGAACAGGAAAAATTATCAGATAAACTATAAGAATTAATTTAAATCATTTAAGATTTTTGAAAGATAGAAGTAAATAAAAAGCAATTTTAAGTTCAAATTTAGTGTAAAAAAGGAATTTTCAAGCTTCAATGAGCAAGACAAATAGAGAGCTTTATGAGTATCTTAAGCTACTAAGGGCTATTAAGATAAAACCATACAAGATGAGGTAATATGAATTTGTTTAAAAGAAGAAAGCAACAAAAAAATAAAAAAATTATCTCTATTAAAAGGTTTGTAACCATTTCAGATGAGATAGGAATTAGTTTTACATAGATAAGAAACTTAAAGAATCAAGATGTTATTTAAGAGCTATTACTTGATATGCAATATACTTAACTTCCTTGTGAGTCTGCAATAGGAATATCTTCTAAAGTTTCAAAATTACCAAATTTAAAATCCATTTCTCTCAACTTTACGTATGGTTTTTAAATATTATTTAATGAACAATTTAAAGCTGATAAATAAGAATGGTTAATAATTATATCTAAATTTTAAATAGTGATTGCCAATTACTAGGAAATAAAGGATTTTAAGGAGTTGTAGTGAAGCTTTTTAGGGTAGCTTAATTAGAAGAAGTTTCACTAATATTTAAGTAAATAATCCGTTTTTAAAATAAAAATAATAATCTGTGTTAAAATTTTTTTTTTTTTAAATAGTTAATGCAAATTAGAGAGTGAAGCAATTTAGCATTTAGATGAAAGAATAGGTCAATTAAGCAAACTGAAGAAATTAACTCTTGGATTTAGATAAAATAATTTAACAGACAGCAATCTTACAGAAATTGGTTAAGCTTTAAATAAGTGTAAAACATTAGAAAGCATTGATATTGATCTCAGTTATAATTCTTCATTGCAAAATCCTTCTGAAAAAAGCTTAGACCTATCAGAATTAACAAATTTATAACATTTTAGTATTAATATCCAAGCATCTAAGATTAAATCTCCAAAATTCCTGCAATTGCCAGTTTAGCTAGAAATTCTTTCTCTTAACTTTATAACGTAATTAATTAATTAATTAAAAAGATTAAAGATTTTAGAATATTAATCAAATTATTATTAAACATAAAAAATAGAGTATCACCTTTCAATTAATTAGCTGTTCTAGATACTTTTAAAATGATTTCAGGATTCAATTCACTCAAATCCCTTAATCTTATGATACAGTAAAAAATAAATAATTAAATATAGTTATTATTTTACTTAGTGAATTTTATAATAAAATCTAGTAATCAGCCATTTTGCTTTAACTCATTTGGCCAAGAACAAATAGAAAACGAAAATGATGAAAATGAGGAATAGGAATAGTAAGATGAAAATGAAGAAGAGGAAGAAAAATAGGAAGAATCTGCTATTATAAATGAAGATGCAAATGATTAAAATAGTGAAGTGGAATAAAAAGAAGAAAATAAAGATAAAGAATTATTATAATAAGAGAAGTATTATAAAGATATATAAGATAGCTTATTTGAAAATAATAGCTGCCTAGAGTAGTTAAACTTATAACTTACGTAAAGAAAATATATCAATCATTTATTTATTTATTTATTTTTATAATTTATGAAAAGCTTTAAATAATCTGGAGTAGGAAATATAATGAGTAAACTGCTTCCAATAAAAACATTAAAATCCCTCCATATTAAAAACAGGTAATCTTCTTTTGATTCTTTTAAAAATCTGTATTATTCGGTTAATTACTGATTAGCGAATTTACATTAGATCACATAAAATTAATAAAGTTTTATTTTTACTTGTTATGAAATTTAAGTTAAAGAATGATAAATACTAGACAGATAAAATTTGAATTTAATAAAAGAAATACGCAATTTTTATTAATTGCAGATTAATTTCAACTAAATACTGACTGAGTGAGAGGGCAAGCCTTTTATATATATTTTTATTAAGCTAATTTAGGCAAATTAATAATTTAAAAAGAAGAAAAATTTATTAGTTTTTAAATTGCAACTACTGTCAAAATTAAATTAAAAGCAGAACTTAATAAATCTGATTCTATTTACATAATAGAATTAAAGCCAACAAAATTATGTTTTTGCTAGAAATTTAATATGCTTAGATAGTTAATCATACTTTTATTTTATCAATTTTATAGATTTGGCACAGCTTTGAATACTAAAGACGTTGAAAACTTGAGGGCACTTATCAGGAATAACCAGTCTCTAAATTCCATATCTCTCAAATTCAGGTAATATTTTTATAATTGACTAAAAATAATTGTTTTAAAATTATTTTGTATTCATTCCTACCAAAGCTAAAATTAAGTCAATGTTCAAGAGCTAAATTCTATTATAGAAGACTTATGTGCTTCCGATAGATGGATATATGTAAAATTAGATCTAAGCTAAACAGTTAACTTTTAATGGGAAAATACACTGGCTGAAATGGCTAACCAATTCATAAAATTAAAAAATTTACAAACCCTCAGCTTGAATCTAAGGTATAAAATTTCAAAAAATAAAACAAGCAAATTTAATAATAAATAATTTTAACTTACATTAAGAATTACTTGAATGAAAACACATATAATTTATAATATAAATAATCTAATTATAATTAAATTATTAATTTATATTAAAATAAGCTCGAATAACATCGATGGCGAAGATTTAGTCACATTTACATAAAGAATAAATATGATGCAGTCACTGATTTCCTTAAAATTAAATTTAAGGTATGAATGCTTTATGATATATATTACTGACTTCAATTTATTTATTTTAATTTTTTATTGTTATTCAATAGAGGAAATAACATTACAGTTAATTAATCTAATTATGTATGTTTCTCGCTTCGATAATTAGGCTATCTTGCAAAACTTAAGCTCTAACTAGGGTAATAAAATATTCATACATTAAAATAATTAAAATGGTTCTAACTTTCAAATTTTCCAATCAAGCTAAATAATTTATAAATAAAATCCTCTTGTATTAAATAATATTTGTTTAAAAAGGGTATTGAGTTATTAAAGTATAAATGAAGATGGAGAGGTTGAAACATAAACAACAATTAATGAATCAGTTGAGTATAAAAAATTATAAGAGTTTATTAAGGAAAGGGAATCTAATATAACAAGAATTGCTCTATTTGATAATTATTTTAGAGAGGCAATCCCCTTTAACCCAAATATATTAATTTGTGATTTTTATTTTTGAAACTAATTAAGTATTTTAACAAAAAAATAAAATAAAAAATTTAATCAAATAAAAAATCATTATCTTTTTAGCTATTTAGACATAAAAGAAATGAATACAATTTGTTAAAAAAATAATTCTTTGTAAAACTCTTAATTTTATTTTTACTAATACATTAAAAAATATAATTGCAGTAAAACCTATAAAATAAATTTTTATCACTACGCTAACTTTATGGCGAATTTTCAGACGCCCATTTTATAGAGGGAAAAGATTTAAGGAAGCTATTCATTTGTATTATCTACGTTGAGAAAAATATGGTAAAATGTGAAGGTTATCAATATATCTTCATGGTAAATTTAATAGGTTGAGCTCTAATTAATTAATTATTCTTAAAAGATCTTACCTAACTATTACTAAATTAATATTTTTTAAACGATACCAAATATGGCACATCAATACAAACTATCTTTTTGCAGCTATATAAAGAGTTTTTTCATACTAGAATTATATAAAGTTACTTTATATAGTTTAAATGTTATTTTTCTCATGATAAAAATAACCTAATTTATTATTAAATATATATTTTTAAAAGAAGAAAAATTATATTTTATTTAAAAATCGTTAAATATTATTAAAAGTAAGTCAAAAATAAAGGATAATATGATATGTTTAAAAAAAGAGAAAACTTAAATTTTGATAATACCACAAATTATCTTATTAATTTAAATGAAATTACTAATCTTTAAAAAAAAATCATTTAACATTTTAAAAATGATCAGTTTCTTTAAAAATATCATTTCCTATTTTACAGATTTTTATCACTTGTTATTATTTTTTTGTGATATTTACAAAGATTGAAACAATATTTTTAGAAATAATGTAAAATGCCATTAATTTTTTGAAAAATATTAAAATTAATTTATATTTTGTTGATGTTTAAAAATAATTAAAATGTTTTGTTGAATTTTATTGATACAATCAATAATTATTTTCTATAAAATATATTTTGTTACATCTTAATTTATTTTTTTACAATAAGCTATTTATTTTTTTTTTTAGGCTATTTATTTAGTTAGTTACTTAGAAAATTATTTAAATTACATTAATTGAAATTAGCAACATATTATAAGACAAATAGAATAAAATAAGTAAGTAATGTATATTTTACCATCAAATAAATTATGAGTTAGACTTTTAAGAATCAATCAATAAATCATACACACATTCATAAATACATACTATTTTTATAAAAATCAATATCTTAAAATCATACTTAAATCAATTTTCTTAAAAAAAAAGAATTTCTAAGAATTTTTTGGTGATTATTACAAAAGGTATACATATATATAAATATAAATATATATTAATTACTAAGCCAAGTTTTTAATTTTAGAAAAACAATTTTGATATTAGATTTATTCTTATAATTAAATTCAGATTTTTTAATTTCATTCTTGCATGTCATCTGAACCATCATCAATTTCTTCTTCGTTTTATATTAATTGCATTGAAATTAACTTTACTTTATAAGCCACACTGCCTATACTTTTATTCAAGATAAAGGCTGCCCAAAATTAAGTGAACTAGCTAATTTTTAAAAATAATAATATGTTAAAAATTTAATTGGGTCTACGGCCAACAATGCTCTTTCTGTTCGAGTTATTTAGTTATAAAACAAATTCTAATAATAATAATAATTATATACTAAACAAATTTAAAAATCAATTCATTTATTAATATCTATCTATCTACCTTGCTTCCATTTAAATTTCCACTGTTTATTTTATGTCATTTAACTTGAGGAGTTTCACTTGAAACTTAGCAGATCCTATCTAGCCATAAGTGCTTCTAAATATAAATATTTTTATTACTTCATATAAAATTATTTGTTTAAAAAAATAATTGTTACATATAAAAAATATGATTTATATTTTTTTTTGTAAATATTTCTTAATAAATCATTTGCTTTTATTAATTTTTAAATCTTAAGATAAACGAACATCTCTTTTAATTTTTTTCAGATTATTTGCTTTATCTTTCAGTAAAATGCAAATTTATTTATGAAATATTATAAATTCTTATTAATATGAATAAAATATTACTTGAGAGGATTTACAATAGTTTACTCTATGAATTCTTGCTTGAAATTGCTGCTGCTTTGAGCAGAATCTTTAAAAGAATATTAAACATTAGCAATAATGAATTTATCTTCCAAATTTTTTAAATTTTATAATTCTTCAACTGTGATAGAAGTCATAGATGTTTAAAAACTGATTTAAAACAAGAAAAATATTATAAAAATATTGAAATGATAAACTTGAGGTATATTTTTAGTTTTAAATTGTAGAAGTTGTATAATTACAAAAATATCTTATGTTATTTGAAATCTTTAATTATCGCTGGTTTTGTACAAGTTATTTTCTTTGTTTTATATAAGAATCAAAAAACTAATCAGCTTGATTTTCATAAATTCATCTAAAAACAAATTAAATTATCAGCTTTATTTAATAACTAGTTAGTATTTATTTTGATACTTTCTTTATCTATATAAATATATATTTATCTATTTACATATCTATCTTATTCTTTTCCTTTGCATTTATTCAATACAAAACTTATATATATTCAAGTAGAATCAAAATTTTATCTTTGCAATTATCTCTTTGAGTAAAACTTTCTTCATTAGATAAATTCTTATTTATTTCTGTGGTTTAATAAACAAATTTCTTGTATAAGTGAAAAGCTCATGCTTTTTAATGCGTGAATACATAATTTAACTAAATAGAAATATTCAAATTTAGAAAACAAATTTATTTTTATAGTTATTTATTAACAAACCATCTTTAAATTAGTTTTCTGAAATCATAAAGATCTGTGTAAGCATAGAGCTAGGTTTACAATTGGATTTATCTATCAGAAATATAATTATGATTTCTAATGAAATAAGATCATTCTTATTAAATTAAAATCAAAAAAGTTTAATTTGGATAATTTTATCTCAAATTAATCTTATACATAATTTAGCAAGTAGTATAAAGGAAATTTTAAATCTAATTTTCAGATATTCTAAAGCATTTAATAAAAAAACACTAAAGCAATTTTTTTATTTACTTTTGCAATTAGCAATGCAGTTTTCATTATTATTTTTTAATAGAGAAATTAAATATAAATATGAAGAATATTTTGTTATTAAAAATAATTTTTTTTAAATTCTTAAAAATTAAAATAAAAAAATCTAAGATTTAGTATTTATATATTATAATAATGTTTCTAATTGTAGAAAAACAAAAGATTAATGATATTAAATAGATTTATGTATGCATGTATATATGTATTATTTTTAACTATCATATTTTATTTTTTTTAAATGAGATATTAAATAATCAAATATAATAAATAAAAAAGCATAAAAATAATTATAATAATAATATTGATTAATATTTATTGTTTAGACTCACATGATTGTGATTAATAGTTTATGAAAATATTAAATAATCTATTTTAAGAAATTAATGAACTTTCATAGACTTATTGTGGGATAAGATAATTTGCTTCAAACATGTAATTAAATATTTAATTCTTTTATTAAGAGATAGTACTAATATGAAGTATTATTTGCATTCGAATCTTCGCTTATTTTTTGGCTGCAATTTTATTAAATGCATTGTTTTTCTTTAAATATTTTTCAATTTCTTTTTTAGATAATGATTTAATGTTAATTTGATTCTTAGCTATAATTTTTACCTTGTTAATAAATCAGATAGGAAAGTTAATGCATGAATAAATAAAATTCTTAATATATCAAAGTTATTTTATTGAACCACACATAATATATATATTAAGGGAATAGAATAATTTAAGTTAAATTATTTACTAAATTATAATAGTCATATTTTATTTAGTTGTTATTTTTTGTTTTGTTTAATATTTGTTTAGAGAATTTATTTTAACTCTTAACAATTTACCCCCAACACAACAAAAGCCTTTATTATTCATTAATTTATTGAAATAAAATTACTATTTTATCAAAATGTCTAAAAACTATGAAAAAATTATGAAAAGTTACAGTCTTATTAAATGCTTTTGGGTTGACAAAAAAATTGTAAAAAAAAAGCAATTGATTGATTTTGAAGTTAAATTTTGTGTGTGAAATTTTAAACTCTTAAGGTTTTTATTAATATTTCAAATCAGGTAATGTAAGAGTACTAATTAAATCTAACTTGTTTGTAAGATATACATGAAATCAAAGTTGATTAAAATTTTTCTAAATATCATTCAAATATTAACCTTTCTTTATTCAAAATTTAAATAAAAGAATCGAATAAGAAAGAAAGAAGAAGGGAAAATAAATAAATTGAAAAAGTATTGTAGAATTCAATGAGCTAAGAATAAATAAATACAGAAAGAAGAATATAAAGACAGAAATAAACAAATTTAGAATGTGAGTGAGTGAGTTATTAGATATAAAGCTTTTATTCATTTACTTATTTTATAATTTACTTAAATATTCAGATTTGATTAATAGTGAGAGTCGTATTTATATAGGTGGTTTTAAATAATTTGTCATTGCTTATCAAATTTTTAAAGTTTGTTAGAGAATCAGTTTATAATAAGTTTTTTTATTAGAAAGATCTATAGTTATAGTGAGTTTGTTAGTTTATTAGTTAGTTAAATTATTAGGTATATTTTTCTTGTTAACCTTCTTTATTTAATAAAATCTAAATATAGAGTTTGTTGGGTGAGTTTTTTACTATTTATAATGAGAAGGAAGGTATATAGAGGTAGAAAAGAAGTTTTAAATTGTTAATTTAAGCTTTGTGTTAATTTGATAAATGAGATAGAAGGATAGTTATAGAATACATGGTTTTTCAAAAATTATTGTAAATGATAAGAATTTCTTAGATTCTTCATAAAAACGAAGCAATTGAGCGAGTTTAGATATTCTTATGTTTTGCTTTATCATCGGATTTGTATAATAAATAATCCTTTCTCATGTTAGTAATTCAAAATAAACAAAAGAGAAATTAATGAGTTAACTATGATGATTTTTATCACTTTATCAAATTTTCTTTTCTTTGATAGTTTGTTTGTTTATTTACTTATTTATTTGTTATTAAAGTTGTTAACTTTGAATGTTATAGCTAACGCCAATAATAGTCAATAAATACTGATTTCAATACTGATTAAGCTTTTGATTTGATTTGGATTTTAATTAAAAGGAAATATTGCTAACAAGACAGCTAAAGTAGCTTGATTGAGGTGCTTCTAACTAATTTAATCTCTCTATCAGCTCTTGATCAGTTTTGAAAGTGTTTGTAAAAACGGCTTATTATAGCTAGAAGATATTCTTAGCATCGTCTTGGGTAATGTTTTCTCTGCATTCCTATGATGCCATTTGTAGATTGTCAGTATCAACTGAAAGGCTCAAACACATATGGACAGCCTCTTTTTCGCACTTGAAATAGCGAGAAGAGGCCTTGGAAGCCCATTCAAGCTTGTTCTTTAAAAGGATAGGGGAATTTCCAATAACATTGTTAATTAATTATCTGTCAAAATTAGTAATTTTATCTTAACAATTAAGAGAACTTGAGAAGTATTGAGTACAATCAAAGTTAGAAGAAGCACACACGCAATTAGATATTAAAAATCCAATCAAAATAGCTTTTAAAAAGAACTCAGCAGTTAAGAGACGGGACTTCATCATTTTTTTGATTGAATATTAGAAGAATATTTTAGATATTTAAGCAGCTGTTAGAAGCTGATTTCAAGTATTTATTTAGGTTTTGTGTGAAGGTAAATATGAAAAGAAAATGGATGACTTTTTTTTGTTTTGTTTTTTTAAGAAAAACTTGGATGATTTATTTATTTATTGATTTATTTATTTTTAATTTAATTTTTTTGTTATTTTATTATTATTATTTTTTTTAGTTCTTTTGAAAGATGAGGTCGATCTAGGTGATAGTAAAGAAGAAAAAAGGCTATTTATAAAGAAAATTAAAAGAAATAATGAGGATTATGCTTTAAAAAAAGAAAGTATGGGGAGTGAATAATAAATAATTTATTAGAACAGTCTTAGCTTTTAATTAATTTACTTGTAATCCAATAAAAAAATATCAAATTACATATTTTCTTTTAATTAAATTTTTTATTTCGCTCAGCACTATTGATTTCTGACCAATACAGTTAAACCCTTTAATAAATCTGAGAAATACCAATCCGAAATTGATACTTGAATAAACAAAATCAAAGCAAATATTAATTTGATAAACATCTCTCGTTCTGAGGTTACAAAAAATAATTTCTTTATTTCCTTAAGAATTCATCAAATTTTACAAATTTCCCTCACACAAAGAATACTTTATCTCTTTTAATTTTCCAAAGCAATATTCTTATTTTTCATATTTTCCCAAACCGATTTTTCCACGAAATAATAATGAAGCAAAAAAACTTGTTTGCTAACTTAATTGATTTTTTAAAATAGAAAAAACAAGGAATATTTTATTATCTTTAATCATCTAATTAATTTCAAATAAAATAAATTGGATCTGATTAACTTTAGAAAAATTATTTTACAATTAATGGAAATCTCAAAGATTCTTTATAGATATTTCTGAGGTACTTTAATTTTTTTACTCTGAAATTTGAGCTTCGGAGGCAAAGGATAGATTTAATAATACTATTTTCTGTTCAACTTTCTGATATCAGCCAGAAAATTATTTAATATTTGTCACTCTTAAAACACAAAATCAAAGTTACAGTTGAACATCAGAATTTATAAATTTCAAATAATTTCAAGCAAATATTATAATTTTTAAAAAAATATTATATTTTAAAATAAAAAAATAATTTGACCTTCTTTGTATTTCATTATGGCTTTATACTTAAGCAGTAATATACATCCTGTAGAAATAAATCTGAGCGAATTTACTTCTTTTTAATTTTTTAGGAAGCTAATTTGTGTTTTTCTTTTGTAATATTACTCAATTTACAAAAATTTAAATTTTCATTATAGTTTAAAAAATAATTAGTTAAATACGTCAAAGCTTACCTATGACCGACAAATAGATAAATAGACAGACAGCCTTTTTTCAGAATTAAACAAAAAATAATTCTTGGTATTACTGATGGAAAATACTTCAAATTAGTGTTTAATGAGTGGCTGTAAGCCCTTCGAATTTTTGATTTTATAAACAAAAATAATATTCTATACTATTAAGCGACAATGGAGAAATTGACAGACTTTTTAAATTCAAGTAAGATATATTTATGAAAATGCTATTAATAAACAAGAAGGAAAAACAAAAAATATTGGATTTAATAGGGAAAATTGATAAATTTTGTGTTTTCAAGCTAGTTACATTAATTAAAATTGAAATCCACATTACAAAATTTTCTTTCCTAAAAATATTAGTTTTCTTAGTATTTCCCTTTTATTGTTTCGTGTTATTTCTGATGGTAAGCAAAATTTTGTTGAGTTACTATCTAATTGATAAGAAATATTTCACTGATTAAAATCTATGTGAATATATATGGCCCAATTATTTTTGTATTTTTCGGTTACAATCGGCCTAATCAATACCAACTATTCAATCAAAGATTTTAAGGCTTAAACTGTTCTAATGAATCGTAATTTCCTTTTGATTGATATATCTTTTATTAATTATTTATCTTTTTTATTCCAAATTAAATACACTGTTTTTACTTTACTATTTATTGAAAAAAAATCTTTTTTTATTAATACTGATAAATTAAAGTTATTGAGTAATAGAAGCTTGATTGGTTGATGATTTGTTTAATTTAAAAAAATTATGACAAATTTCTTGCAATTTAAAAATATTTAAGTAGTTTTATAGATTAACACATATAAGAAGTCTTTCTAATTAAATGAGAAAAAGTAAAAATTTTAGCTTTAATAATTTGAAATATAATCATCTTACTTTAGTAATTATAAAAAAAATATTTCTAGAAAAAAACATATTGTTAATTGTTTAATTTCTATATTAGATCTTAATAGTAGGTTGCTCTTTAAATTATTGATTTTAATTGATTAATTACGAGAATTATAATTGTATTCTTTTATATTTCTTATCAATAAAAAGTATAAGAATTACGATAAGAATTTTAAAGTTAGATATAAATTAAAAGACTCCTTATTTTATTAAAATTATGCTTTTCTATCCTATCTCTAATAGTACTACCTTGCTAATAATATTATATTAACTCATTTACAAATTTTAATAATTTTAAATCACACTAAAATTCTTTTTTAGTTGAAAAAATAGATTTTAAAATTAAATTGAACTCCAAAATGTTTAGCACTAAAAAGGATTAATAATTATTTTACCGGTTCATTTAATAAAATATATATGATATCCCATCAATAAAAATTGAAACAATCTTTTAAATATTTAAAAAGTGAATTTTTTTTAAAAAAATAAAAATCATACCACACATTCGATAAACGAGAACCGAGATTAGAGGGAGTATGTTATTTTTGAGTATTTCTTACAAAATACTTAGCTAAAGATATAGATAGATAGAATTACTGATAGAGCATCATAATTAAAAAAATAAAGTAAAAGAATTGTTATAGATTAGAATAGAATGAATATTCTATTAGTAAGCTTTTTGTTAATAAATATTTTATCAAAAATACTATAAATGTGAGAATTGGTTAACAGACAAGTGTTAGTAAAATCTATTTATAATTTAATATATAGAACCACATCAAAAATATTTAATATATATGAATATTTTATACAATCTTTCACATAAATTCATTGCAAGCTAGATAGACTACTTAGCTTGCTGGCTTATAATTAATTATTTTAACTTTCCTAAAGATTTATATTAATTTAAATTTACTTTATTTTATAATTATTTTATTAAAATCGTTTTCATATTTAATTTTTTCTACAAACCCATTGATTTCATTCATTTTTAGCTTCGTATACACTTTCCCAAGGATACTCTGAAGCATCTTTAAGGCATCTATCAAGCATGTCAAAAGCAAATTGGTTTTCATGCTTGTAATATAAAGATTTATGATAATAAGCTATAGCTTTATTCAATTGGTTTGATATATGATAAGTGTATGCCAAAGAAAAATATGTTTGATAATTTTTAGGCTCTAACTGAATGCATCTTTCATAATATTAAATAGCAGATTTATAATCTTTCATTTTTCTACAGGTATGAGCCAGATTGTTTAAAATGGTATGAACTATCGAATTAGTTGCTTCAGTACACAAATTCATAGCTTGCAAGTACTTTTGCTTTGCTTCTTCATAGGCTTTCTACTTAAAATAGATTACACCTTTAATTTAAAAGAAAAAATAAGATATTTTCTTTTTTTAATAGAAACATTAAAAAGGATAAATAATTATTATCAAATTCACTTTTATTAAGTTACATATTCAAAGTAATCTAAATGTTTTAGTATTCTGTAGACTATTAAAAACCAAAAATAAATTCATTGTTAAAAAATTTATATTCGATCTCAAAAATAATGGATTAATTGAATTGAAATTATTAAAATACTAAATTTGATCGAATTCCAAAGGTTTAATTAATTTTGAGAAAATTAATTAAGTAATAAAAAATTGAATGATCAAAATTAATTGTCTTTATTTTTGAATTTGAAATTTTAATATTTCATTGATTTTTTTAATTTTACCTATTTCGTTGTAAATAAGAGGATCATTACTGTTGATTTCTTTTGCATATTAGAAGGAAAGTAGAGCTGTTTTAAGGTTATTAGTTCTTAAGTATTCCATACCCATGTACAAGTGAGCTAAATAGCAACCTGGGAAGAGTCTGCTTACAGTTCTGTAAAAGCTCATAGCTTAGTCAGACTCGTCTTAAATTGCAAAAGAGTGAGCCATACCAATCCATGCATAAACAAAATTTCTATCCAAATAGATAGCCTTTTTATAAAAGAAAGGTTATAAAAAATTAAAATTATCATCTTGATTATAAAAAAATAATTTTGTTTCGTTATTGCATTCAAAGGAGAATCAATTTAAAAAAAATTCCTATTTTCTTTCAAGCAAAGATAATGAAGAAATTAAAAAAAGTATAGAAAAGAAATAAAATCTCTGTTTACGTTTATTTTTCTTTTATTAAAAGCTAATTGTAGAAATATTTTTTAATTTTAAAGGTAATATAAAATTAATATTAAAATAATATGCCTATTCTATCTCATAAATCATTAAATCTAGTCAATTTTATTTCTAATGGGCAAGAAATACAAATTAAATATGTAAACTTATTTTTTATTTATCTCTTACTAATTTTGTTTTAAATTATTGAAAAATATTTATTTAATCTTTTCATTATTTAATTTTATTCTCTATTTCTTAAAAAATATCTATTAAAATAAAATAAATTCTAAAATAATAAAAAATAAAATTTTTATGATTCAATAATCTTAAAATTAGTAGTAAATAAAAATAATTATTTTGTATATCATAATAATATTAAAAATATTAAAAATTTTCATTAATTTTTTTACTGGTAATAATAAATTTTCTAATTCAAATTTTCAACTTTAGTCATCTCATTTATTGATAATAATAACCTAGGAATTTAAATTATTAGCTATCTCAAGTTAATTTATTATAAAAAAAAAGAAGATTTCAGGATATTATATTAAGCTAGCAATAATTAAGCTTTAAAAAAATTTTTATGAATTAGTTTTCATAGCTATTCTTAAATATTGAGCTATTAAATTTTTAATTCCAGGTTAAATAAAAAAAATTTTGTTAATTTAAGATGTCTTTCTTTTGGCCATTAATTATAAAATATTAGCCTAAAATGCCAAAAGTATTAATTTATATTGCTAATTTAAAAATTTTAAAATACTAAGACTTTTTAAATTAATAATTTAAGCTTTTTTAGTAAAAAATGCAAGGTTTAATTTTTGTTAAAATGCAGAATCTATTTAATTGAAGCTTAAAAAATAAATCTATTCATTTAAATTATAAGCTAATAAATAAAATTTACTTTTTAGAAATACTTTCTTGCTACTTCATATTTTTTAGTCAAATAATAATAAGTACCAATAGCAAACCAACTTAATGGATGTGTTGAGTAATTTTCTACTAGATTGTGGGCACAGTAGTACAATTCACCCAGATAGTTGAGATGAAGTAAACAAGCGCAATATACAGGTATTATGTCAAAATATAATGGATCAATTTTAATTGCTTTTATGCATATATCATAGGCTTTTTAAATATCATACTTAGCATGACAATTTTTTGCTTTAATGCAAAGTAAATCAATATTATTCTTTTAAGACAAGGTTTCAAATAAATTTTCAGGTCTTAATCTTTCCAATAAATTTTAAATTCTAATTTAAGCTTTGGGGTCATTGTTGACATTTCCAGGAACTGTTACTCCTCCAATACCTGCACCACTAGGATCCTTCATGATCACTTCTGATTTATCGCTTCCTATTACTGATGATGGTAACTCTTCATCCATTCCTTTTTAAATATCTAATTTACAAGCAGTATCTTCACTGATTCTAGCTATATAATATTATTTTATCCAAATATCTTCAGGATTGAAATTCAAAGAAGTAAGGAGTTATTCTTTACCAGTTGATCCTAATAAATAAAAATCTATCATTCTTTTGAAAGCTTCATGACAAGTTGGATCGCGCTTTAGGCATTCCATGTAAGAACTAACTGCGTTTTATTTATTTTCGCTTGCTTCATAACACAATCCCTTTAATAGATGCTTTTAAGCTTCTAACTTATTCTAATTTTTCATCTATTATTGCTATGACTGATTTTATTATTGTTAGTGAAGGAAAGTATTCTGGCTATGATGCAAATTATGTCCAAACTATTGATGAATATTGTTAAATTGCTGGCCTCCAACTTATTGCTATCCAAAAGTACTTGCACCTAAACCTTAATTTGGATTATTTAAGTTAGATCCAACAGGAATACCCTAAGCAGAAGTTGAGCCTTAGTAATTGAAAGAAGAAGGGCCTTGCTATGCTAAGGAAGCTACTTACTGCTCCTAAGCTTATTCAAGTAAATTTAAGCATTATTCATACTATTTATTTTTGTATAATGCTTTAGCAGCAAGTATCGTAAAATGAGAATTATAGCTAATTAATTTATATTTAGCAAAAAGAGAATGGACCTTTTTATAATCTCCATTTAAGAAATAGCATTCTCCAAGTAAATATACAAAAGGTGCTAGTCCATCAGTTAAGGTGATTAATTTATCAGCATAAAAAATTGCGTCTGTCCATGAATGCATAGACTTATTTTCAATTACTAGTTCATAGAGTTTCCAAATATTCTCATTTTCTAAGCACTCTTAAAACAATTTTTACTAGATTTGCTATCCATAATTGACAGAAATACCTGAATTTCCTAAAACACTTCCTGTTGCCTTTATTTCCTCAATATTTTATTCACAATTCAAATAGTATGGTCCATAAATTTCTTGCAAATACGTTTTTGACTCTTTGTCCCCACGACGGAAACTGCCTCTCCCAAAGCGATTAATAGGAACTTAAGATGCAGGAATTGTATTAGGAATTTAACTCGTACCAATTAAGTTATTTGAACTTTGTTGGACTTGAGCTTATTACTAAGTACCTGCATTTTAGATTTATCCTATGTTATGAATGTTTGAAGAAGTAAAGAAATTATTTATTGAAGGAGAAGCGCTTGATCCTGCTTGCAAACCTGAAAAAATCGAAGACTACTACGAATTAACTGATTAACTTTACTATGGATATTGCTACTGCTAACCTTGCTATAATCCTATGCTTGTTGGTTTCTATCCGCTAGATTATGACATATTTATTTTTAAAATTATGATTTTAAGATTGCTTGATAATTTAGTTTATCTCTTTGATCTTTTTTCTTTTTAACAAGTATTAATTAATTAATTTTTTTATAAATTATGAATGACAAAAAGATAAAAATTTTATTTTATTCATTATATTTCAAAAATTTTTGTAAACATTTCAAAAATTTGATAAAATTTAAAAATCGAACGTATGCACTAAAAATCTATTCAATATCTGCTTTTAATACTGATATAATCCTTGATATTATCTTATTTCCACTGTAAAATAATTAATTAATAAACTAACTAACTAGCTAACTTTCAACGTATATTTTTCTCTTCAAAATATTTGGTAAAAAGAGTTGAATGACAAATGTAAAAATTTTTTTATATTTTTAAAATGCATAAAACAAAATAAAAAGGTTTCACAATTAAAAAATAATTAAATAAGAAATAAGTAGTTAAAATTCATGTTTAAATTATATCTTCTAGAAAATTAATTGTTTTAAATTAAATAATTTGGAACTTAGTTATTTAATTTCTATCATATAATAAAACTATGAGTTGCTAGATATTTAATTTTTGTCATAATAATCCATAAAAATATTTTTAAAACATAAAATAGAGACTTGAATTATCAAAAATTTCATATTATTTCCCCAAAATGAATAATGAATGAGAAAATAATAAATCTAATATAGTAGTTTAATATATTGAAAATAAGATAAAGAGTTAAAACTATAATAGAAAGATAGAATAGATAGGTAATAATTTATAAAATAAAATAAGAAAAAAATAATTTTTAATAATAAATAAAATATGAATTTACTTCATTTTTTTATTAAAATTCAAAATATTTATTTTTATTAATTTTTTTCTAATTTCCTAAAATCTATCTAAATAAAAGCTAAATTTATTTAGATTATTTTTATAAACTTTTAGTTATTTATAAATTGAAATTTTTCTCAATTTTATAGGCTAATTATATTTTTAGACTTGAGGTCGTAGCTTTTACCTTCAAAAGTAACTGTTAAATTACCTTGGCCTTTGTTAAACTCTTCTATTATCTCTTTTAATTTCTTCAAATTTTCTGTAGATTCTTAATCTTTTTTCAAATTTTATGAATTTTAATTGAATTATTATGAATTTCCAAGACTTTCTCTCAAAATGTTAACTTAGTATTATGATATTTTTCTCTATAAAACTCTTGATTGATTGAATTCATCTTCGCAAGCAGGCTAAACAGTAGTAGCTATTGTACCAACCATGAAATTTTAAAGCAAAAATCCCATAAAAATAATCATGAAAGCAAAATAAATCGCATAAACAGGATTCTTTTTCATAAAAAATATTTAAAAATTTAATATTTACTTATGAAATTTTACCATTAACATAGCTGCTCTGGCAATATCTCCCCAAGCATCAAAAGTAATTGTTTGAAGTAAATACATGTAAGTGTTTGTCACATCTTCAAAATAAAATCCAAAAGTTACATCGAATCTGTATAAGCAGTAATATCCAATAATAGCCAAAGTGTACATTATAGCTAAATTAACAAATCCCATCTCTCCGATCTATAATAAAAAAATTAATTTTTTTGAATATGTTTAATCATTTTATTTTCATTTTTTTTAAATAGTATCATAAAAATTATTAAGAATTTACATTAAACAAATTAAATAAATAAAAAAAATAATTTTATTAATCAATAATAACAAAAATTACTTTTGAAAAGACTTAAGATAGCTTGATAAATGAGAATTAGCATTCATATGTTGTTAGTAAAACTAAGATTCTGAAACAGGATCCATAATTCAATGTATAATTTCCATAGATCATAGAAATTAAGTCTACTGCAAAACCAACAAACCCAGCTAAAAACAAGAATACTAATTTTGAGCTTTGACAAATTTATTATAAAGTGCTTTTATCACCATTTATAGATTTTTTTTCCTTTAACTATAATTATTCAATCTAAATTAAAAATAAATTTATAGGATAATATTAATTTTTTCAAGAAGCAAGAAAAGAATTTAAATTAAAATTAAAATTAAAGATAGTTACGATTAAAGAGAATTCAATTATAGCAAGTAATCCAACAATAACTTCCAAAATATAAACAAATAAAAGTGGATTAAAAAAGACTCTAAGTAGCTCAATAAACAAGATTGCAAAAATATATAAATATTTGTAGTTAGCTAAAATAAAATCTATGAGACTTAAATCTTTTTCAGACTTTTCTATTTTCAACACTTTTAAAACTTCATTTACACTCAAATATCTTTTACTCCATTCCTTTAACTTATGGTTGTGAATTTCATCTTAATTATATTTATAGACCTAATATTTATTAAAAATTAATTTGTTTATTTTAATTAAATAGCTAAAAATTTAAAATCTGGAAAAATAAAAAAATCAATTTATTTATATCAAATCTTACAAAATTGACTCTGTAGTTACGATTGCTGTAGTAGGTAACGAATTCACTTAAGAAGAAGTTAAAATAGAAGAATTAGAGTAGGAAGATAGCAATTATAAAGAAGATGCTCCAATGACCTCCCCATTTATTAATGATAGGAATATTCATTTGTACATTCCATGAATCGAAAGTTAAAACCTATTTATTTTTTTATTATTTTTTTTATTCGAGAGGTTTAAAATATTTTTTGACAAATTTGATTTACTTAAAACATTGATAGCAAAGAGACAAACAAATTTCTAAATTATTCAGCATTAACATGATGAAAGAGCTTGAACCCAATCAATGAAAATACGAAAAATACGAAAACCATAGAAAAGAAAACCTTTTTAGCTTTTGGCATCACGTAGAAAATATCCTTAATAATAATTCTAAAAAATATTTTAAAGTTTTTAAAGATAGAAAGTAATTAATTTATCAATCTACCTTAATTTTTCGAATGTAAACAATTTTAGCATTCTAAATCCATCTGCATAATAAATACCCAACATATTTTTTCCAACGATAAGGGAAATGATGTCTAAAAATATGCAAAATACTCCTGATAAAAAGTCAATCAAAACAAATGGAGCACCTGAATTTAAAAAATAAATAAAATTATTTTTCAAATAAAAAATGAAAAAGATATTTTAAAAAAAATCATTTTAATTTATGTTGTATTTAATTTTTATTAGATTTTTAGGATTCAATACCAAATGTTACTTATCTTATTATAATAACTTAACTCAAATATTAGTTGAAAAATGAATATTTATTAGACTATTTTGTAAAAAATTAAAATAAAAGATTTCTTTTACCATAGTATTTAGAGTCGAAGTATAAGTGTTTCAAATGAATTAAATTTAGTATGCTCATTATAGAAATTAATATTGAGGATATTTCATTTATGCTTCTAAAAATAAACCTTTCAGTTTATGATCCACTTTTTAATTTATTAAAAGCAATTAATTTTTGTTTTAAATATCAAAATATTACTCTGGCAGTGCCATAAATGTGAAAAATAAGGTTAAAATTATTGCGACATTAAACGCTTCATTGAATCTGACAAGAAACTTTTTAACTGAGGCGTTCTTTATTTTATCTATATTCAATAATTAATTTTAAATTTCTCAAAATGCTAAAATCATCTACTTAAATAAAATCAAAAAGATGTGCTAATAAATATGTATTAAAAACTTTTTTTACTTGGAACATTCAGCTCAGGGTATACTTATTCTATTTATTTTAATAGATCTGCCATTTTGAAGAAATATCTTTCAATTACTATCTTTTTTAACTTAATTCTAATTTAAAAAGCTCTAAATTTGTAAAAATATTTGTTATCTATTTAAATTATTTATTAGATTTAAAGATCTTTTAATTCAACTATTATGAATAATTTTAATCACAATACTTGTATAGTTAGTTTTCAATAAATATTAAACATATATACATAATTTTCATTTGGTAGAGATCACATTCATAATTAGTTCTATTACAAAATTCTTATATTTATTTAGATATTTTAATAATAATTAATCTAGCTTAGCTTTTTCACAAAAATGCAAAAATAAAATTGATAAAAATCTTTATAGAACTAAATAGTAATATTAAATAAACTAAAATTAATTAGCATTTTACTTAATTATATTAAATGATATTTAAAAAAAGTATTATTTTACTATTAAGAGCACCTCAAAATAAAAAATTGATTAGTGTTCTTTTTAAATCTTTTAATAAAAAAAAAATAATATTTTATAATAAAAAATTAATATGAATTTAAAAAACAAAAGAAAATAGAGTATTTTATTTGTTTATTAGATGGATTTAATTGGGAATAATTTTTATAATAAATAAAACACGATATAGATATTAATAATTGTTAACTCATAAATGAAAGGATTGATAAGTAAATTTAAAAAAACCATTTAACTCTCACTATGATATTATATAATAAATTAAACACAGTTTTTATTTTTATTAAGAAGCAAATTTATTTGAAATATTAAAAGCTTAAGTTTTGGAAATATAAAATTAAAATCAAATTGTTTCTTAAGTTTATTGAGTGAGAATATTTATTTAAAAAAGATATGATAAAATTTTTGTTTGACTTTTTCTATAAACAATAAAAACATTTCTTAAATTTTCAATTAAAGTTATTTTTAGTCCACTTTCAAAGACTAAGTTGAATTAATAAAATAACATGATTATAAATTTTGTTTATTGCAGATAATCATTAAATATATTTTGAAAATAAATAATTGTATATAATTTTTGATTAATGAAATAAATATTTTAAATTTTTGAATTAATTAAATCTATTTTATTTATTTATTTGTTATTTTTCTAACTAAATTAAAATTGTTTGTAAATTATTTTAAAATGAAATCTAAATATTTATTTGTTCTTTTTTCAGTAGTACTAAGTTGCAAATTCTTCTTATTAAGGACTTGATTCATTTTAAGATTCATAAGCATCACCATTAAGATTATCGTCACAGTTATTAACAAGATAACCATCAGTTTCATTATATTATTCTTTAATTAACTCTATATATTAACTAAAATAAGAAAATATTTATTAAGCAAATGGAGTCTCAAGTATAACCATATTAGGTAAGGGTTATTAATTTTTTTTCTGTGATTATTTCAATTTCAAAATCAAATAACTATTTTTTATTAAAAAAATACAAAAATTTATTTTAGAAAATTAATTTTAATAGCAAGATAAATTAAGCCTTAAATAAAATATTTGAATAATTTTTTTAAAATGAAAAAATGTTTCAAAAAGAAAATATAAATTTTAAAATTACCTTTCATTTTCAATAAATTAATTAGAAATACAGTCAGTGGGAATTTTTATTTTATTCTCTTTTTTATTTTCGTTAGGATTTAAAACAATTATGAAAGGATTTATATTGATAGAAGCAGCAAAAGACTTTTAGTCTAATTTTACTGTGACATTACGTAAAATCCACCCCATGTATTCGTCATATTTAGAAAGAACAGATATATATTCTAATTTAGCTTATAATTAGTTTCTTAAGTAAGGTTGCAATTGCTGGAATAAAGTTGTTATTTCTTAAGCTGTTTTTTCCTTTTCTTCTTAACTTAAACTTTCAGAATTTTGATAGATATCATCTATATTATTTTCGACTAAAGGTTCATAATTTATATAAATATTCAGACAAGATATCTTTAGATTATCTTCTCTTGTTAAAAGTATTTTTTTTGAAATGATGTCAATCTTAGATTGTTAGTAGAAGTAAGAAATTGACACAGCATCTGATGGGCTAAACTTGTATCCATATTTTACCTTAAGTAGGAAAAAAGAGTCAAATACCTTATTTTAGTTTTAATATGCTAGCTTTTTGCATTCTAGCTCTGAGATCAAATCCCATACATATTCTGTATCTGAGAATAGTTTTTCTTCGTATGAATCAGCTAAATCTGAAATCTTTTATAAAAACTTAAATTAATATTTTGAGAAATATATTAATAACTAATACCTTGTAAATACCGAACAGTTCTTAATTTATTCTTTTAGGTATTTCCATCAAATCCAAAGCTCTCTGTTTTAAATCGCTTATCTAAAATGTGGGATCTATGTTTATACAGTACTGTGAGCCATTTGGGAGAATCAGAGGAAAGATAATTTATTTTAAGTTTATCAAGTAACGAATCTAGTAACTTGTTAAAAGGTATTTTTTTTCAGATTATTTTCTCTTTCTATCTTTAATAAGCTTGTTGATTAAGTATTGGAATTATTTAGACTGGAACTCATCAATTTATTTTTATTTTAAGGAATTAAATATTGTATATAGAAATTAGAGAGCACAGTGAATTGTATTTAAACTTGCTTTAAACATGTAAGTGAAAGCTGTCATTAACTATAGAACTCTGATAATTTCTGTTTTGGATTTATTATTGTTTATTTATTTAAGCATCTATAACATAATTTCATCTTTGAAGTTAAGACTTGTATTCATGCAATTATTTAATATTGAATATATTATTATGTCTATCTATTCATTATCTTTTTAGTCTTTCTTTTGCATTAATTTGAGAATATCTTTAAAAACTTCCACTGCCTTTTTGTCCTCCTCTTTTGTTAGCTTTGTTAAGCTACTTGAAAGTTATTTATGAGACACTACCATAATTTCCTCTACTTTCTTTGTTTAGAATATATTTTTTGATCTCTTCTTCAAAACTTGTTTCAAATATTCATCTAATTCAAATCTTTTAAAATCATCCAATATCGATCTAGAAACATCTTTTTCTATGAATTACAAATAAAGTATATCATTAATTTAATCTTATTAGGCGGGCTCTTAATAGGAGTGCTGCTTTTCAAGTATCTGCAAGATTAAAGGCTAATTATTTATTTTACATATATTAATTTTAAATAAATGAATTACTCGATTTAAATAAGTTATTCAAATAAAATTTTAATTTATAAAAATTTATTTCTCTAAAACTCAATTAAAAAGAAAATAAATTTTAAGAATGACACTATAATTTAACCCAATATAAAATAAATTGATTTAAATTTTTAATTTAATATTAAAGTAAAATTTACTGGGCTCTAGCATTCTTCATCTATAGGAGGAGAAACTGTTAATTCTTTTTTTCCAGTGTAATATTTAGCAATACTTGTGTATTAAGAAATAAGGTTGTCTGACTGCTTATCGTATCCTCCTTCTTTTTGAATGAGTTCATTTACTCTTTTTTAATCTTCTTGTTCATGTAGTTTTATTCCAGTTATGCTTGCATAACTTTGATCTATGACACTTTAATAGTTTGACGATTAATCAAGCATTGAATTACTATAGTATGAGTCTTAGTTATTTTATCTCATGTTATTATACAAGTTATCATTGTAATTACATTCATTTAGCTAATATATCAAATTTCGTTTGGTGTCACCTAAATTGGTTTGTGTTTCTTCTTCAGTCTCCTATTAATTTATCAAGTGCATGTTTGATTTTGAATCTGAGGCAATGTAATTTGCCATATTTTTTTCATATTCTTCATAATATTCGTCATTCTTTAAAGATTAATTTTTTCTCTCTTCTTCATCTTCTATCTATTTTTTCTTCCTCTTTAGCTCTTCTTCTTACTATTTTTACTTTTATTTTTTCTAGTTCTCTATTTCTTATTCTTTTAGTTTATCTTTTATACACTTCCAAGTCATAAAAGCTTTTTTGATAGTGTTAGATATTTTTATATCTCCCATAATAAGGATATTCCTTAGTCTAAATTTTAATCTAAAATCTATTGAAAATGATTTCAAAGAATTAAGCAAACTGCATTTTTTAACTTAGAAAAATTTTGTTGATGTTGTTTAAATTTATAACACAGCTTGATCATGCAATTATTTTAAAATTTACTATTTTTTAAAATCTAACTCTCTTTCACTTTCTGCCTTTAAATAAATCTTAGTATTACCGTACAAACAAACTTTCTAATTAAAATGAGGAAAATTTCTTTGAATTAGCTGCTCTACGCTTTGTCTGAAATTGAAAGACTACGAAATATTTTTGGGTTTACCAGATTTTCTAAGTTATTCATCAATTAGATAAAATAGCTCATAAAATTAAGAGTATGTTTTTCTAAAGGGATACATTTGCTTTCTAACTTCAATTGATTCCAAAACACCTAGATATTATATTTGCTAAGCAACATACTATTCAACGAAGTTATCCATCTCTTTTGTCTCATTTGGCTGTGTTATAAATAATTTTTTATTAAAATTTAATTGAAATATACTTAGTTATTACCTTAATGCATCTCACAAAGTGAACTTAGCATGAATTTAAAACATTCATCAAGTCATTCATTTAATTTCTAAATTTTTCACCTAAAAATTTATCCTTCTACATTTAATTTGTGGTTTCATTTCCTTCTATTGAAAATATAGATACAACAATCTAATTTTTACTCTGTCTAATGCAACTTTCGATTTGTTTACTAACCTCATCTTTATTTTTATCACAAAAATCTTCTGATGAATATTCAACCTAATTATTTGAAACAATAATTTTTACTGTTTTAATTATTTTTTAGATTAATTTACATCAGTTGCTGTATGTTTTATAATAAATGTGGATTTTTGAATCTTTGGGAATTATATTTTCTCAAATTTATTTGAAAGTGATTTAAGTGATTCTAAAAACTTCTTGTCAGTTCCTCCTTTATTTTTACATTAATCATTAAGCAACTCTAAAATACCTTCTTTAGAATCAATTAAATCTACTACTGGTTGATTATCCTAGTAGCTTAAATTATTTAAATACTACCCTAATCCGTCCTCCCTCAGAATTTTCTCTTCTTATATGAAAACATAAGATATATATAATTTCTACAGTCTTTCATTTGTATAATTGATGCATAGCTATTCAAAGCTGTTAATCTAAAAATTCTCAAAACCAAATATATCCAATAAGCCTAGATTAATAAAAGATAAGCTAATTCAATTTAATAGATGCATATTAACTATTTTACCAATAGAAAGAGATTTAACTTATTTTAAAGCAGGTGGATTAATTGCAGAATTTAATTATTAAACAAGCCATGTGAATAATCTATCATACAAGATTTTGCTTAAAGAATTTCTCATAGCAACACATTCATTTTCTTTTAATGGAACTTCCAATTAATTTTTACCTGTCTCCAAAATTTTTATTGTAAGAGCCTTTTATATTAATTGCTCATCACAAAGAAGTAATTTAGAAATATGAGTCAAGACATCCTTATTTTTTATCTCTACCTTGTCCTCTTCTTCTTGTGTAAACTAAATATTTCCTATTTTTTATATATATCAACAAATTAAACTACGAAAATCTACAAAAAGATTTTTTAATTTAATTTATGCCCAAAAACTATCTTTTTTTGTTATATTTTTTCATTTAAATGTTTTGTGTGATTGAATTTAATAAATATCTCAGTTTGAAAAATTAATATTTCAAATTGGATATTTATGGTTTTTTTTAGTTACTTGATTTAGAATTTCTAAAATATTGTTTTAATCTTTAATTAAATTATTGCAAATGAGATATTGTTGTTTTTAACAAATTTTAATAAATTTTATATTTCATTTTTTATTCAAGTTTTTTTTATGTTTTTATTTACTGAAATTTGTTTTCATTATTTGAATCAAATATTTTATCATTAAATTTATAAAATATTTATTCTTGCTTGAAAAAATTTGAGCTCAAAAATGATCAAAATTAGCTTTGTGAACAACTGAAAACATATTTAAGAGTCAAGATTATCAAAGAAAAATGAATTATTTGTTTATCAATTAAAGTATTTATTCTCAATCTCTTTTTAGAATGCATTTAGAATAATCTTTAATTAGGAAAGATTATTAATTTCAAATTGAGATCTAGTCGTAAAATTTTAACAATTTTGATTAATCGATTTCAACGGATAATTAAATATTACAATAAGAAAGAATTACCTAGCAGCAATATGGAGGCAAGTATTTACCATATAGTTAATATTTTATCTGGTAAAAATCCCATACTCTAGAAGCTGTTCTAAACTTCTTAAAAAAGCTTAGAATCATTAATTTAATCAGCGGTGTATATTCCACTTTAATTTAAGAAATTATAATCAGAAGGGTTGCTTGAAATTTGGAGATCTTCTACGATCTTCTTGTTAGAAAGTAGATGATAAAATATGTGATAATTTCTTTCTTAATTTGCAATATGAGTAACTCTGCTTTTTTCAAGCAAATATTTTTATATTTATGCACCTAAGATTTTTTAAGTAGTGCACTCAACAAGGATCGAAACATACTTACCAAATCTTGAAGAGTTGTTATTTCTGGCTGTTTTTGCATTTCCAAATGCCTCCATAATTGGATTGCAAAATAAAATTTACTGCTCAATCGTTTTTGTGGAAACACTACTTGCTCTAATACGATTAGGATCTGAAATTTTCCTACTTTAAAATACTTCTTCTTAATTATTTTTTTTCGTTGAAAGCTATGTAAGATATCTCATAGCATATTTAGCATTTTCTGTTTTACCTGCTCCTGATTCACCACTGATCACTATAGCTTAATTGATGTTACTCTTGAAAACACTTTCATATGCTGAAGCAGAAATTGAATAGATATGAGGATATTCCTTAGATGATTACTATAAATTGATCATTTCCTGTTTTTATTTAGCCTATTCAGATATCATCTGCATTACTTAATCATCAAATAAATTGCTTATTTATTTATATGGATTCATCACAATTAAAGTAGGTCCTATCAATGTAAATATTTTATCTTGCTTGTAACGAGTTGATACATTTTTTAGAATTTCAGATTAATTTAACACGGCCATCTCAACCATGTCATCATATGTTTTTGAATCATCGCTTATTTAATTTTCGATATCCATTTTTCTTAAATTTACTTTTTCTTAAAAATTACCTAATTCTTAACTTTTACAAACTTGTAATTAAAAAATGAGTTAAAATTTAGAAAAATATTGTTAAAATCAAAAGTGAAAAATAAATAATTTTTGACTATTCAAACCTACATGTATAAATCAGTAATGTAGCAATTAATTCTTATAATATATTCACTTTACTAATTTATCAGCTAATTAATTTACAAGAAATCAATTAATTAAATAGATAAAAGTAAAAATACTTTCAATCAAACTCTAAATTTAATTCAATAATAACATCAAAATTAAAAATTAGCCATTATATTTAAAATGATTTTAGCTTTAAATCAATTGATTGGATATATACAAAAAGTAATAAAAATAAACTTATTTTTTTTTAATATAAAACTAAAATAATTTTATAATAAGGACTCAAATTCGATAAGCAATGTAAATAAATAAATTATATTCAAAAAATAAATCTAAAACTACATTGAAAAAAGCAAAACCTGATATTAGAGGAGTAAAAATTTTACTCATTTGAAAAAGTAAAATTAATTTTTTTAGATAAATCTTTATTTTTTTTATTAATAAAAGTTTTTCTCTGAAAAAGAAAACTTATCTAATTTTTCTTACTTGAGCTTATGCTTTGGGTATTAAAATATTTTGTTATTATATTTTATTTATTTTGAGCTTAAACATTTTATTTACATTAAAATTAATTTAAAATTGATTAAAAAAAATGAAATTGAAAATTAATATATTTATTTAGTTAGTATATCGGAAATGACTAAATAGTTGAATTAGGTTAACAATTAATGAAGTGTAGATATACTAAAAACTTAACAATAGATTTAAGGTAGATTTTCTTTTATTTTTTAATATAAATACAAAAATTTTTAACTAATAAATATTTATTTTTATTGCAAAATAAGTTAAAATAATGTCTCATTAGTAGGCTTTTAAAGTCTATAAAAAGGGTTAAACAACTGCTTAAATTTAGAAAATTTAGTGCTTTTTTTTAAGTAAACTATTTTGTTGAAATATTTTGAAATTAAAAACTTTTTCTTTTTATAGTAATAGAAAAATAAATCCATAAAAAATTTCTTGCATATTATAGAGCTTTCAAAGTATGAAAAATCTGACTAATTTAACATTAAATCTTAAGTAAATTCCTCAATATTTATTTTTGAATTAAATCTTTTGTTTGATTGCTAAAAAAGAAATATTTATTAATTGAAATAGATTTTTAATACAATATTTACTAAACAGAAATTTAAAAAAATAGTAAAACAAATTTCGATGAAGAGTGTACAATCTTTTTAGGTGAAAATCTTGCTAAATGCTCAAATTTAATTAATTTAAACTTAGATTTAGGGTAATAAATATCTGCCTTTTTAAATTTTAAATATATTTTTAAATTATCAAATTAAAGACTTTATTTAATTAAATTATTAAATAAATCTAAAAAATAAGTTAAAATTAAATTAGAAACTCTACTTAGCATATTGGAAAAAATTTAGTCCACTGCAAATAGCTAGAATAAATTAGAATCTGGCTTGAGTATCCAAAAATCCTTTACAAAAAAAAAATATATAATAATTTATTTAAAAAGCTAAAATAGTATAAGTGATGATGGCATTTCTAATTTTTTAGAAAAATATCCAAAAATTAATGTACTTTAACTTTATTTAGCGTAAAAACAATAATTTATTTTTTTTTTGGTTTTTTATTTTTTTTATTTCCTTTTTTTATAGAAATAATAGAATCTCATTTATAGGTGCAGCTTCTCTAAGTTAGCAAATTTCAGAATACAAAAGGCTTTCTGTTTTGGTTGTTAATCTTTAGTAAAATAAATTTATTCTTTGATTTTGCCTATTTTATGAAAAATTTTCATCAATTTTTTTGCTTATCAAAAACTAAAGCACAATGAATAATTCATTTAATTTTTTTCATATAAATAAAAGCCAAAATTAAGTAGGAAAATTTGGAAAAATTAAAATAAAAAGAGCAGCTTATAAACTACCAAGATTAGTAAATTCAAATTTATTACACTGCTGATATAATAAAAAATAATTGTATTTTTATGTTTTTATTATATCTATGGTAAAATACTTTTTCTTTTATAAAAAATAATATTTATTATCATTTTATTATTTCTTTCTTTTAAAAAATTTAATAAAAATTATAAAAATATATTGAATTTTCATGGCTGATGTTAGTTATTTTAAAATCTATAGTTTTATAAAAATTTAATGAGTATTAAACGAATTAGAATATTTAATTATCTGCTTTCTAAAAAATCAGTTAAAAAAACCTAATATAAATTTAAAAGTTAATTAGGATTAAGTACCAAAAAAATATGTAAAAATGCAAAGAAACAAATAAATAAAATTTTTCATAAATTCAATTTTTTAGTACATTATTCAGATATATGCTCAACACATTAAAAGCTTAAAAAAAATCTATTATAGATTTTGGATTTTTAATTATAATCTTTCAAATTAAAAGATTACTTTTACAGAAATAATTAAATTTTTAATTTTAGTCAAATATTGGATAAAACTAAAAAAATTAATATTAACAATTGACAAATATTAAACCTTATAAATTTAAATAATATTTTATTTCATTTTTTATTATTCAAAATTTTAATAACGAAACATACCAAAGTAGGAAAATTTTTTGAAGCAAAATATCTCCTTTGTTTGTTTAATAATTTAAGGCCATTAAAATACCTTAAATTTTTTAAAGTTAGTATGAATTTAAAACTTTAAATTTTGAAATATATTTATTAAATAAAGGTAATTATTTAAAGGTATTATTTTCTCATTAGTTGCTTGCTTATCAAAACAAAAGATATCAAAAAACAAAATTTTAGTAATTTACAAGCTCAAAAAAAATCAGTGAGAACAATTTTAATAAATCTTTTAATTTTGATTTGTTTTTATCAAATAATAATTACCATTCAATATAGTAAATATAATTTTAATTTAGCTAAAGATAATTTATTATAAAAAAGTGTTTTTATTATTTGTATGTTATTCATATATTTTTTTAAGGAATACCTATTTGTCTTTATAGATTTTTAATAAACTATATCTAAAAAAAATCAAGAAACAAGCAAAAAGAAGAAAGAAAGAAATTAGTAAATAAATAAATAAAGAAAAATAACTTTAGAGAGACTTTGAGATCAAATAAAAAATTAAGATAATTACCATCTTAATATTATTAGCAGATTCATTAGTTTCAAATTTAAGTATATGATCTCCGATATTAAATAGAAGGTTAAATAATTCCTAACTCCAAAAGTTAAAAGGAATCTTGAGCTAGCAATACTATTTTTTTCTACAGTCTTTGCTGTAGTTTCTTTGGTGTTTAGGTATTTATTTTCATTATATTTTAGCGTTAAGAAGTTTATTTTAATTCTACTTAAAATAAAAGTTATATCACATTTTAAAAGACCTCAGATAAAGTAGATTAATATGTTACAATAGCAGATAATTTAAGATAGCCTTATTTTATTAATTTCAGATTATCTACAACAGGGTAATGTGATATAAATGAATCAAGTCTGTTAAATATAAACTGGAATGGAACTTATACAGGATGTGACTGCTCTAAATCTTCAAACTTAGATATTGAAAATATTATGTATAAAAATTCATGCAACATATCAACTTAACTTGGATGTACTGGTCTTTTTCCTATCAGTTAAAGAACATTCCAAAGCATAGCAAGTATTAAATATTTATTTAATAACAAGCATTTCTTAAAAATGTATTCATTACTTATCAAATTAGTGGATCTTTAAGGTAAAAATCTAGCTCTGTGTGGATAAAGGGCTAAAAATGCAAATTAATTTTATAGGATAGCTGCAAATTAAACAGGAACTTGCTTATAAAACTAAAAAATGTGTGGCAATCCTTCAATTCCTACATCAGTGATTTGTGTCTCATAGACTGATCCCTGCCCAATTTATTAATTTCACTTTACAACGACAGCATCAACTTAATACGATTCTACATGGGGTCACATATAAGTGAATGATAATCTGCATTTTTATTTTGATTAATAAGGAACAACTGCAAATTAATTGCCTGTTTCTCAAGTTGTCTCAACTTCTGGCAAAGGCCCTTGCGTTTTTAATGTTTACAATTGTAATTCTTTTTAATTTTTTATTAAAAATATATTTTTTTGTTCTGATAAATTAAGCCACATTATACTCTACATAGTGAGATCATATATTTTTTAATTTAATAATAGAAACAAGGTATGCTGATGAATATCTCCTTTTTATATGGGATAGATAATTATGTGACTAAGATACAAACTTCATTAAAACAGAATTAGTTGTAATAATAATTTTATTTATTTATTTCTTTATTTATTTATTTTAAATTTTTTATATTTATTTATGAAAAAACAAATAAAAATATTTATAAAAATTCTTACTTTTAATATTAAATAAAACTAAATAAGAAAATAGTATTTTAATAAAATTATTAATAATTAATTAGTTAACTGAAAATCAACTTTACCTGTATAATCTAAGTGATGATGACTATAATAAAGTTTCCAACTTTACAGGATACAATATTATGTAGTCAAAAGAAAATTATCCTATATATTATAAACCTTTCATTCCATGGGAAATAAAGAGCAGAAACTTGGTATTTAAATTATTTATAAAAATATATTAATTGTAATATTTATTTATACAAATATTTATTCACTGATTAATTCATTTATTCATTTTAAAAAACCTCTTTGATAATTTTTATTTTTTTATTTAATGATAGCTCTATCCTTTAGTTAATTTTTTACTCAACGCTGAAAATCTTTTAAATGCTATTTTTTATACGTTAGTTGTAAATGCTGCATCTGTTGTTTATTTAGGTCTAATAGCAAATGGATAGCATATATATTTATTAGTATGGTAAAAATACGAAATAGATTCTGAAAAAGTAATTAAACTAAAAAGATATAAATTGTTAATAAGCTTTCTATTTAAAATAGCATCTTTAGTGGTAACGAAATTCATCTTTTATTAAATATTTTACAAAATATCTATTTTTTAAAAATAGGTCTCAATAAATGCTTTTATTTTATCTTCAAATTATAAAAGTTCACTTGAAGATATTTGTTCTGCAAAACCTACTCTCGATGTTTACATGTAATATTTCTAAGCTTTATCAGACTTTACATCAACCTATATATATAAAAATAACTTGATAAATATAATAATGACTTCGGCTAACATGGTAGTTGATATAGTAAGTGCCATATTAGAATTTCTAGAATATAGAAACTAATTATAAGAATCAACAAAAGTAGTGCCTGCTTCCCTTTAAAATTTAGATTAGTAAACAAAAGAAATTGTAAGTTTAAAATAAATAGAAGATTAAGAAAGTCAAAATAACCAAAATAGTAACAAATAATTACCTTCTTATATAAGTGTATCTAAAGTTAGATAAAAAAGTGTTTACCCTTAAACTTTTATAGATAATTCAGGTTAAAAAGTTATTTTGTTATCATAAAATGGTCTAGTCTTTTAAAATGGTATGTTAAGAACTTTAAAAAACTTACCTGAAACTTTAAATAATTTAGAATCTTGAAATACATCCAAGCATCTATTACTTACTAGTTAATAATAAATTAAAAAATTTTAAACAATTAATAAATAAATAAATAACCAGCATATTTACTTTTAAAAAAATTTGGTTATTAAAATAATTAATTTTATATTAAACAAACAATTATATTATAAATTAATTTAAAAAATATCATATTTTTTAAATTTTATCAATTTTATTATTTACAAAAAAATTATTTTTGGTAATTTTATATGGTATTTATTGAATAATTTTCTTCTCTATTTATTATCTCAACATAAAAATAAAATAAAAATTATATGATTTTGTGTTATTAAAAACTACTTTGATAAAAAATAAATTAACAATTTTCTTTAATTTATACTTTTAAAAATTTTAGTAACTTTTTAAATTTTTATTCATCTATTTAGTACGATAAAAGTATAAATTATTTTCAAATAATATAAAAATTTTACTCATTTACTTACTTAACTACTAATTTATTTATTTAATTTTTTACTCCCAGATAAACTTTATTTTAAAAATAATAATTTTTGATAATTTTATTTATTCTTGGTCAATAATTTTCTCATAAATAAAGATACTAGCTAAAGATATGTTTACAATTTTTTTAATGTAAATATTACTTAAATAGGATAGAAACATACATAGAAACTTAAATTCTAGAGTATTGATTATTAATAACTAAGATTATGTATATAAAAATAACTAATGAATAATTCAATTTTATATAATTGTTAATATTAAAGTCAATATTTAAATTTATTAAAATATATTCTTAAAATTTTCACTGCTTTTAGAACAGTCTGTGGTTTGGACTTTATGAAGAGCGACTAGGTTGTTAATATTACATTATGTTGGAGTTGTTAATTGAGCTATTGTGTCCTTCAAAGCTACATTGATCTCCTTATCTTTTGTCGCCAAGTTGAATTTGGACAACTTTTGTGGCTTAATTAACTCTATTTTTGAACGCAAATTTTTATGAGGTTGTTGAAGATGCTGAGTATGTTACTAGACGTTAGTTTGGGCTCAAACTTGATGGGTTATTAATTTTACTATTTTAATATTACTCTATAGCATTCAGTGTACTGCTACTATTATTGTTTTTATATTAAAAAAATCCTGCTGCATTTGTTGAAGAAGATGCCTAGGAAGCTTTTTTAGAGATGTTTCCATCGAAATTTTAATTACCACTGTATTTTCCTAGTTATCTGCTTAGAGGAGATTAGCTTGATTGTAAAGGCTCTATTTATCTTGAGCTAAACTAATCTTAGCTATCCAAATTATTGTTATTGATAAATCTATTTTTATGATTTGGATTCTAGATATTTTAAAACTGATTCTTATTAAAAGATTCATCAGTTTATGAGTTAGCATTTTGTCCTTGTTAAGGATCTATATTCATAGCAATGTTTCGATTTTTTTAGATGTAACTCATCATATCCTATTTTTTTTTTAATTTAGCATAATCTTCCTATGAAAGAGAGTGCACAATTGCACTATTAGGATTAGTCGCTTTTTAGTTAAAATCTAATTATTGCTAGTAACTTCCCTTTGTAGAAGATTGGCCTTCAATAGGTTTTTTATCTTTTAGAGATTTTTGTAAAATTTTGTGTTTGGAGTGATCTGATGGATTAGGTACATACATTTTAGTGTTAGATACTGAATGTGTCAGATTTGAATTTAACTAAATTTGTTAAATATTTTGGTGGTTTGTTAGCTATTGCTAAGAATTATTATTTTGCTGCTGTTTACTTTCTTGTTTGCTAGAAAAGAGATTAGTTGGAGTTAAGATTTTTCCATAAGTGTTTAAGCTCAATCCATTGACATATTATTAATACTTTGAATTAAATGTTTCACTCTATTCTTTTGTGAGTCTGTTTTGAATTTATGATTGTTGTATTTGCTATCTATTCATTTCTAGAGAGTCATTCTGGTTTTTATGACCGTTTTGCTTAAAAGAAGAAGCAGAAGAATTATTAACTTAATTACCTTGCTTTTAATTAGAAGGAGTAGCAATTTAGTTTAAGCCACGACTGTAATTCATAGAAGGAGATTAACCTTATCTATTTTATTAATTCTACATTTTCTATTAAATAAATTATTATTACTATTCTATAACTTTCTAGCTGCTTTTTGGCAGTTAGCTGAAGGGAATAGAATTTTGATTTGGGGTAGTTTATTGAAAACTAGAATTGCCATTTAAAGCGCTGATACTGTTGTTACCGTGACTAATTTATGATGTATTTAATCTAGTTTTCTATGAATTAGGCTCATCATTTAAAGAGTCATATCGAATTAATTCTTTTTTGTCATTTTACTGCTTTTCTTTTTGTTAATTTTAATTTTAGAAATCTAAAGACTGTTAATGATAATTGTTGAGTTGATTAGATGAGTAATTTTGCTAGTTTTTAGAATCTCTCTCTTTTGATAAGCTTTGTTAATTCAAAAATGAATTATTAAGTTAACTTTTTTATGACTAGTTTTTATTTAATATATTTTCAATGTCTAATTTATATCTAAAAACATGAGAGCTATTTTTAGACTGATGACTCTTACTAGAAAAAGGTTAAAATCTATTTAATGGTGAGTTAGTTGCAGCACCAGAAATTTGAGGTTGCTAAAATATTTATGAGCTTAAATCTTGTATAAATCTTTGATCCTTTGTGGTATTGGTAGAAGGTTGGAATATTGAATTATTCTAAGAGTTGCTGTTACTACCAGTTTTATTTTGATCTTATTATAAGTATGAAAATGTTTCTTACTGTTAGAAAGAAGATTGCTTTGACTCATTTTGATATTATTGCTTGCTGCCTACGTTAATAAAATAATTATTTTATTATAGTTGTGTAATCTATTCTTCTGCTCTCTATAATTATTATAATTCGTTTTTATATTTTTCTTTGTGCTTTTAATCTTAGCTCATTTCTTTTGACTTATTCCTATCAAATTAAGATTTGTCTACAAATTTTCCCTATCTGGATTATTATTCGTTTGATTTATCATTCCTGAATTTTTCTTAAGACAATCCTGGAATTCTGCCTTACTTACCAAAGCTTGCCTCATCTTATTAATTCTATTGATTTTTTTAGCTTTCTTATTATATTTTTTCTTGTTGCTACTTTAGCTACTACTACTTAATTTCTTCTTACTACTGAAGGATTAGTGGAAGAATTTACTGTTTTAACTATTGCTATTGCATAAAAAATTATTGCATTTACTGTTAATCATTTTATCCTTGTTAAATATCTTAATTTTAAATCTATGACATGTTTATCTATTACTGCTAAATATTAGAAGAGAAAAGATTTTAAAAGGCTTGCTAAGATTACTACAAATTCTAAATCACATAGCTAGAATCTTAATGTTGAGAATGATTTACTTTTACTATAGAAGCTGATTGATGAGTTGAATTATTCATGCATTTTTATTTTATATTATTAGATACAGTACTCCTTTATTCAGCTCTCATACCTGAATTTAGCATCATACTACCTTCTAATTCACTTGGCACGTCAATTATATTGTTTGAAGATATGGTTTTCTACTGGTTACCTAAAGGCTTTTACAATAAGTTATCAAGTGTTGATTTTCTTTACTAGATATCAAATTGCTATTTTCTCTATTCAGCATCAGAAGTATTTTACCTTTCAGTTTAAGGCAAATTAACACTCACAGAGTAATCAATTGACTGTCTCTTCTTTTATCTATATATATATAAACAATAAAAAAATTAGATGAAAAGAATGAATGGTATTTGATTGATTGAGCAAAAGATGATAGGTTTAATAAAATAATTTCCTTAGTAATTTTTAACATAGATTTATGTTAATAGAGTAATTCAATTAATAAAAAACTAGATAAAGAATTCATCTAAATTTCAAATTTGAAAATTAGGAAGAAAATACAAATTGAAACTCAAGATTTTTAATATAAAGCAAAAACTGAAGATTTCTAAAGAAAATAAAAGTACAGGAAAATTTTATATTTTTTTTTAGTCTATGATTTTAAGTGGATTGATTATATGCTTGCTTTATTATATGGTAGTAAATGGAAGCTTAAATATTGTATGTATGTATGTATTTAGGTAGGTAAGTATGGTTTTTTATATATATTTTAATCTATTCCTTCAGTAACCTATTAAACTAAGGTTAATGTTTCTAATGTAACTAACAATTTTGTAGCAACATTTAACAATTAATTGCTAATTATTTATAATAGAATCTTCAGATTAATGAATCAATCAATCAAAAATTTCAGAAGTATTACTTCAGATTAATAGTCAAAGTGCTTTGTGGTAAATTATGGAAATCTTCTTCTTCTTGTGTGTTCTAAACATTAGCTTTTTAAATGGAATTTTCATTATTTTGGCTCCATTTTTTCTAATGTGGATTCTATAACAGATTATTTCCTTAATTAAGTTGCAACTGCTGTTGCTGTTACTATAATTATTGCGACTATTATTATTAAACTAAGAATTGCTGTTAAGGTTGAGTACTAATGAAGTTATTTTGTGGATATGTATTTTAGTTTGGTACATTTATAGAATCTTCTCCTTATATTTATGACAAGTTTTTGTTTGTTGTTGGTAAGTTCTGTAATTATTTTCTTGGGGATACTGAAGTTTTATCGTTAAAGAATTAAGGTGAATTATTTAAAGTGGAAAAGGCTGAATTGTGATTTAATTTTGGAACATATTACTATGCTGGATTAATCTGTGAAAGCTAAAGTATTTAATTACTGTAATTATTTTCAAGCAAAATAGACTACTTTCTTTAAGTCGATTCATTTTAAGGTGTGCTTTGTTAGATATTATAATCTTTTGTTGTTGCTACTGTTGAGCTGGAAAATGTATTCATAGGAGGATGCAGCTAGAAAGTATAATTGTTGATTTTTTATTTTGTTCTAAAATCTTTTGCTTTTGGGAAATCAATTTCATGCATTTCATCAGGAATATTTGAGGTTTTCATATCCATATTTGTTGGTGAAACAACACTGCTTTTCCTACTGCCTATGTTTTGCTAGGGATCTGGAAGGGGTATGCTCATAAAGTTTTGCGTTTAATTGGAAATTTAATTTGAATTAATCTAAGAATTAGAGTTAAGGTTTATTTAACTACTTGTTAAACTTTACTAAACTTGCAATTAACTTTGCAAATTTTAAATACCTTTGTTTAAAACAAACTATTGCTTATACTCAAGCTCGTTCATTTTTTATGTAAAGTTTACATTTTTTTGATCTGGTTATTGCTAAAATTGTTATGCTTAATTTAATGGTGAATTTTAATAGGGGAGCTATGATATTTCGTTAGGAGCTTTAAAATCGCTGGCATAATTCTTTTATATTAAATCTTTGAGAAGTTGTTAAACAAGTGGGTTGTTATCTATATCATTTTAATCAATAATTGGTTGATTTTTTTCTTCACTTACTGCTCCAACAGTGCCTAGCTATTTATAATGGTCAGCAGTAATATTGCTTGTAGAGTGTTAGTGAAGAGGTTTTTTGGCTTATACAGATTATTAACTATTGCTAAAATTGAAATGTTCTTTTTAGTTAGAGAGTTAAGATGTTGGTCTGCTTAAACTTTGGTGCTATGAATGATGATGTGGTTGAGGGTTTTATTAGTTGTGAAGGATGTAATGATGAGTGATTGTTTAGTTTTATTAAACTATTTGTGATGTGTGATATGAATGTGTATGGCTTTAAGGCATCCTATATAATTAATTAGCAGGGCTTTCAGAGCTAATACTACCGCTTGGTGATCTTTGATTACTTGAATTATGCAATTAGATATTATTTGGAGGAGATTGATCACTTTATTTCGCATTAGCTTACTACTACTGATAATGAATTAATTTTATCACATTTTATTGTTTCTATTCTTCTCTATTATTAGGAGTGTTATAGTTACTTTATTCAGCTTAGATTAAGTGGAAATTCTCTTTGTTTTGAGGGATGTCGCTTTTACTTTCGGTTTTGATTGATCCTGACAAAAAATCAGCGATTTTTAACACATCTTCCCAGCTTCTGCATTCATTATGGTCACCCTTAACATATAGAATATTTTTCTTTGCATTTGCTGGATACTTCTCAAACAGCTTTTAAGAATTTTCAAAAGAAACTAATTTATCCTCTTTTGAAACTATAAAAAGCACAGGCATAAGGCACTTTTAAATATCTTTGATTGTATTAACGTCTTCCATATCATAACCAGCATTTTATTTAATTTATCTCCTTACATACTCAAGCAATCCCTTAATTATAAAAGTTGGTAAGCTGACTTTTTTATCAGCTATTTCAACACCTGCATCCCACATACTTACAAAAGCACTATCTATTGCTAATGCTTAAACCTCTGTAGGATATCTATTTCATTTATAAATTTTATTTAATTAAAATATTGATAATATAAATAATAAATGTTCAGTTTTGTTATTTTCTATTGTTACATATTATATTTAAAACGGCTTACTCAATAAATTATGCTTGAAATAAATATAAAAAAAATCATTTTATTGGAGATTAAACTTTGCTAAGATTTAATTTAGAAATACAATTATTTTCTTAAATTTGAATGCTTAAAAAGAAATTGAAGTTATTTTATTTAGTAAATAAAATTGAAAATCTTACTTTTATGTATAAAGCAGAGCTGTAACTGCTCCCATAGATCTACCCCATAAAGCAATAGATTTTACATTAAATTAGCTTCTTAAATGATTCACAACTACTTACACATCGTCTTGTTCATAGTATCCCAAAGAGACATATTCACCTTCTGATAATCCACTCCCGCTAAAATCGAAACAACAAAAAGCACATCCACGAGAAATTGATGGCTCCGCAAATTTTATACTTTCTATTCTAGATCCATTAAAGCAGTGTAAGTAAATAATACACTCAGGATTTTATATTCCAACTGGTTCATAGAAAGAGCATTCAAGAGTATGTCCTCTGCTATTTTTAACTTTAAATTCATGTCTTTTGCATTTGTAAAGCTTAGTTTGAAACAAAGGTGGGCCTATTATAATAATTTTAAATATGAAGCTATAAATTAAAACATGATGTTGCATTTAAAATTTGTGTTATTTATCTAAAAATAAGTGTTTATTTATTAGCTTCTTTAATTTCATTTTTTATTTATTTTAAAGCTCTTACCTAAATCAAAAACAGAATATGTTTGCCTGGGAGGTCTGCAAAAAACTTTCCATGCATTAGTGAATTGATCAATAATATTCATTTCAACTAGAGCTCCAACTAACTTCCTTATAAAATTATTATTTTATTGCGAACCTAATTTTGGTTTTTTGTGAAATATTTTATTAATAGTCTGTCTCTTTTTGATTTTAAAAACTTAGAAAAATGACTAACCCTCTCTCTTTGTATCAATCAATCAATCTATATATATTTTAAACCTAGTAAAAAATCAATAATTTAATAATTTTTCAATTTATCGATTTAAATTTTTGATTTCAACGATGATGATAAGCCTCAGAAAAATCAAGCAATTTACAAATTAAATATCACTATTTGCTCTGATATTTTCAAAGCAAAAAATAAAGCAAGCAATTAATTTTCACATCAATTTAAAAATCTGAGTGTTAAATCTACTGATCTGTCATAATAATAAGATATTACTTAAAAAATCGTATTTATAATTTTGTTTTACTTCAGCAAAAGCGAAAAGATCTGAATGAAATTTTCTTTATTTTGCCTTTTTAATAATCTAATAAGGATTAAAAAAATAAGCAATTAAAATATTTTTATAAAAAAACATAAATTTCGAATGATTTTAAAATAAATGTTGAATTTATATTGAAATAATTTCAATAAATAAAATTCAAATTATATTTATTTCAATTATTAATTTAGATTTTTTTAAATTTTCCTAAATTAAAAATGAATTGAATGATTTTTTATAAATTTTAAATATAAATAATCGAAAGGTAAAAATATCAATTAAAATTAATTTTAATTTAACTTATTTAGTTAATGAAATAAATTCACCAAATTTTCAAAAATAGATTTTATTAAAATTTTAAAAATATTATTTTCTACTTTAATTATCACTTAAGCTTAACTTAATATTTGACTGAAAGGAAATATACTTACTTAATATTTAAAAGAATATTAAAAGTTGAATAGGTTTTTATGATAAAATATTTGTTTGAAATATATAAAATTTTTGTGATAATTTTATTTACATTTTCAAATATTAATAACCATTTATTTAATATAATTAAAATTAATTCGTTTTTATCAAATCACTGAACATTTGCAGCTGCAATCGCTCACTGGACAAACATCAAAATCTTAAAACCATTCAATTATGTGTTTATAATGGCCTCCGTGATTGCATGACTAACACCACACAATTCCTTCTTCTAAGTTAAGATTTTCAATCTAACCTCCCATTTAATTTTATTGTTATCTGTTTCTGTTAAATTATATGTAAGGGTTTACAAGTTCACAAGACAATAAACAAACGCAGCAAACAGGCAGCATCTAATTTATTTATTTTATAATTATAATTAAATATTTTGTTTCAATAAAAAATAATTTATTACAACACAGCAAGAAGGACAAACACCTATCATAGGCTTTAAAACTTGTAACAAGGCAGCATAACCTCTTATGCTTCTTCTTCTTATAATATTATCTAATTATGTTTTATTGTCTAGACAGTTATTGCATTGCTTACACTCTAAAAATATCTTTGATCCCTTAAAGGAAGATTTATTTTATTCTGAATCAGTCTTGCATAGGAGTTATTTTAAATTTTTAAATTCTTTATCAAGAGTAATACGCTTTTCAAACAAATTCATGTTATTTAAAAGGGCTTTATAATTTTTAAACCAATTTTAGAGAGTTTCTGAAGGCTCATATTTATGTAAATTCAAATGTGCAGAGAGTAGACCGGCTGTCTAAATATCTCTTGTATTATCTATGAAAGCTTAGATGATATCTATGGCTTTTTAATCTTTACCAACTAATATTAAGCATTCAAGAATACCTTCCTATTCTGCTTTTTAAACTAAATTTGTAAAATAAGTAATTATATTATCATCGTCTAAAAATCTTAAAGCAAATGCAATCTTGTCAAATATTTCGATGCCATCCTATTAAATGATTTCCTTTACTCTTTCCTAAGGATCATCGTTATTTAAGAATCTAGCCAGAGCCTAATTAATTAATAAATAATAAAAATAATTTTTATAATAAACAAATATTTAATTTACAGTCAAGTAGGGATTATTAAATTTGATGTCTTTGAGAAGATTTGAAATAAAGTTTAATTCGTTTTATACAATTGTATATCTCAGATCATTGTTAATTATATTTTTAAACTCAGATTAAATCTCTTAATTCTTAAAATTAGTATTTTTTGCATTCTTAATATCTTCTTATGACATATCTTACTCTGTATAATCTCTAGAGTTAGAAGGATAAATACTTTCAAGTCTATTCTTCACATATTAATCTCCTTAAATGCTAATTTATATATTTTTTAAAATTAATAATACACTCTTCATCATTCTCAATTAAGGATCATCTTCTAAAGCACTATTTAAGCTATCAAGAGCTCTATCAAATTCAAAATGAAAAGAAGCAATTGTTGCAGCTCTTTTAATAAAATATAAAAAATAAATTATAATAAAGAATATTTATAAAATTATGTCATCAATTATTTAATCTATTAATTAATATGTCATTCTCAACTTTGATATGTCTTAATTTAAATTTTATCTCGTCATATCATAATTCTTTTATCATATTATTTATTTAGATTTAAAAACAAGACTAAAAATTGAATTATTTTTTATATAATTCTATTTTCCTTGATAATTCATTTCGTTAGTTCATAATAACTCATAAAATATTTCTTTGTTGATAAGCAATACTCTCGAGTTATATATTTAATTCTTTTATATAATACTTAAAAGAAATTCAAAAACTTAGATAGATTTACCTTATGTGCTAGTTGGTTTCGTCAAATTACTTAATTTGTTGGAAAAATGCTTAAGTTCCTTGATCAGATTAACTAGCAAGAGGAAGGTTAGCCCATTTAAATATCTTTAGACATTATTATCTCTATTTATTATTAAAGTCGTATAGTCTGTGGTGGTAAAATTACTTTATGTTTAAGTTTATGCCTTAATCAGTTTTTTAAATTTACTCTAAGATATTATTTAACTCTACTACATTTTATTAATTTTGCTTAGGTTAACTATTTTAATACTAAATAGATGATTCATCTTTTAATTGTTAAACCCATTGCCAAAGATCTGAACTTACTTTACGCCAACTCTGATTGGCATTTTTCATAAGCATAAGTCTATAATTTTTAGCTGCATCTAAGCCATATCCTAAATCACTTAATTATCTTTAATTTAATATAAAAAATTTATTAATTTGTTTTATAATTGTTTATTTAATTGATTTACTTCATAATATCCAATTCATCTTAGTTGTCTAAAATATCTCTGCTTTCAGGAAAGCTTTTGTAGCATACAGCAATATGCTTATTTCCTGCAAATGTAAATGGGATCTAGTTTTTTTCAAAATTTTCTGGAATTAAATTGAGACGCAAATAGAGTTAAATAAACTCAGCTTCACTTATGCGATCATAATTAACATTTGGATTGATTTCCATTAAAATAGGTAATATTTCTTGCTCTTCATATTCAGTAATTTAGTTGAGAATTTTTTTAATGCCTATATATTTCTCATTATTTTGATCTAAATTTTCAAAAATGGAAGATATGTACATGTGTTTATAATTTTAGCTATCATTATTATCTTTGAATTTTTATTAAACAATCACTTAACTCCTCATATTGATTAATAACTAAATTTAAATTTTAAAGTGACCTATTATTTATTTATTATTTTAGCTATTTTATTTACTCCTATTAATAAAAAGATTGACTTTGAAATATCTTTTTGTTTTTGATTTATTATAAGCTGAGTTTCTAAATCTAATTTTACAAATAAACTAGTTTTTATCTATTAAAAAAAAGATTCTAAAAAAAAGTATTCGTTCAACTTATAAACTATAAATTAAATTAAAAATCTTTAATTTCATAAAATTTGCTCATAAAATAAATTAAAATATTTACAATTTTTTTTATTATAATAAATCTTTGAAATTTGTTCTGATTTTTGATACAAAAACTAATAATAAATTTAACTAAACATTTCTTTACTCAGGCTTCAGCTAAAACCTAAAATAGACAAAGAAATGAACAAATAGAAACCAAGTTGTATTAAATAAAGCAAACGAATACATTTTTTAATTAATTTTTATAAATAGATAGCTAATTTTATAATGCTTCTGATGCAAAGAAAAGCAATTTTTTTTACTTTAGAAAATTTTTTTTATAATCTCATTTTAAGAAAGAATAAAAGATTTAATAAAATAAAAAATTGATATTAAATACTAAAACCATTAAAAAAAATTAATTATCAAAACCAAAAAAATATAGAAATTTATTAGATAGCTAACTTAATTATAAAAAAATTTTTTTATTTTCTAATATTTTTAAAGCTAACTTTTATAATTAACTCCTAATTCAAACATAATATTCTTTTAGAACGTTATAATAGAACTCTACTTAGATTAGAGTTATCTTATTTAATTCTCTTTACTATTGAGAAAGCCCCTAAGAATCTGGATGATAAATACTGCGAAATCTTCTATGAGTTACTATAAAATCATTTTAAGTTGAGTTCTCGCTAAGTCTAAAATAATTTTTTGCTTCACTAATTAGTTTATTTTTTAATTTTTCATGGAAAAATTCATCAATTTTTTTAGATAATATATTATTTCAAAAAAAAGATAATAAACAACCAAGTAATGATCCTATAACAGTTCCTATTCCAGGACAAATTAAGGAGCCTATTACTGTACATGCTGTTGTTATACTACCCTGAACTAAATATGTTGAAGAAACTTTTACCCCATAAGCACATAACTGATATTTAAGTTTACTTTATAAAACATCAATAATTGCATTATCTTGACTCTTATTTTTTTAATATTCTTTAACTATTGAAAATAATTCAAAAAGAGATAACCCTAAATGAATGGCTAATGTAAATTTGCTAAATTAAGATTTTAATGATGAAAGAAATAAATCTTTTGTACCAATTTTGGCTATTGTTTGTATTTATCCTTTAATAGCTTGCTTTATTCCATCTTTAGAAATATTTTAAACTATATTTTTACTACCTTCTATGACATTTCTCATAGGAGGTGTCATAGCTCTTATTATATCTTTAGATTATTTTACTTTTGAACAAATGTATTTAGCTCCATTAATAATTTAACCAGAGATATAAATTTATTATGAAAGTTTTATTTTATTCACTTTTTTAAAAAAGGATCTGGCTTCTTTCTTACCTGTTTCAGGATTTAGATCATCAAATTATTCTTCCTGATTTTAATTGATGAAATTTTGATAATTTTCATGATATTGATCACATTAGATTTGATATTAGCTTCTTTCAATATCATTATTATGATTTAATTAAATTTAAATTTATTTTAAAATTAAATAGCAAGACTAATTCAAAAAGTTTTAAGAAAATTGATTTTCACTAAATCTATCTCTAAAAATGAATGAATAAATTATTTTATAGCTAAAATCTTTCAAATTTTAAAATGTGTTTTTGATTTTCTGATCTTAATCCTATAAATAGGAATTAATGTAAAAATTTGTTTCCATAAAAAGTAATTTTAGAATGTTAGCAAATACTAACTTAGAATATTAGCACAAATTTATTTTAGAATATAAAAATTAACTTCATATTTTTTAAATTCAAATTTAGAATATTCACAAAAATTAATTTAGAATATTAGCAAAAGCTTACTTAGAATATTAACAAAAAATAACTTAGAATATTAAAAGAAATTAACCTAAAATAAATATTAGCACAGATTAATTTTAGAATATAAAAAATTAACTTTTGAGATTATTTTAGACTCATATTAAAATATTCACAAAAACTAACTTAGAATATTAGCAAAAGCTAACTTAGGATATTAACAAAAGCTAATTTAGAATATTAAAAAATAAACTTAGAATATTTAAAAAAATTAACTTAGAATATTAGCACAGATTAATTTTAGAATATAAAAAATTAACTTTGGATTTTTTAGGCTCATATTTAGAATATTCTCAAAAGCTAACTTAGAATATTAGCAAAAGCTCACTTAGAATATTAAAAAAAACTAACTTAGAATATTGACAGAAAGACTAATTTTAGAATATAAAAATTAATTTTGATATTTTTTAAATTAATTTTGAGTATTTTCAAAAAATTCTTAAATGACTTTTTCGAAGAAACGGAAGATATATGGTTATTAGTTTTTATAATAATTAAAATAATTATTAGAAGCTATTTGAATTAGAATTTTTAAATAAATTGATTAAAATATTAAATAATAAAGAAAATATAAACTAACCAAAACTAAAATTGTAAAAATAATAATTTAAAATAGTCAATTTTTTGGAAAAAAGAATTTATATTTAGAAAGAAATGAATTTCTGTATGTTCACATTTATAAATATGTATTTAGTATAATTATAATATGGTATTTAATTTACTATGTTAAAGTACTCCACTGTATTTTTTATAAAAAAAATTGATCAATTGAAACTTTATATTGATACATGAAATGGAACAATAAACTATGGACCATTAATGAATGTTTAAGTAAATAAAATATTATAAGAAGCTAAATAAAATTTTTTAAGATAATAATATTTTATTTTTGGTTAACATAATTTAAACAATTTATAAAGATATAAATTACAAATTGATAGAATTTTGGATAAATTTATGTACAAATTATACAATAAGTGTTAATTATTATAAATTATTTAATTATCTATTCAGATTTTTAGCAATCTCTATCAGAAAATAGTTATTCTGGCTGTAAAGTAATAAAATATTGATATATCCTTCTTAGCTTAATTAATTATATGATTTCACTATTTTGTTTAATCAATAATTTACTTTTTAATGAATAAATCAACAAAAATAGAAAGTAGCTTTAAATCTAAAAACTTTTATAAAAAATAAAATGAAAATCATTACAATCAAAAAACCTATTAAAGGGTAAAAAGCAAATAGGATTTTTTAATTGGTTTTTCTTGCATATTTGATAAATTAAATATATGGAAATGCTTCAAAATTGTAGTAAAATGAGCTTAATTCATAATAATAAGAGACCTAACAATCTCAGAAAAGTAATAATATATCATAAAAAATGTAGCTAACAAATGTAGATTTACAGATTACTCTATCTCCAAATGAATAAACTTAAATTAATTTAGATTCACTTTTAGCAGACTAGGGTATTTAAAGAGATAATTATTAGTTTAGCGATTTATAACTTGTAAATGAAGAGAGTTTTGAAGAATAAGTAAGTGGTGAAATAAGAACTGAATATTATCGAGGCGATAGGTAAACATTATGAAAAAAGTTAAATTTAATATTTATTAATTTTAATATAAAAGAATATTGGAAGATTTAACTTTAGAACAGAGCTGTTTGTAGTCTTCTCAAGTAAATGATGATTATCTAATAAGCTATTCAATTGATTCTAATCTATAAAAACTTGATTCTTACTAATTTCCTTTGGTAGTAGGCTTCCAAAAGCATATATAAATTCAGCAAACAAAAATAAATCTTTTTGTTTCGACTAATAAGCTTTTATTTACGGAAAAATATGATGACTAACTTAAAACTTTTGTGTATGATAAACTTCATTTTTAGCAATGCCATAGCATTACTTACTTTAGTAAGGATACAAGCAATTAAGTTTTAGCAAAAACTTATAGATTTCTTGTTTTAGATTGTGATATTAGTGAAAGTAGCCAAGCATTTATCATAATTAATATTACTTCAGTTACTTAGATAGATGATATAAGTGATCGTATCATTTCAACTAGCAATTAATCATAAGTATGCAAATTTAGGTAGCTCATTACTATGGTCTTTTAGGTTAATGTGATTAATCAAATTTATAAAGATTTATTCATTTAATACTGTGTTCTAGTAAATAAAAGTAATTTATTCTTCAAAGCATTTTCTTTCATTTATTATTTAAGAATAATTTTCATTTTTGCTCATTTTTGGTTAAAGAGAATTTATAAAAAATGAATTGATTCCTTAAAAAAATGTAATAAAAATATTTTATTTTTGAGAATTTTTGAATAAAATTAAGCAAACTTGTATAAAAAATTATTTTAAAAATTTAATTTTATTTGTAAGTAACTTTAAAAAATATGACTTAAAATTTAAACATTTAATTGAATTTAAATTTAATAGCTGAAGAGCCCTAAGGTCTTTATATTCAAGAAGTTAAGGTAAATGATAATGGTTAATTATAAATAGAATACAAGCAATCAGTTGACATCTAAAATTTTGTAAACAATCCTATAGTTGCTGGTACAGATGTTACACTAACAAATATGTTATTCTTCTTTTTTGATAATGTTTATTTTCGTGCTATAGCAACATATTATTTATTGCTTGATAAAGAATTTAAACTTGTTCCTATATCTAACAAGAATGTTTATGGTAATAATTTTTCTACAGGAAAGTTTGTTTTGATGTTTAACACAAACCCTTTAGAGAGAAGAAATTATTTAATGTATACAACTTAAGAGTTAGAAAGCGATAAAAGCAATGATAATTTGTACATTTTGGATATAACCTAAGGTACGAATATATAGTATATAAGCAAAAAGATACTAATTCCTAATCATATAATTGATCAAACCCTTGTAACAAGAGATTTTATTGTAGTTAGAGGACACCTTAATTGTACTAATAAAAACATTATTTAATGCAAAAATCTACCGTAAGAAAACAATAATCAGTTTATTGCTATTTACAGCATTAAAGAAAACAGATATAACATTCATTTTTATAAGATCTATTAGACATCAAATTAACTACTAATAGATGGGTGCACTGACAATTATGTTGTCAATAATTTTATGATAATTGACACAGTAACTGGAGTTATAGAAATATATTAAATTAATGACAACTATCTTAAATTAGCTGCTGGAGAATTTACAAAATAAACAAGTAAACTGCTCTAATTTAAAGTAATAATTTAAACTTTTTTTGTTATAAATTCTTAAAATTTAATGATGCTAACTAGTTATTCCTCATATTTTTTTTTAGTGTGATAAAAAAATTATTTTTTTCCTTTAAAAAATGTCCTGATAAATAAATATTGGATTAAAGCATCAATAAAATATTTAAAAGAAGTGATATCAATTAAAATATTATTTAAATCAAAAGCTAAAATATAGTAACTTAATATAATAAACTCCAGATGAAGTAAATACGATGAGAATATTAATTACTTTTGCATAGACGAAATAGAGCATTTAACTATCTGATGATGGAGTAGAATTATTTCAAGAAAAGCCTATAAAGAGAGATGATTTATATTTTTAAATTAGCCTGGATAATATAATTTTAGGTCCTTAGATAGAGTATTTGTTAATAAAAGACTCTCATTAGAACTAGAAGTACCAAGCTACAATCAACAACTTCTTAAAGTATGATTTACTTTTAGATTTATCAGGGCGTTTCAAAGATATTCCATACAGAGTTATATTAACTCATGTGACAAATGCCAACTTTAATTAAATTTAAATTTTTACTGAATTTTGTGAAGAGAAGAGTAAAAAATAAAATTATTTAATTATTTATTTTTTAAAGAAATTTTAATTCATTATTATAGAAAATTATGATATCATGTATCACATATGCACTCTAAATAAAGAAAAATAAAATCAACCTTGCTAACGTTAATAATTAGCTAATGAATTAACTTTTCCAGTGAAATCTTTAAAGCTGGTAAATAAATAAATCATATTTAGAAATTACTTTTATTAATTTGAAGTATTCCTTCATTCATTTTTAAAAAAATTTAGTATTAATCTTCAAATTATGTTGGATTGATAGAGAAAAACGATGCTTCTCTAAACAATAAAACGCTTGTATTTTTTTATAATGATGGGAAAAACTACAAATACACTGAATTAGATATTGATAATATTTAAGATATTGATATGGTTGATTTACAGTATGTAGGAATATTGAGACCAAATCTTTAAGAAATTATTGTAATCTAAATAAATGTAAATCCAGATATAGATGTTGACTATGAATAAGAAGACAATCAAAAAAAAGGTTTTGGAAGTATAGTATCATATACTATTGTATCAAAGATAGATATTGACTTTTTTTATAAATGTAAGTTCTTAAGTGTAATTTTTAATTGAAATATGTAACCTTTATTGTTAATAAAATATAAAGAAATAATTAAATTCTCGATGAAATTATTTCAAACCAGATCAATTATTTTCATACATACAGATGATAATAAGATAAGGATTTAAGGAGTTTTTTGGAAAAAAGGCTACTCGAACTCCCCTTTTAGATTTGCAATGAATACAGTGAGTCAGTTATAATTAGAGGCATCTAGCACATGTCGTTTCACAGTTTTTAATTACCCAAATACTATTATAGTATGTGTGAATGAATTCGGTGAATCTTCAATTAGATAATATATTTTAAATTAAGAAAAAACATTAGCCTTTCAAAGGCAGTTTAATTTATTTTAGTATAAGATTGGCGAAAACTATCTTAGTTAATCCTACATAGATAAAGTCTTCTTCTACTAAAAGGCATATTATATCGATGTTGATCAAAGGACAACAATAGAAACTTTGCTTGTTTTCGACCCCTAAGAAATTTCAACAAATATCCTAAAAACAACAGCAAATTTAAATAACAAAATTTTTAACGTGCCATTTGATATAGAATCTACTTATGGAAGTTACATGCTATACAGTAATGGAGCAGTAATATTTATTTTCTAATAAATTTAACTATAGTTTAAATTATTAATTGACAAATACAAAGCTCTAATTAAGAAGATACACTTTACTTTTCGAATATTAAATAAATCTCATTTTATTAATAAATTTTATTTAAATCTAAAAAATTTTAAACATAAATTGTTCTTGTTCGTTGAAACCCTAAAATTAAAATTAAATTTTTGATTATTTTTATAATTTGAATAAATGTAATATTTTTTAAAAAAATTTTTTAATATTTAAATAAACAGAATAGTAACCAAGTGTAAATTGTGTCTATAAATAATAATCCTAGTTTAAGCTTTAATGTTATTCCTTCTCCTCTGGCAACTTATACAGAAGTTAATTTCAACTTAACTTTTTATGCTTTATCAAATTATACATAAAGCTCAATAATTCGTAACATGGAGATATCAACTAACATTAAGTAATTTATGATTGTGGGAAAATAAACATATAGTGGATGGAGAAGAGTTAATAGTGAAAACAGATTCGCATAAATTAATATCCCAGAAGATATATTTTCAGGACCTCTTAGAAAGATAGTCTTACTTAACACTACAGATATTCAACTTGTCAATGAAACTTATATAACTTAAAGTGAATAAGATTCTATTGATCCAATTTTGCAGGGAGAAGATATCGTCCTTAGAAATAGATATTATATAACTTTAAGCTAATTTATGATCCAGAGCTAATCAGATAAGGAAATGAGCTACGTTGATGTTTAAAAGAATTTGGGATAAATTATAGATTCTGCTTATAACTAATAAGAGGATCTGTTTGTATTTTTGACTCAAAAAAGTATTCTATTTATGAGTGGTAGTCCTTCAGACAATAGTAAGTATGTTTATGAGAATAACTTAAACAAACCAATTAATTATAATTATTCCTAATGCAATTTAATTCACCATAAATATTGGAATCTTTTTATAGTGATTTGTAAAAATTAAAATTAAAATTAAGATTATTATGAAATCCATGCATACAATTACACTTTAGGTTACGATACAACTTTAAAAAATACAGCAAAAAATGGAGGCTAAGAAAATGAGAATTCTTTTGAAGATAATTTTTAATTAAACAGCATTAGTAATATCTAATCCATAGATACATCAACTAGTGGAATAATTTAATAGACATATTTATCTTAAAATTAGAATACTCCTTAAAATATCGATTAACTTTTACTATTTACCTTGTCTAAGCTAGATAAAAATTTTTAAGAAACAGTTGTGATTGTTTCAAAAATAATAGCTGAATAGTTAAATACTAAGTTTATAATTAATGCAAATGCTTTAAATAGGAGATTTTTATATCTGATTGATTTTAGTGTTTTATAGTTTTCTTCTGAAATTGAGAAAGAAGATATGTTTTTGATATCATTACTTGCTAAAGATGAAATTATTTTTGTAATTTATAGCTAATAGAGATATATCTATAGAGCTTCATATAAAATTGCTGATTATTATGATTCCCCATATCAAACTATTGATTTGTATGATGTTAAGTACAATAAAAAGAATGATGGACATTATCTGACGATAAAATTTATTTTACAGTACTCAAAAAAAGATGCGATTTATGCTGAAATAGAAATGTATACTAAAGTTTTAACCGAAATACCTACTTAGTGGAATTTAAGTGATCCTAAAATAATTGAAAAGTATAGTCATTATAAAACATGCATAGAGTATTCTTCAAAACCTGTAGCATTTTGGGACACTGAAGATAAAAATCTATCACCAAAATACTTAGCAAGATCTTGCATTTTTAATTAGCTTCAAGCTTAATCTTCAATTGGATCTGAAACTACATCCAAAAGCTTTCACTTAATTCTTTATAGCAATAAAGAAGGAAAGCTCTAATCAACATAGACAGTTATTGAACTTCCCTTTTACAACTCTAGGCCCTCAACTATATTCTTTTATAATTAAATAATAGATAATCAGAAATAAATCCACATGTTAGTGACTAGCTACATCAAGTAATACATTATACTATTTAGTTAAAATTTATCAATTATCTACATCACTTTTCAAAGATCCCAATAAATAAATTTTTCCTAATATACAATTATGTTTAATTTTATTTATTTCGATAATTTTTCTTCATTTTAAAAAATCTTAAATAAAAAATTTAATTTGAAATAAAGAAAAATTAAATTAAACTTTATTGAAAGAATAAGAAAAATAATTTCTTTGAATTAAAATAAACAAATTAAAAATTAATAGAGAAACCTACTTTACTGAATGAAAATATCTAATTTAAAAGATAAAAATATTTAATAAAATTATTAATTTGTTATTAAAATAACTCTTTTTCTACTAAAATTAAAGAAAAAATAGCTTTAATTAAAAAAAAATCTATTGAAATTAATTTTTAAATTTGATTAAATCAATCAATACTAAAATGTATTATTAATAAAAATTAAGAGAATATAAAAATTTAAAGATTTATCTATTAAACTTAAATTTAAGAAGATTAATTGTTGTAAATTATAAGCAAAAATAAAATTTTTATTTTTTTAATTATATATTTAGATAAAATATTTATTTTAAATAAAATATCTTAATATTTTTTTAATTAATAAAAGCCTTTTCATAGATTACCTAATTTAGAATTCCTATAGCATCAATTTATATTTTAAAGATACTTAGTAGTATCTAATTAGTTAGAAAAGAATATTAGTTTAAGGTGAGAATGATCATTTTAGAAATTATGCTCCTATTGATTATTTTGTGATAGATTATATGATTCAAGAGAAGTAACAGAGATCTTATTTAATGCTTTATGTGAAGATTATCCTTTCATTAGGGATGTTAATTATATATTTAGTACCTATAATTTCTATGTATTTGCAAAAGGTAAAATGCTAGAGTAAATAAATATAAATGAAAGAAGATTTATCTCCTAGATTTTAAGTTATTCCCAAAAAGAAACTTTCAGATTTTGTAGATGACATTAGAAATTAGTCACCTGAAAACCCTAGTTTTCCATTTGAAAATCAAAGATATACATATGAACCACATATGAGTACACCTTCATAATATGTAATTAATAGTAATACAGATGATGATAAAGAAGACAGTGACAATGAATTATACTGATGATTTTAATTATAAAAATGAGTACATACATACAGAAATAAAATTGATATTTATATTTATAGTATAAAATTTGTTAGAAAATGAATATTTTATTATAATTAATTATCTTTAAAAATGATTGAATATTTACAGTTTATTTACCTATTAATTAATTTATCATTTTTATTGGTTTTGTTATGGATAACTTAGAGTTCGATTATTCATTTTTTATCAAAAATTGACATTGTACTCTTATCGTTTTTTGAGTAAAAGCTACTGTTATTGTTCATTTTCATACCCTAAACTATTTAAGTTTCATAAACTGCTTAAATAGCTTACTGGTTTCTAACTAAGTTTCTCATTATTATTTTATTTAAAGTGATGTCTCTTCTTGTTAAAACTTTCTTTGAAAGTAGTTTTTCCTAAAATAATAAAAAGTAATTTTTAATAAAACTTATTTTGTTAGAAATCTTTATTACGTTAGTGAATTTTTCAATTATAGTCAATGGTCTGTGATTAGAAGGACCTATCTTTGGTAGAGCTGTTAACTTTTTATAATTGTCAATTTACGAGTTTTGGGAGTCAATGAAAGTTGTTGTTCTTGTTTAATTGGCTTATTTTTATTGTTACTTCTATTATGCTATATGATTTTATTACTGAGCTTGCATTTTTTGAGCATATTGTTGCTCTACGATTGTCATCGGTTTTGTTTTCTTTTATTTATCTACCTAAATATTTGCATGCGAAAAAGGAGATAGACTTTAGGGCATACTTTATATATACTTTGGTGATTTTGTTTAGTTGTTGTTCCTCATTCCTAAGCTTTAGCTATTGTTTTGAAAAGCCGTTTTTTAATTATTATCAGAAAAGTTGTTACTCCTTCGAACATTAGTTGTAAAGCTGCTATTTAATAAGCTTTATTTTTTTTAAGTAGAAATGTTTAAATCCTCTATACTGCTTTTATTTAAATCCTTATTTCTATTTGTGTTTTATCCTGTAAGTTAAACAACTTTAGACTAGTCTTAATCTCTCTCTTCAATCATAGAAAGACTATGCATTCTTTTTTGGCCATTTACCAAAATGGATGTTCTGTGATCACCTAAATCAAATAGTAAGATATAATTAAATTAAAAATTTTAAATATTCTTTAAAAACCTTTCGATGGAGACTGAGATTAAAGCTATTTATTTGATTTTTTGGTATTTAGAATAGAGTAGTTAGCAGATGCAAAATTAGTGTAATTATTAGATCCTCCTGAGTTATGATGAGTAGCAGTAACTGCATTTACATTCATATTAGCAGGATTTATTTAACTTTAAGATAAATTCATATAAAGACCACTTTAGTTTGTTTAGTTTAGACTGATTAGACTAGGATTCATCATTACAAAGCTATTCTTTTTAAACTAATCTTCCTCAACAAAATTGACATTTCTATTACCTTTAGAGCTATAATTTAACCTAATGTTGCTTTAATATTATTGAAATTTTAATGTGTTGTAAAACTCATCAATGCTGATAATTAATCGATCTTATTTAGCAACTTTATCATTTATCTATTCTATCTAGCTTTGCTTAATACCAAAATGAAACTCCTTTATAAGAGATATCTTTCCATTATGTGAAATCAAAATATCTCCATCATCGCTAGCAAAATATGCTCCGCAGAGATTTTCATAAATATTGACTTAAGCCAGTAAAATCTTCTCCATATGCCATAATTTTACCTTTATTATTGATATAATAACCAAAATTAACTAAATTTATAGACCATAAATAGTTACTTTATTATCTTCAGCAGCAGTTAAGACATACTATTTGGCAGGTAAAAAATCGATTGATATGATTTTTGACTCATGAAAATTTCCCTCATCTGATTATTTACAAACTAAATCTGCGTCTTAATTCAAACTGAAAACTTCAAATTCACCATTCAAATTAAGTAAAAACAACTAGTCAACTATTATTTTAAAATATTCATAAGCCTTTGAAATAAAAAAAAAGTAATCATACAGCATGAATACATTCTTATATTCTACTTGAGATCGTATCCTTATATGCATTAAATCTTATTTTGATGGAATTTAACAACCTTACGAAATAAATTTAATTTAATTAGAATTTTTATTTCAGATTATTAAATTAATTTTATAAAGTTATTTCAAAAAATAAAAATGATAAAAAAAACTTAATATTTATAACAAAATTTATGAACAAAGAATAAAAAAATTAGTTTAAAAAATATTATTTTAAAAGATATTTTATTAAGTAATTAGGTTAATATAAAATGTTACCTTAATCCTATATTCTTCACATAATGAAACTAATAAAAAGTCTTGATGAGAACTGCTATAAACACTATCGATTTATAAAATCTACTCTCTATGAAAGCTAAAACGGGCATAAACCTTTTTCATATCATTTATATTCAAAAATACTATGCTTCCTTTGGAGCATCCTAAGGTCATCAATTAATTTTTAAGGAATAATTCAGTTAAATTTTCAAAGCTGCTTTCAACTTTTTCTTCATGTTCTCTTATCCTTATGTCATTAATTTCAACATCAATTTATGGAGGAAATGCCTAATTTAAAAAAATATATTTTTTTTTTTGAATTCCAAATATAAATTACTTTTAGAAACTTAATTGTAGTTGCTTTTTAATTCAATGGATGGCAATCAGCATCCATAATTTATTCTGAAGAATATGTATCTTCTACAATTCCAGTGTCTTTTTCTAGCCTATATCTGCAGATATCTCCTCCTTCTACGAGCATGTAGAAGATATTTTCTTCATAAGGACATGATATAATTTCAATAATATTATTGGATTTTGGAGGAGGATAGAAAACGCTTATAGGTATTTTGGATAGATCATGCAAATTTTCTTAGGTTTTAAAATATGGCACATAAATTGACATTCCACTGTTATTATCAAGGGTGAAAGTTAGATATTCAATATTTCCTGAAACTTTTCCTACATAGTAATTTTTATAAGATTTATCAAATGCAACAATATTTCCATAATGTTTGCAAATAAGCTCATTTTCACTAGAAATATTTCCTATGCATATTTCTCCTTCTTATTCTGCTATAAACTTTTAGTGATTTATCAACAAAATCTTGTGGAATGAACCTTGTAAATGGAAAGTGTACATGTTTGTAAATGTCTATTTATTACAAATATATTTTAAAAAATTAATAATTTTTCATTTAATTACATCTAAATTCCAAAGTCTAATCGTCATATCTTCTGAAGCACTCCTAAAAATCATAAAATAATCTCATGAAATTCAAATTTATCAAAATAAATAAAAAATTTACCAAAACATTCTTTTGTCTGTATGAAGAGTGAAACTATCTATTTATCTAGTATGGCCATCAAAGGTATGGATAATCTTTTTATTATTCGATAATGTCCATACTTTGATTGTACCATCATTATATCCACTCACAACATATCTGTATTCTCTCATAAATAATATTTCAGATATGCTTTTTTCTCTTTTTCCAAGATTTTACATTTTATATATAATATCTAATTTCTTCATAGAGTATATTACCAAGTCTTTCAAACTCCATATAAATAAATATTAGTCATCGTCTATTTCTCCCTTTCCTGTTATGAAATAACCCTTATTCCAGTCTAAGATTTGAGTTATTGATTACTAAATATAAAAGATAATTCACTATTTAATTAAATTATCAACCAAATTACACTGCTTATCATTTCGATTTCGAATTTAATGTTTGTCAAAAATTTTGACTAATGGATGTTAGTTGTTATACCCAATTTAACAAGCTCGATAGCTATAATTTAAAAATAAAAACATAAAAGATGAGTCTTCTTTATTTTTAGCTGCTATAAATTGTAATTCTAAGTAAATAAATTATACAGTCAACACCTATAAGTAGTATTTAGTCGCTTTCTTCTAAATAATGCATTCCTACAGAATACTTTGAATCAAATGGGAACTTATTTAGCAAATCAAAATTTCTCCTAAAAACATACAGCCTCCAATCCTCACACAACACCATATATACCTAATATAAAGGAATAAAATTAAAATAAAGTAATTGAAGCTTAATTTAATTTAAAAATCTAATTAACAACATTACTTTATATTTGTTAACAAATGTTGCATTTACAATTGATTTCTAATTTGTAAACTAATAAAAATTTAACTTAGCTGCCTCCTATTCCCTCCTATAATTGTAATCATACACAGTTTTACCATCATAAAGAATCAATTAACTATTTATAAGACGTACTTTTTATGGTTATGTTTATTAAATTATTATTATTGGTCAAAATAATATTTTATCGTTATATTTACAGAAAAGATAATTGTTAATATGCTTTACTTATTTTCAGGTTTATGCATTAGTTTTTAGTAGGAATTCATAGACCTAAATATGACTCTATGAGAAAATCCAACATTTATCTGTTTTTATGCTATAATATCTTCCATGATAAATATTTTAGTTCTATTAAAATATAAATTGCAAACTCTAACAATAAAATTTTTTCTTTTTGCTATATGATTGAAAAATTAATCAAAATTACAAAAGAAAAAGTTAATATATTAATTAACTACAATAATAAATATATCTTAATCATTTGATATTGATCATTGCTTTCAAATATTAAAAAATTTATATGATTTACTTATTGATGGTGATTAAATATTTATAAAAATAATAAATACTAATTAAAACCAGCAAATAGCATAAATTCATCTTTGCAAAACTGGTGCATATTTTAATAACAAACCAAATTTACAAATTTTATTTTAAAAAAATATTTCTTTTTATTTCAAGTATTTATTGCTTTGAATTTTTATATAATTTTACAAATTTTTTGAATTTTTAACTATTAATCAAACAAATAATCATTGGTAGAAGTTTTTACTTTATTAACTTATATATTTAAATTATAATTATCAAAAAGATAGAATTATGTTGGTAAAAATTTAATATTTATTTGAATTTGAGTAAATGATTGATTGCAATTATTGATATTCATGTTTTTCAAACTACATATTATTTACATTTTTGGCAAAAGTAAACGAACCTACTAAATTAAAAACATTTAATTTATATCTACTATCATCTTGAACGAATAAACCCATTTAAAATGTATTTTAAAAAATATATGCTTAAACATATTTATATAAAATTATGAGAAAAAGCATTTTATTTAATTTTAATTTTATTAATACACAAATATTTTTTATTAGAATACTTAGTAATAATTTATAATTTTTATATATTATTAAAATGCTAGAAATAAATTAAAATAAAATAAAATTTTAGTTATATATCCTTAATTGATTATGTCGAATATTTCCTTAATTTGATTGTATATTGTTATTGTTGGTAAATTTCAAGCTTTTTCTCATAAAGAAAACTGATTTTTTTTAAGAATTATTTTTTTCTTTAATAAATACAAAGAAAAAATATTACATAACATATAAATTATTTATTATTGCAAAATTTTTAAGCATTTTATTTATTATATTTTTCTATTATCATTCTAAAAGTTCAACTTATCTCAAAGCAGCCAAAATTTAACTTTTACTTGTTTCCATAATTTCTCCACCAATAATCATTTCATCTAAAATACCAAAAGCCTAAAAAATTTTAAATTTAAATTAAGCATAAATATAATAAAATCTTTTATATAATTATCATTATCTATCTCATTTACCTTATGGAAATTGTATACAATATCGAGTTCACGTACGTTGCTGAAGTAAGAATCTAAAACTTCGACAAATAAATGGATCATTTCAAGATATGTAAGTTCATTATCTGTAGTATCAACGCAAATTGAAAAGAACAGACCAGCATATCTCTTATAAATAATTTTATAGTTTCTGAACTATTTTAAAACAATAAATGATGATTAATTTTAATTGCTTCTTTTAGTCAAATAATATCTTTTTTTGAATTTATGATTATTTAATCCTAAATATTTTAAATGAAACACAAGTAAACTGCTAATAAATCTTTTGAAAGCTTTCACATTTATTGCAGATAGATTAGAATTATAAATTAATTATTTACTTCTAAGAAATTTGTGTGCTTTCTATCACGATAAACAATAATACGGTTAATTTCTCCTTATAATTTTTACTTTTCCTATTCATCATAGTCTACATACCATTTTGCGAGTCTAGTTTTTCCTTATCTGTTTTACAAGAGAATAAATCTAATCTATTTAATTTATATGATATTTTAATAACTATCTACATGTATTAATTTTTTCTGTTTGTATAATTCAAATATAATCAATCAATCAATCGCTTTATTTACCATTTTTATTGAATTTAGAAAATTTCCTTATTGCTTTATTTACTTTATTATGCTTAGCTTTCTTTGATAATCTGATAAATTAAATAATTGAAAAAATCAAACAAATTTTATTTATACATAATTTTTTATTTTAATGTTTAAATGCAATAATAAACCACTTTTTGGTTAGCCTGCTATCTTTTTCAATATTTCAAAACTTAGAATACATCAGCAAATTTAGGTTTAATATTTTTTTTAAAGATTCTATTTTTTAGTATTATTATTAGATATGTATGAGCTTCCTTTTTGTTTGTAAAATTCAAGAGAAATTTTAATTAAATTAGAAATGGAAATAGCCATTTAATTTATCAAAGTTTTGCGCTTTCACATTAAATCTATAATAAATTTTTTATTTAATTATTAAAAGTGGTAGTGTAAGAATCTTTAAATAACAAAAGGTGTTTATTTAATGATTAAAAAGCACCTGAATTTTGAGGATATCTCTTAATTAAATGCAGCCAATAATAATTATTTTTTGTTTTAAAAAGGCAATTAATTTATAAATTTAAAAGAAACCCATTAAAAAAGCAAAGAAAACACTTGGTTACTTAAATAAATTTAATAACATATATTTTTGAAATAATTAATATATATATATGTATATTCATTTCTACAAATCAAAGTTTAATGATGATAAAAGCCAAAAACGTGACCATATTCTGGACGTATACAATGATAGGCCTGATTTAACTTTTTTTTTTTTTAACTTACAAATATTTATGTTAATTCTATGCATTTATTTTTAATAAATCAGATTAATTTACTAAAATAAAAAGACATATTATAAATAAATTTTTCATTTATTTGTAGAAAGGTTTATCAATGTGCAAGTTTCAGACGAAAACATAAATAGGTGTATTTTGTTTGTTATATACAAAAGTTAATAAATTATAGATAAATATTTGGTTTTAATTATAGTATTTATTATTTAATTGGTATAATGTACTTAACTTAGCATTAATTATTTTTATTATTATAAGATATAAGTTATGATTAAAGGAAAGGAAGGATTTAAATATTTTTTTTTTGGTTCCTGAATGAATCAATAATATATACTATTTATAAGCTGCTGATAAGCTCTGCATTAAAAAAATCTTTACTAGAGTTGATTATTATTTAATTAGTAAATAAATAAATAAATCAATTATTTTAGTTTGTTTTTTGTTACTATATTGTTAGAAATTGAAGAATTTATTTATTTATTTCTCTTTTACTAGTCGACTTCATGTTATGTTTGCTTAAGATGCAAAATTTAAATTAAAAAAATAATTATCACATTTGATAGATTATTTTCGAAAAATGTTTGTAAAAATTTATTAAGCTAGCTTATCAATTACTAAAATTTTATAATCACCAAAAGAAAGAAAGAAAAAAAGAAAGAGTCAAGTTTTAATGCTTCCGATTTAAATTCATAATATAATTAATTATTCAGCTCATTCTAAATGCTCATTTTATATTTCTGAATGACTTAGTTTAGAATTAGAAAGAGATGATAACACATCGTTAGGATTTCTTTACTGGATGGTATTGAATATCTTACTATTTATAAATTATGAAAAAGAGATAAATATTTTTGTAGCAATAATTCATGTTGGATTAAGAATATTTGCTAGTATGAAATAATATGTTATATTTTTTTAGTAAATTAAGCAAAACAGATAGACAAATCTTAGACTTTTTCTAGCAAATAACTTAGGAGAAGATTTTAATATAGCAAATAAATAAATATTTAATTTACAATTAATTGTTGTCTTCTTTTAAATTTTAGAAATGTTGGTTCTTTTGGGCAATGTTCTCTTCATTTTCATCAGTTAAGTTCTATTTTAAAAAGTTATTTATTAAATTATTCAACAAATTTATAGTTTAATTTCTGTAAATTTCGTTTAATTTTCATTTCACTGGAATAATAAAAATTTGATTGGCAAAATGTGAATGAGTTTTGTTAAAGGGTAAATTTTGCTCAACAACATCAAAAAACTTTAATAATTTAAATCATTAATAAGCATAATTTTATTTGATTTCAAATTAGAAACTCAGTAAGTCAATCATTTTTCAATTATATTAATAGTAAATTGGAATAGGAACCACTTAAACAATTTATTATTAATTTTCTCTCTACTAGAAAAAAAGGGCGATTGAATGGATAAGGCAATCAAATTATGATTAAAAAATAGTTGCTCATCAAAGATAGCAAAAAGTATGCCTATAATCATATTAATAGGTGTAATGTATTAATCCTTTATAAATGATTTTTAATATACAGACATCAACTTTATCTATCATCAATTATTTTTAAAAGCGGGAATCAAAAATAGTAAAAAAATAAATAAGTCCTCTTTTTAATTAAACAAATTAGAAGAAAACTAGAATTGCTTTTGAGTTGTCATTAAATTTTCAAAGATTTTCGTTTTATATGAAAATTTTGTTAAGTCCTTTATTTAATTTATTAAAAAATAAATATATATATAGTTGTTTACTTCTTAACTATCTTCTTCCACTTCTTCGTCCACTTCGTTGATTGAGAACACGTCTTCCATTGAATTTTAGGTGGGTTCAAATATCTGAACCACTAAACCTACTTAGTATGTATCTACTTTTGTGGGTCTTTTTGGGCGATTATTTGTTGAAGTTTCTGAAGATTGACAATCCTTTTTAGATGTCAACTCATTCAAGTGAGATGTAAAATAAGTTGACTGCTAGTCCAAGTTATGTATATTATTTTTACACTTAACTGCTTCAGTCTTTTCCTCCTCGTCTTACTAATTCTCCGCTTGATTTAACATTTTTTAACATTCTACCTAATAGGATTCCTTATTTTCAGTTATATCAACACCTTTATCTTCTTAAATTTTAGCCACTTCTTATTAATTAGTACTCTCTTTATTATTAAATTATGCTTGATTATTTGGAGAATCAATTTTTTAATTGTTAGTCTTTTCTTCATTTTTTTAAATTTCTGAAATATATGCAGGCATCGCCTCGTTTCCAACCTATTAATGAGGTTTTAAATCTTGCTCATTTTAATTAGAGCCTTTGACATTTTTTGATTTTTAAGATTTACCAGCGCAAGATCCCATTTAAATATAATAAATAATGAGTTGTTTTATGATTTAAATTGAATGATTAGAAAGAATTTTAATTGTTTTTCTTTTTTTGATCAAAGTTAATTATTATATAATAATAGCTAAGTGCAATATTTAATATATATTAGCTATCTTTATTATATTTGTTTCTTTAACAATATTCACAAAATAAATCTAAAAGTAATAAAGCCACTTTGAAAAAAGCAAATAATGCCAATATTTTCCTAAGACATTGTTGTAAAAATTTAATAAATAAATACCAAATATTAACGTTAAAGAAATTAATTTTTAATTCAGAATAATTCTATATGAAAAGTATTCTATACAAATATAAGTTTGCATTTCTGTAATTTCTATTTTATAACTAAATTAAACAAAATTAATTTTTTTCCTCACTAGCTGTATTTTATTTACTGTCTAATAACTTTCTGTTTGAAGAATTATCATATATATCTTCTATTTCAATAATTTAAACAAAAATTTATTTATTTATGATAGAGTTTATTAAATTTTATATTATAATTTTTAAAGTCATCATAGAGAAAAAGTAATTTTGATATTTGCTAGTATCTTCAGGAAGTAATTAAAATAAAATTGAAAGTATGAATTTTATTACTCTAATCTATCTATCTATACTATTATTAGTTCTAAAATTGTATCTCTAAAAAAGATATAGATAAAATAACAAAGGTTGGCATGCATAGGTTATTATTAATAGCAAAAAAAAAAATTTATTCTTAATTTAGATTTATAATTCTAATTAAAAATTCTTTGATTTGATTGATGACTTAAAAACAAATAATTATGTTAGAAGTATTCACAATATTAAAAGTAAATTGCAGTAGATTAATATTGAAAAATTAAAAAATACTTCTCTTTATATAAAAATGTTTAATAGATTTTTGCTAAAAATTAAATATTATTTCAAATATTTAAAGATAATTAGATATTTTCGTTCTAACTATGTGTAGTCTTTATTAAAAATTGCTAGACTATAAATCTTACAGAATTTTATCATAGTGTATAATATTCCACATAGTTACAAGAGAGTAAAATTTTTTAAGTTAATTATTTTAATTTCAATTTTTAAATTTTATTCTGTTTATTTAAATAGCCTAAATTTCTTACTGCAGTAAGATTCTGATTTTCTTTCTCAGTTGCCTTAGATTTATCTCAAAAATTTCTTTGCATAATTATTGCGAGATAAAACAAAAACCTTTTTTCTATTATTTATTCTTTACCACTGGTTCTAATATTGATTTTCAATTATTTAGAATTAACATATAAAGGAATAAAATTTTATGATAGAATTATGAATTTCATTCCATTCGAACTAAATACTGAAGAAACTAAATAACTAGAACAATAATAAACTTAAGCAGAATTTTAAGATTAAATAAATGCTGAAGAAGACTTTGAAAAATAAAATTCACATTAAATTATTTGCTTTTAACAAAAAAATAATGGTTACAAATAAGCTGAATTTATTTCAATAAATCCCTGCCTTTACTAAAATTAAAATACACTAAATATAATGACAGGTTTATTTATAACAAATGATGGAATTTTAAGATTTTCAGCTTCATTAGATCCTATCAGCTTAGGATACTAGTAGTAAATTGTTTAGCTTGTAGAAGAAAAAAAGAATTTGGGCGTGATTAATATTCAGATGAGAAGAAATGAGAAATTCCATAAAAATAACATAAAAGATGCAATTAATTTTATGCAAAAAGTTTAAAATTGTGATTATAATAAAGTTTTTGCAATGCTTAGTAAAAATTACATGATGTAAGAGTTTTTGAATAGCCAATTAGCTCATATTAATATGGATAATTTATAGATTGAAAAAGATAAAGAATTTCTTAAGTTTATTAATTTTTGCTACAATTATATCGATTTATATAATTAAAATAATCCTAATTAAATGTATTGGTATTCCATTGGTCGCTTAAATCTTCAATTATAAGATTTAGAAAATGTATAAATGGGCTACTCCAAAGCATATCTAGAGTTACTAGGTCTAGATATTAACTCACTTTAACAGATATTTTTAAGAAATAAACAGGTAGACTTACTTAGCAAGAAAGAAGATATAACAAGTTAATCTATTTAAGCACTGGAAGTAATTGAGAAATCACTTTATGAAGAGATATATTAATCCAGTATAACGACTTTTGATGGATTTACAATTAAGATTATCCAAAAAAAGAGGAATTTGAACAATTTATTTAAGTCGAATTACATAATAAATAATTTAACTTGTGAGTATATTTTAACATTTACAGAAATAGATGTTGATATCTATGAATTGGAATAACTCATTGACTATAGGTAAAGGATTTCTCAAAATTGCTAAAAATAATAGTAAAACTTAGATGATTTGATTAAAAGAGAACTTTCTTTCCGTTTTGAAGATGTAGAATATTCTGTCTAATCTTAGAATTTTGTAGAAAAATATTATAATTAAAATATTTAATATCTCAAACAATAAAAATATAAATTTTAATCTACAAATTGATATTTTATCTAAAAAAATGAATAAAACATGCAAATTATAAATTATTATTAAAATAAAATGAAAAAATTATCTTCTATTTTTTAATAGCTCAAAAAACAAAATTTCAAAAAAAGTTTTTAAAGTAGTAAAAAAAAAAATTGTTTTAATCTACTCATAAATAATTACTATTTTATTGTCTCTTGTACCCTGCTACCGCTTACTAGCAAGTTAGTCTGTGATAAATCACACACTTTTCTGTGCTAGTTAATTTCTTTTAGTTTTTTTAAGGCAATATATTCCAAAACAGACATACTTCCTGAATTTGTGCTAATAGATAAGCTTCTTGGCTTGGCTAATATTTTTTAAATAAATTAAATTATTTGATTTTTATAAATTGATCTTATTCTTTTGTGTGAATAGTTTTAAACTTTTTAAAAAAAAACTAAATTATTTTTATTGATCAAATATAAGAATATTAAATTGTAAATTCTGTTGATTTTTTTTATATATTTTGCTTGATTTTACCATTCATCTTGATTGATTATTAAGCTAGAAGCAATTTTAATCTAAAAATAAAAAATTTGTTACTTATTTTAAAGAAAAATTTGTTAAATGTTAAAGTTTTAATTGATAAATTATTTTTATTTTTTTGTATTGGTCATATTTTACTTTATTAAATTATTTATCAAAATTAATCAAAAATAAATTTCATGTTTTCTTTAAAAATCATAGCTGATTTTTCTTCAAATTTAATTTTCTATCTTTATTTAAAAATTCATTTAGATCTTGTGCTTTTATTAAATATTTACCATTTTAAAAAATTAATTTCACATATTATTAATTGGTGAATAAGATATTTGGTATTAGATTTTTAATTTACTTAAATGGTTTAAAGTTATTAATAATTAATATATTTAACTTAATAAAAGCTTTTTAATAAATGATATGAATTATTAATTAATTAATTATAATCATTAATTAATTTTGATCAAATTAGATACCTAAAAAGAACATAATATAGTATGAATTAGAATAATTTATTACCACAAATTATTTAAAATAAACGCAAGTTATTTTAAACTTAAAACTTGATCAACTAAAATAAATGTTTAGGATAAACTATTATAGAAAAAGATATTTATTAGGAAGAATAAATTTATGATATTTAAGATATAATAAACTAATTTGATTGTTAATTAAACATATTCACAGGATTATCTATTACAAATGATGGCGTCATTAGGCTGTTTTCAAATATAAATTAGGTTTGCTTGGGATTTTAGTAATAGGATGTAGTTTAAATTCAAGATCTTATCAAATTAAATGTTATAAACATAGTATAATAAAGGAATAATTCTTTAATATAACATTCTACTGAATAGGCAATTAATTTTATGAGTTCTCTATCAAATTTCCCTTTTTAAATGGCTAGCTAATGCTTTAAAAAAACAGGCAAGATATTAAATTATATTAAATCTTTTATAGATTAGAGTTAGACTGTAGATTAATGCTATGAAGATTTTAAAAACGAAGAGTTTCAAAACTATACTAAAGTGTTTTTCTAATTTTTAGAGGAGTATAGTAAGCTTAATCCTTATTAAATGTACCACTATTAAATTGGTAGACTTAATTTAATATTAAGAGATATGGAGTACTATCACACTGGATACTCAAAACCTTATTTGGAGTTTTTAGGAATGGATTATGGATCTCTAAGCTAGCTTTTACTGAGAAGAAAGAAGGTTGATTTAGTAAAAGATAAGTAAGAAATCACAAATATAAGTCTATAAGCTTTATCAATAATGTACTAGTCTAATGGAGAAGAGTAATATGAATCTGAAATAACAACATTTGATGGCTATCCAATTAAGATAAAGCTTATCAAGAAAAATTACACCAAATTATTTGGAATCCAAAATTTTTTAGCTGACGAATGCGAATATCAATTCTTAGTCACAGAAATAGATGTAGATTTAAAAGATTTACAGCAACTAATCCAATACAGAGAAAAAATTTGTTAAAGATCAGAGTAAATAAATATATAAGATTTTTTGAGAAGAGAGCTCTCTTACCTATTTGAGGATGTAGAGTATACTATTGATTCATATTATTTATTTGAAAAATTCTATTCTCAAAATATAATTACACTAAAATAAATTGAATAATTTAAAAAGAAAGATTTTTCTAAAATATGTGGATACAGACAAATATTATCTTGAATAAAAAACTACTTTTTTAAATGAAACAATCCTGTATTTAACAATTAAAAAAATATTTTATTTACTTATGCTTAAATAAACACTTTAAATAAAACTGAAAATTTAATTTGGCAAATAGATTAATAAAAACTTATTAAATAATAATTAATCAATTTAATTATATTTAAATTATGAAAATCAATCTAGCGTTCTTAAAATTAATTATATCAAGTGAAATAAATTCATTATAATATTTCAAATATTAAAATTTAAGTTATTAAATAACTTAAAAATATTTATTAAAAAAAAAAAAAATTTAATTATAGTTCTTAAAAGTAATTATATAAAGTTAAATAAACTCTTTAAATATGTCTAAAAAAAAAATTTTATTACTTAATAACTTAAAAATACTTATTAAAAATGAAAGAATTTAATTATATTTAAATTATGAAAAAGTTCTTAAAAGTAATTACATAAGTTAAATAAACTTTTTTAATATTTCAAAACATAAAAGTTAAGTTACTAAATAGCTTTAAAATGTTTATTAAAAATGAATGAATTTAATTATATTTAAATTATGAAAATCAAACCTTCATAATAGCACAAGTAATTATATAAAATTAAATAAAATCAATAAATATTTCAATACTTAAAAGTTTAGTTACCAAATAAATAGCTTAAAACGTGTAAATTAAAGACATATCAATTTTAATTATATTAAAATTATGGAAATTCTATATTCTTAATATTAATAGTACCAGTAATTATTTAAAAAAGAATTTATTTGTTTATTTAATTATTAACTAACTTAGTAAATTTAATAGTTTTTTATTAAAAAAAAAATTTATGATATTAATGGATAAGTTTAAATTTTTAAATTTTCTTCAAATTATTTTTTTATAATTTGTCATAATTTATTTAGGTCACTTAAAGAAAATAATAATCAAAAATATTTATTTTTCATTAAATTTTATCAGAATTTTTACACTTACAGTAAATAGAGATTCAGTCCTATAAAAACTATTCTAATTAATATAATGTTTCTTAATTTGGTTTTTGCATACATAATTTAGATAATTTTTATTAAACAATATATCAATAGATTTATTTTACTTTGCGATCGTATATTAGTGTTATGGAATAAGAATTTAATTTATAATTTGTAGATTTTCAATATACTCCTTAGCAATTTGAAAGTTCAGACACAGAGGAAAGCAAATAATAATAATAAAGTACTGATTATAATTCAGATGATTATTTGGAAAATTCTTCTAAGCAGACATAAGCTAGAGATTTAGTTGTCTAAAATAAATAGCCAAATTGGAATTATGTTTATATAAATCCTAATTTAAATGATTTCAACCAAACATTCAGTTTGTTTAATGGGTTCACAGTAACTAATGAAGGAGCTATAAGATTTAATTACATTTTAGATTAAGTCAGCTTCGGATATTGGCAATAAAAAGTATTATAAGTAGCAGAATTACATAAATTAGGTATTGTTGACATATCATATTCTAGAGATAAAATGTATAAAAATAATTAATATTCAGAAGCTTTAAACTTCTTAAAATATGTGCCTAATTTAGATTTTCAAAAAGTATCAGCCGTATTGACATAAACAGAACAAGTAATTAAAGGACTAAAAGCATTTTTGTAAAGTGTGGTTCCAGAAGATATGAGAGATGTAAAAGATTTAGAGTATTAGTTATACTTGAAACATTGTTTTACCTACCTAGAATATTTTTGCTAAAATAACCCAAACTAAATGTTTTATTATGCTATATTACGTTTTAATTTGCATGAAGGTGACTCAGAAATAGCTCATACAGGATACTCCAAGTCATATCTTCAATTATTAGGTATTGAAAGCAGCTCTCTCAGCTAGATAATCATGAGAAATAAGAGGGTAGATTTGATAAAAGATAAAGTAGACATTTCTTTGATAGGATTATAAGGAGTGCTTAACATGACTGCTAATTTAAAAGAGGAGTACTATGAATCCTAAATTAATACATTTGATGGATTTCCTATTAAACTAAAATTTAAAAGATAGCATGTCAATCATGGGTTTGAGGCAAATAAAATACCTTTAATTGAATGCTAGTATGGATTTGTAATTGTAGAAATAGATGTAGATATGTATGATTTGTAATAACTTATCGAATATAGATAAAGGTTAATCTAAAACCAGCTAAATTATGAGGACTATTTGAAAAAAGAATTATCTCTTCTTTATGAAGATGTTGAATATTCAGTCTAATCATAAATTTTCATAGAAAAGTACTATGTTTAAAATATTGAATAATTAAAAGAATTAAAATCTCAAAAACTTAAAGATAGATACCAATACAATTATAAAATGCTTACCATGTGAGAAATTCTTTTCAAAAACTAACATTTTTGTACAATTTTTATATGAAAAATGTATAAATAACTAATAAATATATTAATCAATATATTTAAAAAAGAATTTAATTACTCAATTATAACAATTTAAATAAAAAAAATAATCAAATATTAATCAGATTGTTTTGTCCACGAATTATTCATTTTTATGCAAACCTAAATCAAAACTTTTACTATTTATTTATTTTATGGTTTAGATAATTAAATAATTGTTTTAACTCATTTTAGATTTTTATTTGAAAAATGCAAGATAAACTAAGTAAGTAAGTAATTATTTAGGTTTCTTTTATTCTAATGAAATTTAAATATATTAATTAATAGATTAAAAAAAGAATTTAATTACTCAATTATAACAATTTGAATTACAAAAATAATCAAATAGTAATAAGATAATTTTGATCACAAACCATTTTTATACAAACATATATTAAAAATTTTACTATTTATTTATTTAGAACATTATTTAGTGGTTTAGATATTTAAATAATTGTTTTAAATCGTTTTTAGATTTTTGTTTGAAAAATTTACAACTAATTAAGTCAGTAATAAATTCGATTTCTTTCTATTATTCTATTAAGTGTAAATATATTGATTAGTAAAATTAAAAAAGAATTTAATTACTCAATTATAACAATTTAAATAAACAAAAAATAATCAAATAATAATTAGAAAATTTAGACCACAAACCATTATTAAACAAATAAATATCAAAAATTTAACTATGTATTTCTTAAGTACATTATTTTGTGGTTTAAATATTTAAACGTTTGTTTTAATACATTTTTGATATAATTATATGTAATTTTTAATAAGAAAATTGTACATTTATTTAAATTTCTTTCTTTATCTGTTAAATTAAATAAAAATATTTTTTTATCAATAAAAAAGCTATTATATTGACAACAGTAATTCATTTAAAATTTGATTACTATTACTTTAAAATATAAAATAATTAGGATTTAATCAGTTTAATTATTTTCAAATGATTGAATTAGTGAGGCTATGAAATTTTTATAGTTAGTTTTTCTTAATTGTTAAACATAATTTGATTTAATGTTTGGGATATCAAATAATTCTGGAATAAAGTTAATTGAAATACCTATTTTTATAATTAATTGATAATTAAAGGCTGACTAGAAGCTTAAATCTAGATTTTTTCTATAAGGAAATATGAACATTCTGTGACTGTAAATGAAAAAAAATGAAAAGAAGACTTTATTAAAATTTAATTTCTTTAACTTCTTTAAAAATATGTGTAAAATCTTTTAAAATCTGATACAAAAAGATGAGTGGTGATAATAACTTACAAATATAATTGCTACTTTTTGGTACAAATTCTAAATTGCTACAATTTTTTTAATAAATAATTAAAAAATAATAATAACTTCTCAACATAATTTATCTAAAAAATTTATATAAAATATGGAAGTCAATAACCCTTAAAACTAAAATGGAAACTAAAGTAATGGTGAAATGGATGAATCATTTCTATTATATGATATTGAAAACATATTTGACTCATAAAGCTATTCTAATTGTGATAGAAATAGCGCTTAAAATAAAGATAATTCTTACAGTGATTAATAAGTAAATGAAGTGCGTGTATCTAATTGCAAAGTTTAAAATAAAATGACTAATTTTGTTATTAGACCGTTTTTATATCCATAGGAATTTTAAATTGATCTTTTTACTGGAGTTTACCTAACCCAAGATGGGATTATTAGATACTTTCCATCTATTTTACCTGTTTATTTTGGCTTTAATCAATACGAAACATCTCAAGTTTAAAATTATTCTTCTAGCTCTGGATTTATAAATATTGACTAATTTAGAAGAAATATACAAAATGTGACTTAATATGAGCAGGCTATTTAATACATACAAAAATTTCCAAATATTTAGTAATAATTTGCAGAATAAGTATTGACTAGGTTTGGAACGGTTATGAATGCACTATAAAAGGTATTTTAGAAATAGAAATATACTGAAGCCTTTTTAAATTTTAAAGATGATGAATTTTAAAAATTTTAATCAATGTGCATGAGCTTTTTAGATGAATTTCATAAATAAAATTAAAATATGATGTTTACTTACTAGATTTTGAGACTAAGTTAGAAACATAAAGATATAGATATTTCTAATTATGGATATTCAAAATCTTACTTAGATTTATTAGGAATAAATCCAGAGACACTTTCACAAATAATTCTTAGAGGAAAATAAATAGATTTAATACATTAAAAAAATGATATTACAAATCAATGTTTGGCTTCTATGTCAGGATTAGGTACTAAATAAGAATGCCACATATGCGATATTACTACTTTCGATGGATTTCCATTAAAGATAGTTTTAAAGAAAAGAAACTACGGATAAATGCTCATGAATAGCTAAATAATTGAAGGAGAGCATGATTATTATTTTGTAATAACAGAGATAGACGTGGATTTATATCATTTGTAATAACTCATAAATTATAGATAAAGACTAGGGAAAAATTCTATATTATCGTATGATGATTTTATAAGAAAAGAGCTTTCTTACCTTTTCGAAGATGTAGAATATTCAATTCACTCTCAAGCATTTATCGAAAAATATTATAAAGAAAATACTGAATAACTTGAGAAACGTAAAATGTAATGCTGCTATAAATATGTAACTAATTGACTAAAAACAACTAACTATTTTAAAATAAAAACAATATTATTTATAATAAATTTCGTTGTCAAATAAACATAGGTGAAATAAATACAAGGAATTTAAATAATATAAAACATACGATAACTAATTAAAAATAAATTGTTTATAAATTATGAATCGACCTAAGAAGCTCAATAAAAGTTATCTTTATAAAAAATATTTATTAATTTATATTTTACTAAAAATATTACAATTAAATTTGACTAAATTTCTTATTTTTCGCAAATGATTTCTTAGCAAACTATTCTAAATGTGATCTTCATTATCAATAGAATATTCTCTATATAAATTTTATTATAATTAAATAAGTATTTACTGAAAATTTACCTTATATTTAGAATCAACATATTTAAATTTAAGCTATTTCTAAGATTTTCTACTATTTGCATCTCTTCTTAAACACTTATTTGATTCTCACTTTTTTAAGCAAATTTGATATTTAATTTTTAACTTACTTGATGTATATTTACAGTAATGAAATATTAAAATTTTTTAAGCACTAACACTTTCCTAATTCTATGAATAATCTGAAAAAGTCTTGCCCCTTTAGTTTATTTTTGCTTAAAAATATTGTTAAATTTGTAAATAAATAATTGATAATATTTCTGTATAAATAAATTTAAAAAATATAACAAGGTATTTCTATTTAAAATAAAAATGTTACTTCAACAAAAGACTTAATGAATGTAAATCTTATTTTTGATCTACTGACTCAGTTAAGCAAAACAAATGTAGACTATCGATCTAATTATTACTTAAAAATCTAATATTATTTATTATTCATTAAATTATAAAAAAATAAAATTACATTAAATTTAAATACAAATCTTTTAAATTTTTAGCTAATCTAATAAAATTGCAAATGCTTTCAAATGTCTCTTTAGCTAATTTTGTTTATCTAAAATTAAATGTTAATTTTTTTTTAGACTTAAAAAAATAAATTACTCAAATTCAAATTTTAGTTTGACTAAAGATGTAAAAACAGGATAACTTATACCCTAATCCATTTTATTTTCAATTTCAGCTATCATTGATGTTGATCTATGATAAAAAAATTAGCTATTTATTATATTTTTAAAATTTACTCTGTATTAAGACTAAATGATTCTAAACTTAAATTTATAATTCCTTCTATTAAACCAGAAAAATCTAATTCTTTTACTTAAGTTTTACTAATTTTTTATGAAATATTTAAATTATCAACCTTTTGTACAAAAAATATTCACCTTATATTTAATTCTAAGTCTTTTAAATCGCTAAATTAGTGCAAGTTTAATCTAAGATAAGACATACTTTAGTTTGTTATTAAAGTGTTACTATTTCAAAATTACAAAAATAAATGTTAAAATTTTATAAATATTTTTAATGGAATAAATAAATATCTATAAATATTGATTAATTTAAGAATGACCAAATCTAATTTAAGACAACAACAATAATATTTTTCTTACCTCAATTATAACTTAAGAGAATTTAAATTCTTCTTATGTAAAAGTTCTTTTGCTAAGGCAATAAAGGAGAAATCATTAAATTCGCTAAAACTAAAAAAAAAAAAATTTTTTAACTGAATAAACATTTGCATGTTTTAAGTTTGTTTATACCAAAATAATAAAGTAAGAAACTTAAGATTTTCCATTTTTGTTAAAGCTAATCCTAATTTTTCTGACTACTTTTCTTCAATAATGCAATTGCTAGTTTAATTTAAAAATAGAATCAGAAAAGTTAATTTTGTTATTGTCATTTTTTTATAAAAACTATTGACTTTAAATTATTTTGAATAAATTTTTTAAACTATTTCTAAAAAAACTATTTTAAAAATTAGAAACAATAATCAAGATAAATTAATTGAATATACTTTAAGCTTAATTCTAAAATCATCAATTTAGAACACAGTTTTAAGCTATTAATAAGTGACGATATACCTTTACTATTCAGAATGTACACTGAAATATCAATCAGATTTTAGAAGTCGCTCTAATTTATCTATTTAGCAAAAGATTAATTAAAGTTTTTAAAAAATATATTTACTTCTTATGCACTATAAAATTCAATTTTATTTTTCATTTTTTATTAATTTTATGATTGGATTAATTATTATAATTATTTAATTTTGATCTATTTTTTTTAAATGATTTTGATAAAGTATTAAAATTTTGTTATCTATCAGAATTTCTAATATGAAAGAATATCTTATATCTTTATTTTTGTAATATTAATTGACACTTTTTTTTAAAATCATTCAAAATATTTTTTATTTTCTAATAACAAATAATATATTAACTTACATAAACTTTTTTAATTTAATAAAAACTCTTACTTTTTGATTTAAAAAACACCATAATTCCTAGCCAATTATTGTTTTGGTCTAAAATAAACACATAATTATGGAAATATGAAATATTTGATAAAATAATAAATTTTATTAATATTTTGTTGACTATATAATTAAGAGGTTTAAAAGTAAATATAATAATTTCTATTTTAAACTCTCATTAATGAGAATAAACTTGTTATTATTGCTTTATTTATTAATTATTAAAATTATTTTATAATAAAAAATACAAAAAATTTATTTTAACCAGCCAGATTTAAGTATGTATAATTCAATATTAAAAAAAGAAAGAGACCATTCTTTACTGCTGAAACTATTAAATTTTTTTAAATCATAAATTTGATTAATTCAGATAAAGAATAGAATATTTATAAAAAATACAATATAATACCTTTTTTCTAAACTCGATTAAATTTCTTTTAGAAATAATTATGATGAAATCTATTAATTTAATTCTAGAATGTTCGATATTTGAAAATCTTACATTACATTAAAATGAGTTTCAATTATATTCCTAATCTCTCTAAACTAATTTCTTAGATATTAAAGTAAAAAGAGCACATTATTTATTATCTAGGAATTAAAGTAGAAAGAAGATTTAAATTAAATATAACTAAAACTTAATAAAAAAAAAATTTACTTGAATAAATTGAGTTCTGAAATTTTGTTTGAATGATTGAATAATATTTTCAAAATAATTTCATGATTACAGAAAATTAAGATTTTACAACACACAATAGTTCATCTTCAATCCAAGAAACATAGTAATTTGGGGATTAAATTTAGAATATTAACCATTAAAAAGAGAATAGTTTTAAGAAATAATAAAAAGAAGAAAATAGTAAATCTTTTAAGTAAATATAAATAGTAGGAATTACAACTCAACCTTTAATTTAAGATACTTATATTAATTTTTCTTCTGAATTTATACTTACAAACGATGGAGCACTCAGATTCTTTCTTTCTCAAAACTGGCTAAGCATCGGATTTTAGCAAAAGAAAATTGCTAAGGTTAAGGAATTAAAAAATTTAGGAGTAGTTTAAATTTTATTTGAAAATAATGGTTTATAATAATATTTCATAATGGAATAAGCCTTATAAATAATTTAAAAAATTCCTTAGATCTAGTACGCTGTTGCTGAAAAACCAATATAAAACTTCTACAATTTAGCATATTTTTTAAAAAATGTTATAAAGAATACAGATGAATATATTTAAAATTTAAGAGAGTATGAGTTTTTATAGTTTAAGAATGTATGCTATAATTTTATGAAGCAGTATACCTAATAGCAGAGTGTAAGTAAAATGTATTCATACTCATTAGGAAGGTTGAGCTTACAATCAAAGGAAATTGAAACAATCGAAATGGGTTACTCCCAAGAATATTTGGATTTTTTGGGTATGAGCTATGATAATTTAAGTCATATAGCTATGCGTAAATAAAGAATAGATCTTGTATAAAACGTTTAGGACATAACAAATTAATCTTTATAAGGGATTTAGAAAATAAGTTAGTGTGATGATGAATAATATGAATATTATGAGTCCGAAATCGTGACATTTGATGGATTTCCAATAAAAATTTATCAAAAAAAATGCACTTTTTGTGAATTATTTAAGCACTAATAAACATATGGAGTCGATTAAGAATTCTTTCTAGCAATAACAGAGATAGATTTTAATTTGAAAGATCTTCAAAATTTAATTTTCTATAGGCAAAGAATTTATGAAAATAATTAAAAATTGAGCATAGATGATTTCCTAAGAAAAGAGCTTTCATATAAATTTGAGGATGTGGAGTATTCTGTTCACTCTCAAACTTTTGTTGATAAATATTATAACGAAAATGTAGAATCATTAAAAAGACTCTAATAAATGGATGAATTAAACCATCTTCGCTGTAAATTCAGATACATAGATAAAAACACCAACAATAAAACAAATATTTGAAAAGATACTTTATTTAAAATTTTATAAATTAAATGTTAATTTATTAAAACTGATTATTCAAATTTTACTTATTAATTAATTTTTTTGTACTTTTTATATAAAATTGAAACACTTTCTTGAAAGAATTAAATAAATCTTAATTATCATTTAGAATTATTCAAAAAATGTTCCAATGTATTTGTTAAAATGTTTTTTATTAAATAATGATTTATCTAGTTAGTATATATTATTAAATATAGAATAAAAAATAATTGAATACTTTTAAATGCTTTAGAATATATAAATAATAACCTACTTTTTATTAAAATAGAAATTTTATATTAAGGAAGAAAAATAATAAATAAAAATAAATCCAAATATAGTATTGTAGGAAATCAACATATTTAAAAAAAGAAAAAAAAATCATTGAAAATATTTGTTACACTGCATATGTATTCTATTTGTATGTAGCCTTGAAAAAGACAGTACCCTAGGGTGCTATACATATATATATAAATAAATACTAAATAAAACCTTTTTTTTGTGTCGATTTAATTTCTTTTAGAAAAAAATATGATTAAATCTGTTGATTTAATTCTAGAACATTTGATCTATGAAAATCTTACATTATATTAATTTAATTTGTTATAGAATAAAGTAAAAAGAGCACATTATTTATTATCAATAAATTAAACTAGAAAGAAAATTTCAATAATAACAAAAAATTTGAATAAATTGAGCTCTGAAGTTCTGATTCAATAATATTTTCAAATAATTTTATGATTGCAGAAAGCTAAGATTATATAACATATAATACTTCATCTTCAATCCAAGAAATATAGTTATTTGGTTAAAAATTGACAAGTTTTAAGAAATAACAAAAAGAAGAAAATAGTAAATCTTTTAAGTAGATATAAATAGTAGGAATCACAGCTCAGCCTTTAATTTAAGATACATATATTAATTTTCCTTCTGAATTAATACTTACAAACGATGGAGCACTGAGATTCTTCCATTCTCAAAATTGGCTAAGCTTTGGATTTTAGCAAAATCATATTGCTGATGTTAAATAACTAAAAAGTTTAGGAGTAGTATAAATTTCATTTGAAAAGAAAGGTTTATAATAATATTTTTAAATGGATTAAGCCTTATAAATAATTAAAAAAATTCCTACTATCTAGTATGCTTCTGCTGAAAAACTAATATAAAAGTACTACAATTTAGCATATTTTTTTAAAAATGTTATATAGAATACAGACGAATATATTTAAAATTTAAGAGAGTATGAGTTTTTATAGTTTAAGAATGTATGCTATAATTTTATGAAGCAGTATACTTAATAGCAGAGTGTAAGTAAAATGTATTCATATTCATTAGGAAGGTTGAGCTTATAATCAAAAGAAATTGAAACAATCGAAGTGGGTTACTCCCAAGAATATTTGGATTTTTTAGGTTTGAGCTATGATAATTTAAGTCATATAGCTTTGCGTAAATAAAGAATAGATCTTATATAAAACGTTTAGGACATAACAAATTAATCTTTAAAAGCGATTTAGAAAATAACCAGCTGTGGTAATAAATAAGATGACTATTCTGAGTCCGAAATCGTGACGTTTGATGGGTTTCCAATAAAAATTTATTAAAAAAAGAATATTTTTAGTGAATTATTTAAGCACTAATAAACTTATGGAATTGATTAATAATTTTTTTTAGCAATAACAGAGATAGATTTAGATTTAAAAGATCTTGAAAATTTAATTATGTATAGGTAAAGAATTTATGAAAATAATGAAAAACTGAGCATAGATGATTTCCTCAGAAAAGAGCTTTCATATAAATTTGAGGATGTGGAGTATTCTGTTCACTCTCAAGCTTTTGTAGATAAATTTTATAATGAAAATGTTCAATCATTAAAAAAACTCTTATAAATGGATGAATTAAATCATCTTCGCTGTAAATTCAAATACATAGATAAAAATACTTACAATAAAAAAAATATTTGAAAAGATAATTAATTAAACATTTTTGAAGTTAAATGCTAATTACTTAAAATTGATTATTCAAATTTTTACTTATTAATTTATTTATTTTATACTTTTTTATTAAAATTCTAACACTTGCTTGAGATAATTTAAATAAATCTTAATTATCATTATTTAGTCACTTTAAATTTTTCTTTAGGTTGCAAATAGTTTTATTTTATTATTTTTAAATAGTTCATTATATTTTTATCAAAAAGTTTTTAAAGCTAAAAATCATTTTTTTCTCAATTTTATTTTCATAAAATCTGCAAGTCAAATTGAGTTTTTAGAGTTTAAATATGTTTTTGAATTGCAAACAATTTTATTCAATTACATCAAAATATTTAATTGTACATTTATTTATTCTAATAGATTCTAAAAATAATTTTTGTATAAATTTTTGTTTAATATAAAAACTGTAAGCGAAATTGAATTTATAGAAACAACAAAATAAATAATTATATATTTATTTTATGGATTTGTAAATAAATACAGAAAACAAATTGTAAATCAATTATTTTTTTGTTTATTTAATTTTAGTTACAAGATGGAATCATTTTTTTAAACTTAGTTGATTGATTTGAAATAAAACTAAAGTTTTGGAGTCTCTTAAAGGATAAAAAAATTGTATTAAAATTCAAAAACTATAAAAAATGATACTCAAAAACCTAAAAGAAAATATTAAAAGAAGAGAAATCTAGTTGTTGTGCCATTAGACAACTATTATTTATAGCTATGTAGAATCTAAAAACTCGATAATATTACTTATGTGTGTAATGATGGAATATTAAGATTTATACCTTCGATTGGATAAATTAGCTTCAATTATTTATTGCAACAGGCTGAAAAAATAGAAGAGAACAGCAATTTAAATGTAGTTAGCATTGTGTATAAAAAACAAAATCTAATTTAGATTGATTCTTTGGAAAAGATTATGGATTCTATTTGCAATATTCAAGGAATAACCCGCGAAGAAATATTAAATTTGTTATATGATTACTCTAATTTAATAAATGATAATTTATAAGCTAACTCTGATGAGTTAAATGAGCAGTTTTATAGCAAATTGGATGAAAATTTCACTGAATTTTAATAAAAGTGTACTTCTTTCTTGACTTAATATTAAATTAGTAATCCTAGTTCTTTGTATTTTTATTCGATAGCTCGATTAAACTTAGAATCAAAAATGTATGAGACAGCTTAAATAGGATATTCTAAAGGTTATTTAGATTTATTAGGTCTAGATGTTAGCTCTATATAGTAAATCTATCTGAGAAACAAAAAGATAGATTTGGTTAAAAATTAATAAGATATCTGTATGCAAGCATTAAGAGGTTTATCCAACGTAACAGGAAGGGATAAAATGTTGATCTATGAAAACTATGAATCTTTTATCACAACATTTGATGGTTTTCTATTGAAAATTTACTAAAGAAAAGTAAACATGTGTAATAAAGTAAAGCCAATAATATATCATAAGCATTAATTTAATTTAACTCTAATTGAGATAGAAGTTGATTTCTAAAGTTTTTAAGATCTCTTAGAATATAGAAAAAGACTGTCACAGTCCTCTGAAAACTAAAAATTTGATGATTTTATTAGAAGAGAGAACTCCTACCTTTTTGAAGATGTTGAATACTCTATTTAATCTCAATAATTTATAGATAAATTTTACTCATAAAATGTATAAGACCTTGAATTAATAAAACAACATCTAATACAAAAAGAAAAATAATGTTGCTATCGAATAATAAAAAATTGAAAATTTATTAACAAAAGATAAGATGATCTTAATGGATATTTTGCAAAAAAAAATAAATTATTTCCACATATAAAACAAAATTTTTAATATTTTAAATAAACTAAGTTTATATGAATGTAGATTTTAATCATATTTTTATAAAATTATTCATAGATATTATTGATTGAATTAATTTTAAATAAATTTATTTGAGGTGTTTTTATTAAATAAATGTAATATTATTTTAATTACTTTCAATTCATTCATTTAGTAAATATATGAATAATGAAAAAGTAATATTTTGTTATGAATTTTAAATTAATTTATAAAACAAATTAAATTTTAAGAAGTATTTAAGAAATAAAAATATAAATTTATTAAATACTTTTTTTAACAAAAAGATAATTAAAAAAATTGTAATAAATAAAACTTTATAAATTCTAGAAATAATTAGATCGCTAATAAACCTTGATTATTATTGCAAGGATTTAGATACCCTGCTAAAGCAAATTTACCAAGCATATGTCAGAATTTGTCAAAATTTACAATGTTTTAAAAAATATTACATTTCATTAATTTTTGAATTTTTTTTTCTATTTCTTTGTTATAATTTTTAGAAATAAATAAATAACCAACAATAATTAATTAATAAATTAAAGTAAAATTTTGCAAAAATGTGCGACTCATTAGATTCAAGTTAATTAATATCAAGTTTTAATTAGACTAGCGATACAAGTAGAGAATTTCTTTAAGCTCTTAATTAGGATAAATAGGATAGCGAAAATGATAAAAATAATAAAAAACTTATTTGTAAAAGCTAAATCAAACAGGCCTAAAAATATCAAGCCAGGATAGAGTTATTTAATAATCTGTTAAGCAATAATAATGATAGCATGCATTTGTTTGTAGGGCTATAAATTACTCCAGATGGAGTAATGAGATATAACTATTCTACAGATTATCTTTGCTTTGGTTATTCTTAGCAACAAATATTCAAAATAGTAGATGATAAAGACTTAGATATAGTTAACATAGTTTATTAGAGAAACTGTAAAATATCTTAGACTAGCTTTGATGAAGCTTTGGCTACTATCTAAAAAATACCTAACATTCCATATGAGTATGCAAAAAACGTTTTAGAAGAAACTCATAAAGCTGTTTATTTTGTTTATGAAAAAATAATTGGAACAGAAATAAATGATTAAGTTTTAATGAAAAAAGAAGAAGATTTACTAGCTTTTCTTTAATACTTCGCATAGATTTTACAAAATTACAAATAAGAAAATCCAAATAAAATGTATTGGTATATCTTAACTCGCATAAATTATGTTGTTTAAAATTCAGAAATCATCCATTCAGGCTTTTCAAAGGCTTATTTGAATTTGTTAGGTATAGATGCAGATACATTTACAAAAATTTTTTTAAGAGGTAAAAAAATAGACCTTATATAAAACAGGTTCGATATATATTTACAATCTCTACTAGGTCTTGAAGTAATTGATAATACAATCACATGTAAAAATAACGAAATAGATACTTTTATTGTTACATTTGATGGGTTTCCTATTAAAATAACTTAAAAGAAGGTTTGTACATGCTTTTCTGAAAAAATATAAGAAGGTAGATTTTCTGATTTTGGGTTTAATATCACTGAGATAGATGTTGATATAGATAGTCTTAAATAGCTGATTGATTACAGATAGAGAGCATTTTAAAATACTAAATTTCTGAATATTGATGATTTTATTAGAAGAGAACTATCTTATCAGTTTGAAGATGTTGAATATTCAATATAGTCCTAAAATTTTATAGAAAAATATTACAAAGAAAATGTTTAAAAAATCAAAAAAATTGAAAAGTAATATAAATCCCATTCATATAAAAAAGCTTAATACAAAGATATCAGTAATTGACTTTATTTATCAAACATTTATTCTTAAACTTAAAGCTAAATAATAAATTCCATAGCATTTTTATAGAGCTGCAAACTATTTATGATTCTTTAGATTAACTTCTGAATGTAGGTAGATGATTTAATATGTAGAGAACTATCTTACCATTTTTAAGGTGTAGAGTAGTATTCAATACAAAAATGTATTACAAAGAAAATATTTAAAAAATAAAGGAAGTTGAAAAGCAGTAAAAATCCTGTTCATATAAAAAAGCTTAATATAAAGATAACATTAATTGGCTTTACTTATTATACATTTACTCTTAAAATTAAAACTAAATGATGAATTTTTAGTTTTTTTAATAGACTGCATAATATTTATTTTTTTAGATAACTTTGTAAATTGTGTGTTTGATGTTTTTAGTTGACTCACTAAAAAATTTAAAAGCTAAAAACTCATATAAAAGATTTATGTGGGGTTTAAATTAAGTAAAAGAAGTATTAAAATAATCTTATTTTTTATTTCAAAAGCATTGTAAATATTACATCTCATAAATTACAATTTGATGATTAATATATCCAGATTTTATTAGAATTTACTAGATTTAATTTGATACTTACTTTTATCTTTAAAATAAACTTGATGAAAAAAATATTTATTAAATGGATAATTAATAAGTAATTAAAAAATATAAATTTTTTCAAGATTATTAAGCAAAATAGGTTTCTTAATCTAAACAAGTTTTTTAACATAAAGAAAATCTCAAAAAAAAGTTTAAAAAGAGAGAAAAAAACTATAAAAAGCTAAAATTTAAAGAGATATTTTAAATTCCTTAAAATTAAAAAGTGTTTAAAATATAAAGTTTCATTAAATTTTTTGAATGGTCTACATATTGCATCAGATGAAATTTTTTAGTATTATCAATCTTTAAACCATTTTTGCTTTGGATAATTTGAGTAAAATGATGGGAAAAATATAAATGATAAAACAATAGGCTTGATCTCTATTCAATTCCAAAGAAACATTTAATTTGAAACACACTCAATTGAGGAAGAAAAGTAAATTTTAGCTAAATTTCCAAGCATTCCTTATATTTATGTTAAAATATGCTTAAAAAAATATTTATCTAAATAATAAAATAAGATTGAAAGTAAAGGTATTAATTAAATATTAATTTAAGAAAAAAAATGATTAGTTAGATAATTTTTTATTTGATTTTTAAAAAATACTTTCCAATTATAACAATACAAATGAATATAAGATGCTTTGGGAAATAGGATTTAGAATTAATTATTAAAGAAATTATTCAGAATAACTTCAGGTTATTCTAAAAATTACTAAGAGCTTTTGGGAATCGATTCTCAAATTTTAAGTTAATTATTTTATTAGGGGATTCATATATTGAGAGAGTATCTCAGAATAATAAGTTAATTAAAATTGAAGCTTTCATAAGACGGGAACTTTCATTTTACAATATTCTATTAATTAACAAAAAATATGAAAAATTTCATTTAAAAAGGCTAAGATTTTTTATTTTTTAATAAATTATCTGATTAATTAAAAAATATTTATAAAACATAAAATTTAAATCATATTTTTGATAACTGAATTGAATAAATACATCAGAATTAATGAGAAAATACATTACTTTTACGAGGTCTTACAAAATTTTGGATTTTATAAAAGAAATAAATAAAAAAAATATATCAATAATTAATTAATTTGTCCAAAATAATAATTTAAATCAAAAAAAAAAAAAAAAAGAAATTGAAAATAATGAATAGTCTAAATCCTTTTTCTTATTTAAAGGAGGATGAAAGCAATGATCTAAAAAAAAACAAAGGTAAAAAAAAGTATTAGAAAAAGTAATACATCCTCATGATAAAAAAATAAATTCTTAATTAAATAATTTATCAAAATTAATTTGATGCTAGCAGCACAATTAATTTATTTATTGGAATGCAAGTAAGCAGGGATGGTGTGTTCAGACATTTTTAGACTTTAGATAATTTAAGTTTTGGATATAATTAACAACAAATTGAAAAAGTAGTTGAAGATAAACACTATGGTTTAGTAAATATAGTTTTTGAAAAAAATTCTTAAGCTCCTATTAGTGATTTGAGTGAAGCAATTAAATTTCTTTCTTCAAATCCGAATATACCATTTTAGTAAATTTTTGATTTACTTCAAAAACTGTACTATTTCAAAGAAGTTGTGTAAGCATAAATAGAAAAATTAGAAATAAACTAAGCTCTTTTAAGCTAAAAAGAAGCAGAAACATAGATTTTTTTGTAAAATTTCCAATAAATATTGTTTAATTATCATTAGACAAATTAATTTAAAATGTATTGGTATTCCGTTTTTAGAATTAACTACTAAATTTAAAACACTGAAATCATTCATACAGGTTTTTCTAAAGCATATCTAGAGTTGTTAGGAATAGACTCAGATACCTTAAGTTAAATATTTTTAAGAGGGAAAAAAGTTGATTTAATAAGAAATTCTATTGATATATCATTATTAACTCTATAAGGATTGTAACTATTGGGTTAGTCTTTAGAAGGCTAATGCTCACCTGTGGTTACGTAAATTGTTACATTTGATGGATTTCCCTTAACAATTACATAATAAAAAACTTACTCTTGTTTGCTTGAAATCTAAAACGAATAGTTTAAGTATAATGATTTTGGATATAATATAGTTGAAGTTGATGTAAACACTAAAGATTTGTAATAACTTATTGAATATAGGTAAAGGATCTCTGAAAGGTGTGGAGATATTAAAATAGAAGATTTAATTAAGAGAGAGCTATCATATTTATTTGAGGATGTCGAATACTCGATAAAGTCATAAAATTTTATTGAAAAATTCTACTCTGATAATATAAATTAACTAAAATGCATAGAAGAAGAAAAAAGCTAAATATTTAAAAACAGAAGATGCAGCTATAGATAAGTTAATAAATGAATTATTCAAAAAAACAAATATACCAATATATTTGTTAAAATGTTTTTTAATAAATAAATAAAGAAAATAACTATTTATTAGTTAGAAAATCTTATAAGCAATTTAAATTAAAATAAAATATAGTTAAATACTTTTAAGTGGTTTAGAATAATTAAATTTATATATAAAATTAATCAACTACTTTCTTTTAATATAGAAATATCATATTAAGAAGAAAAACAATAATTAAAGATAAATCCAAAGATAATAAAGTAGGAAATCAACATTTATTTTTTAAAAAAAGCAAAAAAAGAAATCATCAAAAATATTTATTTGAGTTATAACATAGGAATATAAAACAATAAATAAAAACTTAATTCAAATAAAAATATTTTTAATTTATATAAGAGCCTTCATTATTAACCTAACAAAAAATTACATTTTTGGCTATGAATTTAAAAAAAATAAATTTTATTTTGCCTTATTTTTTTCAAAGAAAATTTTATTTTACTTTATTCTAATTGTAAGAAATTCATTTAATACTTTTTACAAAATTCTTTTTTATTGCAAGTGAAAAATAAATATTGTTTTTTAAAATATTATTTCCTAAATAAATTGGAATGCTTTATATTTATTGTTATAACTCCTTTAATGAGGCTCTTTTACTTTTTTTTAAAATCCTGCCACTCCCTTATTAAATGGCATAGCATTTAAAAATAATAAATAATACTCTCAAATTATTTTGCTTAAGCTAATTAAAAAATACTCTCAAAAATTGAAATATGATAAAAGCTTACATAAAATACTTGTAAAATTTCACATATTAGGAAAATTATCAGTTAATTTACTAAATGGAATACAATAATACAAAAATATGCATATTCTTAATAATTTTATGATATTAAATAAAATAATCTTTAAAATGGTACTCTCAAACATATGAGATGAGGTAGTAAAGTTAAAATTCAACATATTAGGTTTTTTAAGTGTGTTATTAATAAAATGCTAATAATTAAGTCATTTTACATGAGAGTTCATATTAAAAAAAATAAACCTTAAAATATGGTTAGTTAGTACTATGGCTTTTTATTTAATTATTAAAGAAACTCACTAAATAAAATTTTTAAAGAGTAATTTTAAAATAAATGCGTGGTGATCATTTCAAACAATATTATTTAATTATGGTTATTAGTTTTTTCCTTTTATTCAGTAAGCTTTTTCAAAGTGATTATTATAATTATTATGTCAACATTTAAGCCTATGTATTTGTAGGATAATAACCTAGGAAATAGTTAAACTCTATAGTATACAAACTATGCATAATATTCTAAATAGAAAAATAGAAAAGTAGGTGATATATAACCTATTTTTTAAAGATACATCAAAAGTTTAATTAATAGCTGTCAATAGATTATTACTGTAATTAACAAAAAATTAAAAAAATAAACATTGTGAATAGAAAAAAATCAAATACAATTTAAGAATGCAAAAGCATAAACTGATACTATTTGTAACATTTATTTTATTTAACTTGCTTGCTTTGTCTATTTAAGATGAAGGCAAATGCACAAAACCTCCTGAGGACGAATCTGTAGGGTAATGTGGAGGTGCTCCAAATTAATAGAAATCTAAATACACAGAAAAGAGAGATACTTTAGAAATGATTGATTTCATGCCAAGCGAAAGCTTTTGGAATAATCATCTTTATCATATTTCGTCTGGAGTGAATAACCCATAATATGTTTAAGCTTTAATTGAAATCCCCAAGGGATCTAGAGCCAAATTCGAAGTTGACGAGGACTCTGGTCTTCTCAAACTTGATAGAGTTCTTTATAATGCAATTCACTATCCATCACATTACGGTTTTATTCCTTCTACTATGGCTGGCGATAGAGATCCTCTTGATATTCTAGTATTGTGCAGCGAAAAAGTACCTCCTCTAACTTTGATTGATGCAAGAGTAATTGGTAATCAAATAATTTTATACTAATCCAATCAGATATTTATTTTAATATAAAAATTTATTAGGTGTTATATAAATGATTGATGGAGACGAAGAAGATGATAAGATTATTGCAGTGGCCAAGGATGATCCTAAGTTTTTGGAAGTGTAATTAATTATTTAAATAGATATATATATAAGTTTTAGAAAATATAATAAATTGAAAAACAACCAAATCATTTTTAGTTTCATAATTTAACTTACTATTTATATTCAATAGAAATGACATAAATGATGTCTCAAGACATACCATACAAGAAATTGAACATTTCTTTGAAGATTATAAACGTAGAATAGGAGTAGAAGTTGTTTTAGAAAAGTTCTAAGGGAGAGAATAAGCTTACGAGATTATTAACAATGCCTTAAAGTATTATTAAGACTTAAAAGAACTTAGAAAAAGCTAACAAAAAAAGTGAAAAGCGATTTACATTGAAAAGTTTTTTTTATCAATAATCAATTAACTGAAATCTTTTATTGAAGCAATAAATTAATTTTTAAAATAGATTTAGATTTAAATTTAACTTTGTAAACGTTATTTTTTAATAATTTTTTAATCTTAGTATTTTAATTTTAAATCTATTCAATGACTGCTTTACAATTTATTATATAAAATGCTAAACAAATATCAATAATTCTTCAAACGATTTTTATTTTAAAGTTAATTTGTTGAAAAATAAATATAAAGTAATAAATAAATAATAAAAAGAGATGCTATTTTGATATCTCAAAGTATGTCTAATTTATATTAATAAAATATAATAACAAAATGTTTAATTATGAAATTTTTTTTAATAAACTAAACAAGGAAATAAAAATAAATAATTTTTATAGTAAAATAATCTTTAGTTAAACTAAAACTACAGAAGCAGAAATATATATTTATATAATTTCAGTAGTTATTTATCAACTAAATAAATTAATTTGAAATATTTTTAAGTTCCAAAATAGAAATGGTATGGTTTAAGTAACTAATTAGTAATAGAGAAGTAAGATTAAATTTGAAAGAAATAAAGTGTTTTGATTTTAAATAGAGCTAGTATTAGTAAGTTAGTTTGATAGTTAGATAAATAGATAGTTCTACTAACTTTTTAATCTTTTTTATCATTGCAATTATTTTATTGAATGTTATTAATGGAATGCGGATTTTTACAAGAAAATACCAGAATTTTATACTGTTCTTTTTTTTGTTTTTGAACGTATAGGAGCCATCGATTATCTTGTTTTTTTGCTACTATTTCGTTTTGTGTTGAATTTTAACATAAACTTTTCGAGTTTTGATAGATGTGATTCGCTTTTCTTCTTATTTCTTTCTTTTTCGATAAGTTCATATTTTTATTTGAGGACATTCATGACTTTATCAATGTTATTATGAGGAAAGTAATCAGAGTAGATATGATATTTATCTAAGTTTGGTATGTCTGAGAATTCATGAGTTAGAGGAGAAACGAATATAACTTCTTCTTCATATAGTTATGCATGCAAATTTTAAAGTGAAGGTATAAAATTATTTGAGCCAAGCTTAGGTTTGGAATTATTTTTTGGTGTTGCGTCTTCTTTAATCCTGTTTAAGTATTTAAGATAGGAATGCTATTTATTAAAACTACTTTCCGTTTTCTTTCTATTTCTAACTGAGTTAGGTGCTTCTTCACCTACTGGTTAATTTCCATATTGACTACCACCTCCTTTTGAATTAACATTAGAATTTAAGCGAATAAAATTTCCTTCTTCTGTTTTAGTAACAGTAGGATAAACGAACGTTTTATTTGGAAAACCATTTCTTTTGTTATTGCTATTTATAGGTGAAATCGGATTTGCTGGAATGCTGTTACTGCTAGTCCTTATGTAATTTAAATATTTGTTCGAAATCGAATTTCTTTTTGTCATATGAGTTGTATTAGGAGTAGTGATTGTGTTTGGAGTATTAACTTAGTTTTAAATGATATTATTTTGTTAAGACATTACATTATTTTAACTGCTTACTATATTATTCATATTTATGTTTATACTAGTATCGAAATTTATTTTTCCATTAAGTATAAATGGTAGAGAATTTTCATCTTTTATTTTTGGGTATAAATCCGTTTGTTATATACTCGAACCTTCGTTTTAGTTGTTTGATAATGTTAAGGTATTATCTCTTTCTATATTTGTGTTGTTCATAAATAATGTTTTTTAGAAGTTAGTTTGATTTTCTTACGTTTCTTCTTCAAGTATAGTAAAAGTGCTGTTGTTTGGGTTTCCAGAATTTGCGTTTATCTTATTTTGCTTCTTTTTATTTAAATTTTTTAAAGCCTCTGACACATTTAACTCATCTTATTCATTTGATTGGAGCAGCATGGTATCATAATTTATACTGCGTTCGATTGATATGTCAGAGTTATTTCTGTCTAAAGGAGGAGGAGCTGAATAAGAACTATGAGCGCCACTAGAGAGAGCCATTTGATTATTTGAAGGAAAAGGAGAGTAGCTATTATGCGTTAAGCTATGTGTAACTTTATTCTAAGATCTCGTTGTAGTAGAAACTCTTCTTCTGCCACCATCTGTAGCTTCTCTGTATTTATCATGATGTCTAATGTCAATTTCATTAGGTAAATCTTTTAAATTCTCATTTGATGGAATTTCTGTTTAGCTAGTTGTTTTGGTCTATATTAATCTCTTTCCATAATTACCAGATTAATTAGATGGCTATGGAGTATTAATACCCTGCGAAGAGTAATGTGCGCCACCTATGCTGGCCTGATTTCCTCGAGTAGAAGTCTTTGAGTACTGCTGGGTATATGGCTAGTAAATACTTCCCTGTTAACTTTCTTATCCAGAGTTTTACTTTATATAATCGTCAGCATAGAGAATAGGCTTATAATTGGGTTTAGGGTTAGAGTTGATTTCATCAACTAATCTACTTCCTAAAACTTAATATGGATGTATCAATGATCTAAGCTTTTGATCAGCATTTTATAATTACAAAGGAAGTACTTATAGTTTAGCTCCTCCCTATTCTGGAGATGAAGCTGCTGCTGCTGCTGCTGGATCATTATTATTTAAATTATCATTGTTTTCAAAAATACTTTTCATGTACTCAATTAGATTATCTTCATCTAATTAAAAGGGATTTCTGTTTATCAAATAGTCAATCACACTTTCTAATATAGAATAGTGCTAACTTCTTGCATTATTTCCTCTTTTATATCGCATATCTTTCTTTTAACTATTATTTTAAAGATTGTTGCTTATTTGACTCTGTTAAAGATAATCTTAATATTATCTTCTCTGTTAAAAAATTCTATCTTTTTATGGAGTCCATTGAGTTAAGCTGTAGACTATTTTAGCCTTATTAATGAAAATATTCACTTGAGGACAGTTATTGAAACAGTGAGTAAAAAGATTGCAAGTTTCGCATTTTGAATCAAGGTTAAAAAAATTAGAAAATTTTGAGCCATCACGTAACTTGCAGTATCTCTCGTAATCAACAGGAAAATTTTTAATAACTTCTAAGAAATCTTTTTTATCTAAGTAGACTATAGATGACAAGCAAGTAGAAACAAAAGAAATATTTGGAGATTCATCAATCATAAAACATTTTTCATTGAAAAACCCTCCTTCCTCTATTGTTTTTACTAAAAACTAATCATTGACTTTTTATATTATTTAGCCTCTAATAACAAAAAATATCTTATTGTTCAAAGGTAAGTCAGATGAATCCCAGACTTTATCATCTGAATTAAACTATGATTCTTTCATTTTAAGAGCTAATTATTGCAAAAATGCCTCAGAAAACTAATTCCTAAAAAGTTTATATTTTATCAAAAGTTATTAGTTTATATTAGACATAACCTTCAATTTTAACGATTATTTTAATGGTTAAAGCAGCTCTTCTCCATTTACTGTGTAGTTGTGCTTTTCATAATGCAGATATTAATAATATCTTTTTACCTATTAAAACAAAAAAATAAGTATATCCTTTCTTAATACACAAAAGACTAAATATTTGATACATCTTTAATAAAATAAATCAATACCAATAAAGCTTTAAATTTTTACTAAGATTTGAAATTTTTGATAAAATTAGAAAGATTTTATTAGAAGTTGAATAAAATACCTCAGTTTAAAGCTTTACATCTAAGTTTCTTTTTTAAAGAAAAAGAGAAACTTAAGAGTAGATTTATTTGAACTCCTTATCTTCATATGTAATTTCTTCAATTAGAAAACCAATTTAATTTAAAAAATAGGCATAAATACCACATGAAAATATCATAATAATGATAACACATTACTTTTCTATCTTATTTAAAGGAACAATATCTCCATAGCCTACTGTAAGCATCGTAACGGTGGCCCAGTAGAGACTACTTATGTATTTCTCATAGAAACTTTTATTATCAAACTTATTCGCTACCCATGATTAATCTAAGTGTGCTTTTGTTTGAACTCCCACTGACCAAAAAATGCAACCACAGAAATGTCCAATAAAAAGTACTAATATGCTTAACTTTACAAGTTAATAATAAGCCATTTATCTTTTATCTAGTGTAACTGCGTCTTCTAATTCTTTAATTATTTATGTAATCTTTCCAATCAAAAGTATAGTTATCAACATCATAATATTTATGTTAGTATTATCATAAATAGCAAACAAGAAAATTAAAAAAATATCTAGCCATAGCTTGTGCTTTATATAATGCTTGGCGATGTTCCACCTTTTAACAACAATTAAACCTCTCTTATAATACCCTGTATTGAGTCTTATTATAACATCCACAAACATTACAATCAATGGCAGAGTGCTCATACAAAAAAAAATAATATGTGATTTATTATATTTGTAATCAATCATCCTTTTTAAATTAATTAGAAATATTTATAGATTAATAAATATTAATTTAACGATAATATAAATTTAATTTTGTAATCTAAAAGTGCTTTCTTGCTTAATCAAGATTTTGGTAGAGAAGACCCAAATATTTTTTAGATTACTTAAATAAAGGTAAAATATTGACCACTTGAATTTTCTAAATTCTTAAAAAGAAATATAATTAATTAATAAATAAAATAATTACTCATCTTAAAAAGCCATAAAAAGAGGATTAAGAAATAGAAGGAAGAACGATGAATTTATGGTGATAAGCATCCAGATGATAATTATAAGCTAATCAGGCTCAAAAACTTTAAATTTTTTATCAATTAGGTTAGTTAATTTTTATATCATTTTATTTGTATTTATGCCCTATTTGAGAAGACTTAATATTGATTAAACTATACCCTTTCTTTAGTATGATTTCTTTTTTCTATTTTCATCATAAAAAGCAGATAAATCATTAATGACTTAAAATTAATGTAAGGTCTGATTATCGTATCTTCTTATAAAAGAAAGATTTTATAGTCTCGTTAAAAATTTTTATACCTGTGTAATAATTGAGATACCTCTCTTCTTCCAATTTTAATTCAAACCCTTTTCTGGTTTTAAATCATCACTTTACTTTTAACTTTACTCATTTGATTTTTGTTAAGCCGTGAAGTTTGGTAAGTATATATCCTCTTTACTATCTGATTTTTACATATTCTCAGTTTTTGTATCATCACAAATTTTCTAAGTCTTTGATTTTCGAAGCTTTTTTTTAGGGGATTACTCGAAAAATTCTTCCTTCCTCGTCTAAGATCGCTTAAATTGATTTACTGTTTTTGATTTCATAAAAATGTTTCCACTATTTCTAAAGCCATATTCTGAAGTTATATTCTACTACGAAGAAGAAAGAATATTACTATAACTTCTCATTGTCTCTTTAGGACTAAAAAATCCTTTTGGTGATAAATGTCCTTAATCAATAGCTCTTTCAACAGATAATAAAGATGGTCGATTCAATTAAAATTTAAAATCAGACCTATTCATAATGCTCTAAGAAGTTAGTTTCATTTAATTGTTTGTCTAATTTACAGAATCTTGCTCTTATTAATAACGATCATCTGAGTAAATGTACTAAGAAGGATTATTATCATCCCCCTGCTTTTGTAGCATTTAAAATGAGTTAGTTCCAACTTAAAACATTTTCCGCCTCGTAGAATCACCCTATCTTAGGGAAGTTACTTTCGGAGAAATTAAAAAATCTTTTGATTATATTTCTTAAGAAACAGACATAATTCAATACAATTGATAGTTTCTTTCTTTCTACTTAATAATTAATACACTTAAAAATTAAAATTTGATTAACTTCAATCTTAAAATATAAGGAAAGTTTTGCAAATGTTAATAAATACATACATCTATATATCTACATGCATTCTAAAAAACAATATACAAATAACTTGAAATTAAGTGTGAGGTTCTTTACATTTTTTCCCATATATTTGAGTTATTTGCATATTACAATACAAAAAATTTTTAGCATCCAAATTATTCATTCATAAATATATATATTAAATTGTTCTCACTTGCCCTTTTCATACTCATATATCTAATATTCTTTGAATTATACTTTTGATTGCCTAAGCTAAAAAAAAATAATAAATTTACCAGTATCATTTATTAATAAATTGTCTATTTGTTTTATAATAAAAAAAATTAAATGTAATGAATGTAACAAATATTTATACTTAAGCAAAATACTTTAATTTTTATTTATTTCTTTTAATTGTTTGTTTCTTTTATAACAAACTACAATATTATTCATTGTTTTCATAATTAGATAAATTAATATTTAAAATTTTACTATTAATAAATATTGCTAATTTTTTAATTTTAAAAATTCATAATTTTAATAAGTTTTTTTATTCTTAAAAATATCTCCATGTAAATAGTTATGTACTTTTTAAAAGAGTCTTAAATATAATTTATAAAGGATTATTAATATTAATTTGGTGATAATTTCATCTTGTTCATTTTATGTTAATTTATTAATTTATTGATTATTAATTCAAAATTAATCAGTAAAATAATTAAAGCGGATTTCAGTTTTTTCTTAGATAACATTACTTTCCAGAAATATAGGTTGCTTTGATGCTGTGCTAATCGCCCATCATCATAATTCCAAATAATCTTTATGCTAGCATGAATTTATCACTTTAGGAATCAGATTTACAGCTGTTCAAATGCCTTTAGGCTTTTCCAGATCTCTTTTCAATAGTTTCATGTCTTAGTTTTTATATGTCATTTGTAAACCAGTCTAACACTACAAAGTCAGCCTCATATCCTGGCTCAAATTTTCCAAGCTTATCCTCTAAGTGAAGAGCCTTGCATCCTCCAAGTGTAGCCCTGTAAAACCCTTCAAAAGATGACATTGGTTTTCTGTTTTTTGTATCTTTCTAACTAATCATTACTACCTTATATGCATCTTACAAGGTCTTAAGTAAACTGAAATCAGTAGTGCCTCCTACGTCTGAGCCAATCCCAAAATTTACATTTTTTTAGACGAATTCGTGATATGGAAATATACCAGCTCCATAACAAAAATTGCTAGTAGGACAGAAAGCAACCCCACATTAAAGTCTGCTTAATTAATCTGATTCACTTTTTGGGCACATTACGCAATGAGCAAACACTGATTTCTTATCAACTAAATTTGACTACTCAAAGATTTAAATATCTGATTGATTTTCAGGATACAAAGACTAAGCAAACTCTACTTATTCTATACTTTCGCTTAAATGAGTATGCATATAAACATCAGGGTATCTCAGCTTTAGCTTTCCAGCAGCTTGAAGCTACTCCCTCGTTGATGTAGGTGAGAACCTTGGAGTTATTGAATACAAGCATCTCCCTTTATTGTGGTATTTTTCTATAAGGTTAAGAGAATCAGAATAGGCTGATTCTGGAGTGTCGCAAAGAAACTCTGGAGCATTCCTATCCATTAAAGTTTTGCCAGTTATTATCCTCATATTTAGCTTTGTAGCCTCTTCAAAAAGGGCTTAAACAGACTCAGGATGGATAGTTGCCATCACTAAAGCTGTTGTGGTTCCATTTTTCAATAACTGGTTTAAGTAGAATTAGCTAATTTTCCTTGCATATGATAAGTCTTTGAATTAATCTTCTGTAGGAAATGTGTATGTGTTCAACCAAGAAAATAAATCTGTAGAAAAAGTACAAATCATTTCTGTCTGAGGATAGTGAGTATGACAGTCAATAAATCCTGGCATAATAAGTTGACCTTTAAACTGTTCATCAATATCTATATCAGGATACTCTTCAACCAGCTCATTGTATTACCCACATTAAACAACTAATCCGCTCTCCTTATCTACAATAAGCATACCATCCTAATAATAATAAATACTATCTTCCTAAACTTCTAAGAAATATGGATCCTCTTTAAAATATATTATACTAGCTCTAAACCCTATCATATTTATTTTTAATTGTTTTTTATATATAATTATTAAATTTTGTTAAGTTATTTGATTTTTTAATTATTCATCGTCTTACTAAAAAATATTTAAGGATTATATTACAAAATTTTTGTTGTTTTCTTTTAAATTGAGTTATTTCATTCGAGAAAGATACATATTTAAATTTTTGTAATATTTAATTTACATAATAATTAATATATTAACTATTTATAGTATTTTAAAAGTTTATCAAATATTTAAAAGAAATCTTATGGAAACAAGTTTTTTCATTATATTTCTAAAATTACTTAATATTTTTACATAACAATAAGTTAATTCAAATTAAAATTTAAAAAATTTCCGTTTTTAAATAAAATTTTAGTTACCCAGCTCTTTCATATCTGAGGAGTAATGTGAAAAAAAAAAAAATTTTGAGAAAAAATGAAAGTAAATCAATTTTAAATTATTTTGAATTTATAAGTTATGGTATTTTGAATTTATAAATTAAGGTATTTTAATAACAATACAATTATACTCTATATATGTTACATTCTTATTACAAATTTATTTTAAATTTTAAATAGCTATAATAATTTTGAATTAAATTTTTTGCATTAAGCAATTTAGTGAATGATCATTTTCTTAAAACTGATTAGCTACTTGAAATGTTAAATTACTAATTGATATCATAATTTTTAGCTTTATAATTAATAGGAGAACTATTACAATGAGTCATGAATTTATATCTATCATTTAAATCTTTATTTGTTAAAGAATTATCCCTTTTATTGAAAGAGTTACTAAAATCTATATTTTATGTTTGTGCAAAACTTCTTTAATTATTTTATGACCTAACATTATATTAATTTATTAAATTAATTTTGCATTCTATTTAACTATTGTACAAAATTGTAAATATTTTTTTGCAAAAATTAGATTAATGTAAAATTCTTTTAAAGGTTTTAAATAAATATTTTTTTAATAGTAAAAAATAATTTACATTGTTAAATTTTAAGGAGTATTTCTTTCCTAAGCTCTATTTTAGTTCAATCTTTAAATGTGATCTTCTTAATTTATTTCGTTTCTTATCATATTCTAAGTTCTGATGTCATGTTATAATTGATATGTGGTATTACCTTAAGATTATAGTGGTCTACTGGAGTTATTTAAAACATTTATATTTTGAGCTTTATTTTATTATTAAGGATATTTTAAGGTGTAATTAACACATTATACTTAAACTTTTTCATCTTTATACTAATAATTATTAGTCTTTTCACTAATTTTATAAATATTGATATTAAAAAATATTAGATTAAAAAATTAAATAAATTTTTAAATTCTATCTTAATTAAAATTATAAAAATTAATAAATAAATTGTCATAAAGGATAAAAGGAAATAACTAAAACATATCTTCTAAAACAAATAAATTTAAATTATAAATGTAGAGAAATGAATATAAATAATACTTTGGATAATGTTAAGATGGTAGTTTTTCTTAGACCCTATTTTAGAACAGAATTTAGGAGAAATCTTCTTGACTTGCTTCTCTTCTGGTAGTATTAAGTATTTTGGTTTCATTTTATTGGTTAATATTAGCTTGGTGCATATGTGGTCTGCTAGAATGAGATAGACTATTTTAATTTTTATTTTGCTGCTAAGGATATTACATAGCACAATTTGAGGTTGAAAGCTACATTTTTTCTTTTTTTATATATGGCTAATTATTAGAAGCTTCACTGCTTTGAGAAAAAGCTTAAAAGTGAGGATGCAAAAGTTGAATTTGAGGCTGTGATTTATTTGTTTAGTTTGATTGTTTACTATCTAACTCATCAAAAATTCTCTTCAAAATATCTTCTTTCTTTTTATCAAGGACTGTATCACAGCTAGTGCTAATTTAGGTCATATTTGGTTTACTAATTAGATGAATACCTTGTTACTTATCTTATTTTTATATAGATATTGTAGGTTTTTTCGAAAAGGTATTATTTGATTTCCTGACTTGTTAAATAGTATTAGTTGCATCATTAAAGTTAATTACAGAAAACTAGCTTTGTATGTATGCTTCATCAGATGGAGATGGCGGATTTTTTTAAAATTAATTAGAATTTGTATTTGCAATATGGTTTTAATTACTGAAATTTTAATTGAAAGGAATTTATTAAAATGAATTTATGCTTAACTCGTTTAACACTTTAGCGTTTGTACATATTTGTTTTATCCTTTTGGTACTGTTTAAAGATTTGTTCATATTTTAATAGTTATTATTATCTCTATAAGTATATCCTGTATCACTATCTGCAACTACTTTTTTCGATATAGGACTTTCTGGTTGTAGTAGTTGTTGTTATTATTGTTAGTTTGACACAGACAAGTTCATATATTTATCTTAACTAGTATGTGTTGGAGTAAGATTTGTAGATTAAAAAGGACAAGCTAGAAATTCCATTTATTTGATACAAATATCTACTAATTAATCTGTTTTATCTAGAGCCTAAGGAATTTACTAAAATGCTTAAGCAAACAATTCGTCATTTACGTAATTTTATTCTTTAAATTAATACTTATTTTATTCATCTTATGCTTAATAAGAAACAGGTGATAAATCACATCCGTACATTCTTTATTCTAAAAATTAAACTATTTATTGAAGCACTTAGGGAGGCCTTAAAGTGTTGTGATCGCCTTCAAATTTGATTATTTTTTTGTCACCTCTATATGTCTCAAAGAGTTTTTGAGTGTGATAGGAATTAATGATAGAATCATTTTAGGCACTGCAAAATATGATGCCTTCACAATTATTTATCTTTTTTATTTACTCCAATAAATCTAACTAAAAAATATCCATATTTAAGACATTTTTTATTTTATTCTTTATAAAATGAAGAACTGCATCAACCAAAATATTTGGAATTTTTGTCCTTTGCTTCCCAATCTCCTCAAGAATAAAGCTGAGCTTTATAAAGCCTGAATCAAGAGCCATTACAGATACTTTATTAGGATTATTAGCACAATAATTTATAGCTGTTGATGCTCCCATACTTTTTAAAAACAAATATTTGCTATTTAATCAACTAAAATCATAATAGATTATAAATAATTAAATTATCTTAGATTTATTTTTCTTCAATAAAATTGAATTTTTATCAAGTAGAAAATTCATAAAATCATTTTCAAAATAAATAAAAACTTTTCTATTGATAATAAATAGCTCAGCATTAACATTTAAAAACAAACATATTGTCTATGTTATTTATGTTAAACTGAAAATTCAAAATTTTTTATAATTTTAGAAGTTCTTAAATAGTAAAGGAGAATTACTTACTAAAACTTTATAATATAAAAAAGAGTAAGCTACTCTGATATTAATAACTTTACCTTCTTCCCCAAAGAGCAATTTTTTATACGCCAATGTTGTTTCTGATATAATCTACAACTAGTGATAAATCCTCTGATTCATTAATACCCAATGTTACATATTATCCATCGCTTTTCCCTGCACCAGCAAAGTCAAAACAAAATAAAATTGAACGCGGTAGTACATAATTAAATGTAGTTAATGCTTCTATCCTAGAACTTGCGTTTCCATGCAGATAGATAACACAACCTATTTTAGATTTATCATATGAATCTGGTGCATAATATGTGCATCTTAATACTTATTCCCTAGAGTTTATTAGATCTACATCATATCTTATTATTGGAACATTTCTTACTATTTAAACTTTAGGTCCTAATTAAATTATTTATAATACATATTAGCTAAAATTAGTATAAAGGCATTTAATAATTTAAAATCATTCAAAGTTATACCTAAATCGTTTAAAAAATAAATTTGCCTTTATGGAGAGATAATATTTTTCCATATCTCATTATATTTTTCACTTAATCCTTAAAAAAAATCCATTTATTATCAGCTAATATATTCTAAATTAAAAAAAAAAGTTGAAAAAATTTGATTATTATAGTATTTTTTGCTTTTTCTTTTTAGTTATATGTTTTCTAAATAAATAAGCTGTTAAATCCATCAAAACAACAAAACTAAGATACTCTTCCTATAATATAATAATTGTAATATAAATCTCAAAAGCAAAAACGAAAGACCCTTTAATAATATTTGCATGAAATAATAATTTATATTTACAATTTAAATATGCAATAATAATAACTCATGGCACTATTTATTTTAATAGAAATAACTAATTTAAGTATGACATATTTTATTAATTTAATATGTATCGCATATTATCTGCTTAATAGATATAGAAAATATTTGTAAAATATTCTCCTTAGTTTAAATAATAATTGTTTTTTAATATTTTTATATCAACTAAATAATACTTTTTATAAAACTCACAATAGTTTTAGGTGCTAGGGTTATAGATATATTTAATAGATAACAAAAAATGTAAAATTCAAATAAATAAAATTAGTTTATTCCAATTCTAAAAGAATGAAATTAAAATCAATTTAATAGAAATTAGTCTTAATTATCTCTGGTCTTTAATAGTTTTAATTTTTATTAAATTTTATTTGTTAACATTTTGTGATAGAAAATAAGTAATTAAGTAAGCAGTATTATATATAGTCCACAGATATTTTAAACTCCTTGACTTAAAAGCAAACTCATTTAAAAATAAATTTATTCTAAATATAAATATAATAAAACTAACAAATTTTGAATATTGAATTAGTAATATCATAAAAAACAAAATAGCTTTATAAAATATATCATAGATTAAATATGTACAAAAAATTTATATATTGATTGCTTTTTTGCAACAAAAACTGTTACTTGTATAAACGATTTTTAAATGAAACGTGAAGAATAATTTATTATTTTTGACAAGTGAATGAATAAAAGAAGAACAAACAAATGGATCAAATTGAGAGTATAAAATATATTAATATTATTATATTGATAAGTTTAAATTAAATTTAAAATATAATTATAATTAATTTATTTGTTTATTTTAAATGTTTTTTAAAATAAATTTATTTATTTATTTATTGTTATAAGTTATTTAGTTAGATAGATAATTAATTGGTTAGTTATTTCGATAACATTCAACAAAATAAAAGTTTTTCTTTTTTAAATGGCTGCATCATGTAAAGCTATTATAAATTGCCCCATATTTAAAATAAGAAAAATGTTCACTTTCTTTTTATTGTTGTGGATATTAGATGTTTATTAATTTATTTTTTTTATGGTTGCAATATAAATTAATTTTCATTTTCTTCTTGTATAGTAATTATTATTAGTTATTAGCTTTTATGAATTTATATCATAGTTATTACCAAAGTTATTTGAGGAGATATTTGAGTATACCACTTACTTATTTCTAACTATTTAATCTTTTCTTATAGGTTCTTCATCATTCATTTTGGTTAATACATTTAGATCAAATAGCTTTGGCTACAAATAAAGTCCATTGTTATTTGAAGTTCTTTTTTAATCAATAAAAAAATGTTAATATTAAATAGCTATTTTAAAAGTTTATTCATTTCTTTATCAAGAAAGAGTTTGTTTATTTTATATTTATAATAAATTAATTAAATTTATAAATAAATCAATTTAGTATGTAAAATATTTACTATAATGGTTTAGAGTACTTATTCATTTCTTACATTCTTTTTTGATGAGTCAATGCTACATAGTCATCGTTATTCATACCGTTTCTTACAAGTCCAGGAAGCATTTTAACTGGGTATTACTGCATATTAATTTATTGAAATTAGGGTCTACCAGTGCTATTTAAATTCTGAGGAGGTTAAATTGAGCTCTGCTGGCTTTGTTATCTGATATACTGATATGGAGATTGTTAAGCATTTATATCGGTATTGTATTGTTAGGTTAGTTAATTAGTGTTTTCGCTTTTAATATAGTAATTAATTATCATGATTAATAAACTAACATCAATAAATAATAACTTACTATTATTTCTTTTAAATTTAGACATTATTCAAAGAGCTGCTAGTATTACTTGATTAGGAATTAAGATCTATTGCAAACTATGCATATTTTTTTACCATTTACTGTCTTTCTTCTTCGTTTTATAGAGATGAGCCTATTTATTTTGGAATAGCGTACTATTTTCTTGCATCTAAGCTACTGACTAAATAAGTTAAACAAAAGTTCTTTTAAAGCCATATATCAATATTTAAAATATTTACTTTAACCGGTACTTCCCAAAGTAAATGGGCTGGGAGGTTTCTAATACACTCCACTATTATTATCAGAAAACTTTCCAGGTGTTTCATTAATTTAGTAAGTCTCAGAGTAGCCACCTGTTTGGCTAGCACTCAAGTTGCTGGATGTCTGCTGGCTCTATAATTTTATTTATTTAGGGAGTTTAAATTATCCATCTTCTCCTTCAATCTTAATATTATATAAATATCATATATATATTTATATTCAAACCTGTACTAATCATTTTTATGTTCAAATTAAAAATTTTGTTACATTTTCATTTGATCTAATTTTCGAGCTTGAAGAGAAGGTGGGAACTTGAGTCTTATTTTAGACAACTTTAGGAATCACTTATTTGGTGGCTGCAACTGGCTTAATTGGTACCTTAGCTGCAGGTAAGTTTGGTTTATTTTTATCATTTATCGAATTTCTTTGTTAATTTGGTACTCCTTTGACACTGTTATTCGCTGTTGTTCCTTAGATAGTATTACCTCCTATTGAACTGTCTTTCTTTGAGACTCTTCTAATATCTTTTTAGATTATCAAAATAAATTTAAATCCAAAATCATCTATTTATATTAATTACTTGCTCCCGTCCAGTTTTCATAAAGCTATTGAGAGTGTTGTTGGAAAGCAATGTAAATATCTTCAACATCAGGCTTTTTATTTATTTTTAGAATATTAACTTAGGGTTAATTAAATAAATTTATTTACTTCTAGAGGATAAACCTTTTCATAGTTTCCTAAATTCTTTGATTCGTACTCATCCCTCTTTTACATAGCTTTTTTTATTTCAGCTGCTTTTTCTTCAGCTGTTAATTTTTATTTTTTACCAGTTAGGACTCTTTTTTAAAGTTATTCCTTTCTTTGTGAAACAATTTCGTTTCTAGCTTTAACAGTCGAATTCATCAATGTTAATGCATCACGGATACAATTCTTTTTGATCAAACTATCAAGAGGAGTATCTGTAGTAAAACTAGGAGTATGATTAATTTCTAATAGCCAAGGTTTTAAATGGGCGTCTAAGAAAACATCAAATCCCAATATTTCAAAACACATATTATTCATGTAGTTATCTGGTTGACAAGATTTATAGTGATGACTTAGAGTAGGCTAAGCACTAATTATTGTTTTTATTATGATGTCCTTAATTTGATCCCATAACTTTTAAATATCATGTCCTTAATTTTTAAGAAGCTTTTTCGATAAAAAATTAGATTAAATTTTTATTGCTATGAGATTTTTTTGGTTTAATATTTTTTGAGCTTTTTTGATTAAAAAGGTTTACCTCCATTACTGAAGTCAAAGACCTTTTGTGACCTACATCCATTTAATTTTCATCTTCATTAAATTCAAAATTAGGGTTATCTTTATTGATGGCATAGTTAGTTAAGTGCATGCAAAGATTATCTAAATTATCACGATGTGGAGCTTCATATTCTTCTGTAGCTAAACGAGCTAATCCTTCTTTAAAAATATATATTCTCATAGGATCACAAGCTGCAAGCAAAACGTAAATTCTAAAATCAAACTTTAATCCATCTATGAGATAGGGCTTGTGTAAATATCTATAAAAAATAATATTATTTTTAATAGAGAAAATAATTATTTATTTTACCTTTAAACTACATAATGATCGGTACTGTTTAAATCATCTAAATTCCTAGTCAAAAAGATACCTCTTCCCTAGCAACTTGCTTCCTGTTATAAAGAAAATATAAATATTTAAACTGCAAAAATATATTTCTAATATTCTATTCATCTAAAAGCAAATATCTGTTTATTTAATTTGCATTTAAAATATTGATGAAATTTCTAACAGTCTTAATTCTATCATATTAAATGAAACAATTTGTTTATTTAAAATTTTTATGTCCAAAGAATTGGGTCAAATTTTATAAAAGCTGTTGTTGCTTTTAATTTTAATAAAATTGTAAATCTACTCTTTGAGAATTAATAATAAACGAATAATTCCATTTGCTTATTTTTTTTGTCATTTCAAAAATAAATCATCAAATAATTAGTTAGTTACTGGTTTAACAATAAATGTTTTGCATTTTCCTTTAGAGATCTTATCGAATTCAGTACGAAGTTCGTTGTATTCAGCAGGCAATAACCAAGTTTAAGGGAAAAATTTATAGTGATCAGGGAACTGTTTCTTCATTTTTTTTAGATTTCTAGCTAAGTGGTTTTTTCTAGCTAGCACAAACATGCCAGGAAAGTGATTAATTTTTTAATGGGGCTGCATTTTTCCTAGCTATTCTGGTTAAACAGCGTTATCAGTCCAAGTAATATCGCAATCAGTGTTTTCTGCATCATAACAAAGTTTCCATTTGAAAATCTTTTTGCCCACGAATTTAACAACAGGATACTATGTATCTATATTTGTTAATAATTGTAATTTAAATCATAATATTAGCTAATACTCTCATTAATACTACACCTGCTACTCATTTATTATTCAATATCTGTTAAATTTGCTCTATTTGTGCAGAAATTTTATTTCATTTCTTATAAAAAATTTTTAAAATCTGCAACTGAGGAGTGATTAACTTTACAATTTGAGCTTATTTTTCCTGCTTTACTTTTAAAATGACTAAAATAATGCTTTTTTAAAATTCATTTTATGTTTAAATGGGAAAAGGACAGCGAATGCTTAAATTCAATATTTTTTTAACATATTTTTAAAGATTTTTGCTTGTGTGATTTATTTATACTTAATGAATAAGAAATAGCTTGGTATGTATGTATGTAGGTAGGTAGTAGGTTAGTTAAAATCTAACTATATAATTTTAAAGGAAAAAAAGCTAAAAGAAATCAAAAAATAACAAACCAGCAACATTCATAACCAAAGTTTGTGGCTTTCTTTTAGCCTAAGATGCCTATTTTGCAGGAGCTTTTTTTACTTTCTTAGTTTTTTTATCACCGTTTCCTTTTTTATTATTATTTTATTTTGTTGAAACACCATCTTCTGGCACTAGTTACTCATCTTCTGCCATATCATCGTCATAATTTGTTTATGCTTATTCTGATTCGGATTCTTCTCCAGAATCAGAGTAGTTTCCATCGTATTCCTCTTTATCAGGATCAAAATTGATACCTAAAACCAATTCCTTTTTATCAGCAACTTGCTTACTGCTCTTTTTAGAGTCTAATTACTCCTCTTTAAAATCGCTCTAAGACATTAAGTTTGATGATTATTTATTTAATTTTTTATGAATATTTGCTTGTTTCTTTATTTATGAGCTTATTATGATTGTTAGTTTGTTAGTTAGTTGTTTTCTATATGAATTTTATCAATCACTATTTTTTATTAAAAAATTTGATTGCTATCAATAATTCTTACAAATTTTTCAATCAAATCTAATAATAAGGTTTACCTCTTGTATGGTTGATTGACTCCGTTTGATAATTCAGACTGGATTTACTATTTAAAATATAAAAAAATATAAATTAGCTATACAATTGAAATAGACTTGATTATAAACTGAGTTAATCAATCAATGAATTTGTTTGAAATAAGAAACTCTTTTTTCATTGATAAACCAAAATTTTAATTTGAAATATTAAAAAAATTATAAGCAAATGAATTTGATTGCTTTTTGATTTTCGAATGAATAATTATAACAATAAAAACTCTAATTATTTCATTTATAAAATTTATAGTTTATTATTCGGGGTATTGCTTAAATTTTTAATTGCTAATTATTAATTTATTTTTATATATTCGTATGTTTGATTAGCTCATTTTAAATAGCAATTTAAGCATCTGTAATTAATATTTACAAACTCCTTTCTTCTTTTGAAAATTTTCAATTTATCAAAATTATTTTTTGGCTTACTCTGCACTTAAAGCCAAAAATTAAATATGAATTCTACTATTAAAAACTTTAAGACAGTTTACTTTCGATACAATTTTTTAAAAGCTTTGATATCTATTTAGAAAAAAATCTATTCTCAAATCAAATTAATTAAATATTAGTAATTTATTTAAACAATTCTAATTAATTATTTCTATTTTTTTAAATGTTTTTATTTCATCTCAAATAAAGTAAATTAAGAATTTCTTAAAATTCAAAACTCAAAGCGAAGGCTATTAGCGTAATCATTATTTTTACATTCTATATTAGATTTAATATTCTTATAATAAAATTATAATTTTCCTTTAAGTGAATTATATAAACATTTTATGAAAGCCAGATATCTTTGCAATTTTTCTAACTGTTAAAACAATTTTAAAAAATTTTCATATTAAGTTATTGAAAGTAATATTTAATATCTATCTACTGTTACCATTTAAAATTAAAAGAATATAATATTAAATTTGAGTAAGATATAAATCTTTAATAATCTTTAATTATAAAAATCATAATATTATTTTATTATAAGTTAGTTGAAATAAATAAAAGAAATAGAATTATTATTAATTTAAAGAAAATTATGGATTTTTTAAAATAAAACATAAATAATCTTTAATAAACTCATAACTCATTTTAATAAATTCTTATTTATTTATCATACTTTAATTAAAATCTTATTCAAATTATTTCAATATTTATTATATTTTGTAAAGTTTTTGAGTTTTTGCAAAAAAATGCATTTGATTAGCACTTTTTTTCTTCATATTTAAAATAATTGTCTGATATTATTATATTGATATCTGATTTGTTTTAGCTTAATTCAGATTAAAATTATAAAATAACTTTGATAATTAAAGATTTACTACTAATAATTAATAAATTTAAAATCAATTAAACTTTCATCAATTTTTTTGTTTTCTTTGTGCCTAAAAATTTTTTCTAAACTGCAAAATAAATAATTTTATCAGTGATAGCAAAATATTTCTAATTTGAATAAAAAATGCCAAAATATATTTAAATATTCTAATATATTTTATTCTTTTGAAATAAAAGCAAAAAAAATATACATTTTTGAATAGAATATATGTTGTAAGATTGATCACTGATTTTTACTTCATAAATTTAAAAAGAAAAAATTGTCATTTAAATTCTAAAAATGTATTTATATGAAATTTATTATAAATAAGTAATGAAGTATATTCAAAGATAAAAATATATAATATAGATTTACTTCTTTGTTTAAGATAATATATAAACAAGAGAAATATTAAAATAACTTTTATGTTATTACTCACATTTATTTTATAATATCTAAATCTTTATTTATTGATTCAAGTTTTTTTTAGTTAATAAAGTTTGATGAGGTTGTTGGAAGATTAATCTTAGGATCAAATAAGGAATAAATTTCTAATTTAGTTGTAAATTAACTAACTTTTTTTAAAAATGTAGCTGAAATTATTTAGTCAGCTTGAATGGCATCAGTTTTAGGAGAATTAGGGTGTTCATCAATACTATCTCTTGTAATTAAATATTCATTATCATTTAATTTTATCCTATGCTATACTCCAATCACATACCTTGAACTCACTATTTGGTTACCTTTAGACTAATAATAAGCTACAAATGTGTTTTCATCTACATTTTCTATTTTAAAAAACTATTCGCAGATGTCTCTATTTTTTTTTTGATCATCTAGATTCTCAAAATAAAATTGAGCAGCTTTTTCAAAATTTACAGGGACTATTCCTTCAAATTTATTAAGTTAAACTTAGTGACCTTTATAACTTGTAGAATACATAGTGATAAGATTATTGCTAGATATTTCTTTCCATCCTTCCTGAATATTTCTAACTTCTATATTTTCTTTTAATTTAGAGTTTAATAGATTTGAGTATTTGTTTCCTATCATTTTATACTTTTAAGTACAGTTTGTCAAAAAAAAAATGATCTTTTGTCTGTGGCAAAACATATTTATTGAATATTTATTAAATTTAATTTTTTCTTTAATTATATTTTGTTTTTTAACAAGGATTTTAATATATAAAGCAAGTAATTGATTTAAAAATAAGCAATAAAATATGATATTAAAAGTAAACACTTAAAATTTCATAAAAATTCTGTTTAAACCTAAATATAAAAATTAAAATTTTCTAATAAAATTGTAAATGCCATTTTTTTAGAAACAAAGTTTGCAGCAAAATTGAATAATTTTATTATATGAAAATATTTTAGATAAATAATCTTTTTTTATTTTTGATTTTCTAATTGATGAGCTTATTTTTCTTTTTAAAAAGATAAAATCCCGTTCAATAAAAGCAATGAAATATGATAAGTTTTGTAACTTTTTTAAATTTAATTTACCATCTGTTTAAATCTATTGAATTTATTTACTAATGCTCTTTAGACTAAAATTACATTTAAGAATATATTTCAATATTTAATTTTAAAAATATTTCATTTATTCACAATCTATTCTAAAAAAATACAGATTTAAAAATTTTATGTAGTAGACGTATCAATCGAAAGTATATAATTGATTAAAATTATTAGAAAAATATTAAAATATTTATTTTTGTAATATTTTAAATTAAGATTTATTACCATAATTTAGTGTTTTAAAGTCCACTGAAAACTGAGGAGTTCTTCAAGAAATTTCAATTTTAAAAAACAAAAATAAATTCCAAGTAAAAAATTATTTTAATTTTAATATCAAAAAAATTATGATATATGTTTATCAATTTTTAGAAAATTAATTAATTAGAAAATCAATTAGATAGTTGATTTAAAAAAAGCTTCGCACAATGTACAAAAAATAAATATATTTTACGCCTTTTTAACAATTTTATTTCTTTGGTTAAATTTGTTTCAAAAAAAAAATATTTATTTAAATAATAATAAATTGACATAAATTTATTTTAATTATTAAAATTTTCAATCAAAAATTTGAGCACATTTTTGTTCTAATATTTTTCCAAATTAATCAGGAGAAGTCTATAATAATTGTACTTTGTGCTTTTCAAAATCGAAGTTTTAATCCTTAAAGAGTTTTTCTATACAGCAAGATTCATAAGCAAGTGCAATATTGAAGAAAAGGGCTAGTTTAACATCTTTATCTTAAGCTTAAAACATTATCTTTTTTAAGCCCTCTGCATAACTCATTAGTGATCCAATTAAATGCTCATTAAAACGAGGGCTTAATTCTATTTAATTAATTTCATCTCTTAAACTTTAATTATTTAAGCCTAGCTTTGCCATACTTTAAAGCGCAGCTTGTTAAGTGGAACTCATGTAATTTTCAATTTATACAGAGTCTCCTTTAACCAAGTCTTCAATTTTTGTGTAATACTCAGTTTTGCAAAAAATGTTAAAGCAGCTTAAATTAAAAATATTCTTTTTCTGAACAATAGCTTAAAGCATTTCTTGATTCAGTGCTCTGAGTTTTTTTTGTACTAAATAAGCAGGAATTTGATAATTAATTCCTAACTTTTACAATTTTGAAAACGAAATAGCTAAAACCAACAATACTCCATAAACCTGTAAGAAATAAAGACAATAGATAAATAAAATATAAATAAATAAACTTAAAAAGAAAAATTCAAAAATTTACATTTTTCTTATGCACATATTTTTAAATAGCTGAAACTATTTCTAAAGCAAGCTTTTTTTTCTCTTCAATTACCTAACGTTTTTAAGCTTCTACATAAGGATCTACCTTTTGAGGTTATTTTTATTCTGGAATAAACTAACCACCTTATGGTTTTTTATCTAAAGAACCTTTTTTATTACTAAACTTTGGGTCCTAATACATTTTAATGTCTGAGGCTTAAGGAGCTAAAATGATTTCAGCAGATATGTTATCATTTTTTAAGTTTTTACTAACAATTGGGTGTTAGTAAATTTAAGCCCAAGTAATTCTTTGCTCTCTATCATACTTGAGAAGTCTCACTATCAAGTCCTTTAACTAGCTTGAAATAACGACTCCATTTTTCTTGAAATCTATCTTTTCACTCTTCATATTATTATAGAGCTAAATGCCAGACCCACCAAATGGGTAATCATTAAAGAGCATGAAATAGAGTAAAACTCCTAAACTAAATATATTAATTTATAAATATATTATTTAAAAATTCATTTGTATCTAATTTTCAAACTAAGTCTTTATTTTGTAATGAAGTTTTAAAAAAAATTATTATGTTTTGAAATATCAAATTGAAAAAAGATATCTAAAAAATAATAAGTGCATCCATTCTTAGAAAGTTGGATTCAGAAAAGTTCTTTATTAAATGTAATTTTATTAAAATTTTGTTTTTTTTTGTAGCATTTTTAATAGTAATTTCTATTAAAGTGTAAATCGTAATTAACTAATTAAATGATATTTACCTATAGATATCTACTTCAAAACCATATTCTTTATCTTCTTGGATTTCAGGTGCTAAGAAAAGAGGAGTTCCTATCTTAGTAGCAGCTTAATTTTCTAAATCAACCGTTCTGGCTGCTCCAAAATCTGCAATCTTCAAAACATTGCCACTCATCAATATATTTGCAGGCTTTAAACTAAATTATTATTTTTTGGTTAATAGCTTTAAATTTAGAAAAATTTACTCTCTGTGGATGATGGAGTTTTAATGCAATACTCTGAAACCTGCTAATATCTGCATAAGAAAACCTATTGCTTTTTGCTCTGGTAAAGGTCCATTTTTTTTAACATATTACGATAGATCTCCGCCTTCGCAAAATTCAAGTATCAAATAGAAATGATCTTAGCATTTATAAACTTTATAGAGCTCAACAGTGAAAGGAGACTTTAACTTTTACTGTAAAGCTATTTCTTGAGCAAATAACTCCACAAGCTTAGGTATTTAAGCAAGCTTTGCTATTGAGACAGCTTTACAAGCTACAAATTTCTAGTTTATGACATCTATACCTTAATAAACAGTTCCAAAGCCTCCTTCTCCTAATTTTTATTCTGAAATAATGTATTAATCCTCAAAGCTTATCATATTACCAACAACCTATACTTAATAAAATATCTTTTGAGTCTTTATTAATTATAATTCTTTTTTGTAAAGTATTTTTTATATATAAATATTTGTATAAAGTTCTTACCTTTTTTGTTTAAAGATACCTTTTTATCTATTTATTTATTAATTAATCAATCAGGTAGTTATCATAATAATTACAATATAATGTATGATTTTTTAAATAATATTCTAACAAAAAATAGAGACACTTTTAATGCGAAAATATATCTCAAGCTATTACATTATTTATTTATCCATAAAAGCTTATTTATATAATTTTTTCGTATGATATTTTTTTAACTTTTTAGAATTTATTTTTATGAAAACAGCTGATTTGATTTTTTTTGTTTATTAGCTTATTCGTACTATTGAAGATATTTATTTAATATCCTATTTAATTAATTTATCTTAATTGAGGATCATCAGTTTAAAGGAAAAAACACGAATTTATATTTTTAATTCTAAATTTTCTAAATATCTTTAAAAAAATTTAATAATTCTCTATAGAATAAACTCAATTAGAATTCAGATATTCTGTCTAAAACTTAAACTATTTAAGCTTAAATTTATTTCTATAAATTTTAAACATTTTATAAATATATGAGCTATATAAATAAAATTAGCTAAGGCATCGAGTGAATTTTAAATTAAAAAGATTACACTTATATCTCGAATATTTAATTTTTTTTTTGTATTTTTTATCATCAACACATTTAAAAAAAAAATGAGAAAATTGTTTGAGTTTAATATGATAATTTCTTCAGTCTAAATACATAATTTAATTTAAAAGTTATTTTTAACTTAATAATAAATAGGTAATGAATGTAAATTATTTTAATAAAATCATTAAAAACATATTGCTTATCAATATAAATACATATTGAAATTTTTTTTTGTTTTCTAATTCTTTTACTAAAAATATCAATGGATTTAAACTCAGCGCATCTTAAAATAAATTAAATAAATAAAAAGAATCTACTGTAACAATTACTAAAAAAATATTCTTAATAATTTAGTATACACTCTTAAATTTATTATATGAAAAATAAAAAGTTCAATTAATTAATTAATAAATAATTTAAAGCCAATAATAATTCTTTTATGGATTATGTTCTTAAAAGCATACTCTATGATTTTAAATATTTATATTTAAGCGATTCCCTTATTGAATATAACTTTATATCTTATTTAAAGCTTTTTTTTCTTTTGAGTAGTATTATTTTTAGGGTAGGCATCATGTTAAAAATGACTATCTAGTTTTACAATGTGACCCACCAATAAAATATATTTCTCAAAAATTGAAAAATTAATTGAAAATTTAGTCAATTTAATAAATTTTTAATTACCATATGCTTATTTATTAGGTTTGTAAATTTAATTTCGATATTATATTTTTAAAATATTTAGATCTATATTTATTTTTACTTATTTCTCATTCATTATGAGTAAACAATAATGTCATAATTTTAGATATATCTAGATATTTTATTTTTAAAATATCCTTACCAATCAAAATAAAGAAAATTTAATATCAAGAAACTCTAATATTTACGTTTGAAGATATTGGCTTGATTATAATAAAAATGAATATTTAAAAATTGATGTTTAAAATTTCTTTAAACACCAATAAAATATAACTTAAATTATAAAATAATATTAGTATATTTACTATTTCAATAGATTTTATTTATTTACAACAGATCAAAACATCTTTTGAGATATTCAATTTTTCATTTTAAAAAATAAATTATGTGTCTCAAGAAAGAGACAAGATAGCTATTTATTTTTTATTATTTATTTATGTAATTAATATTGAGTTTGTTTTTTAATTATATTAATTTATATGTTAGCTTTTAATTTATTTTCTTGATTTAGGAATTTATTAGTAAAGAAGGTAGTAGAAATATTTTGATAAATAGGAATATTTAAGACAAGAGTTTAAACAAATCTAAAATGTCTCATAATTTAACTTCAAAGAGTCAAAAAGTAGAGTTTTGAACACATAATAAATAAATAATTCATTTCTATTTAAAGATAATGCATATATTGATAGCTGTGGAAATCAAACCACCTAAATTATAATTATGATTCTATTATAAAGGGATTAGATGATGCCTTAAAAGCAATAAAAGCCAGAAGTGGGTCATTAAATGCTAACAGTAGTAGCTCATCTACCGTTGCATCAGCGAATAGCAATAATTCTCAAACTTAAAATTAAAAAGTTTAATCAGGTTAAATTTTAAATAAAAATATTCATAAGAATACTAATTTTTTGTTTAAATTAACATTTTTAGTATTTGGAAATATTGATGATGACGATGATCAAGATGATACTGTTATTTAACACGTGCCATAAGGTGTTTCTGGATAGTAAAAAAGAGAATATAATTTCAGAGGACCGAAAAATAATAGAGGTTTTACATCAAGCAGCTATATTTAAGATGAAAATAATACAAATCATTCAAGATTGCATAAACCAGGACATTAATATTTTGGCGACAAGCTACAAAGACTCAAAAAGCATGAAGAAGAATCAAAAAATAAATAAGAGAGTGATTTGGAACTTTTGAATTGCAGATTAGAGCTTAAAAAAGTCAAAGAATTAATTATAGAAGAAAGATCTAAAATTTTTGCATGCACTCCTTGTAAGCGCAAGTTTTCTTCTAAAGAAATGTTAGATTTTCATGAGCTTAAATCAGATTTACATAAAAAAATGTGTTCTGAAAAGACAAAATGATAATTATTTAAATTTATTTTAAGATTTTTCTATAAGTTCTCTTCTTGTTTTAAATAAAAAGTAATTAAATATTTTAAATAAATCTAATCATTTATACTTCATACATTTAATTATTATCATTTGATAAATTAATTTGTTAAAAATATAAAAATAAAATAAGCAAAAAAATATGTTTTATTTTAATGTTAAAAAAAATTTTAATATTATTTCATTCAACTAGCAATATCAAAAATGTTTTAAATTCATTGTTATTATATAACTTTTATAGATTTGAACTCATTCAAACAACTTTATTTAATAAGAATGTAAAATCATTAAATTAAATATGTTATAACCATAAAATTAAAATATTATCTCATTTAATTAAAATATGAAAATAAAGTGCTATTTCAAGTAATTTTTGTCATTTATTGCTCATGTGTTTAAATATTATAATTTAGAAAACTTTATAAGAAATTATAAAAATAATATCATCAAAATAAATATTCATCAATTTAATGGTATAACTATTAAATTAAAATATTACTACAAACAACTAATAATATATTAATAAATTATATCTTTAAGAATATTGTCTTTTTTAAATCAAATAATTGTATTTGATTATTTTTAAAATAATTTGCTCATAGTTTAATTTAGATTTTTCATATTCTAAAAGAAATATTTATTTTTTTACAAAATTCAAAATAATTTAAAGAAAAAATTTAATCCTTATAACTTACATAAATATTTATCATTAATTCTCCAAATTTTATTTATAAAATATATTTAAATAAATACATTTAAGCTCATCAAGTAAAAATTCTATAATTTAAACAAAAAAAATTTACTTTTTTATTAAAAAGTTTAACATAATTAATTCATTACAAACAATTTGTAATTTTAACTCTTTATTTATAAATAAAAAATTTTGATTATTAAAAGTATTTTTTAAAGAAATTATATTTTTTATCATAAAAATTTATGTATACAAACAGTGAATGAGACAAAATCTACAAATTTAGTTCATGAATGTCAACTAAGTCAGTAGGTAAGCTTAAAATTTGAATAAAAAAAATTGTCTGTTTATTTTTTTTAAATGTATGCTGTGTTAAATATAATTAAAAAAATATTATTTATTTTAGAAAAATTTATTGAATAAATATAATTACTATATTTTTAGGAAAATCTTTAGATTAACAAAGGTTTTTGAAATAAAATGAAAAATTTTCATAATTAAATGATTTAGAAGTAGAAAAAGATTCAGATCAGTTCAATAAGAATTTGTGAAATTTATTTGATTTATAAATAAATCATCATTAATATTCTTAAAAGATTGCGAATTCTAAATTTTAAGAGTTCATCTAATCACTGATTATAAAGTTTCTTGTATTGTTTTGAAATGGAAATTTTAGTTATTAGATTAATATTTTTTATAAATTATAAACAAAAAATTTTTAAAATTAACTTTAAAGCTAATTACTCTTTTAAATACTGAATTCAACAATTTTCAGTTTGTTTTGAATGATTTTTTCTATTGTGTAAAAATAAAACTAATTTAAATTTCATAATGTTTTATTTATTAAATTCTGATCAAAAATAGATGTAATAGTTAGGATTTATATCTTAAATAAATACATAATTGCTCATAAAATTAAATATTTAGGAACATTTCAAATTAAATTAAGGAGTTATTTAATTTTTTATTTGATTATCAAGTTGTAAAATAGAAACAAATTACGCAATTAAAAATTATCTCAGAAATCTTAAAATTAATCAGAAAAATTGAACTTTATAAATATGTGATGAAATATGAAAAAGATAAAATTAATTTTCTTTTTTAATAAATTACAGATTATAATCTAAAATTATCAATTTTTTCACGTTACTCTTTTGTCAATATTAATCATAAATTCCAAAGGCATCTTAGGATAAAATAAATACTTAAATTTTAATAAAATAATTTCAAGTAGCGAGAGATTTTGAATTTATTTACTATTCTACCATGAAATCAAAAACTAATTAAATAAAATAAACACTTTAATAGTAAAAAGTAGTATTTTTAAAATTGTATGAAATAGAAGGAATAATAAATCAACAATAAAACAAATATTCAATAGAGAACAGAAAAAGATTTTTAGATAGATACATAGAGTGATAGAAAGATTTTTTTTTATCAATTAAAATAGTATTTATTTATTTTTTGTTTGGAGAAGTATTTGTTAATTATAATTTTAATATAGAGTGTAGATAGATATATTTCATAATGATATTCTTGATATAATTTAATTAGTTTAAAGTTATGAAATCATCTTTCATTTTTCAATAATTTTGTTTGTGGCTTGCAATGTTTGTGGAAAACAAACAAACAAACAAATCAAGTAAGTAATTATTATATTTTATATAGGCTAAAATTTCAAATATTGATGTAAATATTTGAAAATGATATATATAAATTATTAATTTTGATTTTAGGTGGATAAACTACTCTTTAAAAATGAAAGCATCCTTAGACGTATGTACGTATGTATTAGCTTAATAAAGCTTTACTTCTAGAATGCAAGAAATGTTTAATATTTTTTAATTACTTTAATTAATTTTATCAATTTACAATTTAATTTCAATTATTGCGTATGAATTACCATCTTCTTTAAGAAGATGAAAGCTTAATCTTAATTTATAGATAATACCACTTAATTTATTTTTAGCCTGCAACTTTAAGATTAATGTATTTTTTTTAATTAAAGATTCCCTTTTAGACAAATTTATTTGATTTTTTTTTAACACTTCTTTATTAATTTAGTAACACTTTATGTTTTGGATGTTTTTGAGTTTGTATTTTTATATATTTTATTGACGAGTTATCAAATTTCACTCAAGAATGAATTAAATTAGGTTGTGCTACTTCTTTAATTGGTGCCTATGATGACTAGCTCAATGTATGCGAAGAGGAATTTCTGCTTCTTATATCTTCATCTTTTGTAGTGCTTTTTTATTACTTAGAATCTTTACTTATTTAGTTATTGTTGCTGTTGTTATTATTGCTTTTGTTACTATTACTATTAGATTTTTTAGAAGTAGAAGAAATATGTGATGATGATAAGGAATTTGCTAGGCTGCAGCTGTGAGAACTTTCTTATTTTTATCTGATTTCTTAGCTTTAGTTTAAAATATTACTGCTTGAATGCACTTGACTTTAGTTAGAAATTTTATTTTATTGTATTGAATGCTGGGATTATGATTATCCTAGAGAATTATTCTCGCTGCTAGTAAATTAGCTTGATTGATTTTGGCTTTATTTAATTGTTGTATTAAATACATTGTGTAAAAAGTTTTATCCCTCATTTTATTTTCCAAAAATTCTTTGGAACTCTGCAGTAAAGTTTCTTTGATCTATTTCAGAAGCTTTCTTTATTGCGTTTTTCTTTTCTTTTAATGCCTCAGAATAAAATTTTTCAATAAAACGGTGGGACTGCATTTGGTAAGTGTAATCTGGTTAGATTATTCTCGCTTCATTTCCAACAGTTCCACTTCCAGTAGCAGAGAAACCTCTTATTTAGTAGACTTCGTCAAGATATTTTTAGTCAACAAGTATTTAATATATTTTCATATAGTCTTCTTTAAACACTCCAGGAAGGATCTCTGTTTGCATTAGTTTCTAGTAATGAACTCTCATTTCAATAGGGATGGTTATGTCATCCAAAGTAGTTATTGAAATATGAACTTTATTGCTAAACAATAAATTCATCAATAATATTTATAATCTGCTTTAGGCATTAAAGATTTCAGCAAGTCCTGACCTAAAGCAGAATTATTAGTAATTTGATTCGTTTCCCGCAATCAATCTTATTAATCCTTTAGAATAACCCAATGCACAAAAAATACTATCTAAGCTAACTGGGTCTGTTCTTCTAATACTATATAAGAAGAATGCATCTTCAGGTAACTGATCCATCATTTCATAAGCCATTTGCTTTGACTTATGGAAATTTTCCTCAAACTACCACTGTAGCTGAGTAATGTGTGATCCATAGACATCAAATACTTACTACTTGATCATTTATTCCCTTTATAAACTCACATAATGTTATTAAAGCATTTGTGCTGAAGCATAAGCTTGCTAGTCATGCATATCTATTAAGCGCTATATCAAGGGTTAGAAATTAGTTAGAGTATTCTAACTTTTATGCATACTAACCTCAACAAGAGTCCTCTTTACAGTAATTGTATTTATAGGACGGAACATATTCCACAAAGAAACTTTATCATGTTCTTAGTTTTTTCTTTAATAAAATAAATCAAAGCTCACTATGATTTCCCCATTTATCAAAAACGCCTCAACAGGTTTGAGAGTAGGATGAATTCTATATTTAATTTACAATCTGTTTTCTTCCTATAATTCATCTAATTTAAAAGCATTCTCAGAAAATGCAAATTCTTCAAATGATAATGTTCCTAATTAATTATCTTCATTCTCATTTTACTCTTTTTCACAATTATAATCATTGCTATTCATATTATTACGTTCTACTTCTTCTCCATTGACAGTGTTTTTACTTATATTATTGCCAATATTTTACTCTTCTTACATTTATGAATCTTCATCAAAATCTAAGTTTTTCAACTTTCTTTTTTATTTCTATTTGTTGATTTTATGAGTAATCTACTGAAAATCTTGTTTTTCTAACTAAATTTAATTATTTTATTCTTTAAATTAGTATATTTCTTTTTAACTGTGAGCAATTCCTTGTTCTTCATCCATAAAATTAACATCTTCGTTATTAAAATTTTGTGTTTAATTTACTTGATTTAGCTGATATTAATATGGAATAGTTCTTTATTCATTAATTTATTTAAGAGCACTTAATTGATTAGCATCATTAATACTTTTGTTAGCTTCCATGAAATTTTTTTGTTATACTTAGATGATGGCAGGTAAATTTTCTTCTTCTTTTTAAGTTTAATAAACATTTTGATTGCTCTTATTATAATGCATAACAATGTCATTATTTTATTTGATGTCTTCTATTGCAGTGTTAAAATAATTTATTGAGTTACATAACAGATTTTACTGCTGCTAGAGACTTTGTTATTGTTACTAGTGGATAAGGTGATAGTCATTTAAAGATGGTTTATCATCTCTGTTTTTACACTCTTCATCCCAAGCACTTTAATTATTTTAAAAATCAGCTTACAATTTTTAAATTTATTCCTCTTTACATTAACTTAACTCCTACATTTTTTTATAATAATTTATTTTTGTTTAATCCTCAATGATAGATTTGTTATTCATTTGCTATTGCTATTATTATTCTACAGCAAATTGCATAGGTGTCATTCCCTATAAATTTAAGTCTTATTGATCATAGGATTACTAATAATTTTTTTAATTATCATTTCTTTTTTTCAATTCTTGCTTCATTAAATTTAAATATTGAGAATCAATTGTTTGCGAGCCATTTGTTTACTTTTTTTACCCTTCAAGACCTGTTTATTTTATTATAAAATTATGATAAGACATTAAACTATAATTAGAAAATATAAAATAAATACATAAATATTGCATCAAATCATCTTATAAGCTATATTATGGCTTGATAGAGCTATCCTGGGCTAAATTTCTCTGATTTAATTACCCCTAACTGATAAAATTAGCCTTATTTTATAATAAAGAGTTGTAGTTGATTCCAGCATTATTTACTATTGTTTCTGTACTGCTTACATTTCCATTGCTAAAATTATAATGTAAATCATAACCTTTTAGAATTAAGTATGAATCTTTTGGCCTATATTCCATTTTAATCGCATCTTGTTGCTGATAGATTTCCTCTTCCATGATTCTAAAGATGAGACTTAGATGCTATAAGCTTTAAGTTAGTTAATTAGTTGCTAAATAGGAGAGACTTCTAAATTCAATTTGATTTTAGAGTTGATTTTTTATCGAATTTGTTGTGTATACTATAGTGATAATGAAAACTATTAAATGATAATAGTTTATGATCTAAAGCAAAAATTAAATGTTTAAGTTATTTATTAATTATGTATAAAAACTTAAATGTTAATTTGTAATATCAACCAATATCTATCAGTCTTTCTATTTATCTATTTATTTTTTAATCAATCAATCAATCAGTCAATCAATCTTTCTATCTATCTATCTTATGATTTGTCTAATAAATTAATCAATTTTGATGTCAATTTTAATAATCAAAAAATAGAATGAAAATATATATTCGTTCTTTCCAAAATCTATATTTGCAAATAACTTTAACTATTTTTGTTTTCTTTCTTCTTTAATTTTCTTCTATCTTTTTTTTTTGATTATTTAATTGATTTAGTTATTTTTTTTGTGGAGGAAATTAAAGTTACTAAAAAAACCAGGATATTTATTACAAATTACATAAGTAATATCAAAAAATTTTATAGATATTAAAAAATCTTAACTTAGATTTGCTTTTACATATTTTTTTGTGAACTATATTTATTTTTTGTAGAATGATAGTGAACTATTATTTATTTCTTCTGTTTAAAAAATGAATAAATAAATAATAGCTTAATAGATATTCGAAGACTGGCACAAGTAAGAAAAATATAATTCACAGCTTTTTTTCCAGTTTAAATACAGTGTAAATTAAAAGTATCCTATTAAATCAATCAGAATTGTTTGATCTCCTAACAAAAACCTAATTTCCCTTAAACACTGATTAATTTTTTTTCCCTTATCTTAATTGATTCTTATTGATTTTGAGGTAAAATCTAAAATCCATATTATTAAACTTTGTATTGAGGAATTCTTTCGTCATGTTTGTTACGATTAAAGAAAGATATTTAAAATAAAATTTTACTTAAATTTTTCAAAAAACTTAAATTCTGCGACTAATTAGTTGCTTTATGCAAGCAATTCAGCATTTTTTATCCCACTTTTAATAACTTACACTTTATATTATGGATCTTTCTCAGAATTTGCAAGATTATTTCATTACTTTAAACATTATACTATTTTTTGCTTAACTATATCATAATTAGTTGAGTTTTGAAGTGAAATCCATATAAACTTATCTAAAATACTTTAATGCAATTGAATAATTATGATTACTTTTCTTAATACCAATTCCAAATTTAGCTTTTTATATAAAATCTAATTAATTATTTTCTCAATTATCTTATAAATTTTGCATAAATTACAAATTCTAAAATCAAATGTTTCTATTCTAATAATTTATTTATTAATGTAAACAAGCAAGATTCAAACTATTATCTTAAAGTTATTAAATTTTGAATATTGTAAATTAAATTTTTACAAAAGAAAACTAATGTAATAAACTGTGAATTGATAAATAAGAAAAATAATAATGTTAAAATTGTTACCCTTTCCATCAAACATTTTTTTTATCATAAATCATATTGATTTCTTCATTAAATAAGCTTTGAAACAATTAATTTTTTATGTTTTCAAATAAGCTAAATATGATTTTAATTTAATATGATTAGCTAATTAGAAAATGGTTCAAATATTAAACCTATGCTGACCTAATTTTCTTAACTAATCTAAGGAATATAGACTTATATTAATTTCTATTAAAAATTGAAATATTAATTAATTATTGTAATATTAATTAGGTTATCATCAGATTTTTTTGTTTCTCAATTGATTTATTAATTCATTATAAAGATGATTCGTTTTGTATTAAAATTTTTTAATATTTTCTGCTCATTTATAAGTTATAATACCAAATTACTCAATCATTATAAATAATATAAACTACTTAATGTGTTATTTGATTCGAAAATATATTACATAACATAAAATTATAAAAAAACACATTATAAGTCAATTAGAAAATTTATAATGAATGCCTCTATGTATGAATATCAACCACCTATTGTTTCAAATTTTTGAATATTTGAAGGAGTGTTTGTGGTAGTTAAGAAACTTATTGCTCATTCATGAATTTAGTTTATAATTTTTTTAAATTAATAACTAAATGTATAATTATAATTTTTTTCAAATATTTATTTATTGCTTTTTGTATTTATATTGATTTCTATCTAAATTATAAATATTATATCTATAAATTCATTTATATCATTGGCAATTAAAATATTTTGTATTCAAATTTTATACCATTATCACAAATTTTAAATTTATTAATAGTAAAATTCAATGATTAGATTATATAAAAAATAGCTATCTTAATAGGATGTAAGTTATTAATTTTCAGGTTATTTTTTCTTACTTTACAAATCAAATTTTTAATTATGTAAACCAAATAATTTGTTACAATAATTTCATTCTTTTTCTTAAAAGAGTTTTAATTTTAAATAATATATTCTTCTTCATTTTTTAGAGGATTGTGCTAAAATAGTAAGTTAGTTATCAATTTATGTTTAATTTTTTAATTCCTTTTTAAATATAAACTTTCAATAATTTTTTCTAAATTAACTGAAATTATTTATTATTTTATATTTTTAGATTTATTAGAAAAAATGAATTGTATTTGTTAAAAAAATAAACAACAAATTATTTTAGGTAACGATTTTAAGTTCTAAATTAAATGTTTCTATTTTCTTAATAGATTAAAATAAAATTTATTATAATGAATACATACTTAATTATATTATTGATAGTTTTAATTTGAATTTTCACCAAACATAAATTATTTTTTAAAAGTTTTAGGCTTAGTGTTTGTTTGATTAAAGCATTTTAATTTTTTATCTTAAAAATAATTTATGAATTCAAAATTTTATAACAGCTCAGAAATTATAATGATAAATTTACAAAAAATATATGTAGCAAATATAAAAAATGCATAATACTTAACAAAGAAGAATTTTAAAATGTAATAACTTAATTGAAGTCAATATTTTAATTAATTTTGAATAAATAAAATAATAATTAATAGAAACCATATTATTAACCTTAAATAAGTAAATTATATTTTCTACTTATAAAATATTATTACTGTAAAAAATTTTTAATTAGCTTAAAATCTTATTGGAATTAATTAAAAAAATTGTTTTTTAGAAATTTGATTTAAGCAGGGGTTAAAAGTTGAAGGAGGACCTTAATATATGAGAATCAATAGTATATAATAATTCATAATTTAATTATACTTATTAAATAACAGCAAAATATTGATTGATCCACAACTTAATTAAATATAAAGTACCAATATTGATATCAGTTTTTTTAAATTGAAATCAAAATATTTAAATTAAGAACCTTTTTCTATCTAATAACAAATTGTAATTAAGATAGATTTTAAGAAAAAAAAAATGATTAAAGGATGTCTTAAACAATTAAGAATTAGAATATCTGACATAATTTAATATTAAGTTTCATAAAATAATTTATGATTTTGGAGCTAATGACAAAAAGAATTGATTTTAATAATTTTTGTGGTTGATTATCAAGCTTAAATATTGATTAGTAAAAAATATATATTTTAAAATATAATGCCTTCCAAAGGATATATTTGATCAATAAAGAAAATAAGAATTTCCACGTTTAAAATAAAAATAAATTCCCTTTCAGAAAGATTTAATTAAAGGTAAAAAAAATTGAATTATAAAGAAAATGAAAGGATCTATTAAATTTAATATCATAGGATTAGTTATAGTGCTATCTTTACTTATATAGGGTATAGAATGCGCAATCAACACAAGCCCTCATAGAAAAGTTACTTTACTCACTTATTATAGTGATTTCATTGATTCTATAATGGGATTAATTGAAGATATTGCTTTAGATTTCATAGTTCCTGCATATCAATATATAAAATCTCATACAGTTTTAAATTACATGTTTTTTACTCTTCTCATTATGCTATGCGTGTTCAATATCTTAAGTAATTTTAACCACATTTTTAAAAGCAATAAGAAAGTAAAGTTCGTAGCTAATTAGGATATCCCTAAAGATTCAAAGTAGCTTTAGAAACAAATAAGATCTTTAAGAGAGGCAGTTAGTTATCTTAAATAGCAAGCATTAAAGCACTAGTCTGGAGAAATTCCTGTCTAATAAATGGCTGGGCAAAATAACTAATTTTAACATTAGCAAGCCACCACCTAAAACGTTTAAGTGTAATTAGACCCTCAAGTAGAATAGAGAATAATTAAGAACTAATAAAATATTGATTCATTAAAATTGAATCTAATGAAGATTGTTGAAATTTAGTAGGATCTATAAAAATCAATCGTAGAATCTTAACGTGAAGTAGCTTAAGATATTCAAGCTGTTAGAACTAACAAGCCTGTAAAGAAAATAGCTAGTGGTTAGCCTCATAGTTCTCAACTTGACTCTTCTTAATAAAAGACAGGTCATAGTAATAGCAGATAGAGTTCTACATCTTTTTTGGAGGAGTCAAACGAAAATAAACTTCATTAAATGGCAGCTGAATAAGTTATATAGCAGCAATAGCAACAGCAAGAAAAGTAGGCTATTTTATAATAATAGCAACTGTTAAATTAGCAAAGATAGATGCAATAAAATTAATAGAAAATTTACACAGAACAAGCCTAATAACAATAATAATAATAAGAAGAAAGAGAAAAACCAGTATAATAATAATTATAGTAAAATTAAGACTTAAAGACTTTAAACCCTCCTCTTGCAAACTAATCAGAAATTACTAATTAAAATTAATTACCTCCAACTACTACAGTACCTTAAGTTGAAAATGCTAATGAAGTATAAGATTAGCATCCTCATGTTAATGATCCTTTTGCAGCTCAATCTGCTTTCAGTAGACCTCCACCTCAAAGGCCAACTCCTTTTGGTGGAAGATAGCCTCCAAGTTTAATGAATAAAAAGCAGCCTGTGAGAAATATGCCTGCAAGTAATGCACCAGTTGTTTTACCACCAAAGTGATTATCTTAATTGTTAAATAAATAAATAACCTAACAAATATTAATATTCAAATAAAATTATATGGTTTATTTATAATAGAAAGTTTTTTGAAGAAAAATGTTATTCAGTTTATTTTATCATTTAAAAATTAATTTTGTTATTTGAAAAACAAATTAAAATAATTAATGTTTGTTTAAACAAACATATTTGTTTTCAATTTAAAATTTTAAAGTTTAAATAATAAATTTTAAAGTTTAAATAATAAATTTTAAATTACTATCTCATTTTAAAATGTTATGATTTATTCTTAGATTAACCTGATATTGGAGTTAGTTTTTTGATACATTTAAAATAAATAAATAAATATCTTTAACAAACAAGATTATGAAAATTATAAAATAATTATTTTTTATCACTTTTTGTAACTTGATTTATTGAATTTTCTTGGTTGATTAGATTTTTTATTTAGAAGGAAATTTTAAATAAAAAAATTAAAACCTAAGACATTATTTATAAAAACTGATTGATTTTTATGTTTAAAGTAATCAGATTAAATTTTATAAATATAGTTCAATTTATTAATATTTAATTAATCTTTTGATTATCGAAACAAAGAATCAACACTATTACTAACTAAATCAATATTTATTAATCTTTTGTTCGCAGTTGTTTTATTATTTAAAACTTAGGAGTTATTAATAATTATTATAATAACGTTTAGTTATATTGTATTAGATTTAGCGTTATAATAAAAAAACTATTTGAACTTAACAATTTAGAATAAGGAAAATGCTAAGCAAGCAGTAGAGCGATTTTAAAAGGGATATTAATAATAAATCAGAGCTTAAACTGCCAAGATTACTAAATAACAATAGCTCTGATTTAATATCTAATAGAAACACTAACAATGGAGATACTACTAAAATATAATTTAGCATGAATGCTTCTATACTAAATGGGTCTATGTCGACAAATAATACTTCTAAATTTAGAAGAGCAAAATATTTTTTAGATAATTCGATTATATCTGAGTAAACTGGTTAAGATATCGCTTAAAAAATGGAATACATAAATCTTCATGAGCAAAAGAAAATTATGCAACCTGAATTAGAAACAGATTTTGATTTAGCTAATTTTCTTCTAAGCAAAAATGAAAAAGACAACAAAAATTTACCATAACATTATAGTATGGAATTATTTAAATAAATTCTTTATTATGAATAAAGAGTTATTGTAGAGATTTTTTTATTTTTATTTTTAATCCAAAATAGTGCTACAAGATGATCTGAAAACATATTTTAACGTTGAAAAAAAACCTGTTTATGCTAAGATAAGCACAGTAGGTAAAACCTTCCCTTTGAAAGTGAAAGTAACAGCTACTGAGGGAACATATGACTTTCATTTTTCGTTCTTTGAACCATTTCCTGACAAAGAGAAGCAATCAGAAGAATTCCCTTAAAGAAAAGAGCATCTTTATAAATTTTTAAAACCAAAATAATTTTCATAATGGGCATATTTTTGTTTGACATCAAAAGATTCAGCTAAAATAGAGTTGAAAGTGTGGTTTACAAGTAATTAAAATAAATTTATTGGCATTTTTTACTTAATAAAACTAAATTTGGAATAACATTTTCTATAAAAAATATAAAAGACCAGAAACTTGAGAAATTCAGATCATAATTTAAGTCAACTTCTAATAAGATTGCTAATAATTAATCATTATCACTGAAAGAAAAACTTAAAATAGAACTGAGTGAATAAGAAAAGAAAGCTCTTTACTTAGAAGTTAGTAATATTAATCTTTATTTTGATAAAATAAATTTAAAAACTATTGTTTAAAGTGTAAATAAAGCAAAAGAAATTCTAGAAATTAAAAATGCAAGACCAGCAAATCATCGACAGAAATAAAGAGCTAGCTGCAAATTATCATTTATTGCAGAAAAAGAAAGAATTTGACCACATTCTTCACAAATAAAGGTGTGAGGAAGTTATTCGTAGAAGTATCTCTTAATAGTTACTAAATTACTAAGAAAAGTACTAAAAATATTTTTCAAAAGTGATAAATCATAGGATTAATCTCGAAAAAGTTAAATAAATTTTACCTATTTTAAAAGTGAAATAAAATATTATTTTAATTTAAAAGGTTGCAAGAAAAAAATTCTAACAAGAAGTGAATACCTTAGCATTTAATTGGATACCGTTTATTAAACTTGCTATCATTTGTGACAAATTATAAGAAAAAATATATGTAATAAAGATAATTTAAATGGTAAATTTAGATGAAAATTATTTATTTTTATTAATAAAAAATAGGTTAGTAAACTTGCTAGTATTTTTAAAGGAAGAAGAGTAAGAGCCTTTGAAGAGCTAGTTAGAACATTTAAAGGGAAAAAGTTTGAAATAAAACCTTACATGAACGATAAATAGAGACTCATGTCTGACATATTATTGTAAATTACTTTATAATATTTTTATTTTTCATAGTTTCCTTATTAAAAAATAGATCTATGAATGTAAAAGCCAAGTAAATTAAAAAAATAAAAAAGAAAATGGCTGCAAAAGTACTTATCTACTTCGTACATAACTAAAAGCAAAATAGTGTTCTCAACACAATAGTTGCTTTATCCAAAAAAATGTTGCATTAAGGTTTTATTTTTTATTTAATTGCTTAAATTTCATTAAATTCATTAACTTATTTATGAATATAAAAAAAATAAATAGTTCAGTTAATTCAAAAAAAGCGCCGCTAAACTGTAAACTTACATTAGTTTATTACAATGAAAATGCTAGATGGATTATTTGAGCAACTTAAGGATGAAGATTTTAAGAAGAAATAATTAGCTACATCTGCAACTTAGACAACTGATTTATCATATTACATAAATTTTATTAAAAAGTAATAAAACTTTTATCGTTGTAAAAAAGGTTTAAATTTAATTTTATTAAAGAAAAGACAAACAAATTTTAGTTAAAGAATTCTTGAAGATTGTAAAGGAAAAATTTAAGCATTATTTATCACTAAGCACGGGAAAGAGACCCCCTATTACAGAAGAAGACTTAAAATTTATGGAAATAGAAGCAAAAACCATGAAGAAAGATGTTGCAGATATGTTAGATATTAGGGTAGTCAACAGGAAAGAGATAGTTTATGAAGCTGTAGAAATTATGGATGAAGTTAAGAAAAAAGAAGAATTAGAAAAAAAGTAATAAGAAGCCGATGATGCTGAGATGAATGAATAAATTGATCATGATTAAAAAAATAGTTTAACTTAGAAATACAGTCAGTTTGATACTAAATATAAATTAGATAACAGAGACTGGAACCTACTCGAAATAGTAAGGAACACATAAGCTAAAATAAGAATTATATAAAGTAGACATATCCTTAGAGATCTACTTATTTAAAGACTAACAGAAATTAAAGCTGAAAAAGATGAAGGCTTAAATCAAATTTATTTAACTTAAAATAATTAATGAGCAAAAATATTTTTAACTTTATAAATTAATTTTAAATAAAAATATTATAAATGATAATAATTACTTGATTAATATTAAGAGAGTGTTTATTTTAATAATATACTCTAATTGTACGACAATCAAATAAAGAATGCTAAGAAAATTTATTAAGCTTAAAAATAGCAAATCGAAGAGTATTTTTAAAATAATATTTTTTAGTATGCTTTTTTGAGTTTTTATCTTTTCTTAAAGTTTACTTTGGATAAATTATATAAATTTTATTAATTGACGTCTCTCTATCTTAAAAATTAATGAGTTCAATTAAATTTAAACTAATTTTTAGTTACTAAAATGTAAATATGATAAAAAAATTATTTTATAATGTTAAAAGCTAGATTTATAAATTATTAAAGTTTTTTAGTTTTTTTCAATTTTAATTGCTATCATTTTTACATGTAGAATTATATTTTTATTTAAATTTATATTTAAGAGAGAAAATGATTTTATGAAATGCTTCAAATACTAAATTATTTAAAAGTAAAAATATTTGATAAGAACTATGATACTTTTAATTTTAACTTATATTTTAATAATTAAAATTATAATTATAAAATTTTGTGATATTTAATTTAACTAAATAATTTAATAAAGTTTTTTTTAATTATAATAATTTTTACTGAGAGAAATATCTTTTTATTTAATCTATCTATCGTTAAGATGTAAAAATAATGAAATAAAATCACTTCAAATATTAAGATAGTTTTTATATAAAAGTAAAAAATATTTGATCATTAAAGCTCCTTTCAATTATTTTTAATTTTATGTGGTAAAAAATTCTTTTATCAGAAATAATAAAAGATATTTATATTAAATAGGTATTAATATTTCAAAATCCAAAATTAAACTTCATAACTTTTTAGTATATTTAAAGCTTAAAAAGTAGACTTGTTAAACTATGTTAGCAGTGAACTCCGTTAGTGAAGTATATTTAACTTAAATTGAATTAGTATCAAATATCAACTTTCTAATGTTAATAGTTTGCTAGTTGTTAAATTTCTAATTTAGAATCTATAACTTTGAAACTAAGGTACTTTAATAAATTTAAATTCTGTCAAATATTCTAAATGAGTTTTATTAATTAAGTTAAGCAACTTTTAATGATAAAGAAATGCAAAACCTAGTAGATTGTTTTGAAAAGTGCTCTAAGCTGACATATCTTTCAATCCAAATAAAGTTAGTTTTAATGATATTTCTTTCTTTCTTAAAATATGATATATTTATATATCAGTCCTTCTGCTATAGATGATCAAAATATCAAACTATTTCTGACAGGTATACAAAAATTAACCTTGTTAAAAAATTTACAGCTTGATTTAAAGTAATTTGCAAATTTTTTAGTTTTAAAAAGATATTAATAACTTATTTAATAAAAAATTTTATTAGTTTAAATTGTTCACAAAGCTATGGAATTTTAGAGTTAGGATTTAACTTATAATTTATGTATAATCTTACAGATTTAGATTTAAACTTATCGTAATATTAAATGATTTCAATAATACTTTTAGTGGATATTTCATTTTATTTCTTTAGCAATCATTTGATTTCAAATAATGGAGCCTTATGCTTAGTAAAAAGTTTAGAAAATTGTCAAAATATTTAAACTCTAAAATTATTATTAAGGTATTTAGATTTTATTTCTAATCTTTAAATCTTTGAGATTTTTATTTTTTTAAAAGAGGAGCAGGGATTTCAGAAAAAGGAATAGCTGATATTTTTTAAGGTATTTGCTAAAATAAAAACTTAACCTCGCTAACAATAGATCTTGAGTAAATTAATTTTTATTTTAATTTAAAAATATTAACATCATAATTATTTAAGTTGATACAAAATTATTTTAAAAATTGAATTTTTTTTATGGTAAAGTCACAACTAAATAGGATGCTAAGGAGCTACTGATATAGGTATAAACCTGGCTTAGCTTAAGCAACTTAAAATTTTAGTATTAGAAATAAAGTATATTAATTCAATAAAAATGTAACCAAGTGTTTTATTACAAATTTTTAATTAGCTTTAATTAAATCAGAGATGAAGGCATTAAAAATTTAGGTGAAGGAATAAAATAAATAAAATCATTGGTTGTGCTACATTTATTTTTAAGGTATCAATAAATTTATCATTATTTTTAATAAATTAAATAGAGCCTTTTATTTCTTACTGATTTACTTTAGATTATTTGTTTATTTAGAAAATTCATTTTATACTTTTAAAAGTTGATTTATTTATTTTTTTTTTTTTTTTCAGTAGTTTCTAAATTATCAAATTAAATAATCTTAATATTTTTTAATAGATATAACTATTTTACAAATGCAGGAGTTTCTTAATTGGGGAACTGTATTGGTTAATGTGAGAATATGTAAAGTTTAATCCTCGATTTTGGGTATATTTTTTATTTATTTTACTTAAATTGTTGAAAATAAATTTAAAATTTAAGGTTTAATAAATTATTGTCTGATGAAAATAATTTTGAATTAATTTCCTGTCTTGCATCAAACAAAAATCTAAATAAGTTGCAACTTGAATTGAAGTAATTATCTATTTATTAAAAAAAACTTATTTATAAATATAATTAAATTATTTAATGAGCTTAGTAGTTGTTAAATCGATTCTTAGATTGCTGCTAAAATAGGAAAAGGATTGAGTTAATTATTTAACCTAAAAAAACTGACCCTTAGACTTAAGTAAATTTATCTTTTTATAAAAATGCATAAGTTTGAGTTAGACTAGATAATTTAAAATTTAAATGAAATAAATTCTTTAAATATATTCCTTAATTTGAAATTATTTTAAATTTTTGGCAAATTAATTGTAAATTTTAAAAATTATTTTATTTTGGCATAGCAGTTTAAGTAATTGTTATAAAATCAATAATGCTAGCAGAACTTATAATACTTTATACTATATTTAAATTTTAATCAATCAATTTAATTAATCACTTAATAAAAAATTAGCTACAATACTATTGAATATGTTGGAGTTTGCCATTTAGCTGATTATTTAAGTTTATGCTAAAATCTAAATGAATTGAATTTAAACTTAGAGTAATAAATTTTTATATATTTTATTTAATATAATTTATTACTAATAAGATAAAATAAAATTGGAGACTAAGGTGTAATAGGACTGACTTCTAACATAAAAAAAATACAAAATTTGCAATATCTTTCCTTAGATTTAAAGTAGAAATTTCTATTCTAAAATTTAAAATAATTAAAAATATATCAATTTTTAAGAAACGTTTAATTAGGTAATTAAGGAATAGAATAATTAGCTTTAAACTTAGGAAATCACTCTAATCTTATACAACTAAAACTACATTTACAGTAATAGATATTAATAGTATGTTTTGATTAATTTACATTTAAATTTAGTGGAAACAATATTGAAGATAAAGGAGGATTTAGTTTAGGGTTTAACTTGGGGTTAAGTAAAAGTCTTTAGATTTTATAGTTATTTATAGGGTAAAATTATATTTTTAAATAAAATATAATATAAAATTTTTTTATAAAAGAGCAAATAAATTAACTGATTTTGGTAAAAATTAAATGTTCTCGAATCTTAAAAATAGCAAATAATTAATTGCTTTAAATATTGCTAAGTAAATTATTTAATTTTTAATCAAATTTACAATAATTTATATATTTTTTAAATTTAATATAGGAGAAACTCTATCAATTAAATTACAAAAAATAAGCTCCTTAAGATGCTTAGACTTACAAATTTAACTTGAAAATGAAATTGTTTTTATTTAATTAAAGCTTTTAATATATTATTATTTAAGTAAATTATTTATTTTGATAATTTTTGCAAAAAATTTATAAAAATGCAACTAAAAATGTGTATAATTTTAATTATTACCAATTCTACATTAAAAATTGAGAAAAATCTTTCAACATGTATAATTTCTAAGAATTAAATTATATAAATGAAGATAATAAGATATGCTTTATGAATTTAGACTTTTCTTTTGAATGATATCATTAAATATAGTAAAATGAATTAATAATTATTTTTGTTTTTATTAATATTTTTTTTGAAGTATCTTTGAATCGATTTTTTTTGTGTATGTTTTATTTGAAGAAAATATTTGATTTCAATGTTAGAACTTATATTTTTAATTATGGTAAGAAGCTATTTTAATTAAATAACAGGATTAAATAAATTTTTTTATTATTTTTTTATATAGTTCATTTTATTTTTACAAATTCATAGCAAATAAAAAATCATAAAATTGCAAAATCAAAAAATAAATATTTTTTTCTTTTGAGAAAATATTATTTTAATTTTAAAAACACTAATCCCTCACTCACTTACTTTACTTCCCTAAAAGAATTACAAAAATTAAACTTTTTGATTTCTCAACATATTTAAGTTTAAAATAATAATTTAAAAATACTAATAATAATTCATAAATGATAAAAGTTTTATTATTATAATTAGTTATTATTTCTAAAAAACAAAAAAAGGAGTCTAGAATTATCATAATCATCATAGACAATCTTTTATGACTTTTGATAAATTTTTTTACTATTTTTAAAACCCACATATCTTTTTTGTGAATTTGTGATTTTTAGAAAATATAAAGTAGTATGTAAGTACCATTTTCATTTATAAACAAATTTTTTTAATTTTTCAATTAAAAGAAATAAAAAAGTAATTATAAAATCCTTCATTTTAATTGAAAATATATAATACAAAGGTTGATTTATTGATAGTTTAATCGATCAATAATCATATAAATCATATAATACATAGGAAATGTTAAGAGGTATCAGATTGGATAGTTGGTTTTAAAATATTTGTATTTCTAATATAGTTTTATAGAGAAAGTTAATTTAAGGAATTTATTAAGCATTAATTTAGAAGCTTTTGGGATAGAATTAAGTTAATTAATTTAGTATAATTTTTTATAATTTAATATCTCTAATTTTGTTTTTGATTGTAATAAAATCGAATTTTTATTATTAGTAATCCAATTTATTTTATTAGATTGTATTTAGTAAAAGATTTAATATTTCTTAATTACTCTACTCGTTGATTTATATTTTTGTAGTATCCTAAAAAGTACTAATTCCAAAATCACATAGACACTTATTATTTTCAAGATTGCATTTTAATATAAGAGTTTTTGATCTTTTTTTTAAAAGTAAATAAAATTTAATTAATTAATTTATTATTTAGATCTAATTTTTATTTGCTTGCTACACTTCTAATTAGATACTCACAGATCTGGATAAAGAAGCCTTACTTATTTAGCTTTCTATTTACTAAAAATCTTCATCAAATTTATGAAAGCTCGTTTACTTTTAATAAAATATTTCAAGTGGGCCTTTAGTTTTGTATTAGAATATTGCGAAAAGAGTTGAAAATAGCTCAATCAAAATTAAGAATAATGAAGCAAAAAGGATTAAATTTAAATCTCTTGAAGTGTCTACCTTAAGAACTAGTTTTATCGTAAAGAGTATAATTATCATTATGTATTGAATTAGATTATTTAATAATTGATATTCAATATGAGACTCTGCTTTTTCAAGCACTTGAAAGCTAAAAATGGGTTGTATATAAAGTGTTAAAAGTCCAATCAAAGAATTAGGTAACTTTATATTCCATATCATATAAAAATCATAGATAATAAACGGTAAATAAATAGAAATAAATGCTATATTTTCGTTGATTATTTATGATAAAATTATATAGAAGCTAACTTTTTTAGAAAGATAAACCATAAATTTGTAAAATTTTATTAGGTAATTTTACTGTTATTTTATTAAAGTCTAGTTATTTAGCACCTCAGTAAAAGCCATGTGGAAAAAAAAGTAAATATTTGAGATGATATAAATGTGAGAATAGTCGCTATGTCCTTTTAGTATTATTAAGTTATTAAATATTATTGGAATAATATTGATTAAATTTGATAATATATTTTATTTGTAATTAAAGACTTTCTGGTCAAAATAAGTAATATCATCATAGACAGCATACCAAATACTATAATCTAGAAAAAGAGCATTTAGGATGAGACATTTCAAAATGCTCAAAACACCAGATTGTAGTATATAAATTTAAGATCCTCTTATAAAGGATGAGAGCCTCTCAGTAAGTATAAAAGAAACCAGTATAGAATACATGATATTTAAGTTTTCTTGATTATAAAGTATGGTCAATAGAATAATTATGTAGTAATTGGTAACTAATAAAGAAAACTGTAAAATCTTAAAATGTTCTCCTTTAATCATTTCTTCGCTTCTTAAATATTTTGGTTTAGATTGTATTTAAATATATTTAATTATTTCATATTAATTTCTAATTTTTAGCCTTTATTCACCAAAACAGTCTTAATTATCTAGTTTGTGATTTAGTTAGTTAGTGAGTTATTACGAGCAATAAGCATTACCTTGAGAAATTAAAATAATTAATAATTTATCTTTCAATTTCTGATAAATTTTAATTGATCTTTTAGAATCTCTTTGATTTCTTCTATTTTAAAATTGCATTCTCAAGGATTTTGATTACTTATTTTGAAATTTTTAAGTTTTCTAGTCAAAATGAGTAATCTCTAGGTCTCTACTTTAAATATTCAAAAATATTTTAAAAAAGATAGCAAGCGGATAAGCCTCTTTTCTATACTTTCTTTTTTTTATCAAAAAAAATATTTAAATAATATTTCTTTTGACAAAATTTGTCTTATCAAATTCCCTTTCCAATAAAACCTGAGCAGTAAATATCTTTTGATTTTCATATATTCTTATTTAATGTTAATTTTGTCAATCTAATTAATAATTAATATCCACTATAAAAAAAGAGGTAATTAGGAAATTGATTTATTTATCTCTAATGACATATTTACAATCAAAATCTTTTAATTTATTTTGTTATCGATCAAAATTAATAAAAGAAACCTAAATATAATACAAATGCTAAGTTGTACCAAATAAAATTTTCCATAATTAATTCAAACTAAAAATTATAATTAATAAACTACAAATTCTGATTTTACTATATTATAATCTTAGGCTTTAGAGTTCTAATCATAAAAATATAAAAAAATTATTATATTTTCTTTTTTAAACAAAACAAAAAGAATAATTCACTTATAAATAGAAACAATTTTAAGCTAAATTAGAATATATTATTTAATAAAAAAATCTTTAAATTTTTAATTTTCAATTTGAAAATATGGAGAAAAAGCTAAAGTAATAGATAATTTTTTAACTAACTTTAAATTTTAAAAGCTAAATTAGATAATTTACTGAATAAATTTTTATGAGCAGATATCAATATTAGGATTGAATTTATCAAATATTTAATTAAATTTAAAGTTTCAAATAAAATACTCTGAAATTATAAATATTTTTAAATTTTTATAATTAAATGATTACTCTTTTTTATTTTTAATATCATAAAACTTTTTGTTTTATTTATTTTAACTGTAAATTATATATATATATATTTTTATCAACTTTAATATTTATTTATAAAAAAGTATTTTTACTTAAAATTTAAATCATTTTTGAAAATAAAATAATACTTTTTAAAATTACTGCCAATAAATACTACGTTAAACTAAATATTCTAAGAAACTTCAAATAAATCATAATAAATAAATTAATTAATTATCAAAGAAATATATAAAGAAAAAAATTTTAATTTGAACATTTTTTATCTTGCTTTTTATTTAATTTGTAATTCTTATCCTAAAATATTTATTCACAACATTTTCATGATTAAATTATTTTGTTATGCTCTTATGATATTTATCATTGAAAATAAATTATCATTTTATTTTTTTAATTAAATATTGAAAAAATTACTGTTTAAAATATTAAATCCACATTTTTATTTTAAAAATAGTTGATAGAATTTTGATTTTTATACTTATAATAAATCATTTTTTATGTTTAAAATTGTTAGATTATCTTTTTTAATAACAAAAATTATGAATATTTATGTTTTAGTTCTACAAATAAAATATTATATTTCAAGTTGTAGCCAATAATAAGTATGAATATCAAATAATTAAATAAATTTAAAAAAAAAAAACTAATAAAGCAAAAATGGTTTTTAATCAATTAAAATATACAGAAAAATTACTCAATCAATAAAAAAATATTTGATAGAATTTTGTTTTTTATACTTATAATTAAATCATTTTTTATGTTTAAAATTGTTTGATTATCTTTTTTAATAACAAAAAATATGAATATTTATGTTTTAATTCTACAAATAAAATAATATATTTCTTAGTTATAGCTAATAATAAGTATAAATATCAAATAATTATATAAATTTAAAAATAAAAAAATAACTTATAAAGAAATTTGGTTTTTAATCAATTATATAAAATATACAGAAAAATTACTTAATCAATAAAAAAATTATTGTTTAAAATATTAAATCCAAATTATTATTTTAATAAATAGTTGATTATAATAAATCATTTTTTATGTTTAAAATTGTATTATTATCATTTTTAATAAGAAAAAATATGAATATTTATGTTTAAATTCTACAAATAAAATAATATATTTCATAGTTGTAGCCAATAATAAGTATGAATATCAAATAATTATATCAATTTAAAAATAAAAAAAATACCTTTTAAGCAATTTGGTTTTTAATCAATCATATAAATCATATAAAATATACAAAATATTTATTGGTATTAGTGGCTGTAATTCATTTTAAATGACTTTACACTGAATAATAATTTTATGAAAATAGCTTAAAAAGGGAATATTTTTATGATTAGTCTGAAAACTTTTGGGATAAAATATTTTACATTAATTTAAAATACTTCTTTGCAAAAAAAGTTCCTATTATTTTTTTTCATTGGTAATAAAATTGTATTGCTATTTTTAGTAATTCAGCTTGTGATCTTGGATCATTTTTATAAAAAATTCCACATTTTATTTGAAAATGTCTAATTAATGTGAGTTAATCTGAATATTATTTTATTTTGAGAAACTAAAAATTTTAATTTCATCTTAATAACTTTCATCTTTTTAGCTTAATAGTATTGATACATTTTTTTCTTTTTTTTGCAAAGTTAAAAAATATTATACAAATGAATAAATATGCTCCCTTATTTCTATATTAGTGTTTTTAATTTCTAATTCAACGGAAACACAATGAGACAAAGATGCTCTCTCAATATTTTTAACTATTTCTTCCATAGTTTATTAGTGATTTTAGTAATCAATTTAATTTTAATAAAAAATCTCATATGGCCCTTTTGTCTTGTATTAGTAAATATTATAAACACTCAAAGCGAACTCTAAAATAGTTGCAAGCATAGCACTGTAAATTATAATATTTACAACACTTGTGTCTATATTAAGCAAACAAGATTTCATAAAAAAGAGTATTACGATTATTGTGTATTATATAAAATTGTTAAATAGCTAGGTATCAGCTTCTTGATCCAAATATTGTAAAGCTTTGTAGCTGAAAATCATTTAAATCTATAAAATCAACTTTCCATGTAAATTTTTAGTAAAAATTTTTTTCCAAACAAAAAGTATTTCTTGTAAAATTAAGAAGGCATAAATAGAAATAAACCCAAAATTGTAAGATATCAATTAGGCCAAAATGAGAAAGTAGGTTATATTTTTACTAGCATAAACAAAGATTCTATAAATATCAAAATGAAATGAGAGCTCCTTTATTATTTTATTTAGGCATTCATGAAATTAGTGAGATTGATATGAAATAAACTATAGACAGTTGTTATCAAGCAAAGCCAATCCAAGCTATCAGCGTTTAATAAAATCAAGCAGTTAGAAATTATGGGGATTATATTAATAGCATGAGAAAGAACATTTAATCTTTTTATAAAGAGATTATAATTAAAGTAAATAGTTTCTTCATATACTCCATACTTAATACTCTAGTCAAAAAAAAGTAAAGTAAAAAGAAGGCATTTTATCACTCCTATAGGCCCACTGTAAAGTATGTAAAAATATATTCCTTTTAAGTAAGATACAATCCTCTCTATTACTATGAATGCAGCTAATGTGTGAAATAGTATATCTTATTTAACTATTTTATAATATATAGCTAATCCAAGTATAATATAGTAATTAATTACTAATAAGCTAAACTGTAATTAAGTCTTTAGCTTGCACTTTTCCATTTTATTTTTTTATCAGTTTTTAAACTTTTTTATTAATTATTTATATTTTGAAATTTGTCACTAATCCTTTAATAACACGTCATAGATAGTTTATACTTTTGCAAAATATCAATAATTAAGTAAATAATTCATACACATTCATTAATGTATAATTAGAGCTCACTATTACCAATAGAAATACATAATTTTAAATTTGAATAGTTTTACATAAATAAGCGATTAAAAGGAAAATACTTTCATATAAATGTTGTGTTTTATTTAATTTAACATTTTATTGAAAGAAAAAAATATAAAGAAATATTTTATTATCCATTTATGCTTTTTGTAAAAGTTTCATTAGAGAAAAGTTTTTAAGAAATTTTATCCTCAATTTATTTTTCCTCCTAATTAGTTTACTTAAATATTAAATGAATTTCAAAATAATTCATAAGAATTTTTAAATCTTATCAGATTTTTAAAAAGTAATAAAAAGTTTTGTGGAAAAAATTAAGTTTTTGTAATACGTATTTTTCTTATTTTTAGTTTTTTCTATCAAGGAATATAATTAAAATAATCAGTAAACAATTTTTGTAAATAACTAACTACTTTTGTGACTTTCTTTTTCAAATAAAATTTATGTTACAAACAAATTTCTTTTAATTTGCTTATTATTTGGTAGTTATATTTATAATGTGCTAAAATTTTCTGAAACATTAATTACAAAGTTAATACATCTTTTATGATGTGATCAATTCCTTAGTATAAGCCAAACATATGAACTTTAGTCAATAAACTAATAAAATTATTTTTAACCTATAAGAGTAAGATGTTTATTAAGCTAATAGCAATTTTATAAAATAATTTATTTCTCAAAAAATAACAATTCTATAAAATAATTTATTTCTCAAAAAATATTAATTTTAGTCTATCGATGAACAAATTTAAATGGTTGTGATTCACTTTTTAGCAATTACTTCCAAGGCTTTACTTTATTTTAATAAAATTTAAATTAAGATTTTCTATCTTTGGAATAATTTATTCCTTCTTTACAAAAAATCCAATTTTTATGTTATTTTTTCAACCATGAAAATTTATCTAACAAAATAAAAATTAATATTAATAATTGCTAATGAAATTGATTTATTTATCAAATTAAAAACATAAATACTAATAAATTTAGCCTATTTAATGATTTAAATACTTTATTTAAATAAAAAACTATTTGAACTTAAAATTATATAATTTTGAGATAAATAGAATAACATAAAAAATTGATGAAAAAATAATTTAGATTATGTAAAATTAAATAGGTATTTTTAATATCATTTTATATTTTTTAAGCGTGGCAAGATGAATAAGTAAGTACATTTATTTGAATTATAATAGATAGCTATAAATTATAGATTAAATATTAAGATACTTATGTTATAATAGTTTAATTTAATTTAATTAATTTATTAAAATTAATTTTCTTATTTACATTCATTATTAATTATTTTTGATAAATCAAATCAGATTAAAGGATTCACTTTTGAGATTGATAATTTATTTTTGTGCTTAAATTGTATAAATTTTCTTTTTCTATTTTTTTTGTCATTATTCTGATTCTGCTAATAACATCTACAATGCTAATGCAATCAGTTCTTTTTTTAAATAATTATTGTAAGCTTAATTAGAGTTTCAAACAAATTTAATTACCTTGATTATCCATAAGCATCAGAGTAGCTCTTACTAACACTTCCAGCTTATTTCATTAAGAAATTAAGGGATAAATTCATAAGTTTAAGTGCAGTTTTATAATCATCGCCTTTTTTATATGATATTTTTAGTTATTAAAGCTCTAAAAACAAAATATTATTTACCAATAGTCAAAACCCCCAAACCACCAGCTTAGAGTATATCAACTAATAAAAATGTAGCCCCATATTTCTTCTCAAGATCAAATTATATAGCTTCAAATCTACACATTTAGAAGAAATTTTTAATCTTAACATTTTAAAGTCCAGGATGATTAACGAATGGGCAATAAAAATATGTTCTCTCTTCAAGTTTGCTTGTTTCTTCATTCAAAAAAAAAAAAATTTTTATAAAAAATTGAAATTTTATAAAATTACCCAAAACAGATAGGGATTAATAATTATCCAAATTTTCTGTCAAACTTGCAAAATATTTTCCATTTTCCTTATTTAGCTTTCCTCTCATTAAATAGTCAAAATAAAAGAAAGATGCTTAGTAATTATTCATATAACAATCTAAGCCTATACCTTGTATTGTATCTCCATATACTATGAAATCAGCAGTTACATAACCAAAAACACCTTTTTATTAATTAATTATTTTAAATTATTAATTTTTTAGTTATTTATTTATTTACCTTTTTCATACAATTTAGAGCCTATTTCAGAACACAAATTTGTTAGATTTATGTTAGATGTAATCGACTTTTATGGAAAGGAGCAACCTTTAAAATAAAATATTTTTAGAATTTTTATTTGTTAATTAAAGAAATACATACCTATATTTATAAATAAGCTCCCTTGAATTTTATCATAAGCAGTAATTAAACTAACTTCACCACTTGGTTCTATAAAAAATGATAAAGAAGGAGAAGAAATAACAGTTCTATTCAATAAAACAGGGTAGGCTTCAATTATTCCTCCTCTTCTTAAAAAGCAAGACAAATATTCTTTGTAGTCTTTGTAAAGAGTAGGCATTGCAATTTTTACTTTTGAAGCTAAAGTTTTACTTACTATTTACTTTATTTTTTATATGATTTCTTCAGTAACCTTTTAAATGGTTAAATAATTAATATTTATCTTATTATCAAAAACATTAATAAACTAATCTATCTTAAAATAAGGATTAATTTATAGTTAATTAATTAATTACCTCAGAGTATTATTTTAGCAAGTCCGATAATTGGTTTATAGAATCAACATTGTAATAAGCTAAACCTCTTCCTTAGAACTCATCATCAATTTTAAGTACCCACGTGCTTATTTCTGGATTATTTGCTATTAGTACTGTTAGAGTATTTATGAATTCGGTTTCATCATAAATTTCAAATGCTCCAGGAGGAACATCTATTTTACAAGAATGGAATATTCTCCTTGCTGCAGATTTTGTTGAATTAACAAAAGAAATTTAAGGGTCTCCTCCCATAATTGGTATATTAAGTTCGGTGGCAAGTTTTATGTCATCATTCGAAGGATATCCTGGAACGATGTAGCCTTATTTTCCTTTAATTAACTTTTTGATTCTTTTTAGTGCTTAAGGAGAGTATAACAATTTTTTAGAAAGGGAAAAGTGAAAAGGGAATGTGTCACAATTTTCAGGTTTAATGAAATACAATCTATCTTTAAAGTTTTATACATCTCCTAATTCAAGAATCTAATTTTGAATATTAAATTTTAATAAAAAAATAATTAATTATTACAAATAAAGTTAAAATTTTCTTTCTAATTAATATCATCTAATTACTTTGTAATAATAATTTGTAATGTCGTCACTTACTCCAAAGGGGCAGACATAAATAATAGAAACCATAGGATCTTTTATTTGGAATATTCTTGTTATTTAAATATTCTCTCTTTGTAACTATTTATCCATCGTTAGTCTCTTCAACTCCTAATTTATTTTATAGATAATTTTAAATATAATTTACAAAGGTTGTTGAGGATTAAATTAATTTCAAACAAAACTTTTTATTTATAAAATTGTTAAATTTTTTTAAATTGTAAATAAATAAGTATTTGATCATTTACATCAACTGAGAAAGAGTTAATATGAATTTCGAACCTCTTTTTGAGTTTTATTTCTGGCCAATCTAATTTAAACTAATGTAATGTTTGCTTAAATTTATCAAATAGCTGTTCATTTTTTAGCTTTATCAATTTTTTAGTTTGTTTTTTATGAAGATATAACCTAGCATACTTTTATATTATCTTAACTATTTGTATAGTTTATTTTATCCTTTTGTATTCTCTGTATTAAAGAAACATTCTAATTATTGACTAAATCTTTACAACAGCAAGTAATTTTCCTTTTTCTCCTTTATACTTTCTCTTAGGCAACTTGACAAACTTTTAATTATTTTAGAAATTGTAAATTTTTTACTAAGCTTTGAAAAATAAAAATTACTTCATCAACCATATCTTAATTAACTATACAATTTAATAGCTCTTCTAGAGTAGGTTTGGTTATTTTTTCGCTTAATTAAGCAAGCTAAATTTAATTTTAAAAATGGTTAGCAATAAGAAAAATATTATAAGCAATAATCTACTTTTTTACCATCTAGATAAAACATAGGAAAATCAAATTACTTAGCAATTTATTCAATTTCCTTGAGTAGCTAATTTATTTATCCCCATTAAAGTTAATAAATACGCTTATAAGAGGCATATTCAGGAGTCTCTTCTAAAACTTTTGCCTTTCTTACAATTAAATGATGCAAAGAATACGCATCAAGAACTTCAGGATATGTTTTTGCTTAGGTCTCTTTTAATGTAAGTTCAAAATCATCCTATCTTTTTGATTAATTTAAATCATGATTTGCACTTTAGTCAAGTAGCTTATTTGAAGGAACAAATTATTTAAATTTAAAGCTCTTTCTTTAAAAAGAGTTTTAAGATGCTTGGGCTTATTCTTACACTTTTTGATCTTATTTAGGCTTTGGCTGAATTGCCTAAACATCTAATTTTATATTTATTAAATCTATTTTAGGTTCTATATTAATTTCTTATTTTATCAGCTTTTCCTTAAACTCATGCATTCTATTAATAATAAATTATAAAGAAAACTATTTATATAATGTAATAAATATATTTCTAATAGCTAAATTTTTTAGTTAATTAAATAATATCAAATTATAATTTTATTAAAATTGAAAATTATTCTTTTAATTTGTGAATATATTTTATCTCATTTATGGTAAATATATAAATTACATCATTGGTTTATTTATAAGTGGTGGAACACCTCTCGAAAAAGCTGGCATAATATCTACATCTTTAGGAACGACTCCTTTGTTTATAAGATTGTATAAACCATTATATATTTCAGATTCTGTAATTGCAACAGCATCAGCAAAAGGGTTGTTTCTAATCTCAGGAGGTAAAACTGAGGCTGGTTTTGAAAATCTTCCAAGCTTTAGCTTTTGCTTTTAGTATGAAGATTTGTCCTTAGCAGTAGTTATAGCATTTGTATTATGCATACTCATACTTTTTTATCTGGGTAAATCCATAACATTTTTATTCAGATAACTCCTTCCTATTTCAAAGCTTTTATCAGCTACTTTCTAAAAGGAGAAATCCTTTTAATTTCTACTATATTCAAAAGACTTCTATTTAAAATTTTAAATAATTATTTTATATTAAAATATTTTTTAGTTTTTTTACATTTTAATTTTGCTTAATTACTGAATTACTACCTTAACCTAAAGGCTACTTTTGGTATCGTTTCTGTTAAGGTAAATAAAAAGGTTGATATTCACTATTTTCATTTAAGCTCTAAAAGTTATTTGTATTTGCCAAAACGCTTTGATTTTTCGCTGTCGATTAAAAGTGCTACTATGAATCTATTGTTTTGTTAATAGAAGGAAATTTCTAAGGGACTGAATCAGGTCGAGCCATATTCTAAAGTCAAAAAACATAATTTTTTTAATAAAATTTTAACGATATAAAATTGCTAATATAAAAAAAGATTGCATAGCATAATTACGTGAGTGAGAAGCCTATCAACGTTGGTTTATATTGAGTTCTCAAATTTTTTTATTGTATAGGTTAATCTTTGATAAATGTTTTATATATCTTAAGCTTCTGCTACATTTCCATTTCCTTAATTAATTACCACAAAATAAATATATTTAATCATATTTTTTAGCTATATTGAGTAAATTAATGATAAATCTGCTAAATGATAATAAAAAAAACCTTGCTGAGTATTTTTTGCAGTGGCTATAAAGTCGAGCTTCTTTTTTAAACTTTGAATTTCATCCTATGCATTTACAATTATTTTTCCTAAATCTTCTGAATTCATTTTATCTTTATAATTGTGCTATGATTAATTTTTTTATGAGAAATTATTAATAATTGATGAATGGCAAGAAAAGGTGTATTTTGTTTTGTATTACTTAATATATCTTATAAATCAATAATTACTATAAACAATTTACAAAATATTATTTATCTTTGAAACCAAATAATTAATTTTTTTTTGTAAATTCAAAACAACAAAAATATTAAATTTTAATCAATTCTAACTTATCAATTTAATAAATATAATGTTTGTTTTTTATTCATTTCCAATACAAAAAGTTATCTTATTAAATTAAGTTAGTAGTAAAAATCAAATCTTTGTAAAAATTAAATACAATAAAGATATAGAATTTCAAGATATTATCATCAAAATTATGCAGAAAGAGAGTAAAGAACAAGAAAGATACGATAACGTTTAATATAGTTAGCTTTTTAGCTTAGATCATGGCGGAATTTACCACTATTTTAAGAAGAGAGTCCTCAAATTGACTATTAGGAATATCTTTTTAGGATATGTGATTTTAATGCTTATCATTTTAATTTCTACTAGCATTCGTACTCAAGGTAAACCATAATAAAAATGATTTTATGAAATAAATTTATATTGAATTCTTAATACATTTTTAATTAAAATAGAAATCCTACAAAATATTGAGGAAGGACAAACAAACAATTTGGCATATATTAATAGTTAAATATAAGATAATTTATCTCAGCAATTCAATAGTGTAAATGAAAAATTATTTAAATAATTTCAAAAAAAATACCAAAATTAGGATAAAAAAATGTGTTTTTTTTAATTATATTTAGATCTATTTAAGACTGAACTACACAGGGGTTATTTATTAAAATTAAATTACTTAATTGAAAACTTTTGTGCTTGATCAAAGTTGTAATCTGCAAAAATCTGGTTCAACAATTGATAATGCAAGCAATTGTGTTATACCCTTTACGTTGTCTAATATAGAATCTGCTTTAACAAATCCTAATAGCAATAAGCTATTATTTTATAAATATAATATAAATTCATACAGCTAGCTAAGTGCCTAATAATAAGCGAGCATAAATAATATTATACAGTTTATTGATTTATAAAGAGCTGTTTTCAAGAGTATAATCGATAATGATTCCCCAAACAAAGAAGGCTTGGTTTACTTTTTTTATTTGCCTTAGGATTAAATGTTTATTTTTGATTCTGTAGGAATGAATTCTGCCAGCATTTAATTTGCAACTCTTTTATCAAATTACTAGAATTGTATCCGTTATGAATAGTGTTTAGTTGATGTAGATGAAGAAGAGTGTTAAACTTATAAGCAAGACTGTGAATATTATGCCAAATGCAATTAAGATGTAAAGCTTTGATTCAAATTAAATTCCCTTTAATTAAATTTAAATATTTTTAATGTAAGTTTTAAAATTTTAATTTAAAAATAGTATTTTTATGAAAAAAATAATTTATTTTTATAAAATCTAATTTAAAAAATTAACAAAAACATTTAAATTTAATGTTCAACCAACAATAGATTGAAAAAAAATTAAATGAAATTTGTATTAAAATAATTAAAAAAATGATGAAAAATTATTTTAAATATTTAAATTGTTAAAGAATTTTGGTTAAAATAAAATTTTTAAATAATTTAAAAAATTAAAAAATAAATATCATAGAATTAAGGTGGGACATCAAGCAATGGCTATAATTTGAACTGTATTTAAGAAGACTAAATTAATAACTATCCTTATTAGATTTTTAATACTAAGTTACAGATATCAAGCAATTACTATCATGTATGCTTATCAATTATTGTTAACAAACTTAGTTTTTGTAGTAGAATAAATTTATTTGGCCTACTGAATTAGTTATTTGTCTTTGATTAAAATAGATATTCATTTATTTTGACTGATTAAAATTTTAATATCATTTACAATAATTTTGATAAAGTAAATTTTTTTAAGAGAGAAACCTTTTAAGATAAGATAATGCAACTTGGATAACTAAATGCAGAAAGTAATTACTCTCCTTCTACAATTGCAAGCTAAATTAATTAGTTATTTAATGGATAATCCTAAATTAACAGTAACGTTACCACTAATCAAATAATAATCAATATTGATTCTAGTTAGTCCTATGATTCAATGTATTTTCTTTACACAATCATAAATTATTTCTTATTTCAAATTTATTTAAAGTAAAATTTTAATGTCAATGGATGTTCTGAATTTGTAGCTTACTTATGCTGAATCTATTCAAACTGATCCAACAACTTAGAATTATGGAGTATTTATGATGACCTCAAGTGATAAATTCTAAGAATAGAAAGACTTTTTTGATATTTTTTCCTATTATTACTTTATTTTTACCTCAATAGAAGTAGTTTTTATAATGATATTCTTCTTCATTTTATCATTCGTTTTAAAGAGACTCTTGATAACGATTGCATAATCTATTATCGTAAGTTACTTAATTTTTTTTTTTAGTTTAAATTAAAAAAATGTTTATAAAATAGTTTTTCTGTAACTTTGTCAAAAAAATAGATTAAAATTTTGACAAAAATTCAGATGAAATTCAAGATTTCACTATTTTTTCTAAATAAAATATGCTTCCTTAAGAAATTATTGTATTAACAGAAAATTTAGATCATTTTGTTTGGGTTGTTGATTTCTTTTCTAAGTAAAGCTCAATAAAATTATTGTTTTTTTAATTCTAAATTAATTTTTTTTTTAGGGCAAAAGAAGCAAAGCACGAAAATATCATGCTTAAAAAAGGTATATTCATATTTAAGAAAATAAATTCATATGAAGGTCTTGAGATTGTATATGATAAACTCATATCAAATTACAAAAAGAATGCAAATGATGTAAAAAGTATAGAAGAAGCAATGAATCATTGTAGAGAAATTCTTTAAAGTAAATTTAGTATGAGAATGAGTATTTATTTATATGATGTTTTTTTAGTTTAATTAGATTATAGAAACGAAATCTTAGATAAAAAGGATAGATAGTCTATTGCTGATGATGATATGCAAAAGATTAGCAATAAGATATGCTAATATATCAACAATATACTTAATTTAATAGCAAAACTACTTTCTTTCATTAAGCAACAATAAGACAGCAAGCAGGAGTATTAATTATAAATATTATTTAAAATACTTAATTAACTACCCAAAACATTAGATTTGACGAGAAAAAACTTGAAGAATACAATAATGTCTATTAAGAAATTATTAAAATATCTAAAGAATTAAACTTCAAAGACTTTTTAAAAGTGAAGCTTTTGTTAAAAAATGCTAGGATATTGTATAAAAGAGCTGTAATAAATAATACAGCTCTGTTTAAAAACTCTGCTAAAAAACTTGATCATGCTTGGAGATTATTAGATGAAATAAAATAAAATGATAAAGACGACAATTTTCAAATCAAGAATATAACTGTACTAAGATAAAAAGTTTTATTCCACAAAGGAGTGGCCTCTCAGCATTATGGAAATGATTCAGAAGCTTTAAAGTTTTTGGTTTCTAGTTTAGTAATTTATTTTGTTCAGTAAATAAATAAATTAATTAAAAAATTTCAAAATAATTTTTAGGACTATGGAAATTACTACTCTAACAGACTCAGAGTAAAAACACTAAATTTTATGGCCAATATTCTAAGAAACCCAGCTTATAGAAAGAAAAAAGAAATTCTTAAAGATTTATCTGCTTTTATCCGTAAAGATAAAAGAAATTTTTACATCTTAGTTGATTGCTCTCGCTAGATTTAAGATAATAAAAATAAAGTTGCCACAATAATTTACAAAGTTATTATTTATTTATTCATTTAATTACTTATTTTTTTTTTTAAAAGTTATTTTAGAATTTATATTTTGGGTTGAATTTGTTTTATTTGAGTTAATATTATTTAATAGATATATAATGAGTATATGGGAGATAAAGATAAAATCACTATAATAAAATATGGAGATAAAGTAGACAATATTTTAGATTTATATGAAAAGGAGGTGCATAAAAAGAAATATGAATTTACAATTGAATCAATTGAGTAAATAAAATATTTTTATTAATTAAATTTTAATTAAATTTATATAAATAGAAAAGATTTATTTTAGACTACTTCAAGTTCCAGATGTCTATATAAGGCATTCTAGTAGTGCATAGAGTAGGCAAAATAAAAAGAAGAGAAGGCTATTTCCAAATACATTATTATTTTTGCTTTCGGTGAAAATACTACAAGGAAGGAGGTTAATTATGAAAAAAATGAACACAAGCTAGCTGTAAATATGTCCAATAGCATGAATAGCAACTTAGATGATGATAATTATTCATCAGGTAATAACGAAGAAAATAGTAATATAAGCATGTCAATAATTAGTATGAAAGATAAAATGAATAGGCCTGAAGGCGATGAAGATTTTGATAGTATCTAAAAAGAATTAACAGATGGATTTTTCCATTTACTACTTATTAAGTAAAATATAAAAAACCACGGAAGTCAAAAGAGTAAAATTATTCAACTCTGTGAAAAAAGCAGGAGACATTATATAATTGATTTAGAAACTAAACCTTTTATTACTGATATTATTAAAGATGTAGCAGGATTTCTTTAATGAGAAACAGAAAAATTTTTAAAAGATCTTTCAAAAATATCAAAAACTAAATCATTTATAAATAAGTGAAAAAATATTTTAATTTATCTAATTTTATTTCAAAGTTTTAGACTAAAATGGAGCTCTATATTTTCATAATGTAAAGAAATATAATGCTAATAATTATGAATCATGTTATTTTAATGAGTTTTTATGATTTATACAAAAATAAGTAAGCAGTTCCAAACATACCATATAATTTTAATTAAAATTTTTTTGATTTATTAATTTAATATGTTCTTATTTAATAGTTCTGAATTGGTTTAATTTAATCAAATTAAATCACATATAATTTCTAATTAAATATAAAGGTTGATTTTTAGTAATTAGTATTAAATGATGGTTAATTATGAAGATAAATAAATTAGCAAGTTTTAAATTTTATTTGATTTGAAGTGTAAATTAATTTAAATAATTAATGCTTTTTTTTTAAATTAATTATTTTGAAATGGATTAGAGGGATAAATAATTAGTTTTTAAACATAAGTATTTTATTATAATTTTTTTTAGCAATTTCAGCTTGATTTCGATTTGCATAAAATTATACAAACACTTAAGATAATTACAGCTATAATTGAAAAAGTCAAAATATTAAATGCTATTGATAGCTTATAAAGAATTCCACAATTGCTATCACACGTTATATATAAGCCAAACGAGCAAACTAATAATCCAGTTATTGCTAATATCTCTAGTAAATCAATAAATTTGGAGCAGTTCATTTCTTAGCCATCAGATTCAGATTTATTTCTGCACCTGTTTATGAACCTTAAAATTTAAAAGCTAGTGCTAATAAAACAAAATATACTGCAGGTAAATGACCATTTTTTAAATGGTTCCTATTAACATTAATTAGTTAGTTCATTATCTTTTGTAAAATTATAAAATAAAAATCCAAAAGTTGTTGAAAAGGAAAATTGAAAGATTGTTAATATATAATAGCAGCAGACTAATATCATAGCATTTTTTTTCTTTAAAGAATTATTCTAACTATCACATTCATTAAGATTAATTTCAATTGTTTCTTACTCTTATTAAATTTATAAAATAGGTGTTTAAGTATCTTTGTCCTCCATTAAATTGAATTGTTTTCCTTATCATTATTATTATTTAAAATATATTGATTAATATTAAAGTTATCACTATTTTCTTTAATTCATTGATAAATATTTTATTTTCTCAAAAAATCCTCACTGTTTTTGTATAAATTTATTTATTAATTAAAATTATACAAATAAAACCATTACCTTCTCATATAATTACCAGAAAGAAGGCGGTAGGTAGTTTTAATTAAAAATGAGCTATATTTAATCTTTTAATTTTATATAAAAATATATATCTTACACTTCATAAATTAATATAAAAATCCTTTCTTGAATTAAGATTACATTTTTATTTTTGAGAAATGCATATATTTATTTTCTCATAAATAATATTTGAATCAAAAAATTTTTGATAATTAAAAAAAATGAGTTTATGAATTGTTAAAAAATATTTTAGTAACAAATAAATGGACTCTTAAACCTTTATTTTTTAATTATTTAAACTTTAGTTTAGACTTTATCAAAAAAAGCATCTATTTGAATTAATATTAATCAATAAATATATGATAGATGTATCGTTGAATTGAATAAGTAAGTTAAATTTGTATTTAAAGAATAGTTAATTTAATTTTAGTTTTGAGATTATATTATTGATCTGACACAATATTTTAAATTAATGTATTGTAATTATTTTTGATAAGCCCTACTAAAAAATCAAATTTTTTCCTTAAGAAACTGAAGTCCTTTAAAAAAGTTTAAATTTTAAAATTTTTTAGAAAAATGGAGTGGTAAAATTTGAATAATTAAGATATAATTAAAGAATAATTACTCTTTGATATATTTTTTATATATTTTAATATATCAATTTAAATTCAAACTTAAATCTCTCAAATTGAATATTTTCCAAAAGCTGAACCAGATCCTAAGTACCTTAATCTCCGATGCAGTTACCTTAAATTTAATTTAAAATAATTATCAATTAAAATTAATTTTAATAAATAAACAAAATGAATTTGATATTGGAAGAAATAGATCTATCTAACTAAATCTAGCACTCAATTATTAGTTTATATATAACGAATATTTAAAATCAAATTAAATAAGAAAATTAAATTACAAATAATGTCAGCAATATAGATAAATAAATAATATCTTTTTGTTTTCTTATTTTTCAGTGAAAATTTTGTTAACTAATTATGAAAATAATCTATTGAATATAACCATAAATTAATAGAAAATATTATATTAAGCAAGAATTACTAATAAATTTTAGTTTTAAAGACAATGATTATAAATTTGGAAGGAAAGACCTACGAAGATGCACCTCTTCTGGGCGAGACTACTCTATCTAGGACATATTTAGTTTTAAGCATGCTTTTTTGCTCTTTAGTTCATTTTATATGCCTTAGTTGGGTCAAAGATGCTTTAGGAGATATGATGGTATATCTTTTCTTATGTTTAATTATATCTCCAGTTATTTTCATGCTATTTATAGCTCCTACTAATAAGGCTTTCACATATTATTTAACTGGAGAAATGAAAATTAATAAAAATAATATCTTAACTATTATTGTCATGAGTTTCGTCTCATTTGGATTAAATTTCCTCATATCATTGGCCCTAGTGAAGGAGTTGATTAATTTGTATGATGGAGATATATTATCTATTCCTGTTCCAGTACACATTGATAAGTCACCCTACATGACTCTTTTTTATCTTGTTTTTGTAATTGTTATGCCTATCGTAGAAGAAAGCTTTTGGAGAATATACATCCCAAAAAGCTTCTCTATAAGTATCGAATCTTATATTATGATATCCTTAATGTACGGGTTCATGAATTTTGTTATTCTTTACTCAATATTTGGACATCCTATTTATGGATTGATAGGTTTTATCTATGCTATATTAGTGCATTTTATCTTTACCTATATTCACTAGCATAACAGAGCAATTGGTCTCATGTTGGTTTCCTTTGGAATGCGTGCAGGCATAGCCATGAGCTTGTATTTCTTCTTGTTTTTGAAAATTAGAAATGCAAAATATTCTTCACCTAGTCAACCTAATTCTTTATAGACTTCTATGCATGGTCATAACTGAAATTATAATAGGAATTTTTTTTAAATAAGTAAGAATGAATTATAAAGGTTTAAAGACATTTTTGATATAAAATATTTTAAGATTGTTTGTACATTTTGTATTTGTTTGTATATATATATTATTTACTATTAAGATAGATAGATATATAAATACTTACATTAATAATAGATGTCTGTTTAACTTAAGAAAAAAACAAAAATAAATATATTATAAATTATCAAATCATCAAATAAATTAAATTATTTGTTTATTTAGAAGACTTAATCATATAAATTTATAATAAAAAAATAATATAAAATAAAATTAGTTAGATATTTATTTTCTTGCTTTTTTATTTCAATTAAGATAATTTTTAATAATAAATAAATATATTTTAGTTATGAAATAAGCAAATTAATCAAGGGAATTTAATTAAATATTCTAAAAATTAAAGATAATAATGAAACAAAATCAAACATGAAATTACTGACTTTATCATAAATAATTTGTTGGAAAATTAGAGTATTTAAATCTATAAACTAACTCATTTTTTGAGGAGTTTATATTAAATATTTTTCATAATTTAAGTTGAATTATATGGTTTTTTCAAAAGTTTAATAAGTTTTCTTTTTCAGAGAATGTTTTGATAAATAGAATTAACTAGGTTATTTAAAAGATTTATGAGTAAATGATTATTTTTATATTAGAAAATATTCAATCTTCTGTAGCTTGTTCAATAAAATAAAGAGAACTTATAAAGCCAACACCAAGTAAATAAAACAAATATTTTGTTACTTGATATCTGTTTTTACTAAATTCCTCAGCTATAACTTCTTATGTAGATATATAAATAAAAGTACCAGCACTAATACTCATTAGAATACCACAAACAAGGTTACCTGCTCCGCTGAGAATCCATCCTAAAGCTATTCCTATAGGGTTCATTGCAGCTTATATTGCTATCATAATAGAAGCCTATTTTATCTTCATGTTGGACTATTTAAAAGCAAGACCTAAAACTAAACCCTCGGCCCATTTGTGAGCTAAAACAGCAAGAGCTATAGTTAAACACCTTGAAAATTTTTATTCAACACCTATAGCTAAGCCTTCAAGACACGCATGAATGCCTAAAGCAACTTAAAGAACAAAAGGAGCAAAATAGTTTGAAATTTGGCTATCTTGTTTACTAACTTCTAATTTCACTATGCTGTTCTCTAATAAGTGTATATCTTTTGAAAATAAATCATCTTAGCAGTGAGAATATCTCTTTTATTAACAACCAGAAATTGAATTTTGTAGGCTGTAATTAGTCTTTGATGAATTTATTAAATGATGCTCCTTGTTTTCAGTGTCTTCAATTACTTTTTTAATTGCCTTTTGATTTTCAATTTCCTAAAAATTTTAATCTTCTTCTATTCCATTTATTGAAAATTAATTTTAAATTTAATCATTTTTAATTTTATTTTAACAATCCTAATTTTCAACTCTAGCATATTATTTTTAGCTATATTTAACAACATTTTAAATATTATTATAATCATGATAAATGGCATGACTTATAGTACTATCATCGTTACAGCTATTATTGTGATAATATTCGTTTCCGTTATGATGTTTTTTCTCTTATACCTCATCATGCTCATTATCTTCTTCATTGTGATGATGGATTCCATGAAATTATCCTCCAATAACTCTATCTAACAATAGAAGAAAAGAAAAACTAGCCACAGTAATTAGCATTTAAAAAGGAAAATGTTAAGTTTAGTTAAGATAATTATCAAAATTTTCTGCTGCTTCGGGAAGGATATGAATAAGTCCCACAGACAAGAACAATCCCCCTGAAAATGCAGAAGCTATAGAAAGAACTTTTTGATTTTCCCTAAAAGATTTGACTCTAAGTGGCATAATCCCAGTAACTATGATAATAATATACATAAAAATCATAGTAAATGTTTTAATTAGCTGTATTTAAGAAGACATTTTTTCTTTTTTATTTGATTAAAAATTTTTTTTATTTACAAATAATTGTAAAAAAAGATATTTTTCTTTTAAAATAATAGTTAAAAACGTATTAAATTAGTAATTAGATGTTTTATTATTGAGAATAAAATAGTTATTAATTAAAATTTCTCATTAGTTAATTGTTTCTTATCTGATTTGTCAATTTATTACTCATAATTCAGAAGAATTTATTCTTCAATTACAATATCAGAAATTAATTAATCATTGAATTCATCAGATTAAAATAACTTTAGCAATATAGAAATATTTCGCTAAAAAAAATTACGAGTTTACATTAAATAATATGACTAAAAATAATGAGAAAATATTTTCATATTTTAAATAAACTCTTTTATTTAGAACAAAAATTACTAATCAAGTGAAAAAACTTTAGTTTTAAAAATATTTAATTCGTGAAAGAAATAAAAAAAATAAATTTTATTATAAAACTTATCAAAAATATGATATTTTTTAAAGTCTTAATTATGAATTATAAAATTTATCTAAAAAAAATAAAATTATTAAAAACTTAACTTAATTTAATTGATTAATGATAATTTATTTATTATATGATTTAAAAAATTTTTAACAAAACAACTTTAAAACTTCTAAATAATTTTTTTAGAATTTGAATTATTAAAATAAAAATTAAAAAAATAAAACATTTAATAAATACAAACAAATTAGTAAATTCACTAAAATAATTTATCTTATAAAAATGTATTTTTTATGAAAACATTTAAACGGCTATATTTATTTTTCAAAATAAGAATATTTGAAATCAAAGATATTTAATTTTTAACAAAATAAAATTAGAGATAAGTTTGATATTTGATAACTAAATCATTTACTATTTATTTATAGCTATAAATTAAAATTTAATTAATTTTTACGATAAATATTCATTAAATTTCTAAATTTAATATTTAAATAGAATAGTTTTTTCTTCTATAAATGTTAATTTTCATAAATATTATTCAGTTTTTATTTGAAATATATTAATTTCTTTTTAAAATGTAAGTCTTTCTATATTTAGATTAAAAATTACTCTAAAAAAATACTTTTTTTTAATGATTTTATTTAAGAGATAAATTTAATAAATTTTTAAAGTTAAAATTTATGTTGTAAAATAATCAAATTAAAAAATTAATATCCAGAAATCTTTTACTTGATGAATAGATAAAATTAAATGTTTGATGTAACATAAAGTTGAATATTTTTAAAAGGTTTAACAGATATAAGAATAATATTAATTTAATGTTTGAGTATTATTAATCAGTCTTTTCGAAAACCTATGAAAACATCATTAATTATCTTAATTATATTCAACTCCTATCCTAGTAGATTCAATCGATTGAATGAATTTTTAGATAAATAGAAGATATGTAATAATTTAGCCAGATGATTTTTTCATAAGCCTTACCGAATAATATTTAAAAACAGGAAACTTTCAACCACCAGTGGCTTGCTCAATAAACCATAAGGAGGAAACGAAACCAATAGCAATAAGGAAGAAGATGTATTTAACAATTTTGTATCTTTTAACATTGAATTCTTCTACTAGTACTTCTAAGGTGGCGATATATACGAATGTACCTGCACTAATGCTCATAAAAATACCTGTAATAAGGTTACCTTGGTCAGATAAAGCCCAGCCAATACCTATACCAATAGGATTCATAATAGCTTATATTGCAATCATGATAGTACTCATTTTAAGATCAACGTTGGCCTTTTTAAAAGCAAGACCAAGAGTTAAACCTTCAGCCCATTTATGGCAAACAACTGCTATAGTGATAGAAAGACACTTAACTGTTTCCTATTCAATACCAATTGCAAGACCTTCAAAAACAGCATGAATACCAATAGCAACTTGCAAAATATATGGAGCAAGATTGGTTTTACCATCTTTTTAAATCATACTTAGCTTTGAAGCAAATTGCTTTTTCTTATTAAGACCTTCTCTAATTATATTTTCTTCGAATTCTTCATCGTCTTCATCTTCTCCTTCGTGTTCTAAGTGAGAATCAATATTAACGTTTTCAACAAGGTGAGATTAACGCTTAAGAATGGATTATTTAAGCATAGAGTGACTATGATCATCATGGCTGTGTGTATGGTCAGTAGCAATCTTTTCGATGAAAAGGATCAAAGCAAAACTGCAAACTGTAATGAAATAGCTCCATGGGAAATGCTCTTCATCACTATCTCCACTGTCGCCTTCTCCATCAGCAGGCTTATCTTAATCTTTATAGTAATCATCAAAGTGTTCGCTTGCTTCAGGTAAAAGATGCAAAATACCTACAGCCAAGAAAAGACCTCCTGCAAAAGCAGAAGAAAGAGCAAGGACTTTAGGGTTTGATTTAAAGCTTTTTGATCTTAGGGGTATATTTCCTGTAATCATGATTAGTGAAAACATGGTTATCATAGCTATTAATTTAATAATCCAGGCCTCCATTTCTACTATTTTATAAATATAAATCAATTTTATAAAGAGTTAAACCAAAAAAAATAATTTAAGAGAACATTTATTAATTTCAATCTTAAATCTCTTTTAAAGAGTAGTAAAAATCTAGAGATTATCTTAGCCATAACAAAATGCTACAAACAAATGAGACAAATATGGAAAAAAATCTATACAAATTAAAATATACTCACCTTAATGTTTATGATATACTATGGAAAGAGCTTAAAATTCTTTTAGTTAACTTAGTTTGTAGTTTTTTCTACTTTATTGATCTTATTGCTTACTTTCTAAATATTAAAAACAAATAAAAAGATTCTAGTTTTTTGTTTGTTTGTTTGTTTTTGATTTTTCTTTTTTTTTGTTTTTTGTTATTTTAGTTAAAAAGTAATTAATTATTTATAATATAAGTAGCAGGGATCGAAATCGCTGTATTTTAGTTAGTTGTTAAGCAGATAAAAGCTTTAACATTCAATCAAATTATTAATCAACCATTTAATCAATTATCAAACAAAAAATCAAGAAAAAGTAATGAATCACTAAATTTAATGAATCAAAATACACGGTAAGCATGTATTATTTTGTTGTTTGGCGGATTTGAATAATTAGTAAATTTTCATTTAAATTACAAAAATCAAAAATTTTTATTTATCGTATTTATTATTTTGAATAGTAACATAATAAGGTATAAGAATAGTACTTAACTTTCAACAAAGATTTCTTAGTGATTCTATGTGATTCCTAAATACTTAAAATGAATCACTCTCTCATGAGCCTAATTAAACTTCCTGCTCATGACATACACCAAAGTATAATCACAATACTCGGATAAAATGGATTATGATTATAAATACAAATAGAATGATGGTTTTAGGTAAGAGAATTTCCAAATTTGTATTTATATTTTTAAAAACTCTAGAATTATTTTATCTTATAGTTTAATAGCAAAGACAATATATACTGATTACTTAAAAATTGATATCAATAATTATTTAGTTAAGTGTTGATATAATGTTAGTGGATTTTAAAATATAAGCTATAATATATTTCAAAGTAATTTCATTTAAGATACTTTAAAGGTACTCAAAACAATTATTGGCTAGTGTTAAATTAATCTATCTATGTTAAGTATTTTGATTTTTCTGATTTACTTTGTCTGAAAAGTGTTAAAAATAACTTTTTGAAAAATAATAAACTCAAGTAATTCAAAGTAAAGTAATTGGAGAAGATAATTTAATTTTATTGTTGTAGGATAGATAAATCTTGATTCTCTAAATAAAAAAGTATCTTTACTTTTAAAATCAACCATATAAATTACATATCTTCTTTTTTAAAATTTATTTGGAACATTTTAAATCGGCTAATGCAACATTTTTATAATTTTGTATAATGTATTTTCATATTAAAAGGTAATAGTAGCCTTGAAATTAAATTTAAAATATTGCTTGTTCTATGTTAAAATACTATCAAATATAGCTAAATTTTGGAGATTTGATTGCAACAGTAATAAAAATTTATTTTTTTTTTAAATTATATCAAATCTTATTGGGGATAAATTTACAAGTAGCTAAATTACTTTACGAAATATTATTAATGCATAATCATAATAAGCGCTATTAATTTTTTTTATTTAAATTCTTTTATATATTTCCTGAATTAATTACAGCTTAATCAAATTTTGATATCTTTTTTAGTACTTATAACAAATTTTATATATGTAAGCTATTTTTTTGATGTTTCTGTTTACTTAGATATTTTTTTTAAGATATAAAAGATATATACAACATTTTATTTTAATTTAATGAAAATACTTACTTTTTATTTAATATAAAACAATTTGTAAATTTTTTTATTATAAAATCATCTTAAGGTATCAAAATAAAACTTTTCTATTAAAAAAAAAAAAAATTTGATATTCATTTATTTTTTTCTTTTTTGCGAATAGCATGTAAGCTAGTAAAAAAAATAATTCAAAAAATATTATTTGTTTAACTTTTTTTGAAAATAAAAGCAGACTAAATAACTCATTACTAGCTTTTACTGATTTTTTAAATCAATTATATAAAAGCAAATAAAATAAAAAAGAATATTAAATAACTTCAAAAAACAGATTATATTTTGTATTATTATAATAAAAATAAATAAGGAAAAATTGAGTTCAATTTTACACAGCTACTTTGTTACTCATTTAATAAGTTGATTTGTAAATAATATGTTCATGTAATCAAAAATATTAGATTAGCTTTAAAATTTAAATAAAGCTTAACTGCTTTACTTATTAAATTTAAAAAATTTTAAATAAAAAAATAAATGAGCGCAAAATATAAAAAGTGTTAAATTTATAAAATAATATGAGTTAAATTTTTATCAAAAATAAAATTTATCAACAGTTTTTATTAATTTTATCATTCTTTAAATTAATTTGTTTTTTAATTAGAGAAATTATTATCTTCTTGCGGTAAAAAGGAGAAATTGAAGTCATGATAAGGGTTATAATCATCAGAATTTTGACTTAGCTTGTTCTCCATAATTGTGTATCTATTTTATTGAAGGAGAGGTTGATTCAAATTAGATTAATTCAGTTTGTTTTCATTAAATTAGCCTTAATTACTGCTTCTTCCACTTCTTCTCCACCAAAGAAGCTTTGATTTTTTCTATTCATTTTAAACTTATTCTGCATCACTATAACCAGTAATAAAAGACGAGTTATCCATAAAATTATTATCTAAAGGTTTTGCTCTTTTTTTATTTTTCATTGCTTCTAAAGCTTACAATTTTTCTTTCTTGATATGCTTTTTTACTGTAAAGAGAGCAAGCTACCACAATAAACGAGCTCTAGCTTGGGGATCATCGCTCTCAGACATCTTTCTTCTTGGACTGTAATTGAAGAATTTACTTATAGAAGGCTTATATGCCTAAAAGAAGGAAATAATATACCAAAAGATCAAAGGTATATTTGTTAGAGATATAACTATAATAGTTACCCACCACCAAATAGAGAAATCATCTTTATCATATGAGAGCAAGCAGAAATGGAAAGTTACAAAAATAGCTGCTCCTGTGATTAGCTCCATTTTTTAACAAATTTCAGTCCAATAAGGGTGGAAATAAAGAACCGATGCATAATAAATAATTAAAATGAGATTTAAGACTTAACCCATGGTTCTTATGTCTTCCTATAATAGTACAGGTAACGAAACTAGAGCTATTTTTGTGAAAAATCTCACAAATTCCCAATAGAAATATTTCTTTCTAAAATCACCTAAGATATACTAGAAATATTTCAAAGGCAAACTTTGTTAAAATCTCATTTTTATCCTGTAAATAATCAAAACAGGAATAGCTATAAGTAATATAAAAATAAGAGGAAGAAAATAAAATATGTTCATCTTCCTAAAAGAATCTAGATTGCAGTTATAAATCGTGGAAGCTGTGATGTATTTCTCATTTCCTATTTGCCTACAAATCATTAATTCCATCGCTCTTGATAGTAGAAGAGGAGTAAAATAGAAGTAATTGACCAATATCATTGTGATTAGATAATACTTTCTATAGTAGTAATTTCGATAATTTATAATCATTTGAGCAATTAAAACTACCAAGCTTAAAGAAATAGGTATGAGAAGAGAAACAGTGAAGGAAATATAAATATGTGGAATCTAGTTAAATTAGTTTAAAAAATAATTAATTTTTTTTTAATCAATTATAATTTTACATCAAATTTCTTTGAATATTAGTAGATGAAGCAGCTCACAATATTATTGAAACCAATCAGTGGATTACCAATATTATAAATAATAGATGAAATGGACTCTTTACCAAAATTAAATCTAAAGTAAGATATAATAGAAAGAACTTGCAGATAGCTTACAAATTATTTAACAAGCATAGAAGTTTATCCGATGTGATTAGCTGAACTGTATTCAAACAATATACGGAATTTTCTTATACGACTCACTGTAGAATCGATTGATATAAAAATATAAAATATGAAAAATAACAGTATCAGTGCCATTATTAGAGAAGCAAGCCAAATTATTTTACAATTTAAGCACTAGCTCGCAGAAAGGTCTGTGTAACCTTGCTTGATATCACATATTTCACAGAGAGGCCCTATCCTATTATTTGTGCATGATTCATCTCCAACCATTAAGCCTCCTAAGCAATTATCAGATGAAAATTTGCATTCTATAATGACATCAGATGAATTACTATCTCTCCAATACCTTAATACAAAAAAAAATTTCATCATGAATATATTAAAATAATATTATTTTATTTTTATTTAGATAAAAATATGTGTGTAAATAATATATTAAAAATTTTTAAATATTTAATTTACCCTTGCTCCAAAATGAGTTAATCTCCTCCTGGGCAATTACAATTATCAGGACATCTAAGACACTTAACATTTTGGTTAGTATGAGGATCTAATAAAGAATAATATTGCTTTGCACACATTTCACATTCAGTTGTTATAAGACTGGTTTTTATATACTCACCTATAACACACTTTCTTAGGTTAACATTTATTGTGAAGTTGTAGAACTATGAAGAACTGCTAAATGGAACTAAAGATGATGCATTTTCATACTAAATGTCTAAAAGCTTAAAAATTATTGTTACATTTGTGCCAGGGTAACCATAAAGCTATAACTAATCAAAGAGTATTCCTATGTCTGGATTGTAGCTTTATCCGATGTAAGAATAAAAATAGCTATCACTTCCTTTCAAAAATGAGCCTTATCGTAGCTGACTTTGAGGACTAAGATAAACTTTTACATTTGGAATTTAATCCCCTATTATTGTCTAATCATTTTCATCAAATAATTTTAAATAGAATTATGGTAGATTATCTCCGCTATCAAAAGTTTATACTTCATACAGCTTTTCTTGCTTTTATATAAATTTATATGATTTAGTTTGGTTTGTTTCTAAAAGTTTAACAGGAGCTAATTTTAAGTTTTTATTTTATTAATTTTATTCATTTATATTTTCTAAAAGACCATCTTCAACAGGGATAATCTAAAATGAGCGAGGCCCTGATGTAAACTGGTTAGGAGTATTGTTATAAATGAATTAAGAGAAATTATTTCTCAATTATAAAGTTGAAGACTTTTAAATCTTGACACCTCCTGTAAACTTTGAATTATTTTCTGTAATTGTACTATTCTCAAATTAAATTGAATTAGGATCGTGAAGCTGCAACGACAAACCACCTATTTAGACTCCATAATTCCTTTTGAAAGTAGAGTTTTAAACTTTGCAGCTTAAATCCTCACCTAACTCAACAGCCATCGCGCCTATAGAAGAAGCGTTATTATTTTGTATAGTAAGATTTTTTAAAATGATAGTATTTTAATTTTTTTATGTTTTATTATGTTATTAAATGTCCTAGATGCTTGAAATATCAAATATCTTTGAAGGAAGAGAATAAAATATACCTCCAACAGTATTATTTCCTTTATTATATGATATTAATGTGTTTTAAACATGCAAAATAGATTGTTGACCGAGAAGAGGAGAGAAACAACTTATTTTGTTAATGCAAATATTTTAATTAATTTCAAAGTTTATGATGTGATTTTATGATAAGAGTAATTAATTAAATAATATCAGAGACTATCCATAGTATTTGTTATTAGAAAATATGGAGTTTTTAGCTATAACTGAAGAATATGATACTCTCATTGCTCCAGATGAAAAGAATACATTATTTTGAATATCCAATTTATTCAATAAAGTATTTTTAACGTTGTAAATATATATCAAGTCGTTTTATGAACTAAATGCAATTCCATAATTTCTCACTTTAAGATTAATAATTTTTAATACATCTGCATTTAAAATCTAAATTAATTAACCTGAGTCAATCTGCTAAAGTTTTACTTAAATTTAATTAGTTTACTAATTTAATATCATGTAATTCATCACATCTAAGAAATCTATCAATGAGTCCTAATCTCCCATTAGGTTTGAGTTCTCAGCAAGTAGATCCTATTATTCAGATTGTAGTAATCTCTTTTTGTTAAACTATTTATCATTATATTCTATTTTTTCACTACTTTAAAAAAAGTTATTAATTCCTATTTCGTCATCATCACTATTAATAATACTATCATCATCTTAGCCTTAATTTGGATAAAATTTTCCGTTTTCTAAACGGTTAAAGTAGTCTTATACAGATTTTTTGCTTTAAAGATAGTCAACCTGATTTTATAAATAAACAAATTCACGGAAGAGTTCAGCATCAAAAGAATTATCTATATTAATATCCTTTAAACTTATAAAAATATTATCATTTAATGATTTAACCAATGAGCCATTTTAGGTGTACAATTACTTAGCATTCACTCCTTTAATATTCACCACACTACCTTTTTTGAGATTGCTAAAAAAGAAAAAACCTTCACTTTAAGCTGAAGGGCAGCTCATTCTATTTATTGTAATATTAGTTATATTAATTTAAACCTAGTTCATAACACCATTTATAACTAAGCCAGATCCTTCTTAGATACCATATAAATCCAAAAATTAGCTATTTGAAATTTCTAATAGACTTTAATCGTATAGCTTGATATAAAGGGTAGGCTAAATCATAGTGCAGGTGCCATTAAAAGTGCTATTTAAAATTTTAATATTCTTCCCTTCTAAAACCCCACTTGCCATATAATTGTAGATGGTTTTTTCATCACACTACCCTTTAAAGTGATTAAATGATTAGACATATGACTAGAACTAAATATATTTAGCAGATAAATAGAAATAGACAGTATCTATAAACTAAGTTATTGGTAATTAAAATTTCCCATAAATAAACTAGTTGTTAGATAGGAAGATATTAGAGTTCACGGCTTAAATTTCAACTTAAGAAAGTCTCCTTTATCTATAATAATCTTCACCAGAAGTTACAACATTTTATAGGAACAAGCAGTTCTCTAAAAATATATTGACTAACAAATTACTTTACAAGTTGATAACTGATGAACTTATTGATTATGAAATATTCTATGCAATTAGATGTTTAAATTTGTTGTCAAAAAATACTACAAAATATAGTTCTTCTTTTGAATCATCAGTGTTGCTATTAATATTAACTTCACTAAATAATTCACTTTTAGAATCCATTATAAAACCAAAAGTATCTTCATCATAATCATAACTTCTATTTTGATAATTTACTTAGTCTTCATTAAATTAACTATTTTTGATTCTCATTTAGTCATTTTATTCTTCTTCTTCTTGCTAATCAATATCTTTTTTATTTAATCCTTAAAGCAATCTCTTCTCAGAAATTTAATGATTATTATTTGCAAAGTTGTTCACCACACTTTTTAAAGTTACAGAATTCTAATCTAAATTTTCTAAAGTATGATTGCCATTTAAACTCTTAGTCTATGATTTATTATTATTATTATTTTTAGGAATCTTAATTTTATCTTCCTTAAATTATATATCTTAATTTTATTCTTTCTAGTCTACAGATGTAATATTCTAAAGCTAAAAATATTGTCTATTTAATTAGATACTTAAAAATGTTGATCCAACAATATTGTATCTTTCGAAAAGGCATTAAGTCATAATGAATCTTCTAGGATGAAGCACTTACAAAAATGACTATTGCAAAGAACTTTTATTTAAATTTCCAGTTGCATTTACATTTGAAATCGTCACAACGTTCAAAGAGTATTTAACATTAACAAACCCAACATTATCATTATTTTTAATGATTCCATTCTGTAATAAAACTCTTCCAAGCTAAATAAATTATTTAGAAATATTAATTAAATTTTTAAATAAAATAATATATTTAAAAGCGTAAAAAACAAAAAATATTTTTAAAATTTCAGAAAAATAATTTCTTAAAAATGAAAATATCTCTCTAAATTTAAAATAAAATTTTTAAAAAAATTACCTTATCCGAGCCAAAAAAGAAGAATGATCTACCATCTTCTAATTAGTTTAATGGTATATTTGGATGAAGGGTATCTATAATATTGTTTGTTAGTGTAAAGTTAGAAACTTCTACTGAGGAATTTCTATTAAGAGAGTTAAAATTAATTTCAAGCAAGATGAAATTGGAGTTCGGAACAAATTTATTACATGAGAAGTTTAGGTTTTGATAGATTTGTTCAATTTCAGATTGGATTTATTATGATTATGGCTATCCGAAAATAATGTAACCTTGAAAATCATTTGAAACTATGGAGGTATTAAATATTTTAATATTTGTAACCTCTATCAGGTATCTTATTTTATCTTATTCAGTTGCAGAAGGGAAATTAGAATTATTGAAAAAAGGTAAATCAGATGAATTCTTATTAGGAAGTTTTTCGTTTGTGTTATTAAAAATACTTAAAGGGATTTTTTAAGTAGATGGTGAACTCTATTAAATATTATTATTTATTGATTGGGCAAAAAATATATTATTTGTTAAGTTTAGATTTTAAATATAGAAATATGCTTATTCTTTTATTTCCATTACTTTGGATTCGTTGAATGTAGACTAAGTTATTTCTAACTGTTCAATTGTGTTGAACATAGGAATATTCAGGAGATTCACTCTTTGGTTTTCTATGTTGGCAGAGCTCTTTAAAACCAAAGAATTAATAAATTTTGTATTGTTTTGAATGATCAATTTATTTATGTTTACATACACTTAGTTGCCCTTTTCTAATATTTTAGAATAGGAAAAAGAGCATGAATTGATTAATAAATCTTTAATTATAACATCTATTTAAGATTAATCTTAATTCACCTAAATAAGAGATGATTACTATGTGGTAACATTAAGTAAAGAAAGTGAGTTTACTTCTAGATTTATAGCTAATGTTTACTATATTTAAATAAATTTAGAGTTATCTTCGATTGTTGAATTAGTAATGTTCACTCTACTTACAACAATATTAGCAAAAGATAAGGTATTTTAAACTAAAATAATCTAAGAGTAAGATAATTTACAGTCTATTATTGTTGTATTTACTATACTAAAATTGTTAGAAACCTAAAATAAGAGAATATCACTTAAATAAAGATTCTTTAGTATCAACTAACCAATTTATGTATCTCCTTTAGAATATTAAACTAAAAAACTTGCTGAAGAACCAAAGTTACTAATTGATTTATTTGTGTTTTTTATTTGAATATTTTCAATCCTACTGATCGAAATATATCCATCAGTTAAAATTTAACTGTCCTTATAACTTAGATCTAAAAGCGATACAGTTTGAATATTTATAACCAATTCTTGTAAGAATCTGCAATTATCCAACCCAATTAAAGAAGAATGTTGCATATATGTTGCGTTCAAATAAAGAGACGGCGCTTTTAAATTAGGTGCTTAGTCTTCAAAGCACTCAAAGGCAAATATTTTTATAGAATTTAGTTAACAATTTTCTAAATTTATTTGCTAAAGGGTAAATTTATTGTTAAGAGCGATTTTATTTCTTAAGGCTTACCTTAAAAAAATGATTCCTTTCTTTTTTAATAAATTAACTTATTGTTTTTCATTAGAAATCATGTCAGATTTCATACCAAATATTAAGGTTTTTTAAGCCTAAAACTTAGAAACATTATCAATATAGAAAGTTGTGCCATAGAATTCTGAATTATTTAGTAAAAGCTTAGTGCAGTTGAAAACTTAAATGTATTTAGGAACATTTTAATTTTAAGAATACAATCCAAAATTAACATTATCAAAAATGAGATTTTCAATATTCAATACTGAAAATTGTAAAATAGACAAATCTGACAAGTAATTCGTTTGGCTAGAAATCAAATTATTGTAACCTGTAGAGCTAGAAAAGTCTATACTTTTAAATATTATATTTTTAAAGGTCACACTCATGTATTAATTCAGTTCATAGCCTTCTTCAATCTCTAAAACAGTTTTTCCATCTCTATTTTATTATTTTAAAAATTATATTCGATTTCATAAAAAACTCTTTTAAGTAATCATTGATGATAAGTATAATTAAAAGTAGAAAATAAGAATTCACGTAAATAATTTATTAAACGGTCAAATTTAATAAATAATTTTAAATAATAAAAAAAAATTATTATTTACTCAGTATTTTTTTCGCCAATAAAATTAATTTAAGTAAAAGCAGAATTTTATAGATTGACTCTCTTAGATATTTTATGGTACAAATTTTAATCATGGGAAAAGAATCTCAAATTTAATTCATTTTATTTATAACTAAAAATTAAATTGCTAAGTCCAACTTGGATAATCAAGCTCTAAAGAGCACTAAAGTGGGAATATGGATCCGATTTTGAGCCTTAGCCAAAAACACTCATTGATCTTGTTTCTGAAGAAGCTTAAAAGTAAATATTTAGTAAACATGCATTATTAAATTTGAGAGAGTTAGAAACAGCTTTTAGTTTTGTATTTGTTGAATTTTAATTGTTTACAATTTGGTTAGCTTCCTTATAAAAATCTAAAATTTTAGTGCTTTTATAATCTAAATTTTAAAAAAGTGGACCAATATTAATAAACCACACTTTCTGTGTAGTAGATATAATTATTTTAGTTTTGTCTTCTGTATTTCCTATAAAAACTATTGAGTAAGGATCATTAGTAAGACTTTGTAATTTAATAACCTGCTATTACCCAAATCCATAAATAATCATTTAATCTATTATAAAATAAAAAAATATTAATAAATTAAATAATTTTTGCATAATAAAAATACTAAAAGAATTAATATATTTTACTTTTAGAAGTCAGCAATATTTGAATGCCTAGCTATATTAAATACTAGGATTTCAGAATTTGGCAATCATTTAATTCAAAGACTATATTGGCATTTTAATCGTTTTATGGGTGATTAAATAAATTATGGGCTTAGTCTTATTCTTTTTACTACATTTTTTTCATATTATAAAATGTTATCTTATTTTTAGATATTACATAAATTCGGTTGCTATCTTCTACTGAATATTGTATACTTACAATATCTTCTTAAGAAATAGCTTAATTCTATAAAAATATATTGTTAATATCTTAGCAATTCCATTGATGAATTTATTTATTTTAAAACCCAATTAAAATTTAACAATTTTCGATGCTAGATTTAATATCTACAATAACTGAATCAAACTCTTTATTTTAAGATTTTAATTAAAATAAAAAATAAATATTAAAAATATTATCTTACTCTTGTACCAAATAATTGAGTTATGTAAAGAATTGTAGAGAACAATTTGAAGAGAATCATACAACAAAAATAAATAAGGAATAGTTGTATTTTTTATGCTGATCTAATCATCAAACTAACAGTTTGGGCATGGAGACTCTAAATATTAAATTATAAAAGTAAATTTTTCCATAAATTTAATCATTTATTTTTTTCTCAAAGCTAATTAAAAATTTAGCAGAAAAAAATAAAAATAAAATTTATTTTTAATCAATTATTAAGCTAGAAAAGTTGTTAAAAAAGCAAAAAAACGACATGATAAAAATCAACTTTAATTTTAATAAAGAATGTTTCTAAATAAATTTATACCTATAATTTCTGGTGGTCCTGTTATTTGAGAATTGTAAAAAGGGTACTTATAAACTTTCCCTAGATTATTTATCAAAGTAAATTATCCCTAACGAGCAAAGAAAGCTACTTTTTAGTTTGGTTATTCTTATTCATATTATAAAAGTTTCTCTGGTTTAAAATTTTATTTTTCGAGATCTACTACCCAAAAGCTGTAATCATAGTGCTGTAAGATCAAAAACTAACCGTTTAAGGCAAAAAGTTATGCTTTTTCTATTTTTCCTCTTTCCTAACGAAATTAAAGATAAGGTCGTTGGAGTATCAAATCATAATATTAAATATTTTCTGTTGAAGAGTACTAGCTTACATAAAAAATTTGTTATAAATAATCAATTTTGAACTAATACACATAACTATTCAGTGGATCACTCATAAAGTGAATTTATTCTGTTTTATAATTGAAAGTAATAATTCTCTTATTATTTAATTGAGAAATGATATGAGGAGATCCTTCTATTCTTATTAAATCAAGTTAAAGCTAAAAATCATAATTGGCAAATGAATTGCTCTGTTACTCAAATTTTATTTCATTCTTTTCAAAATTTTTTGTCATCAAATTAAAAAATCTAAATTTGTTATTAATGAATTGCATAACCACTAATTATTCATTCTATAAAACTTCTATTGCAACTATTTTACTGTCAGAAGAGCTGATGGTAAACTCTTAAACTAAAATTAAACTTTTAACAGAAATTTTGTACTCATAAATAAAAAATTTGCTTTCATTTCCAAAAAATAGAAGGATAGAATCATTTTAATCTTAATATCTTTATTTTATTGTGTTAATTATTGCTGGCGTTTGAGATTTGGATACAAACTTCTAATAAACAACTAGCTATAGATGATCTTCTAATTTAACATCTATTCCTTCATTTATTGAGTAAATATAGATACTATTCATATCATTTACTATTAAAACTCCTCCTTTCTAGTTATAATGAATGAATTTTCTCCTATTTTACGATAATTAATTAATTATTAATATAAAATATCAAATATCAAAAAATATTATTTTAAGAAAATAATAAATTCATAAATTACATTTTAAGTTCAAATGACTCGCTCTTGATAATATTGTTCATACTTAACTATTTAGATATGCACTTTTCTAAATCATTGATTCTACAGATAAAGAGCATTTATTGTTATGGTTTATAGAAGTAAGCAATGTTTGATTTAAAGTTAACCAGAAAATCTGCGATTTAGTAGTCATCTGAAAATGGAATAGGATAATTAATAATTTGACTTATTGTCTAAAAGGAGAGATGATAGACAGTAAAGTTATTATTTTGCATTTCAGATATATAGTTATAATAATTAGTGTGATTTTTATTTTTTTGAGATTAATTTTGATAATTAATACTAATTGATCTTCTTAATTAGTTGGGGATTGTATAGGGATTTTACTGTTGAAGATTTATTTCACCTAAGTACACAGTTTGTCTGTAAAAACTAATAGATCCATCAGCTAATGCTATGAAAAATGAAGGGGAATTTTTGAGAGGAGCAATTACTTTTGAGTTTTCTACATTAAATACTTCTAGGATTTTATCATCTTCGTAGTTTATATACATCAAAGTTTTATTGTCCAATAATAAAAAGAACTCTGGCTGATTATTTTAAATTTTGACAATTTTTATAGCTGAATCTTTAGTTAAAGTTTTATTTTAAGCTTAAAAATAACTCTTTAAAGAATTAAGTTCTGTGATTTTTTTAAGCTAATCTTTTTAAGAATCTTAATCAAATAAATACATAGATAAGTCGCCCTCTTTCAGCAAAATGTATTTGAGCTAATTTGGGAAATACAAACACTCTATATAATGGCTTTATTAAACTTATAATAAAGCAGTATATGAATTTAAGTTTTAGTTATATTAAATAAGTCCATTCTATGTAAATATTGTATACATGTTGTTATCAGTGATAAATACCTTTAGTGGTAAATCCTAAATATAATTTTTGTTTAGCACAGTCTATTAACAGTTAATATTTAAATTTTAGTTTATTGAGAAAATAAATATTGAAGTATCTGAAATAGTAACGATTTTAACATTTAAAGAGCTTTGTTTATTTGAAGATGTTTCAGTAAAGCTTTTAACCTGCAAATCTATCACTTTATTACCTAGCTATTTTAGATTAACAGAAAAATTATCTGCCTTTGGAAACTAAATAACTTAACGTTATGTTTAGGGATCCCATAAAACAATGGAATACTAGCTTTAGTTGTCATCTATATAATAAATATATTAAATTTATTACAAATAAAAAAATATCAATTGCAATAATGTAAAAAGTAGCTTTCTTTTATAAAAGAAATTTGAATTCATAGAACATATTTATTATTTTAATGAAAGCAAATAAATCCTTTTTAAAATTACTTGATAATGACAGGGGAACATCATATAAAACTAGAATTTTGTCTAAGTCAGATAAATACATAATTTATTTTATTGAAGCTCCTTAATTGTTAACACTAAATCTGGATAAAATATCCCTAGTCTGAAAATCCCAAAGCTCTATATCTCCACTTTGAGTACCAACAATGAGAATATTGGAGTTTTCAATATGGTCAAGAGCTGAGACTTAAATTAAAGAAGTCTAGTTTTCTTCTATCAAATCTAAAAATTTAGATACTCTTGGACATTCAGTTTCATCTATTATCCTTTAATTGTTACTATAAATATCATTATAATATTAAGTAGACTTTGATGCGCCTTTTGAACTATTTTTATTTTAATTATCACTTTATTCAGCAGCATCATTTGTCTTTATATTCTAATTTTAGGGAGATTTAAGATAAATATCTTAGCAAAGCGATAAAATAGTATTAATAATTAAAATTAGTAAAATCTTCCTAGCCATCTTTGAAGTTTTATGCTGAGATGCTTAGTTATGTTTTGCTGAATGAAATATTTATATTGTTGTCTTTTTTGGAAAATATTAATTAGCCTGCTTTTTCTTTCTTTCTTCTTAATTATAAATAGCTTTTTGTCAGATTCGCAATTGATAATAAAAGCCATACAAATCTCAATATATAACATAAAATAGATTCGTCTGTCTGTCTTCTTGTTTCTTAACAAAATCTAATCAATAATCAATCAGTCATTAATTTTTACTTATCCATATAAAATGAAAAAAAACATTTGATCTGTGAATAATCGTCACACAAATATTTATTTATATAAATGTATAAATTTAACAAAATTAGATAATCTAAATTGAATGACATTTTTGATCTTAATTTCTATTTAAAATATTTAGATTTATTTTAATATTCTAAATTTTAACATTATTATTAAATTAAATTTTCTATAAAAACAAACAAACAAAAAAATAAATCACTGATAAATTAAAAAAAATATTTTATATAAAATTTTCAAATTTCGTTCTGAGATGGGATATTATCTAATTTATCGCTCTCTTTGCTTTTTTCTCTTTTTATCTCATTACTTTAATCTGCTAAATTACTATCAGCACTTTGCTAATTGTCCTTTAAGTCTTAAACTAATTAAGAGAATCTGGAGTGAACTATTTGAGTGTCATTTAGCAGGTCGTTAGATAACTTTCTTTTTCTTGTTGCCTATGATGTAGTGTTATATCTCTTTCTATTATTTAAAATTGCTGTCTAATCTTTGGCCTTAGGAGATTCAAATGACTTTCTTATTTTCTTTCTAAACTAGAGATTTAATATTTTTACTGGGGATTCTTCATCGTAGTCACTTATTGCTTCTGAACGATTTGTGTTTTCTTCTTCTTCTATTATTATAATTTGATATTAATTTTATTTAGATTTGTAAAAAAAATTTACTTGTTAAGTTGAAATTAATGTCTGTATTTTCAGAGTGGAATGAAACTTCTTTCTTATTTCTTAAGAAAGGAATGTGATCAAAATCATTATCATTTTGGCTTTGAGGATCTATTTATCTTCCACCATATTTTTATGCTTTCATAGCTTCGATGTATTTTTTGTATAGATTCTTCCAATTGAATTAAGCTCTTTCTTTGGGATTTTGATTCGACCTAAAGATACGGAATCTCATTAACTTATTCTTTAAGTTTCTCTTCTTCATAGCAAACCAAGGAGCATAACATTTGAAGATAGTATAAATATACCAAAAGAACAATGGTAAGTTCATTGCAGTGAGTAAGATTATACAGATGTACCATTATACTGCATTTTGGCTTTCCTGCTAATAAGCCATTAAACCTAAATGAACAGAGAGGAATATTATCAAAGTTGTGAATATATCTAACCTGTTTAATATTTAAGTTCTGAAGGGTTTCACAAAAAATACTGTGGTTCCATAGATAATTAAAATAAAATTTATCAACAGTGCTTTTGTTTTGATATCTTAGGAGAAGTACACAGAAATTAGCATAATAGTAAGTTTTTATGTATACTTAACGAACTCCCAGTAGTAAGTTGTTTCTTTATAATCACCCAACAAATATTAATAGGTCTTAATAGATACTTTTCTTTACTTTCTCTTTTTAATAAGAATAGCTAAGATCAATGGGACAATTACACAAAATATAAAAATTAATGGTGTAACTACCAAAATAGAATATCTGAAATATTCAGGAGTAAGACATTCAAATAACATATTGTATGAAATATATGAATCTTAACCAACTTTTCTGCAAGTAATTAATTTGAGCCCATTTTAGAAAGCTAGAGGAGCAAAGAAAAGCAAAATTACCAAAAACATAGTTTTACAGAAATAGCTTCTATAATAATAATTCTTTCTATTGTTCAGATAATCTACAAGAGATATTAATAGCATAAAAGTTACAGGAATCAACAAAGAGGCAAAGAAATTTAAGTAAATATGGTTGACTCCTATTTTTTTTCCTAAATCGTACAGATAGCAATCCATAGCGTTAGAGAAAGAAAGAATAGGATTTCCTAGAGACAGAGTTCCCTATGTGGCAAAAGGATTGATGTTAAGCTAGAAAGTACCAATAATACTAATAACTTAAAGATAGGTAATGAACAACTTAACCACCATGGACGCAACAAAAACTGTGTTAGTTTTTGATTTAGAGCATATACTTCTAGAATGTTTTATACGTCTGACAGTCGAATCAATAGATATAAGAATATATATCAAGAAAAAAAGTAAGACTGATAGTATGATTGTTAGAGTCCATCCAATTTCGGAGCATGCCAAACACTTAGATGAAGAAATATTTGTATATCCATTCTCGATATCGCACTATTCACAAAGAGGACCTATCATATCATCTGAGCAGCTCTCATCTCCAGCTTAAATTCCACCTAAGCAATTTCTAGGTTCAGTCCCACAATAAATAATATCCAGACTTGTGTTGTCTTTCCTCCAATACCTTTATTTTTTAAAATTAATTTTTTTATTAAAAAAAATTAAAACTTGAAATAATTTAATGTAATAAAATTTATTTACCCGGAGTTAATTGATAATAAGTTTCTTCCTAAGCAAGTAGCAAATTTAGGACAGTCCAAACAATTAATATTTTAATTTTTGAAAGGGTCTTCAAGGCTGTACTATTTTTCAGGACAAGGTAAGCAAGATTGATAAAGATTGTTATTAAAGTATATTTCACCTACAATACATCTCCTTAGTTTCACAGAAAATTTAACTTTGTAATCTGTTTATAATTTTTAGGTAGAGTTAATGCCGTCAAATTCTATCATTTAAGTAGTGAAAGTTAGATTAACTAATGTATCAGGTTTTCCATAAATTGTTATATTTTGGAATAAAAACCCTCCTTTTGAAAGGTCATACTCAACATCTAGCTATCCTTGCAAATAGTATCCTTGATTTTAAGAATTAGTAGATAAAGATAAGCTAGCTTTATTTAATGATGGATTTAGGTATGGTAAAACTATTTGATTTTTGTAATCTAAAATTTAAGTTAAAATTATTGGTAGTTCTCCTCCACTTTGTTAATCTGTAATTACTAGCCAATTGCTTTAATTTTAATAAAGATAGCTTTGTTCTGTTTGGTATTTGTCCGTAAAGACTTTGAAATGAGCAAACCTTCCACCTATTTTACAAAATTTAAAAATTAAATAACCAAAATTTATATATATTTTTTTAAAAATACTTGAACATATTTATAGATTCTATGGTGAAATATTTCCATATACCAAACTATTATTTAGCTTAAAGAGGGTCTCAGGAATATCTTCTTCAACATAAATACCTCCACCTCTATAATAGGCATAATTTTTAGAGATAATAGTGTTTTCTATAAAGAAATTGTGTGTCCCAACAATGTGAAGGAATATACCTCCTCCAGATCCTTTCTAAGCAGTATTTTTTTAGATTTGAGTATTATTAACAATAAACATTGCTTAAGCAGTATTATGTATAAACAATCCTCCAAAATCTAACCCAAAATTACTTGAAATAATCGAATCAGAAATAGAACTAATAATATGAGACTTTACAACAGTTGAGTTCTATTAATCCTATTGGTATATCTTACAACTTGAATCTTAAGCTAATCTATTGAATTAAATTGCTACAGGCCCAAAGCTGTTGCAGTTGTTTTATAAAATTTGGATATTTTGAGCTTAAAAGCAAGTATTTTTAATTTGAATACAAGCTATCTTAGAGTAGCTTTGAAGGGTATTATTATGGAAGTAAATATCTCTCATCTAAATGTTTTTTATATTTGAAAGCTTCAATATGTGCAAGTCCAAAGAATTACAATTTGTCATTGTTAAATTAGAAATGACTGCCTATTTAAAATATTAAAATAAAATTAGAAATTTCAATTAAAAATGAAAATAAATATGTTACATTTTCTATATTATTTAAAATTAAAGTTGAAATAAAAGCGTTATTTAACTCTTAGAATATGTTGCTCTGTAAATACAATTACTTAATATGAGAAATTTAGATCATGTACTTATCTGTTAAGACAACACTTCCAGAGTAGTAACCTGAGAATCTATTATTTGAAAAGAAGAGTTGGCTAGCGTGAGTTAAATTCATAAGAGACCTAGCTCCATTTATAACAGATTTTACGTGATCAAATACTGCTTCTGACTTACTATAATAAATCAAAGATTCCTTTATTTCTTTTTAGCTGAATTCTACATTATTATTATAAAAGCTTATTGAGCTACTTTCTTACTATTAATTTGAAATGTCTAAAATAGTCTTTTTGAGTGAGTAAATTTAATAAAATCTATTATCTGAAATAATTAAGGAGACGTTTTTAATTCTATCTATCTAGATTATTTAATTGTAAACATTTGAAAAAGTACAATTTGAGATTTGTATCTTATTGCTAAATAAGCTGCCTTTTATATTAATTGCATTTGATATTGGTATCAAATCTTGAAAGTAACAATCCTATATCAGTGTAAATGCTGCGTCAGATAATGTAGCTAATTCCAACATTGCAAAATTTTATGATCTCATTTAACTTATAAAATTATGTTAAAACTTAAGCATTTAATAATTTAACAATCCTATGACTTGTGTGTTAAATTTTAGAGCATTTCTATCTTATTCATCAGTTTAGTTATTTGGTGCAGATAAAAATTTTGAGCTAAATATTCCAATAGCTCTTGCTTCAACTTAAAGAAAAATTGAATCTGCCATATTTTTGACAAATCTAAAATCTTTCATCTAGTTAAAAGTTGAGTTTTGTATCACAACATCACTTTAACTAGCTTGGATATTTATCTAAGCTTGTATTTATGAATTTTAATTCAAACCTTTTATCACATTTGAGATGAAAGAAATCTAAAATAACCCGAATTTCGTAACTAAGTTAGATGTGTATTCAATAAAGCTTCCTAAACAAACATAAGGGTCTATTTCAATCTTTTGTAAAACAAAATAATTTAGTTTCAAAATAATCATTTTTTTTTTTTAAGAAAAAATTCTTTTAAAAATAAAATAAATAATAAATATTACAGCATTATTTTCAAAAGTAACATTTTTAAAATTCATCATAGCTATTGTCTCTTAGTTTTATTGCTCTTATGTAGAATTTTCATTTGACTATATGTAAAAATTCTTGTTTGACTCTATTTCAAAGACAGGAGAATTGTATATTCTGAGATTCTTAATAATTGAGTTTTAAATTATAAAATTAGCTCCATTTCTTATAATTAATATGGGTTGCTTTATTGCTGTAGTTACATTTATACTCAAGTCTATACTATCCTCTACATCATTACTTACAATCAGATTGTCAATTAAATTCTACCCTATTGAATTCTTAAAAACACCAAAACCAATCTAATTTATTATTTATATATTTTTGATTAAATATTTTTAATATCTAAAATTAATAAATTACATCTTTGTTATTACTCATTTCCGCTCTTATAACTTTTGTGTTCAAAACTTTGTCAAAATAAAAGAAAAAGAATTTATAGCCTTCCACCAAGAATGTTGTTTTAGAGACACCGCTATCTTTTCTACAATTTTCTTACATAGTTATTTCATTTAGTTCAACCTAGCTTCCAGTAGATATAATGCTAAAAGTAGCTTCTGCAAATAATCCATTTGACTAGCCTGTAAATGTATTGTTTGTTATATTAATTTTGTTAAGATTATAATCTATATATTAGTTATTAATTGAAGGAGGTCCACAAAAAAGCTAATATAAAAATTGATTTTAATAAATATCCACTTTCTAAACAATTAAATGATCTAATTCAACTAAATATTTTGATTGTCTTTCATAGCTTGACATTTCAGAAGCAAAAGTATTATTTTATATTAGAGAATCACTAAAAAGTAACAAAGAATTTTCTACCAGCTCAGCTAATTTAGAGTTAAACCAATATGTACCATTGACAATTAAATTAGAGAAAATATTCATTAAATAGTTTTCTGCCATTATAAATGGAGAAAAAGGTCTTTTTGTTTGTAGAAAATTGCTATATCTCATATAGCTTTTATGAATATTTGCATCTTTTATAATTAAGCTTTAATCACTTAATTTTCTAATAATGCAAGATCTCAAAGTAGCTACCTAATCTATGTTTAAGAATTAAATTAGTGATTTTGAGCCCTTTTAGAAATTCATTAGATCTACAACTGAAGTTTCAACCATTTTTACTTTGAATATAGTAAAATTTAAAATCTTAAGATCAGACTTTAGCAATAACTCATTAAATGAAAAAACAGTAGTTTTATTCATAGTGCAATTTAAAATAAGTAATTTTGTTACTGTTGAGTTATTTATTTAAGGTTATAAAAATTTATTCTAGTTTTCTTAAACAGTATCAGTGTCATTATTTGATTGATCATCTTAATCTTAAGTATCAATTTAGTTATTAGAGTTAGCTTTATTATTGAATTAAGATTTAAACTAAAATATGATTTAGCTTAAAAATGCATTATTTTATAAGTAAATATTTTTCAGATTAAATTTTTCTCCTAAATCAAATAAGGGGAAAATGGGAAGAGACTCAAAAGTGCTATTGTAGATTAATATTTCGCTTACCTCATAATCATTACTATTTACTAGATTCAAAGTAGTTTTATTAAAATAGCTATTGATGAGGCGAAGCTATTACAGTTTGTTAATTTTAAAATGATCACTATCATAAAGATTAACTTTAGAAAGAGAAGATTAATTAATAACATGATTTGTTATTTGGAATTAAGCTTAAGAAGAGTATAATTATTTTTAAGATACCTGATCATATTGATTAAATAGTGATTAGTCTTATTCGACTTCCTATCCACTAAATACAGTAGATTACATTATGAGACTATTTGTTATATTCAATTGAGGAGATAAGAAATAATTAGTTTACTCTGATGATGAGTTGCTGTTATTATAAAATTCCTTTTAGGTTAGGAAAGTAAAAATGTTAGCATAGTAAAATGTACAATTTTTAAGGCTATAAAGAGTATAGTTAAGTTTCAGATAAGAATCCTCTTCATTCAAATCTATATTTTGTTTGTTTACCCAATTAGTTAAATTAAGCTCTTAATATTAATTTTCTATGTTTTTATTTTCATTTTATTAAACACTTTAATCATCTTGTAACTTCATTTTTGAAAGTTATTACATTATTTATTAACTTTAACTTAAAAAATTTTATAATGGTTTATTACTCTAGAAGCCAGAAGTTTAATTTAATTAAGGATTTGTTATATTAAATAATTAGTCATTCAAAGAAACTGTGCTTATTTCTTAACTATCAGAATATTTTTGGTTTATATTAGCTTCCTAATTAGCCACTTCTATGAATAAATATGATTGCTGATTAACTGGATAGAAGAAATAGTATTTGCATACCTATTTTTTTAAAATCTGGTCATTTATTAATCGAGTTTGTTAAGAATCAGACAAGAAAAGTACTTAATTTGAAGTAAGACATTTTTTTTTGCTTATTTAACTATCTGTAGGAGGTATCAAAGAAGATTATACTTCTTCCATATAAATTGCTTTAACGTCGTTAGTTATAAACTGGCTCTGTTTTATCTTGACATCATAGAATTTAAGCAGTTTAACATCTTCAAAAATGTAAGCATCATAATTATTGTTGATGGGATTAAAATTACATCCTATGAAAGAAATTTGATCAATGTTATTAAAAACAGAATACCTTACATCGCTATTTTAATCAATCTGATTTTTCAACTAAATATTAATATTGTAGAAAAATAATTTTTAGATATTTTCAAATCTGTAACTGTCTTTAATGCTTAATGTAGTTGTTATATTATTTTCATTTTCGTAGTAATAAGATGCTGTTTTCTTTTTATTTGAATCCTAACCTGTATATTTATTTATGTTTGTCCGATATGTCTAGAAAGTGACTATGCTGTTTATCTTTTAAGTTGCATATTAAAATGGTTCTTCTAACTCATATATTTTTCCTTCTTGCAAGTAGAAATTGAGTTTTATTTTATTATATAAAAATATTTTATGACTTTTTCCAATCTTTATTGTTTCTTTTCTAATAGCACTTACTTTCTTATAAGGCTGAACAAGATTTCCTTAACCTAGAATATTATAATATTCCTAACCACTCATACTTTCTATATAAAATCCTTTTTCGCATTCAATCTATTTAAAAAAAAATTAATTTTTTATTATCAATTAATAATGATTATTTCAATAACAAAAATTTATAATGAATTTTTAATAAAATGTTACTTTTGACCTAGAATTCTATTTATCATCATCTGCAAAGCTGTGAAGTGTTAAAGCCCATATACGATGATCAGAAATAAACGCAAGACTATTGAGTCCCTGCATGTATATAAGCTGATCAACATTTGCATAAGATTGAGTCAAAGCATAAACATTTATGTAATAAAAAGAATTTATGTCATCATTAATTATTTAAACTACACCATTTTCTAAAAAGATAGCTATAGCTTAGAGCTCTACTACAAATATAATAGATTTAATTTAACTTTCATAAACACTTACTTCACTAAGCTAATTTTAGTCTACATCCCACCTATTTATTACAAATATATTTCTTTTTATAAATTTATAAGTAATTAATTTTTTTTTACCTAATAATACTATTGCCATAAGTAATATAAGCTCTATTCAAAAACATTATAGAATGATGAACTGTATTAATCTTTTAGTTTGCTTGTATTTAGTAAGTAATATGAGGCTTTGAAACATCTTCTACATTCAATATTTCTACTCTATTATCACTCAAGCCGATAACAATCAATGATAAAGTTATATTAAAATCAGTAGCAACTATTTTTTAGCTCTAAGAATCTTTTATAAAAATATTTTATAATTAAAAAATGATAAAACAGAAATGTGATTACTGTAAATCGGAAATATTTCATGTGTTTAGTAATTAATATAAAGTATTTATTAATCTCCTATCAAAGCAATTACATTCTTAATTGATGTCAGCTCTAAGTTAGACGTATTTGTTACTTTTATACCTTCGACTATTCAAAATGAAATACTCAAAATTGTAAAATTAAAAAAAATAAATTCTTTACTTAAAAACTTATCAGAATTGTAGACTGTGCTAAAATTGCTATCAAATATGAATGTTTGCACATAGTTCGTTTCATCTATGTAAATTATAGTGTTTTAGTCAATAATAAATTTTCTTGTTTCCTAATATTTAGGATCAGCTATTATTAATTCTTATAATGTATAATTTTCTACATTTAATACCTTGAAAGATCCGTCTTTCATATTTAAAATTATTTTATTGTGGTAGAGTTTTGATTCTTAAATAACTCCTTTCATATTTCTCATCTAGCTTTAAGGATTTTAGTAACTTTAATCTAAAAATGAGATTTTCTTTTTAGAAGTGGCAGCAGGAATCAAAATAATATAGCTTTATTTAAACTAAGCAATTTAATAAAAATATGTATCAAATTTGCAAGTTGAAAATGTTGCTTATTGTTTATATAAGTCTATAAAAACAACTCTAAAATCATTTAACTGTGCTATTATCATTGTTTCTACTGAACTTGAAAGTAATCCTCTCTTTTGTTTGCTTACTGTATTAAAATTTGATTCATCATACCAAATCCTGAAGCAGCTAATTTAATCCAGTTATGGAAAAGAATATTAGCAAAATTCATTTCTAGAATCTTGAGTTAAGATTTTAGAATGAATTTTAAGATGTATCCATCCTAGTATATTTTTATTTGCTAACTAGGAGTAAATATTTTAATTAATATTTGAAGTCACTTAATCTTCTTATTAAAGTATAGATAAATTATATATTTTCAAAGAATCTTTACCATTTATAACCAAATAATAGTTATATGAGCTATTAGTGCTTGTTTTAATATCATAAATTAAATCACAATCTAAAAATAAATCTTATGGATTTAGCATAATTTGCAAGTAGTGAACGATTTGGTAAGAAACAAAATCAAAAATTAAAAAAGTCTGCGAATTAACTAATGCTACACTGCTTTTAGTATGTTTGAGCTTAATCAAAAAGGTGTTACTAATATTAGTTTGGCTATTTTAATAATAAATAATTGTAAATTTAAATATATAAAAGCAAATCATTTCATCTTTTCAAAATTTATTTAAAAATCTTTAAAATATATTGAAACTCAAATTAAAAAAAATTCTGGATTTTGCTTTAAAATTAATAAATTAAATGCAATTTAATAAAAATTTGTAGGATTTTATTTAAATTATTTAAAATTAATTGTAAGTTTACTTTTACGTTATATATGACGAAATGTCTCTAATGTATAAAGGTTCTATATCATCTGACTTGTATGAAAAGATTAAAATGTAAAGTTCAGAAGTTACAACCAAAAATTATTCTTAATCCTCTAAAAATATTATTGACAATGCACTAATATATGTATTTTTATCATGTATTGTGAGCTTTACTCTTTTTTTTACTGTATCTTCAGGGATACTGTAAACAATAATTCCTCCTTAAAGGTCATCTTGTAAAAAGTATTGAATAGCCTCATCAACAATCTATTTAATAATTAAATGCTTTAATTAAGAATTGAATTATTAAATTACTTATTTTTTTTAATTTGAATATAAATCTACAGCTTTTGTAGAAATTTTAGTAAGAGAAGTAACAAAGGGCTAAATAGATTTTTAGATGATTGGATATGCATACCAACCTAAAGTATCATCATAATATGTAACTATAAAAGACCTTGATTAGTTTATTGGTGCTATAAATTTGACATTATAAGTTGTTTCAAGCTGCAAAACTTTATCTTCTTCAATATTATAAGTTAAAATGAATTATTTTTGACCAAAAATATCTGAATCTTCATATTTTGCTTCAAATGTTATTAAAACTAAACTCTCTGAAAAAAAGCTTTTGACTTCTTTGAGTACAATCAATTCATCTAAACTGATATACTATAGGTAATCACACAATTTATAAATTTTTTCACTTCCATTACTTGTTTGCAAATTAAGTGTAATAAGCTCATTAGTGCTTAACGCTATCATTATTATGCCATCTTACTGCGTCCTGATCATATCAATTATATTCACATTATTAACATCATCTACTCTATATAACTTTTAATCTATTGATAAACCTAATCTATTTACTTTATAAAGACTATGCTTTGTAAGAATATAAAACACTTCCTAAAATTAGCTATCAAAGGAAAATATGTATAGAGGTTGCTCTTGTTTAATTGTATCATTTAAGGGGTAAATTTAGCAATCAGGTTTAGTGGAATTCGTATTGACACTATTAATGTCACAAGCTACAACATGCATAATTGACATTTATAGAAAGTAATTTCCGTTTCTAGTCAAATAAGTATCTATTACTTAATAATTAACAACTTCAGAGTAATCGTCTAATTTATCATCTTGATCAATAAGCCACTAAACTCTTTCTTGAGTAACTAAATCCCAAATTGAAACTTAATTTCCATTTCTATTGTTTTATAAAAGTAATAAATTAAAAAATTTGCTTAAAATATGCTAAAATATAATAAGATAATGCCATATTTTCAGTTTAATTATTTTAATGTTTACTTTTTTTAATATCTGACTAAAATATGATTTGTATGCCATATATGATCAATCCTAGAAATAGGCCACTTATCTTCAAAGAATTTTGTAATTATTTCTCTTGAATCATAATCCCAAATTTCAATTGCTCCTACTCTTGTTCCTACAGCCACTAATGTAGAACCCTGTATGTGGGTAATCGCTGTGACTTCTTTGTAGCCCAATTGATCATTAAGATCTTAAAAGTCAAAGTATGTTTAAACCCTAGGACAGGATTCTTATTTACCAAAAACATTATAAATGAAGCAAAGGATAGCATATATTTGGATAGTCAATTAATAAAATTTTAACTTCATTTGATGTGTTCAAATAAATGATAATTTTCTAATATAAAATATAAATTTTTTTAGGAATCAATTTTGTAAATTTTACTTGTTAAATAAATAATTGATAATGAACTATTTAATTTATTTTTTAGTCACATTTAATATTATGAATCAATTTTCATTAATAAATCTAAAAAGTATGTATGAGTGGTATTTATTTACCATATGTTTGTAAATAGTTAAAAAAAAACACAAAATAGATTAAATAGTATTACAGGATATTTCTTTTATCCTGTTGATGATTGATGAATTAAATAATATTTTCAATTTTTTAAGATTAGTTTTCCATTTTAAATTATTTTCAGCTTTTGACTAAAAAAATATATATTTCTTTCAGCATTTGAACTAGATTTTAAAATAATTTTAAAATTAAAAAATTTAAAATAATTTTCAAATAAAATCAATTGATGAAATTATAAAGAATTACCAATATATACAAAATCAAAAATAAATAGATAAAAATACCTTCAATCATCATTAATTAAGGCATATTCATCCCAAAAATTTTATAAATGGTTTAGGGTCATTTAAGAATAATGGGCTTTTATATAAAAAATCTTGAAGCTTTAATTTATTAGGATAGGTAGTATATTTAATAATCTCAGAAATATCTTATCAATTTATGCTAAATATTGAATATAATTGTTAATAGGATTACAATTTTATTAAAATAAAAAATTAGATTATTATTAGAATATTGATTGAATAAAATGATGCCAAAATTCAATATCAAACGTCTATTTAAGTTACAAGCCCAACTATTTGGAAGGTTATCTTTAAAAAAATACATTTTATTTTAAACAATTTTAATTTTTATCATTTGCAAAGTGAAAATTATTTTTATTATTTAAATAAAGTGTTACATTTTAATTAAATTTAATAAGAAATTAAATAAAGTTTTCAAAAGATATGGATTGCTAATAGATAAGAAATAAGCTGGATCTCTACGTGTTTGATTTTGATTACACAGTTATAGAGTAAAATAGTGATACAATTTTTTATACTCTCTTCGAAAATAGATAGCCTCCTAAGGAATTAGCTGATTAATATATTGAAGGTTAATGGACTGCCTTTATGAATACTGTTTTAGATTATTTAAAAAATAAAATGGGAATCAACTCTTCAAAGATTTAGGAGGAGATCGAAAAGGCTGATTTGGTAGGAGGTATGAAAGATTTGTTTGAAAAAATAAAATCTAAGAACAGTGAAATCATCATTTGCAGTGATGCAAATTCGTTATTTATCAAATGGATCGTTGAAAAGAATTAAATCGCTGATTATTTCTCTGCAATTTATACCAATCCATGCACTATTGAAAACGATTAATTGTTTGTAAAGAGATTTTACGATTAACATAGTTGCCCTCTTTGCACTTAAACTCCTAATATGTGCAAGAGAAGGATTATAGAAGATCACATCGCTAAAAATCCAAATAAGGAATATATTAACATCCACTACTTTGGAGATGGTAAAAACGACTTCTGTCCTATGGTTTCTTTAAAAGACTAGAACTCAACAGGTTTTGTTAGAAAGGGATTTGCTTTGGAGAAAAAAATAGAACAATACTTAAAATAAGAAAACTCAGATCCTTTCAAGTGCAAGTTAGTGTACTGGAACTAAGCACATGAAATACTAAATTAAATTTGAAAACTATATTCATTGAGAAAATAATTTAAATTGACTTTTTTATTTCTAAATGTAATTTATTATAAAATGTATTTGTATTTAGAATATTTCAAAATTTTTTTCATATATTTTTAAATAGAAAAAAATTAATTTGTCTAGAAATGAAAAAAATAAGTATAAATTACCTTTAGAAATATCTAATATATAGACATTATGGAGTCTTTGAATTATTCTTTAATCTTTCCATACTAGTTGAAATAGATTAATTCATGAAAATCTGTTAGGTTTGGAAAATATTTATAGAAAATTCAATCAATTATTGTCTAAAGATTTTGTTTTATTTATGTTTTTATTAGATTTTATTTTCTTATTTAGTATTCATGTATTAATTGATGAGCACTGATTTAAAAAAAATAAATTATAATTATTGAATATGATTATTTTGATTATAATAACGTTTAAAAGCCAATTAAGTAGATAAACAGTAAAAAAATTACTTAAAAAAAATACAAATTAAAAAAGCAAGCAGTATTTTATAAATTAATTAGTTTGAAACCAATTTTTTAAAGGTTACGTTAAATAAATTTATGTTAGCTAGCAGAAACTATTCTCAATTTGGAGAAAACTCCTCACAAAATTCACGAAACATGACTCCAAACTAATAGGTTATGGGTATACCAAAGATAATGTGTGGAGATCATTAGGGATTTTTTATCACTCACTTTTGTAGTAAGATTTAATGCTTGAAAGGGTTATGCTAAAAATGTATAAAAGAGCATAATCAATATCATAAAGACAGAAAAGAATATGCCGAAATCGAAACGCTAGAAGACATAAGCTCAAATTGTCAATAGAAAATACACACTTGCTTGAAAGATTATACAGAAGAATAAGAAAATATTCAGCAACAAATCAAATCAGAGGAGTAACATCATAAATCGCAATAAGTACTATAGAAAATGAGCGAAGCAGAAAGCTAATGCCAAAATATTGTCTAAAGCTACTTCAAAACAGTAAGAAAGGAGTATGAAATAGCATTAAGAAAAATGGATGCTGAAAAACAAAAAATGAATAAATAGCTTTAGGAAATAGAAAATGAAAAAAATAAACTTAACGGCTTCCTACGTGAGCTGCAAGAAAATCAATTTCAAATTAGTACTCTTTAGCATTTACTTAAGCTAGATTTTAGTATTTTCATAAATGAAAAGCTAGGTGTAATAGGTTAATATTTTGAGTAGCTGATATCAGTTACTCCAAGCATTACCATAAATTTTGAAAACGTTCATAGATAAATTTATGAAATCTGCTAAAACACTTGTTTCTTAACATATTCTGGATAGTCTCCTAAATAAAAAAGCATCACACAATTAAGGTAAGAGATATCTATCAATAATCGCAAGGCAAGCACTCCATCAAATTTTAATGGCACAAGTGAATAGAATGGAAATTCTCAACGTCATATCTCACTTTCTCCTTTTAAATCTAATAACTTTAATGTTCCTCTTACATAACAAATTAATTTTAAAGACAGCAGTTAATTTTCTTAGAATTCTGAGCGTAGTTATAATGAGTTTTCTGGAATGCAGTAACAAAGAAATAAGAGCTATTCTCCAGCTCCTGACAGTAGGGTAGTAGCTTAATAAACTTCATCTGTAGTTAGACCTAACTAATAACCTAAGATACCTATTTTAAATAATGTAGAAAACAGCTAATCGCAGCAGGATGATAAATACACACCAGTTAGCAAGAAAATGAAGATGAAAATATTTGATACTAAACCTAATCTTTTGTCATCACCTAGACCTCCAACTAATTCGAATTAATAATCTTTAAAAAGCTCAGTAGCTAGAACAATCGGAGAAAACAAAATTAATGGCTAATATCAAAGTAATATCTTGTAATCTAATAACATAAACAATGTGCACTCTTCTTAGAATATAACTCCTAACTTTTTGACTGGCAAAAATAGTAATGCTTAAAACACTGGTTTTTCTAGCTTTAACTCAAACACTCCTTAATCATTTAACCCTCAAAATGAAAATCAGATATCCTCTTTAAACAACTTAAGCAGCAACAATAAATTTGCAGAAAACAACAAAAATTTAATCCCTTAGTAATCTAATTTTGCAAATATTAAGTTTAATCCTACTCCAAGAAATGAAATTCAAATAAACTCAAATGATATTCCTTAAAATTAATAGCTTTAATTCAGTAGAAATGAGCTTTTAAACAATAACTAGTCATAAGCAGGTTTAGCTTAAAATCAATTGACAGCAGGCTATCCTTAATCTTAGTTCGGCCAAAGTATTTAACTGAGCTAGTATAATAATAACAACAGTAATATAGGAGGTAACAATCTTTTCTAATAAGATATAAACAATAGTAGCACTTCATAAATGAAAAATATGAATGAAGTTAGCTCTTCTAATTTTAATAGAGGAAATTCTTTCAACCCTTCACAAGCTTAAGATAAAGATAACTACAGCTATTCCAATAATAACATTAATATGCTATAGCATATCCCTTAAAAATATAAATAAGTTTAAAATGTAAATTAATTCATTCCAGAAGAGTCCTAAGACTATTAACAAGAATCTTAGAACTTAGGCCTGAATCGAAATAATCATAATCAACAATTTAATAATATTTAGTCCCCTCAAAACGATATTTATGGAATTTCAGCTTAAAATATTACAAGTAACATTCCTTAATAATATAATTCGTAATATAATCCTTAGAGTTAGTAATAATCAACCATAAACAATAATCCTAATCACAAAAAAAATAATCAAGAAGATGCTTTTAATACAAATAACATGAATAGCCACAGGTAAATAGAAGTAAAGGACTCAAGATAAAAAGACTTCTAGGTATAAATGGCTAATTACCTAAAGTAAGAAAGCAATTACCAATATCTACATTTCTTCCAGCCTAAAAGCAATATTCTTCATATTGTTAATATACAGGATGTTAAATAAGCTTCAAATGGATCATCACAAAGTAGTTATTTGAAATTCTATTAAATACAAATGAAGACTGATGATCCTTCATTCACTGTACCTAGATTCCATAAATCTATTACACTCCGCGATGGAAGCATTTATTTAATGGGTGGAGTTTCGCCTTCATCTAACCACTCTAAAACAGTCTATAAATATGAATTTACAAAAAATAAACTCTAAGCTGTTTCTGAGATGATAACAGGTAGAAGTGGATTTGGATGTGTTTATTCTCCTTTTAATAATAGCATTTATGTAATTGGAGGCGCTTGTGACGAAGATGGCGTTACAAATCAATGTGAAAGATATGATCTCAATACTAACAAATGGAGTTCGATTTCTTACTTAAATAATCCTACATTTAATCCTGCTGTTTGCTATTTCTAAGCTCCTAATGGAAAGAATTATTTATTCAAATTCGCTGGTAAAATTGATGATGATAATTTAGATACCACAATTGAGAGGTATGATTTGTAGAGTGATAGATGGGAAATTATACCAACTTAAACATAAATTCCTATTTTATTAAGTAGTGCTAACTGTTGCTAGATTAACAGTAATAACATTTTGGTATTTGGTGGAGCATATACATAATCTCAAGAAAAAGCAAGTACTTGCTTCTTACTTAATGTTAATCTTGATTCAATCACTAAAAACTAGCTTGTACATGAAATTAAAGGCATAAACCAAATAGAATTACCAAATTCTGAGGGTTTTTCAAACTAACAATCATTTATTCATGACAACTAGCTTTATACAATACAAAATGTTTCTGAAAAGAAAAACCCTGAAATAATTTATCTAGACAGAAAAAGAATTATAAGCTTTAATTCACAAAGTTGGATGGTCTTAAATAATATTGAACTATTAGAAAAAAATAGCTGATACAACCAACAGTTTTTTTCTTCAATTTTTTCGAAATAATATATAAAATTAATAATATAAAATAGTTTTTGTTGTACATTCTTACTATATTTTTATCAACTTTTATAAAATATAATACTTATACTTAAGTTCGATAAATATAAAGAATAAAGAAATTAATTTTAAATAAGGTTCTAAATTATAATTTTTTTTTAAATTAAATGAATTAATTTTGAAAGAAAAAAAAATCAGGCAATTATTTGAAGGATAGTTTTATTAATTCATTTTAAGTAATAAAGAGCAGTAAAAATATGTATTTCGTTATATATTTTTGAAAAAAATTTTCTTTAAACATTAATAATTTTGTTAATTATTTTGCCAATTGTAAGCCGAGTAAAATATAACTTTAAGCAATATTTCTTAATTTATTTTGTATGGTGAAAATCAATGTTTTAATTAATGCATGAAAGTAAAAATTAAGGATTTTTTGTAAGTTATTGCTAAATTAAAGAAAAAAAGTTCCATTGTTGATTTAAATGACTATTTTAAGATAGAAAATAAATGAAATTAGATATTAGTTATTTACAAAAAAATACAAAAAATCCATCTATTTTTTAACTTATATTAGTTAGTTATTTAGTTAGTTAGTTAGTTTCTAAAATTTATTATCAAATGATGTATCAAGATAAATACATAAAGAGATTATTTTCCATGTGAAATCAAATAATTATCAAATCTTACAAATTACAAAAATGAGTTGATTCTCTATAATTTTAAATATTCTTAGATAAGCCATTTCACTCACTCTCTAACAAATAACTTTAACGAGACAAAAAATTAATTTTATTTATTTTAAATAACTCTAATATTTTAATCATGTTATCATATTTATTTTTATAATTTCTATTAAAATGATTAGACTTAACTTAATCAAAAATTTATTGATATTTTAAACAAAAGATTATTAAGTTCATAGCAATTTTTGTTAAAAATAAACAAGTAAATATTTAAAATATCAGTTATTAATTAAAATGATTTTGCTTTAAATTTTTGAATTTTTAGACATCTTTTCTTGTGATTATTACTTCTTTTACAATTTAAAAGGCCAACTTTTACCTTAAAATTTTTTATTAAATTTAATTACTTTAATACTAATAAAACCTCACTCACTTTTATTGTAATCAAAAATAACTTTATTTTATAAATTAATTTTATATTTAAGTAGTTAAATATAAATATTTTCTAACTCAATTTTAATTCTACATTAATTTTAAGTAATTTTAAACAAAGTTTAAAAGTAAAAAAATAAGGGAACCTCTGTTTTCAAATGAACTACTTTGCATATTTTTATATTTTTAAATACAACTTAAATCAAAATTAAAGGTTTGGTTTTAGAAATATAAATTGATTCAATACAAATTGAAATGCGTAATGAATTATATTTAGTTATTATACTATTTAGTAATTTTATTAATTTAATTAAATATAAATAACAGGGTATTAAATTAAAATTATTAAGCAAATTCTGAAAATGCTAATACTTTAATTTTTGAATTAGGTGAGTTTTAGGGTGCTAAGAAAAGAAAAAGTTGAAGATATATAAATAAATAATTTTTAAAAATAATAAATCATATAATAAAATAAATAAAAAAATAATTATTTTTAAAGAGATCATAAGCTAAAATTATTTGAAAAGAATGAAATGGATTCTAAAGAAAAGAAAATTAAATATTATTAGGAAAGTAGTTTTAATCAATTTAAATAATAAAGTGCAGTAAAAATATTTATTTCTTAATATCTTTTTGAAAACAATTTCTTAATACATAAAAAATATTTTTTAATAGTATTGTCGCATTCAATCCCACTAAAATATAATTTTATGTTATCTTTCTAAATTTATTTTGTATGGTAAAAACGTATCTTTTAATTAGCTCATTCAAGTAAAAATTAAGGATATTACGTAAGTTATTGATTCATTAAAAGAAAAAGTTTGATTATTTAATTAAAAAAATTTCTTTTATGACTTAAGTTAGAAAAAAAATGAAATTAGATTGAAGGTTTTATGTTAACAAATACAAAAAATCAATAATTAAATAAAATTAGTTAATTTTCAAAATTTATTATCAAAAATAGTTAGATAAATGTTTATTTATCAAATAATTATCAAATCTTAAAAATTACAAAAATCATTTGATTATCAATGATATTTTTTAGAAAAGTCATTTCAGTTTTTCTCTAACAAATAACTTTAATGAGATAAAAATTAATTTTATTTATCTAGAATACTATAAATAATCTTTAAGATGTTTATCAAAAATTTCAATAAGATAATGGTAATTTCTGTTAAAAATAAACAAGGTAAATCTGTAATTTTAATTATTAATTAAAATGATTTTGGTTTCAAATTTGCTTTTAGATATCTTTTCTTTTGGTTATTAACTTTTTTAGTATTTAAAAAGGTCAACCAACCTTTACCTTAAATTTAGTTATTTTAATACTAATAAAACCTCACTTAAATTATTATAATAAAAAATAACTTTGTTTTATATAACTTTTCCTTTTTATAGTTAAATATTACTATGAATATAATTCTTTTCTAACTCAATTTTAATTCTACTTTAAATTAAAAATTTTCAATTCTAATTTTAATATTTTTGAACAATGTTTTAATTTTAAAAAATAAGGGAAATTAAATGAGTTGCTGTGCATATTTTTATATTAGTCAAAGAAATTAATTTAATGTTTCTTATGTAATCAAATTCGAGAATTTCTATAATTATAAAATAAAAATAAAGGATTTTATTTTAGAAATATAAATTTATTCAATAAAAAGTAAACTGCATAATAAATAATCTTTAATTAAAATACTTTTCTAAAAGATTTAAAATTTTATATATTAATGCTATTTATATCACTTTTATAATTATATACTATTTGGAAGCTGAGCATATTATAATTGATTTTGATAAGTATTAGTGAATTATAATTAAAAAAGAATTACAGGGTTATTTTTTAATTATTAACGAAATGCTGAAAATGAGTGGAAAAACTTAATTTTTTATCACTGTTTTATTTTAAAAAAAAAATTAATTATCAATAAACCTCCCTTCATAGAACTGTAAACATATATAATTTTTCAAATATATAAAGATTTTTTGTTTATAAGCTAATAATTTTTTTTGATCATAACTTCTTTTAAAAAGTTAAGCATTTTTGTAAATAAACAATTCAAGAGGAAAAAAAAAAAAAAGTTAATTAATTGATTTTAAATAATGAAAAGTAATAAAACAAATTTTTAGCTTTTTATTATTTTAGCAATAATAAATCTAACATTAAGCCAAAGCCAAGTACTTATAGGCTCATATTAGACTAGTAATCCATTTACTAAAGAATTTAAAAATAGCGAATGGAATAATAATCTTGATTTTGCTTTTTATGGTTGGTTGAAAATAACTACTTTTCCTCCTCCTGCTTCTTGGTCTACTGGTTTTCATTTTACAAGCAATTCTCCTGATGTTTGGACTGATCAATATAATTATGGCGATAGAGTCTTAGCTTTTTTTAATGACAATAATAATATTATAAATCCTACGTATACAACTTACTCAGCAAATCCCTCCACCAATATATGGAGTCAAGTTTCTTTCTCTACCCCAGAATTGAACTAGTGGATTTTTATTTATTTATCATATGGTTCTTAATAATAAGCTTAATATGCCTACTATAAATTTCCATCACATGAAGTAAGATCAAAATTAATAAATATTGTACATTCTACATCTAATTATTACTATCTTTATGTGGGAAAAACAAGTCCCTACTATTATTTCATGGGTCAAATATGTGGTTTTTATTTAATAGCAGGGCCTACTGCTTATAGAGAATCAGGATTTGATCAATTCTTAACTCTTCAAACTTAAGATGCTATTAGCTGTAGTTATTGCTTATCTGATTTTTATATACCATAATAGACATGCGTTCAATGGTGCCCTAATAATTACAGAGCAAATATTGTATAAAAAACTTGCGACTAATGTTCTACATATACTTCTGATTGTTAAACATGCGCTCCTACTTGTAAATCTTGCTAATTTGGAAATAAAGATATCTGTTTAGATTGCTAAGAAACTATGAACATATCCAACGGAACATGTGTTTGCAAAAATGGAATAGATAATAGAAATATTTTCTACTAATGTAGTAATGATAATATTGCAGTCTTATAGGCAAATTTAGCAAGCGATAGTCCTACCCTTACAATTAATTTCGGAGTTCCTTTGAAAAACAATAATTTTAGTTGCAGTTAAATTTTTTAGCCAAATACTTTGGGTCAGCTGGGTTCTAATCCTGTTTGTACTATAAACTAAGCAAATATTACTATCGCTTTAAGTAAAATTATTTATAATTCTTACATTATACCAAAAAATTTACTTTTAATATAATAGGTCAAGACGCTAATATAACAGAAACTTAATAAATTTCATTTTTACCTAATGTTCTTTAGTATTAAGGCAATAATAATTTTATTAATACTTTCTATTTATTCAGCTTTAATTAGTTAAAAGACATTCCCTTTTAAATGAACTACAAGTATGATGAAATACAAAACACTTGTTATGATATCACTTTTCAGTTGATTCCATAAAATGATGCAAAAAGAGGATTTAATTCAATAGTGTGGAGTATTTAAGCATAACCAACTTTAGATTCACAAATATAATTGCAGGTTGATAATATAGTAAAAACAGCAAATGATAATATTAATCCTAATTTAATTATTCCTAAATATTTAATACCATCTAACACTAATATTAAAGCTACTGTTAACTATTTCATGAGAGTCAATGTTAATGGAACTTTGTCATTTTCTACTTTATATTAAAAATATTATCAAATAGTAATTCAAACCATTTAAAGTGCATAACCACCAGTTTATAGGTATATATTTTTTAAAAATATTTATAATAAATTTCATTTTTTTTTAATTGTTTTTAGATATATGGATTTGACTTTTAAATTCAACCTATACACACAAGTATGCGATTAAACAGGAAGTGTTATAGTTTTTGAACCATATGACATTTAAATAATTTCACAGGTTTTACCTAACTTGAACTAAAGCTATTATTAAACCTCATAGCAAGACTTTTAAGTTAATGTTTAAAAATATGAGATTCCATTCAACACAGCATTTGATTTGCAAGTAAAAATTATTATTTTAAATTCAACTTAATATTAAATAATAATAAAATTAATTTAGGTTTCTGCTGTGTTAGATAGCAATAAAACAATATCTTAGTAGACTAATATAAATATTACTCCTTAATTATCTAAGCTTTTAGTATAGATTACTAGTGGATAAGGTGGATAGAATGGTTTGTTTAATTACAAAAAGGATTTGAATTTGACAGGTACTGCGAGAGACTTAGAAATTTAGGATCCAAATATCCCTTAAGGAATAAACTTAAGTTGGTAATGCTAGTCATTAATATAGTAATAAAATGGAGAGAGAGAATGCCTTGACTACAACAACAATACAGTAACTCTAGCTTAGAATAGCCTTAGTACTGTTGTACCGGCATATACATTTATTCCCTATTAAACTCTATAGTTCTCATTAGTTGGAAGCAAGGATACAAGAACTAGTTTTAGTAATATAACAGCTATTATTGCTGAAATTGACATTCCGCCTCTATTTGTTTAATTTCGAGATATATCTTAATTATAGCAAGTCAACCTCAATGATGATATATTTGTTACACTTCAGTATGGAAGTGATATTTCATCAGATGATATTCAATATGCTGGAGCAGTGTTATATAATAATGCCGAGGTTGGAATTATAAAATTTGATTTTTATGAAGTTAAATTTAGGATTTGGGATTATTTTAATTCTGTTACTCCAGATAATCCTGTAGTATAGGTTAGGTTCACTGCTTATAATCCTTCATTTTATATGCCTAGTATGACTACAAAAAAATTTAATATCAACTTACCTCCTGCCAACTGTGTTTTCACAGTTAGTCCAACTTCTGGAAAAGCTTTAGAAACTATATTTAATATATAAATGAGTGGGTGTACAAGTTCTGATAATTCATTAACCTACTAATTCTTTTACTATCAAAATAATAGTGATTTTCAGCAGGAAATTTTGGTCCCTAATAACATACTTAGGAGACAAATATAAGATTAGTCTTTAGAAAGTCAATTAAATACAGTTTTACCCTCTGGAAATTTGACTATAATGGGGTAAGTAATGAATTCTAAACTTTCAATTTTTAATTCAACATTAGAAATTAAAGTTACTCCTTTTGATCAAGGAGAGTAATAAATAAATAACATCATTGATTAAATGCTCTAGTAGCTAAATAGCTAATACCCAAGATAATCGCTTTTGAATCTGTGTTTTCTTGGTGAAGAAATCTCTAAAAACAATCCAGTATATTAGTTAAATTCTGTTAACTATAGAAAATCTTTGGTGATTTCACAGATAATTAGCTAAACAAACTCTCTCCCAAAGTAGTCAAATCTTTTTACATACTCAAATAAAGTTATTTCTTAGCTTTAACTTTCCTTAAATAACCAATAAGATAGCTAATCGTTAATCTTACTCAACTATATAAATTAAACATTAGAAAATACAATACTGTTAATGTAAGACTCTAGCAACTTACTCTTAAATAATAATAATAATATTGTACTTTAAAACTTAGTTGACAGCTTTAAAATGCTTAATTCAACTACCAAAATTATATCTTATAGCTTATTACCTAATTAAATGAACTTATCAGACTAAATATGTGGACTGTTAGCTAATATAACTCTTCCTAATACTGGAGGTATTTAACTACAAGGAAATCTAATAGAATTAAACTGCTAACAAATTACAGAAAAAAATCTTAATTAATATATTGATGAGTTAGATTATTTTTAAACAAAAACAACTAATATTTATAGAATTACATACAGCACATATTCATAAAATCCATACAGTCAAACAACTGAATTTTTAAACTATACAGACTAACTATAAATATTGTAGCCAAATATAACAATTTCTAAAAATCCTGTCATAATACCTCAAATTGAATATGTTAATAGTAATAAAAGATTTCTTAGTATAAACAATAGCAGTTTGAATTAGAATTCAACTTATATTTACACATTTTCTAACGTTAATAAATCATAAAATAAATTAACTTGTCTCTAAAAATAAGTAAATTAATGGTCTTCTTCAAACTGTTAGGAACTAAATAGAACAGGAACAAGTAGGTTCTACTGTTATTGCAAAGATAAAACTCCTACAACAATTACTGATAATCTAGAAGAGTTAATAAAAAATAAAAATTTATAAACTGCGTTTAGTTCATAAGGCTTTAACAATATATCAAACTTTAAAAATTTTTATAAATATGCAGCTTTTTGGATTCTGAGTACTGCAACATTAATATTAATTGGATTATACTTTTATGGAAAGCACCTTGATAGAAAATTTATTTTTCATTCTATTTAAAGAATCGCTCCTGCTACTGCTATTGATAATGGCCAAAGCTTAATTAATTTATAAAATAGAATAAAAGCTAACTAACAAAATAAAGGTGGAAACAATACTAACAGAAATGAAATTTTTTCTTAAAATTAACTGATTCAATAAGAAAATAAAAATCTATATTTATAATATGGTATTGATTCACAATAATAAATAATAAATAATATAAAAGTAGAATCAAATAAGTAGTTTCCTTTTTAAGAAACCCCTTTTTAAACTACTATAAATACTCCAGACCTTTAATTAATTAAAAAATCTAAATAGGAGAATTAAGAAATTTAAAACATCAATCATTAAATTTAAATAGTAAATTTAAATGACTAATAAGATTATAATAGAGATGACTTGTAGCATCAATAATAAAAATAATAACAAAAACAAATCTAATAGTGGAATGGGTAGGCAAATTAATAAAAATAAAATATTTAATAATAAGATAGTATAAGCAATCAGTAGAGCTAACTTGATAATTAGTTTGAGCTTTAACTATAAAAATTTTAAAACTAAATAGGAACATTAGAGACTATTACAAAAATTGTTGCTTAGCCTTTTTCAACTTTAAACTTATAATAAAAAATTTAATAAGAAACGAAAGATTTACAAATAGGTGATAAATAACTGCACTCAAACAAGTAAAAAGTTTAAAACCCAAGTGAAAGTGTTTAAAATACATCTGAATAAAATTTTAAAAATGAAGCAGATAAATAAAATGAAATGGAAACACTATTAAAATAACTGAATGATTAAAAGTAAAAGCTAGCAAATAAATCATTATTAATGAGAATAATTGTGTTCCATGATTTTTTTAACATATTTTACAGCTATGATCCTAAGCTATCCAGAGCAATCAGATTTAACATATTTTATCTTAGAATAATCCATTCTTTATGCTTAACAACTATCTTTGATGAGAGTTATAATATAGAATAGAAAATAATTTTATCTATAATAAGCTCAATCATTTTAGTAACAGGAGTAACAATTATAACTCTGATACATAAAATAAAAATAATAGGTTCAAAGATATCAGCTGTATTTTTAATTTGCCTTCTTTTATTTTATTACTATATAATTCTATCTATCATTAGTGGAGAGGAAGCCAATTAAGCGAATTCTAAAACTTTTTCATTTTTGTTGATAGTAGGGATTGATTTTTTAGGAACTCTAACTGTAATGTCAGTTTTAAAATTAAGCTTAGTTTTATATTCAAACCATGCTTAAAGTAAATAGAAATTAATAAATTTTCTTTTTAAGGCATTTAATTTATAGATAATACTATAAAATTTAAATATTTGATTTAAAATAATTCTTTTCTATTATCTAAATTTGTATTTTATATTTCTAATAATTATTTTTCATAAACTATTAAAATAAATAATATTATTAAATATCATTCACATATTAAATAAATATAGATTACGTATTAATTTCATTTTTATATATAATTAGAGTTACAAATTTTTTTTTACCTTTTTTTTAACTTATATTAAATTTTATTTTTTTAAAAATACAATATTAGTGTATTCAATATATATATTTCCTATTCACAAAATAATATTTAGAGTAATGAGATAAATATAAATATAAATATTTAATTATTAGGAAAAAATAACTGAAAAACAAAAGTTTTTCTACATCAATTTTTTAGGAAAAATATATATATAATTATTTATGTTTTACTTTTTACTATATATAATATATCTATTCTTATGTTCAAAGAATAAAGAGAATAAAGATTAATTATTAATTAAGTTACTTTAAGCTAATTTTAAAAGAATGAAATAGATTAATTTTAAAAGAAAAGAAAAATGAAATTTAATATTGGAAGGTGAATAATAAATATTAATTAATTTTTAAATAATACATCACAGTAAAAAAATTTATTTCATAATATTTTTTTGAAAACAATTTTATTTATACATTAAATATATTTTTTAATAGTATTGTTGCCTGCAAACCCACTAAAATATTACTTTTAGTTATCTGTCTAAATTTAATTTTTATGATGAAGCAAATCTTTTAAAAGCATTCAATTAAAAATTAAGGACATTAAGTTATTTATTAATTATTTAAACGAAAGAAATTTGATTACCCAATTAAGAATTTTCCTTTTATGAACTAAGATAGAAAATAAATGAAATTAGATAGAAGTTATTTAATTAAAAAATACAGAAAATCAATCTATATTTTTAGCTTACATTAGATTAAGTAGTTAAATATTATAATGATTATAATTGATTTTTAGCTCAATTATAATTCTACTTTAAATTTAAAAGTACATATAAATTGTCTTTAAATCACTTTGAATTTTGAATTTTAATTTAAATAATTTTAAGCAAGGTTATAAAGTAAAAAAATAAGGGAAACTATGTTTTCAAATAAATTACCTCCATTTTTTATATTTTTAAAAATAATTGATTTAGTTATTCAAATGTAATTAAAATTTTAGAATTTTCAATTTTATATTATATAAAAAAAGAGTTTTGTTTTAAATAAATTTTAATGCAAAATAAAGTGTGTTATCAATCAATTGTAATTAAAATAATTTGTTAAAAATATTAAAATATTATTTACTATTATAAATTATACAAAATTCAATTGATAACTATGCACTTTTTTGAAGCTGAGTATATTAAAATTGAATTTGATAAGTATTAGTATTTATTAACTTAATAAAAACAGATTTTATGTTTTAAATTATTAAGAAAACGCTGGAAATGAATGGTTATCGCTGTATAATTCTTCAAAAGGCATTAATTATCAATACACTTCCCTTCATAGAACTGTAAATATATATACTTCTTCAAATAAATACAAATTTTTATTTAAAATTTAATAATTGTTTAATTTATTTAGTTCATAACTTCAATATAAAGCTAAGTATTTTCTTTATAAAAACAATAGAAGAAGAGAAAAAAAAGTTAATTAATTTATTTTAAATAAGAAATATTAAAAAACAATTCTTCATGAAAAGTAATCAAACAATCCTCTCGCTTTTTATTATTTTAACAATAATAAAACCATCATTAAGCCAAAGCCAGGTACTTATAGGTTCATATTCGACTGGTAATTCATACACTAAAGAATTTAAAAATAGCGAATGGAATACTAATCTTGATTTTGCTTTTTATGGTTGGTTCAAAATAACTTCTTTTCCTACTTCTTTTTGGTCTATTGGTTTTCATTTTACAAGCAATGCTCCTAATGTTTGGAATGATAAATATAATTATGGTGATAGACTCTTAACTTTTCATAATGACAATAATAATTTGATCAATCCTACATATACAACTTACTCAGCAAATCCCTCTCCAAATGTATGGAATGAAGCTCCTTACTCTACCTCAGATTTTAACTAGTGGATTTTTATTTATTTATCGTATGGTTCATAATAATAAGCTTAATATGTCTACTATAAATTTCCATCACGTGAAGTTGGATAAAAATTGACAAATATTATACATAACACATCAAATTACTATTATCTTTTTGTGGGAATTACAAAAGCTCCTTACACTTATTTCATAGGTCAAATATGTGGTCTTTATTTAATAGCAGGGCCTACTGCTTATAGAGAATCAGGATTTGATCAATTCTTAACTCTTCAAACTTAAGATGCTGTTAGCTGTAGTTATTGCTTATCTGATTTTTATATACCATAATAGACATGCGGTCAATGGTGCCCTAATAATTACAGAGCAAATCTTGTATAAAAAACTTGTGACTAATGTTCTACATATACTTCTGATTGTTAAACATGCGCTACTACTTGTAGATCTTGCAAATTTGGAAATAAAAATATCTGTTTAGATTGCTATGAAACAATGAACATATCCAACGGAACATGTGTTTGCAAAAATGGAATAGATAAAAGAAATATTTTCTACTAATGTAGTAATGATAATACTGCAGTCTTATAGGCCAATTTAGCAAGCGATACTCCCACCCTTACAGTTAACTTTGAAGTTCCATTGCAAAATAATAATTTGAGCTGCAGTTAAATTTTTTAGCCAAAAACTTTGGGTCAGCTGGGTTCTAATCCTGTTTGTACTATAAGCTAAGCAAATATTACTATCGCCTTAAGTAAAAATAGTAATAATTATTACTTTATCTTAAATTTTCTTTTAATATAATAGGTCAAGATGCTAATATAACTGAAACTTAATAAATTTCATTTTTACCTAATGTTCTTTAATATTAAGGCAATAATAAATTAATTAATACTTTCTATTTATTCAGCTTTACTTAGTTAAAAGACATTCCCTTTTAAATGAACTACAACTATGATGAAATACAAAACACTTGTAATGATATCACTTTTCAGTTGATTCCATAAAATGATGCAAAAAGAGGATTTAATTCAATAGTGTGGAGTATTTAAACATAACCAACTTTAGATTCACAAATATAATTGCAGGTTGATAAGATAGTAAAAACAGCAAATGATAATGTTAATCCTAATTTAATTATTCCTAAATATTTAATACCACCTAACACTAATATTAAAGCTACTGTTAACTATTTCATGAGAGTCAATGTTAATGGAACTTTGTCATTTTCTACTTTATATTAAAAATATAAGCAAATAGTAATTCAAACCATTTAAGGCGCGTAACCACCAATTTATAGGTATATTTTTTGATAAATGTTTAAAATAAACTTAATTTTTTTAATTGCTTATAGATATATGGATTTGACTTTTAAATTCTACCTATACACATAAGTATGCGATCAAACAGGAAGCATTATAGTTTTTGAACCATATGACATTTAAATAATTTCAAAGATTTTACCTAATTTAAACTAAAGCTATAATTAAACCACTTAACAAGACTTTTAAGTTAATGTTAAATAATATGAGATTCCATTCAACACAGCATTTGATTTGCAAGTAAAAATTATTATTTTAAATTCAACATAATATTAAAAATTAATAAAATTAATTTAGGTTTCTGCCGTATTAGATAGTAATAAAACAATATCTCAGTAGACTAATATAAATATTACTCCTTAATTATCTAAGCTTTTAGTTTAGATTACTAGTGGATAATGTGGATAGGATGGCTTGTTCAATTACAAAAAGGATTTGAATTTGACAGGTACTGCGAGAGATTTAGAAATCTAGGATCCAAATATCCCTTAAGGAATAAACTTAAGTTGGTAATGCTAGTCATTAATATAGTAATAAAACGGAGAAAGAAAATGCCTTGACTACAGGAACAATATAGTAACTCTAGGTTAGAATAGCCTTAGTACTGCTGTACCTGCCTATACTTTTACTCCATATTAAACTCTATAGTTCTCATTAGTTGGAAGCAAAGATACAAGAACTAGTTTTAGTAATATGACAGCTATAATTGCTGAAATTGACATTCCGCCTCTATTTGTTTAATTTCAAGATATATCTTAATTACAGCAAGTCAACCTCAATGATGATATATTTGCTACACTTCAGTACGGAAGTGATATTTCATCAGATGTTATTGAATATGCTGGAGCAGTTTTATATAATAATGCCGAGGTTGGAATTATAAAATTTGATTTTTATGAAGTTAAATTTAGGATTTGGGATTATTTTAATTCTGTTACTCCAGATAATCCTGTAGTATAGGTTAGGTTCACTGCTTATAATCCTTCATTTTATATGCCTAGTATGACTATAAAAAATTTTAATATCAACTTACCTCCTGCCAACTGTGTTTTCACAGTTAGTCCAACTTCTGGAAAAGCTCTAGAAACTTAGTTTAGTATATAAATGAGTGGATGTACAAGCTCAGATAATGCATTAACCTACTAATTCTTTTACTATTAAAATAATAGTGATTTTAAGTAGGAAATTTTAGCTCCTAATAACATACTTAGGAGATAAATATAAGATTAGTCTTTAGCAAATCAACTAAATACAATTTTGCCGTCAGGAAATTTGACTATTATGGGATAAGTTATGAATTCAAAACTTTCAATTTTTAATTCAACTGTAGAAATTAAAGTGACTCCTTTTGACCAAGGAGAGTAATAAATAAATAACATCATAGATTAAACGCTTTAGCAGCAAAACAGTTAATATCCTAGATAATCGCTTTTGAATCTTTGTTATCTTGGTGAAGAAATCTCTAAAAACAATCCAGTATATTAGTTAAATTCTGTTAACTATAGAAAATCTTTGGTGATTTCACAGATAATTAACTAAACAAGCTCTCTCCCAAAGTAGTCATATCTGTTTACATACTCGAATAAAGTTATTTCCTAGCTTTAACTTTCTTTAAATAGCCAATAAGATAGCTAATCAATAAACTTACTCAACTATATAAATTAAACATTAGAAAATACAATGATGTTAATGTAAGATTCTGGTAACTTACTCTTAAATAATAATAATGTTGTACTTTAAAACTTAGTTGATAGCTTTAAAATGCTTAATTCGACAACCCAAAGTATTTCTGATAGTTTATTACCTAGTTAAATGAACATATCAGACTAGATATGTGGTTTGTTAGCTAATATAACTCTTCCTAATACTGGAGGTATTTAACTACAAGGAAATCTAATAGAATTAAACTGCTAACAAATTACAGAAAAAAATCTTAATTAATATATTTATAAATTAGATGGTTTTTAAACAAAGACAACTAATATTTACAGCATTACATACAGCACATATTCATAAAATCCTTACAGTCAAACATCTGAATTTTAAAATTATACAAAATAATTATAATAATTGTAGCCAAATATAACAATTTCTAAAAATCCTGTAATAATACCTTAAATTGAATATTTAAATAGTAATAGAAGAATTCTTAGTATAAGTAATAACAACAATTTAAATTAGAATTCAACTTATATTTACACATTTCCTAACGTTAGTAAATCATAAAATAAATTAACGTGTCTCTAAAAATAAGTAAATTCATGGTCTTCTTCAAAATGCTAAATACTAAATAGTACAGAAATGAGTGGGTTCTAATGTTATTGCAAAGATAAAACTCCTACAACTATTACTGATGATCTAGAATAGTTAATACAAAATAAAAATTTATAAACTGCATTTAGTTCATAAGGTTTTGATAATATATCTAATTTTAAATATTTTTATAAATACGCAGCTTTTTGGACTCTGAGTGCTGTAACATTATTATTAATTGGCTTATTCTTCTATGGGAAGCACCTTGATAGAAAATTTATTTTTCACTCTATTTAAAGAATAGCTCCTACTCCTGCTACTGATAATGATCAAAGCTTAATTAATCCTTAAAAAAGAATATAAACTAATTTAGATAACAAGAATGAAAACAATACAAACAGAGATGAGAATTTTTCATTAAATTAACTAAAATAATAGGAAAATAAATATTTATATTTATAATAAGGTATTGATTCACAATAATAAATAATTAATAATATAAATATATAATCAAATAAGTAGTTTCCTTTTTAAGAAACCCCTATTTATACTCCTATAAATACTCAAGACCTTTAATTAATTTAATAATCTTAATAGGAAAATTAAGAAATTTAAAACATTTATAATTAAATGTAAATAGTAAATTTAGACAACTAATAAGATTATAATAAAGATAACTTGTAGCTTTAATAATAAAACTAATAAAAAAATCAACTCAAATAGTTCTAAGAATAGGGAAATTAATAAAAATAAAATATTTAATAATAAGATAGCTTAAGCAATAAATCAAGCTAACTTGATAAGTAATATGAGATTTAGCTTTAAAAATTTTAAAACTAAATAGGAACATTAGAGACTATAACAAAAATAGTTGCTTAACCTTTTTCAACTTTAAACATATAATAAAATAATTATTACACCACATAAAACAATTTAAATATAAATAATAAATAAATTTATTAATAAAATAATTTTGAAGACTATGATAATTGTAAATTTTAAAAAGAATAATAAATTTAATAATAAACGAAAGAATTACAGATAAGTGATAAATAACTGCATTCAAACAAGTAAAAAGTTTAAAATCCAGGCAAAAGTGTTTAAAATTCTTCTGAATAAAATTTAAAAAGTGAAGCAGAGAAATAAAATGAAATGGAAACACTATAAAAATAGTTGAATGATCAAAAGTAGAAGCTTGCAAATAAATCGTTATTAATTAGAATTATTGTGTTCCATGATTTTTTTAACATATTTTACAGCTATGATCCTAAACTATCCAGAGCAATTAGATTTAACATATTTTACCTTAGAATAATTCACTCTTTATGCTTAACAACCATTTTTGATGAGAGCTATAATATAGATTAGAAAATAATTTTATCTATAATTAGCTCAATCATTTTAGTCACAGGAGTAACAATTATAACTCTGATACATAAAATCAAAATAATAGGTTAAAAGATATCAGCTATATTTTTAATTTGCCTTCTTTTGTTTTATTACTATATAATTTTATCTATCATTAGCGGAGAGGAAGCCAATTAAGCGAATTCTAAAACTTTATCATTTTTGTTAATAGTAGGGATTGATTTTTTCGGAATTCTAACTCTTATGTCTGTTTTAAAATTAAGTTTAGTTTTATACTCATAGCAAGAACAAAGTAAATAGACATTAATAAAGTCTCTTTTTAAGATATTCGATTTATAGATCTTACTATAAAATTTAAATGTTTGATTTAAATACGTATTTTTTATCTAAATTTGTATGTTATTACATTTTTTTAATAATTATTTTTCATAAATTATTAAATAAATTAATTTTATTAAATTTGATAATATCATTAAATAATAGCTAATCCTGTTATTGAATAATTGAATGCTAATAAATCTCAATCTATGATTTTATTAAAAGCATATGCCTTTTAATTTTTTATGCAAAATAAATATATATTATTATATGTATAAGTACCCTATGGTCTGCCTTTTTCAAGGCTACATAAACATAATAGCGATTTATTTATTTATTGTATTATAAGTTTGTATTTTTTCGAAATGATCGATTGCTGATTAATACCAAGAACTTCATTGTTAAATCAACACTAGTAATTTCCTTTCATAATTTATTGTTGTAATTATATGCCTTAACTTTTTTATTAAAAATTTTTGTTAATTCTAACTTTTTTCTGTGATATGTTCTAAAAACAAAAATATAAATGTTTTTTATTTATTTTAATGATTAAGAAATTATATCAGTGTAATACTTTCAATTTTTAATTTTTGTGATACATTATTTGTCCATATTCAAATTAAAAATCATTTTCATCTTCTTATTTTACAAAAAAATCTTACTTACTAATATCTAAAATATCTATACTTAACTCTTCTAAATTTATTTAAAATAGTATTTTTCTTTTTTTTCAGTATTTAATAAGAAAAAATAGTCTAAATTTAAGTAATGTAATAAAAAAAAAGGTTTTGAAACAAATTTATAATTTTGTTTATTTTTTTATTAATTAATATAAAATTTAAAAGAAACAATAAAGTTTTTGAAACAGGATTCGAATATTATAGAAAAAAAAATAAAGAATGTTTTGTCCAATATTTAATTTTTTGATAAAGAAATCTAAATTTTTTTTATCAAGCATTTAACTTGAGTTAAAAATTAAATATCTGTTTTAACATTCTTTGTTTTTTTCTTTTATAACATTCGTAATCCTGAATATTAAATTAATATACAATTAAAATAATAATATTTTAGATAGAAAAATAATTTTATAGAAATAGATAAAACTTATAAATACCTAGGATTAAATTTTAATATTGTGTAACTTATTTATGAATTATTAGATTAAATATTTCTATTCTAATATCTGCTTATTTAATCCATTAATAATCTTAGATCATAGTTAATAAAATTAATTAAGCGTTATTATTAAGATAAAAAAAATATAAAACCAATGAAAGATATTAATATATTAATTACAAAATTCTTAGACCATTATGGAAATAAATTTATTAAATATGAAAAAGAAAAATTATTATAAATATAAAAAATTAATATTTATTTTTTAAATAATGAAAGAGAAATGCGATAACCAAAAAAGTTAAAAATGAATGAAATACAAAATAAAAGATTATATTTTCACACAACACCAGCAATATAATTTAAAATAAATAATTTAATGACAATTTTAAACAATTAGAAGAAATGAATTAATTACCAGAACGATATAAGAAGTATATAATGATATGGCAAAAATAATTCACTAAATTATTATAGACTAATTGTTAAATATTTAATCAAAATATAAATTTATATTCCAAATAACATATATATAAATTATTACATATTTCGTTTTCTTGTAATCAGTAAATTAACTTAGAATATACTTATGAATCTAACAATATTATAATAAAAGAATACCATCTAATCTAATTATTTAGATTATTTTACTATTAATATATTCTTAAATATCTAATTCAATATTTATTATTTATATTTTTCTTTCTTCTCAAACTTTACTTTAGGATTTTGATATACTGCTTTCTTTAATTATATATTGTTAAAAATATATTAATACAGAAATATATGTACATTCTTAAGTCTTAATCAAATAAAATTCAATTTTAGTCATACCAATATCTATTCAACCTAAAAAAATATAATGAATGATACATAATTAATTAAATGATAAAAACGATATTTTTTTTATTTTATTACACTTTATGTAATTAAATGATTTGGAATGCCCTTTATATTTTTATTAAATGACGAAATTTGTATTAATTAATATACTTATTTTCTATTCGATTATCCACAAGTAAACGTTAAGTTAAAAAAAATGCATACATTTTTTTGTAATAATTTTTATCAATAGGTACAGCCTTAGCTATTTCAAGATAAAACATTTATTTATATATTATATTGAGCAGTAAAAAAAAAAAAAGAAAAAATGGAGATATTTAAGCTATTAAAATGTTTTATATTGATATTTCAACATTTTAAATAAATAAACTTATATTTATATTTCTTTTTTTAATTAGAAATCTTGAACTTTCTTTGGTTTTTGTTTTTAAAACTTTTCAGTTCAAGTGTGAAATTTATCTTTTTATATTATAACTATAATATTACATCACCTTTTTGTTAAATTAGATATCTTTTTTTCTGATTGATTCATTTTTTAAATATTATTTATTTAACTTTCTTAAAATTTTTATCTTAATTATAATACCCTAAATATTTTAAAAATTATTTATGTTAAATTAAGCCTTAAAATTTTCAACATGATATAAATATATTTTTTTATGATATTTATTTTTTATTAATAAATAATGAGGATTAGTAGTATTTAAATATTTTTTGTTATTTCTATTCTTCCACTCCTTAATTATTAACTAACACTGATTTAATTTGTTATTAGATGATCTTAAAAAATAAAGAAATGAATATATTTCAAAAATATAAAAAATGAAAATTAAAAATTTATCATCTTATTAATTTATTGCCATTTATAAAATCACAGTTCGAAATATTTGAAGAAATATATAAAAAATTTTATCTAAACAGTAGTTATATTTTTTAAATCAGTCTTTAATTTGTAAGATGACTAAAGTTTTTTTGTAAGTTACCTGTTTAAATTTAATTTTATTAATTATGAAATCAATCTTTAGATTAATTCATGTAAGTACATATGAGTGGTATTATATTAACTATTTATCGATTGATTAAATTAAAATAGTTTGATCATTCGATTCAAAATTATTTATCAGTGATTATCTTAAAATCAAAATTAATTGAAGAAGTAGGTTTATTCTTATTAAAAAATACAGAAAATTGATCTATTCTTTTTTAAGAAATTATAATTTAAAATCAATTGATTCAAGGGTAAATAATTTAAAATTAATAAATAAAAAAGACTAAATAATAGGAATAATATCTTAAAATAATTCAATGTAAAGTTTTCTTTTCTTCTTAATAACATTAGGCGTAGTTACCTCCCAATAGCTATTAGGATACTATAATTCAGATGTGGGTAAAAGTATGTAAGAATTCACAAATAGCTCTTGGGATAATTTGCTTGATTTTGCTATTTACGGTTGGTTTAAAATATAATTAGTTAGTAATATTTGGGGAGTAGGTTTCCATTTTACTTCTAATCCTGCAAATCATTGGAATGATAAAACATACTTTGGAGACAGATTATTAACTTTTTACACTATGGGATATACTTTAGAAAATCATTCTTATACATTGTACTCAGACTAAAATTAAAATAATAGCCCTAATATTTGGCTTGATACAACTTTTTCTTCAGATGATGTTAATAAATGGGCTTTTATCTATGTTTCAGTAGGTTCTACTGAATAAAAGTTCCAATCTTTCTACAAATTACCTTCTTCTAATCCAATTTTTTTAAAAAGCACATAGATTATAACTCACTAAACATCTAGTATTTATAGAATATATTTAGGATACTCTATTTCAAACTATGCCTATTTCCCTGGTTAAATATGCGGTCTTTATATTCTTGCTGGTAAGGGTGCTTACAGAGAAACAGGTTTTGAATAATTCTACAGTCTTCAATCTTCAGACGCTTAGAGCTGTGGTTTTTGCCAACCAGGTTATTATTTGCAATCATATAGCTGCTATTAATGGTGCCCTAACAATTACAAATTAAATTTAGTTTAGAAGACATGCGATTAATGTTCTACATATACATCTGATTGTTAAACATGTGCTACTACTTGTAGATCTTGCCAATTTGGAAATAAAGATATATGTTTAGACTGCTATGAAACAATGACCTTATCCAGTGGAACATGTGTTTGTAAAAATGGTATAGACAATAGAAATATTTTCTACTAATGTAGTAATGATAATGTTGCAGTCTTATAAGCCAATTTAGCAAGCGATAGTCCTATTCTAACAATTAATTTTGGAGTCACTTTGAAAAACAATATTTTGGGATGCAGTTAAATTTTTTAGACATAAACTTTGGGCCAGCTGGGTACAAATCCTATTTGCAGCATAAGCAAAACTAACATTACTATCACCTTAAGTAATATTTAATTATTAAAATAATGTTTATTTAAATTTTATTTTAATTAAAAAGGTTAAGATGCTAATATAACTGAAACTTAATAAATTTCATTTTTACCCAATATTCTTTCATATTAAAACAATAATAATCTTATTGATACTTTTTATTTACTCAGCTTTACTTAGCTAAGAAATAATCCCTTTTAAATGAATTATAAATATGATGAGCTATAAAACACTTGTAACGACATTACTTTTTAATTAATTCCATAAAATGATGCAAACAGAGGATTTAATTCAATTATTTGGAGTATTTAAACCTAACCTACTTTAGATTCACAAACATCATAACAGGTTGATATGATAGTGTAAACTGCAAACAATAATATTAATTCTAATTTAATTATTCCTAAATATTTAATACCACCTGACACTAAAGTGACAGCTACTGTTCAATATTTCATGAGAGTCAACATTAATGGAACTTTATCATTTTCTACAATGTATAAAAAGTATAAACAAATAGTAATTTAAACTATTTAGAGTGCCTACTCACCTATTTATAGGTATTATTTTGCAAAAAAAATTTTAATTTTAAAGTAAAAATATTATCTTTTTTTTAACTAAAGGTATATGGATTTATCATTTTTGTTCTAACTTTATATTTAAATATGTGATTAATCCGGATCATTTTAGCTTTATGAACCATATGACATTTAAATTAGTTCCAAGGCATTACCTATTTTGAACTAAAGCTTTTCTTAAACTACTTTATAAAGCTTTTAAGTTAGTGTTAAAAAATATTAGATTCCATTCAACACGGCCTTTGATTTGTAGGTAAAAATTATTATTTTAAATTTCGTTTTAGAATAAAAAAAGAAAAATTATTTATTAAATAATTTTTAGCTTTCTGCAGTATTAGACAACAACAAAACAATAACATAGTAGACTAGTGTAAATATCAATCCTGCATTATCTAAGCTATTTGTTTAGATCATAAGTGGATAGGATGGCTTATTCAATTACAAAAAAGATTTGAATTTGACAGGTATCGTTAGAGATTTAGAAATTTAAGATTCGAGTGCCCCTTAAGGAATAAGCTTAAGCTGGTTATGTTAGTCTTTAATTTCATAATCAAATGGAGATAGATAATGTCTTGACTTCAGAAACAATACTGTAACTCTTGCTTAGAATAGTCTTAGTACTGTTATTCCTGCCTCTACTTTTACTCCTTATCAAACCCTATAGTTCTCCTTTGTTGGATAGAAGGACACAAGAACTAGTTATAGTAATATGACAGCTATAATTGCAGAAATAGACATTCCACCATTGTTTGTTTCTATTTAAGACTTATCATAATTGCAGTAAGTCAACCTTAATGAAGATATATTTGTCACTCTACAATATGGAAGTAATGTTTCCTCTGACGTAATAACATACGCTGGAGCAGTTCTGTATAACAATATTGAAGTTGGATTTATAAAATTTGATTTTTACTAAGTTAAATTTAGGATTTGGGACTATTTTATTTCAGTTACACAAGATAATCCTGTAGTATAAGTCAGGTTCACTGCCTACAATCCTTCTTATTATATGCCTAGTATGACTGTAAAAAGCTTTAACATCAACTTACCTCCTGCTAACTGTTTATTTACTGTTAGTCCAACTTCAGGATAAGCTTTGTAAACTATATTTACTTTATAAATGAGTGGTTGCACAAGCTCAGATAATGTTTTAACTTATTAATTCTTTTACTATCAAAATAACAGTGAATTTAAACAAGAAATTTTAATTCCAAATAATATTCTTAGGAGATAAATCTAAGATTAGTCATTAATAAATCTAATGAATACAACTTTACCCTCAGGAAACTTGACTATAATGGGATAAGTAATGAATTCTAAACTTTCAGTTTTTAACTCAACAGTGTAAGTAAAAGTAGACCCTTTTGATCAAGGAGAGGAATAAATAAATAACATCATAGATCAAACAATTTAGTCAGTAAATAACTAGTTTATAAAATAGATAGTTGTGAATTTGTGTCTTGTTGGTGAAGAGATATCTAAAAATTACCCTCTTTATAATTTAAATTCTGTAAACCAAAGAAAACCATTACTAATTTCATAGATAATTAATTCAACTATTTCTCTTCCAAACTAATCATATCTTTCTACATTTTCAAATAAAGTTATTTCATAGCTATAATTTTCATTAATTAGCAAGTAAGATAGTCAATAGTAAGGTGTACTTAACTATATAAATAATACTCTTTAAAATTAAATTGTGTTGATGTAGGATACAAGTAATAAACTTTTAAATAATAACAATATAGTAATATAAAATTTAGTTGACAGTTTTAAGATGCTTAATTCTACAACCTAAAGTATTTCTTATAGTCTATTACCAAGTTAAATGAACATATCAGATTAGATATGTGGCTTTTTAACTAACATAACTCTTCCTAATACAGGAGGTATTTAACTTGAAGGAAATTTAATATAATTAAATTGTTAATAAATTACAGAAAAGAACCTTTATTAGTATGTTTAGGAATTTGTTGAAATACAATCAAATACAACTAATATTTATAGCATATCATACAGCACATATTCTTAAAACCCTTATAACCAAACGCCTGAATTTATAAATTATACCTAATAACTCGTAAAATTTTAACCAAATATTACAATTTCTTAAAATCCAGTGATAATACCTCAAATATAAAATGTAAATAATATGAGTAACAGAAGACTTCTCAGTGTAAGTAATGGTAGTTTGAACCAAAATTCGACTTACATTTACAAATTTTAAAATGTTAGCAAATCTTAAAATAAATTAACATGCCTCTAAAAGCAAACTAATTCTTGGTCTTCTTCAAAATGTCAAATGGTAAATAATACTTAAATGAATGGATTCTATTGTTATTGTAAAGATAAAACTCCAACAACTATTACAGATGATTTAGAATAAATTATATAAAATAAAAATTTATAAACTGCTTTTAGTTCATAAGGTTTTAACAATATATCAAATTTTAAATATTTCTATAAATATGCAATTTTTTGGACACTAAGCTGTGTAACATTATTATCAATAAGTTTATTTTTTATAGGGTAACGCCTTGATAGAAAATACCTTGATTAGTAAAGTCATAGAATATCTCCTTTAATTGATATCGATTAGAACTTAATAAATACATAAAATAATGTTGAGGCTAATCTTTCAAATAAAGATGCAAAAATCACGAGTAGAGACGAAAATATTGCTTTAAATCAATAGAAATAGTAGCATTTATTTTAATAAGAAAATTTTGATTCTATTTAATAAATTAAACAGAACTTAAAAATTGAACAAAAAAACTAAAAACATCCTTCATATAAATCACCTTATTTTTCATCTCATGTTAATCAATAATATTAATTAGAGAAGTAGGAAGTATTAAAACAAGATAATGAAATGCAATTAATAGATTTAGATTAATAAGTGTATAGTAAAAATATTTAGTAAGATTAAGATCAAGTTTAAAATGAAGAATTTTAGAATAAACTACATGATTAATAAGCCGAAAAATAATAGTAAATCGATACTTTAAGCTCTCAATCTAATTAACTTTAATAATAATATGAGCTTTAGTTATAAAAATTATAAAATTAAATAGGAGCATTAGAAACAACAACAAAATTAGGTGCATAAACTTTTTTATCTTTGAATATATAATAAAATAATTATTACACTACTTAGAATAATATTTAATTAATAGACAATAAACAAGGATCTTTAGCAAGTAATTTTTAAATAAATAACAACGAAATAATCTAAAAATAATAATTTTCTAAAGAATCTTAAAATATATAATCAATTAATAATGCTTTCAATGAATAAAATTAATAAAATTTGAAAAATGATAATTCTTTAGAAAAAAATTAAAAAAATGGATAAGAAGATTAAAAAGAAAAAATTCTTTAATAAAAAAATATAAATGGTAATTAGTTTAAGCTAGCAAAAAAATCATTTTTCAAAAAATTAATTATATTCCATGATTTTTTTAACATATTTTATACCTATGATCCAAAAATATCAAGAGCAATCAGATTTAATATTTTTTATCTTAGAATAATTCATTCTTTATGCTTAACAACAATATTTGATGACAGCTATAATCTTGATTAAAAAGTAATTATCTCTTTAATAAGTTCAATTATATTAGTTGCAGGAGTAACCATTATAATTTTTATACATAAAATCAAAACTGTTGGTAAAAAGATATCAGCTTTATTTTTAATTTGCCTTCTATTATTTTATTATTATGTAATTTTATCTATTATAAGTGGACAAGAAGCTAGTTACGCTAATAGCCAAACTTTATCATTTTTGTTGATAGTAGGAATAGATTTTATAGGAATTCTAACTATGATGTCAGTTGTAAAACTAAGCATAGTCCAATATTCTAATCAAGGGTAAAGTAAATATGCTATTTTAAATTATTTACATAAGTTATTTGATTTATAAATAATACTATAAAATCTAAGTGTATGATAAGTTTTATAAATATTAATATTCATTTTTATTTTAAAGTACGTACTAATTTATTATTCTAAGTAAATTTAAATTTATTAGTTCTTTATAATGTTTTTATTTATTCAGAAAAATATTTACATAATTAGCTACGAATATACTATTTTTTATAATTGCTTACAAAATTAATTTATATACTTGATAGATTTATTTAATAAGATAAATACATGAAGCTTTATTCACAAGAATTCTAACAAAAAAAATAAATTTATATAAAATCAAAGAGAATAATAGCAGAATTTAGTATTAGCTTAGAAAATCTAAATTAAATTTAAAATGATATTAACAAGTAATAAATTATTTTAATTCTTCAAAAGCTGTTGATTAATTTATTAAAGTTATTTTAACAAAAAATAATAATAACAAATTGAAAACTGAATCTCTTCTACAACTTTAAATAGTTTTTAATTTGAACATTTTCAAAAAATCTAAAATTTTCTAAAAACATAAATATTTCTTGTGAGTGATTGAGTTAATAAATGAATGAACTTACTTTACTTTTTATACTTTTATTTTTAAATTAATAATAATAATTTAAACATTTAATAATATATATTTGAAATGAAATATTCTAAAATATTTTGTTGGCTATAATTTGTGTTTAGACTTACTTCTATTTTAAATTACCTTATTAATAATTGTATGCATAATAATTAATAATTTAATAGAACACTATTTTTAAATAAAATTGAAATTATAAAAAATGCTACATTTTTTTGTCTAAAGAAAGAATAAGAATGTTGAGCAGTAGCTTAATGAATTAGATGAATAAGATAAATAGTTAGATAAGGACATTACTGAGAAAAGAAACTCAAATGAGAATTTTAAAATAATCCAAGATATAAATTAAGATAAAGAAGATCATCTTAAATCAAATTAGCATTTCTAAAAAAAAGAATCTATTGAACTGAAACAAATTAAAACAACTTAAAATAATGATTTTTATCAAACAGAGAGAACTTCAAATTAAACACAAAAAGAATCTATTATATACAATAGTCAAAAGTAAAATGATTATTAAAATTAAACTGAAAATGATCATTTATTAGCATAAATATTACATTAAGAATTAAACCAAATTCCTATAAACTAGTAGAGAGATAATTTATAAATTTGCGATTTTGAAATGTAAAAAAGATCAAAAGAAAATTAACTTAGAAGGAATGAAGTAAACCTAACAGAAAAGGAAAAGAATTTTTTAAAAAAGTAATAGTATGAGCTCGAGATGTATAATAAGCAAAAAGAATAGAACAAAAATGATTTTGATTTAGTTGAAGTTAATGAAGAATTTATAAATAATATATTTAATAAGTAATATCCTAATAACTAATAAATACTGGATAAAATACATAAAGAAAAGCAGATTAAAAATGAAAATCAAGCTCTATAGCTATAAAGAAGATCATAAAAATAGATTATAGAATAATAAAAGTAATAATAATAATAGTTAAACAATAAATAGCAATTACAGTCAAATAAATAATAATTCATTGCGAATTATGTAAGCCCAAATGAGAAAAAACCTAATTAAATATCTTCCAATTCTGATTTTTAGAATTTATTGAAGGAAGTAGAAGGTGTTAAATATTGTGATCTATGTGGTGAGTATTAAAGATAAAGTTAGATGGAATCTCATAATGAAAAATGTAAAATGGCTAATGTAATATGTGAGTTTTGTAATAGATAATTTCCAAGATATATTATAAATGATCACACTATAGATTGCCTTCGAAAAGAAGAATTTAAATTATTAGATCTTTACCAAAGGGCCTTTGCAGAAGATGGTTTATAAGTAAATAGAACACATTAAATTTTCTTTGGAAGCAGAGATTATATGAGAAAGTAATTTAATTAGCAGACATTTGAATAATAAAAAGAAATAGAAAAGCTTATAGTTTAGAACTAAAGGAAAATTAAAAAATCTTACTAAAACAAAGTATCAAGATCAGAATATTATGCTGATGTCAAATATGTAAAAGATCCTTAATCATCTTAAGCCGAAGATTGCTGCATATGCTTTGTCACATTTGTTGAAAAAGAAACACTTGGAATGCTTCCTTGTGCTCACAAATTTCATACTTCTTGCATAGATAGTTGGATTAAAGTAAAAAAACTATGCCCTTTATGCAAGCGCTCATTTTGATAAATAAAATTAAATATATTTTCAGATTTATTGAAAAATTTAATACAATCAAAAATTATATATATAATATATAACTATTTATTTATTTTGTTGGTTAAGATAATATTAAAAAAATATTTTTAGTTGCAACACAAATTCAAAAGTAGTAAAAAATAAATTGATTTGAAATTTTTTTCCAAAAAGTAAATTGAAAAATTTTATTTAAAGGTAGTTGACAAACTGCTGAAATATAAAAATTTCCCTGCAGCTAAACTGCGGAAGGCACTATAAAAAAAAAGAATAATTTTTCCTAGCGTCGCTATCGTAAAAATTAGAATTCTTAATAAAAATAAATTGTATAATGGAGGGAGTTACAACAAATGCTTTCTCAAACTACCTATATTAATGATAATTAAAAATAAATAAGATATTAATTTAAGTTATGGAGGAAGAAAATGAATTTGAATACCCTTGTTAGGTTCATAATAATTAGAAATAAAGTTTTATTATTTGAAAATTATATATTTGAGCCTTAATAATAATATTATAATGCTAATAAATTTGATTTAAGAAAATATTTTTTAACTTTTATTTCGAACTTTAATTTAGGCCAGAAAGAATCTTTTTTTCTTTAAAAATTTTGGTCTTTTTAAAAATTAAAAAAAAATAAAATATAATTAAAAATATTTAAATTAAAAAAAAGCTCTATAAAAATTTATTTTATTTTTATTAAGGAAATAATTTAAATTCTTTGAGATATTTTAATATTAGATTTTTTTATTTTAAAAAAATTTATAATATTTTAATTGAAATTTTAATTTTTAATAACCCAATTAACTTTTAATATTTTATATAAATATATTTAAAAAAATTAATTTAATTGAAATTAAATAAAAATAGAAAAATTTCAAATTATCTATTTGTTACCTTTCTATTCTTTATCTAAAATGAATAGAATTTACATTTTCTTCTAATCTGTTTGTTTATGGTAAAATTAAAAATTATTAATAAACTTTGTAACAAACAAAATAAGTAAATTTATAAATTAAAAAAAGGTAGTAAAGGTTAAGTATCTATTTTTAGAATATTGTATTTTATAAGCATAAAAATGCTAAATAATTAACTTTATTATCATTAATTTCAAAAAGAAAAATATTATTTTTAAATAAATGAATTTGACAGGATTTATTTAAATTATTTGTAAATTCTATAAATTTCGATAATAAGTATAGCCTTTGATCAGCTTAGCTAATCTTTCTTTATGGTAAGGTATATTAATAACTTTAAACCAAAATACTCAAAGCTGGTGTTAAGAGCAAGCTTTAGGAGTAGATTGATCGAATTTAAATCTTAGGTAATCAATTAAAATAACTATTAATAATTTAATTTTCAATTAAAATTTTTGATAAGTAGCGGAATGAACTATAATAATAACAATCAATAAGTTAAAGAAGACCCTTTTGCATTTTTAAAAGGAGATGATGAAGACTTTAATGAGAGTTTAAAAGGCTTAGAGGATATGTACAATAATATGTATGAATAAACTGAAAAATAGAAAAGAGAACAAGAATTGTATGTTTAAAAAAAGAAACTTTTAAATGAAATAGCTGCAAACAAATGTAATTTATTTTTTGATTCAAAAAATATTTAAATCAATCTTAATTTTAATAGAAATACTGAATACTCCTGGGGTTGTTATCGGAGTTCCTGTTTAAGAACAAAATTATTAAAATGCTAAAAGTAATTAACAATATGCTTTACTTTAAGAGGAGCCTTTTTTGGATGAAAAACTATTTGCAAAACAATAGCCTAATTATGGAAACTTTAGCAACAATCAAGGATATAATCAAATGAATTACTAATAGTAACAATAACCATATTACAATTAGCCACCAATTTAGAATGTTTAATTTCCCCCATAAGTAAACTATAACTACCCATAATAATAATAGCACTAAGGAAATTATGGCATCTATCCCAACATTAACACTCGAATTAATTGAAAAAATAGTAATAAAACTTAGAATAGATGATAAATATAAATAAAAAATACTGTATTCAAGTACTATTTCATCTATAATATAAATATAAATATAAATATAATAATAATAATAATAATAATAATTTTAAAGCATATTTTATCTATTTATTCGAAGCTAAAAATTCAAATACAATAAATAATTTTTATATTAAAAACTCATAAATTATTTTCTTACTATTTATTTACTTTTATTTATTGAATTATTTTAAATAAAGAGACTTTGTAATAAAAACATAAATATTTTAATTCAAATATTTTTAAGCTATTAATTTTTATAAATTTTGAATTGTTTATGATTATGAAAATCATTTTGCAAATAAAAAAATAATTTTTAACTTTTAAAAAGAATCAAAAAAATTAATTTCTTTTTTAAAATAAACTATTTAATAAAATAAAATGAATAGCAAAATCCGTTATTAAAAATTTTTAATTTTAAGAAAATCATTTCATTTAATTCCAACTTTCTAAATTAATTATTTATTTTATTGAAATATAAAAAAACAGAAGTAAAATTTAATAAATTAACTCAAATGATTTTAATCATTCATATAATCAAATAATGGGAAAAGCTACTAAATTAGAATAATGTTAAGTACGACTAAACTAACTTAAAAGCGCTATTCTTTAGCTTTTAACCCACCTCAAACCTTCATTAAAGACATCAGACCCTCTAGAAAATGATGAGGGTATTTTTGTCATTCTTTTAATAGTATATTTGTTATATTCAACTAAGATTTGTACGATGTTTTAATTAGATTACATTAAATATATTTCATTATTATAGCATATTGCTGAATCTATAGCAGTAAAATTTAAATTTACTATTATATCTAGTGTTTCAACATCTACAAACTTAACATAAGAAGCATTAACATATTCGTTACAGCTGTATGTTACTATACATTCGTCTCCACCTTAATATCTGACTGTAGATAAATAAAATATTGTAATCCTATTTACTTTCTTGGTGAAAAGGTGCTCGCGCTTACTTAAATCAAACTTGCTCAAATTTCCATTTTTAGTTCCTGTAAAGTAATAGTACTTTCCTCCTTTTTGAGCATAAGCGAGAGATGTTATGTCTTCTTATATACCCTAGAGTTAACCAATTTAGTCAAAAGTGAACATGTCATATATCATTATACATTATTGTGAAGGGTTGACTAAGAATAGTTGCCCTAATTAATCACAAGAATCTAAGTTATTGGATTCTACATATATTTTTTTGATTACTTTATAATTTTTTATATTAATAATTCCTATGTAATTTTTACAAACAACTGCAATACACTTAATTCTTTTTAAGTATTAAATATCTCTGATCTAAGAAAAATGAAGGTCATTTATTTTAAAATTAATTGTATGCAAGCATTTTAGATCAACTGGATTCCAAAATTTCATCAATCCATCTTCGCCTAGAGTGACCACTTAGGAAAGAGAATTTCCTGAACCCTCTCCTAGATCTAAAAAGTTATAGATGATCCCTTCATGAGCTCTTTATACTAACATCTTACTAGGATCTACAACTACCTCAAAATTGTTATAATCATTAATTAATTCTTATAATGAGCTTTTTTTATGATTACAACTCAAAGAAGGAATATCTTCACTCTGTTCTGACTCTATTTATTATTTTTCTCTATCACCTTTTTCCTTCTAAGCATACGAAATACTCTGTGGAGAATTTAATATTTGTGTGTCTTTTGTCTTCTTCTTCTACTTTGTTAGTTTTAAATCTAAAGCCATATCCATAGACCTGGTTCTTATCACCTATGTTTGATTATCACTTTTATTATTAGATTCTACGCTAATTATGCTCTCACTGTGCCTAACTTATGTATAACTCTTTCTTGGAGTATCATATTAGCTGTAGTGAGTTACTTCATAAGGATCTGTTTGATTCTTTTTTTTAATACTTTAAGGATTTTAAAACTTTAAAAGCTAACTCTAAGCGTCTTCAACTTCATTTAACCTTTTAGTCTTAACTGCTATCATGTCAAAAATACTTGAAATACTCTCAACCTGAATTTCAAATTCCATGATATTAAGGGATAGGGGTTCTTTTATCATAACAAAATTTTTATTGAAAGCAATCATTTTATAAGCAAGCTCCAATATGGAATTAGTTTGAAATACGCTATATTCCTAGATCAAATCGAATTTCATCACTTTATGAAGTAATTCTTTCAACTCTTTAAGTGCATCAACCAAAAGTGTGGATTTTTAATTCGCTTATAGTTTCTCTATTTTATAATCTATCATTTCTAACTGCTAAGGGATCTTTGAACTTATTAATTTTTGTTGGGCAATATTAAGCAATAATTCCTAAGGAATAATCTAATGAGCATTGTGTTAGTTGTCCTTTTTAAAGCAATATTCACATATTGATTTAATTTTTGAGCACTGTTCCTCTAGGCAAACATACTTTTTAATACTTTATAAATGCCCCTATTTTAAGCAATAAGCAAACTTATACTTTTTTTACTTAAAATTAACCTATTTGTTTATTATGATAGCCTTTTCTGTCATTCTAATTATTTCCTAATTTTGATTATTAATTAAAAAACATATTAATTAATTTACAGCTTTTAATAAATAAGTTAACAAAATATCTTCTAAATTATTCAATTAACAATAATATTTACTTATAAGCACCAATCATTCAAAGTATTTTTTTTAATTTGTTGTCAAATCTATGTAAATTAATTCTAATACCATAAGTATATTTTGATCAATCAAGAATCATAAAAACAAATAATATTTTCTTTGGAAATTAAAAAAAATATTCATACAAAGCAGTCGAAATAATAAATGGTAGCAATATATAATAAATATTATATTTATCAAATATCAAATATTTAATAAAGATAAAATAATATTGATAATATAAAAATATTTTTAGATTGACTTTATTTATCTAATTTCTTATTTTTTTTTATTAAAAAATTTACTAAAAAATTGTTTTTCATCAAATTTATTTATTAATAAAAATGAATATCTTTAATTAAAAATATTTTTATTTACTTAAAGTTTATTAGAAAAATTTAATTAATTAATTAATCAAATTAAATCAGAGAGAGCATAGGATTCTTAATTAATTAATTTATATTTAGGGATTAGTAATTATTGCTAAATATTGTTTTACAATAGCAACAATTTATATTGAATAGTAATATTAAAATGTACTTGAAAAAATTAAAAAATTAAAGATTTAGTATAGATTTTAAATTGTAATCTAAAATTATCCTAAAGATTACTTTACAGATTTTTTTAAGGTAATATTGTATTTGTAAGTTAATAAATCTAATTAATAGCTTTAAAAAAATTATTAAATACTAAGAAATTTTAAAGTTTGATTACAATACTAATAAATAGATTTGATTAAGCTCTTTAAAGCCATAAATATTTATTACAACCTAATTTTGATTTGTTAGTTAAATAAATTATATTAAAGAGCAAAAGAAATGAATGAACAATCTTCTCTCACTTCACAATTTCTCACTGAAAATGTGAATCTAAAGACGGCTACGTTCTAAGAGCTAGTAAGATTTATTATAAAACAACCGCAACTTAACTTGTTAAATCATTTTAATAATGTAACTAAAATTGAAGTCTCCAGAATAGTCTTATCACAAAGTCTACTCTTCAAATTTTGATAATATAAGAAAGGAAGAGAGTGCTCAAGATTTAAAGGAATAAATTACTAGATTAGATCTATTTATCAACAGTTAGGACATAAATTTTAGCTAGATTTAAGTTGAAAAGGTTAATGAGGATAAAGTTATATTCTCTCAAGATAATAAGGTAGAATATTGGTTTTTCATAATTGAAGGGAGTGTTAGATTATCTTACAATCCACTTAAATTTCCTTAAGTTAGCGCTGAGCTCCAAGATGTAATTTAGTTTTTTGACTATGCGAAGCTTAGAGATAGTCCTTAGCTCTCATTTACATTTTGTAAAAGCTAGGCATAATCTCCTATACAAAGATCATAATCAGAGAACGCATAATGTAATATAAAGGCTTTCATTCATTTAAAATGAAAGTAAATAGTGTTTTAAATATGAATACAAATTTATTGTATTATTTAAATAAAGATGATATATCATAGAAAGAACATACACAAAACATTGATGAAAAAGAAAAAAAAGAAGTTGAAATCAGTGAGCAGTATGAAAGATCAAATTAGACTATTAATAATTTTTCAATTAAAAAGTCAGAAATTAAATCTAAAAAAGACTTAACTTTGAAGAACTCTTAAAGTCTTATTTTAAAGAAATTTTAAGCAGGAGATATTATCACATTTAAAGAATTAAAATATTATACTGCAACTGGTACATGCTCAAAGGGTTCTACAGTTTTAAAAATAGGTATTTCTTAAGTAAGTAACCTAAAAATTTATACTTAATGGCAAAATTTTTACAGATACACCTAAAATGAACAAGAAACTTTCGAATAACAGTAATAATAGTAATATGATTACAACCAAAATATTAATAATGCAAATACTGCTTTTGAGGAAACTTTTAGTGAAAGCATAGAGAAATACAAATTTATTAAATCAATCCCTCTCTTTTAGCAACTGAATAGCGATATTATTGATTAGTCTTTTAATTTAATTAACTACAAATAAGGTGATGTTGTGTTTAAAGAGTAGGAGTTAGCTTAGTATTTTTATATTATCTTGGAAGGAGAAGTTGAACTCTTAAAATCAAGTAATCCTGTTAATAGTCAAAATATATCAAGATCACCATCTTTATCTCCTAAAAAGAATTTTTCTTCTACGAGTAAGCTTAATTCTTATATCAAAGCCAGTGTATTATCTCATGGTAGCATTTTTGGTGAGGAAGAAGTAATCCTCCAGTCAGTAAGAAACTTTACTGCTAGAGTATGTTCAAAAAGACTGATTGTTTATCAGCTATCAATATTTGTAATTTAACTACTATTATAGTTTAAAAATTATTTTCTTTATCATTAATTTAAAAAGAAATATTTATTTTTAGTATGAATTTTTTTTTTATTGATGAATTAAAAAATAAATTTTGCTCAAAATAAAATTTGAATTTAATTAAAATAAATAGTTTTTTTTAGATTACATTTGCAGATAAAATGATCTCTTTTATGAAAAACTAAAATTAATGATGCAAAACAAATTGGCTTGGAGAAACAATTAAATTGACTCAATTTAGAAAGTTCAAAAAAGATTGAATCAGATTGAAATTTCTAATAAATCCAACTCTAATTTATTGAAAAACACCTAAGTTAATGACTTAACTCATGTTGCTTCTGACTAAAGCCTCGTGATGAAGATACCTCATAACAAATAGGATTAAAGTGCACAGAATTCTCCAGATAGGAAATAAAAAAGAGCATCCTCTCATTTGAGAATGGAACCTATTCCTTTAAAAATCCACCCTAAAATGGCTGCTAACCCATTTATATTACCTCAAATTTCAGATTTGCAGTAAACAAATATTGGAGTTACAAGAAATCAATCTAAGGATTATAATAGCAATTAAGTAATTCAACCTCAAATGATTAATACATAAAGAAAAAATAAGTCTAGTTAAAGCAACTATAAAGATGTATAGACAATAAAAAATAGCATTGATTCAGAAGAAAGCAAAATAAAAAAAAATTTAAGAAGAAAATAAAATATAATTAGTATGTTCAAAAAAAATAACTCTATTTTAACAAATAATAGATTTCCTTCATTTGAAAAGCCTCTCATTCCTGTAGATGGCTATGGTCTAGCTGTTAAAAGTAAAAATAAATTTTTATTGTCCTCATCAAAATAGCATAGTAGAAATGTTTCATAACCTTCTATAGACTACATAAATTCCTTAGAAAATAGTTTTTGTGAACAATAAATAAATTAAAAAATTAAAAATAAATTAATTTAAAATACTTCTAACTTGAATATTAGTCTCAATTCACAACCATCAAACAAAAATTTTGAAAAACTTATGAATGACATTGAGGTAGATGCCTTAAAAGATTAAACAAAGATTTCCTAAATTGTCTTACCAATGTAGAAATAATTGACTTAAATTTCTTAAAATAGCAATCAATAAATACCATATATCAATTTTAAAACTAATACAAACACAAGAGCCGTCTCAAGAAATTCTTTTCAAAAGCTAGGAAAAGAATAAAATAGAAGTATGGATGATATATATTCATAAATTGATAAACTAAACTTAAATACTTCACTCATAACTACTACAATGGATAATGAAGCAACTAGGATACATTCCTTTAGAAATTCATATATCAATGATAACTAATTTTAAGATAATTCTGCCAGAAACTCTAAAAATGAATTAAGTCCGACTTAAATAGGTAGCTTAATAGATAAAAATTATAAAATATATTAAAAACTAGGAACTTACTTCCGTCCAAGCAAAAACTATCTTATGAATAAATATGAAAAGCCTGTAAAGGGTAAAAAAGTGTAAAATTTTTCTAACCAATAAGATCTTACAACTAGTTTCTAACAGAATGAGCAACTATAAGGAGTTTAATAAAATCTAAAGCCATTATATAATTCTCTAGAAAAATACAGACTACTTGAGAAGTCTCCTTCTTAAGACAACTAAAACAGAAAATCTAAAGAATATAACTAAATAATAAGAGATAAAATAGAAAATTATATTAACGACTAGCTAGGAACGATGACTAAAAAGTATAAACTAATTAAGGAACCTGATTAAAACTTGGAAATCAACTAAGAAATGATATCATTAGGAGTTCTAAACAAAAACTCCCCAATAAATAGTCAAGCAGCCTTTAAAAGAGAAATAGCCAATAAGCTTTTATCTCATAATCCATCAGTTGGAAACACACCTACTAATTTGAACGATTAAGCTTAATTTGACTATAATTTTATACCTAAAAGTGAAAGATATAAATAATCTTCAAGTTTATAAAAGTAAAAGAGATATTCAAATAATAGTAATGTTTACGTCAATAATTCTTGTTTATAAAGCAGCACATGTGATTGCAGGTTTTGCATCCCACACTATAAATAGAATACTTCTAAATCTGAATTAAGGTATTAGCTGCAATAAGGTGGATGCAGCTTACAGCATACCAATAAAAAAAATTTGATAATAAAAAAAACAACTCAATTAGTAAACATTAATTATCCATAATTAGATCAAAATGCTTAAAAATGAATAATATTTTTAATAAATTTTTAACTAAATAATTATTGTAAATAAATATCAAAACTTATCTTAAATAAATTTAAGTAAAAAATCATAACCTACATAAAATTTGTTATTATTAATTAAAAATATTTTTATCAAAAATTAGTCAATTTATTTATTAATTAATATTTTTACTTTTTTAAGTTTCAAAATATTAATATCTTTAAATAATTTATTATTGTCAGCTTTATTTTAATATTTTTTTTTAGAAGATAGCAAAATTTGAGCATGTTAAATTTTAAGAAAATTAAATTTAGGAAATAATCAGCTAAAATTTCATTTGACTAGATTTAGCCTTAGTAATATAATATTTTAAATAATTTTTTTAATGAAGTATAATAATATAAAAAATAATAACTGACATTACATAATATCATTAAAATCAAGATAATTTTATTATTATTAATTCAAAGAATTTTTATGAAAGCATATTACGCATACGTATATAAATATTTATAAAATGAAGTAATTAATAAATTATTTTAAAAAGTTTTTTAAAGAAATACAATAATTTTATATTCTAAAAGCTAAATAAATATAAATAAAATTTATTATTAATAATCAAAATTTATTTTTTTACCACATTTATAAAGAGATTAAAAATCAAAATATTAATAAATTATTTTAAATCATTTTTTTTAATTCCAAAACTCATTTTAAATAAATAACATAGCTCTATATAATTTTTATTATTCATATTTAAAGTTTATTTTGATTTTAGATATATTTATAAAATAAAATCAATTCATATATTTTTTTCATTATTTATTAAGTATTTTGTATTTTCAAAAATTTTTATTTTAATTAAAGAATGCAAATGTTTATTTTACAAGATTTTTGTATCTTGAATGAATTAAAGATTATTTCATTTTTTATTTTAGTAATTTTAAAATAATTATTTTTATCTGTTTAAACAGCTAATATATACATATTTATTTTTATTATTTTTCAAAATTTAGTAATCAAATTTTTATCAGATTATATTTTTTCATATTAGTTAATTTAGTTTTGGACTGTTTAACTGAGTATATTGTGAAACAGTTTTTTTCCTATTCTCACCATTTAAATGAGAAGTTTATTTGAATAACTAATCATATTTGTTTGTGTTTTTTTATTAGAAAGTAAATTAATTGCTTTATGAATGCTTTACTGATTGAGATTTTGCTCTTATAATGGGCTGTTAAAATCTTTATGTAGAGCTCTAATGATGAAATTTTTTTTCAACAAGTTAAGATAGCATTTCAACTGCACTTTTTATCTATTTGTTTTATAATGGACTAGTTTTTGGAGATACTTATGCACTGTATGATTTTAGCTTTGGAGATATTAATGGGCTAGAAATATTTTAAGAGTTATTGATATTAGTATTAATTGATAATTTATTAACAGTTTATTTGGGATAACTTTGTATTATTATGCTTTCGCTAGCTTAAATATTATAACTTTAAAAATTTTCTTTATTGAGTAAATTAGTTTGAGTGATATCTAGTTTGCTTGCTTACAGTAAATTACTCATATGAAATGCATTATTTGTATTGCTTTAATTTTCTTTATGAAGTGATTACATTTATTTCAACTTGTTTTGCTTTTCAATAATCTATTAAAGGATATTAAATTTATTCAGACCTTTATTCATATTATCTTCCTTTACATCTACAATATAGTTATGCTTGGCATTTTTTTTATTTATCTTTATTAACTCTTTATTAAAATTTTCTGCATATCCTCTATCAAAGATAGGCTAAATTAATTAAATTTTCATCTTTCTGTCTTTCACTTTTTCTACTACATGCGAATTTAAACCCTAGTATGTTGGTGAAACAGCTCCTTTTTAATTTAATGTTTTTTCTTAATTTTTAGGATTAGGAACAGGTACAAATTCTACGAAAACTGGCTTTTGACTTGCATGATTCTACTCAACTTTTTTTTATATTTAATCTTAAAATTTCATAAATCTTTTTTCTTAGTTTGTGAGATCTTGAGACTGATTTATTCCAAGTTAAATTTTCATTCTCGGGCTTTTAATTTAAGATTCACCACCTTATTGATAAAAAGAAGTTTCTAAGGTACTCTTTTCGAATACTGAAAACCTCTTTTTTATCATCATCATCGAAGTTTTGTCTTCTGCGAATAATTTAGACTAACTTTCTTTGATTTAATCACAAAAGTGATCTTTACTAGCTGATTACTGGAAGTCTAAATGATGTAAAATACTTGAACTTTACTATTCTAAACTTAAGAAGGACTAAATTTATTTTTATTCAATCCTTTCACCTTTAGAAGCATTCTTGCTTTGTTAACAAAAGATAGAAGATGATACTGGACGGGCTGAGTTATTTCTTATTTTTGAAATTTAAATTCTACTTTCTTAAATAGACTATCCTTCTTTGTTTTAACATCTTGCTGAATAAGGCCTACCTCTTTGTGTATTGATACTACAAGTTGGACTTAATTACGAAAATTCAGGTTAACTTTTTCCCTTTTAGATTTTGAGTATCTAATCTGAAAAGCTATCAAATGCAATTATTTTCGAAGTTTGGGATAAGCTTTAAGTAGACTAGCTTGGTCTTGTCTATCTGTGGGACTATGTGTTTGGAGTTGATGTTCTTACTAAGCTATTATTGGTGGAGTTTTAGTGACTAAGTTAAGCAGAAGCTTACTAACTGAATTGCGAGTGTCTTCTTGTATAATTTGACAAGTCATTAGAGGAAGGAGAGTCAGAAATTAAATATTGTTTAAATGGTATTATACTCCTTCTTATTTTTCTAACTTTATTTTCACTATTTTTTAACTTGGCATCAATTCTGGTTATAAGATCTTAAATTTAGTAGTATTTCATTTTACTGAGGATTTTTTTAAATAAGTCTTCTTTAGATATTTTAATGAGAGTTCCTTGCGTAGAGCAGCATTAAACTTAATAGCTTCTTTAAAGATTTACATTAAAATCTTTAGGGACTACTTAATTTGGATTAGATTAAAGTTCCTAATAATATGATTTAATCAATTCCTCTTCTCCAAAAATTTCATTTTAAATCATCACTCTGAGTTGAAGTGATTTTTTATTATTTTTCTTATTTAATAGTAACTCTTCAAATTCTTTGTCACTTTAGCCTATTTCTACTTCCATGGATCCTTTCTTGTGGAACTCTTAAATGGAAAATGATCTCTTAATCTATTGATTTTTTATTATCGAATTCAATACTTAAATAGGAATTTTATAACACTGATTTAAATAAATCAGGCCATAAATCAGTGAATAATATATTTAATAATTTTAATTAAAAACTTTATAATTGCTTTTAGGAGAGTTTTATAAAAAAAATTAAAAAATACGCTGAATTCGCCTGACTTAATAATGTAGAAAGAATCTATGGGATCAGCTTGCTAGAATACTGTTTCTCCATTTAAAAAATCTAAATATGATAAATTTTGAATTAACTCTTTGAAGTATTTGATATTAAGCTTTTACAGCAAGTAAGTATACTGTAAAAATTTATTATTTTTTTCTTCCAAGTTATAGTTAGAAGATTCTAAAGTGTCTTGTATATCTTCATATTTAGTTTAACCAACATGACTGTGAGCAGCAAAAACAAATACCAGAGTTTTTTTAACACTTTTAATTATTTCTTTATCAGTAAAAACGTCTCCATATTTAAAAGTATAAAGTAATTCTCCATCTTCACTTGTTTCATAGATATTAACTTATCCTTCTACAATTAGAAAGCAATTAAATTTGCAAGAATCTATTTTATAATATTTAATACATGATATTTTTTGTAATTTTTATATGATCTTATTTTCTACTTTGTTAATTTCTAACTAACAAACAAATTAAACTACAATGATGAAAATAAAGAATATTAAAATATATTATAACTTAATTTTAATTATTACCTTTTTATTTTATAATCTTATGGGTGGTTTCATAGTAGTTGTATTGCATATGCTAGACTATTAGTTAGTGTAGATCTTTCATATCTTGTTGATAAAACTCGTTATTTATTTTCAGTCCTATATTATAAGTATGAATCGAATTAAAGTTGTAAGTATCTAAAATCCAGCCAATTTCATCTAACTATCTTTCTTAAGGAGGACTAAGAAATAGTTTTTTAACGAACTATGTGAAAGAAAATAGATGTGGTTAATATGAATTTTTGAACAAAATAATTTACAGATATTTTATCAAATGATTTACCATTTAACATTTTATATGAATCAATTGATAACTTTTGTTTGAATTTAATCTGCGCTTTTGTTTTTTGTTTTTTAGTAAATTAATTATATTAAATAAAGACTAGCTAGAAGAATTAGGTGTGATATAGCAAAAAATTAAAACAAAATCTTAACCTCATTAAATTTAATTGTGGAGGAAGTAACTGAAAATTAAATTTTATACTTTCTGTTTAGTGATACGTTTAAAGTTATAATTTTAAGAAATATTTGTATTAAAAATTGATAAATTAATTCGTACTTATTATCCTTTAAACCAAAATACCAAAGAAGATTGACCAAATTTTGTTAAATTTTTTAATACATTTTGAAATTAAAAATGAAATAAACAATTAATGTTTTGTTTTAATGCAATAATTGTTTCTTTTGAATACTCTTTAAATTCGAATACTCTTCAGCCAATATAAAATTGAATAAAATTATAATAAAAATTCAATTTATTTTATTTTAATTTCAAGGTAATTTATAAATTTACATAGTAAACCATAGCTTTTAAGCGAATTAATTTTGCTTTTTAATTTAATTTTTTAAAAGATAAAAATATAATTTTTCAGGAATTCTTTTTAAATTTTATCTAAATGAAAATTATAAAGGTGATTATTAAATCAATCAAACAATAAAAATAATAAATTAATTTTATCAAACTTTAATAAGTCAAGATTTAAAAAAATTAACTAATTAATTACTATTTTAAAATATTAAATAATTTTTATGACATTTAAATTAAAAGTTTTACATTTATTTTGGAACTTAAAAATTGTGATAAATAAATAAATGAAAAATCATACATAAACAATGCAAACTTTTATCTCACATAAATTTTATATATAGTTTAGATGAAGAAAAAATAAAATTAAAAAATGAATGAATACCTTTATCTTTAAAAATATTTCAGAACGTTATTATAACAATTAAATCTTAATTTATTGTTAAACTTAAAATAAAATAAATTGTTTGTGTATTATAAATTAGATTATTTTCAATTTAATTTATAGTAATTTTTTTTACTAAAGATAAAAAAAAGTTTAATTTTTAATTTAGAAAATCAATTTTATATTTTTGATTATCTATCATACATTCATACATGTATCATCAAATTACATCTAAATTTTTTAATATCAATTTTCATAAATTTAATTCTATTTAATTTTATTTTGGTTTTTCGAATTTCTATTTATATGTAAGTGGATCTACAGGCAATACAGAATTAAATGAATTTGCACAATTTAAACAAGCATGTTTGCCCAATTTTAAATCACTCCACGAATAAAGCTTAATAGGATAGCGACATATATAACATACGTCATTGGGCTTCACTAAATGCTTTATGAATAATAACTTACTCTCTTATTCTCTATAATAATCAATAAAACAGAACTGAGGTTTCGTCAAGGATTCATAAAATTCTTTAAATGTATCGACATCAGCAGAACAGTTTAAACATATATAGTATTTGCATTAATCACATTTCCAAAAATATCTGAGCACAGGACTTTAACATACACTGCATTAGAAAATTTAATTTAATTTGCAAGTAAAGGCCAGTTCATGTTGATGGGATTTAAATGTAAATTTCTTTTTTTAAGAAATTTATGACTAAAAGAATTATTAATAGTTTCCTTAACAATGGTCTTATTACTACTTTATTGAATTTAAATAGTATTCTGAAGAAACTTTCCAGTCTAAGCTTTTTAGCTATGATGTTGGGGCAGTTTTTTCTTATCCTTCGTCAAATAAATTATGGCTTTCATATTTACTTCTCATCTTATGATTTTTCATTTAAGTTATTAGATTGATATCTATTATTAGTTCTACTTTTTTTAATTGTTTATTAATAATTAACAAATCAATCTAAATAAAATCCAGACAAATACAAACATAGATAGATAGATAATTAAAAGAGAAGATTGAATATTGATATTATAGATCAAAACATGATATTGAGAATAAAGATTTTATTATAATTAAATTTAGATATAGCTGAGAAAGTTTTATTTATAAAATGCAATTTAAATATCCAAACATCCATCCATCAATCACTTTCTGATCAAAAAAATTTTATATTTCGTATTAAATATCATTTATTTTGCAATTATTTTTAGATAAGCTTTTTAAAATTCACTTAAAACTCTAGATCCATTTATTTTTAATTTATAAAACATCTTAACTGTTAAAATTTTAGAACAATATAGATAAAAAATCATTTGCTCTAGCAAAAAAATTCATATGGTTTAGTACAAAAGCTAAAAATTGTTTTTAATATTTATAAAATAATTAAATTTATTTGGTTTTTCTTTTGCATACTTTATGAGATCAAATAAAAAACAATCAATTAGTTTTATTATTCCTCTTATTTTATTGTTAATTTTTTTTTGATCAGAAATTAACATATTCATTCGTATACAAACATAATAATCTATAATTTATATTCTCAACTCTTACAATACATAGAGAGCTAGATATTTTAATTATGGGTTTTATGTAAAAGCTCTAAGAAAATTATTAAATTCTAATAATTTTTGAATGTTAGAATATATCATTCAGCAAAGAAGTAAATATATATGATTTTTTATTTGCTTTTACCAATATTTTAAATTTATTTATAATTTTAAAGTTATTAATTTTTTTATTTAGTAAATTAAGCTAATTTTTTTAAAAATGATTTTCATTATTAAAATAATTCTAAAAATTTAATATAATTTATTTAAAAAAATTCATTCATGTAGATTATTTTATCACCTCCCTACCACTCTTAATACATTAAAAGAATGGGTACAATTAAGATTCTTATTGTATTTAAATTTTTTAAGTTATCTTGTATATTTTTATATTTTAATTTTGCTTAAATCTTCAATAAAAAATAAGAAAATGAAATTAATTTCAAAAAGAAGAATTATAAGAATAAATATTAATTTTTTAAATTAATTCACATTCATTAAAACTTAATTGATATTTTAATTTAAAATGTTTGTTTAAAGTAAAGAAAATTTGCAACTAATATACAATAATTATCAATGAATTTTAAATATTTAAAGAAAATGTTTTATGAATTTAAACAACCAAAATTAATTTTCACTTAAAAAAATCTAAGATGAAATCAATTAAAAATTTTATAAATGCTTTTTAAAAAATAAAAAAATGTAATACATTAAATATAATTTAAAAGATAAATAAATGATCACTAACTTGTGAAAACTTAAGGAACATTAGGTTAAGAATTATATACTTCCATATTTATATTTAAATTCTCGTATTAGCCAGAGCAATTTAGACAAACATCATATGCGCATTATGGACACTTCCATCCGTAATAGAAAATTGATTTAGAACAAACGTCACATATTCTTTTACTTTTACCGTCGGGATATTAAATAAAATCAATTTATTAGTGATTGTGTTTATCTATTTTTTGTTAGTATGAAGATTTTACAAGCTTATTGTAGAAGAATTAAAAGTATTTCAATGTAGAGGTACAGTCAAGACATAGTGAATAGTTGCAAGGCTCACATCTCCAGCTATAGGTCTTTAATTATCTATCACATTTTCTGCAACATCCCTTCTAGTAATTTGTGAACGTTAATTCATGATCTTTATGGGAATCAAATATCTACCTAACATTCAAGCAGTTTTAGAAGAACTATTTAAAATTGATTACTGTTACTTCTGACTCTTTAATTTGATTTTATGAAATACTTGGTTGAGATTTATAGACTTCTAAATCTAGTTTTACTGTTTCAAATTTTCCAGAACAATTAAGGCACAAATCAAATGAGCACTAGCCACATTTCCATCCATAATAATACAATGACCTAGAACAAATATCACATCTCTTACCACTCTTTCCATCTGCAAAGCTAACAAAAGAAAATGAAGTATGCTTATGATTATGTGCTTACTATTCATACTAAGCTTTAACAATTTTATTGTAAAAGTACTTAAATGATTATACAGTTGAAGAACAGTCTAAACACAATGAGTAGTTGCATTACTCACATCTCCAACTGTAGCTTTTGAGAGATCTATCACATTATCTACAAGTACCTTTTTATATATCTGAGAAAACTAATTCATGAGCATTGTGAGAATCGAATTGTTGCTTTGAATTGATACAATTTTAGAAATACTAGTTTATATTTAGTTTAATATTTTCTTCTTCTTTTTACTCTTCTTATTATTTTTATTGAACAGCTAGTCTCTATGGAGGATCAGGGCTTGATTAATAAATTTTTTAATCTATTTTTACTTCACCAAAGGTTAGAGAGCACCTTAAGCATATTTCAAATCTATCATCACAAATTGCACATGACCAATAGTAGAATTAATCACTTGGTCTTGAATTACAAAGGTCACACTAAATTGATTTTCCTTTTTGATTATTCCTGAAAACAAATTTCATATGTCTATGTTTTTTAATTACTTAATCATATTCTGAGTTTATAAATTTATCATAATAATATCTTAAATCAGACTCGAAAGTTGTGCAATTTATACAATATTTTATTTTACATTACTCACAATTCCATACATATAACCCTTTTGTATTTGTTACACACCTTTTGCAGTAGCCTTCATTAGATATTACCAGTTCAAGTTCATGATCATTGTGGTATTTTGATTTATTTTTTAGATTAATATTATTTTTAAATATTGAATCAAAGCTGTAAAGAACGATTTTTTCATCCTCTTCGTCTCGATTAAACTGATTTATTTCCTAGATAGTAGAATCTGTCAAATTTTGTTTGTTTTTTAAAATTTTGAAGATATTTGTAATTAAATTTGATTCTTATTTTCCTATTGAATTATTAACATTTATTTCTTAAAAATTAGAAGAGCAGTTTAAACAAACAAACTAACCACAACCTTATTCTCTACAAATCCATCCATATTCCGCTTTACGCTTATCTTGACAGTTAGTACAAGATTCTTTTTTAATATTTTTAGTAAATATAAAATTTTTATGTCTAAAATTTCTAAGATCTTCTTCTGCTTCTGAATTTAGAAGTTTATCATAAAGGCCTCTAAAAAGTTTTGTAGAAGGTATACAATCAAGACACACAAAAAGTTAACATTCTTAACAATTCCAACAGACATTCAAAGTTGATTTCCAACATAAATTGCAATTTTTTCCTTAACCTTGTATTAGGCATAAATCATGTGTATAGTGTAAGCTATAGAATCTGTGTTTTATATTTACTAGACTTTTAAATAAAAATTAGAAATCTAATACTAATTCGTCTTCTTCATTATCTTCAATTTAAGGAATAAAATCAGAGATTGATTTATAAATATTAATATCTACCATTAAATCACCAAAGTTCGAGCTACAGTCAATACAAACAGTATATCCGCATTTATTTACTGGGTCAGAACATTCCCATCCTAATAAAGTTTTAGAATCTTTTCTACATGAATCGCAATCCATTTTAGTAAATTTTTTAAACTACATTTTCGAATGCCTGTGTGATCCAATTTTTTCATCACATTCAGAATTAATTAGTTTTTAATAATATAAATTAAATGATTCAATTGAAATGCACTCAATACATACATAGTATTTGCATGAATCGCAAGACCAACAATAGTGTTTGATACTTCTATTGCATAATTTGCAATATTTACCAGCATTTTCAACAAATGTCAGATTATGTTTAAAATGTATTTTTGGGAATTTTTTGTGAATGTTTAGATTTTTCTTGAAAAACTCTTAGAAATTAACAATCATAAAGTCTTCATCATCTTATTAATTCTAAAATTAATGTTCGTTAATATTCATATTTTAACTGCTTTAAACAGGAGTATCAGGCATTGAATTATAGACTTTTGTATCTACCATAACTTCACCAAATTTAGAGCTGCAATCTATGCAAACAGTATACCTGCATTTATTTACTGGGTCAGAACATTCCCATCCTAGTAGAGTTTTAGAATCTTTTCTACATGAATCGCATTCCATTTTAGTAAATTTTTTAAACTACATTTTTGAATGTTAGTGTGATTTAATTTTTTCATCACATTCAGAATTAATTAGTTTTTAATAATATAAATTAAATGGTTCAATTGAAACACACTCAATACATACATAGTAATTGCATGAATCGCAAGACCAACAAAATTAATTGATAGATCTATTACATAATTTGCAGTATTTACCAGCATTTTCAGAAAATGTCAAATCATGTTTGAAATCTATTTTTGGGAATTTTTTCTGAATGTTTAGATTTTTCCTAAAAAAATCTTAGAAATTAACAATCATAAAGTTTTCATCATCTTATTAATTCTAAAATTAATTTTCGTTAATATTCTTATTTTAACTGCTCTAAACAGGAGTATCAGGCATTGAATTATAGACTTTTGTATCTACCATAACTTCACCAAATTTAGAGCTGCAATCTATGCAAACAGTATATCTGCATTTATTTACTGGGTCAGAACATTACCATCCTAATAAAGTTTTAGAATCTTTTCTACATGAATCGCATTCCATTTTAGTAAATTATTTAAACTACATTTTTGAATGTTAGTGTGATCCAATTTTTTCATCACATTCAGAATTAATTAGCTTATAGTAGTATTAAGTAAATGTCTCTATTGAAATACACTCTATACATACATAGTATTTGCATGAATCACAAGACCAACAATATTAAATGATAGATCTACTACATAATTTGCAGTATTTACCAGCATTTTCAGCAAATGTCAAATCATGTTTGAAATCTATTTTTGGGAATTTTTTCTGAATGTTTAGATTTTTTTTGAAAAACTCTTAGAAATTAACAATCATAAAGCCTTCATCATCTTATTAATTCTAAAATTAATGTTCTTTAATATTCATATTTTAACTGCTTTATACAGGAGTATCATGGATTGAATTATAGACTTTTGTATCTACCATAACTTCACCAAATTTAGAGCTGCAATCTATGCAAACAGTATATCTGCATTTATTTACTGGGTCAGAACATTACCATCCTAATAAAGTTTTAGAATCTTTTCTACATGAATCGCATTCCATTTTAGTAAATTTTTTAAACTACATTTTTGAATGTTAGTGTGATCCAATTTTTTCATCACACTCAGAATTGATTAGCTTTTAGTAGTATTAAGTAAATGTCTCTATTGAAATACACTCTATACATACATAGTATTTGCATGAATCACAAGACCAACAATATTAAATGATAGATCTACTACATAATTTGCAGTATTTACCAGCATTTTCAGCAAATGTCAAATCATGTTTGAAATCTATTTTTGGGAATTTTTTGTGAATGCTTAGATTTTTCTTGAAAAACTCTTAGAAATTAACAATCATAAAGTTTTCATCATCCTATTAATTCTAATATAAATATTCTGACTGGTTATTACCTTTGTTAATATTCATATTTTAACTGCTCTAAATAGGAGTATCAGGGATTGAATTATAGACTTTTGTATCTACCATAACTTCACCAAATTTAGAGCTGCAATCTATGCAAACAGTATATCTGCATTTATTTACTGGGTCAGAACATTTCCATCCTAATAAAGTTTTAGAATCTTTTCTACATGAATCGCATTCCATTTTAGTAAATTTTTTAAACTACATTTTTGAATGTTAGTGTGATCCAATTTTTTCATCACATTCAGAATTAATTAGCTTTTAGTAGTATTAAGTAAATGTCTCTATTGAAATACACTCTATACATACATAGTATTTGCATGAATCACAAGACCAACAATATTAAATGATAGATCTACTACATAATTTGCAGTATTTACCAGCATTTTCAGCAAATTTCAAATCATGTTTAAAATCTATTTTTGGGAATTTTTTCTGAATGTTTAGATTTTTCTTAAAAAAATCTTAGAAATTAACAATCATAAAGTCTTCATCATCTTATTAATTCTAAAATTAATTTTCGTTAATATTCTTATTTTAACTGCTTTAAACAGGACTATCATGGATTGAATTATAGACTTTTGTATCTACCATAATTTCACCAAATTTAGAGCTGCAATCTATGCAAACAGTATATCTGCATTTATTTACTGGGTCAGAACAATCCCATCCTAGTAGAGTTTTAGAATCTTTTCTGCATGAACTGCATTCCATTTTAGTAAATTATTTAAACTACATTTTTGAATGTTAGTGTGATCCAATTTTTTCATCACATTCAGAATTAATTAGCTTTTAGTAATACTAAGTAAATGTCTCTATTGAAATACACTCTAAACATACATTGTAATTGCATGAATCGCAAGACCAACAAAATTAATTGATAGATCTATTACATAATTTGCAGTATTTACCAGCATTTTCAGCAAATGTCAAATCATGTTTGAAATCTATTTTTGGGAATTTTTTCTGAATGTTTAGATTTTTCTTGAAAAACTCTTAGAAATTAACAACCATAAAGTTTTCATCATCTTGTTAATTCTAAAATTAATTTTAACTTGTTTAAACAGGAATATCAGGGGTTGAACTATAGATTATTGAATCTACCATAATTTCACCAAATTTTGAGCTGCAATCTAAGCAAACACAAAAATTACATTTATTTACTGGGTCAGAACATTCCCATCCTAGTAGAGTTTTAGAATCTTTTCTACATTATCCACAATACATATTAGTAAATTTTTTAAACTGCATTTTAGAATGATTGTGTAATCCAATTTTTTCATCGCATTCAGAATTAATTAGTTTTTAGTAAAATTAAGTAAATGTCTCTATTGATAAGCACTCTATACATACATAGTATTAGCATAAATCGCAAGACCAACAATATTAATTGATACATCTATTACATAATTTGCAATTTTTACCAGTATTTTCAGTAAATTTCAAATCATGTTTAAAATCAATTTTTGGGAACTTTTTCTAAACATTGAGATTTTTCTTGAAAAATTCAGAAAAATTAATAATAATAATTTAATCTTGTTGGTCATATTATTTTGTAGATTTTATTTATTTAACCTGATTTATTTAACTATTTGGTATGTCTAATTTCTGATTCACATTCAAATTATTTAAATTATTAGAATTGTTATTATCACTATTACTATTAGACCAATTTATATTATTAGTAGATTAATTAATAGCGTTGTCTTGTATTGGAATTATTTATTTTTGCAAGCTTCCTTAAAATTCTGATTATTTAACAATCTAATACTCTTTATGTGGCTAATTCTGATTTTATTTATTTGAATCTTATTATTTAGAATTTTGTTAAGTTTCTACTTAAAAATGTATGTACGGTAATTAGTTATCTTTTTTTAAAGATTTATTTGCAGGGTTAACAAAAAATTCAATAACATATTGTTAATTTTATTAGAGAATTTGCATGTAACCTGGATTGAAAAATGTTGATGGGATATCTGGTTTAGCATAGTAATTTTTGTCAATAAAAATGTCAGCAGCACCTTAAAAACAGACAAGACATTACAAAAATTGTTGAGACTTTGAATACCAAGCATATTTTTTCTTATCTACTAATTATCTTGAACATTTATCACAATAAGCAAATCTATTACCATCACTTTTAAATGCAAAAACGAAAAAATATCCAAATTCATTTTTATCTTCACGAATATTTTTTTAAAGTCTTGAGTTTAAAAGTTTGTCATAAAATATATTAAATTAATCTTTTTTTTAAGAACAGTCTAAGCACAAATAATATTTGCATTATTAGCAAGCCCAATAGTAGCTTTTAGTAACTCTTGAACATTTAGTACAATATTGACTTTTTCCTAAAGTAAATTCTAACAAATGCTTAAAATGTTCTTTAGTAAATCTTTACTTTTTTCCTAAGCACTTTTAATAGAAATGATTCATGTTGCAAAACCATTATTCGTCTTCAGGTTTTTTTTTCTCATTAAATAATGAAAGCATTTCATTTTCTTCCTCTAACTTAGTTTATTATTTTTTTTAAGAATCTAAAGCTCTTTAGATTTTTGAAAACTTCTATGGTAAATTATTGTAATTATTATAAAAAATTTTGAGTGCTTATTACAGTTTAACGATTTGTTCTTCTTAAGCATTTTTATCTTATTTAATTAAAGCCTATTCCAATTACTTATCAGTTGAGTTATCCTAGCAGCGTTATTATAAAAAACTTTTAAAATCCTAAGATACACCTGAAAATTTCTCCTTTTTACTAACCTCCTGCTTAATGAAAGAGAGAAGCTACTTCGATTAAGATATTTCTTAATACTTTTATTAGATTAATTAACTACCTTAAGGTTATTTTTTCAAATTTTCTTCGAAATCTACCAGAAAAGTTGAAAATTGTTCACTCATTTTAGTAAATAACTATTAGTTATCACATTTACCTGGATTATCAGTTTTAGTTTCTTGATTATCCTAATTCTCTAGTTTTTTTTGTATTTGTTGCTACAATTACTCATTTTTTAAGGGAGGCCAATTAGTGATGTATTTCTAACTTTCAGAGAAGACTTCTTCATTATCAATAGTGACAAAGTCCTTTGGTAGCTTACTAATGCAGCGTGAGCATACTAATTCATATTTATTTGATGTTTAATTATAAGCAAAAAATTCAACCTTCTTTTAAGGGTGATTGGAGCAGCTTAGATTTATCTGAAAATTCATTCTATCCAATTTAAGTTTTTAGTTATTTTTTATTAATTTAGAAAGATTCAGCTTGTGATCTAATTTTAAAGATTCTAAAAGCCAACAAAAGCTTTAGAATTAAATCAGGAATTAATTGAATCTTACTTTAATTTATAGTGAGAATAATTCATTTATTATTGGTAAATATTCATTTTATTAATTAATTTATTTATTAACAAGCATTTTTATATTATTTTAACAAAATCTGACCAAAAAATTATTGACTTTTAATTTAAATTAATTATTAAATTCTGATCATAAAAATAATGGCTAATTGTTATTTAGGTTTTACATTTATCATATTTTTGATACATTTAGTATAGCAGGCATGTGAAATAATGAAAGAATAAAGCTTTTTAAGCCAATATAATTTCAAATAGTAGCTAAAATAATTTAAATAGCACTCCACATACAAATCAACTCTACTTCAAAAATAAAAATTTATTTAAAATTTTAAAAAAACATAAGCTAATAAAAATACTTTGCTTATTTGTTAAAAAGATGTTTTTACAGACACATATCTATCGACGGTAGACAAATAATTTATTTTTAGCCTAAATCAATCAATATTTTGTGAAATATCTTTCTAAAATTTTATTTTCTCAAAAAAGATTAGATAAATATCTGATAAAATACAAAGATCTTTATTACTCTTCAAATATTAATTTTCTCAGTATTAAATGGCTTTTCAAAAAGGAATTTTCTTAGTGTTGAATAACTTTTCAAAAAATGTACTTTTTTATATTAGCCTATGATTTATATAATATAATTTTATATTGAATAATTTATCTAAACTATTTAATAAAAAAACTATCTGTTTCTAAATATATTAAATTTTTCTTTTATTAATACCTTAAAAAGATTGAGAACAAATAAGCAAATAAATAAGATATGAGAAATTATGAATTGTTTCTATTTTATTTATCTATTATGTCTAAATTATCCCAAAGGCATTGACATAAGCTTATATAAACGAAAAGCCTATTTATAATTCATAAAAAATTATTATAATTTCTTTAAATCTAATATATTTATTTATTATTTACTCTTTTCAAGAAGGTTAAATAGATTTTATAGGATTTTGATTAAAGATTTATTAGAATTATAAAATATAGATTATATCAAATTATTTATAGAGTGTAAGTGTTACGAATTATTTAATAATATTTTTTTCTAGATTAAATTAAGCAAAATATTAAAAGCATAAATTAAAATTAGATATCAGAAATTTAGAAATCTAATTTAAAAAAATAACCTTTAAAATTCTTTAATCAAAAAATATGATTTATTCAAAATAATTTTTAAGAAAATAATAAAATTTTAATAAATCACTATCAACAATAATTGAAAATATATTCATACACTAACAAGTAAAAGTTATACTTAATTATTATTAGGTAAAATATAATTATATTAAAATACAATAAATGTTACTTAGGCAATAATAATTTTGTTTTTATGATGTAAATAATTTTAAATTTCGGTATATTTTCCTTAAATTGTAATCAAATGATTTGCAATTTAGAGTCTTTATGAGGCAAAGAATGTTGAGATAAATTTTAAAATGTACTTTTTAATCTAAAAGTTTTTAAATTTAAATTTATTAATAAGGATTTTCAATATTTAAAATTTTTTTCTATGTTATTAAATTTTTAATATTAATGTTAATAAAAAAGTTTTCTATAATTATTTAAGCTGTAATTTCAATAATTATTATTGTTAAATAAATTGAATGTCTTTTGTAATAAAAAAAACTAAAAAATTTAAACTCATAATGATTAATTTAAGTTCAATATTGAATTAAGTTTTGTAAAATAATATATATTTTTTACTTAATTTTACAAAATAAGATGAATATATTTTAGACATAATATCTTATATATGAATTTTATTCACTCTTTAGGTTATAAACTATTGAAATTCTTTTAATTCAGTAAGTTTGGATTTGATCTAAATTTTATCCCCTTTGGTTAATTTTATTACTTAATTTGATATAAATCGTTTTATTTTGAGTTGTAGAAAGTTGTTAGTTAGGAAATAAAATTTTGTTCTGTATTACCAAATGAAGAAATCGTTTTTGAGGCTTTGAAAGATTAATTTTTTTTATTTTCGCTGCTTTGTTATTTTATTTTATGAGAATATTAATTTGTTGTTGGGTTGTTAACTTCATCAAAGTAAAATGGTTTCATAATTGTTAGCATTTTAGTAATTTGAGATGAATTTTGCTAAGAATATTTTTAATTTGATGGATTAAACTCAGTAATCAGCTTTTTAAAGCATTATTTTTTATGAATTAATGAAACATCCTTTTAGAGGAAGAATTTTTATATTTTAAGTTTCGATTCAAGTAGCTCTTATTCCTATGCATTTACTTTACCATTTTCAATTAATTATTATGATAACTTCTTTATTTGGCTTATTTCCTATCTTTTTAGTTAATTAATTTTATTTTTTTTAAAGTTCTCAGACTTATGATCAATTTTTTCTGTTTAATTAACACTCATAATTCTTAAATACTTTTAAGCAGCTTCATTTCTGTAATTATCTTCAAATAAAGAAGAGAAATACTCTCTTTAAAGCTATTGCTATTATCTCTAGATTCTTTTTTAAGAATTTGTAAAAGGTCGAGATCTTGGAGTATTTTAGAGGCTATTAAAATTTTAAGAGCTAGCTTTAGATACTCTGTTAAAATTAGAAATCAAAAAATTATCGTTTTCTGTTTTTTATTAATTTTCGTCTTAAATTTATTCAAGAGCAAATCTTGCAAAATTTGAATTTTGCTATTATTTTTATGGTGTGTTAACATTAGAATTATTTTCGTTTTGTATTGTGTTTTAACTTTAGTTGTTAGAAATTTGAATAGCATTTAAGTTGTAGCTATTTTACTTTTACATTAAAGACTATGATGGCTATTGCTATTAAAGATTTGTACTTTATGTCAAATTTTTTAGATTTATCAGAGATTGAATGTTTTAAGATTAAATATTTTAATAAGATTACAGGTTCTAAAAATTCAAATCTTATTGCTAATCTTACATGATTACCTGTTAGGAGCCAAGTGGAGTATTTTATTATGATATTTTATTAAAAGAAATAGTATTAGTTTTAGAGAATATCTTCGCTTTGCTCTTATTTAATTCTTTTCTATCGTTGATAAGCTTTTTTACTGTTTACTTGTAAGTAGTCATCATATCGTTTACATGATTTTAGTTATCTCTTCGAGGAGATTATCCAGTTGATGCAGAAGGATTATGAGTAGGTTTGAGCTTCATTAAGTTTTGATTTTTGCAGACTTACTATGCCAAAGTGAAATAGTCAGGATTTATTTTATGATTAGTAGCTTTCTGCATCGAGTATGCAAGCAATTGATTTTGATAAGTTTCATAATTAGGATTTTCTTTAAAAGAGTTATTTTGCTATTTTTTTCTATTGTAGAAATGATTGTTTTCTAAAATATAATTTTCAATATCTATAATTGAATTTCTTTCAGTTTTTACTGCTCGAGTATTGAAAATAGCCTTTTAATTTTTTTCAGAAACGTCTCTTGAAATATTCATAACGCTTGAGTTAATGCCACGCCTTAAGTTAAATTGCATACCATTTTGCTTCGAATTATCTGCTTCAGTTAATATGTATTCCTAGTAGTTGTTCTTAGTTAAATTAGATCTATCGAAATTGTCAGTAATGCTTCTTTCTGAGAGCTTAGCTGGTCCTTGTTAAATTGATCTAGTTTTGTTAAAAAGTGAAATATTCATTTAATTTTTTGCATAACAGTTTGAATGAGTAGAAAATAAATTTATGATCAAATTTTCAAATTTTTTTATTTTACTAATTTATTCCTGAAAAAGGCGAAATCAGCTAAGTAGAGTTGTTGTTGTTATTATTAAAACCGATGCTTGAAGGTGAGTTCAGAAGCAGTTTTATTGGGTGTTAAATATTTTTTTTATTTAAAATGGGATCAATCAAATTCTATAAATTAGATTTTTCATTAGTAGAATTTATAGAAAACTCTCGAGGTTTCAATAGTAATTTGTAATGGCTCCTATCAGAATTAAGCTAAGTTCCATCTGCATCAGATGTTTCTCCACTTCTATAAGTTGAACAGGCTACATTATTATCAATATATTTATTTTATAAAAGTATTCTTATCTCTTATTTAACCCTATTTTATTGAGGTTAATATTGATTACTTTCTTATTTATCCTATGATTAAGATACCTTCATATTATACTTAAAAATTATTTATCTCTCTTCTACCTGTTACTCTGAGAGATGGTTAATTATTTGTTGCTTTGAAAAGAATCTATACTCTCTTACTATATGCTTATCTCCTTTTGGATAGATTTAAAACCTGAGTTATAGTAAGAATTATTTACTGTTTCTTTAAAGAAATCAGAATTAGAAATATAAACAAATATTGGTAAATTTTCTTTATATGTTTCTTTAGATTCTTAATTCTTTTTTAATTAAGCTGAATAAAGAAAATCTGTAATTGACACTTAGCTTATAAAAAAAAGTAAGCATAACTTCTTCAAAATAATTTATGTAAATTAATATAAATTTACACTATTTACTTTTAATATTTTAAAAAATATTTTCATCTAAAAAAAAACTATTTAAATAATAAAGCTTTAATTTAAAATTACAAGAAAATGATTTATAAACAGCAAACATATCTATGAATAATAAGTTTTTTTAATTTTATCTAAGTAATTACAAAAAAAATGTTACATAAAAAATTAAATAAGTGAAATATATTTAATTTCAAAACAGTAAATTAAACCTCTTAAATTTACAACATGTTATTTTGTTTTAAATTACTTTGTGAATTCTTAACAAGTATATTGAAAATTTATGTAAACATCTTAATTTGTATATTGAAAATTTATTTAAACATCTTAAATACCAAACAATATGATATAAAATTTAATTAATTTATGTTTCATTTTAAAATAGCTAATAAAACAAAACTATTGTGCTCAGAATATTATTTGTAAAACTTTAGTTTTTTTATTTACAAGTATTTTTTATATTCAAAAAATTTTAAATTTATTTTAGCTATTTGAAAAAAAAAAATGGAATAAAATTTAAATAAACAGAGCAATATTATTTAAATAAAATCTAAACATTTGATAACATTTTTTGTATAAAGAGCATTTTCAATTATTTTTTAATATGAGAATTTTGATTAAGTAATTTTGGGTTAAAGATATGATTTGCTATTCTAATTTATACATAAAAAAACAAATTATTTTTATATATAAATTAAAAGTGTTTGTTTAATTTTTATTTCAACTCAACATTTTCATAATATTTTTTTTAATCAATTTATTTTTAATTTTTGATAATGATTTTAAAAGTTCTAAAATATTTACTGATTTCATCAAATATTTTTTTCTTCAATAAAATTTGTATTATCTCTGTAATCTATTTTTATTATGCAAAATTTATGTTATTCTTAAAATTTAGTAAATAAATTTATTACTAGATAGTGATTTTTACACAGATTGTGACTTTTATGATGAAAATCTAGATGATTGTAAACCTTAACTACTATTTTTCATTGTATCTCTCATTATCTTAATTTAATTTTTGAAATATTCTATTTATTTCTTATGGTATTCAGGTAATCCAGCTACCTACGATTTTATTTCATAAGAGGTAGGTCCTGGACCTTCTTTTATGATAAAGGCATCTCTTAAAGCACTTTAAGTAAAACTATGTTAATATAAATAATTATTATAAATATTTCTCATTTCTTTTAAATTACGATATTTTAGAAGTTCTAAAACTATTATCTGGTAAATCGTATTAGCCAGGTCCTGGTATATATGATTTATGTGCCTCATTTCCTTCGGTTTTAGAATTAAATTTAACTGAAAAAGGAGAAGGCCCTATTAAAATTAATTTAATATTTAAATTTAATTAGATTCTTGATTAAAATACTAAAAATTAAAATTTTAATTAACATCCACCAAAGAGCTTTAAACATTTTTTAGATATTTTTGTTTAAAATAAATGAATTATATCTCTTATAATTATAAAATAAAATATCTGTACTTATCTAGGATTCGTTCAAAACATAAGCAGCAGGTCCAGGGCTATCAGTTTTTTTAATAAAACTAGGTAAATTAGAAGAACTCCTAGTAATTCCATATTTAGGACCTTGACCAATTACATTTGGGATATCATATCTTTTTTAATTAAAAGTTAAAAAATTATTTTTATTTATTATTTAATTACTGCCCAGGTCCTGGAGTTTACTACGAGTCACCATTTGCCAATTTTTTGGCTTCACCAAAAGTATACACCCTTTTGAAAATAAATTTGTGAGTTTTATATCGTAGAGATTTAAATTTACTTTTTGGAAGCATTTTCTTTTTAACTTTCATCGTTTTATTATATGTTTGTTAAATTGTAAGCTCCTGGTCCAGGATTTCTGTTAGTTAACATATCTGTTTATCTTGGAGACATTCCAAATCTACAAGTTTTAAAGTAAGAACTATTATATAAGCTAGGAAGATTGTGCTCATATGCACCAGGTCCAGGGACTGAATCACTTTTATTATCACCAAAATTAGATTTTTAACTTTAATTGTGCATTTAATGAGTAGATTGATTTTAGCTTCTCATATTTTTAGGTGTAAAACTGGAATATTTTTTTTGTATAAAATCTCTATTGATATTATAGCTACCAGGGCCATTTTATTCATACTATGCATTTATTAATTCTTTTCTCCTGCTTTACTGAAATCTAAAAAAAATTTATAATTTATTTTATAATTGTGAAATTTTTCAATAATTTTAAAATATTTTTAAGAAAGAATAATAGCATTAAATTTAGCTTAATTTATTCTTATAAAATAGTTAAATTAAAGCAAATACTTAAAAGAAGGAGATTAGATATTATTAGCATCAACAACATTATATTAATTAGGAGCTGGGTTTTTTATTTATTCGCTTTTATAAATAGAATCTTTTTATGCAGTACCAAAAATACTATGCTATCCCTTTGTAATAGGTTTTTATTTTGATATCTCATAAGACCCTACACCTGGTGTTTCTTCAAATGTTTTTTTTATCATAGGCACTGATCTTGAAGTCATAGAAACACAAGGTAGATTTCTCTTTACATATGAAACATTTGGAGTGTATCTGATTATTATTAACGTTATTGTTATATAAGATATTTATATTAAATATATTTACGTTGCAGGGCTAACCTTAGATTGATCGAACTTTTTCTTGATAGGATTTTGTATGCTATAAGAAATCCCTTTACCCTATAAAAAAATAGATAAGTAAATGATTTTATTTAAAATTTGGTATTTAAAAATCATGCTTAAAGTTGATCAAAATGAGAAATATTACTATACTAGATTAAACTTCATAATTCCCAGGAGGAGGCAAATTCTAAGTTACCTCAAAAATTGAATCTTTTTTGGATTCAGAAATCCTTATTTATTTTTTTATTTAATATAAATTCTTAGAATTAGAAGCTAAGAATTTTACCTCCATTATGGTGATTTTGTTTTCAAAAAATCGAGATTAATATTCAAATAAGCTTGAGGGCCTGGTGATTCAATATCTTAAAATATCTCAGCTAAATTTATTATAAATTTTAAATTATTTATATGATTAAACTAATATCTTTCGATTTGAAAAATTAGTTTAAAATAGTTTATATACGTCTCTTTGAAAACCCAATAGAATACGCTGCAGAAAAGGTAGAATAAGCAGCTGTAGCTTCTTAAGACATCTAATTAATTATTATTAAGTTTAATTTTATTAACTTATTTGCGTATTTATTTATTTACAGATTCTGATGGAATATTTGATAAAAACAAATAAACTCTTTTCAATTAATTGTTATCTATCTATCTATCAATGCAAATCCTCTTTCACTTTAATAATTTTGTTATTTTAAGAATTTTTAAGAGCATTGTCAAATAACAAACATTTACTTCTTTACTCGAAATTTAGTGATATAGTTTTTATTTTTTTATCAAGCATTTAAAAATGATTACTAAAAAGGAAGCAAATAAAGAAATAAATACACAATAATTTTGATTTTAACTTCTAACTTTTAATTAGTATAACATTGGACTTTTGATCATTTTAATCACATTTATTAGTTTTTATTTAAAAATATCTTTAAAATTGATTTAATTTATTTTATAAATATCAATTTTCTTTACACTTATATACAAAAAATTGTTTTCTTATTAAAAGTAAAAATATTAGATCAAATTTACAAATTTAAAAACATGCTGAAAAAAAATAATATTCATTTAAAAACAATCAATTTATTATGAACATTTTTAATGAAGCTTTTAAACTTTATTTTATTGTTTAAAGAATTAATTTAATGTTATTTGACTGATTTATGTAGCTTATAAAATTTTCATAATTCAACTCTTTTCTTTAATTTTGGATAAGTATCTAAGGGTTATTATAGACCAAGAGTAACTCCACAACCCTCTTCATCTTTGTCGTATCTGTAAGTGGCTTCTCCATTTTATTTTCTAGTGCCATCAGATTAAAGTATTTCGTGATATAGTGTGGGTGTTGAATTACCTTGAAGGGTCAGATGAAGAAATCTTGCTCCTCTCATTTTATCTTCCTATGGTCCATAACTTCCAAATCCTGTTTTTCTACCATAAACTAACTCAACTCCTTCAATAAAACCTCCATAATCGTTATTATGGTCATGACCACAGAAACCTGCTCTAACATTGTTTTCCTTCATAGCTTTAAAGAATCCAGTATTAATTGATGGACAACCAACAGATTCTCCTCTAGTTCCATAGACTTTGTAATTATTATATAATGTAACATACTCTGGAATTGGAATATGATAAAAAGCAATATGAAGCAAATTTTCATATTACTTATTCAACTTAGTAATTTCCTATTTGAAAAACCATTTTAAAATAAAAATAAAATTGAATTATTTTCAATATAATTTTACATTTTCAAACCATTCAACTTAAATTCTTGAAATACAACCCCAAGAATTAGTATTATCCTCACATTCGTGATCATGTGTATCTAAAAACCAGAGCACAGCTTTTGGAACATTGCTTGTAGCATTCTCATATATGATTAAGTAATAATTGCTGCCATCAGGCAAACCAGGAACACTTTTATTTGAATGACTAATAATATTTTTAAAAATATGATTTTATTTATTGTTTGTTTATAATATTTATAAGTCTTTAAAAATCTATTTAATGCCAATTAATTTCAAAGAATTTATATCTAAAAAAAACATTTCATCCTAAAAAATATTCATGAATTTATGCTCTGATATTAATTTATATGATGATATTTTTTGTTATTTAAAAAAAATTTTTTATAAATATTTAATCAAAAGGGATGGTTAGTTATTACCTGTGAGGATTAGTCATATCTAAATCCATAATTTAAGTACGGTTTAGGTTAGCTTGGTCATCATGATTTCCAAGAATAATTGAATAAGAGAGATTATGTAATCCAAATGGACTTGTGTATTTCTTCCAATTACGCTAATAAAATGTTGTTGTATTATCCCATGCATATCCACTAACCATATCACCTGAAAGCGCTGCAAAATTTGGATGATACTTTTCTATCAAATAATTCATCAAAGAAACAGATAGAAGATCCTTTAAGTCAGTTTCACCAAAGTGGAGATCAGCAAATTAGATCACCTTTAAAAAAAATAATGAAATTTTTATAAATTATTTGTTAATTTACTTTAAATTCGCCTTTTTCATCAAAATGAAGTCTTTTCTTTGAAGAAGAAAAATTGGAATCTATATTTTAAAAGCATTAGGAAAAAGATATAATTGCTAGTAGCACTATAAATTGAAGATATCTTCTCATAGTTGTACTGTTATGTAGATATTTTAAAAATCAATTAATTGACAAACTATTGTAATTTAATAATTCTAAGTTTGTATGACTTTGAATAAAGTAAAAGATTAAAATCTATTGTTTGTAGATCAACCAAATCCCCAATTATTAAGCAAAAGAATACTAAAGTAAATTAGAATTTCCAAAGTTAATTTATATAGCTTCTATAAAATCACAAATTTTAATTTAAAATTAATCAATAAATCAATTAATAATTATTTCTAAAGTATTTTTATTTTAAAAGTCTCAAACAATAATATTTTATATAGATTTCAGCTCAATATTTCCATTTAAAAATGAGATTATTAAATAATTTCATTCAGCTTTTTAAAATTAAAAAAAACAAATTATTTTAAAATTCATAATCAAATTAAATAAACAAACTTTGATGTGTTTATTTACTTTTTTTGATATTTTAAAATAAATTATACCAAATATTTACAGTCTAATAAAAATAAATATTATTTAAAAAATAACATAAGAAAGAGATTAAAGTACATTTTTAATTTCGTATTTCTAATGAGTAAAAAAAAATATAATTAAAATCTCAATTAATTTAGATAAACATTTGTATTTATTTTTGTATACTTATTTGTTTTGTTTGTTTAATATATATTTAAAATAATGATCAATTGGTTTTATTTTATTTATGTTTTGTTAATTTCATAGACGTTTAATTTACATATGAAATTACATATTTATAATTAATAATGTTTTTTTGGATAATTTTAATTATTTGATAAAATTTGTTAAAGAAAGACCATAAATACATTTTTGATGAATGAAATTTGTATAAGAGAGATTAAGAGGATTAAATTATTAATAAATTGTAATATGCATAATTTTTATGCTATCTCAATAATAAATTGGTTAGAATAATGTTTTGGAGATTGAAGAATGATTTATTATTATTAGAATTTAATTTCAATTATTTTACTACTGCTTCAATTATTAGAGTTTTAAGATAGCTTAGTATAACTGCTAAGCAGTATCTTGCTTAATGTTCTCAAAAACGTATTTATCGCTATGATCATTTATAATGATTCTTTAAGGTGTTTCTAATTTAATAGAGGCATTTTCATCTATCACAATATATTTTAAATTTAGCTTAGAACGGAAAGGTATATAATATATTATTCTTATTGGATCAGTATTAAATAAAAGAATTTATCTAGGTTTTTTAACTGGAATAAAAAATAGCTTTTTATTGACTTTATTTATTAAAGTTTAATAATAGAGATTAGCTTCAGTAAATGGAGGCTTTAAGCTACTTACTACATTTAAATAACTTGTATTTTAATTATCTGATTTTCCTATAGATTAGTTTTATTTATTTTTAGATGGAGACTATGCTAATTCTTCAGAGCATGTTTTTCTACCATTTAGCGAATTTGATACCTGATTTTGATTTGCAGACTTTTCTTCGTTTTCTTGAATATACCCAGTAGGGATATGAGCACTTTTCCTCATATTTTCTAAGTTTTTTTATTCGTTCATTTTAATCTAATTTTTTATATACAACTCTGCTTAATCCTCTTAATCTTCTTAATCATCTTCATCTTCACTATCATCTTCGTCATTATTATCATCATTTTGATTTTTTTGACCTTGATTAGGTCCTTTTTAATTTTCATTTAACTGTTTTTTTATTTCATCATATTATCCTGATATAATTTGTAAAATCATTTCTGGAGGACGTTATTTATAAAGATTTTCCCAAACAACACCATCAAAGAATGGATGTGATTTAAGCTTTTTATAAGCTTCATGTACTGTTTCTTTAGTTATGTTTTCATCTACTACTACACTTCCAAGTCTTTCATACTGATCTAAAACTAGCAATTTAGAGATGAGATCGTTTGCAACAGGAGGTATTTACTCATGATTTTTATTGTATATTCCTTATTTTATCTTATTGAATATTAAAAACTCCTAAGAATCCACAAAAGGTGTATTATTAGTGAATATTTTGTAAATGATGCAACCTAATGCCCATAAATCTCCATTCATATAACAAACGTCATCTTCCAGCATTTCTGGACAAAGATATTCAGCAGTCCCACAAAAAGTTTAAGATCTTAAACGCTATTCTATTTCTTCTATATCAGAAGGCTGAAGTATACCATCATTTAAGCTAGTTTAATTAATGTTTGGTGCATCTGCATTGCCCATTTCGTGATTATGAATAGCTTCCTACTATCTCATTTTAATTTCCCTTATTTTTTCTCTTTCAAATTTTTATCTGCGGTAGTCATCTTTTATCCTTACTTCATCTATTGCTCCTTACGGAATAAGTTTCTTGCAATAATCATTCAGTGTTCCAAAATCAATAAGTTAAAGGTGCCCATCTTTAGTTAGAACAAGGTTTTCTGGTTTAAAATCTCTATGAGAAAAACCCAAAGAATGTATATACTCCAAAATTAAAACCATCTCAGCCACAAAAAACTGAACTACTTCAAATGTAAAATATTAGTGATATTTTTTTATTATCCGCTAAAATTAACCTCCTTCTGCATAAGCCATTACTATGTAGATTGTAGACTAAGATTTATCCCTAAAGCAGGAGTATAATTCTGGAATTCCAGGAAATTTAAAATACTTCATTATTTTTTCCATATATATTTAATGTGCCTTTTTATCTTTATTCAATTTGGTTTAGTTGATTTCTTTCATTGCTAAATATTGGCCTCTCTTATTTCTTACCTTATGAACGATTCCATAAGCGCCTCGTCCTATCTCTCTAATTTTCTCATATTCTTTTAATCTATCAGTGATTGAATTACTTTATTAAGACTGAGTAGATGATTATTATGACAAATTTGGTAAATTAGGTCTATTTTAGGAAACATTCGTATCTTAATTTGTCCTTTTCATTTACTCTGCTAAATTATTTGTTTATAATTAACTATTTTCATTCTTTTTCTCATTAATTTATAGTTAATTGCTTTAATTTGTATTGCTGCTTTATACATCATTTACATGATTTGTAATTAACTATTTTTATAATTATTCCTAAATTTTGTCACTCATTTTAACAGATCCTGTTTAGCTTAACAATAATCAAACTATACTCTTTTAATAAACTAATGTTAGCTACTTTTCTTACTTTTTAAAAAATAAAATGTTTGTATTCTACTGTTATTTTTTATCCACTTAATATTTTTTACTTACTAACTTATAAATTAATAAGTACTATTGATAACTAAGTTACTTGTTTTTTTTATATGAAGAAAGTCAATCTATTTCTTAATCTTCTCAAATTTAGTTATTTTTTACAGTAATTTAATAAAAAAAGTTTGACATAAATTATTTAAATTTTTCCTTAATCTCTTAATATTTCTTAATGTACTTGCAAAAATAATTAGAATAACAAAAAGAAAAGAAAAAAGCATTCATTTTGTTAATTAATATTAACAAATAGTACTCACTATCATTTATTAAATTCGCGTAAATAATTTTTTATAAATTTGATGAGATATTAATAAAATTTTTGATTCGACAAAATAGGTTGGTAGGTAGGTATTTAGGTAATTCAGCAATTATCTGAAGCATTTGTAACAAAACAAGCAAATTTTTTTTCAATTCAAACTTGCCTATTATAATAGATAAATTTGCATAAAAATCATATTTAAAAGCTTTATTTTCTCTTATTAAATAAAACTTTTACTAAAAACAAAAAAACAAAAATCAGCAACCTTAGTCAATAATGTATAATAGTTTATTAGTATTCTTTTTTAGTATCATTTTTTAGATTACTCCAAAGAATTTTTTAATATCTGTTTTTTTAAAGTATGCATTTAAAGATAAATTAGCTAACAACAAACATAAAATAAAATATATTTTCATTTTATTGTTAGTAGGGGCTCTCATACTTTAGCTGCAAATTAAGGGATAAAATAATGACGAAATTACTTAAGTTAATTAACAAACATAGAATTTTATTTATTTAAAACATCATTTTGGAAAGAATAATAAGCTGAGAAGGATATGAATAGTTTAGGTTTTTAACTTACATAATATATACTAATTTTAAATGTTTTTTAAATATCTATGAAGATATTTTAATTAGTGATTTTTTGAGGTATTTTTAAAAACTGTAATCTTAATTAATCATTAACATCTAAAAAAAAAATTAACTGATCAGAAAACCTATTTAGCTTTGTCTATAAGTCGAACTAAAAAGACATTATTTAAAAAAATAGAATATTATATCTTAGTTTGGTCAAAAATTGTTTTGTTTCTATGTATCAAATATTAACAAATTTATAATTTTGTTACATTTAGGAGATCTAAAAAAATTCAAAATTGATTAATTTACATTTTAATGAGATAAACAAAATACTGTACATATTCAATAAATGAATGATAAACACAATTTTATTAATAATATATTCATTAAGTAACATGAATGCTAGTGAAAAAATATGAACAACCTAAATTAAGTATTATTGGAGAAATATAATAATGAATAAAATACACATTTTAGATGTGGATAGACCAATATAAAATTAATAAATTGTGTGAATAACATAACATGATAATTAATTTTAGATGATTTAATATAAAACACCTAAAGCACTATAAATAAATAGGCAAATTTAAAAATAATCAAATAAATAAATATACAAAAGAAAGAAATAAATGCCATAATGACTTTACTTATTTTTACAAATAAACCCTTAATTGAATGTTTCAAATTCTTTCTTCACACCATTTTATAACTCTAGGAAGTATCTCAACTATTTCTGGTTCGTGCCATATGTCATGCCACATATTTTCATAGTACCAATCTATATAAAATTTATAACAAATAAAAATATATTTATGAAAATGAAAAATTTATTTGAATTTTATGATTTAATTAAAATTTTACGTGTTTTGTCTTTACTAGGTGACCTTTCAATCAAATCATAACCAACATCAGGGTCTACCAATTTATCTAAACCACCTTGAATAATTAAGAAAGGGGCATTATATTGTTCAAAAGTCTTGAAGCTGCTTTCCATGCCCTTATAGATTGTCCTTACTGTACCAGTGCACATTTTACTAGAATAAGTGTTTGGGTCTTTTGATTAGTACTAAGACATTTCAGGGCTTTTATGACAATTTGTTCCAGCCTATTTTATAAATCTCCATTCAGGTGTAATAGCAGCTTTTAATTAAAGTAAATTTATATATATTTTAGTATATTTAAAATAAATATTTCTTTCTTTAAACTCAAAATCTTAAAATCTTGCTTTCATCTTTAATTTTTTATTCAAAATATTAAAATTACCAATAAATTTTGCTACTTTTACAAGGAAACCATTGATAAAAGGTTTGATTGCTGGAGCGAACAATACAACACCTGCAAATTTAAATGGAAGTTCTAGTGACATATTATAGCTGGACATACCTCCCATTGATAACCCTCCTATAAACTTTTTTATTTATTAACCATACATTTCTTCTATTTTATTTATGAAGGTTCTACAATCTTATAGATGAATTTCATAATTTTCTAAATATCCTCTTTTTCCTTCACTACCTCCAAATCCTCTATGATCGAATCCCACCACACAGAAACCAGAATCAGCAAGAGCTTTGGCAATATGAGACCCATGACTAACACTGCTGTTTAATCCATGAAATAGCAAAAACAGAGCTTTAGGTTCCTGCCCATTAGTTGGTTTATATCTGTATGTTGTCAATTTTATTTCTTTTTTATCTTAAATTACTCTAAAATCCATAAAATTGATTTCAGTAAAAGCAGTTCCTTTACGAGGGTTAGGGAAGTTCCATTTAGGATCTTGCTTTGCACTTATCACTCTTTTTCTTTTTTATTCCTAATATAATTTATTTTTTCTGTCAACTTAGGTATGCTAAACATTATTACAGTCTATAACTTTACTAGATTCCATTTATATATTTTGTTCTACTTCTAAGTTATTTTGAAAACAATATGTTTAATATATTATTCAGTTTTTATAATACAGAATAGGTTTTGAAATTCTTTTTTACTTATCTTTTGTGAAATCAAATATTTTTTTTGATTTTTGTTTGGTAAATTTCTTAGCTTGAATCTGTTTTTTTTTATAAAATTTAACACATTTTAGATATATGTGTAATCAAAAAATACAAATACTAGTTAAGATGTTTCAAAAAATGATTGGTGAAATTATTTATTGATATTACTTATATCAATATTATTAAATCGAATTTAATATCAAATCTTAATAAAAATATTATTGTTTATCATTTTAAGGAGATTTAATAACCATATATTTATTTTCCATGAACTTTTTTTTGAGCTTAATACTTTTCTCATTTCATTTTATTTACTTTTTAATTACAATTTGTTGGTGTATTCTTTTTTTGATTTTCATAATTTGTTTTGAAATTTAATATTATTTATTTTATCATTCTCTTAAAAACTTTTTAAAAAATCTTAAAATAAATAAAATTGAATTGAGATTAACATAAAATTGAATTATTATGTTTAGTATCAAATACAATTAATTTTAAATTAAATTTTAACAAGATTTAATAAAAATGAAGGTGAAAAAATATTTTGTTTTTGATTTGTTAAGTTTAATATCAAAATGAATGATTTTATTTTTTTGCTAAAATGTAATTTTTTAATAAAATTTTCTTTTTAATTCATAATTTGATTATTATTATTTTTTTTTTTCTTATGTAATTTTGTTAAGGTTATATTTATAATATTTTATTTTATTCTAATTGTTTTAAAAGCTACTTCATACTCTCTTTAAACACCAATCGACAACTTGAGGAAGTATTTCATAAATTTCAGGCTCATGCCAGATATCATGCCACATACCTTCATAATAGATAACTTTTTATATAAAAAAATACAAATTTAAAACTCACATTTCTATTGTATTAATAATATGTTACTTTGCTTGTCTTTACTAGGTGATTTCTCCATTAAGTCGAAAGCAAGATCTGGGTCTACACATTTATCAAGACCACCTTAGATGACAAGGAAAGGAGCATTGTATTATCCAAAGGTTTCATAGCTTTTTTCCATGGCAGTGTAAATTGTTTTTATACTGCCAGCAGATAATTTGTGAATATATGAATAGGGATCTTTTGCCTAGTATTCTGCTAATTTAAGGCTTCTGTGAGCATTCTTACCTGTCTGTTAAACAAAGCACCACTTTGGAGCTAAAGTTCCAACTATTTGCATAAAATAAGTTGTTTATAAGATTTAATTAGTATATAATTATCAAATAAATATCAAAAATACATCATAGAGTTTAAAATTAGCTAAAAATATGTTTTATAATAGAAAATGGATCGAAGACTAATCGAGTCAATAATAAATCTAATTAAATAAAATTTATACAATCATTTAATAAAATTATTTACCAATTGATTTAACAAACTTGACTGCAAACCCCTTCTAAACAGGTTTAAGAGCTGGAGCAAAAAGAACAACTCCTGCAAATCTATGAGGATTCTCAAGAGACATGTTATAGGATGACATACCTCCCATAGATAAACCACCAATAAATTTCTTAATTTATTTTCCATACATTTCTTCTACTTTATTGACAAAAGCTCTACAGTCTTACAAGTGAATTTCAAAACTTTCTAAATATCCTCTTATGCCTTCACTAGCTCCATAACCTCTATGATCGAAACCAACCACACAAAATCCTACATCTGCTAAGGCTTTGGCAATATGAGAACCATGAGTAACACTACTATTCATACCATGGAAAAGCAAAAAAAGAGCTTTAGGTTCTTAGCCATTAGTTGGTTTGTATCTAAAGGTTGCTAGTTTGATTTCTTTTTTATCTTAAATAACTTTGAAATCCATAAAATTCATTTCAGGAAAAGCTGTGCCTTCACGAGGGTTGGGGAAATCCCATTTAGCATCTTATTTTGCTTCTAAAATTCTCTTAATTTTTTATTCTTAGTATTCCTTTGTGGTACGGTCAACAGAAAAAAGAGGGTGTAATTAATTTGCCTAATCCATTACTTTTAACTTTATTCTACTTTTTTATTTTTTAATACAAAGATATATATTGATTATATTTATTTATTTGTTTGTTTGCAAATATATACAATCTTCACTTTTGATTCGAAAGTCAAGTTAATGAAACATTTAAGGCAAAAGAAGTCTTTCAGATTAAACCAAAAAATCTATTTAGAAATTTACCTTACAACTTCTTTATTTTCTTATCAGCCATATACTAAAATTTTTGGTGTCATCCTAATGTTACGTGAGTATAAAATCTTATTATATGATGTAATTTCATTATTATATGAAATAGAAAAAAAAATTAGCTGCTTACTATTTTAATCAGCAAACTATAAAACAAACATAATAAATAATACATGTGTCATGTTAGTGATTTTGTTTACATAAGAAGAATACACTTGATTCAAAACATATTTTTTTAAAGATCAATTTGATTAAGATAATTATTTTATTATTTTTTATTTATTCAAATAAATTTAATTTAAATGAATACAAAGAGATTATATTTTTAAGTAATTAGCTGAATAATTAAATTTTAATTATTTTATAAACAAAGAAATCCTTTTTTTTCAAAATAGATTATTTATTTTATTTTATTATTTTGTTATTTTATTAACAATATAAAGAAATTTATTTTTTTTGAAAATCTAATAAATTTTTAACATAAAAGTTTTTTAAATAGCTATTTTTAAGATTAATAGTATGAGCTTCTTAATTTTGTATTAAAATCTGCAAAAAATCACACAAATGAATGAATAATTTAAACAAAGAATGAAATTTTTTTAAAAAATTCATGGGTATTTAATTAAAATAAATTAAAGGCAATTATTTAAAATTAAATTAACTAAAACAAACATGAATTAAAAAAAATTATACAGATAATTTAAATACTAAAGAAAATATGACATAATTTGCTATTAATATACAAAAAATATTTGGTTGAATTAATTTTTAATTATTTTAAGATAAATATTTATCTTTTAAATCAAAGAATACCTATTAAGATCCATTTTTTTATAAAATCTATTGAAAATTTCTTTTATATTTTAAACTTTTAGTATTGTGTAATTTTATTTAATTTGTAAAGAAATAAATATGCTAATTTAATAATTATTTAATAAGCTATTAATTATATCATACTTATTAAGAATATAATATATTTCATATTCCAAACTCTTTTATTTATTTAGAAGGATTTAATTTTAACTTTATTAAGAATCTAATAAAATTCCTTTATTTATTTATTAAATTTGGAAATAGATTTTTCAATTTCTAAAATTAAAAAGATAATACTTTTTAATAAAAAAGCTATTTTATAATATAGTTTAAAATAAATGGATGTATTATTGATAAATTTGGTTTTTATTTTAAAATTTACAAATATTAAATATAATTTTTTTGATAAAACTTTAGAGTAATTCTGTAAAAATAAATATTTATATACTTTTATTTATTTAACTTTGAATTGTTCAGCAATCTTCCTAAAATGATTTTGATACTACAGAGAGGTTGTATAAGAGAGGTGTATCCTCTTTTTAATTCTATTCTAAGCATTCAGATTTGAAAGTTTTAGAAGGATATCCTGGGATATTATAGACCAAAGTAAATCTTTTAGGTTTTTCGCAAATATTTACAGCATATAAATCGTAAGTAGGATAAGCATGTCCTACTTAAACAATTTCGACATCCAAACAGCTAGTATCTTTAAAACCAGACTCTAAGTTTATCATTCTGCTGCTATTCTAATGCATAACAAGATAGGCAGAAGCACTAAGGAGAAGTAAGACTGATAACAATATAGGTATTCCAATTAATTTCATTGCTTTGAAAAATATTTGATTATTTTTTTATTTTTTCTTTTTATGATTTTTTTATTATTTTTGTTTTAAATGTGTGAGTATAAATTAAAGATTGAAATTTTAATAAAAGATTAATTGATGTATGCTTTATAAGCAAATATAAGAAATTATTTATTTTTAAATTCTTATTTTGCTTCTAAATTTTCTTAACTTTTAGTTCTTAGTATTCCTTGTGGTAAAATTGACAGAATAAAGAGGGCATAATTAATTTACCTAATTCATTACTTTTAACTTTATAATTTTTTTATTTTTTAATGTGAAGATATATATTGATTATATTTACTTATTTGCTTGTTTGCAAATATATACAATCTTCACTATAATTCCAAAGTCAAGTTCATGAAACATTTAAGGCAAAAACAGTCTTATTGATTAAACCAAAGAATACATTTAAAAATTTACCTTACAAAAAACTTCTTTATTTTCTTACCAACCATATATTAAAATGTTTGGTGTCATCCTAATGTTAATTGTGCATAAAATCATTTGATATGAAGTAATTTCATTATTATTTGAAATAGAAAAATATATTAGTTGCTTACTTATTTAATCAGCAAACTATAAAACAGGCATAATAATACACTATCATAGGAGTAATTTTATTTATATTAGAAGAATACACTTAATTAAAAACATATTTTTCCTCATTAAATTTAATTTAAATCAGTTTAAATCTTTTATGAAAGTTAATCTTTATTAAATTAAATTCAATTTTTAAAATGCCTTCAAGTAATAATTTCTCACGTTCTATTTGAATTATGAAACTTTACAAAAGTAAATAAATAACATTTTAAAGATCAATTAGATTTAGAAAACTACTTTATTGTCTTTTATTTATTCAATTAAATAATTTAAATGAATACAGAGAGATTAATTGTGTATTAAAATATGCAACAAATCACACAAAACATAATTGCTATTAAAATATGTAATTTAATTAATTTTTAATTTTAAGTTACTTTAAGAAAACTATTTAATTTTTTAATAAAAGAATTTAACTAAAAACCTCAATTTTTTGATAAAATCTTAAGACAATCAATTTCTTTTATATTTTATACTTTTAGTTTTGTATAATATTATTTAATTTGTAAAGAAATAAATATGCTAATATAATAATAATTTATATCGTGATTAAGACTATCGATGATCTAAAAAAATTCTTTTATTAATTAAATTTGGAAATTGATTTTTCAATTTATAAAAATATAAAGAATGTTTTTCAATAAAAAAGCTATTTTATAATAAAATTAAATATAAGTGGATTTATTAGTGATAGATTTGGTGGTTTTGTTAACATTTTCAAACATTAAATATAAATTTTTTTGATAAAACAATTTAGAAATTCTTTAAATATATATATATATATATATATTTATATTAATATTTATTTATTTATTTAAGTTTTGCTTTGCTCAGCAATCTTCTTAAGAAGATTTAGTTACTACAGAAAACTAGTAAATGAGAGGAGTATCTTCTTTTTAATTCTACTCTAAGCATTATGATACGAAAGTTTTAGGAGGATTTCCTGCAAAACTATAGACCAAAGTAAATCTTTTAGGTTTTTCACAAATATTTAAAGCATATAAATCGTAAGTAGGATAAGCATGTCCAACTTAAACAATTTCGATATTCAAACAGCTAGAATATTCAAAGCCAGACTCTAAGTTTATCAGTATACTACTATTCTTATGTATAACAAGATAAGCAGAAGCAGAAAGGAGGAGTAAGACTGATAAAAAAATAGGGATTCCAATTAATTTCATCGTTTTAAAAAAATATTTGATTATTTATTTTTTCTTTTTATGATTTTTTTATTATTTTTGTTATAAATATGTGAGTATTAATTAATTAAAGATTGAAAATTTAATAAAAGATTAATTGGTGTATGTTTAGTAAGAAAATATAAGAAATTAATTATTTTTAAATTTATTTCTAAAATAAAAAAAGTAAGGTAATTTTTAAGTTTTAATTATCAGAGATAGTATTTTGTTAAATAAATAATTAAGTCAAAATATTATTATTATTTTTTTCTTAATAAATCATTTTTGGAATACAGATTTATGAAGACATAATTATTTTGAAAATATACATCATTTCATTTTGTTTATAAAATGATTAATTATTAAACTATTTTTTTTATAAAAATAAACAATCAGATTTCTTTCAAATTAAATTTTTTTTTAATTTAAAAAACTTTGTTTCTTGTAAAAACTGAATTAATCTTTGCTTATTAAAATGTCAATTCATAAAAAATAATTTAAATTCATTATTGGCTTAGTCAACATTAATTTTTATAATCATATTCTTATGATGATTAATACACATAGAGTAATTTAAGAGACTAACAATTTACTTCAAAATTATAGATAGGAATCAACAGTTTGTATATTTAAAATTAAAGGAAAATTGAAAATAATAATTTATATTCGATTTTAGATTTCTATTTATTTTAAGGATAATTAAACTTTTGATTCCTGTTTCTATTCAAATCATATTATAGCATTTTAAAATTCAATTAATTTCTTTACTAAAATTTATTTAAGAAATATAAATCAATGTTATAAACGAACTTTAATTTCCAAAAATTAAATTAATTTTGTCTTAACTTGAGAAAAATAGATTTTAAAGGTTAAAAATAAGTTTATTTTTATTATAGGATTGAAATTTATTGAAAATTAGGATAAAAGACCCTTTATTTTACAAATTAATAGCTTAGTTTGTTGGGGATATTATTATTATTATAATAATAAGAAGTATTTATTATTTTTAGAAAATTTAAAAATTTAATTTTTTCTTTTGAATATAAACTCTTAATACTCTAAATTTGTAAATTTATTTAATATCTAAAATAATAAAATTAATTTATTTTTTTAAATATTCAACTTAAGGGATTTTGAATTTTTTTTCTACTAAAATAAATATTGAAATAAAGTAATAATAAAATTTATAGTATCGCGCCAATTTTATAACTACCACATAAAGTAAGAAATAAACAGATTTATATTATAAAATAAAGATTAGCGGTAAGTTATTGTTTCTATCAGATAATAAGAATAAGTCAGAAATTGAATATCTAATGTTTTATCTTTATAAATCTCTAAACAATAATTTTTATATAATTATTTAGAATAAAACAACCTTATTTTATTGTTTTAGACATAAATTAACAAAATAAACTAACTAATTATAAAATAGAGTAAATGAGCAGGAGAAAAGTTGGAGGAGTCATTAAAAAAGCTATTGAAAAGGAAGAAAAAGAGCCTGTAAAGAAAGCTCCAAAAAAAAAACCTAGCAAGGCTGTGGTTTAGCAAGAATAAATTATGCTTAACATTGAAAATGCAAATACTACTTAGCACATTAAAGATTTATGTGATTAATTCGAACCTCCCGCTTGCAAAAAATGCCCAAATAGAAATGCAGATCGTATTTGTGTGAATGCAGAGTGTGGTCATAACAATTATCTTGAGTTAATTTGCGGTAAATGCCATTTCTAAAAACACAGCGAATGTAAAGAAAAACCTGAATTAGATGTTGAAGAATTCTTTATAAAGCTTGGCACTTTTTTGAATGAAACAAAATTCAATTCATCTTTTGGGGAATAAGGAATTAATACTGAAAAACTTTAAGAAGCTTTTGCCTAAATTGACTTGTATAATTAAAAGCTTGATGAAATCGAATTGGTTATCAAAAAAGAGATATTGACATATAAGACCCCTGAAGAAACCCACAATTCTATTGCCAATAGTATTACAAAAGCAATCAGTGAGCCAACATTTGAAAACATATAAAATGAACTTGAGAATATTAAATCATATGTTTTATTTGAGGATAACAATTTCAAGTCGAATGGAATCTCAGAAAAGGCAAAATATTTGAGAGATTAGGTTAAGGCAATTAGTGAAGAAAATAAACTTTTAAGATAGACTATAAATTCCTCTTTTATAGGTGGAAGAAGCATAGATATTTCTGATCTTAAAATTGAAGAAGGACTAAGCTAAAATTATAGAACTTAGAAAAAGTTAAAATGGTCATACAAAAACGGTTCTATTAACATCTAAAGTCAAGCAAAATCCTACTAATAATAAGTACATCTTGATTTTGAGATTGATCCTTATAAAAAATATACTCTTCGTTGGACTGTTAACAGTTTTAATAATAACTATCACTTTGTTGGTTTGTTCAGAAAAGATTAAGTCAAAACCAATTATATGTATTCTGGTACATCTGGATATATATTTAAGAGATTTTACAATTAGAGCCCCACATAAGACTGCTCAGAAGTAGTGAAAGGCATAGATTTTGGTTAGAGTGTATAAAACGGAAGCTAATACGAAATGAGATTCAGTATTTCAGACAATATTCTTTAGTTTTGCACTTATCCTGACTATGAAAATGTAGTGTCAAAATTTGATTATGTTTCATTTGATAAAGATACAGAATACGTAATTACATTTAATATGTATAATAACATGAATATATCTATAGATAGTCTTGAAGAGAGTTACTTCTTCCCATCATATTGATTGATTAAATAAATCAAATATCTAATTCTAAAAAACAGAAAAAATTGTATTAAATAAAAAGTTTATTTTTAAATAATTAATTAATTAATGATAAAGTTTTAATTTTTTAGTTTGTAAATTCATCAGTTAATCTGAAATAAATAAATCAATATATTTTTGAGTTGAAGTTAAATAATAAAATAAATATGAATTAGTTAATTAAATTTCCATTTTGATATTTCAAATATTTTGAATACTTTTTAAATAAATTAATGAATAAATGAGTCAGTAGTCATCAATTTAAATTTTTTTATATTCATTTTGTTTTATTAAAGTTATTGAAATATGTTTTGTGGATTTTAAAAAATATTTTGAAATCAAGAAAATAAATATGAAAATATTGACATTTTTTCTATTGATTTTCTTTATAAGACAAGTTTAGATAGCATCTTAATTAATAAATTTCTTTTCTTTATTTAACACAAAAATTAAAAATGAACAAATATGAAAATTATTTTTTATTTGGACTATCAAATTTGCTTTAAAAAAAGAAATTTTAAAAAAATAAATTTTAATGAAATATTATAAATTTTTTAATTTAAACACTTGATAAATAATAATATTTTACTAATTTCATTTTAAGCTCAATTTTTTTAAAATTTATTCTGCATGGAAAAAATAATTAATTAATTAATTATAAATATTAAATTGAAATCAAATAGCTTTCACAAAATGTTTATCCACCATTAAATAAAATTACCTTTGAATTTTATTGGTATTTTTACTATTATTATTTAATAAAATATATTATTATCATTCAAGAATTAACCACTCTTCTCAATTTATCACTTTTATTTTTAATTTACCTTTTTATCTAATTTTTTTTTTCTCAACAAATTCTTAAAGAAGCAAGCAATTAAGAAAACAAACGAATATATTTTATGGTAAAAATGTTTACTATTTATTTTTCTTTAAAGAGTTTATGATTTAAAATTTTTGATGATTAAAGAATTCAAAAGCTTTATTATTTATTTAATAAGTATGCATTTACTATGACTAGATCAATTTTAATTATTTTTTTAATCCAGTAAAGTCAAAAAAGGAGAAAGCTTTGAATTTGAAATCATCTCTCTTTCTTTTACCTATCCTTTTAAAAAATTTTCCATTTTCTTAAATTCAAATAATTTCAATTATTTAAACATATCCATTTCTTTTAAAAATCTAAAACATTTGGCTAAAATATTATCAATTACTTCGTTCGATTATATGTTTTATTTTCTATATCAAATAAGAATCTTATCACTATAAAAAAATTTTTTAAACGAAACTATCAATCAAGTATGATAAAAAAAAAACTTATATTCAAGTTGCTTTCTTTTAAAAATGGTTTCATTTTTTTGAACTGAAAAATTAGTAAGAATTAGAAGACAGACTCATATATAATAACAGAAATAGTAATTAATGAGAAAATATTAAGTATAGTAGGTAGGTTTTAATATATATTTATATGTTTTTGTTTGCTTTTTTATAAACTTAATTAATGTTTGAATTTTTTACACTTTTAATTCGATTAAAATTTCACTCTCCTTTTTCTTTGATTTAGATAATTGTAGATATAAGACCAGAGATACCACCAAGTAAACCAAACAATAAGCATATAATGGCAATTGCAGTAACTACTTTAGTGGTACTAAAGAAATCAATTTTATTAGGAGTTGCCTTTACGTTCTTTTCAACATCTTAATTTCCATTTTAAACTTATTTTAAGAGCTTATCATTTTTTGGCTTAGCCTTAATATAAAGAATAAGGGGACAAAGATAAGTAAGGAAACTACAGAGGATGCAACCCATGATATTGAAGAAATCACTCATTTAGGTGACATACAAAGCTAAAAAGGCGAAAGAAAGGAAAATTAAGGCTCTAACAACAAAGTCAGTTAAGAAACTTACGAACTTGTTGTTGCTGGGGTTCTTTACAACATATCCTCCAACAAGGTTATCGAAAAATTTAACAACGCAGAAAATATAAAGTAACATACTGGCTAATTCAGCAAAACTGTAGAGGAAAGATAAAGCTGTACCATATCCTTACATAGATCCAATATTTGTGAAAATAGCAGCTTGAGTCTATTCACCAAAAGCAATGTAACCCATAGTACCAACTAAGACACCGATAAGAGTGAAGATACTCAAATAAATTTTTAAGACAGTGTCGAATTAACTCTTATCTTTCATGGAAGCGTGAACTTCAGTGTAGACACCATTACAGTCATATGCGAATGTGAAGACACCGAATGAAAGAGGGATTTAAGTAAAATCGAATTGAGTTAAAGAGCTATAGTGAACATCAGTGTTATGAATAACATAACAAGATTTGACAACAATTGTCAATAAAGTAATAGTGGTGGCAGTCAATGCAAAGTAAGTGAAGAAGGAGAGCTTGTGGATCTTCTTGTACATAGACAAGGGAAGGAAGATAGCCATCATGATAAGCATTGTGTGGTAGTGATTGGGGAAAGTGGGATTAACAGCTTTGTAAATAAAAATAGCATAACCAAAGCAAGCAGAATAAGAATAAATATAAGTGCAAACTTGTAAAAGTTTCTTGAATTTAGGTCCATAGAATAAACCACCACAGTTTTCAAGGGTAAGATGCTAGTTGTTAGGGTCATTACGGTCAGTGCTTTCTTGGAATCTCATCATTTTACTGATAAGAGACCAGCAGAAGTAACAAAAAATAGATGTAATGCAGCAAAAGATGATACTCAAAGCAATACCACAGCTCTTGAAAAGACTGGGAAAGAACAAAATACCAGTACCTACACCACTTTTTAAGAGACTTGCAGAGGCTGTCAAGATTGTACCTTTAGGTTCTTCTTTTTAAATAAAACCTGAGGCATAGGCGGAAGCAGTTAAAGCTTCAGATTAAGTACGATAAACATTAGGTTTGTCCTTAAGGTTGTAGTCTTCAGGAATTGCATTATCAGTGATTATTGGAACAGTTGAAACAGGTTGTTGTTGAAGTGAGGGCAATTCTTACAACACAGGTAATCCCTATTCAATTTGAGGATTTGACATTTTAATTTAGAAAAGTTAAGGCGAATGAGAAGTTGATTGCTTTATTTTTCAAGATGTTGCGTATTTATTTTTTAGTTTAATCGCAATAATTATTTTTATGACTTAATAATTAATTACATTTTTAGAGGTGGTTAATTCCTACATATGAAAGGCTAGTTCTTTAAATTAATTTGAAATTTGTGGCTATCACCTTACAAAAAGGTATTTTATTAAAGAGTATGAAATTACTAGTACTTGACTATTGTTTATCTAAAACTAAAAATTAATTTCCAAAAAAGGCTATCGACTGTTCGACTAACTAACTCTTCAGATGATTAATTAAAATTATAAATATGAGTTGTGCCTATTCATTAAAAAGCGCTGTTCTTTTGTTATAAAAAACTGCAACAGCTCAGCTGATTGAGCTGAAGAAATTTAAATTAGCCTTCAATAAATTTAATTCAGCGTTTGGGTTATCGAAGCAAATTTAAACATTTGCTTTTATCTATTTATTTCGCAGCTAGTAGAAATAATTTCAATTTATAATCATACCAATAAAATCTAAACCCTTTAAATTTTTGATTAAAACTGGTTAATAAGAAATAAATTTTGTATTTTTGAGACATTGATCAAACAAACATAATTTTTCTAAGGTAGATCAGTTCTAGCATTAAGGTCATTCATTATCTTCAATAAGCTTTTAAAAATTTTTCCATTAATTTTCTTTCAATAATTGGTATTTCCTATATACGGTAGTATTACACAAGCTTATTTTTGGTGATTAAATAACCATTTAATCTGCTTTAATAACTAATTTATACTTTTCTGATGCTTCTAAAGTTATTTTCATTTTTATAAATTTGTAGTAAACTTTTTTTCCCAAAATAAAAAATTTAGACAGTTATGCCATCATATTTATTTTCTTTATTTTGTATTTTTTACAAGCTAATTCGCACTTTTATACTTGATTTTCATAAAAAAAAATTTTGATTATGTTTACAATATTTAATCTTAAGAAAGTCTTCGAAATAATATTATCAAAATACCTGAATTCTAAATACAAATAAATTTTAACTAAATTAGAAAATATTTAAAATAAATTTCAACAAACTGCATTCAAATTTAGCAGATTTTTTAGAGAAGTTGATAATTATTTTTATTATCAAAAAAATGGAAATATTTTTATTAATTTTATAAAACAAAAAAAATTCTTTATAAAACCAACAATTAAAAGAAAAAAAATTGAATAACAAAAGGAAAAAAGGTATTTTCTTAGAGTTTTTTTAGGCAAATTTATGGTTAATAACTGTTGATTAATTGATTTTATTTTATTTTAAAATTCAGACGCCTTTTTTTCCAAATGAAGGATTATAATTTTGTATTTGTTAATTTAGTAAAGCTGTCAATTTTTATCAAACAATTTTTCTACAAAATTCACAAATTTTCAACTAAAAAATTTCTAAATAAACTAAAATTATATAATTTTAGCATGTTTCTTAAATGCTCGAATCAATCCTGCTTTTTAATTTATACAATTTTTAAAGTAAATTCATATGGCTTTAAGAGTTTGAAAAATGGTTAATTTTTTCTAATAATAGACATCCGAAGGTAAAGAAAGCTGGCTATTTACTTAGTGTTTTACTATACTAAACACGCACTTAAAAGTATTAATTTGTATTTCCTTTACAGTTTAGTATGAATTGCAGTTTTTCCTTCAATCAAATTTTGTTCCCAAATAAGCATTTAAATTTTAAAAAAGCAAAAAAAGAATTCTGAAGACAAAAAGCATAAAATTAACACTAAAATTATTACGAAACAATATGTTTTACAAAGCTTTTAAGTATTTTCTATTTTTAAATAACGATATGAGCAGTTTATTTAATTTTTTAAAAATGGATAAGTAATAAATAAATATCATCGAAAAATCAAAGAATTTATTTAGATGTTTTTATCTAAATTAGTCTGAATAACATATAATATTGATTCATTCTACTAGTAAAATGAATAAAAGAAAAAAGTTAAATTAATTAATTATTGCTTTGCAACTTATATTACTAACTCTTTTTGTAAAAATTAATTAATTCAGGCTTTGATAAAAAATACCCTAACATCTAGCGTTGATATTTACTTTTAAGATAAATTTTATCATATTGAGTCTACTTGCAATATGTTTTTATAACAAAATATTTTCTATTCGAAATGATTATGAAAAATAATTGTTAATATCTAATAATTCGTTTTTAAAGAAAAAAATCTAATCAATTGATTGTAAATAAATTTTTTAATTCAAATCCTGTTAAATATATTTAACATAATTTTAATAAATAACTGCGTTAGTATAAAAATTTATTATTTTGACATTTCGAAACCAAGTTAATTTATAGATAAAACCCTTCCTTATGACAAAATGATTGCAAAACTTTTCAATTGAGCTTTTATCTTTACATTCATTCATTCATATAATTACCCTCTAACAATACTTTAATTATTTTTATTTAACTCTTAGCTTGTAATTTTATAAAGGAAAAACCTTTTATTAAGTCAAAATCAAGAAATGCAGTGTAATATAAAGAAAAATTGTAATTAATTTAAAGAATTTTTAGTGAAATATTTTCTAAAATTAGATATTTCTTTTATTTATTTTATAATGTATTGTAATTTTTTGTTTGAAGTATTTATACTTCATTAAAAATTTACATAGAATTTTATAAAACAGTATTACTTATACTGTAAATTAAGTAGTATGTAGCCTAAGGTTGGCTTTGAAATTAATCAAATTATTTGTTTGTACTATTTTTAAATATATAGATTTTCTTCCTTCTCGAACAAAATTGTAATTAAGGCGATCAAGATATTTTGATTAAACAAATTTACATTTTTGAAAAAAATAAATAAATATGTCAATCTTTTCTATGTGATTTAGAATAATTAAGATAAATTAAATACTACAAAAACCAATTTTTTACTTAGGTACAAATGCTAATGGTTTAAGCTTATTTCATTGTTAAACAGGTTCAACATGTTTATTTATTTATAAGTTAAATTCAAATAAAAAACGAAATAAAAATACTTAAATTTATTCATGAATTTAAGATATTGATTGGTATTTATTATATCGAGTAAGAAAGTTAAAAAAATATCTCATTTTTTGTTTGATAAATTAATATACATCGCATTTATTTTACTAGTAAAATAAAATTAAAAATAGTTCATTTATTCGAACTAGTTAATAGTTTAAAAAATAATATTAACAACCTTCATCTGTTGATACCCTTGAATCCTATTTAATTAATTAATTAAATTTTGCTTTTCGATTATTTTATGAATTGAAATACCCCTCAGTTATAAAATTATTAGAATTTTGATATTATTAATTGATCTATTTTCTTACTCTAATTCTCCCAAAATTTATTTTTTTGATTTTCTTATTTTTTAAAAGATAATTAATCCTTTGATATATTTTGCATAAAATAAACTTATTTTTAACTAAAAAGATGATAAAGCTCATTATTTATGTCAAAAATGAGCTCACTGATGACTAAAATTACTGTACGAAATGTTAAAACTATTTAAATAACAAAAAATATGAATAAGAATAATTTTAATTTTAAAAAAACTCTAACTAAAAACAAATACTGTCCTGGTTTTCAAGAAATGTTGTTTATTATTTTTGGTTTAAATGGAGTAATTCAAAGTCAAAAAGGGAGAATTGAATTATAAATTAATTTTAAAAGAGTTTTTGAGTAAAAATTAAAATAATAAACTATGAAAATTTTTAAATATTTTATAGCATTAATTTGCATTTTATTCTATAAAATATTCATATTTAAATACTTTAAGTGCATATCGATCACACAATATTCTTTTGATTTTAATTCAAAAACTTAATTAGAAAAAATTTGATGAAAAAAGTATGATGCAATAATAATGCCATAACGTAATAGCAGCTAAATTAATAATATGCGTTCAAAGAAGACTACTAACAAATTTTTTCATAGAAAAAAAGATGTCAAGAAAGTACTATTTTAATTTTATATTACAATTTATTGATTGAAAAAATTTTCAAAAAAATGTTATTCATTTTATATATAAATTCTTTGAATTATTGTATCATAATATATAATCCTCTAACTAAAATTATCTTTCTATTAAATTTCTTTCAAATCTAAAATCAATAAAAAGTATCCATGTTTAACTTGCAAAAACAATATAAAATAAAATGTAACAGGAGCATTATCTATGATTTAATTGCATTAAAAAACAATTTAAAGAGTTATTAATATAAATGAATAACGATAAACCTTCAATTTAGTTAAAAAATAATACTATTAAGATTTATCTAAAACGTAATAATTTAAAAAATTTATTTAAATCTTATTAATTATTTATAGTATGCTTACCTATAAGTAATAAATTTTAGATCATGTTCAAGTACTAATATTATAAATTGTGGGTTAAATAAAATAGCTATAAGAATATTTTATAAAATCATTTTTCATTTTAGTTTATAAATAGCATTAATAAAAATAGATTTGAAAATAATAAGTTTTAATAATTTTAAACAAAATTCTTATTAGACTTGAATTTTTTTAAAATAAAAAAAATATCTGATTTAAGTCAAATATTTATCAAAATCTTTAAAAATGAATAATTTGCTTTGACATAGAAAATAATTATTCTAAAAAATCTTAAAAGAAATATTGTTAGAATATGCTTGGTAAATATATAAAATATTTTTTTCATTTATTTTTGTTTTATATAAAAACTCGTTTTTAAAGAAAAATCATAGGAAAAAATAAGTGACAACAATAACATTTTAAATATTTAAAATAAAATCCTTTATTATTAGCTAATATATAAATATATAAGTAAATAATTATGGAAATACTCATAAAATTTATTTATGAATTTCATTTATGAAGCTAATTTTACATAAATTAGCAAGTTAAAATTTGTATAATAATTTTTTTATAAAATACTTGTCATAATAAATAGAAATAAAATGTTGAAAATAATCACAAAAAAAAAATTAATTAAATAATAATATATTGTTAAATATTAGTTTTTTTAGTTTATTATGAGCAAAAATCATTTTTAATTTGATAGGACCTCATTTTTATTCAAAGCTATTTTGTTGATTTTAAAGGTGTAAAAAAAATTCTATTTAAATGAAATAATAAATTTAATAAAAAAACTCTAATTATTTTAGAATATTTAAATAAAAAAATGAAAATCAAATATTTTGCTATAATTTAATAATTAAATATTAACCTGATCAAATTTCTTTATTGCATCTTACTATATATAATAAAATTATTATTAATTTTTAATTTTTAATTTTTAAAGTATTAAAGAATTTTCATTTTTTTTTTTTACTTAATGTCTTGAAAAATTGTGAAAATGATAGATAAGATATCATCAAGAAATTAATGGATATTAATTTAAATTAATAAAAAAGATATTTTTAAGAATATTTGGTGGAAAGATATTCTTTTTATTAAATATCAAAATGGGAATCTTACTAAAATAAAATATAATTTATTATTAAATTTTTGCTGATTTATAGTATAGATTTTAAAATATTAACTTATTCTAATATTGAATTTTTACCTAAAAAAGAAATTTGATTTATTTTGATTGCTTTTAAATAAAGTCTTTTAGTTAAATTAATTAATTAATTATATATTTGGTATAATATATACGTTGTATTCATTTTTCACATTAACTAAAAAAAAAGAAATCTCTTCCAATTATTAAAGTTTTTTTATATTACTTTAAACAGACAGATTGATTAAAAAATTATATTTTGTAAAATTTCTAAAGAAACAAAATTTTAAGGAAATGGAAACATTAGACTAAAATTGCGAGGTTTAAGCACCTTAAAATTTAGAAAATCATGTCTAAATGGAGGAGGAGACTTAAAAAATATAGGATGCATCTAAACCAGATTAGGATGTAATTCAGCCTGAAAAAGATGCACAAAATTGTTTATCTGATTAAATAGTAGAAAAAAAATCGATTCATTTAAATTATGATGAAGCAACATTATTAGATCAAAGCTAATTAGAGTAAATTTACTTAAAAGAGTATAGATAATTACTCAATTTGATTTAAAATACTTAGCTTAAAGTGTTTGATTTTATGCCTGTAAATGAAACATTCCAGATTGGGTAAGGGTTTGTTGTATAAAGAGGAATTATATCAAATATGGGCAAAGCGATTTAATTGATGAATGGTATAAAAAATGATCCTAGAATCAGCTAGGGCATTTCAATAATTGGGAATTTTTAGTATTTTGATGGATATTTGAGAGAATATCATTCAACTGGAATAAGAGTAATTAGAGTTTTAGAAAATTCTAGTTTGAATCAAGAATATTAAAGCTTCTACCCTTATGTGTTGATACACTACTACAAAAAAGAAAAGTACCCTAGGTTAGCTTATAAAAAAGAATATGATTAAAATAAATAGAGAAAACTAGAGAGGAGATTATAGAAAAAAATAGAAAAGAGCATACATAAATTAAGTGAAAGCTATACAGAGAATGATATGAAAGCAGAAAATGTAGATTCTAATTATGTAGAGTAAAGGACCTAATACAGAAGAAAATTAAGACAAAAATTTAAACGAGCAGATAAAAACAAATAAAACTCTAATAAGGGTTTAGAAGATTAATTAAATATGAAGGAAGAAAATAATACCTCTGAATAAATTTCTGAAAGTAGCACTCCTATGAAATCTGAAAATAAGCTATAAGGTGCGTCTTAAAATAAGCAATAAAGTGTATCTTAAGATAAGCAATAATAAAGTGTGTCTGATAATAAAGAATAAAGTGCGTCTGAAAATAAACAATAAAGTGTAGCTTAAAATTCTCGATAGTAAGTTACTAAAACTCGCTCATAAGAAATGTATTAAAAAGTTCTCTCTAATTAATCTTTTTAAAATTAAACTAAATTCGAAACATGCTAAAAAAATAAACCTTCTCAAATACAATAGAATTAATCTTATTTATTCTCAAATTCATCCAGCCCATGCACCTCTCTAAATCAGAGCCTGTAAATGTAAAATAGCTATAAAAAAATAAAAAAAGAATAGTTAGAATAGTCTTGTAAAAAAGTTTAGTTTATGGATAAGTTCTCTTCGCAAAATTAATAGCAATCATAAAGCTAAAGTTAGTAATTGAATAATTCTTTTATGAATAGCTCTAACTTGAATTAGTCATAAACATAAAAAGAAAGACAATAAGCAGAATAATTAAATAGTTTAAAAAGAAAAGTCAGCGATCTGACCAATCAGCTAGATTCTGAAAGATATAAAGCTTTATATTTTGAAGATATGTACTTGCAGCTCAGATCTTTTTTAGTAAAATAGGAATTAAATTAGTTAAGAGCTAATGGTTTTAAATACTCTGCTTCAATTGAAAAGAAAATTTAATATGAAGAATAACCATCAATTAAAATAGAGGAAGAATAGCAAGAGCGAATTTAATTAGATTGAAAAAAAGATAATACTTTTTTTCGTCTAAGAAATGATATTATCGCAACCCATTATTTTTGTAATAAGAAATAAATTCATGGCAAATGTATTTTACAAAGTAATCTGGGCTGCTAATATTAATTAATAATTTGAACTGCAAACAAACTATGGTTTTATTGTTTTTTTACTCTTCAAGATTTTTTTTACTTTTTTATTAAAAATTTGAATGAATTTAAGATAATTAAGAAAAATAAAATTGAATTAGGTTGTATGTATAAATATAAAAATTTTATTTAATTTGTATTTTTTAATGCAGATTTAATATCAATAAGCATTTTTTTAATACTTCTTAACAATTCTATCAAATAATTGACATATTTTTAAAAATAAAATATGATGACAATAAATGAATTATTAATTAAGCAATTTTGATTTAATTAATTTCACTTTCATAATAAAAATCTATTGTTTTTATTTAATAGAAAACATCATCATTATTCATTTATAAATTTGTTTATAAAGATTAATTTATAAAAAGTATGAAAGAATTTTGTTTTTTTAATAAAGGTATTGAATGAAATTTTAGTCTTCATATTAATTATATTTTTAAAGGTTTTATTATCAATTTTTCAAACCCAGTATTTAATTTAAATTATATTAAATAAAAATATTAACTTTGATTTTAATTTAAAATAGAATGATTAATCATTTTTTAGAATCTTTTATTTATATTTGTGAATTTAGTTTCTTAATTTGAATGAAATTAAATATACCAAAATAGATAGTCATAAATAAATTTTATATAAAATAAATAAAATAGATAGAGATTATGTATAATTTTATTATAATAGATCACGTAAAAGTAAAAATTTAAGTATTTCAAGCACAATCAGTAAATTTAAAAAATAATTTTTAATTTATTTTATCGAATTAAAGAAGCACAAAAATTCTAAGATTTTAAGTTTAAAAATGAGCTCAGATTTTAATAAATTTAAAGAAAAAAAAGATTGTTTAAAGATAAAAAATAAATATGGACATTAAAAAAAATATGTAATTAATTTTGATTTATATCATATTTAAAAATAAAAAAGATGATAATAACTTGAGAAAAATAATTTTAGAATTAACGTTAAAAAAGAAAAAGAAAAAATTCCTACTAAAATTTAGCTTTCTTTATTTTATCAATTTTTTTTGGATTAATGAAAAAAATAAATAAGTCTAATCATAAAAAAAAGTTTTAAAATAAAAAAAATCAATTTTAATTCATTTTTAAATATTGGAAAATTGATACAAATCACATTAAATTTTTACTTTTTTTTAAAAAATAACAATTTGAGAAAATTTAATAGAATTAAAATACATAAAATTTTATAATTTATAAATAGGCTAAAAACTTATTGGTTAATCAAATAAAATTTATTAGATTCTAAAAAATAATTTTTTATAAGAAGATTCAAAATAATATTTAGATAGATTAATTGTAATGATTTAAACAACACCTTAGAAACTTAATTCTTACAATCAAGAATTATTTTAGTTTGCAATTTACTTATTATTTTTTTATACTGAATCATAAATTGTGTCTATAATTAAGCTTTAGTTTTATCTTCATTATCTTTAAAATATTTAGTTTACTAATTTATTGATCAATTTATGTTGAGAGCTATTTATTTTTTTAAATTTGCTTGCTTGATATCAAAAAAGTTACTAATAATTAGATTTTATAATTTGTTAGAAGATTATGAAATATTCTAATTAAATATATAATGCGTAATTAATAAAAAATTTTTGATTTTATTATTCAAAAGAAAAGAAAAATCATAAAAAAATCATAAAAAGAAAAAAAAAAAAACAAATAAATTTTTTAGTAAATTAGAGAGAGGAAAAGAAAATATAAGAAAATATAATTTCACATAAAAAATTAAAATAATACCAAATATTTACAATAAGCAAAAAAATGAACAGATTGTAAGATTTTGATCTTAGAAGATTCGATCCTAATCAAAGCAAAGAATAGATCTTATAATTTTATCAAGAAATTTCTTAAAATTGCTATAAAAATTTAAGGGTCCTACGATAAAAACCTAATTTTGATTACAAAGAAGACTTGGTATTTTTATATTATGGAAATGAAACTCAATTAGATCTATAAAAAATAAAGAAAGAGTTGCTTTATGATTTTAGCACTATGTGTTAGAGTAGTTGTTAAATTAGATCTTTAGATGATTTAAGATATGTCTAATGCAGATAAAAATAGAGAAACAATCTATTGGCTAGAGTTGTTAAAAATAATTATGAAAAGAGATTTGTAATTGTTCATTTTTATTATGAAAAAAAAGAAAAAAAATAATTAAACTATCTACAAAACGCTTAGAAAGAGGATAAGCTTGTTGATAATTAAGTCGATTTTGAACTTTTGGAAAAAGGATAATCAAAAGAAGAAATTAATCTATTGTATAAAACCACATTTGACAATAACTAAAAAACTACAATTTAATTACCAGATGAATTGCCTGATGATGCTTAATAGTAATTTAAGACAATATTAGAATATAAAACAAATGCTTAAAGATTATATTTATAATGTGAAAATGTTAAATAAAATAAAAATCAAGACATAAATTAAGAAGAATAAATAAGAAGAAGTGAAAGGATTAAAACTTAAAAAACTAATTCAAATTCTAATTATGAATTTGATGAGGATAATGCTTACAATAAAAATAAACATCTAAACCTTGATTAAAATACTGCTACATTTGAGTAAAATTTTGAATATGAAATGAGCTCTGATATACTAACCAGTTCTTTTGAAGAAAATTCCTACTATGATGAAGATTTTAATATTTCTAATTAAAGGCCAAAAAAATGCAATGAGTAAAAAAAATAAAATAATAAATCAAGTAGTGATGAACACCAAAAAAATGATAAAGTATAAAAAACTAATTAAGAATTAAATTAGTTTGGGAATAAATAATTTATAGATTAACAATAATAATTGAATAATGAAGTTAGTTTTGAAAAGCAAAACTATCCTTAACCACCTCTATTAACATATTAAGGATAGTCAGGAGGAGTTAAATAAGCCAAAGATAACAAAAAGATAATAATCAATTAAAAACGAAATATGTCAGTTATGAATAATAGTTCAAGTTAAAGTGAGCCCTAACTATAAAAAGATATGAGCAACTATAAATTATTAGAAGAAAATACGGCAAAGAAAATGAAAACAGAAGAAAATTTTAATTATTACATAGATCGAAATAAAAGTTTGATTGAAATGAATGTTAATCAGTTTGATTAAAAATTAAACTTAAGTATTCTAGGTCAATAAAATAATCAAAAGGCTTAAGAAACTCATCCTGATAGTTTACACTATGATTATATATTCAACTAATTCTAAAAATTCTATCAAGAAGAAATTCGTCTACTAAATTAAAAACATTAATAAGCAGATAATTAAACAATTTAATACAAGTAGAAAATCCTAAACTTAATAAAAAATAAACTAAATGATATTTAACACTATTTTAAATAGTTAAATAATTGAAGTATAAATAAAACAAATTAAATTTATAAATATATTCAAAAAATAATAGATATAGCTTTTCATATTGTCTCAAATTCTATTTCTAAATATTTTTGTGTTTCTGATTTACAAAATTAATTAGATGATTAACAGGTATTAAAATAATAATAAATGTTTAATTAGTATCTAAGGTTAATTAATTAGTTAAATTTATAATTGAAGATATATTAAATTGAACGATTATCATGTGTGAATATCATAAGACTATTACTTCAAATATTTAAATTTTTATTAAAATATAAAATGTGATACTTGATTAATGAATTATTAATATTTTACATATTTTTTTTGTTTACTAAATTATTATCTAAAGATAATTTAAAAAAGTATAATTAATAGTAGTGCATGTTTTAAATTTTTATTTAAATATAAAATTGAATAATTAATTGATTCTAAATATTTTATATGTTTTTTATTGTTAAAATATCTATTTGGATATTCATTCAGAAATTAAAATTATCATCTAAAGTTAATTTAAAATATATATAATTAATATCATGTGCATGTGTGAATATAATTAGATTATTAATTAAAATATTTTTTTATTTTTATATAAAAATGAACAATTAATTAATTCTAATTATTTTATATGTATTTTATTTATTGCTAAAAGTAAGTTTGTTTCTTTTATATAATTTAGATATTAATTAAAAATTTAAATTAAAATTAAATTTTACCTTTTTTAAAAAATTGTTTAAATTTATTTTCTTTATTTTATTAATAAAAAGTCCTAATGATATTTAAATTTTAATATAAATTAAATCATAAATAAATTTTGTAAAATTAAAATAATTACAATTTTTAAAATCAAATTAAAGTTCCAAAACATATTTAATTAGATGTTAATAATTCAATAAAGGTACTCCATAATTTTCTGCTTTTTATTAATATTTATTTATTTATTACAATATTTAATTGATTTCTAAAATAATTTTTTTATACTATGTTAAAAATTAATTAAAAATAAATAATAAATTTTTATTTTATCAATTTTATTTTTTCCAATTTATTAAAATCAAATTTCTAAATTTAAAAATGTAAAGTAAAAATTTATTTAATTACTGCATGAATATATAAGAAATTTAGTAACTATTTTTTGAATTTAGTATTTGTATAAAACGTTAATAATAACAGATAAATATCCATTATATTAAAAAAATACCAGTCTTTTAGTAATATTTAGGATAAAAGAGAGTTAAAAAATAATTAATAGAAATCTTTAATTAATATGATCATGGGTAAATATTGAATTTATTGCAGCTTCGTACCTAGCCAACTATTAACGAACTAAATACTGGTTAAAGAGAACTAATTGAATTAGTTTTTATAGAAATCTCTTTCAATAATCATTGAAACTTTTAATATTATAATATTGTTTTTAAATATGCAGAACTAATCAGCTGACTTATATAAATTACTTTAATGTTTGTTTAATCCAATTTTAATATTTGTAAAAATTATTAATACTATTTTCAGTTTTAATTCATATTAAACTTACAAAAAAGAAATAAAAAGTAGCAAGTAAATAACCAAATTTTCAATTATTAAAAGTAAGTAGACTTAGGAACCAAAAAACAGCATCAGAAAGCAAGTAATTTTTAAAGATTTTAAGAAAATAAATTACATAAATTATCCTTTTTTCGAATTATTTTAAATGTTTTAAGCATAATCTATTTGTTTTAGCTGAAAAAACATTTTGCAGTTTTAGGCAACTAGCAAAAATTGTGTAGAAGTTTATTTTTAATTATTTCTAATGTTTTAATATTAGCAAAATGTAAGGAGTTAGTGCAGTGTCAGGAAAAAAAGGGGGAGGAGGAAATTTAGGTACTCTAGGAATCCCTATTAATCCATTTTTTAGCCAATCAAAAAAAAGAAGTCAAGTAGATTAACTATTTGATAAAAAACCACACTTTGCATATTTATAGAGTGCAGATGGCTGTAGTGAATAAATGTAATTAAGCAGAGGATAAAAAAGTTCATAAGAAGGCAATGAAAATAATTAAATTCCATAAGAAGTAAACTTAAAAAATGAAAAGAGCAAAATTTAAGAATTAGACTAACAAAATCTTGATAAGAAATAAGCTTCTGCTGAATTAAAATAAACTATTTAAGATTTTATACAAATTGAAGAAGATTAAAATATTTAATTGGGTAGATTCGAAGATGGTAGAAAAACAAAGGCATATTATTCAAGATTTATTCTCATAGATCAAGCAATATCTTCATTTTCTGTCCTATCAATAATTATTGCTGTCTTAGAGTACGACCTAGAATTTAATGCAAGAGAAGAATTTATTGCTAAAGCTTTACTTTATATGACTTTTCTACTCACAATTGGTAAATTATTATAAAGTCTAAAAAAATAAATGCTAGAAATTAACAAATAATTTAAATTCAAAGATATTTATTAATTTTTTTTTAATGATTCTTTTATAAGCTGAAAAAAAAGATTATTAAATTTATGGATATTTATTTTCCTTTTATGTGTTAAAATAAATAAATAAATTATTTTAAATAGGTATGATCACTCTCACTGTTATTAGATATTAAGCTAAATTGGAATGGCTGAAAACTAGATAAGCAATTTCTTAGAAAGCCAATTTAATTACTTCTGGATATTTAAAGTCGATGATCATAGAAATTATAATATCAGCTGTGCATCCTATGCCTTGGACATGGTAAGTTCGTCTTAGTTTTTTCAATGATCCTACTTAAGCTACAGCCTACTATCATCTTAATGAAATATTTTTACTGATAATGCTTTTGCGAGTCTTGCTAATCGTTAGAACTCTTTTAACTTGTTCTGTTTGGTATAATAATCGTACATAAAGAGTTTGTAATATGTATGCTGTAGAAGTTGATTATTTGTTTACTGTTAAAGGAATTATGGAAACACAGCCATATGCTCTGATTATTAGTGCTTTAATTATATCTATTTTATATTTTGGTTTTATGATAAGAATATGCGAAGCTCCTTTATACAGGTAATTAATTTATTATTTAAGTTACTTTTAAAATTAATTAATTCAAAAATAGAAACTAGACTGATGGTTAACTTTTACTTTACAGCTTCTCGAACAGTCTTTGGGTTATGTTAGTAACTATGACAACCCTTGGTTATGGTGATTATTGTGCTAAAACTAGTTTAGGGAGATTTATTACATTTTTAGTCTGTATTTGGGGAGTGTTTATTGTTTCTATGATGGTAATTACTTTAAGTAAAACTTTAGAATTAACAACTCTTGAGGAAAAATCTATCGCCGTTCTATAGAGATTGCGTTATAAGGAATTAATGAAAAATCATGCTGCCAGATCTTTAACTATACTTGCAAAAATAGGCCTTGCAAATAGAAAAGGATTGCTCTAAGGTTAACATAAGAAGGAGTAAAATTAAAGTCTTTATTAAAATTATAAATTTAGATTTTTTTTAAAAAAAAAAAGATTACAATCGAAACTTAGAGATGCCTTAAATAAATTTATGAAAGCACTTAGAGCGTATAAGAGTATTGTAGATACCAACATTAATGAAGAAATGGTATGCATATATCTTTAAATTTTTTAATTTTATACAGAAAATAATTAATTTTAAAATAATTTGAAATTAATAAATTTTATTTATTTTACAAATGAGTTTTGTTCCAAAAAAAATAATTTTTTTAATGTATGTAAAAAGGGCAGGCAATTTGACTTTTTGAATGAAGATTTAATGTAAATTTAAAGAGAATAAAATGAAATGCTGATGAAAAACATTTAAATGATGCAATAATTGTAAATAGATAAATAGTAAATAGAGTATTATGCAAAACATTTATCAAAAAATTCAGTGCTCTAAATGAAAAGCAGCAATGAAAATAATGAAAAAAATATAGATACAAACTTAGATTTTTTAACTAGAAATAATTCCCCTAAAATTGAATGTATTCCTAGTTCAAACTAAAAGTTGTTACATTAAGATTAAACAAATAATTATAGAGATTTCTCAGATTAAAAAATTGATTATGTGGTAAATATTTTTACTGATGAATGAATTCTAAAAGACTTTAAAACTAATAAACTCACTTATAATAATTAAGCATTTTCCAACTTTATTTAATTGCTTTAGCTATTAATTTATACTTTAAATTGAGTAATATTTATTAAAATATATTAACTTGTTTATTTATTTACTTTTCATTTTTGTTAATGAACAAGCCAATTTTATTTTCTTCCAAAATGAAATTATTTAATTTGTTAAAAAAAGAAATTAATTTATAATTTAAATAATTCATAAGAAAAAAATAACTTAATAAAAAAAATACTAATTTTAATATATAAAGTAGGAATAAAATATTTTTTTTAGCTATTTTATTTATCATACATATAAAAAAAGCATTTGTTAGAATATAAAATAATAATAATCAAATAACTATTTATATACTTTTAACAATCTCTTACAAAATTTTAAATTAGTTTAAATAAAAATTAATTAGATAATTTAGGTATTCATAAATTAATTAGATAATTTAGGTATTCATAAAATAATTAAATAAGAATTATTTAAAATATTTATTCTGACAAAAAGTTTTTCTTCTTCTTATTTTCAGTTATTATATTAGTTTATAAACATCTTAAATTTATTTGCAAGTTTATTTTTTTATTTTTAAATCTTTAAAAAAACTTGCTCAAATTATCCTAAAAGTAATATTAAATATTTTTAAATTAAAATGTATTTCCATTAAGAAATATTTTCATTTAAGTAGGAAAATTTTATATATATAATTATTATATTGTTCAAAATTACATGTTTCACGACAGAAATTAATTGCACCAAAATCTTGTATTTATTTTTGCTACCCCACTTCAGATAATTTAGCTAAATTTAAAATTTTTTATGTAAAAAAAATTATTTATTTTTGAAATTATAATAAATTAAATTATTAATTTTTATTCTATTTATAAAGTATAAAATTCAGATTTTTTTAATAAATAACTAAAAAATCTATTTCATAATAAATGACATACAAACGACGGAATTTTGAATGGCATCTTGCTATATAAATTTAAATTAAATTAAATTAATAAAAAAATTTAAATTAAAAATATTAGCTACGTTTAATTAAAAACAAAATATTTATAAGAGAAAATAAGTAAGGTTTTTAAAAGATATACCACCTAATAGATATTAAAGTTTTAGGGGGCTCTTTACTCATCACGATTTATCTTAAATAATTGTGCAATCTAAAGATTGTCAAAAAAAAATATATTTATTATGGTTTGAGAATTTTTATTATTTATTTTTTTAATGGCTAAAGTTAAGCTATTTAGAGCAGGATTGAGAAAATCAAGAAACATAATCTATATTTTCAGAAACAGAGTTAATTATAAAAATTGTGAAGTTGAAAGCTTATGCGGTTTTGATTTGATGAAAAAAGATATTAAATTTTTACAAAATGAATTAATCTTACACTTCCTTTGTTTTTAACTATTAGTATTATCATTGTTATTGAATTTTTTATAAGCTAATAAAGGATTTTCTTAAAAATTTATATTCTCTCTCCTAATTTAATCATAATCAATTAAAAAATCAACTTTTATATCTAAAAAAATATTAAAAAGATAAATCAAACTTAAGAAAATCAGTTCTAATATAGATGTCACAAGATTTGCAATAGCCTTTACATACTAATGAGCAAGATCCTTAAATTATCTAAAACTAGTATTAAGAGTAGCCTTATTAGTAGTAGTAGCATTAATAATAAATGCCTTATTAATAGCCTCCTCCTTATTAATAGCAGCCTCCTTACTAATAGCAACCTCCTTACTAATAGCAACCTCCTTACTAATAGCAACCTCCATACTAATAGTAACACTATCAATAATAACAAAATTATCCCCAAATGTTAGGCAGTCAAGATAGATAAAGTATTCCTAGTGAATTTAAATAGAGTTAATAACATTCTGATGAACCTCATAATCCTCCTTATCAAGGTGAATCTGTTTCATAAATTAAAGATATGGACTAATGGGCTAGAATCATTCCTTGCTTTCTTCTTGGTCTTTCAACAACAATCATTGCATCAGTCTTTTTAGTGAACTGCAAATAAACATCACCTGTTGTCTATGTTTCTTCTGCTGTAGCTTTAATGATAGTTCCTCTTGTAATTTACAAATTTGATGTTTCCTCTAAGTTTATGAATTTCATAGGATCTTTGATATCAATGTACTTTATGATTGTTTTAGCTGTTTATGTTGACAATCAAAAAAATGTAGTCATTGATGACGATTAATTTTACAATTCTTTTTGCATAAAAGAAGGTAGCACTACAGTTTAATCAGGAGTTAGTTATGGTTTGATTAATTTGTTAGGACTTAGCATGTGTCTTTTACACACAGTTAACATGACATATTATTTCTGCCAGACTTGGAGCTTGTCAAAGCACCCTCTTAAATAAAAGCTTGAAGACTACACTATAGAGCTAATTTGAATTAGCTATTGAATAGTTTGATCATAATTACAAAATTATATTCTAATAAAAAATAATTCAAATATCTTCTCATAATTAATTGGTGTTTTTGTATAATTTTTGTATTCATTTAATATCATCTGCCAACCAAAACATTTTTCGCTTAAGATCTAGTTTTTCATTTTTATTGAATAAATCCCTATATAAAATTATACTTCGTGTTGTCATTTATAATTGATTTTCTTCAAAATATTTAACAAATTGTAAATTTTTTAAAATAAACTAGGTTTAAATATAAAAAACTTTTACATTTTAAATAAAAAAGTTAAATGAAATTTCTAATTTTTTACTTTTTTTTATATGATTTTAATTCTAATATGTTTTTTGTGATATTTTATTATTCAATTTAAAAAATACTTTCATATTAAGTAATAAATTTAATCAAAGACTTTGAGATAAGAATCAAATGAATTAAATTATTTCGTTATTATTTAAAATAATTTTTTAAGAACTCATCTCATTCTTACTTATTTTTAATTATTCTTTGCAAATTTAGTGATTTTACTCAAATTTTTAAGTTAAATTTAAAATAAAATGCCATAAATTTGATGAAAATAAAATTAAATGAAGAAATAGCTTTCAAAGCAAAAATATATTAAAGTTTATAAGAAATATTTTGCGCATTATTTTTGTTCTTTAAAATATTAGGGCTAATTTTAGCAAATCTAAAAAATAAAATAATGTTTACGAATCATTAACTCCTCCATTATCTTTATTTTATTATTATTAAATGATTTTATCTCAAATAAATAAATTTAAATTTAATAAATAAAATAATCTTTATGAGCCATTCATTAACTCTCCAATTATTTTGTTTATTTTTCAATTATCAAATTATTTTATTTATAAGAAATTAATTTTGATTAAAAAAATTTTTGGCTAATTTCATTTTTTTGAAAAATTAGCTTTTAAATTATTTTTTATAAATTTAGAATTTATTTATAAGTTAAATTTATAAATAAAATCTAAGACATAATAAATGTATAAAGTCTGATAGCAAAGGGAAGTAAATTATAAATTAATGAGAAATTTTATTAGGTTTATGAGTCACACTCTAGTTAATGCGGAGTACTTCAACAAGGAATCCTGAATATTAATATTTTTATTTATAAAAATTAACAGACAATAAATAAATAAATTGCGGACTTTAAATACAGAAACGAGCTGTTAATTTTTAAAAAAATAATCAAAAGTAAAAAAATAAATATCAAATAAAAACTTAAAAAGATACCAAAATAATAAATAAAAAAAATCAGCTAAATTGAGGAGCGATTTCAATATATTCCAAGCAGCCTCTTAAACTTAAAGTGAAAGAAGAGAGCGCAAATAAACTCATATGAATTAAGTTTAAAAATACAGTGAGATAGCCTTTTTGCTATTTTTACTAGCAGGTAACACTTTCAGTTTGTACAATTCTTTTGCTGTTTTCCACTTCCAATACAATCGCTAGCCAGAGTAGAGAGAAGCTCTCAATCAATAGTTTGACTACTTGACAAACGGCTATAAGCAAAGCACTTTTTGGTTTTACATGAATATCAAGCTCGGCTTTAACCTTCTTTCAGAGCTCGTGCTATTTATCATCATCTCCTTGAAAGTTTCTGATCAAAAATATAAACAATATTACATTGTACAGATGGTTTTAGTGATTCTCTAACTCCTTGTTACCTTCTAAAATATATGGCCTTTTTCTTCTCATAGCAAGTATGGATTTGATTTCGAAAAAAAGAAAAGATAAGTTCTACTTACTTGTTCAGAAGAGCCAAATCAATTCTAGTACCACCACAATCTAGTCTGCAATTTTAGTGAATCTCTATTCTTTATGATCAAGTGCGCTCAAGCCCTCATTATTATTGCTTTCATTTCTCTCAGTGGTATTTCAGCTTCATCGTTCTTAAAGACCAGATACCCTTAAGTTCTTTCTGAAAGAATCAGAAGCATTCGCAGTAGAACTGTTTCAGATATCGAAGACTAAGAATCTAATAAAATTTCCTTTTTCTCTTCTGCTCCTAAAAAATTACCTAACGGTATGATTCCCTCCCGTACAGTCACAATCAGTAAACTTCCTGATTCAATAACTGTAATATCTAAGCCTCGCAATTCTTAGGTTGCAGCTTCAACCAAAAAGTAGACTACAGAATAAGTTAAATAGGAAGCTAAAAAGAGCTCTAAAATTCGTAGACCATCTTTTTGGAGCAGTTCATATGCTAGAACAGAAGCTTCTTCCTCCCAAGCAGAAGACTCATAGAGTGACATTGACCACAGCTGGTAACCTAGCTATATCACATTCTCAGATTCAAAGAAAAATATTCACAGTGAGAAATCAAATACTTTGGATTTAAATAGCAACAGAACTAGCTACTAAGGATACTAACCTCCTGCTTATGGAGTTTCTAATCCTAGATTAAATTTTCATAAGCACTATTTGGATAGAAGCTTAGATGAAGATTAGCTTGATATTGAAGAAAACAAGCAGCTTTGATATTAATTATTAATCAATTTGCACTAATTTACTAACATAAAACTTAATTTAATGATTAAGTCTGCAAATAATATTAACTCAATCAATCATTCATTCATTATAATATATAGATAATATTAATTTAATTAACTTGTAACATATTTATTATGAAGACTAATTAGTATTTGTTCTTTCTTACTTTTGAAGTAGATTTACATACATTTTTCAATAAAAAAGTAGGTAGGTTTTTCAGAAAAACCTAAACAAAAATATTGTTTTCTTCATTAAAAAAGAAATTATTAAATTAAATCGTTTTCATGAAAGTTAATAATGAAGAATAAAGAAGAATAATATTTAAGAGATAAGTAAGAATGAGTTATCAAATAATTTGAAATTCACATAGATGAACAGATAGATGAAGATCTAATTATTTATTAATTAATTAGAGCTATTTTTTCTTATTTCGATTAAGAAATAAATACTGAAAAATGAATTATTTTCCAATTTTTCTCTCAATTATAATAAGAAAAATAATTTAGAAGTGATTCTTTAATCTAAAAATTTTATTATTAATTTTTATTGGTAAAAATGAAATACAATATCATATTTTATATCAACTCTTTCATAAATATTTTATGAACAATCTATGAGAATTTTTATCATTTTTTAATGTATCTGGAAGCAAGTAAAATATTTTTTACAGTCAAATTCAAATTATTAAAAATATAAATTATGCTTTTATATTTCAAATTTACTATTAATCTAATTGAATATTTTAATTATATTTAAAGCATCTCTTAATGTTAAAAGCTAGTAAATCAGCAAAGTACTGTAGGCTTTCCAAGTAGAATATTTGCTCTCTTGGAATATAATTTGATCTAATATAAGCGTCTTATACAATTTAGAAGACTCCGATAAGCTCATTTTCTTAAGATATTACAGGCACGCTAACAACAGGTAATACTGTCTCGATATCAACGTTGAAATTGGCATTTGGGTGACTCAAGGGATCAAGAGTCTCTACTAGTTTCATCTAAATTAGTGCTTCTCCAATTACTCCTGAATTAAGAGGGTATTTTTCTAAATTATTTATGCAAATTTTAGAATCTTTAATTAAATAGACAACTGCTTAAGGAGTTAAAAAGACCTCAGTTAGTAATTCTTGAGCTTTTTTGATTAATAATCTTACATCGTCAATATAATTAAGCTCTAGAGTTGTCTTTATATTTATAATAATATATATATTCATTGATTTGATTAAAACTAAACAATAAAAAAGTACTTTCATTAATTTCATGATCCTATTATTATTATTGACAGACTGCTCAAATTCTAATACAGATATGATCTACTATCCTATGTTATCTATTAATAGTCTAATTATTTCGTCTGTTGTAACTTAAGTATCATTTTTTTTGTAATTTATTATCTGTATTATACCTTTTATTTATATATATATTATCATGATATATGAAAAATCACTAAACAAATTATTATCTCTCCATTTTTTAAAAATAAGTTTCCATAAAAAATTATTTTTAGATTTGAAACTTAAAAATTACTTTTGATAAATGCCAAATAATAATTTATTTTTAAAACAAAAATAAATAAAGTAGACTGTAAAAAAATAATAAAATTATTAAAATTCAACATTAAGATTTTATTTTAATTTAAATTAAAAAAACAAATTTATTTTACCTCTCACTATATTTTGTTTATCTTTAATTGGAATACATAACATATTTTTTATATTTTTATGGAAAATCCCATCATATTCTTTGACAAATCTGGGATCAGTTTCGATATCTTCAACTCTCAAAATATTTTCGCTGTTTAGAGTGTGCATTAGTATACCTTTTTTGGGATCTACTTTTACCATTTAATTATCATTGTTTTTATCTGCAGTCCATAATTATTAGTTGTATTAATCTTTGATGTAAAAGACAGCATGATCACACTCTATGTTATTCATTATTTCCTCCATTATTGTATTTATAACTTCTTGTGCACGGTAACATCTAATAATGTAAATTTTGTTAAGATATTTTTAATTAATTTAATTAACAAAATTTTTGATTAAATTTTAATAATTTTACCTGTATATCTTTTAATTGGATATTGTTAATTTTTTAAGAACTATAGATTAATCAAGCACTTTTATGTAGTCTCTTAACAAGTGTCTTATGTCTTCTGCAATCTTTTATCTTGTTTGATATGGCTCACGTACAATATTTTCTGCAAAATCGTCCACTGATTTAACTTAATCTTCAAGTAACTTTCTTTATTAGCTAATTTTAGAAGCCTTCAGCTACTCGAGTGATTTGTATATTTAATTATTCTAAAAGAAATCTAGTTTTCTGCCTATTTGTTATGATATTTTAATAATTTATTACATATATTTAGAAGCTTTTAATTTAAGTAATATAAATGTAAATCAAATGAATTTGATTTCTTACTTTTTAAGTTTTATTTGTAAGAACTTGACTATCTATTATAGGGATATTATATCTATGACACAGAGTTATTTTTACTTAAAGAAGGTTTATTTTCGAGTATTAAGGACTATTGTTAGGATATTGGTAATTCATTTTAACTACTGGGTCTATATAATTCATTCTCATTGTAAGTTGTATTTACTCTAATAATTAAAGTATTAGATTTTTTCTTTTTAAGCAAATCATCTTCACTATTTTTATGAGATAATATACCCTCATCATGGTGAATTTAAAAGCTTTCTTTGCTTATAAGTATTGGCGCTTGTTTTTCTTAGAAAGTAATTTGCTTTTTGATGAAGTTATCTTTAGGGATCACTAGCTAACTACTCTAATTAATTGTAAATTCCTTTAATTAACTCTAGAGTGCATTATGCTTTTATAGTTAAAGCTATTTTAATTTTGGAAGTGAATGCTATCTAGAATTTGTGCTGCTATTCCTTTCAGTTACTATACTTTTGTTTGGCGTTTTCATTCCTTCACTATACTCTGTACTTGCCCTCACTATTTCTCTCATTTCTAACTATCTTATATGCTCTTTAGAGATTTTAATATCCTTTGATAGAGTAGTAATCATCTCTTCTCTTTTTTTCAGTGCTATATCCTTAAACCCAATCTGATAAGTTAAATTCTAATTCTCTAAGGTAAGTCTCTTAATTACAGACATTAATTGCTAGCAATTAGAACATTTAGACATATTTTCTGAGTTTTCTGTAAATATTTACCTTTTTTGCTAATCTTCAGGGTTATTGTAATCCTAAAACATTTGATATTAAAGCTTCTAAACTGAGTTTATTCTTTGATAAAATTTAATATGATAAAGTAAATATTAATTTTTCGCAAATGAACATACAAGCCGATTTTATCTTTCCTAGGGTTGACCTTGCTATAAAGACTCATATATAATTTAGCTAAAAGTACTTTTTACAAAAAATAGGTTTTTTAAAAATTTAGTTGACTAAAAACTATTTAATTAATTTAGAATTATTTAAAATATCTTATGATACTTTTTAATAATAAATGATTTAACCTTATAATTACATAAATATTTGATTACAAATTTACAAATAAAAATTTGAATTATTAAATAAATCCAGTAACAATCTAGACTTTACTCTATTAACGCATTGAATAACTTCTGATTAAATAGGATATTATTTATATTTTAATTATATTCAATAAAAAGTATGAGAAGCTTTCATTTAATTTTGTACAATTCATTAGTATTATGCAAGTCTTCTTGATTTAATAATCCATCGTTGGATAATTTTTAGATTATTTCCTTGATATCTATTTTCCAGTTTATATATTTAATAATTAATTAACAATGATGATGATTTTTACTTTTTTAATATATATTTTACCTTTCTTATCGTTGGCTGTAAATAATCCTATTGATAATTTAAATCTTTTTAAGTTCGGTATTTGAGTTATGTAATCTTTTATAGTCTTATTGTCATTCCTTTTAATTATTTTTGAATGGTAAATTATTTATTTTAAAAATTAACAAAATATTTATGGTTAATTTCATTTAAACATTTCTTTATCAGATAAAAGTTACAGTTTTTGTGGCTACAGTAAAACTAATTGATAATTTAATTCTGTGGTTAATATTATGATACCGATTAATTAAAAAGTAAATTATTTGAAATATCTCTGCTTATATTTTAAGGCATCAAAATATTTGAATTTAATGTTTTTTTTTTTATGTAATAAAAAATTATTGGTTTTCCCAAAGATAATCTTTATGGTTAATCTTATTTTTACAGAAATGAGTATTTTTTATTAATTAATTAATATTCTTCCCAAAAATTTATACAAAATTTTTCATATTCAGTATGCATTTCATTTAGCTCTAAGATTGAAAATTATTGAATGTAAAACTGATTAAAATATTTAATTATTTATTATTGTGTTTTTCCTAGTAAAATTAAAAAAAATAAAATATTTACAAAGAATATTAAGAGTTGAGTGTTTCAAATATTTCTTTTAAAGTATGCAATTCTAGTCCTTCTTTGAATGCATTTACAAGCTATGAAGAATCAACTTGCTATTATAATATAAAAATATTTTAATATTTTTAATTCACTATTTATTTATTTACCATTAGATATTTGAAAGATGTATGCTTATCGCTTTTTATATGATTCCATTCGTTCATAAATTTAGTCGAGTTAATTTCTTGTTTTGTGGATTGCTCAATAATGACTTCCTTAATTTTTTATTTACCTATTTCTATTGCATTATCTATTTTATTGTCTTCTTTCTATTACTCTTCTTACAATTTTAATATTTGTTAAACCTCAATAGAGTTGTTTTAATTTCCTTATGACTTCAAAATGCTATGTCTAGGCTTAGCTTCTTTGTGAGGAACATCTACAGTTTTTCCTAAACTCTAAACCTAACCAAAATGTACTTTCTTATCATCATCATCTTCGTCTTCATGAGTATTATGACTGTGTTTTATTTCATCTTTAACTTCTTTGAATTGAGGTTTATGTCTAAAAAATTTAGGGGAAGAAAATTAATTAATTATTTATTTACTTGTAAAACAGTAAATAATTATACCTAGGTGATCTTTTATTATGCTCTGAAGGTTTACCATCTATATTTTTCAAGTGAGTAAAAGCAAAAGAAACTTCATCTTCATCTACTTTTTCATGAGGTTTTTCTTAAAAGTATTTGTTATGAAGCTATTCAACTTCGTTTTCATCCTCTAAATTATGTTTTAATATGTGTTTTTTAGGTGAATGAGCATGATCTACAAAATGATGATGTGCACCCTTTTAAGCATCTTAAGCTATATTCTTCTTAAAATGAACTTCATGCTAGCTTTCTTCCTAAGGATCTCTATCATCTTCGTTTTTGAACTTTGAATGATGTTTTATAATTCTTCCGTCTATATCTTTTATTTAAGCATGAAAATTCTCAGCAACTAAAGGGCTATTCTTTAGAATCGAATTTCTAGGTTTTAAGTTATGTCTTGGAGTGAATGTTTAAGTAGGAATTTCAGCTCCTTTAAACTTTACCTTTTTTTTAAATTACATACTTTAATATCTTTATCATTAAATCAATTTTTATTTATTAAAAAATATATATTTTAAATAAAAAACAGTTAAAAATATATTATTTTAATTTTTTTTGATAAAACCTATTTAAAGATATTACAGTATTGTTTTATTCCTCAGATTAACCTTATGGCTCTTCTTCATGCTTAATGAGTTTAGAATCAATATTTTTGACCAAGTGACCTAAGTCATGAGAGTTCTTGAGTATAGAGTGATCAGGAACTTCATCTAAATGATATGAATGCTACCTCTCATTATCAAGCTCTATTGGTTATTCTTTGAAGAGTATAGAGCGTTTTCTGTCATCTTAAGTCTTTTTATCATCTTAATTTTCATGAGGGGCAGACTTATCAATAATACTTAAACGAGTGAATCTATTTTGAACTATAGGCACATCTTCTTCATCATCATCATCATCATCTTCCTTTTTTTTATCATCATTTTCATTATCATCATCGCTTTCACTTATATCACTATCACTAATATCTTATATTTCTAGTTTTTCATATAGATCTTCATCTCCTTTTCCATCTAAAATCTTTTTTGTAAATTAATTAATAAATAAATAAACAATTGCAATTTTAATAATATTTCTAATTGAAATTTTAAAAATTTTTTATAAAATTATATTTAAATATTTCAAGTTATCTTTTTGTGATTATCAGTTTTACTTATTATTCATCAAAAATAATTTTAGAAAGTTTTTACTAATCCTTGCAGTGCTTTTTGCTTTCTTTCATTTAATGCTGTCTCTATTAAAGCTATTTCTTTTTGAGCTTCTTTATTATCTGGTTATATTTATAAGGCTTTCTTAAAATCTTCATGAGCTTCTTTAATCTTTTTTAATTTCTTTCTTGCAGTACCTCTTCTCAGATATGACTTTACGTGATTTGAATCTATTGTAATTGCACTTGTGCTGTCTATTTCGGCCTGCGCATATTCTTGGAGCTTAATATTAGTCATAGCTCTGTTTGAATAAATATTAGCAAAAAGTAGCTTTTCATCGCTAGTAAGAGCTTATTAGTCTTTTAGCTGATTTATGCATTAAGTGTATAACTCATTTGCTGTTTTATAATCTAAGCTCTAATAAGAAAGATTTGCCTATTATTTTTATGAAAAGATACTAAATGATAATTGCTTTTCTTAAAAATTAAATCTATTCAAAGGATACCTTATCTTTCAAAGAGTTGATATCGACTATTGTAGAGCGTTGACTATTTATTTTAATTTAAGTTTTAGGTGCTGCTCTAGGTTTACTTGATTGCATTGATTCATAGGGATTTACAAATTTAGATTATTCTTCATTCTTTTGCTTTTGTTCAAGACTTTCTATTTCTTAATCCTGTTGATAAACAATTTTTTTTAATATTTTAAAAAGGAGGTTTTTAATTAGAATTGCTTACGACATCAAACTTATCCCATGCCTTATAATAATCTTTAATAGAATTTTAATCTCTAATCAATTATTAATTCTTTTCTTTGGTCTAATTTTCTTGCTATGAATTTTATTCTTTCTTATCCTCTGATCCACTAACTTAGATATCTGCTTTGCCTCTAATAGGAGCACTAGTCTAGTTTATAAATGAATGATAAAATTACAATAATCCGTTACATTCAATTTAAAGCGTAAAATAAGTTTTCAGCTTAATTTATTTCTATGAGTTTCAATAATTATTGCTAAAAAAAGTAAAATACTTCTTTTGATTATGTGTTTTTCTTGCTCTTTTCTTACTGTTCCATTTTCTGCTCCCAATCATAGAGGTCTTCTACATACTTCCTTATGTCAGTAGCATTATTTTTAATCTATTATTAAATTTGGTATGACATTTTATACCGATGTAACCTTTTATTTATTTATTTGTTTTTGAAAATTATTGATAATATATTATTATATCTTAAATAATTAATATTAAAAATCAAAGTTGATTTTCTCCTTAAAATATAAAACAAAAAGAACTCCAGTAAATAACCAATCAGCTTAAAGATACAATACTTCCTTATCACTCAAAATTTGTTTTAGAATGATAAATAATCATCATATTAGATTTTTTCACTTTTTTAATATAATTCTAAAATAGAATAGCTACAAAATATAATAATAAACAATTAATCCATTAGTATTTTAAAACTAGATACATAAAATAATCAAACACCTTCAAAATAAGAATATTATGCTGAAATTTCAATATTTTCAACCTCTTTCCATCTTCTAAATATTGTAGAAGAAGTATTATTGTTAGGCTAGTAAAAACGAAAATTTAATCATCTCAATTAGAATATAATTTATCTATCAACATATTTTACAAATTGGAATAACTAAAATTAATATTAAATAATGTTTAAAATAAAATATTTAAATAATTTCTCTGATTATTATTTATTTTTTAAGTTATTTGTAATTTAAATAAATAAATCTGTTTAATTATTAGCCAATAGATAAAAGAAGTTTGATAAAATTATTTAATAGTTTTAGCTTATTTAATTGAATTGTAATTAAAAATTTTCTATACTTTAAAACGCAGCATTTATTTGAGTTAGATTAAAATTTTTTAAATTAAATTTCAATCATTAACTTTTTGATCTATTTCTTATGAATAAATATTATTTGAATTTTTATTAACAAGTATTCAAATAATTATTTTCTTATAACTTTCAAAAAATTCTTAAAGAATTAATACTTTCAAACAAAATTAAAAGTAATTTGAAAATAATTAATAACAGCTGATTTTTTTTTGATAATATAAAGAAAAATAAATCAATAATTATATCAAATAAATTTATTTTCTTCTTAAAAAAATAATAATTTTTCTAAGTAATTTTTTTAAATTTTACTTTAAAATTTATATATTGTAATATTTTGCTAATCTTTATTTAAAAATAAAGAAATTTCTTAATAAAACTCACAATTAAGATATTATCTTTACATAAATTTTATAATTTTGAATAATTTTAAATTAATTAATATTAAAGTAATTAACTTAAAGCCATAAATTAATTATTAATTACAAAAATAATAATTATTTCTAATAAATTTAAAACAATAAGAATTTTAAAATTAGAATGATTTTTTATTTTAGAATATGTCAAAAATTAAAGTTAGAATTATCAAAATTATTTAAAATTAAATGAAATGTTTTTCAAATAGATGAAAGATCAGATCATTATTTTCTAACAAGTAAATTTGAGGAAATATCTTTTTTTCTAACTATCTATTTTTTTATGAAGGCTCTCCATAATCAAATCATAAACCATTATTTTCTAAACTTAAACTTAAATATTTGTGTTAATTCTCGAGTTAGTTATTATTACTTAATTATTTTATTTAGATGCAAATGTATTACAATTCATACTAATTATTTGAAACTTTTAAAAAATTATCTATCTATATAATTAAATAAATTTTCAAATAAAAATTTGAGTGATCAAAAGGGTATAGCAATTAAATGTAATTAAAAATATTTTAGCACTAAATTAAAAAGTTAAAAATAAAAAAAATAATAAAAGTTTTAGTTATGAGTGAAGCGGAAGTTGATTTTTATTTTAAAATAGATTAGGAATTGATTTATTAACAAATCCATTCCAGCAGAAAGAAATACTGTTGTAACAAAAATATAGTTTTTTTTAGGTAAAAATTAAATTTTAACAGGGGAAAATAAGTAGACACTTAACTTAATTATAAAGAAAAATAGGAATAGAAAATTTAGAATAAAATAAGAGACGATACTTATTAATGAATGAATGAAAAAATACTTTTGTGTTGTATAAGCTTTTTGGAGGGGGCTTTAAAAAGGTAATAATTTTTTTAGTAAAAGAAATGAATGACATAAAAAAAAATAATTAATTTGTTTAGTGCAAAGAAAATTTTTAAAGAAAGAATTATTTGTTTGTAAATTGAATTTTGATTGCAAAAGAATTAATTAATCAATTAAAAAATAACAAAATACAAAAATTAAATTGTACACATCAAATATATAGAAATCAAAGCAAATAAAGACATTCAAATAGGTTTCTTTTATTATTGTAAATACAAGATAAATTTCTCTATCCACTCATTCCTAAATACCTCCAAAGAAAACAGAGAGAAATAACACAAAATTTTTAGTTTTTAAAAGATCTTTTTGGCTTCAAGTCAAATTTTATAACAAGCAAAATTAGTTCACTGAATTAAATTTTCTGAAAGCTTAGCAGACAGAGTAATAAATAATGGAAAGGGAGTCAAATAACGATTTAGTTTAAGAAAATAGCAAGCATGATGCAATTTATAGGGTATCTTCAGATAATTTTAATTTAACTGGTTTGAATAAAAATTAGCCAGTTCCTTATACAGGAGGACTAGAAAAAATGTCAAGCAATATGATTAGTAATAACATATATCCAGATTAAAGCTATCTTTTGTTTAAGAGTATGTTTGATGATCCAAGCAATCCCCTTGCTAACTTATTTAAATCTTCGATTGAAAATTTTTAGTTTAGTAATAATAATAATAATCTTAGCTAAGTTCCTTCTAGCTAATAAGATCTCTTAAGTTGTTTTGGTAATAATGCAAATAATGTATCTTTGTTGGTGAATCCATAATATTTAGGAAGCTCTTTTCCTTCTGTTTCCAGCTTTCCTCAGGTTAAGACTAATAAATAGTCACCTTTATAGGGTTTAAGTTTTGAAATAAAAGACGTCAGTTCAATTAATTCAAACAACAATCACAATAATAGCTCATCAAATAATAACAATAGTGCTCTACTAAGCATGAATCAAAGTAACATCAACAATAGCTTGTTAAATAGCAATGATAACAGTAACAACAGCAACAAGAGTATCCAAAATGGATTAAGCAGAGGTATTAGCTCTAGCAATAGCAATTTTAACTGCAATTTACAAGGCTTTAATAAACCTCTTTTGAGTAATGAATATCCTATCTCAAGTTTTATAAATAATGGGTTCAACCCAAATCAAAGTATTTTGAGTAATGATATGGCATAGAATAAAGAGCCATTTACCAAAATTAGCTCATCTTCCTCTTCTTCTCGCACCCACTCTACTAAAAGAGGTACCACTATCATAATTTAAGCTTAAAACATCAACTCTCCTGCAGTTGTTAACAAGCAGTCCTCAGACTCTAATTAATAAGAAAATATTTTAAATTAAAACGAAATATTTGGCATGTAAAATTTGAACAATGATTAAGTGAAATAGTCGAATATGTATGAATTTCTTTCTAAATAAATTGATCAAAAAGTACCATAAAAAGAAAGCTCTGCAAACAACAAAACTAATATAGAGAAAATTCTCTTTAATCAAAATAAAGTAGAGGAAATAAAAAAAGAAGAATTAGAAGAGGAATAAAATAATGTGTCGGCTTCAAAGGTAAAAAAATCTGCAAGAATTTCAAAAAAGTAAAATTTATCTGGTGAAGAAAAAATACCTAATAAGAAAAGAAAAGATGATCATACACTTAAATAAAGTGGAGATCATAACTTTTCTGATGAAACCTAAGGATTGAATTGCGAGGAGAATGCTAAATCAGCTGTAAAGTTCTAGATAAAGCAAGAGGAGGAAAAAATAGAAAAGTCTAAAATTAAAAATGTTTAAATTAAAGAAGAAGACTTCCATGAATAGGCAGTATCGGAAGCCCTCTCTTCTGAAGTAAAGCCATTGAAAAACAAAGAAAAATAATAAAATACTGAAGGCCAAGAAAAAAAATCAAGCAGTCGTCAATCTTAACACAAAAATGTTTATAAAAACTTTGGAAAAGAATTGCTACGTTTTGTTCGTTGCAAACAATAAACTTGCAAAGAGCTAACCTAAGACGAATACAGATATCTTTTGGATTAGCTCACAGGAGGTTTGAATGACAAAGATACTAAGTAGACCCTACCAATCTAAAAGAAAGAAAAGTTATAACTTCTATGGACTCTAAAGACTGAGCCAAATACAGCATCCCATGCATCTTAAAGCACCAACAGTAAAAAATAAAAAAATGATCATCACAATAAGAACGATGAAGATAAAACTTAAGAATATTACTTTATTACAGAAAAAGAAGACGAAATACTTGAATCTGATAATACAGAATTAAAGACTAAGAAATATTTCAGAAAAATAAGTTGGGAGTTCTTTAATGAGTGGGCTTATCAATACGTAATCAATTCTCGTAAGCTAGACAAAAAAGAAATTCATTTAAAGTGTATTCCTTCCTTTTTATATGGTATTATGTGTCCTAAATCTCTAGAAGTATTTAAACCTATTAGAGAACACGATAAAATACCTCAAAATAATTAAAGCAAATAATCTAATGTAAACTAGAATTGAAAGAAATTCCATAAACACAATGAAATTTCTTAAATTTTATTCCAAAAGAATTTCAAGATATTTTTGCTACAAATGAGTGAGATGTAATAAATAAGTTTTACTTAAAGTTGAACTGAAATGTGCTTGTATAACTTTAATTTAAACTAGAAATAATTTAAATAAATGAAATATTATTTTGAAAACAAAAATAAATAGACTAATAGTTAATGTTGAAATAAAAGAAATAAAATAACAACTTATATTACAATTTTAATAATTAAAGTACTAACAGTTAATTAATAAATAAATAACCTTTATTAAGTTATCATACAAATTAAAATAATTAATATTATAACAATTCAATACTTATAGTTTACTTCAAATAATTAATAAAAATCAGTGAATTTTAATATATCTATCAACTATGAATACATAAATAAATAAATTAATATAATAAATAATATAAACAACCATCTTGTTCAGTAGTATATTCTTGCCATATAAAAACTATTATATATTCTAAAACTTTTTAAATACAAAATTAATATAAACTAATAAAATTTGACTCTGTCTGTTTAATTTAAAAACTCGTTAAATATCTTTGCTCAGTTAAATTAGATTAAAAATGTAATTAATTAAAGAAAGAATCTTATTTAAGCCAATTTATTCTCTACTAATAATCCAAGCATCTTTTAATTAAATGAATAGAATTTATATATAATTAATTATTCTTTTTCACTATAAAAAATATCGCTTTTGGAACTTATTATATATATTTAGTTCTAATTTTGTAATGTATATAATATATAAGAATGTGTCTATAATTATTCTAATATTTTTATTTATCTAACTAATTCTTTTTTTAGTTTTATTTGTTAAAAGATTTTTATTACATTTATTTACTACTTTTTTTTATATAAAATTAAGATATTTTTAATTAATAAGTAGCTAATTTTTTAAACATTTATGTTAACATAAGATCACTTCTCAAATAAAAAACCTTTAAAAATAAAATAAGCTTTTTCATTATATAAATCATTTTTTAATACAGCTACCAAAGATTTTTTCTATCACTGATTAATTTTTTAAAAACCTTTGATAAAATATTTATTATAAAAGTTAAAATAAATCAGAATGATTTACTTACGTTGCAAGAATACTATATATAAATTTTTTGATGAATTGAGATAACTTTTCTTAGAAAAACATAATAATTAGTTTCTATCAAATTTTAATAAGCAGCTTATTATATATTTTGCAAATTTATTAAGTTCTATTTTATTTTACAATACATAAATTTATAGACTCAAAAAAAAAAGCTTTAAGTTTTATATTTCATGCTATAAAATTTTAATGTTTTCATATCTTTAATTGGCCAGATAAGATCTTTTCCTTGGTATCTGTATATCCTCCATAAAACTTTCCATCTACAAAAATCATAGGAATAGTATCCCAATCATATTTTTGAGAAAGTTCATCTCTTTTTTGAGGATTGTCATCTGTATTTATGAACTCATATTTTGCTCCCATATTTTCAAACATACTCTTAGCACTTGCGCAATAAGGACAAGTGTTTGTTCCGTATACTTTTATTTCTTTTGCTATATTTTTTGATTTAGGAAAAGATTGTTTGCCACCCATATATCTTAATACTTAAAATCCTAGTTTTCTAAATTGCATTTAATTTTATTAATTTTTACTTATATAAAAACATTATTTATTTTTTTTAAACACAAATTGAAGATTCTAGATTTATTCTTTTTGGCAGAAGAGTAGATGTAAGATCAGTTTAGAAAACAAAAAGAAGTTTTTTTACTCATACATATGTAAACTATCATATAATTTAACTTATAATTCTTATTCTATATGAAAAATCTAATGTAAATATTAGTTTAAATAAATTATAAATTTATGAATGAATATTTTAACTAAATAACTATGTAAATTATCAAAAATTATATATTAATTATTATTCATTTTTAGTAATTTTTAACAATTAAATAACAATATTTTATTTAAAGTAATCCAAAGGGTATTAAATTCAATTTATTTTTAAAAAGTATTTTTTAAAAGAAGTTCATAACTTTTCATATAATTTTTTTTTTTTATAATAAAAACTCACACACTGCCTATCCCAATTATTATCAAAAATCTTTTTATTATTTTTTAAATATTATTTTAAGGCATTTAGCTCTTTTTAAAATGTATATATCATTAAATTCATCTATTTTTGTTAAGTAAAAATAATATTTCTAAATGAAAAGTAATTAAATTTAATGATTTTGCTGAATGACTAAAATATCATAAATTAGAAGCAATTTATTCATATTATTTTAATAAAAATACTAAATTAAATATCAATATTTACTTAAATTTTAAATCATTTTTTAAAATTGATTTTAGAATCTAACTAAAATATTTTTATGGTATATTCTACTTTTAATAAACTTTTAGTTAATAAATACTATTGATTTTTTAAAAGAAAAGTAAAAACTCATTTTGATAACTGAAATATACAAAGGATATAAAATAAATAAGAATACTAAATAACTAATTCAAATGAAAAGCTGTTCAAAAGTGTCTTTCATTTCTAAAATTTATGTATTTAATTAAGAACCTTCATGAAGAATGATGGTTGCTGATACGATAGGTCTTTTAATACCGCAAGCTCTTCCTAGAGCAGATTTTGAACTCACAAAACAATATGGGACATTTTTTTCTTCACATTCACCTGGTAAATTCATAACTATTTCAAGAGGGTCGCAGTCAGCAGCTAAAATAACTAATTCACTAACACCCTTATTTAAGCACTTTAAAACTTCATTAACTCCCTTCTTTAATTACTTATAATGCATAGCTTACTAAATTAAATCTAAAATCTTGACAGTTAATCTGGGCTCAGCAATAGGATATGGTTTAATTTATTAAGCTTCTACAGTTTCTTTGATTTATTTAATTTCTTCAGCTTGACCGTTTGTTTTTTCTTCAACTGCATTACCATTAGTAGCAGTTTTTTAAATTTCTTATTCTTGAGAGTCCATTTATATTTTATAATTCTATTTTAACTATGATATAAAAATTTATTTAAATTCTATGAAATTAATAAGATATTCTTTAATATATTTTTATATATTAAAACTATATGTGTCTTTCAATCAACCTAACAAAAATAATTGGTTTTTAACTTTATATTCTTTTGGCTTATACTATTTTTCTGGCAATCAAAAAGCTAATTCATTCATTCAGCAAAAGCCATTTAAAGCAACTGAGTAAAATTTCATTTTAAAAATTTATATTTTTAATATGTTTTGAAATTTTTATTTTCAAATAATTATTTTATTTCAAAATTACTCAACAAATTATTTAATAAAAATTAATTTGTTTTTTAATTTAAAACTTAATAATTTGCATCATCATAATAATAAACAACAAAATCAATAAATTACATTTTGAAAATAAACAATAAATGAATAAAAAAATATTTTTTTATTAAAATAATTTGTAACAACTTTTTTTAAGTCAATTAAAAAAATTTTTTTTTACATATTAAAAAAAAAATTATTGAAAGATAAATAAAATAAAAATTAATAGAAAAATATTATTTTTTGTATTTCTATTTATTTTTTTACTAAGTAATTTCTTTTAGAGTTATTAATTTTTAATTAAATATTTCTTTATTACTGATTTTTCTTAGGAAATAATTATTATTTTATAGTAGTTTTGATGTATAATATTTGACATGAAATACTTAGTTTTACTTATATTTTAAAGATAAAAATAAATAATCAAAACTTTTTTAACTAATTCAATTAATTTCTTGTTTTTGGAGTAGTACCTACAGCTATACCTCAGATTACCTAGTACTTTTAATAATAATTTATAAATATAAGTACCATGTAGCAACTCTATCCAAGTCCAGTTTAATGTGTTACCAGCACAGTATATTATTTTTAAAAAAAAATATTTTTAATTATTTTAATAATTATCAAAATTTTTATTAGTTGTTTTGAAATTAACTAAAATTATTAAAACTAAATAGATTTTAAAAAGCAAAAATATCTATTTTATTTAAAAAATATCAGAAGAATGTTGATTTGGTTTTTATGAGAGAGAATAAGTAAATTAATTTAATTAGATTTGATATTTTTTTCAAAGAAAATTAATTTGTCGCTTATATTTAATTGAGTAATCTATTAATAATTTTTTTTTTTGACATGTAAAAGAATTAATAATTTAAAACAATGACAACACTGTGTAACAAAAAAGATTAAATGAATTTTCATAAAAGCACTAAAATTTGTAAAATATAGAATTATTTTGTTTTAAATTATAAATTAATATTAAATAAATCTTTATTTCAGACAATATTTATATAATATATTTTATAGACAAGCATTATTTTTTAATAAACTTAATATAAGAATATAATTTATTACAATATATATTTATCCACTTAATTAGAATTTACATTAGGCTTTTGATTGCTAGATCAGGTAGAGATTACCTTTTTAATTTATAAAAGTTATTGTTTATTTTTTATGTGTATTATTTCATTTTATTTTATGTAATCCAATTTACTCTATAAATATCTATAATCATTAAAGTATAATCATAAAATAATTTTTTTTAATGGTATTATGGTTGATTAATTGAATTTGATTGATTATGGGATTATTATTTAAATTGAAGTAAGTTCTTAATCTATAATTTTGTTCTATATAAGGTACTAGATAATTTAGTAATATTAAGATAGATCTTTCTAATTATTTGTGTTCTAAGCTTCATAATCACACACTAAATGAAAGTTTTTATTATTTAAGCTCAGATATCAAAGTTGTTTAAGAATTTCTAAGATTGTTTTTATTTTTTATTGAAGGACTGTTAGCAACATATGTTTCAGCGTCATCTAGTAGCTTTTGGGCAGCTTAAACATCTTGGTTTAGTGCGATCATGCACTTAGCCTTTATTACTGTTGCAAGGTGGTCTTCTTTGCAGACACTAAGAGATTTTTAAGCATACTCAAGGGCTTCTGCATATTTACCTAAAGTCTTATAGTTCATGGCTATGTTTCTAAGAGAAACATGACAGTTCTTGTCCAAACTATGAATTTTTTTGTATACTTCAATTGCTTAAAGAAGCTAATTTTCTTATTACATCACACTCGCTTACAAGAAGAGAGTATCTATATCATTTGGATCTAACTAAAGTAGCTATTAAAGATACTTTTTGAACTAATCTTGGTTGTAATCGTCATCTTTTAGCAAGACACAAAGACTATAATTGAGACGCTTAGTAGGTCCTATCTTTTTAATAGCTTCTTATAAGGTATGAATGGCTTCTTCGTTCATATCTTAATCAGAATAGTTTTAAGCTATCATTTGATAAATTTCATCATCTTTAGGAGCGAAAGCTAGCAACTTCTCTAGAATGAAAATAGCTTGTGCATTCTATTTTGCAGCAAAATGCTTAACAGCTATACCCTTAATATTTTTTATTCTTTCTCTGTCAGCTGGGGAGTCAACCATTTAATTTGTCTAAGAATAAATGTTTAATATTTATTTATGCTTATTAACCTTTGTTTAGCTATTTAATAATTAATTTTGGTTAACTATTGTATTTTAATTTATAATTTTTATAATGATTTGTATTAACTTATTTATGGGATAAATACTGCAGCTAATATTCAGAGTAATCTATCTAATTTATTATTTTAAATTCAATAAATCTATTTAGCCACTTAATCCTTTTATATGGAATTATAATAATTAATTATCATTTCTGATTAGCAAAAACTAACAAATTTAACTTTAATTTTTGGTCGGGAAAGCTCGCTAATCAATCCCCACATTAAATAAATTCAAGTAATCTCTACTAAGATTTATAATAAAAATTTTATATGTATTAACAAAATCCTTTATCATTCCTTCATTAACACACTTAAACTAAATAAATTATAAAAAATTATCTTTTTCAGAAAAATTTAAAAAGAATAATATTAATTCGAAAATTCTTTTTGAATAAAAATAAACTTTTTCCCACGTAAAATTTTACATAAACAGTAAAAAAAAAACTCTACCTTTTTCATAATTTAGAGTTTTTATTTAAATCAAAAAATCATCACTTAAACAAAATGTTTGTGAATAATTTTGGGTATTAGCTTAAGTAGACAGCAAAATAATTTATCTAATTAGCAAATAAATAATTATAAATATCCTTGTTACTAAAATATTTTTTATCAGGATTAATCAAATTAGGCTACTTAATTATTACTGACCAAGAATAAAATTTTTTACTTTCTATTTTAATTAGAAAAATTTAGTTTTCTTAATTTAATTGCCACTTTAGATTAATCAACCAGGAAAATTTAGTATTTCGTTAAAATATTTTTTATTAGAATTAATCAAGTAAAAAAATTCTTCTGATCAATATAAAAGATTATTCTTATTACTTACTCAGTAAAAACACTAGTATTTTATATTTTGATATTTCACAAATAAGATTTTTAAGCTTTAAACTTCAAAATTTTATTCAGATTATTTCTCTACAATGTAATTTAATTATTTTTCACCTCAATTTATAATTGAATGCCATAATTTATTGTAAATTAAATATCAGATTACTTATTCATTAAAAATATTAAGTTTTTTTACTTTCTGCTTCAAATTTTAAACAAAATTTTTAATTATGTAAATATTAATAACAAAAATTTCAAGCTTTTAAATAATAAATGATGTTTTATAAAAAAAATGGCTAATTAGGCAATAATATTAATTTTCTTAATTAAAATTTTAAATAAAATAAATATCTTTAAAATCTATTAACACTAAATTTTAAATGTTGACTAAAAAAATTATATTTTAATATAAAAACAAAAAAGTTAATTAAACTTTCTCAATATAAATAAAGTTTGAAAAAAATGGAATGCATAAACAAAGAATACTTATCAAGAGAACAATTATTGTGTAAATAATTTGATAGAAAACAACTTAAATAACTTTAATTTAAAATTAAAAATGACTTAAATACAATTAAGGATTTTTCATTTTTAATTTTAGAATATGGAGAATTTCAACATTAGATGAAGTACTCCAAAATTTACAAACTCAAGGATGTAAAAATTCTTTATTAATTGAATAAAATTTACTTCATTGATGATTTAAAATAGATTTAGAGCAATCATAATTTTATTAAAACTATTGTTATTGAGTAAGTTTTATATTTAATTTTAAAGTCTCATTTTAATACTATTTTTGATAAATAGCTCTCTTTACCAATTCGAAATACCTAAATTAGTTAATGATTTATCGCTTTGCAAAAATTTGATCATTCTTGAAATCGATTTGAGGTTTTTTTTAACATTTTTATGTTTTATTTAATCACAAATTTATTAGTAAAGGCTATATTCAACATAAAGGATTCGAATAGATTTGCCAATCGTTATCTAAATGTATAAAATTGAGTGTTCTTAATTTAAATTTAAGGTATTTTTAATTCAAACAAAAAATGATTTTAAACATTTTAATTTATTTATATATAGTCAAATCTAACTTTCTGAGATGTCTATGCTATGCTTAGGAAATTCATTGAAGAAATGCACTACCATTTTAGATTTAAGCCTAAACTTAATGTAGAAATTGGTTGTATTAAAATATTCAACTTTACATTTTGTAATTAATTATAGGTAGAATAGTGACCATAAACAAGGATTTAGTATGATAGCTGAAGGAATTATTGAGATGAAAGGTCTTTTCAAGTTAAAAATTGCCTATTAGTATGATCAATTTTTTAATTTAAATAGTTTTTTATTTATTTTAACTTTTTATATTATATAAATAAAGTGATATTAGTCCCCTTTTAGACAAAATTCATAACCTTTAAAATATTTAAATTTTAGATTTGGATATGCAGTAAATTATTCAATTTCAAAATTTATTTACTATTCAAAATTATATAAAAGCAAACTAAATGTTTCAAATTTAACTGCTAAGATAAGGAATTTAAAGATACTTTATTTTATTTCTATTCACCTATAACAAATGTAAATTTTTTATAAAAAATACTCTTTAAACCACAATTAATTTGTTTTATTGAAAAGGATGTATATTTATGAATAAGGAATTATAAATACACTCAACAGAAATCTAAGAAAATGTAAAAGATTAGTCAAATATCGTCTCTCTTGATTAAAATCAAAATATTTGTTTATCTGTACTATAATTTATCAATTAATAAATAATTATTGAATATGTTGATTTATCATCAAAAAAAGTAATTTTATAAGAAATTATTTTTTTACCAAAAATTAATTGTTTAATTATATTTACTTTAATATCTAAATAATTACTTTTATTATTAAAATTTGGAATTATTGATGAAAATTTGATAAAAATTTTTAGAAGCTTTTATAATCAGAAACCAGTAATATTTTAAAACCTACAAAACCCAGTTAGTTGTATTATTATTACTTTCATTTAGTTATTAAATTTTAACTGTTTTTAACAACTACTTCAATTTTTTACTTATATTAATATTAGTGCTATTATTTTTATTATTACTAGCAAATTAATATAATAATTTTTTCTTAGTATCTTTTACTTTTAATTTAATCTCTGAGTTCACTTTAAATATTTTATTTCTATCAATTAAAATATCCATTCCAAGAAAAGAACAAATATAATTTAACTAATAATTAATGGGCTAACTTTATATTGTTAAAAAAAAATTATTACTTGTAGACCTCAAATACATATGAAATAGAAATAAATAATTAAATATTTTTAAATGTATAAAAAAAAAGTAAGCAACTTTAATTATAATTTAATATTGTAACTCAAAATATAGAAAAATATTAATCATATTGTATAAATATTAAATGGTTTGAAAGTTTTTCATAAAATATCTAAGATTTAACTAAATTCAACAAAAATAAATAAATAATCTTGATGCCGAATTAGATACTTTACATGACTAATTAAAATAGTAAATTTACGTTTTTTAAAATTTATTAAAAAAATATAAAAAGAAATTTAGGCAGTGTATTTATTATTGCTCTAATAAAAGTAAAGCTAGTTCTGTAATTAAAATATACTTATAGGATTAATATAAATAAATATTTTTCGTTTTTGTTTTTATCATTAATTTAATGTTTCTTAATTTTCCTATTAGTACTTATTATTATTCTTAGTACTACTCATTAATAACTTTTTAAGAATACTCTAGAAATAAACATATTCAAAAGAAAATTTAATTGAGTAAAATAATATTTCTACAATAATTATCAATAAAATTTAACTAACTAATATATAATATAAAATACAAAAATAATTAATAATTAAAATACAATAAATAAATAAATTTTTCTTTTATAAATATAATTTTTTTCAAAGAATAATGTTCATTTTTTTTAGTAATATTTTAGGTTTTTATTAATCAGAACCAAATGATCATACTTACTCCTACTATTGATACTATAGAACCAATAATATATTTAGCTTTCATTTATTCGCCTCTGAGCCAGCTTATAACTAACCCAAAAAGTGGTGAAGTAGCAATAATTGTTTAGGCTATCTCAGGTCTCGTATAAAGTAGAGAGGTTTACTAGCACCAGATGCCGAAGAAAGGTCCAACTGCTATTCCACTTAAAAAGAAATAGGACTTTTATTTATTTTCACAAGGCCAGTAGAACTTTTCTCTTTGAAAAAGCATTATAATAATGACAGAAAGCAATCCTGCTATCATTCTTACTAATGAGCTCTGTAGAGAAGTAAATTAACCAGATCCCGCAGCACTATGAGAAAATACCATACCTAAAGATTAGCAAAATGTGAATGCTAATCCATTAATTAAGCCCCAAAATTATTCTTTAGTGCAATAATTAATAGATTTTTCAGATTTAGTTATCAGTAATGGCTTTTGCATTGGAGAGACATTGTGAAAATCAGAACCCTCATTTGATTAATTAGAGAGTTGAGTTGCCTATTCAATATCATTTTAGTATGTTTCAACAACAAGAACATCCTATTTGTTTGATTCATCGTCATTTCCTTTGTTTACTACCATGTAAACTCCATAGCCAGTCACGAATATTCCTATCCACCCAATTAAACTAAGAGTGGATCCATAATAAAAGTAAGATATCAAGCCAGTAAATGGAGGGGCAAGTGTTTCAAGCAAGATAGTTTATCTTGGACCTAAGAGGTTAAGAGCCTTAAAATAGAAAGAATCACCTATACCAATACCGAAAATACCAGATAGTATCAATAGAAGGTAATTTCTCAAGGTATCTTAAGGAAATATTTAATCAGCAAAGAAAGTAAGAAGCAAAAACATAACAGAACCTGAAATCAAACCTTTCATACAATTAAGTAAGAAAGGAGAGCATTTTTAAAGAGAAGAAAGTGAATATAAATTAGATGAAGATGCATAGCTTATTGCTGCAAGAGTTGCAGCCATTTCACCTAGGCAAGACATTATTTAAGGAAAATTTTATTTTTATTATTTTAAGATGAATTAAATAATTATAATGAAAACTTAAATATTAGGTGCAATATTTATACATATAACTCTAATCACTTTAATATTATTAGTACTACATACTGATACAAAAATACGTATCATTACCAATTTACCTATGATTTCTGGTGGGTAAGATGCTTTCTTTCGATTACAACTTACTCTCTAAAATTTTTTGAAAATTTTTTTTTTCTTCAGAATTCTTGAATTCAAGAAATTAAGCTAATTTTGAATTTTATATAATTGTAAATAGATAAACAAACAGTTTAAAAAACAAATAAAAAATGAGTAAAAATCTTAAAAGACAAAATTATTTTAAATAAAAATGAGTTTTTGATAATTTTAGATGGAAAATATCATTTAAGTGTAGTATCACTTTATAATGATAAAATTTACTTTTTTCTTTCAAAAAAAGAAAAATTTGATATCTTTTTGGAAAAAATTAATTTGAAAAAAAACCTTAACAAAAATTTTGAGTATATATACATATCTTCTTTAGATGAAGTATCAAATTATTGTAAAAGAGACAAATTTATTAAATCAAATCTATTTATTTTTTCTCAAATATTTTTACATGCAAAAATAAAATTTTTTAGAAATTAAATCCTACTTTAGACACATAATAATGTTATTTAATATTTACCTATTTACCGTTTTTTTACTGTATTTTAAAAATTTTATTCAACTCTTTTCTTACAGCTTAACTATCAAAAAATAATGATTGATTTAGATAAATCTCTACTTCTGTGAATTATTAAATTAAAAAAAATATTACAATACAGTATTACATATAATATCAATCAAGGGTAAAACAAGTTTTGATCTAACATATAAATTTCAGGAAAATAAATATTTTTGGAATGACTTCTCATAAAATATTTTTATTTATGATATTACTATAGCATGATTATACTCTTTCTTATTTTTTATCACTATACTTGTTAAAGCCGTCTTATTTCTAGGTTAAATAATATTAAGATTTAACTTAGGAAAACAAAAAAACCTTACAAATGTAAATAACTAATTGATATACCAGATTTTTCTTTTGATTTCTCTTTGATTGAGTTAAGTCAATAATACGTAAGTTATTGCATTTTTTTAAAAAAAGTATATAAATAATAGCAAATATTAAATTAAAAACGTTAATAATACGCAGTACAAAAATATTTACTTCTATTATTCGACAATTTTAAAAATATAAATGTACTTAACTTTTTATGGATCAAATAAAGTCAGTATTAATTTTTTGATCTTTCAAATACTATGATCAAATATATTGAAAAAATTATTAAAGAAGTTATCATAAATAATCTTTTAAAGCTTTTAAGAAATGAATTTTTTATACCAAAAAGTATCTTAAGTACTTTCTTTCCTACCTTTTCATGATGATAGGTATTTCAAGTTAGTAAGGACAATTAAATCTGAAAATTTTTTATTTTTTTACTTTTACAAAGGAATTTAAATAACAATTTATTTTGATATAAATCGATTAACAAAATCTAAGGAAAATATTTTAGGCATAAACAATAAATAAAAATCATATTAATTATTAGATCACATAATTTTAAGTTTCATTAAAAAGTCCATTAAATAACTCTCAATATTAGTTTCTGAAAACTGAAGGATATTCTGCCTTAATCATTTCAATTTTTGATTGAATAGAAAAAAAAATTTTAAAGTTGCAATAATTAAAATTATGTGAATATTATATTTAATAAATAAAATAAATACTTGAGAAGAATTTATTATAGAACCTCAAAAAGCTCAGCAAAAAAGATTTATAAATTAAAAAAACAGAAATTAATTAAAAAAAAAGATATCTAAAAAGGTTAAGTTTTAAATAATATTAAATTATTTTTTTATTTTACTCATATTTTTTATTTTTTATTTTTAAACAATATAAATTTCAATAACATTAATTTTATATTTATACTAATTTATTTAATGTATAAAAATTGAATTACCTTTTATTTTGATTTATTCATTATAAATCTGCAAAAATGTTAAGTAAAATTAATATTAATTAATTTTTTTTATAATTTATCTTACATAACTAACTCCAAATAAAATATGTTAAAACGGACTTGACTTTCAATTTAAATAATAAATAAAATATTTTAAACTAATTTATTAAAGATTTTTAATTTAATAAATTTACTATCTTAAGAAAGATAAAAGCAAAATATTTTAATACAAGACATATTTTTTATTTCAATAAAATAAGTATTAAATTAAAATGGTACAAAAACTATAAATATTTTATTATTTGTAAAACAGAAGAGTATTTACCAATATCTGGTTGGAATAAATTTATCTTATTAAGCTCTTTTTTACTGTAAATCCTCATATTTTTATCACACCTTGAATGCTATTAAAAACTTAAAGATTCAAATTAAGTGAGTATTAAATATTTCCTGTTTAATGAATATTTATTAGATCATTATCAGGATACACAGTATATTTAAAATATTTTTAATTTATCTTAAAGGCAGATTAAAAGTAATCAGAGAAAATAAAAAAACATAAATAAATATTTTAAATTTCAAATGGAAAATAAGTAACTTTATTTAAATTTTATATTAATTAGTGTAACTATAATTTCTTAACCAATAAAATAGAGCTGAAAATAAAATCTTCTAGTAAATTTAATTTTTTAAAAATATTATTTGAAACTAATTGAGTTTAAAATATAAATGATTATCAATTTTTCAAAATATAAAAATATAAAAATATAAATATTACACATTACAATGTATTTAATTTGAATATATTATCAAGTATTATTTTTAATGAATTTCTATTTTAATTGTAGATTTTCTTGAAAAATAGTTATTTATTTTTGTTGATTATTAATTTAGTTTTATTATTACTAGAAATTATATAGAATGTTTTAGATTATTTTTTGAATGAATAGCCGAGCGTTTATTAAACAAGTCAGCCCCAAATAATTATGCAAACACCTAAAATCGCAATTATTGAACCAACAAAGTACTTTGCTTTCATTTATTCTCCTTTATACCAACTTATGGCTAGACCAAACAAAGGAGTAGTTGCCAATATGGTTTATGAAATTTCTGGTCTTGTATATAAAAGTGAAGTTTACTAACACCATATACCCAAAATAGGACCAAGTAAAGTACCTAATAAAAATATCTTATTTTTTTCCTTAGTATCAAATGGCCATTTATAGCTTTCATCTTTTTTAAAGAAGATGATAATAATGCAGCAAACTAAACCTGCTATAATTCTTAATAGAGAGCTCTGTAATGAACTAAGCTTTCCTGATTAGGCAGCATCATGAGAAAGGACCATACCTAAAGCTTAACAAAATGTAAAAGCAATTCCACAAGCTATTCCAAATAATTATTCTTTAAATTCAATTTATTGTTCACTCTATTTTTAATTTTATTTGTTAAAAGCATGATGCTTATCCTCTGTAGGAGTATTTTCAAGTGTATTCTACGACTACAACTCTACTTATAACTCTAAGTCTGCTTCTGTTTAAGGTTCTTTTTATTATTATTCATTCACAACCATGTTTACACCATAAGCTACTACAAATATACCAACCCAACCAAAAAATGAGAGGCTTTTTCCATAATAAAAGAAGGAAATCAATCCAGTAAAAGGAGGAGCCATAGTTTCTAGTAATATAGTCTTTCTAGCTCCTAAAATACTTAATGCCTTGAAATAAAAACAATCACCTATACCTATTCCCAAAAAACCAGAAACAGCAAGCAAAGAGTAATTACGATATGAATCATCAGGTAGTATAGAATCAGCAGTGAGCAAAAGCATAAAATACATAATAACTATGGATGTTATAGCCCTTAAATAGTTGAGCTATATAGGAGTGCATGTTTTGACTACTTAAGAATAAATATTAGAAGAGGTTGCATAACTAAATGCTGCAAATAATGCTGCTATTGCTCCTTCTATCATGATATTGTATAATATATTTTTTTTTACCTACTATTTACCAAAAATTTAAATCAATTAAATTAAATAATATTTATTGGCAGATATTTTTTGATTTTAGTAGCGATTAAACCTTCAATTCAGCAAAATTTGCAATCAAAAATGAAATTTCGTCGATTAGTCCTAATTTTTATTATATTTTTTTATAAATTATCCATTATTGTTATTTTTGTATCAAAATAATTCACATACTAATTAATTCTTAAGTAGCTATTAAAACAAGTTATCCAAAATATTCTTTTATTACTTTGATATCTTTTTTTTTTTCAATCTTCCTATTTCATATTTTTTTAAACTTTTTATACTTAAACACAATTATAATTCATTTATTTTTGTTAATAAAAAATCTTAATATATCTATCCAATAGTTTCAATATTCGGTACACTTTTTTTTAATGTTCGAAAAGTTAATGAATATACTAGAAATAATGAGTAATAATATACACAAAATCCTCCTTTTTATATTTTTTCGTTTTATAGATTTTGACCTTAAACTACTCATAATATTTTATTTATTGTGAGAAATTTATTTTTATATCTTAATTATTGAGGATATATAGTATTTATAAATCAAAAATAATAAAAGATAAATAAATTAAAATATCTTCCAAATGTTTTGTTAAAATAAATATAATTGGCTTCGGCCTGAAAATGTTTATTTCTAATTTTGGAAACTAAAAATAATTCAAAAGGACCATATACTATTTTATGATATTAAATATTAAAGGAAAATAATGAAGAAAGAAGAGAATAAATATATTGTAGGATATATATAAAAGATTAAATTAAATACTAACAAAAATAATATTTTTACTGAGAAAAAATTTAATTAATTTGAAAATAAATAAGTTTGTTTTTAAATAAAATAACATATCTATTTAATTAATCTATTTTAATTTTAAATTATTATAATTTAATATTGTTTACTTTCTAATATATATTTATAATATTAAATTAAAATTAGCTAAGATTCTTTAATAAATTTGTCAAATTTATTCTTTATGATTTTATTTTGTTTTAATATTAGCTAAAAAAAGTTGCTAAAATATTAAGTTTAATAATTATTTTTCAAAAAACTATTGAAAGAATCTATTTATTATCATAAATGATATATTTTTCAATTTTATTTGATATATTTTACACAATAAATGATAATAGGAATAAAAATTTATCTTTTCTTTACTTTTTTTGTTGATGTATATTTATTAAATTAAATTAAGTGCTTTTTATGGCTTTTTAAAATAATTTTATCTTATTTTTAAAAATTTTCTAATTTAAAATAAAAAATTTATTAAATTTTAACTTGTTTTACAAAATTTTAAGGTAGATTAAATATGTAAGTGAGTAGGTAAGTTATCAATTAAAAATTTAATACGAATGTAAAAATAATATAGATCACAATTCTAAATTCTCAATTTATTTCATTAAATCATCATCACCTTCATTATGATTATCTTTATCTTTAGATTTATTTACTACAAATTAACTCTATTCTTTAAAACCATCCATCTAATATAAAGGTGTTTAAGGAGAACCTTTTGTTTAGGCAGATAAAAATATACTAGGTCTAGGTAAAACTTTAGAAAAAGGAGAGCCGTTAGGATCTTTATAAAGATCTTCTTGGGAATCTTATTAAGATCCTTCAATTTACTAAGAATTTTTCCTTCTTTATTTTTATCCCTTTTTAGAATATTCATGCCTAGAATGAGATTCTTCTCTAACTTTTTTGACCTCAGCTTGATTTTCTTCTACCCTTAGAACAAAGTGTCTAATAATACATTAAGATTGTGTATAGATTCTGATAAGAATATCCTCAACATTCTACAATTCTGGTACTCCTTTCATGAGAATTAACCCTTACTGCATATCTAAAGTAAGCCAACTTGGTAACTGCATGTTACCTTTAGGACCATAAGGTTTATAGTCTAATCCTAAAAGCTTTTATAGCCACTTCAAACTTTCTCCTGGTGCATATCTGAGTGCAACTAAACTTGAAATTTAATAGGGTTCAAGATGAACTGATTCTCCATAGCTAGGGAATATCGAGCTAGATGCTTTATTTGTAACTCCAAAAGCTTTTCCCCTCATAGCTTCCTCTATAAGATATAAATTTACTCCTTAGCTTGAAACTGAATTGTAGATACTTTACCTTTCTATATCTCCAATATTTTCTTAGTCTAAGATTGATATTTTTTCTTGATCAATCAAACGTAGCTTTATGAATGGTTCTAAAAATTGATTGATTTTGAGTGATAAAAATGGGAATGTATAAATACGACCTTACTTATCTAAGTCTTCATTAGATTCTATTGATAGGTAGTATTTGTACCAGTCGCTTTCTGATAACTAAGGATTAAGTAGAAGCGAGTATTTTTTGATATACTTGTAAATTTGATAACTTTTTTAATCCATTTTGATTAAGGACTTGACTAATTGGTATTTAATACAAATACCCATTGTACTATATTCATCTTCAAAATCTTCTTTTAAGGTTTTAGTGGATGTCTAAACACTATTTAGAATGAACTAAATATCGTAAGTGGTGAGATCCTATTTAAGTGCTTCAAAATTAAAATCTCCATTTTATTTCAGGTAAAAAACCTCTATCTTAGTTTTTTTACTAGAATTTTTAAGGGAAGGCAGTTTTTTTCTCATAAATTAACTCAAAGAATAAATATCATTAACACTGCCATCAAAAATAACTTAACTTTATTGTGAGACTAATTTTCTAAGATTTTATCCCTAAACTTAGTTTAATTGTTAAGAACCACTATCGACTTTGTTTAGAACAATATCGTTATATGTTATTTTTTTATGTTCCAGTATCTTTAGTAAGCTCTTGATTATTTGACGAGCAGCTTTCTGTTCATTGAAGATAAGTGGTATTTTAAGGTAAAATTACTCGTTTGGTTAACATAATATTGTACTGTATCTAGTTTTCTTGTGGTAAAGGATGTTGTAGAATACATTTCTAAATTTATAGGCACCTAATGCTCCAGTCAAAGGACCAAGAATAGTGGCTATCCATTATATTACAAATAGAACAGGAAGCTGATTTACATGCACTGTGAAAGTATCTGAAATTTTAGTAAATCCATCGCTTGCAGTAACTTAAACAGTATAACTTTTCTAAAAAGCAGTTTAAGGGGGATTACCATAAAAGTTTTATCCATCAGAATTGTATTAAAGCCAGTCTGTGTTATCAAAAGGCTAAAATTTGTTGTTTTTACTGATTAGGACTTTATAGGTAATAGTTGTATTAAAGTCAGGAACTATAAACGACTAAGGATCTATGGTGAAACCAAATTATGTTAAGATAAAGATATTATCACTGAATTAGCTTTGTAGAGTTTTTTTGGGGTTAACTTCAATATTTTACTTTTACACTAAGAATGGGAATTATGAAACAGGTAGATTTTTTACGACAGGATAATTCATAGAGTCAGATACGGTTACTGTTGCTATTATTTAAGAGTATTTCAAAGGTGGTACTGGGAAAATAATAATTTTTTTTCTCAAAAATGAATTAACATTTGCTAATAACCCTGTTATGCTTAATATGTTTGCTTCTTGGTTAACCTAAATATTCACTGAAGGTTAGTTTACATAGATGAATCTACCAGAAAATTTCGGTATTTCTATAATTATATTAACTATTTGAGCTTGAGTTGAGATGTAATCTTAGGTAGAATTATCTAAAATAAGGTCTAATGAAGGATAAATTCTCATATAGATTGGAGTAAACTGAATAGAATTCAAAAGTGCGAACTTCACTAAGCCACTAACGCAGGTATTATAAGTTTTTTAAGCACCACTAGTGTTAGGAAAAAGGGTAGTATCTGAAAATGTAATTTGTTCATAGTCGTCATAGTGTAAATCTGGAGAAACTAGATTATTTTCATCGATAGTACCAGCTGATTAAAGCTAATTAAAAATAGAAGTTGCTTGAGCAGAATTAGTTTAGCAACTGCCTACAGTGAATGTAAAATCGCTACTACTAAGAGGATTTAGAGAGGTTAATACAATAGTATTTAATAAAGGCTGGTCAAGGTTTGTTGGATCTACTGCTTCTTTCAATATTTATATTTGCAATGATACTTCAACTGGATTATATGATATCCAGTATGGTAAAGGATATGCTACTTATTTTTGGTAGAGTTATACTCTACTTACAACTAAATCTAATGGTTGATACAGATAACATAAATTGATCTTTATAGTTTAGCCTACAGAAAATTAAAAATTATCAGGGTCATTGATAATTGTAAAAAGCATATCTCCTTATGGACTATATCCTAAAATCTAAATATAATCTGTGTGAAGATAAGCAGTGACACTCATAGGTAATTACCTCATCATGACATTATTGTTTATAAATAATCTTGTGAAATCATCAGTTGCACAAGTGAAAAGTCCATTTTGACCTCCATATTAAAAGCTTGAGACTATGAAGGGGTTTTTATTGTCATATATATCCACTAAATAAATCATGCCCTATTGTAAGGTTGAAATGATTACAGTTTTTTCACCTTTTAAGTAGGTCACATCGTTTGTCCATCCATCGACAACAACTTAAGAAAATGCTACTAACTCTGGTAATTTAGTTTGATCCATTATATAAAGACCACCAAGTCCATCTACTAAGTAATATTGGTATGCAAAAGCAACAGACATGTAAACCTATTCAGCACCATTAGAATTAACGTAGTTTACCAATTAGATGTTATTAAAGTCCTAAATATCAAGTACAAAATATCCATATCCTCTACATGCACCAACAAAATGTTTTTCACTCCTAGATATCATAACACCAGTAGTAAAGCCTTTCATAGAAGGTAAAAAATTCCAAATTGCTAGCACAAAGTAGCTTCCTAAGACTGAAGTGTCTACAAAAACTATAGTCCTATCCATCGAAAAACCTAATAGAGTATCAGCATTGTTGCTATCAACATCTTTGATGTAACCAGGGAAAGGTTATCCTAAAGGAACCTTCTATATGATTTAGAGATTTGTATAATCAGATGCATCAATAACAGCTAAGAAGTTAATTCCATCGTTCATTGAAACTAATAGGGTTTTGTGCGAATCTTTAAAGTAAAATGAATCAATAGGAGCGCTTTGGCCAGGTGGTTTATATTGTTGCTTTAAAATATTAAATTAGGTTGGATCACTAACATCTAATACCCACAGACCATCAGTATTAAATCCGCCAATGTAGGCTTATCTAGTTGGGTCATAATCACATCTCCAATAAAATTTCGTGTTAGATTTATCAAAACCTCTTGTTTGAAGAGTATTATACAGACTAACATATTTTTACCCGATTATTGGAACAGTTTTTCTGAAAATCATTAGAGAGACAGCATTAGAAAAATAGAGGTAATTACCAGTGGGTGATAGTGCGATTGCGTTTCCATGGAATGGGAAATATGACCATTAATAAACACTTGGGGCTTGTTTATTTGTTATATCTATAGTATAAATACCTATAGATCTAACTCCTAAGAAAAGAAAGTTTCCATCATTACTTAAACAAAAAGAATAAGGAGAAGGAATAGTAACTCTAGATGGCCACCACTAGTTTAAGAAGTAATTTACAGTCAAAGGATAACTGCTAGGATTAGCGGAAGTAATCTATGTAAAATCTCCAATGCTTAAACCATTTCTTTAGTCTAAATTTATTATGTACTTTGAGTCTGGAGTTAGTATTACGTTATGAGAATATCCTTGCGTAAGCCCTGGAAATGAGGCAGCTAGAGTACCAGTTACTGAGCCTGGAGATTTATTTAAGGCAAATATAGCTAATCCATAGCTATCTTGGCATAAAAGTATAAAGTTTTCATCTGGAGTAACCAACCCTGTATATATTTAACTTTTCTACCAAGTAATACTTCCAACGTATTAAGGCGATGTTTTGGTAGAAATATCTAGTATTCTCACATTTCCGTTAATCTAAAAGATGTACAAATTTTATTCATCTGGGCTCATTTTTACATCAACAATGAAAACTCTACTAGTATCTTAGGCTACTTAAACAAAGTTTTTTCTGTCGGAAAAATCGAATACAGTTAGATAACCATTGTTACTCATAAAAAGGTAATTAGAATCTTTGGTTTAAGTAAACCCCATGATGTTGTCAGTCGTAGCAAAACTAGCAATAACTTAAAATTGTTATTAGGGATCTACCACCATTATACCTGCATCACCTTATGAGACAAATATAAGTCCAGTTTTAGTACTCACTTTGATTTTCGAAAATTAGCTTTGCTGATCTTTCGCATTAATAATATAACTATACTAAGGCGAGAAGAGCCAGTTTTATGGCTATTAGCAATAGATTAAGCTAACAGACAATAAAATTAAGAATTAATAAAATTTGCTTTTAATCATTCTTTTTATCAACTTTGAAGTTTAATATTATTATTTTTATTTAAATTTTATATTTAGTTTTTCTTTATTTCCGAGCATTTTAAATCTATACAAAACTTAATAGATTAATTAGGAGATGAGCATATTATTTTTAAAAGCTCATTTAGCTGGTTAATCTCAATTTTTAAAAAAATTTTAAACTGAAACGAATCTAATAAATTCTGCTTAATTAGTGATTTTATTATTTGTTATATGTAATCAAACGATAGGAAGAGTAAAAGGCATATATTTCGATTTCATAATATTGGGCATAGTTTTACCTTTATCAATACTTATTTTCTTGTCAATAATTTTTATTTTAGATAAAAATAATCTATTTTATAATGGCAAATATTTTTTAATACATATCTACTCTTAATTTTTTTTGAATTTAGTTTTTCTCTTCCCAAATTACATCAAACTTTCTTTGTCTCTATTAATCAATATTTTAATTTGATTCAGTTTTTTTTATAAGGAAAAAAATAGAAAAAATGTTCTAATTTGTATAACAATAATTATTCAAAAGAGTTGTAAAAATAATTCCAATTTATTTCAAATTATTTATCAAAGGTAAATTTTACAATTTATCTCCAGTTATTTTTGACAATTTTATGTTGGGTTATTTGGGTAAAAATACTCTTAAAAATAATTTTTAAATTCTTTTTTTTAACTTTAATACTGAATAATTAATATATATAAAATAAGTGATTCCTTTTTAAATCTTCAATATATTTTTTATCCATTTTATTTAAAATTTTAATTTTATTAAAAGGATCAATCAAAAATCATCTTTTAGACAAGAATATAAAGACTTAATTCAATTTTAGGATTCTGAAGTTTTTATTAATTGAAACAAGAATTAGTTTTTATTTAAAGAAAAAGAAGAGTGATTGGATTTATAGTCGATAATTTTAGAGTGATATTATTAAAAAATCAAAATAAAACAAATAACTAAATCGATTATTTAAAGTTAGGTGTGTGTCGATTGATAATCACTTATCTCTTTTTAACATAATTAAATTAATAAAAATGTAAGTTGTAAACAAGAATTTTAAAAATGTTTAGAGAGAATTTCATTTTTTGTATAAACAATTTTACTATAAGATACTTTTGTATTTTTTTGAAATAGTTAAGCTAATTCTATTTCATATTTAAAAATAAATTATTCACTTAGTTATCCTCATTATATATAGAAACTTTAAAAATCATTAAAAAATTCCGCTAGATTTTTGATGTTAAAAAACTTAAATACAAATGAAGCATAGCTTGATAAAAATTATGAATATTTATAATAAAGAAGTGTCTTATTAAATATTCCTTTACTAAAATTTAAATTTAAGCAATTTTTTAGCTTTTTCAGTTTATGCATGTTTTTAAAAAGCTGAAAAACTACTAAGAACTACTAAGATAGCTAAAATAATTGTTTAGAATGGTAGAGTTTTTTAAAAAAAGTTATGAACAATTAATAGCGAGCATGCTTAAATCCTTTTACAGATAAAAGTTTAATGATATTATTAATGCTAATATCGTAATTAAATAATTTTTATGTAGATTACTAGCTTTTTACCATTTATCTTAGCATCAAAGCTATTCATAATCATAATTTAGTTTAAAGCAAGAGATTATAATATTTTTTTGTTTTAAGTTTGATCTTTGAATAAAAAGAGTAAAATAAAATGAATTCATAAAGAATAATTAATTAGTAAAATATTATTTAATTCTATTATTTTTCTGTTTTAAGTATTTTATACAGGCCATAAAATGAATACTAATAATTAAAGAGAATATATTTAATCACAAAAAATAATTAAACTGAGATAATCTCTAAAGAAAAGACAGCTTTTTCTTAAGTTTTTGGTTTAGTTAAGGTAGAACTTGATTTATTTATTTTTTTTCGATAAAGAAGAAATTTTTCGATTTTATTCAACTAACTCTACTCTTAAAAAGAAACAAAAAACAGAAATTAAAAATTTACAAACATAAATAGCAAAATTATGAAGATGCGTATAAATATATTTAAAAAAAAAAGAAATATTGTTGATATCAATTTATTTAATAACCCTCTTTAAAATTCTTTTAAGTAAAATATTTATTACACTTTATATAAAATTAATTTGAAGGAGGTTTTTTTAAAAAATAATATTCAATTGTTAGCATTTCTATGAATCAATAGATATTAGTTATTACTTACAAAATAATTAATTTTACTATTATTTATTTATTTTATATATTAATTTTTGTAATAATTAACTAACTTATTGACCTTAATAATTATATATAGATTGTTTTTTTTTCTTTTTTGATTTCGTTGTTTTCTTAAATTAGAATTAATTTTATTGTAAAATTCAAAATATGATGATGGTTATAATCTAATAGGGTTGTTTAAGTAGAAATTAATACTTTAAGTCATGTTTTTCAAATAATGCTACAATATGAATATATTATTATTTTGCCAATTTTAATCAATTTAATCCATTATTTTATATATGAGTTAATCAAAAGATCAAAATAAAATTAAAAAAAATAACTTATATAAAATTTTTATTCAGCATTCAAGCTTAAGCTTGAATTATCTAAAAATCAGGTTCATTCTACAGTTCCTATCTTAATTAATAATTATATTTTATTTTAGGTTTAGTTGTAAAAAAACTATTATTGAAATGAAATTATGTTTTTTTTTTTTTTGTAAAATAGGTTTTTAATAAATAAGGATAAATAATTGTCTTAAATATCTTTAAAAATTTTAAATGATGATAAAAATTGTTTGTTACTTTAACAATTAAATTATGGTTAATTATTCATAATTTTTATTTAAATTATTTTCATTCTAAAATTATAAATTAAGAATAATCTTGTTATGAAAAAGAATCAATCACTTTTATATTGTAATTGTTATACACTAAATTAAAATTATTAGTGAATTTTAGATTTTGAACTCTTCATTATGTTATTTGAACAGTAATAAACCTAATACATGAAGAGTAAAATACGTTAAATCTTTCTTGTAAGGCTGGTTGAAAAAAATCCTCCACTTTTCACATTTTTTAACCAATATTCGATTAAAAATAACTGCATTACCTTTCTTTTTTTTCTAACTATGCTAAATATGAGTTTTAATCTCAAAATTATTTTTTAAAATAAAAAAAAATACATAATTAAAATATCAGCTTGTTATCTTTTATGTAAGTATTTTCTAATATAGATAAATAGTTAATATTATTTAATTTAGGAACAAAAATTTTAGGAAACGCTTTTTTACATAATTAATAAATAAAAAAACATATAACTAACTAACTAACTTTACTTTTTTAATTAATAAATAGAAAAAAATTGATAAGCCTTTTATCAATTATTTGAATATAATTCACTGATACTTAATAAATTATTTCATTTTTGAAAGAGATTATCTAAAAGTAAAAAATATTCATTCCTGAATAATAATGAAATTCAAATGAATATTTGTAATTGTAATAAAAGTTTTTAATATCCATTTTTTATTAACATTTATAATATCTGTTATTCAACTATTCAAAAATATTATACATACCTGAAATTTATTTTGAGTATTTTTTAACTTTTTATAGATACTAAATCCGGGCTTAACTAAATTAAGTGTTAATAATTAACCTTTTTATGTAAAATTAATATTTAGCTTAACATTAATTATTAGATTAATTTAAAATATACTATGGTATTACATTATTTTTATTTATTTTAAAAATTATTTTTCACTTTAATTTGAAGGTATTTATTTTATTTAACTTTTATAAATCACTAATTGACTTCAAACTATTAAATAAAGAGATCAAAGTGTATCATAGACATAATAGTATTAAAAAAAATAATGTAAATATTCTTAATTTCATTATTATAAGTTTTAATTATAAAATAAGTTGTCATCTACTATAAAAGTTTTTGAAATATAAAAATATTTATTAAATTATCTATGCTAAAAATAGAAATTAAGGATTATTTTTAATATAAAATAAACATTTTTAGAGGTAATTATTTGTTTAATATACATTTAATTTCTCATTTTTTAATAAATATATTTAAATATTATTAAAATTGCTTTTATGTGTTGATCAATCAACAAATATTTATTTAAATTATTTTTATTATTTAATAAAAGCTTTTATGCTATATTGATTAATATGTTAATTATCACAAAATTATAGTGAGAAATAAATCAGCTTTTTAGTAATGCGAAATATACAATCAAACTAATTTAAATGAATTAATTCAAAGCCATATAACCATCGAAACTCCAATAATAGAAATTAAAGAACCTAAAATATCTTTTATATGGATTTTGTCTTCCCTCAAGCATCCAATAAACAAGCTAAATAAAGGAGACGTAGCTATTATTGTTTGAGCAACTTCTGGTCTGATAAATTTGAGAGATGTTTATTATGCCCAAATTCCTAAAATGGAACATGATGCAATTCCTGCAAGATAATAAAGTGACTCTTCAGTATTCTTACTAGGCCAATGGAGTCTATCGCAAGTAAAAACCATTATTAGAGTGACGTATAGCTAACCAGTTAACACCCTTAAAAAAGTAGTTTCTAGTGGCGTAAATTTTCCAGAAACAGCTGCATCATGGGCAAAAACCATTCCGAATGCTTGGCAAAAAGCGAACCCAAGGCCTTTCAAGATTCCTAATAAGAATTCTTTTGAATATTTATTTCTTTGATTGATTAATTCAATCTAACAAGTTTTATCTTTTACCAATATTTCATTAGCTATAATATTGATTTTGCTTGAATTTTCATTATGAAACACAATTTGATCTTGTGTTTACATATCTTCATCTAATCTTGTTTTATATAGGTCTGCTTGCTGATCTTTTTGAATTATTTATTAAATTGGTAGGTCTTACTATTTCTAATTAATTTCTAACTGCTCCTATTCTATATTTTATTGATCAGATACATGAGCAACTAAATAAATTCCTAATCCAGTGATAATCATTCCTATCCATTACAAAACAGTCAATGTTGTGCTATAATATATATATGAAATAATTCCAGTAAATGAAGGAGTTATGGTTTCAAGTAAAACAGCCCACCTAGGGCCTAATGTCTCAAAAGCTTAAAAATAAAAAGTGTCTCCTAAACCAATACCAAAAAAACCTGAAGCTATAAGTAAAGCATATGTACGAAATGAGTCTTCAGGAAACAACTACTATTGCGTGGCTATAAGTAATACTATAAATAATAAGATAGAAATTAGTCCCTTCCAGAAGTTGAGAATGTATGGAGAGCACTTCTAAGAATATCCATGAATAAAAAAGTAAGGAGTTATTGCTATTGCTAAAGATGATACTAAAGCTGCAATCTCACCTTAATATGCAGCCATACCATGAGTTGTCTTTGGCATTTCAAATACTTGATAGATTTTTCTTGACTATATTTTTTTTTTAATTAATTATTTTATATTATAAGAATCTAATATTATTGCATGAATTAAAAAAAATTTTAATTTACATTTTTGTTTTAGATTAAGTATTAAATTAAAATTTTCACAGCTTTTATGCTCTATTATTCAAATAGCATCACTGACTGATCTCAACAAAAGTCATTAATAAATAGCTAATTTTTTTAAATAGCTTCATTCTTTTGTCAAAAATTTGATGCGTATTAAAGATAAATAATATAAATTTTTTTGATTGAAATACAATTTTAATAAAATTTGCATAATAACTGTGTTTGTTTGTTTTGCCATCTTTCGGTTATTTTAAAAATAAAAATTAGATTTAAAAATGAATGCCTTAACTGAAATTTAAAGATATTATATTCAAAAATAAGTTATTTCATTTAACTTTTAAAAAGAAATTTCTTTAGTTTTCTTTAAAATAAAATTACAAAATAGGTAACATAAATATTAATTCATAATTAATAAAAGAAATATTGAATTTGATTTCTGTAAACAAAGAATATTTGTTTAATTCGTTAAATTTACTCATATATTTTAAAAGCTTTCTATTTGATTGATGCTCAAAAAATAACAATTATACTATTGTTATTCATGATAAGAAATCACATATTCAATAAAGAATTATTTATTTTATTTTCTTTATACATTTAAAAGTAAAAATTAACAAATTTTAAAAATTTTAAACATGAATAAAGTAGTTTTTTTTTCTTCTTTATTTAATTGTATTACTCTAAATATTTCTTTTATTTATTCATATAGTCAAATTTTAGTTATTTTTCTCAAATTTTATTTGAGAATCATTGATTTATTATTTGTCATTAAATATTTATCACATCTATTTATAATATTACTAAAATATAATAATATTAATTATCAAATTAATAATATTTTTTCATCTTTAGTTGTCAACTAAAAAATTATATTTATTTTTGCTGTTAATCTTAATTAGAATTTTGATTTTTTAAAATAACTTTCTATTAAGTATTAATAAAACTTGTATATTAAGTGCTTTATTAGTAGAATTAAAGATAGAAAAAAATATTTTTAACGAATGAGTTTTATAAATCTTTACATATTTTATTATTAAATTATTGAAATCTTAAAAGTATTTTTTGCTTTCATTTAAAACTTATAATAAAGCTTTGTTTTCTTAGTACCAATTATCAATTAAATTATATTTAAATTATTAACTAATGATAATTTAATTATAATATTTTACTTAAAATATTACTTTCAAATGATAAAAATTTGATAGATAAAATAATTTATGAAAATAAAAGTTGATATTAAATATCAAAAGCTAAAAAATTAATTTAATAAAGCTTAATTTACTTTATGTTTCTAGTTATCAATCATTAATTAATTTTATTTAATTATTTATCAAAGCATAAATTTTAAATATTAAATAAAATAAACTAAATAGATATATAACTTTTAAATTTATAATTGCTTTCTAGATTATTATATTTTATTTACACTGATAGAGGAGAATATTTTTCAAAAACTGTGTTAATAAAATTTTTTAATTTCAATATTAATTTATAAAACATACTTTTAATTAAATTATTTAATCTAATTTTTTTGTCATAAAATAAGATTTATAATAATATAATAACTAATTAATAATTAAATATTTACCCTTTTGAAATATTAATCTAGATTTAATATAGAATTAATTATAAATTTTACTTTTTTCTAATTTAATCTAATTATTTTTAGGAAAATTAAAATTATTTAACAAAATGAATAATTTATATCACGAGCTAAAATATGATGTTACTTCTGTATTAATTAATTACAGCCATTATTATAGTTTTAAGCTAAACATTCAAATATAATTTGGTTGCTATGATTTTATATTCATTCAAATGTTTTTCTTAAGTAATCAAGAAATAGGATTATTTGTAATTTACTTTATTCTATATAAATATATATTTAACAAAACATTCTAATTTAAAAAAAATAAAAAAAATTACTCAATATCATTCATAATTATCCTATTTTGCTAAATTTTGTTGTAGATTAAAGCAAATAAGCTATTATTTTCATTTTAATATTAAAAAATATATACTATTGATGAATTAGTTTTCTAGAAATGATACTTTAATTCTTTTCAAATGTAACAAACTAAATTACTGATAATATCTTTAATTTTTTTTATTTTTAAGATTCCAATTCAGCAATATGTGTTATATAGGGCGTAATTCAAATATTAATCGATATTTGCGTCATTTAAATAGTTTAAGAGTTTTTTTATTATTCTTATACTAAAGATTTGCAATTGTTTTCTATTTAATAAAAAAGTAATTTAATAAGCTTTATTTATTAATATAATAATTTACATAAATTGTTTGAAAGATGGCAGCTTTGCCTTAATATGAAACGTTATCTGGAAATTGGGTTTCACCTCATGTTTTCCATATTTAATTAAATCGTCCAGATAGAATGAATGCATTTAATCCAAAAATGTTTGAAGAAATACCTTAAGCATTTGAGTTTTTAAATAAGTAGGAAGAATTGAGAGCTGTAGTTCTAACTGGAAACGGAAAACATTTTAGTTCAGGTTTAGATTTAAATGAAGCCTTCTAAGCTATTATGCCTGAATCAGATGACACTGCTAGAAAAACAATTAAACTTTACGAAACAATCAAAATTCTTCAACATTCCATTGATACCTTAAATAGATGCAGAGTAATAATATAGAGCTTTATTTAGATTAAAATTTAAAAGATTTAGCTTGATGGTTTTAAATTTTATATAAAAATTATTTAGAAGATCTCTGAAACTATAAATATTTACTATTAATATTTTATTTTTCAATAGGTTCCTGTTCTTGTTGGTATTCATGGCGCTTGTGTAGGTGCAGGAATAAATTTTGCATGCTCTGCTGACATTAGGTATAATCTATATCTTAATAAAATAGAAATATGATTAAAATAATCAATATAATTTAGATATTGTACAAAAGATGTTAAAATTTCAATTAAAGAAGTTGATATAGGTATTTGTGCTGATATTGGTGTTCTTTAAGTAAATAATTATATATCTTATTATACTAATTGTTATTCATTATTTAAAATTGTTTTTATTTTTAAAATTTAAAACATTATAAATTAAGAATTTGAAAGAAATTGATTTATTTATATTTATGGAAAGTTTAAATTAATATATTTTTATTTTAAATGTTTAGAGACTTCCTTTATAAACTGGTAATGACAGCTTGCTTAGAGAAATAACATATACTGGAAGATTTGTTAGCGCAGATGAAGCTTTGAGACTTGGAGTTGTTTCTAAAGTTTCTGAAAATTAAGAAACTATGATTAAAGAATTGATTGAAGTTGCTCAAACTATTGCAAGCAAGAGCCCTGTTGCAGTTTGGACAATCAAATAGGCCTTAAACCACGATGTTAACAAAGCAGTAATTCCTAATCTTGAATATATGGCTAGAGTGAATGCTGCTATGATATAAACATCTGATATGCAAGAATCTGTAACTTCGTTTTTGACTAAGAAAAAAGCAGTATTCCCAAAATTATGATTTAAACACTTAAAAAAGAGTTTTACTTTTGGTAAATTTAGAATACAAGTAAAATAAATTTGTAATAAAATAAATGCTTTTTTTTAGTTTTGTGTTTTGCCTGTTTGCAACTTTTTGATGTAATCTGATGAAATTTCTTTGTTTCTTCGTATAATTAGATGTATTTATAGGTGAATAACCTTTTTTATTAAACTTAACAAAAATTTGAGATAAAAATAAAGGCAAATTCAATTACTAGAATTTTAAAAGAAAAAATAATAGCACTTAAAGAGTGTCAAAGAAACCAAATATCAAAAAAAAGTGATGAAAAAGATCTTCCAAAAAAGCAGAAATTACGTATGAATAACCTTTTAAAATGAAAATTGAAAAATTAAAAAAAGGAAAATAATTAATTGATTAATTAAGCACAATCAAGCAAGAATAAAAGGAGGGGTAACATTCATTCATTATCAAGTAATTAAGAAAAAGAAATAAAAACATGTATCCATTTGAAAATAAATGTTTTGGAATCAAACTAAATAAAGTGTTAAGACAATAAATAATGATAATTAATAAATAGATAAGTATCTTTTTTACTTTTGATGATTCGATATTTTGCTTCATATCGATCAAATATATCTTATTATCAAGTTGAAGAAATACAAATATTAATTAAAATAAAAAATATTAAATATAAATTGATAGTATCAACTATATCAAAAAATTAAAAATAGATATTCAAATCTTAGCATTTCGTATCCAAATTAGTTAATTAGTTAGATAGAGAACAAAAATGATCAAGAATTTCAGACAAGTTTGTAGATTCGCTTTATATCAAAGCGCTTTGAAGACCAATTCCTTCTAAAATTTAAGCAAGCGTGCTTTCTGCTATGTCAAGCATCATAAAACCTTCAATGATAACGAAGAAATTTACACTCATTAACTCAGCGCAGCTTCTCAACCAGATACTATTCCCACATTTAGAGTTATTGATTTGTAAGGAAGTGTTCTTGCTCCCCAATATGAAAATATTCCTGATGAAATCTTGAACAAGATTTTTGACACAATGGTTCAAGTAATTAATTAAAAGATTTTTTTAATTTATGCATTATCAAAAGATGGAAACAAACATTCATTATAAAAATAAAAAAAATATATCTCAGAGAATAAAATTGTAAAAAGAAAATATGTCTAAACGAATTTAAAAATGCTAATGGGTTATCTGAAATATTATTTTTTTTTCATACTTTTAAATTTTACTTTTGTTGAGAAAAAATATTTTTTATTCAAATTTAATTCTAAATAATTTAGGTTGAAGAAATAGATACTATCTTAAATATGACTCAAAGATAAGGTAAGATTTCTTTCTACATGCCTTCCTTTGGTGAATAAGCCACTACTGTTGGTGTTGGTGCCGCTCTTGAATTTGAAGATTTAGTTTTCCCTCAATACAGAGAATAAGGTACTATTATTTACAGAGGATATACTGTTAGAGATATGCTTAACTAATGTATTGGTAACATTCACGATCTTGGTAAGGGTCGTTAAATGCCTGTTCACTATGGTTCTAAGGCTCTTAATTTTGTTACTGTGTCTTCCCCTTTAAGTAAAATTAATTTACAATAAAATAAAATAATAAAATAAATTTATTATATAGCAACTTAGGTACCTTAAGCAAGTGGTGCTGGTTATGGATACAGATTGAGAGGCGAAAATAAAGTAGCTGCTACCTATTTTGGTGAAGTAATTTTTATTTACAGATTATTTTTTTTAAATCATATTTTATTAAAGGGTGCTGCTTCTGAAGGTGACTGGCATGCTGCTTTGAACTTTGCTGCTACTTTGTCATGCTAAACTCTTTTCCTTTGCAGAAACAATAAATATGCTATCTCAACTCCAGTAGGTAAAAAAATAATAACTAACTTACTTTAAGAAAGTCTTTCAAAATAGAGTTAATTAAAGCTCATTAATAAGATATAAAAAAGATAGAATGAATGATTGATATTTTATTTAATGAATGCTTTTTGATAATTTTAATGTGTTAAAAAATATAGTTGATTAATACAGAGGTGATGGTATTGCAGGTAAGAGTATTGGTTATGGAATTAAAACTTACAGAGTTGATGGTAATGACGCTCTTGCTGTTTATCATACTGTTAAGGAAGCTAGAAATTATATTGTAACTAATAAAGCTCCTGCATTTATTGAATTTATGACTTACAGAGTAAATAAATTTTTACAAATTCATTCAAAAAATTAGAAATAAACCAAAACTTTAGAGCTAAAAAGGAATTTTAAAAAACTTTTTAATAATTGCTATAAAATTTAATATTATTTTATAAAATTATTTATGCTAATTAATTATGAGAAAATCTTTAATTTAGATTTCATCAAGTATTAAATTTATTTTAACTAAACAAATAGATCGGTGATCATAGCACAAGTGATCACTCTGTTATGTACAGAACAGAAGATGAAATCTCTTCATGGAAATCAACTAACAACCCTATCACCAGATTAGGTCTCTACTTGAAAAAGAGTGGCAGAAGAGTCTTCGATGAAGCCAAGGATAAGGAAGTACGTGCTGCTATAAAGAAAGATATTATTGCTGCATTAAAGGAAGCAAACGAATAAAAGTTACCTGCTTGGAATACCTTATTTGAAGATGTTTATGACTAACTCACTCCTAATTTAAAGGAACAAAAGGAAGAACTTAGATAACATTTAAATGAATACGGTGAACACTACAACTTACAAAAGTTTGCTAGCAATTGAACAATTAAATGAAGCAAGTAGGCTATAAATCAAGCAATTTACTCAGAAATAATGTTAACATTTTTATGCATATCAAATATAGATTTTTATTATAAAAAATTAATAATTAAGTTTGTATCCTATCAATTTATATCAAATTAGAATAAGTTATTCATTCATTCAGTATTGGCAAATTATTCTATTTTTCATAAAGGATTCTAATTATTTTATTGATAAATATTATTACATACATATTTATTTTATAAATAAGAAAAAAGTAAGAAATAAAAACATTAAAATAGAATATTTAATGTAATTTATTTATTTCGATTTAAATAATATTTAATAATTCTAAGAAAAATAATTTTATGGTGTTTATTACAACAAATATGCATCTAATAATCTAAAAAATTATGATAATTTATTAATTAATAATTAAAAAAAAATATATTGTATTGTTCACATATCTACTTCTTTATTATTTGTATTTATATTTCAAATAGAAGAATTACACATTACTCTCTATTTTAAAATTTGTAAGTTTAATTTTCTATTAATATTTATTTTTATTTGGATTTAATCAAAATATATTTAACCTCTGATCAGGTTATAAATAAAATTAGAATTTATCTGCATTTTTTTAACTTTTTTTAATTAATTTAAATTTAATAGCTAAAATCTAGGTAACATAGTTATTAACAAAATATTAGTAATTTGTTTTTTATTTACTAAATTATTTTAAAAAAGATATTTTATGTAAATTTTATCCACTCTATCTATCATGATTCGATCAATAATTCAAAATATTTCATAGATTAAAAAGAATGAGAAAGAATATTAGAATTGCTTTTATTTCTTTACATTATCACTAAAGAAAATAGAAAATGGCTTAAATATTTATTTATATATTAATAAGTCTAGTTAGCTTATTATTAATTATATTTTTGGTTATTTTGATAGTAAAATTGTTGCATTTATAAATAAAATATTGAAATAGATAATAAAAAAATATCTATTTCATTTGTATGCATGTTAATTCATTACTTTATTTTTATAAACTAGATAAAAAATAATCAAAATTAATATCCCACTGATCAGACAGCATACCAAAAATTAAGAACTGTAAATTTATTTATAAAAATAAAAATATAAAAAGCATAATTAAACGTGCATTTTGTTTAATAAATATAGCATGTCTTTTTGACTTAAATAAAACTTCTTGGAGTTAGTTAATACATAGAAGAGTTGAAAAATTTTATGAGCATAAATTTAATTTTATTTGAGCATAAATACCATCGCTTATCAAATAATCATTACACTTTTCAACTTCTTTCAAATATTTTATATAAAGAGTTAATGATTATTTGTTCACTTTGAATGCTATATAAACTTCAATTTTGATTGTAAACTAATTTAGGAAGAAATCCTTGGTAAGGCAATGATCGGGAAATTTGAGGATTGAATATATAAAGAGAAATTAATTTGTTAATTGATAACTTTATAAAAAAAGGTATCAAAAATATAAGAAATAAAAGTAATTATTTGTTTAACATAGAATATACAACAAACAAAAAAATTAGGTTAAATTTAGCTTTTTTAACTGAAATACTCTGTTTTTGTTAAAGATGAGTGATAAAAAAGAAAATGCAGTTAATTTAAAATAACCGCTTATTTCGAGCCATAATAATTTGGATCAAAATATGGTGTAAAAAAATCTAAGTATAAATGATGATGAAGAAAGGAAATCTAATAGTATTGCTTAACATGATAATCAAAACGTATAAAATATTGTAAATGAGTTACAGTAATACAATAATCAAGGTTCTTCAATTGGAAATTAAAGTGATCGCAAGTCAAGCAAAGATGAACAAGAGTTATAAAGATTACGTTCCCAATCCCTAGCTACAAAGCCCAGAAAATCAGTTTATCAAGCTCTTAAAGAAAAATTAACTGATGTTAAAGATGTAAATTGGGAAGAAAATACTGATGGCAGATCAATCTTTGTAGGCGAAGAAGTTATTTTATATCCCAACAACAAGATTAAGACATCTAGATATAATATTATCTCCTTTTTACCTCTAAATATGTTTGAGCAATTTTCCAAAGTCTCAAATATTTATTTCTTGCTTATGGGTTTACTTTAAATGGTTAAGCCAATCTCTAACTCAGAATAACTACCAACAGTTTATATTCCTTTACTTTTCATCGTATTTGTTGCAGCCCTTAAAGATATACTTGAAGATCTTAAAAGACATTCCTCTGACAAAGACGAAAACCATTACATGACTCATAAGGCTGTTAAAATTCAAGATGCATCTTTCCGTCAATCATCGAGATTAACTCTTGGCGGATCAGGTAAATTCTAAGATACCTATAGCGAGAATCTTAAAGTAGGCAACCTAATAAAAGTGCGTTAAAATGAATAAATACCAGCTGATATAATTGTCTTGCGCTGCTCAGATCCCAAAGGCAGCTGTTTTGTTGAAACAAAAAATTTAGATGGTGAAACTAATCTCAAGCCTAAATTTATTACTAAAGACATTCTTAACAACATGTAATTTTTTATTTTTATCATTTAACTCAAGATTTAATTACCCAAAAAATATCAAAAATACATTAAGTTCAAAATCACCATAAAAAAAGAAAATGAGTAATAAATAATAAATAAATAAAATACAAATAAATACTCCTATTATAGTCAATCAATATACTCAAAGCAAAATTAATTATTTGTTGAATGATTTAGAATACAAATTCTAATTAATAAATATGCTCATTAAATTTTCCAAAATAACTCAAATTTTATATTTTGAAATAAAGTTGAAAGCAAAAATTATTAAAAATGCATTTGAAAAAAAATGAGAAATTAAATTATTTTATGAAAAAAAATAAATGAAATTAATTTATTTTTATATTGAATACCTTCTCTTACATCAAATATTATTAATAAAACAAAAAAACTAAATTTTTCTCAAGTTTTAAAATGTGTTTTTAAGAAGAAATATCTATCTTTAAAAATGTTAAGCTTAATTTAATAAATATTAATAATAAGTCTTCTTTTAATTTTTTAGCTATCCAGATGACAGATCTCTTCTCAATAAGAAAGTTAAAATTAATTATGAAAGCCCAAATCCACTTTTATACAAATTTAATGGAAACATTTCAGTTGTTGATGAACAAACTGATAGACCTATTGGAAATTAAGTTAGTCTTGATGAAAAAAATATTATGCTTAGAGGCTGTGTCTTGAGAAATACCAAATGGATTTATGGTATAGTTATCTACACAGGTCACGAAACAAAAATCATGCTCAACGCTCACACCCCAGATATTAAATAAAGTAGTGTCGAAAAAAAAATGAGCAGGTACATTCTAGTAGTATGTATCATCCAATTCTTCTTATGTCTTTTCGGAGCAGTATATTACATCATATGGTAACTATTACTAAATAATTATCTACTATTTCTAAATTAATTTATCTAATTGTACTTTTTTAAAAGAAAGATTTTTATAATAATTTCTGATAAAAAATTTAATTAAATTTAATTTAATTATTTTTAATTGAATAATTATTTCATTTGAATATTTTAATATTTAAAAGGTACTCATTCCAAAAAGACAATTTAGTTTATTTGGATATAACATCAGATGATTTTGAAGAAACTCCTATTCTAAGTTTAGTTGTTACAAGTGGTATTTGGTTAATGTCTATTTTAAATATGGTACCTATTGCTTTATTGGTAACACTTGAAATGGTTCGTTTTATGCAAGCTATTGTCATTTCTAAAGAAAAATTAATGAAAAGTTATAATGGGTTTGAGCCAACTGTTCAATCTTCTAATCTTAATGAAGATTTAGGTTAAATCTAGTGCATTTTTTCTGACAAAACAGGTAAAATATTGAAAATGATTATTTTTTATTAATAATAAATATATTTATAATATAGGTACCTTAACTTGCAACATCATGAACTTTAAATGTCTTTTTGTTAATGGAATTTCATATGGTAGTATGCAAGATCGTCACCATAAAAAAGAAGAAATAGTTGAATAAAAGAAAATACCCAATGTAAATTTCCATGATCCCGCTTTCTACTCTATAATCGAAGATCCAAGTGAAGATTAATATGATTAGATTAATTTTGCTTTACTCCATCTATCACTTTGCCACTCAGTTATTATTAGCGAAAAAGAATAAGATACCCAAGATGCCAAAAGACTATCTTAAATGATTTCAGATACAATTTAAAAGAGAACCTCAAACTAAGATAGCTAAATTTAACAAGATACACCCTAAAAGGAATATGAATATTAAGCAGCTTCTCCTGATGATTTAGCTTTAGTAAACTTTGCTAAATATAGTGGATTTGAATATATGGGTTCTGATGCCTAAGATGTAATAACTATCAACAACCATTAAAAGAAATATTATATGCCTCACTAAATGTTTACCCAAGAAGATATTTAAAAAACCTAAACCTTAAAATTCTAAACCTACCATGTCTTGGAATTCACCAGTGACCGTAAAAGAATGTCTATTATACTTAAAGATCTTTAGACAAATAAAATCATGATTCTTACTAAAGGTGCTGACTCGATTGTTCTTAAAAGAGTGAATAAGTAAATCTATAGTGAAACATAATCAGGACTCGAATTTGTCCAATAACTATAGTATAGCCTTGATGAATATGCTAAAATTGGATTAAGAACTTTGCTTCTAGCTCAAAGAGAATTAACACAATAAGAATTTGATAATTGGGATGCTCGTTATAAATAAGCCTCTTCTTCTCTCTAAAACAGAGAAGAAAGAATGAATACCCTAATGGATGAAATAGAATAAAATCTTGAAATAGTAGGTGCAACTGCTATTGAAGATAAACTATAGGATGATGTAGAAGGAACTATTTCTTGTCTAAAAGTAAAACAATTTTTTTATTCTATCATTGATTGTATGAAAAAAAGTTAAAAAATATAAAAACAAAAAAAGAAATTTTCTTTTAATTTTAATTATTTTTTTTTTTGAAGTTTTGAAAATCTTAAAAAAAAACTTGAAAAAAAATCAAACAAACAATTTTGAAAATTTATAAAAATTAATTTAAGAAATATTTAAATAAGAAAAAAATTGAGATTAATTTTTATTGAAATTTAAGATTAATAAACATTTAATTTAAATAGGAAGCAGGAATCTTATTTTGGATATTGACAGGAGATAAAAAAGAAACAGCCATCAATATTGGTTTATCAACTAAAGTTTTAGAAACTACTGATAAAGTTATATGCATAGATAATTAGGATACCCCACTTTTAAAATAAATGGAGGATATGCTTTTAGAAGTTTCCTCGAATAAGAAATAAACATATTGCTTAGTTGTTACTGGAGAAATGCTAACAATTATATTGGAAGAAAAGGAATTATCAAGTAAATTAATTAGTATTGGTTCAAAATGCAAGAGTGTTATTGCTTGTAGAGTTTCTCCAAAGTAAAAAAAGGAAATAGTAACTATTTATAGAAAATCAGAGGAAGGATTTGGTAAAAGAACTCTCGCCATTGGTGATGGTGCAAATGATGTAAATATGATTACTGAAGCTCATGTCGGTATAGGTATTAAAGGTTTAGAAGGTATGCAAGCTGCTCGTTCTAGTGACTATGCTATCGGTGAGTTCAAGATTCTAAGAAGATTGTTGCTCTATCATGGAAGAGAGTGTTATCGTAGAAACTCTATAGTTATCCTTTACAATTTATACAAAAACACCATGTATCTGTGTCCTCTCATCTTTTTTGGTTTTAATTCAGGGTAAATTTTTGTATTTTTAATTTTTACTCATTTCTTTATTTATTTATTTTATTAACTGTTTTAAATATAAAAAATAGATTTTCTGGATCAAATTTATATGATATTTATATCTATTAAATGTATAATGCTATGTTTACAGCCTTCCCTATTATTCTTTTCGCAGTTTTAGACAGAAACTTATCTTCAAAAGTATTGGTTAAATCTCCTCATTTGTATAAGACTGGTATTGAAGGAGTATTCCTCAATTACAAAGAATTCCTTCTTTGGTTCGGTCAAGGATTGTCACATGCAGCTATCATTTACTACTTTGTGATGTACTCTTTAGATTCCGTTTTGGATTTGTATCATATAGCTGATTTAGTTTAGATTGGTTAAGTAATTTTCATGTTGACCATATTTGTAGCTAACTTCAAAGTGATCATTCACCAAAATACAAGTTTTTCCGTAGGATATATTATCTAATTCTTAAGTTTCTTAGTTTATTTCTTGCTTGAAATATTCGCAAACTACTATCTTAATTACGACCTTTATAATATTCTAACTAGAATCTTCAGCTAACCTTATTTCTATTTGGTATTTATTTTAGTTATGGGTGCTACAGTCTTTTTAGATTATTCTTTAGTTATTTATAAAGACTTTATGTACTTTATGAAACTTGCTGACGAGTATAGAGAAAGATATTAAAAAGAAGGAGATAAGGCTAAATTGCGTGATAAGACCTTTAAGCCTTTGTATGAAGATAACGTTAATGTTTATTAAATTCGTAAGACTTTAAAGGGTGACTACCCAGATGATACAGTAGAATCTGAAAACGAGTCTTCAGAAGATGAAAGCCCACAATAAGAAAAAAAAATTAGCAGTAATAGATTCAAAAAAGAAAAGCCTCTAAACTTAAACGGTGGTGCTTAAAATAAGGAAATAAATGTTTGATAAATATTAAAATCTATCATATAAATTCTATTTTATTTTATTTATTTCGTTCATTTAATATAAATATATTTGTTAAAATTATCAAAAATTGTTTATTCTTATATTAAAGGCTTCAAATAGATTTTCTAAATATTATTATAAAAGTCTTACGTTTTAATTATCATAGATTTATTTTTATATATTTATCAATAAATAATAAATAAAATATATAACAAAAAATAAAACACAATATTTTTAATTTCCTTTTTTCTTTCAAAATTTATAAATTTTTGAATTTTGCAGAAAATAATTCAGTGGTTAACCATTAATTTTAAAAACATTACATTATAAGAATTTAAATTTTTATTAGAAACTTCAAGAAAAAATAAAGATTGTATTAATTAAAAGTAATAGTTTTTTAAAAATGAACAACTTTAATTTAAAGAATAATGGGGTTGGGGTTGGGGTTGGGGTTGGGGTTGGGGTTGGGGTTGGGGTTGGGGTTGGGGTTGGGGTTGGGGTTGGGGTTGGGGTTGGGGTTGGGGTTGGGGTTGGGGTTGGGGTTGGGGTTGGGGTTGGGGTTGGGGTTGGGGTTGGGGTTGGGGTTGGGGTTGGGGTTGGGGTTGGGGTTGGGGTTGGGGTTGGGGTTGGGGTTGGGGTTGGGGTTGGGGTTGGGGTTGGGGTTGGGGTT